TCCTCTCTCGACTCTTCATTACATCCGGACATGTCATATCCACCACCGAATGCCTACAATCAAGCTCAAAACTACGGTCTTTCCCCGGGATCCTACTACGGAAACGGGCAAAACATTTCGCCCTCGCATTCAGTTGAGCACTTTAGCCCAGAAACTGGTTACATGAGCGATCCTAGTTACCACGACCCCAGCACCTATGCGACCCCAAACTTCAATGGACACGTTCTCGATGAATTTTCTGGTCTGACTTTTGCCGATAACGGTTCGGCCAATAACTTCCCGGCGTTCCAAGAGCATGTTGACATGTCAGCCCTGACCTCAGGGACGCTGAACACGTACAACGCTCAGCCAAGCAACCACCTCAATACCACTTCGCTGAACCCACACCATCAATTGATGTCACCCAGTGCGACGAACAATTCCAGTCCGGCACTAGGCGATGAGAGCTCAGCTTTCCCCTCTATGCAGTACAACGGGAACATGTCGACGCCGCCAAACCAGGCGAACCGTCTACCGCACGCAACGCCTATTAAGCAAACACACAGTCCAGCTCTGACAAATAGCCCCGGAAACGTGTCAATGGCAAACCCAAGGCCCCTCACGCGACATTTGACGAGCCCCATTGTACGGGTGGAGAACTACAGCAGAGAAGATTCGCCTTCGCGCTCCGATAACAGCATACCTGTCAGCAAACACAGCTATGGTAGTCGTCATTCTGGTAATCATCTGTCACCATATGTGCATAACGATGATTCGGACGATGACGTAGAGCCTCAGGAGAACGTGCATCCGCGGCCAGTACTTCGTGGGCCCGATCGCAACGAGGACGGCTCCTGGCTCACCACGGGAGAATCGGGGCAGAATGGTATCAATCCTGACGACCGCCGCCGGATGGGTGACGCATGGATCCCCAGCATAGAGGAGATTGCGGAGCAACGCTCGAAGAATGAGAAGAAGCTTGAAGTGCAGGAGTGGCTCACCAAGAGTGAGGTCGGAAGCGAAGCAGGTGACGTAGGACCCTCGAACAATCTACTTAAGCCTATCACAGGTCGACGTCGAGCGAAGAGTCACAACGATATTCAGCGCCGGGCTCTCCCCGATAGCTTCGGTCTGGGTGTACGTACCAATTTTGATCGTATAGATGACTCGGGCATACCTGGACCTGGTGTATACATTGATGAACGAAGCGATTACGGCGACTACGATTACGATGATGACGAGTCGGCAGAACCTGAATCCCCGCCCGCTGCGATCGATATCAACGCAAGTCATATCGAAAACTCGTACTTCCCTCTCACACAAGAACCTATGCCAAAGGAAGGTGCTGCTGTCAAGCCATGGGTAGATGGACCGTTGCAGCCACACCCTCCAAACACATCGGCTCGATATCAGCCGCCCACATCCAACGCCGCGATGATGCGTTTCATGGTGCGAGCGAAGGACGTCGAACAAGCTTCACTTGCTGCCACCGTCGGCTCACGTCGTCTCAGCGAGTCTGATATTGGTAGCATACGTGCTGCTCCCGGTGTTATCAAGGCTCTCGAACCTGAGCCAAGAAAGAGCAAGGAGCGACAACGGCGGCCCAGCTTCTTGGAAAACATCCTGCCCAAACGTACACCAAGCAACATACTCAAGCGCAAGGGCAGTATACCAGTGCAGCAGTCTGATGCAGCCTCGGACAAGTTCAAGGAGCCAATCATCGAGAAGCCAAAGCGTATAGGTAGTTGGGGTCGTCCAAAATCGCCTCGGGTTGATACAAACCTAAGCAGTCATAGCAAAGACGGTGGACAACTTAGCTCAGTAGGTCTATCTGCGGCGACAGGCTCGTGGTATAAAGGTCCCAAAAATGTCATCAAACGTAGTCGAAGCAGAAGCGACATCGGGAGGTCGCCTGGGCTGGCTGAGCTGATGACGCAGCACGGAGGTCCACCGATGCCTATGTTGGCTTCACCGCTCGCGGACACAGAAGCCACGAAGCCTTCCGCACAGCCAAGCCCAGCCGGAGACGATGATGAAGATGACCAAGACCCTGTTAGCATGGACCTCACGGTCCGCACCGATCCCATCGTCCCAACGTACGACGGCTTCAGAACTCATGCTAGACAACTCAACCCACGTCTGGCTGATTTCATGGTTGAGCGTATTACCCAGGAGCAGATGCGTAGATACAAAAGATTATTGGAGTTCAAGGTCAAGCATCTCAACGCCGTACAGCATAAGAATTGCGCCTCTGGGAAGTTCTGTACCGACCTCGGTGGTGAAGCGAAGCAACTCCGTCCGAAAGCCGGTGCCAAGGATGCCGAAACCCCTTTCATCGGTTTCCAGGTCACCGCACCTGGTTCTTCCGACGACGATGGCGAGCCTCCGTTAGAAGGCAATGTTGCTCCTGCTGCGTTCCCATCAGGTGTACCTCTTCCCCCTGTCAAACGCCTGCCAGCCGAGTTCGAATGCCCATTGTGTTTCAAGGTCAAGAAGTTCTATAAGCCGTCCGATTGGACAAAACACGTGCATGAAGACGTACAGCCTTTCACGTGCACCTTCCCCAATTGTGGGGAACCCAAATCGTTCAAGCGCAAGGCGGACTGGGTTAGGCACGAGAACGAGCGACACCGTCAACTGGAGAACTGGACATGTCAGATTGCAGACTGCAACCATACTTGCTATCGCAAGGACAATTTCGTGCAGCATCTTGTTCGTGAGCATAAGATAGCTGAGCCACGGCAACGCACCCGAGCCGCTCACAAAGACGCGACAGCAGTTGGTGATCAAGGTGAGAAGGGCAATTTCTTTCACTTGAGATCTCGCTAACGCAAAGACAGATGACATTTGGGCCATTGTGGAACGATGTCGTCGCGACACGACTAAACAACCCAAGGACGAGCCTTGCCGGTTCTGTGGCAACATTTGTACCAGCTGGAAGAAGTTGACTGTTCACTTAGCAAAACATATGGAGCAGATCAGCATGCCTATTCTTACGCTTGTGGACCAAAAGCAGCTCAACGCGGACAGCATCATTAGTCCTGTAGTAGAGCTGCCTGAAAGCCGCAAGCTCTCCATCACTCCAGGCCGCTCGCCACTAGACAACCCGTCGCGATACAATCCTAATGCCGCATATGCACCTGGTATCGACCCTCACAGCCTTTACTCTCAGGAACCAAAATCTCAGGCAGGATCTACGCCGATGCAAACCTATCCGCCACCGCAGATGGCGCTACCGCCGACTCAGACCAGCGGTTATGCGAACTATGTGGCAAACAATGCCACAAACTTCACGAACCAGACCTACCCAGGTCTACAAGTCCCTCGGAAGCCACATAATGGCTATACGAACGGGCTGCAGATTCCCAATCAGCCATATCAGAACGGGAATATGCAGACTGGAGTGCAGCAGTATGGTATGAATCCTGTTAATACTGTTCAACAACAGCAGTCGCTATACACGGACTCTCCGGTCGACGCTACGACTACACCTTTTCCTTCCTACTACACTCAAGAGCCGCAAGGCTTGACGACTGAGATGCCTAACATGGGTTACGATACCAACAATACCATGTCTTACCAGCAAGGCAGCACATATCCTGCCATGTCGCATCTGACGGCACAACACAACTATCAATACCAACATCAACAATAGACGGGAATGGATTCTGGGAGGGTTCTCGATCGACACGCCCATGATGTAGGCGTGGGATCTGATTTCATTATAGTTCATGTTGCTTTCGTACGATATCCACTCTTGCGCAGCGGAAGATGTTTAGATGTTTACGAGGCGAATTTGGGTTAGACACGTTGCAATACCTACTGTCGCTTTGGATACAAACTGAATCGACTGCATTGTTGCTTCTGATGGTGCAATATGCATGCATGGTTTTATAGACATCGACGCGTCAATCACATCAATTTCTCAGTACCACAATTCTTTGTACTTGTTTGTCCGCTCCGTATGATGCGGTCTCAATTGTGATATACATCATTAAATGGAAGCTGTGGTCACTCAAAGCTCCTGCATTTCCCTCCACAAAGACGTCATTGCACAACATCCATCGCCGGCGACAGCAAAACTCCTTCTCGCGAGCGCAATGCCGAGCTTATTTTCAAACTTCCAGCCCCCGCGCCCCATCACACACATCTCAGCGCGGCGTGCTAAATCGATCGCGCCGTCGGGGAAGAACCCGGTCGGAGGCTGTGATTGGCTGCATACGTCTCCCACGCACATGGAGGACTCTCAACACAGCCACCCGCAACAGGAAGTCCTCCATCTGCAATTCGGTGAACGGCTCGCTAGGTGCATCCCGAGCACGAATGAGCTGTCAGAAAGAGAAAGAGGGCAAAGAGGGCACCGGTCGCCTTCCTGGTAGCGCCCATGCGCGAGGAGGACTGGGAGGCCGCCCATATGCGGCGCACCCTCGCCATCGCGATCACAGGCATACAACTGCGATAACCACTGCGTGTGGAAAGGGACCGTGACGATATACTACAGTCCTGTATTTTATCCATTTCGAATCGAAGTCCTTCAATACGCCCAGTGCAGGGCAGGTGCACGCGAAGAGGTGACGGCGTCTTGGTATTGAAGCCTTTCCTCATATCTCACCGGCAGGCAGCGCATGCCCGTGCGCATGGGACACGAAACGGAGGACCTCACACACATTACCTGTTACATGTACCCATCTGGCTTGTCATCTTAGCAGATTGGGGCGGTGTGCTGCAGCTGGAATCTACTAATGCACAGCTGCGCGCCTGTTCCTCTGAAACGGTTTGCGTACGGCGTTCCTTGAGGCAGGCGTAAGGCTTCCACATCGCAGCAGGCTGACGATCTGAGATTAGAGGTATGTGTTGTTGCCTATTGTATACCTTTATTTCACTTCTCGTCTGTACTTATAGACTGATTCTTGTACTACGACAATGCCTTTTTCCTATGTTCGAGAGCTGGTTGGGATGAGTTTGGGTGGCATGTTGATGCCTTAGGCAGACCCGAGAGATGCTGACCTATGATAGCGAACATGACATTCCACAACCAGAGCGGGGACTGTCAACAGTCTTATAGCATGAACCAATACTATGGACGCCAAATACCTGCACTGCACATTGATCCTGTGCAGACGCAGCAGAGCACGTTCTCCCAACAACCACGGAGTGCACATAGTGTACGGAGCCAAAGATCTAGCTCATCAGCCTCCTTACATACTCCGAGAACTGCATCACATATGAGAGGTTTCGATCGTATGAATCATCGTCAGACCAATCTCTCTCCATTAGAGAATGGTATTGGATCCCATACGCCGAGGGATTTTGACCTTCTCGATCCAAACTATGCCCGGCCCTATCATGGCTCGACTGCAGGTAAAGGACCGGAGCCAGCGTGGAGTCCATACAATCTGAGGCTTTCTCAGTCTGGTAGCTCTCATGGTCTTTCTCCTCGATCGAGTGTGAATTTCCAGTTCCCATGGGGTCCAGGATCCGATATTGATAGTCAGGCTGTGCCATCTGACGAGGGTTACTTCTCGCGGAACACCAAGTCTGTCATAAGCAATGAGCCTGATCATGTTAATCAGGAACTATCGGCAAGTTTCATGTCCCCTTTTAACAATATGCATGTCGAGTCTGCCACAAGCGAGGCTCCTACCATGTCACGGATGCCTTCAGATCAACGATCCCACGTCAGCAGTCGTAGTGAGAGGTCGAGGTCAAAGAAAGACTTCCCATGTCACGAGTGCCTAGAAGTACTCAAATGTAACTCAGAGTTCAAGTGCGTATGCGATATCATTATAAGATGGCCATGTGCTAATGAAAGGTGATAGGAAACACATGCTCAAACACAGCAAACCCTTCAAGTGTGACGTACCCGGCTGCAAAAGAGTAGAAGGATTCACAACTACGAATGATCTTGAGCGGCATCAGAAAAGCCTACATCGGAAGGACATTGATAAGAAGTCTTATCAGTGTGCTGTAGAGGACTGTAGGAACAAAGAGAAGATATGGCCGCGCCTAGACAACTTCAAGCAGCATGTCGAGAGGATGCACAAAGAAGAGAACGTGCACGATCTCGTAGAAAGGTAGATTTGCACACTCCGCACTTGAAGAGTCAGCTAAACTGATGTTAACAGATCGATATGGCGTCCGAAGGCAGTCGACTCTCCCACAGAGGATAAAACGATCGTCACACCCCTGGACATTGGGTCAACAGTAGCTGGCATGGAGGTCCCTTTCTTGATAAGCCCAACAATGGGCCTGATAGACTTTCCCCCGATACAGGATTCTACATACCTATCTTCGCCAAGCCAGGACTCCGAGTTTGTACCAAACTCACAGCCACTATCTCGGCTCTCTGGATTTGGGCCTACTTCCGTACCTCATAACACTCGCATTCAGAAAGTGCCGAAGATGAATCGTTCTCGGCACAATGCACCAGGACTCTCCGCGCAGCGAATACAGGCTCCTCTCTCCACTACCAAGACAGCTCATGGCGCGTCTGGAAGTAACCATTTCAAGATTCGAAAACCCTCACATGGTTCTTCTCTATCAAATGCGCCGCAGACTAAGGCTGAGCAGCAAGCATCGGAGCTCAAGAGAAAGTCTGAACAGCGCTTGCATTCCCCAGAGCCTGTGGACGTTGAGAGTCGCATACTAGAGTTGATACAAAAAGCCAATCGTGACGATATGTCCAAGAGGCCGTCGAAGTCTGAGAAGAATGACGCATTGTTAAAGATGATGGCTGAGCTTGTCAATAAAGGCCCAGGATCCCCCGACGCAGAACAACGTCGCAGCAGCAAGAGTTCTTCAGTCAATGACAAAATATGTCCGATGCCTGGCTGCGAATTTGCGGTCGCTCGTGAATGCGATCTGCGTAAGCACATCAAGCGACATAACAGGCCCTATGGATGCACATATCCTAAGTGCCACAAACGCTTTGGCGCAAAGTCAGATTGGAAACGTCACGAGAACAGTCAGCATTTCCAGCAGGAAGCCTTCCGCTGCGATCAAGAACTGCACACAGGTCAAGTCTGTGGTGTGCATCTGTACCGCGAAGGAGCGTTCAAGAACCATTTAGAGACGCAGCATAAGATGGCGTGTGAGGTTGCTCAAGAGCATGTAAATCTCCGGAGAATTGGCAAGAATTGCCAAGGTACTTTCTGGTGTGGCCTATGCAAAGATGTTGTGCCGCTCAAAGAGCGACGCAATGCAGCTTGGGATGAGCGGTTCGATCATATCGCGCGTCACTTCGAGAAGGAGAGGAGAAGTATCGATGATTGGATCTGCGCTGAAGAGAACCGAGCGAAGAAAGAGCTACTGGAAGAGAAGAAGAAACGGAGCTACTTTGACGATGACGATGAGGGGGAAAGGGACGGCGACGTGGATGCTACCGGGGACGTTGATGACGATGTTCCACAGCCACGACCGCCGCCTCCTCTTCCAAAGAACATGCCCAGCATGCCAATGTCAAGCCATGCAACAATGCGACACTCACCACTTGCAGGAGATATCGCTCTAGGAACTCCAATAAAACGACAGCGTTCAGAAGATTCGGCACATGGCGAGCGACATCCAAAGCGAAGACAAACGACTATGGTAACGAATCGCTATTGTGTAAGTTACCCGTTCCAGATGCTGTGTAATAGTACTGACAAGAATAGTGCGGATGTCAAAGCCCTTGCGGTGTTGTAGATGTTGCTTGCGCCAACTGCTCACATCGCGTATGCGCCAATTGCAGCGTTGAAGAGACGGAGGCTTTCATGATGGATTTCTTTTGCGGGGACTAGTAGATATTTCAGAGCGCAGATTCAAATACTCAGTAGACAACTTTCGCATATGCGAATCGATGCAAAATGATAGAATGTTGTATGCTTAATCGCGCTCCGTGGCTGTCGCGGACATGGTGATGGTGATGACGTTGCAGGGATGTTGAAGGTCGGCGAAACCAAATGCCGAGGCGTGGAGTTGGAAACGTGTGCTCATGAAGCATAGCTCTCGAGAAGTTCCGTGACGCGGCCTTGCGACCAACAACCTCACCTTCCTTTACTTCTCCTGCAAACATGGCTGCCGCCGTAGATGACGGGCAGCTTCTCAAGCAGGCGACTGGCCGCAACACTCGAGGCTTGCTCCGAGTAATTATCCTGTGCCTCATCGCTGCCGCCGCCGTAAGCAGTCGTCTGTTCTCCGTAATCCGCTTTGAGAGCATCATCCACGAGTGTCAGTACTACAATTGGGGAATGGAAGGGCAATTGACTGATTATGCAATGCAGTCGATCCGTGGTTCAATTTCCGAGCGACGAAATACCTGGTACAGAATGGCTTCTACAGCTTCTGGGACTGGTTCGACGACCGTACGCATCTCCGCTGCATACCCCAATGCCATGTAGACACAATGGACTGATATGCAGCACAGGAACATGGCACCCTCTTGGACGAGTCACGGGTGGTACTCTCTACCCCGGACTGATGGTCACCAGTGGTGTCATCTACCACGCCCTCCGCGCTCTCGCCATGCCCGTCGACATTCGAAACATCTGTGTCCTCCTCGCGCCTGCCTTCTCAGGTCTTACCGCGCTCGCGACCTACCTCCTGACCTCCGAGATGGTCCCGTCGCCCTCGGCCGGTCTGCTCGCCGCAGCCTTCATGGGCATCACCCCCGGTTACATCTCGCGATCCGTCGCAGGAAGTTACGATAACGAGGCCATTGCCATCTTCCTGCTCGTCTTCACCTTCTTCCTGTGGATCAAGGCAGTCAAGCTCGGATCCATGTTCTGGGGTGCACTGACTGCGCTGTTCTACGGATACATGGTGTCAGCGTGGGGTGGATACGTCTTCATCACCAACTTGCTGCCCCTGCACGCTTTCGTCCTGATCTGCATGGGACGATACAGCCCGAGGTTGTATGTCAGTTACACTTCGTGGTATGCGCTCGGTACGCTTGCGAGTATGCAGATTCCCTTCGTCGGGTTCTTGCCCATCCGCAGTAGCGAGCACATGTCCGCGCTTGGTGTCTTTGGCCTCCTCCAGCTGGTCGCCTTTGTCGACTGGGTTCGTGCACAACTTCCCGGCAAGCAGTTCCAAACGCTGCTCCGCGCTTTGGTTCTGAGCGTCTTCCTCATCGGTGTTGGAGGGCTGGTGCTTCTGACCGTCTCTGGCGTCATTGCGCCCTGGACTGGCCGTTTCTACTCGCTCTGGGATACTGGATACGCCAAGATCCATATTCCCATCATCGCATCCGTCTCCGAGCATCAGCCCACCGCGTGGCCTGCCTTCTTCTTCGATCTCAACATGATGATCTGGCTCTTCCCTGCCGGTGTCTACCTGTGCTTCCGCACTTTGACCGACGAGCAGGTCTTCATCGTCATCTACGCTGTGCTCGCCAGTTACTTCGCTGGTGTCATGGTCCGTCTCATGCTCACTTTGACACCCATTGTCTGCGTTGCATCGGCAATCGCTTTCTCGCAGATTCTCGACACCTACCTCGACGTCAAGACCCCCAAGCCCGTCACCGAGAACGGCAACACCGATACCGCTGCAGTCGCTGCTGCAGCTATCCTTCCTGAGGGTCTCCGATCTACACGCAACCCGCTCGTCGGCATCTACTCGTACGCCTCCAAGCTCACCGTCGCCGGAACCGCCGCCATCTACCTCATGCTGTTCGTTCTGCACTGCACATGGGTCACTTCAAACGCCTACTCTTCGCCCTCCGTCGTGCTCGCATCCAGACTTCCTGACGGCAGCCAGCACATCATCGATGACTACCGTGAGGCATACTACTGGCTCAGGCAGAACACCCCTCAGAACGCCAAGATCATGTCGTGGTGGGACTACGGATACCAAATTGGTGGTATGGCCGACCGCCCTACCCTTGTCGACAACAACACCTGGAACAACACGCACATTGCTACCGTCGGTAAGGCTATGAGCTCCAGGGAGGAGGTCAGCTACCCGATCATGCGTCAACACGAAGTTGACTACGTATTGGTCGTCTTTGGTGGTCTACTTGGTTACTCTGGAGACGATATCAACAAGTTCCTCTGGATGGTCAGGATTGCTGAGGGTATCTGGCCCGATGAGGTCAAGGAGCGCAACTTCTTCACCCCGCGAGGCGAGTACCGTGTAGATGAGGAGGCCACCCCCACCATGAAGAACAGCTTGATGTAAGTGATCTAGTCCCCACCAGCTACTGCAGCTACTAACAGCATATCAGGTACAAGATGTCTTACTACAACTACAACGCGCTGTTCCCCGCCGGACAAGCCCAGGACCGTGTCCGTGGCGCGCGTCTTCCTGCTCAAGGCCCCGAGCTCAGCACCATCGAGGAGGCCTTTACTAGCGAGAACTGGATCATCAGGATCTACAAGGTCAAGGATCTTGACAACTTTGGACGCGACCATCAAAGCGCTGTATCATTTGACAAGGGCCACAAGAAGAAGCGGTCCACCAAGAGGAAGGGCCCTAGGGTGTTGAGAGTTGAGTAGATATGATGGGCGTATGAAAATCTTTGCTAGAGATCTAAAGCATTTGTACAAATAAGAAGCCATATTGGCATTGTTCGCAGGCGGGCGTCTGGGAAGAAATAAAAGAGTATCAAGTCCCATTGTCGGTATCCTTGAGGTGAGTTGCAGTGAGTTTGACTGTCGTGATTGGAGATGCGGTTTCGCAGTCGCGCAATTCTGCTTGTGCATCTGCTCTTTCACTTTGACTCTACGTTCACCGACATGCTTTTCAAACGATCATTTGTCTACCCCACATCTCTCTCCGTCGCTCCTTCCTCTTAACACTTCTTCGCGCTTTCCCGGTCGCCCACGTGGGACCCACGACCAGGGCCACTCCTCCGCCTTCCCTCCGCCTTCGAGTCGCACGTCCGCACCTGCTCAAACCACAATATGGCAAACGAAGAACAGAGAAGGGCCTTCGAGTCGTACATGGGCCGCACTGGCGGAAGTGGCAGTAATGGGCAAGGCCAGGATCAAGGCCAGCCAATTCCTCAGTACCCAGGCTCTTTCGCCCGGCCAGGCAACTCGTATCTTTACAATGTGTAAGTGCGCCGTTGTCGCCTGAGACCAGAAGTTGGCTGACAGCAAGCATAGACGTAATCCTGATCGGCCCCATCTCATCGACACCCGCGCACAGTGCGTCAGTAAATATAGAACCTGGCTTACCCACCGTGTAGCAATTCCAAGGGCTCGGAGTCCCTCCCGCTGCACCAACGCCTCCGCCGGCTGCCTCATCCGTCGCTTCTTTTCCCGGATACCAGGGAGCATATCCTCAACAGGCTGGATACCCACAGCAGAGTAGATACGGCCAGGGCGTGTACAATCATCTTGGGATCCCACAGCGCCCACCACCGCTCCTAAGCCCTCAGTCACAACAACAGGGTCAACAGCAGATACCGCCAGTAGCCGGACCACAAGGACACGTTCATATGCCACAGGGCTACAACGCACAACCACCACCGCCGCCAGGGTACAACGCCAACTGGCAGTATAGCAATCCAGATTCTGGGATAGAACGTCGACGAGCCGCTCCTCTTACGAGCGCGATGGTACCATCGTCACGCAACACGCAGCAGGAGATCATGGAATCAAGATCGAGGCAGACAAGCGAGCAATTCTACTACGAACAATATGGACAATCACACGCCGCGCAAGCACCACCCCCGCAGGTGGAAGAAGTGGCTGTGCCAGTTATGCTCTGTCACACCTGCAGTTACTGCGGACAGATGCGCTCCGCAAGATTTCATCGCAACAACCCCGTCCTTCCCGGCAAGCCTATGATTCCTACACCCTGTCGAAGGTGCAAAAAGAAGCTTGCGAACTCACAGCGTTCAAGCAGCAGATACAGATACATCAGAAGATGTACGGCCGAGGAACCCTGCGACTGGCCTAGAGAGTGTGTCCACATTGACATCGACCATGACGAGCGTAGGGGTCGGAGACAAAACAGAGAAGATATATATGTTACTCGATATTCTCCCAGCCGTCCTCGTGTTATTAGACGAGATTCTAGTCAGGCACGCCTGGGCTTGCGGGTACTTCAACAACCAACACAAGAGTTTAGGACTAAACGAAAGCTCAAAACCTCTTCATTGAGTCCTCGCCGCTCTTTCAGGTATGCCGGTGGAGTTTGGCCTCCGCCTGACATCGTCCGCACAAGGGAAACACGGTCGGATGAAGTTCACGCTGCGCCCCCTCCGCCGCTGCCCAGTCGTATCTCAAGATCTGACGAGGTGTGGCCTCCTCCAGACGTTGTCCGTACTCACTCCTACAGGAAGGTCGAGAGAAGTCCATCGCACCAGGCAAGTTCAAGGATCATCGAACTCAGTCCGTCGCCCCCTCCGCAAACGAGACATTCGAGAGTTGTCTATCGGAGTGAGTCTCAAGATTGTCGGCCTAGGAGCTCAAGTAGATCTCCAGTTCGTGTCAGCTTCCGCGCAGAGAGACAAAATGAGGAAGCGGAAGCTCGTCTCATGTCGCATCCGAGGCCGTACCGTCCGGTTGTACCAGAGCAACGTAGCTTTCTCAAGGCGTCGGATGAAACTTCGAGCAATGCTGATTCTGTGCCACGTCGCCGTGTAGAGTCACCTAGTCGGAGCATCCTAAAGCCTCTAGGCACCGAACGCGAAACTTCCCACCGACGAAGAAATACCATGCGCGAAAGTCAACAGAGCATGCACGTCGAAGTCGGAGGACCTCGTGTTCACTTTGGTGGTGGGAGAAGGCAAGAAGAGCCAGTACTGGAGCCAAGAGGAAGGTCAAGGTATGCTGATGAACGACTAGCGAGTGGCGACAAGTACGAGCATTACCGGGAGTATTCCCGCCATCGTGTTGTAGACGATCTTCCACCGGAGCCACTAGCCCAGGACTTCGAGAGGATCCGCATACGGCACTCATCGCCATCTCCACGAAGAGAGTACGAAGAAGAAATCCGCATTGACCGACAGCGCCGCATTTCGCCCTCTCCTCTTCCGCCTTCGAGACGATTCGAAGAGGTACGCGTGCGGAACGTATCTCCTCTTCCCGCGCGTCGCCCACCCCGGCCTCCACCCTCTCCTACTTCGCCTGAACGACCACCGCAGCCACTGTTTCGCCATATCTCCCGCACACGAGCTCTTGAACGTACTCGTTCTGTGACCCCGCCGCCTAGTCGCCGAAGACAAGAAGAAGATCACACCGACTCGGAGAGCGCACATTCAGCTGAGATCACTGAAGTTAGAAGCTGGAGGGGTATCGATGAAAACGGGCAGCCTGCTACATTTGTGGAAGATAGAAGGACGGTGAGGATGATTGATCAGTGTAGTGATGGAGGCGGACTTGCCAGAGACTATCGCGAGATGGGCAGAGGCGCGAGGTTGGATACAAGAGAGCGAGTCACTAGTCGAAACTGGAGGGACGTATAGGCTGTTGATGGTGATGGAAGAGTGATGATGAGTGTGTACAAATCTGGTACTCAGGGGTTTGTGGTTGCTGTGCGATGAAGCAGGGCATACTTGGGATGGTTTTGAACGAATACTGATGGATAGACACCTACGATACCTCTTCAGATTTCCTTCAATGTATTTCTTCCAGCGAAGGCATGACTTGTGTCAGGCGATGTCAGATTCGAGTGATGGTCTACTAGTACGCTTCTAGAGGATGCGCACGTACAGACCTCTAGCAGTGCCTATATAACCTCACATCTTGCTGCTTCCTTACTTTCCACATCATCTTTCAGACTCGGAACATACTTCTAAAAAGGATAGCATCAAGTTCCATGAAACTTTTCCTGGCTTCCAAACCGACAGAACACAGGTACATGTGCAGAGACGACTGCTCTCCCTTCTTACACCATGTTTCTTTCCTAAAGAGACAAACATCCAAAAAGCGATTCAGGACAGCGCATGCCTGTGAGTTTTGCGCCGGGTCGCTCTCAAAAGCTCAGACGTCTTCGCCATGTGTTCATTCAAGAAAGTTAGCAACGCAGCCATGGGCAGGATGTCTTCGACATCGCTCTTTTCTACCATCTCCTCGTTCTCGAATTGAGAAAAATGTTAAGAGAAGATTCGATGAGACTGTGTGTTCACTTTCCCGCACAAAAAAATGTTTGCAGTATCTCATGGCGTGAGTAGTGTTGGGTTGTGTATAAAAATTCACCTTCTTACTGCTATTCTCCCTGTATGTACTCTCTTCTCCCCCTCCCAGAAGAAAACGGCCTACAAATGATTCTGTTCCAAAAAGTTTCGAATGGGATTTGATGTCTTCCGCTTTGCTCGAAAGCAAGAGTAGAGGGAAAGGTCGTATATGTGAGCAGAAATACGAGACAATAAACATACCTAGGTATGTCCAAGTGTGTGCTGTAAAGGCTGATGGAAATCCATAGTATTCAGGTCGGAAGACAGAACCCTCAAACACAAAGTCTCCAGCCTCATGGAGAACTGCAAGAAGACTACAAGTTTAAGCAAAAGGTTCTCAGATGTTGGGCTTCAAAACCACGTCTATGTCATAATATGGCTTGACAGTTCTTAAACATTCCAAAAATACAAGCCAATACTATGGTGTTCGCTGATATGTATGGATGATGGTTAGTTGATTCACGTCATGCTTTGGCAGGACTTATATGACGAAGCTGGTATAGCGCACTGACTGCTTTTATATAAAAGCTCGCCTCTGCTGCTTACGATCTTCCTCTTACACACAAGCTGCTCAGTCTCTGAACAAAAAATAGCAATACCAGGCCATCATGTTCTCTCCCAAAAAAAATCGAGCTACTCGATTCATGTCCTGCTGCGAGCGAAGGAAGCAGTAAACGACACGGTCGTGAACGACAAAAACTCCAAAGCGAACACAAAGTGACGGGCTTCAAAAGTTTCAAAGAGCAAACCAATCGCTAGCTTTTGTCTCGATCACTCACTTTCTGAATTTGGCACATCAAAACTCCAATGCTATGATTACACGACCGCTTCCACGACACGCCAAACCCCCACCCCCCACCAGAGAAGATGATGGGATGCCTGAGGACGGCAAAACAACGAGTGTACATGAGTCTCTTCAAGGGCTAATCCCATGGTGGGGAGGTGGGTACTTCGGTTTCAAAAGAAGAGGAGAACAAGCATGGTTATGTCGTTCGCTCTGGACTTCAAACTACCAGACGATCATCTCATGCTTCGTGTGTATCTGACGCAGACCTCACACTCAGAGTGCTCTTGATAGCACGGATACCAATAGTCATATAAAGCCTACCCTCTGCTCTTTGCGGTTCTGCGCTCTCTACCATACCGTTCTGCGAAGTTGTATTTCAAAAGTAATGAGGGAAAGTGACATGGCCTTTGTGGCCTCAAATGACCGCTACAGTTGGTTCATGTGCGAAGTAAAATCGTCTCTTAGTCTTCAAAGATTTGAGTTGGCGTGAGCACCTTTACTGTGATAGGACTGGAGTGATTCGATCGTTGGTGGCTGGTCGGCAAGATCTTGCAAGACTATGATCAGGGCGCGCTTGTGTTGAGAACCAAAACGAAGGTACTTTGAAGTCATGTAATAAACGGCGGTAAACATCGTAGCTAACATGTGCTCTGTCAGCCATGGGCACGTACGTTGTTTACATCACACAAAGAAACTGGTCTAATACGCGGATGTCAATGTACGAAGACTACGCTATGAGCTGTCCTGAAGCTACATACGAGTCCCTTGTAACTGACGAGGATAATGTCTTGCTCTCTTGATCGTGGCTGCAGCCTGGGTTTCGCAATCCTTATCCCATGCTGGCATCGCCTCCTCGTTCTATGCTGACTCCAACACCTTGCTCTGCAACGAGCAAAGCTCTACAATAGTGCTCACACTCCCCACTTCTTGTCGCGCAGCTTGCAAACGCTCTTTCACCAATGCTTCGGTGGCCGCCTCAGCTTCCCGTGCTGTCTTGCCCCATGCTGCGACTTCCTTCGAGCCAGCGGGCAGGAGATGGCTTTCACCGGAGAGTCGCAGAAGCGCTTCTTCAATGTCTTGGTCTGCGGATGCTATCTGGCTCTGGAGGTATACAGATTGTTGGAGCAAAGAACGCTCACTGTTGGCTATCTGGGTGAGATGCGGGAGGTAAGGCAAGAGTTTGGTGATGGGCCGGGCAGGCTTCGTTGCCGCGCCTTTGTCCTCTTCGTTGGGGGTAGTCGGACCGCCGTTCTGATCGTCAGTCTGGATATCAAGAGGTTGCTGGAGGCTTGCATGAGCTTCGAGCAGACTAGCACGAGCTTCTATGTACTTGTTGTACGACTCTTGTATCTGTGTCTCTGCTGACGCTAGATCGACGGGTGCTGCGACGCTGATTGGACGTTTGACAGGTGAGGCATCCTCAAGGAAAACACTGTCCTCTTCCATCTTAGCCAACTCCCCTTGCACCCAATCAACGAGCTCGTCTCTTGCTCGCTCGAGTGCATGGACTTGCGCTTGCAAGCTGGGCTCGCCAGGCATCTCATCCTGGGCCTTCTTCCTCGCGGCCTGGGCGCGCTCCATGGCTGTTCGCGCCTCGAGAACCTCCTGCTTCAGCTTGAAGACCCAGTTCTGGTCATCTTCGGCTTGCGATAGCTGCTCTAGCCTCTCGGCGGGTAAGTCTGGTTGCTCGCCGATGGCGCTCTTGATGGAAGCTCTTGGGTCAGCCGCAGCGGTCGATGGCTTTGCGGTGAGAAGCTTGTCTAGAGATTCTTGGATGACTTGAAGTTCTGCATATCTTCGGCGCTGTCGTAGCAAAGCAACGTAACCTCGCGTAGCTTCGTTGTCGTATTCTGATTCTGGCTGCGTTGGGTTCTCGTCCACGTAACGGTCGCGTAAATCTTCTAATGAAGCCTGAAGTTCACGGTGTCTTGTTTGCGCTTGTGACTTGACCCGCAGAGCCTGTAAATACTCCAGACGAGTGTCCTTCAAGCCTGGAGGGTTGGTATTGGCTGCAGACAGGTTCTGTGGGCACTCATGGTTCAGATGTTGATTCTGGGTCGCTGCACTGACAGGCCTCAGACTTGAGGTGAGATACTTGGAAAGAGCCCGTCGGATCCTTAGCGTGTCTTCCCGATTGTTTATGTATGACGAGAGTGCGCGGTCGACTTCGGGTATTGGGCATGTGGTTTGGGCTGGCATGATCGGAAGTTGTTTGCACCCCGCAACTGAGAGAGCAATTAGGAACGAAAGCGAACCCGGAATTCTGCGCAGATCTTTCAAGAAGGGACTAGTTCTGGTGATCGCATTAACTAGATGTCACGAGGGGTTGCTTTTGAATGCGTTCAGGGTACAGACAACGTCGAGACGTCAACGGGGACGACATTTCGATAGCTCCGGGACTAGGCCAGAACCGATCTGAAGGTTTGGCTAGCGTGGATCACGAAAACACGTGCCTGAACGCTTGGCGATTGCACAAGCCCAACGACAACATGTCAGGCTTTGTGAGCACTCGTCTACATCAGGAACAGTTGAGACGGTGTCTCTTGCGGTACAACACCTGTCGATCTGAATTTGTAGTGTGTCTTTGCTGGAAATACTGCCGATAGTCTGCCCCCTATTGGCAGCTCCTGCAAGCTCAGATACAGAGAAAACATGGCTTCTATGCTGATGTCATATTCATTGAGCCTGCATTCCCATCAGGGTTCCGCCATGGAGATATTGACGTCCCATCGGGACGTGGGCGGAAGTGAAGGAGAGTTGACTTTGTTCTGTCGTTTCAAAGATGCGCCGAAGTACCACCAGTAAGGGTTTGCAGGAAATTGCGCATGTCGGTCGCGCGTCTGTCTGGAAGGAAAAAGCAGAGATACGATAAGACGTTGATTATTGACGTGAGCATAAGGGTAAGATGGTTTTCTCACGACACTGCCGTTGCATCAACACAAATTGGCTGCTTGTCGCGTTACACCTTGTCTATTGACATGTGACCAACCAATTGCCTGCGATAATTGATCAGAGAGATGTGCTCTTGTATTCAAATCAAGTACAGTTCGTCCCACTAGCAGCGGCTGTCAAATAGAACGCTCAGGCCCCGGGTGAGTTCAGCTGGTGCATGTGCTTCTTCTCAGCCGCCGCCATAGCATCACGAGTATTAGATTTACAGTGGAGTCAGGTTCATGCGTACGAGACAACGGCCCTTGGGGTCGGGAGCTAGTCGGATCAGCAGCGGGCGCATTACGCAGGGTCTGTCCCACGAGGCGTCGTGTAGTGGTGCTCTGTGGTGTTGATGGCTGGGATAAGGCTGCTGGTGATGAAGCGGCCCAGGCAGGGCGAGTTGGCACGATATGAGGCGGTGTCAGCGTTGACACGGTGGGGATGCGCGGTGGATGACGCGACGAGGGACAACACATCAACACAGCCCCGCCAATGGCGCACGAGAAGCAGGCGTTTGCCGCGTAGATTTTCGAGGACCGGGACGAATGTGCTGGCGACTAAAGCAAAGATGCGAAACAGAGGCACTGTCCCGTGCAGGAGCCACGGCTGCGAGCGAGGGCTAGCTGCAAAGGGAGGGCTTGGCGGGACAGGGATGGGCGATTGACGGGCGTCGATTGGAACTTATTTCGCCTGTACCCTAATGAGGCCTGCCGGACTGCAACTGCCTGCTCTTCTCCTTTCCCGCCAGCAGCCATCCGTCTCCTCGGCCGCCCGAGCCCAGGAACTTCTTTGCAGTGATTTTATACACCTACACTGCTAACTTCACAGGCCTATACGCAGAAAAAAGCAATTGAATAGCACACGTCCCTGCATCGCGCTACCACCGCGTCGCGCATCCACCCCCGAGCGCAACTGCGTCACTCGAACTGGTGGTAGCGAAGACCCTCGGGAGCCGCCACGCACCCCGCCATAGCCAACATGCCTTTCTTCAAGAATGTCTTCCACTCCAAGGACAAGCAAAAGGGCGCCAAAGCTGCCCCCGAGCCCGAGGCGCCGCCCAAGCCCCGCTGGGAGGAATCGTGGACGCGCAAGGATGTCGCTCCCGACGAGATCCAGGAGCTCATCCACGTCTGCACACAGGAGATGAAATCGAGGGGTACGTGGGCAGCGTCAATTGGCACCCCGCAGGCACTGCTAACTCCCTCAAGCCCTAGACATGCCCTTTATGCTCCTCCCCTTCCGCCCCACCTCGGACACAAGCGCCTCCCGCAACTTCGTACGCAACTTCTTCAAAGCCGCCTACGAGGGCACACGGCAATACACAGGCGAGGGGCTGGCACAGGAACTGCGGCTTACTGAGCCATTGGTAGGCTGATATGCCCATCCCACCACACCGAGCAATGCGCTGACGCAGACAGACACTCTGCAGTATCATAAAATGGTGCTGGAGCAGACTCCCCGGCGGTGTCGTCACCTGGGACGCATACGAGCTCTTCCGGATCGGCGAATCTGGTAAGACGACCGCAAAGACATGCCCAATCACCACTGACGTTCTGTCCAGATTCAAACTTTGCGCGCCACGCGTTCGACACCTTCATACCAATCAGCGTCGAGTCGGAAGCTCGCAAGCGCATCATTTTCGACTTCTTCGATCTCCTGTCTGCGGTGGCCGCAAGAGGCAAGAGCAACGGCATGGGCGGCAGGAAGCTCTCTCGTTTAGCCGGATGGTGGGCATTCGAGTTCGTTGAAGACGGCAAGGGCTTCGATGGTGGTTATCGCACATGGGAGAAGTAAGCAGCCCCGCTGAATTGGACAATCAACGCATACTAATCAAATCTCAGGGCCGCGGACGCTGCCAGTCATCTCTTCTTCGCTTACCTGCGATCGCTATCGCCAGACATGAACGTAGTCGGTGGCATCTCTGCTCTACCACGGTCACTCCAAGCGCTACTCTCCCAGACCGAGTACCCTCCGCAAACACCGACCCTCATGCAAACGCGAACAACCAAGGTGGTCATGATAGTGGACTCCGTTTCGCCTACACCATTCGCGTTGCTGCGTCGCGCAAAGAACTTCGAGTACCGAGACGACGACCGGGCGCTACAGCAATTCTCTGAATACGACGACACCGTCAAGGCCCTGACTGATGAGTGCCGCAGAGTACTCGAGTGCATTGCTACGGCCAACCAATCGACCGTGTCGACAGATCCCACTACGCCCGACCCGTCATGGTCCCGCTTTGAAGACTTCGGGTTTTCGGGCATCATGGACAGCTCCGCCAGTACCAACGGTACCCCAGTGGGTGGCAACCCACGAGAGTTCTCCAGTCTCCGATCAGGGCCCCGCTCCAACAACACCGACTTCGGCCGCCCAACCACTCCTTCATGGGCGGACTTCTTGTCCTCTGGTTTTGCTGACGAGAACAACCAATCTCCGCCTACTACTCTGTTGATGCCAAACCAGAAACTTCCACCTCTAGGAGAGCATCGCGTACACAGCTCTCAGTCCCACGTACGAAATGGCCTCAGCGAAGACGACCTCGAGCCCGGTGAGCTGGCCAGTATCACCAAATTTGATCTCGACGAGACTTTCTGGTGGGTATGGATGATCAGTTTGGCTTCTGAGGAGACCACTGATCGCAAGGCTGCGTTCGGAAGATGCACGTTGATTGAGACACGCATTCAGGGCGCCAAGTGGCTGGTCATGGAAGAGCAGGTCAAGGGTGCAGCTGTGGGCCCTGAGGAGGGTGCGTATATCGTGGAGAAGAAGTCCAAATTCAGCTTCACGAGGCGCGGGCGACTTGGTCGGAGGAAGTCGACAGGCAAGAAGCCATCCGCAAAAGAGCCATACAGCCGGACGACTACCAACACGCCTATGAGCAAGACTAGCATTGGCCCCGACCAGCACGCGAGAATTCAGGCTGCAGCCGCGAAGCTGGCTCAGAACGAACGTGATGAGAAGGATGCAAAGGAATTTGCGACACGCAGAGGACGTACCGACGATACTACATCCGTCAAAACAAACAGTGTGCTTACATTGCAGCCACATCTGGTGAACGAGGCTGGTCCGGCCATGCAGTGGGACAAGAAGTTCGGCGAAGCCGCCCTCGATAAGGATGCCCTCCGTGCTCAGTATCTTGGCGATCACACCGCGGGCAGAGGTTCAAAGAACAACCTCACAATAGCTGCCAATGGCCGCTCTTCCCCGCTGCCTCCAAATGTGTCAAACCGGGACCTTCCTGCGCTACCAAAGTCTGAGAGAGGAGACTCCCCAGCTCGTATTGATACCACGCCTACAAAGGCTTCTGTGACACCGGTACCTTGGCCACACGAGTCACCTACCCAGACTCCACTTCCTCAGCAACAGTCATTCCCTGTTGCAATGACGCGGGAACAGTCCACTCCTATAGAGGAGACGCCCTTCGCAACACCATTGCCCATCTCGGACGAGAAGTCTATCCAGACAGGCGCGACTCCGAATCAGCATCCTGCTTTGAGGAAGTCAATCCCCGATCGTAAGCCAGTTGTAGCTCCTCAGCCCAAGACTCGCGTCAGTGAGGACCAGGGTGCCGCACATGGGAAGAAGATCTCACCGAACAAGTTGAAGAAGAAGGAGGGCGGTGGATTCAGGAAGCTTTTCGGAAGGAAGAAGACTGAAACGCCCGCTGCAGTACCTGCACCTGCGCCTGCGGATGATTCGTACTTCCAAGCATCCGATGCCGTGCGCAGTACGTCTCGACTGGACGACCACCAGCCTAACATACGAGAGCCATCGCCGACCTATACTGATGACCATCCGGAACCCGTGCAGGCACCGTCGCCAAACTATGAACCTAGTCCTGCGGATTCCTCGCCCGAGGTCGCAGAGCCGATTCAAGCTGGCGGCCCTGTTGCTGGAGCCCCAGCAACGCAGCAGGAAATTGACCAAGCCTTCTCTCGATTCGACCAAGGCCCTATGGATGATATGCCAGCTTTTGCCCCTGCTGACGACGAGAGCGACGACGATGCCGCTGCCGGCCCGACCGTGCCTCGTCGACAGGTACAACAGACCAACCCTAGGACCCCGACTCAACGTGCACCGGAGTATGCGGATGACATATCCGAGGAATCTATCGAGTTCACAAAGCAACAATCCCCATCTCAGGATCGCTGGGCGCAGATTAGGAAGAATGCAGCAGAGCGCGCCGCAAGGCTTAGTGAAGAGCAGGTTCGACGTAGCCGAAGTGTGAGCCAGAGTCAACGCACCGACGAAGGTGAGACAAGCGGCGAGGAGACCATCGAAAGCCGTGTTGCCCGAATCAAGGCGCGTGTCGCCGAACTTACTGGCAACGTTGATGGTCAGCCGGCAGCAGCTGGACCTGGCGCCGGAAGACAGTGGTAGAATGTGCTTTGGTAAGCATCGTGGTGTTCTTCTACTTAGATCTTGCTAACGGTTCTTCAGATCTTCTTTAGCATCACATACCCGTTCTGTTTTCCCAGCGTACAAAGAGCTCGATACCCTTTCCCATTTCGACTTTCTGGTTTTTCTTCTACGACAATGGGCATAATTTGTGCTTTCCACGCCTAAATACCCGTCAGCTTCATAACTTTATGGCTGGCAATCGGCTTGCTTCATTCACTCTGTATCTGTTTCGATTTTCTTACGTTTTGCTGAGATACCTCGGGGGGAATGTACATCGTTGTCTAGGTACACATCTTTGCGGACATGCACAGTTACATGGTCACACATGTTCGATGACCACGATAATACATACAATGGTGGAGACGACGTAGCGTGTTATATGTTCAGAAAGAGAGACTGTTGAAATGTTTAATCAAGACGTTTTGCTTGTGTAATCACTTCGATGTGTGCCACTTTGAGATTCCCTCGGTCGTGTCTTATTGTTGCCGTTCTCAAACAGATCTTAAAGGATCACTCGAAAGATGAGTTTGGGGACTGAGGATCAAGACTTCCGTGTAGCCATCTCCCCGCGCCAGCATGCTAAATTACTTGAAGGCTATCAAAAGAAACTTCAGACATGAAGGATGTGGCGATCGCTTACGTACTTGGTGTACTCGCTTCCTTTGATCAGAACTTTTCGAAAGTCTTGTCAGTACGTCGTCATGCAGCCAGAAGATACTCGGAATGCACGCATCACCTTCGTCTTGCGTCATTTGGAACAGAAGTGGGCGAAAGACTACTCCATGATAGCCTTCTCTGATTCTTTTTTGGATGCTTCATGGGACGTTGTGGAGAGTTGAAGCGAGGTCTTGGAGGTGATGGCGATATTTTATATCTCGTAGCTCACGCCAGGGTGACATTCAGCGCGATGACATGTGATGGCACACTAGCGGAGTCTGGGAGAGAAATATAAAGGTTCGGGCTTTCGTACACCTTCTTCTTCTGCAGTTCGTACTCCCGGGAGTTCTAACAAAACCTTCATCCGGGTAGATGTGACTGCGGCAGTGCGCCTCAAAAGCTACACTGAGTATTTGCAAGGGACGGCGCTATGGGCTTTCCGGGCCATCGTAATCTCGTCTTATATCTTTGGGTGTAGGGAGCGCAAGACGACGCGGACCCATGGAAATTTATGCGTCGTTTTTGATGAAAAGGTTGGAGCACAAGGCATTCCAATTGTGAATGGAGAAGGCAAGGGGAAAGTGCGATCGCAAGACGCTTTATACACAGAGACGGCGAGATATACACTGTTGTGCCAGCGAGGATTGGGGCACACAGGTTTGACTTGTCTTTACTGGTCACTCTTTCCTTCAACCTTTCTCTTCAAGGAATGAGCTAGGAAAAGACAACGAAAAGCCGAAAATATGGCGGCTGTGTCATTGCACAATTCGTGATGTATCCATCCAAGAAGGGAGCTAACTTTTATCATCATAACCCGCGGTTTTTGACAAGGGCATCCGAAAGCTCAAGCTCTCCTTATTGTACCCACGTAGCCTCTTCCACCATCCACTAATATGATATCCAGACTCAGTATAGTTGTATGTATGTAACGCACAAGTATGGAGTACCCCTTTCCAGCGGAGCGCCTCACCGTAATGGACTGACAGTACCAACAACTCATCCATGGATCAGGTCGATTGCTGTATCGCTGAAGATACGCGCCCGGAGATGGTTTTCGAAGGAACTTGACAAGCTCATGATGTCGATTTCTATTCTGAACACACCTGGTCATCCCTGCTCCCCTGATAAGTGTGCCTTGACGATCTCTTGTAGACGCCGACGACGTGCAGTAGTTGATGGTCAAGATCGAGAACGCATTGCCTCTGTCATCATGAACATGGGATTAGTATATCAAATCTGAGACGTCCAGAAATAACGTCCGAGCAGTGTACCTGCATCTACCACGCGGTCTTCCCTGAGGCACAGGTCTCGGGTTGGGGCCAGAGTTCATAGCGATTGGAGAGATGAGAATCCTGAGGGCCAGCATGCGGCCCAAAATAACACGAGGTGTGTACCTGCATCGACCAGGTCACTGGGTGAGGGTTAGGTGATGATAAGAAACAAAGGGAGGGTTACCGGGTGGTGTGCATGTGAAACTAAGAATAACAGCCGAAGAGTGTACCTGCGTCTGATAGAGGGGTTAGACGCGCCGGGCCGCTAATTTTCCGGCGAACGTCTTTTCTTTGATGAGGACGAAGTGACGCGTTGCTGAGTGATGCGGGTATCTGTGGTGCTTCAATTAGAACCAACAAGCTTCAATGAAGAGCACATGTTCTGTGGAGCCGCTGGCCAGTGGGGCACAGTCGCTTCAGCAGGTGAAGACTGCAATCACATAGACTAATATCCTGGCAGTGGGGTATACGCAAGCAGAACCTGAGCTAGTGAAGCTGGGGAAGAGACACGATGCCGGCGGCTAGGCGGGTGAGATTATGTCAACGGGAAAACGACAAGGGCGGAAAGGAAGTGATAGACGAACAGCAGCTTAGCAACGTGCAACGATCTGGAGCTTTGGATATGTGTGTTGAGGTAAGCTGGGTCCGTCAGTCAATCAGAGGCGGTAGTGGGTGTGTCATGCCAGCCGTGGGCGTGGGTTTGCGGCATGGCCTTCTAAAAATATCGTGTTTCGGACATGGGAGGCAGCCGCGCTAGGAACCGCGTGCTGCGAGCCCTAATCCAACTTCAACGCCTGAGGACATGGAAGCAGATACTGGAGATGATGTGTATGGACGTTATCCGATCGTCTGCAAGCGACGCGTCTGCATACAGATTAACGGACGTGTGAAGATGGAGATTACATGGATACCGCGCCGCATCCGGCGGGGAGCGGGGTGCCCTCGACGGCAGCCTGTATTGAATGATTGCAGTCCAGCTCACCCAGGGACTGCCCTCACAGTCGAGGAGGCTACTGTTTGAGAGAGATGATTGAGCCAGTGCTCCGCCATGTGTCGCTAGCAAAACACGGTCTCGGAAAGGGTGCAAATGGCGCACCGGTAAGTGCAATGCCGCACAAGGAGTACCGGCCGACCGAATGCCTCCGCCCTGCGCCTATCCCACGCTGGCCAACGTCTGCAGCCTGGGTCGACTCTCGTCATTATCTCTGCAAGCGCCGACTGGCGTGCCCGGTGGCCATGGCACGCAAGAATAGCGACGCCCGTCTGTCGCTGCAGAGCCGGTAAGACGGCCTTGCTAATCTGAGAGACGAAGAGGAGCGCGGTAGCGCAATGCCGGTAAAAGGCAGCTGTCTCATTCTGCTACTGTACGGCATCAAGGGTCTGTTCTGCGCGTGTGAGGCCGTTGGACCCTGGCTCTGATATGTCCCTAAAATAACTCAGCTGGGCGTCGCAGGTGGAGTAAACAGCCCAAGTGCAGTTAGCCAACTCTGCGAGATGGACGTACAGATTGCACACCCAATTGCAAGGGCACGGCGGACGTGGCACGATGGCCCAAACCGAGCAAATAACCTGTAACCGGGCATATTAGCGATCGGATGGCCTGGGCTCTGCAGACGCCAGATTTCTAAATATAGGGGCGCCCACCCACCCCATCATCGTTTCCTCTGCACATCACGTTCAGAGCCTCACGCTTTCTGTGAGAGCAGCAACCGACCTTTGTGTCGCGCATCACAGCCATATAGCCCTGGAGTCGCGAAAAAGAATCGAGCATCCACCGCGCCGATTCTCGCCGCCCACTCCCTCCTGGCCGCGCTGAAACGCTGCACGTCTTCGTGAACACGCCTCTGCCGCGCAAGCTAGTGCCATCGTGCTCTGCTCCTCGACACCTCGCCGTCGCTCCATGCGCCTGCCCGTCTAGCATCGCCATCCACCATGGGTCGCAGAAAGATTGAGATCAAGGCCATCAAGGACGACCGGAACCGCTCCGTGTAAGTCAGCTGCCGCACCACCACCACGGCCCTCGCGTGCAGCCACTAACCCGCTGCAGCACCTTCCTCAAGCGCAAAGGCGGCCTCTTCAAGAAGGCGCACGAGCTCTCGGTGCTCTGCTCCGTCGACGTGGCCGTCATCATCTTCGGCCACAACAAGAAGCTCTACGAATTCTCTTCCGGCGACATCAACGAGACGATTGGCCGGTACCAATATGTAGGCATCCCCTCCGACCCTGGATCGAGAGCTGCGCTAAAGCACAATGACACTGACAGGTCACGCAGTATGGCGGAGCACACGAGCACAAGGGTCCAGAGGACTTCATGGGCAAGAAAGATGGCGACGATGACGAGGATGAGGACGACGAGGGCGCCCTGCCCCGAGACTCGCACACCCCACCCGAGCACTCGATGATGCCCCATCACATGCAGCACTCGCAGTTCCAGCACATAAGACACGGGGCGCCGTCCATGTCTCCGCCAATCGGCAACGGCGCCTTCCAGCAGCGAGGGCCCTCTCCACAGCCGCCTCACCACCTGTCGCGACCGAACTCGCGAGTAGGCCACATCCGCAGACCTAGCTCTAACCTTGCGCCGCCCCAGCCATACCCTTCGCAAGCCCCTCCGCCGCCCAACAACTATGCCTACATGCCGAACCCGCCCTTCTACAACCCGCAAGCTGCCCAGCAGATGGCGCCCAAGCCTCAGCCTACACCACCCACCGCCCAGTACCAGTTCACGCACCCCATGCCCACACATCCTCAAGTTCAATACATGCAGCAAGAGCAGCAGCGCCGACAGTCAATGCCACCCACGTTCCAGCAACAGCAACAGGCACAACACCAACATCAGCAGCAGCAGCAGCAACACCAGCATCAACAAGAGCAGCAGGCCCAGGTACAGGCGCAACAACAGGCACAGGTGCAAGCCCAGCAACAGGCTCAGCAACAAGCCCAGCAGCAGCAACAACAACAACAACAACAACAACAACAACAACAACAACAACAACAACAACAACAACAGCAGCAGCAGCAGCATCGATTGTCCCCGCCGCCTCCACCCCCGCAAGTGTCCCAGTCGCAACAAGAGCACCCGCAACAGCCCACAATCACCGTTCCATCCCCGCCACAACAGAACGATTTCCAGAGCCCCCCTCTTCCTCAGCCCAAGCCACTACACGCGTCTGCCAGACACAGCATCTTCACACCAATCGACGACAGCCAGTCCATGCTCGCAGCACACTGGGGCAGCAGCAACAACTCAAACCTGTCTCGCAGCGAAGCCCCCTACATCAAACAGGAGAACCGAGCGCAGTCGATTGACGTGGCCGCCATGTCGCGATTGCAGCCAAACGGTGACCCGAAGCCTCAGGCTCAGCCTCCACAAGCGCCTGTCCAGCAGCCGCCGCAGCGGACACAGTCTACGTCTTCCATGCCCACCATTCCTCCTCCGTCGCGAACAAACAGCCTGCGCATGGGTGAAAGCAAGCCGAGATTGAGGGTGCAGATTCCGAGCGAACAGTCCGACGCTGGAAGTGCCACGGCCGATTCATCTCCCAAAGACTCTGGAACTACGGGCGCAACTCCTGGACGAAGTACCGACGCATCGCACTCTTCCGGAGTAGTCCTACCTCCTCCGTCACCAAGTGCCAACTCGCTGCTCAGTGCCGGTGCAACTGGCCCGCCTAACCCTTTTGCTCGTCCTCCACCGCCATCGAACAGCAACTCGTACGGTAGCCGCGACAACATGGAAACCCCCATCTCAGCACTTCCCAGTCGCTTTGTTGAGAATGGTCTACTTCCCTCGCCTTCCAGCTTTTACCCCGAGTGGGGTTTTGGCCGCGACTCCAACATGCTGCCGAGCCCTTTGACTTTCCAGACTCCAGTAGCCCCGAACGGACCCAGCTTCGCCCGCGATGATTCTGCAGAGCGCAAGCGCAAGACGTCTGATCAGGGCTCAGATGACGGCAACCAGAAGCGAGTCAAGACCTGAGCAGCGTAACAGAGCTCGAAAGGCTCTTTTGCAGCAATCTTCTTTCTCGTGTGGCCTTGGCCATACTGTATTTGTACCCCTTATTTTTATCTTTCTGTCACGGTCTTTACTTCCTGGAGGCCAGCCAGCGATGCTCGATGCATACTACATACTGTATGTGTTGTTTTTTTTGAAGGATTTGTAGAACTTGGGTGCAGGGGCGTTGGATACCCACGATGATTATCGTTGTTGTCATCTAGTATTTTGTCTCGTTTCACAATTTGACGGTTGCACTTGGGCTCTCTTGGGCTACCGGTTATGGCATGACGAACGATCAGAGTTGCGATTTGCACTTCTTTGTAAAAAATAATACCAATGAACAACTTGGATGAGTCCACCCAAACATACAAGGATACCCCATTACGCAAGCTCTACGTGACTCGGAACTGCAGTGAACGAATGACCTGCAAACCCCACAGCAACTGGCCGAACCTTCGGAAATCGGAACATTGGGTAAGAACACGACGGTCAAGTCTTTGCGCTATGCCACCCCTGATTTGGCCGTATTCGCATCGCGGTAGACATTCCCTTGTTGTTGACCGGCACGGGGGCTAGTGCGTCATAGGGCCAAGGCGACTGCCCCGCTGCGCATATGCCTACCCAAGGGGTCGCCGTTGGTGTCAGCCGCAACCGGGCTGTGAAGGGCGAAGTTGGGCTTTGATCGTTGGAGCCGCATCTTACTCGGCTGATCGTAGAGCCTTTGTACGATAACCTACTAGCATCTTCCTGTGTTTGGGAGTCACTTGTCTGCGTGACGATTGTCTGCCCGCGCCGAGAAGCTGAAGCTTGGTGTCACCTTCATATATCAGCCCTCGACCTTGCGACATCTTGCTTTCCACCCTGCAAACACAAGACGACTCGCCCCCATTATGGCCTACAACAAAGGCTTCAACCCGGACAGGCTGCCTATGCATGCCGAGCCTGAGCAGGTACGTCTTTGCAACCCCTCGACGCGCCTGCAGGACTGACGTAGACCAGGCTGCTGCGATGATGTCGCAAAACGCATCGGCGGCCTCACGCCCACCGCGCACCAGCTCCGCGCGTCCCGACTACAACAAACCTCCCCCGCCCGTTCCTAGCGGCCAGAGATACGACACTCGTCCCGATGAGCGCTATGGTGGTGGACGCGGCGCAGGAGGTGGTGGATATGACAGCAGACCCCCACCAGGCGCATACAGCGACCCGCGGTACGACGGCCGGTACGACGCGAGGCCAGACAATAGAATGGGGGTTGGATCGCCTCCACCAGTCAACTACGGTCATGGCCCTCCGCCACAGGGATATCATGGAAGACCGCAGTTGGCGCAGCAGTCGAGACCGCCGCCTACTCCTGCACCACCGCCAAGAGATGCGAATGACCGCGAAGCGCTGTGGAGACTATTCGGCGCGGTCGACAAAGACAGTATGTTGTAGCAAGACTTCCTATATGCAGAATGCTAACGCATGCGACAGAGAGTGGTGAGCTCACAGAAGCTGAGCTTCGAACAGCGCTGGTCAACGGCGACTGGACACCTTTCGATCCTCACACCGTCCGTATGATGATCCGAATGTTCGACACCAATAGATCTGGTTCCGTCAACTTTGACGAATTCTGGTACTTGGCCTCGTCCCTCTCCTGACAGGTTCAAGCTAACACATTGTTTGTAGTGGGCTCTGGGGTTTCCTCTCAGCCTGGCGCAGCCTGTTCGACCGTTTCGACCAAGACCATTCCGGCAGCATATCCTACGCTGAGTTCAACGAAGCCCTCATCGCCTTCGGATACCGTCTCTCGCAAGCATTCGTCACTCTTCTGTACCGCACGTACGACCGCGACGGACGCAACGCACTGAGCTTCGATCTGTTCGTCCAAGCGTGCATTAGTCTGAAGAGGATGACGGATGTGTTCAAGAAGTACGACGAGGATCGCGACGGCTATATCACGCTGAGCTTGTAAGTGGCATACTTAAGAGTGTGAAAGAATGCTTTTTGAACGTGTGCTAACTATGTTTGTAGCGAGGAGTTTCTCACAGGTGCGCAAGCTTTATTCCTCTTCAACTCGATTTCGGCCTCCACTGATACCGGACTCTACTAGAAATCATCCGCCAGCGATGAACAGCAGGAACACATGTATACCATTTGCGCAACACTTGGATGCGTTGCCACTCTGGATACTCTCGGGCATTTGGTCGCCTACGCAAAAGGGAACAAAATCTTACCATGGCCCATTCCGTAGTGCCACGTCACGTCGAAGGAAGGCGGAACATCTGAACTGGTATCCAAACGAGCGAGGAACATGTGTGGTTATGGTCGGAGACCAGGCATACTTGATGAAGGTAATGAATCTAGATACCCGTTTGATACAAACGAAAACATTGATACTACGTTTGCTTCTCTCGAACTATGTGCAGACTACAAGCACCTAAACCTTTCTCTCCACCCCCATCTCTTCCTTCCGGCACCGCCTCGACGACGATAATAATAATAGTCATCGCCGTCATCGCCTCCAGCATCGTACCTCACTACAGTCAATCCTGACGCAGCGTGCGTATATGAGTGTTCCCGCACGCGATGCCCTCCCTCGCGGCCTTCATGGTAGCCGTTGTAGTCGAACACAGGGCCGTAGTGAAGGTGTCTTGAAATGTACAGTCAGTGCAGTGCTAGTAGGAAGGAATCCATTTACCAAGATGGCGTGAAATATGGGGAGAGAATAGACAAACTTACGGAGCATGGTCATATCCAAAGCCTCGGGGTCGAGATTGGTACCGTGGCATGGTGGGATCTTTTGGCAGGATTTTCTAGTTGTTGAAGCTTTTGAGGGACCGCAGCGGGGCTTGATGTTGAGCAATTCGTAAGTGCGTAGTTGGATGCGCGAAGAATCTGATAACAAAGAGTATTGAGAGGTTCATGTTCGATTGTATGATTATTTGTTACAACAAAGAAGGACCTGACTATTGGAATGACAATGCATACTTGAGCTGGCATGTCTCGGTGTCGAGTACACGTTGGAGTAATTGTGTTGTGTGAAGCGCGGGCATCTATGAAGGGCGATGACGAAGTATTCTGGGCAGCTGATGACGAGCGGTATTATGAACTTGCACTTCACTGTAGTCTATACTGTCTCTTATCATAGCCCGCCTACAGCGGGTATAACCCCATTTGCTTACACTAATGCAGAAGAAAAGCATTACATTAACATGGGAAAAAAATCCTCGAGCCTACATTAACTTCAGATTACCTACTTTGCATGTTTTTGTCTTAATGTAGTCTGTAGACCTGTTTAGTTTTTTTCTTGTATGAGACAGCATTCATATTTGTTCATTAAAAACTAATGTAATGTCTATCTCTTTCTTAGGAGACGCACTCTAACACGAGACACTAATGACCTTAGTCACCGCAAATAAGAGCTGGTAATCCAGTGCGCCCTTCAATTCTCGAGCGAGAACGGTCAACACTACCATATCCGCGAACTGAGCCTGCCGAATACGCAACACCCACTCTCCGCCGCTCGCTAGCATCCAACTCATACAGGAATGTACTTCTCTGGGATGAACCCATTTGATTTCCACCCGTAGTACCCAAGAAGAGTCCACTCCGTTATTGCTGCCGGCACAAACCCCTTCGTTGGACTTGTTAATGACACCACTGTCCTGGAATATCCCGCCTCGCCACAAGAGGCGGATGGCTTACATCCCATTGATGCTCAGAGGTTCCGGCGCTGTACAAGATAAGTAGCTGTTGAAGGCCTTCAGGTCGAAGAAAAGATTCTTAAAGACTGGGGGAGCATCTTCGGATAATTCAAATTAGAGGAAAGCATGAAGATGGCCTCCTACTAGGGTATGTACCGAACGGATTTGTCGAGTGCTATCTCAAAACCAACCTTAACACCTCATCGACGCAGAGACTAACCTAGGGACGACAAGCCGCCGAAGGTCTCGCCTACGTCCACACAAAATATGTCATTCAAGGCGACGTGAGTGTTGGCAACCTCCTCCTTGACCGACAGTCATCGGTCAAATTATATGATTTTCAAGGTAAACTCTTGCACTCTGATGGCACCGTCGCCTTAGATGGTGGGTCAAGCGAGAGAAGCATGTCATCAATGCCACGTTCGGATCGCAACTACCGTAACTATAGAACCAACATATTTGCATTCGGGACAGCACTCTGCGTTATAATAAGTGGCCAACTACCCTTTCCTGACCTTGATACTTTAGATGAGGACGAGATCCATAGAAAATTCGAGAACCACAACTTTCCACCTTTAGAGGAACTTCCGGCTGAAGACGTTATCCGGAAATGTTGGATCGGAGAATATGGAAATGCAACTGAAATCGTAGGAGACTTGCAGATGCTGGAAGAGCGTACTAGATAGGGGAACTTCTTAAGGACATCATGCGACACTGTCCTTGTGGATCTATCTAAATAAGTTTGGTATTTGTGCTTACAAATGTATATCTTCCTTGAACAGTAAGCTTACTTTGTCAACACTTCGGACAAACTCCACCATAAACTTTGCTCTTGCCAGAAGGGTTGTTGCCCTTGATTCCTCTGCAAACTAGAGTACCTGCGTCCTCACACGTGACAACCATGCCACTGTTTGCGCCTGTAGATAGGTAGTAGCCTTGCAATAAGCCGACGGCGCCGCAACCAATGATGAGAACTTGTGGTTTCGACGAGATAATGATGAGAGGGTATTGTAGTTGTGATGGTATATAAAGAAGGCTCGTAGTCCTCAATAGATTTCAAGACGTGCATCGTCCAGCCGTGAACCATCCAGAGCGTTTGAAATTACTAATAGCATCCCAAGGTAACAAATATTATACCGTGATTACCGTTCCCAGACCGAGAATATCGAGCCAGTCACATTTTGGACATTGGATTACAAATATTTTGGCCTATCTGCATCAGCTATCTCTGGTACTTCTGCACTTTCCGCAACCTTAGCATGCAATTCATGTATGAACTCAGCCTGACGTAACCCCCTTTGCCAACTCTGACCTCATATGCGTCTAAATAGCTTCTACTCTATTCAGAAACGCTTCGTGATTAGAATGAAAAAGGGAAGCCCGCTAGTCACACACCCGGATTACTGATCACAAAGGCCCAACGAGACAAGGATTTGAGCGCAGAAGGGTGTGCTTGCATTTGATTTATGCAATTCCTTGAGTCTAGACTCCAAGGCAGTAAAGCACACAGTATATGAATTGGCGATTTTGCTGCGTCGCACAGAAATTGCTTGTCCAGCGCGGTTGTGCTGCTCTCTAGATCTGATGAGGAGCAGATTTGGAAATTGTGTCATCGTGCTGCTCGGCCAGAAAAGTTTCTCTGGACGAAAGAAAGGCCCAAGAGCAATCTCCGACTTCGTTTGTAATCGAAGCGCACTAGTCTTGGCCATGCGCAATTGAGTCAAGTAAGCGATGCCGCGTTTCTTAGGTAAACAGCGGAATTAGTTCCTAGACCTTTTGTGTCCTCATAGATAGTTCACCCCCCCCCGCAAAGAGATGAACCACATAGCCAAGTCTCCGCCGCCAATCACCATAACTCCCCCTCTACAAGTCCACGCCTTTTGAACACAGGCTCCGGTTCACTTCATAAAGTGTATCTCACTATGGCCTTCCCTAACAGCTTGTTAAGCCAATCAACATGGCGTCAAGTAGGCTTATGCCTCACGACTACGGTCTTTGCCCTCGGAGCCCTGGCTCTTGTTTCACCAACGGCCGCTGGAAATTCACTCGGAGTCGTTCCTACTACCCCCGAAGGCCATGAGATCAATGAGAAATCAATGATTTTCCTCGGTATCCGCGACATAGCCGTTGCCTCGACATTATTCTGGTTCTACTCCGAAGAGAAAACTAAAGAGATGGGTGTCTTACTCTCTTCTTGGGTTCTGGTCTGTGTTACAGACACGTGGGTAGCAACGAAGGGTCCAGGCGGGTGGGACAAGGGTATTGGCACACTTTGTGCAGGTGCTGCTGTCACTGCTTTTATTGGATTAGGACTGTTTCAAACGCAATAGTGTGTTGTTGCCGACAAAGCATTCGCGCGATGCTCGCGTAGTGACATGTCGCAAGACTACACGAGACTTTTTGCTATCCTTTGCTTCTAAATCTTATTCAGAAGCATTGCTTTAGTCTACATTCCCAATTTCTGGTTTGCAGGTCTGGGAATCATCTCCAATCTTATCGTCATGCCCGCAGTGCCTCTCTACGCGTACTATCTTTAAAGGCGCCAGCGACTGAGTTAGCTATGGTGGACCCAAGTTGAGATGGGAACGATTTTGTACTTTGATCGAGCAGAAATTGTGTCAGGCACTATCACGAACATGAACTCGGCTACCTTGTCCGTGTCCGTACGCGTGATGCACGCCGAACAGCAAATACTCTAAACTCACCACTACATAATTCCACCGCATTAAGCCCGATCGAAACAGAAACGCTAGATTCCAAAGAGAATTTCCTGTACTCTGATGTAGCTTAAGAATTTAGTGTGAACCGATCTACGCTATTGCGGAGGCTTTAAGCAATCCGACTCTAGTAAAGAGACGATACCGCCGTCTTACTTCGAACCTAGTATAGTGGACTTGCTTTAGGATAGCTTTAGAAGATGTGTGACATAAGTCCGGTAGGATTATAGGCGTTGTTGTAAAGTTTTAGCCAAAGTATTGTTATTTGTCTCGAGTCTGGGTGCGTCTTTCGACGAAGGGATGGACATTATACAATCTTTATCGCTGGATCTGTCTAACAACACATTCTGGTATCTAGGGGGTATATAAAAAAACGTTAAGGAAAGGCGTGAACTCATTCATGAGGTCGTGTAGAAAAACAAAAACCGCTATACTGCAAACATTTCTCCATGTCGACTTGACCAATTTGGGAGTCTAGAGGTTGTATGATCCGCTCTGTTCTCAACCTTTAAACTTTGTAGGGCTTGCGAGCACGGCGAGAACCATGGTCTTTGCCTCCGATGCAGAAGCTGGCGATCCATCCAAGCAGCGCGATGAGCATAAGTGCAGTGGCAGCCCATGTCAGGGCAAGGAATTTGCCGCCCCAGTTCGCGTTCAAGCCGATGTCGTTACCGTGCTTATTGATGACATCAACGCCCTTAACCATTACCGCAGTGACAAGGGCGCTCGCGAGGCCAATAGCCAGGAAGGCGAGTGTAGCAAGAAGGAAGTTGATGCAGGGAGTGAGTCTTCCGTTTCCGATGAAGATTCCAAGAACGCTGGTGAGGAGCGTGATGAAGATGAGGCAGATGGCAATGACGTAGAGTACAAACATGGCTGCCATGAGCGCATTGAGTGCATCGATGCCGTTCTGGATGTCCTCTGGCCACTTCAAGTCCTCCAGGGTGATGTCCACGCCTGTCTTGTTGATCGCTTCTTGGATGATGGCAGTCGGGTCAAACTTGTAGGTAGCCCTGCTCTTTGCGCACTCGGTGACGTTCTTGCTAATGTCATCCTGACTCAGCGTGGCGTTGGCCACCTCTCCAGGCTCATACTGTCCTTGGCAGTAGTTGAGCATGTGTGCCGAGTACCAGTCCTCAATGCCAACGCGCTCGCGGAACTCGTCGATCTGCTCATTGATTTCGTCGGTGACGCTATCGGTAATGGAGTCGGGAATGAGGTTTATGATGGACGAAAGTGTAGAATCGGAGTCTTCAGATGGAGCCTGGATGAGCGTTTGCCCAACAGCCGACGTGTTGAGTGTGAGGAGAGAGTAGTCTTCCATGAAGCCTTTCTTGTGGCCGGCGAATAGGCAGAGAAACGAGAGGATGAGGGCCGCCGTACAACATAGCACCGGTAGTACTGCGATGAAGCGCATCGTGATGGTGTTGGTTTTACGGTTGTGGTGTAGGTGTAAAGGTGCAGGTGGGCGCGGTCCCTCTATGTGCTACCCGTGAATGGTGATTTATTCAAAGAGCGCTGCAAGGCTGAAACGCGGACAAAAGACAAAAGCGATGGATGGTTAGTGTGGGTCAAGGGCGATAGAGAAAGAGTCAACCACTTATACGTGACGCGCAAATACAAGCTTGCGATGCGACGACCGTGCGAAAGACCCTCACGTCACTCACTAGTGCCCAGCCATGGCAACAAGCGAATAGCAAACCCTACCAACAGGGCCTCAGCCTCGAGATCAACGGCATTGAATACGAATCAGGGCCTTTTCAACACACTGACCACGATGTTGACGTGTTGCTGGGCGTGTGGTGTTTAGACCCTGGGAATATGACGTAGCGCAGCGCTAAGCGAAGCACATACGCAGGGGTAAAGCAGGAACGTCAGGAACTTGACGTGCCTAGATTTTTGGTTGGGTGATGATGGCAGATTTCAAAAAAGAAAGAGTGCCGAAGCGTTTCGTCAATCTCTGCATCGGTGTAGGCAGGAGTGCGGCGCTTGCAGATGTGCCAGCCACGCGGGAGTGGGGTGCACAGCCGCAACGTGCGTGTGCGGGTACGAATCGATGCAGACTACGGTGACACAAATAGAAGCTAGATTCAACAAGATCGCCTACAAGTGAGCATTGTAGATCAAGAACTGGCTTGTCTAGTCTTTTTGTATTCGGGACTATCGCTATGGTCCCGTCGTCTATTCGTGAGGCATCGTCTATCATGATGACCATAAATGCATTACTTTCGTAGAGCAGCCTGTGCTCTCGGACTTTTAGAGTGGAATACTTATAAGCAGTTGTGGTTGTGATGGAGTGTTGCGCATTGCGCTTTGGTGTTGAGTCACAGCTGAGGGGGGGGGGGGCTCGGTGCTATCCGGCCTCACGACGGCGTCTTCTTAGAGTTCTTGGTGGGTTGGGTTGTTGACGACGAGCCAGCGCTGATACCGTCGGTAAAGGGTGAGTATGGCGCTGTCACTGAGTGCGGGGGTGCTCGCTGGCCAGACTTTGTGCGTGGAGGCTCAGCGGAGCCCGGCCACTTCTTCTGCTCCTCGTGCATCTTGTCTAGTGGCTCTCCGACTATGTGATACTTGTCCCAATTGACGGGTGGACATCGCACAATGTTCTGCGGCTGCGGTATTGCGGGGAACTTGGGTGGGTCTGGCTTCGCGTCCATGTGCGTGGAATCTTTGCGCGTGTCTGCGCTGTTGGCATCTTGCTCATTGCTGCTTGCTGGGTCGGACAGACCTGCGAGTGTTGGCGTGAGGATGTCCTGATACGACTGTGAGGCCTGCGCGCGTTGTTCTTGCAGTGACCGCACAAACGCCTGCGGGTCGGACACAGCGGCTGCCTTGAGGTCCTGGAGCGCCCTCAGGTCGCGCTTGCTCTTTTCGCGCTGCAGCTGCAGCAGCGAAATGGCGGATCGCAGGGCGATGGCATCTGGGTTCTCGCTCTCAGATATGGCGACGGACGGCGGCTGCGGTCTGAAGGTGGCCGTGGGCGGAGGGGCAGGGCGGGGTCGGGCTTCGGTGCGCTCCACAGGAGCTAACTGGGCAGCGGACGCCGTGGGCGTGAGAGGTGACACAGGCGGACGGTCAGGAGTGGGAGACTTGGAGCGGGCGCCAGAGTGCTCCGAGGCGGTCGAGGCATCGCTGGAGGACACCGGGCGCGTGTTCGTGTCGACCAGGAGCGCGGGCATGGCGGCGTGGAGTGAGACGTCTCCAGGCGCAAAGCCGGAGAGTCCTGGCAGGATGGCGATCGGCGACCACGCTGCGGTGAAAGCGAGGTCAGGCCACGCAGAGGCCTAGGAGCGCTGCTGGTAAATCTCCGGCGGTGGTTCGCCGCGAGGTGGCGGCGTCTTAGGCGCTGTCTAGACTTGTGCCGGGGCCGTCCATGCCAGATGCGATTTGCGAGGGGGCTGTCTGTCGTGCAAGATTGTGCGCCGGAACGCCCACGCAGTCTGCTGTCGTCGACACGTCGCGAGATGAAGTGGGAGGGTTGTGCGGAGCCGGCCTGCGGGCGATAATTTCTTTGGCTGCGATTCGGCTGTACGGGAGTCGATCTCGTCTATCTTGTAACAAAGCCGGGCATCCAACATCAACCAGCCACACGTTGCACAGTCCGCCGACAACACTCGATGACCCTGGCGGAAGAGATATTGATGAGCCGCGTCTCTCGTATTCAATTTCGAGTGTCACACGATGGTCTGTGGTATTAGAAATGTATCTGGGTACATACGTCTTCTACCACTATCCAGCCGCGACCGGAAAGGAGTGTCCGAACATGGTAATCCGCGCTCCAAGAATGTACACCACTGCGATGCCAGTTGTACACTGACCTCGGTTGCACTTGCTTGTGGCCGTGCGTGGCATTCTCAGACAGCGATTGCGTGACGCGCCGCTATTCCCGGCCTCTGAATCTTGTCGTGTCCATCCGACCTACATACGGCCTGGTCGAACAGAATGGCAAGTTCCTTGAGGGATATAGGAGACAAAGTAAGGGCTAAAGACGGCATCGGCACGAGGCAGCGTCAGTGCACTGCTCTGAAGCAGCGGCCAACTCACAACCGACATAACGTCTTTCAAGATCTGCCCTCTGATTGCCAATTTGCATGTCGCAAAACGCGTCTGTCTAGTCCGGCGGCATCTTCGCAGATGAGAGTCTTACGCAGCCGAACGCCTGCAAGGGTCAGCGCCAGAGCGAGAAGCCACCAAGGTAATCCACCAAAACGCCATGCGCAGCCCGCCAATGGCAGTAATCTGATAGGCGGTGCCGCGTGGATAGCCATCAGAATCACGTCTCTTGAAGCGTAGCGTACCCGTCCCAGGCTGCGTCCTCCACGGTGAGTCGCTCTTGCTTTTTCCTAGCCTTGTGAGCCCTCAATTGCGCCTTCTACTTGCAGACTCTCCAGCTCGATACAGACACGCCCATTTCCCTCATCTGCCGTCCCGTCCTCGGCCCTCACCTCTCTACCCCCATATCATCCTTCCAAATGCCACTCAAATTCCTCACTTCTCGACCCTCGACTACTGTCCGCTACCTGCACCTGCATGACATGCGCTACGCCTTAGCGACGGCCTGCCAATCAAACGACGATCAAACTGGCACTGACTGGCCGCTAAACCCTAAGGGCCCACCCGACCGAAATCACTTTCGTTAGCCATGGCTCCGAATGCAGACTTAACAGCACAGTCCCCGCTGGCGCGCATGCCCAAGCTGAAGTACAGAAATCCGCTTCCGTCCGACAGCCTTTCCATCGCCGACTCTGCTTCCCAGGACACTGGGCCCGACTCTGCTTATAGTCAAGAGCCGCCCGCGACCCCGGATTCAAACGCTCCTTCGAACATCTCCCGTCCTTCCTTCGACACTACCTCCCTGACGTCATCCAGTCTGGCTTCCATATCCTCCAGCAACTCTTCGTCAAATGGCTCAAAGTCATCGAAGAAGAAGAAAAAGGGCTCCGTGCTTGGCTTCCTCTCTTTAAAGGAACCGTCTCAAGTCGCTTTGGAGCAGTTTAAAGAACAGCAGCGCAAGCAGAACCTCAACTCCGGAACCTCTACGCCGCAGTCAAGAGCCAGCAGCAACTATGTCGGCCAAAAACTTCCAAACTCTGTCCCCAAGGTCAATTCGAAATGGGACGGTGTTCCTGAATCTGTCAAACACCGGTACTCAACAGCAAGCGCATACAGCAAGGACAACAGAATCAGCGTATCGTCCAAGGGCTCCTTTGGCTCGCCTCTCAAAAACGCCCCCTGGAACGAATCGAGGTTCTCTGTAATGACAGACGGCACCCGCAACCCGCCCAACTCAATTGCATCTGCCTCCATATCAAACCTTACTATCCGAGATGGACCTTCTGGGCCGGGATCCTCACCATCAACTACCACGCTCCCGGAGATGTCCTACTATTTTCCAGATGATCCCGCTGCGTCTGGCGCGTTACCCCCCAGGTCCGAGAGCGCCGGCGCGTCCTATGATCCTACGACGCAGTCGCCAATTCGGCTATCAGACTCAACTTCGAGCGATCGTCCAAGCATAGACGGATCAGTAGACTCGCGACCACATTCCCCAGCCTCTTCGACGACGTCCGCAGATACGATCGTTATGGACACCGCAGACACTATATTCCGAAAGCTCAACGATCGGCCTAATTCAGGAGCATGGGGAACGGATGCCCACGCTGTTCAGGCGCCTACTGAGAACAAGTCTGTCGATGTGCCCGACTCACATGACTTCCTCTTCCAACCCCAACCCGTTGTAGAGCGCCGACAGAGCGAACCGCTCGCCATCTATGAGTCGCCCTTGGCTGCATCGTCTATCCCACATTATGCCCCTCAGCGACCGGTGCAGAACTTCAGTCGGCCAATGGCAACGAAGGGCCCACCGCCGGTTCAGCGGTCTACACACACGCCGCATTATAGGAGGACACCATCGGCCCCAGTGCTGCCAACTTTGTACGAGGCGTCGCTAGCGAGCACTGATGATCTTCGAGAGGATCGCGATGATGACGACGACGATGATTCGTATTCTATTGCTCCTTCTACCATTGCGCCATCTGAGCTCTCCAAGCATTGGTATGAGTCTCCGCGTGAGCGTCTAGGTCTCGGTAGGCGACTTCAGATCAACGACGTTTCACCTTGGGATGAGCAGAGAGGGGCAACAGGTAAGCCCAAGAAAAGTCGGTTGTCAATGTTTGGGAAGGCGGTGTCGAGAGGATAGACTTTGCAGGCAAAGCTCGCGCATTGACTGACTCCCAATGGGTAGCTTCGTGCGAACCTGAGCGATCATCGACCGGTGCTACAAAAACACTCGGCTCTTGATACGCCAACTTGTGTGTGAACTTTTGCGATTAGCGATATCCAGCATACCCCCGCTTCGGCGATATTCTTGTACGGCGGCATTTCTGAACGCCAGTTTCTCCAACATAGATACCCATTTCACGAATCTTACCAATCTGCTCTTTAATGGCTACATCAACACGCATCGTTCTCTTAGGTAACGTAATATTCAATTCCTCCTCATATACGAGCGAGCTTCGTTACGATTCCGATCTCGTGGAGTTGTGGGGGAACATGGCGCGAATCGCGCGTGGATAAGGTTTGACGCAAGGCAACTATCTATCACGTATTGCGTCCATCGCACGTATCTCATGCAAGCCCCATTCTCACTAGTCCGCCTTTTCGAACCCTATATTGCTTCTGCCGTGGTTCTCCAGCCCCAGTCTAGCGTGACTGTTTGCCGATCGACAAGCCCGTCGAAACCTTAATGCCATAATCCACTCCCTTGCAGTATCGGAGCGAGCACGCCCTGTTACCATTCTCTTTGACAGGCTCAATGTGATTCGCCTAGCGGACACTTGTTCCAATCCAGCTTACACGTCATTTAGGTCGATCAACTCGATCTGCTCGCCGAACAAGTCAACCCAAGACCAGAAGTGGCATGATAACACAAACCATCGAACCACCATAACGATAGTTTGACGCTGGCTGTCGCAAAGTGCGCTTGTATCAGAAGTCAACTTCTTTGGCGGACACGCTCGAGGATCTAGCATCGGCAGCTCCGTGCAAAGGCCCTTCTTTGGTCGGCCTATGAAAGTCGCGATGCAGCTAAATCGATTGCCGACATACTCCCGCTAACGTAGCTTTCTCCAGATCATCACATGGCGCAGCATGGTACTCCCTTGTGCCGCTAGCTTGATCGACAGGGCACACACGTCCACACCCCGTATTCCTAGGATACCCACGATCAAACGCCATACGTGTTTCCGGAAGAGTGAGCGACTGCCCATGCTTGGATCAGGCCAATCTTCAGAGTGAATAGTAATGCGTTGTTATGAACCTTGAACTTGTTTCCAGGGCCGGAACATACGCGAGCTGCAGCATTTGGGAGCGGAAAGCTGCGGCGCTGAGCATGGCACATGGAAGAGCCCTGTCCTCGATACGGTCAGGTATTGTGCTCTTTTTGGATTCTGAAAGAAAGGAATTTGGAGGAAGAATCTTTACGAGACTGCGACTCGCTGTTTATAGATGCGATGGACATATATCTCCACGAAGTATAACTAGAAGAGAAAAAAAGCTAAGGAGGCTACATTTCCTTAACATTCTACAAACTTGAATTGTCAAGGCATTGTAGACTTCGGGGCACCTGTCTATTTCTTCCCTCGAATGGGATGCAGAGCAGAACGCCGCATGAAATTGGCGCAGATCAATTTTGATACGACGCCACACATAGTGCTCCACATCAAATGATCCGTTCATTTTTTGCGTTTCTCCCACTTGCTCTCACTTGCTCTCACAGCCGCCGAATTGTTTCGGTGTCGGTGAGACTGCAGAAAAATGTAGACCAGAATTAATGGTGAGCTCTCAGAGAAGTGATGATAGGGTGTTCTATTTTTGGAGCTCGCTGCTGACCCACAGGTAACATCAATATATCGCATCGCGTCTTTGGTGATTTCTGGTTCATGTGCTCGTTGAAGGGAGGAAGAGATATGGAAGGTATATTCATACACATGGGAGATAGCATGCGCAAGGTGATGTCGGTGATGCCGGTGATGTCTGCGATATGTACATTACCGTCAACAATCCGAACATGTTATATTGATGCGCAATTTTGACGGTGGCAGATTTCCATCGATCTGTGGAGATTGTGATTTGTTCTGGATAATCCTGTTGTTTGAATGCAGGTACCCAAGGTCGCCAGGCAGCACATAGAACTCTTGTAGACACTTTTTGAAGAACGAAGAACGAAGAAACAGCCATGGGGCATAGTCCTTGGGACTTTGGAATTGTAGGGAATGGTGATGTTGATAAAGAGTACGAGAAAGCAATACTATTTGGACTTTTATATGCCCTGTCTACAGCACAAACACACGCTAACCTAGGAAAACACTGAATAGATCTGCAGCCTACATCAACGTGGAAACATGCAAAGTAGGTAACCTAACGTCGATGTAGGCTCTAGACCTGTTGAAGTTTTTTCTTGTAGGAGTTAAACACGCACGCGGTGGGTAGCTGTGGGTCTCTAGCTTAATCTCATGCGACGCAGTGTTTGATGGTTCCTACAGAGTTTGAGTTTCGCGCACCGCGACCTCTTCATCCAAAACTTCACCCGAACGGTGTCCAAAAGAGCCAAAAGTTATATTCATGAATCTGGCTGCGGGGTGTTAAAGAAATGAACACTTCGTACACAGTCATATTGCAAGCTTTTGAAGTATGTAGAGCAGGCGCTACAAAGACAATGCTGTTCCATCGTCTAAAAGAGGGAAGCAAGAAGTTGTGGTGTTATAACGAAGCTAAATGGAGTAATTACATGCGCTCATGCAATAGAACTTTCTGTCATTCTATTCCAATCAAAATAGCCTTCTGATTGACAGATGCGAAATGTGGGAAGAAAGATCAACCTAACAATGTCTTCGTACCAGCTTTCCACAAGGTCTACACGGATAGTAGTATACTCACTGCTAAGAGCGTATGTCAATGAGTTGAATGGAAGCGATCGAGCCGAAGACAGTTATGGAGCTCATGGGGGTGGAATCTACGACATGCCATCGGGACTGACGGAACCGTGCCGCCGCGCGAAACCCTGGCTGTGACGTACCCCTGGCTCATCACCAATGCTGCAATTGGACTCTCGACAGCTGTGTACATCAAATTACTTTTGAAATCGACAAAAAATCTATCTGTAGTTCCTTTGTTTCGCATCATGCCCACAGCTTGGATGCGTCTGGCTAATCAGCGACGTGTCTCTCTGATCATGAAGCATCTTTCTGATCCACAGGCAATGCGAAGGTCAGCAGCCACCGCCGTGACAATCGAGAAGCGGGAGGCATATCGCGACGTTCGTCAGAGACATGAACAATAGAGTCTTATACTCGATAAGAGATCGAGATCCTAGATATCCGTTCTTCACAAAACGAAAGGTGCGAGCTTTCTTGGAGCATGCCAATTACCACCAGTCTTATACGCGTTTTAGACGTGATGATCGGTTGCGTCTGTATCGCAGTGCTCAGCGTTACTTTTTCTTGGAACAGCTAGAAGTGTTTGAGCCCGAGGAATACGTGTACCTAGGTAGACTTGGGGTTCTCGTGTTGGAAGCGTGCAGAGAAGCTGACCTCGGGAGGGGCACAGCTTGTCGGCCCAAGCCTAAACGAGCTAGTCAGTCGCGAAACTCACGTTTTCACGCGAGATAACCGCTGATTTGAGACAACGTGACGTCGCACGCTACGCGTCTTTTGAACCCTTTGACTTGAACCCCATCATTCTGATAACACCAACCAAATACTAATATACTACCTTGCGTCATGTCAGGCGAACCGGAGTCTTCAGTGGCGGTACCGGCACCTTATTACATTTCCAAATCGAAAATATGTGCGAATAGCAAAGGCGAGAGCATCGGTAACGGTATGTTCGCTAATCGAAGATTTGGTGCGGGCGAAGAAATTGCAGCCTTCAAGGTAAGTCTTGACTGTACGAAATGTATGTGAGACACATACTGACTTCGTACATCCAACTCTATAGCGACCTCTTGTTGGGTCATTGGAGACTGAACGGCTCCTCGACACCTGTGCAAATTGCTACCTCTGGACTGAAGGTTCATCAACTGGAACGAGGCTGTATGTACCGGAAGGTGCAAAAGTGAACAAGTGTGCTGCATGCCAGAGATTCCACTACTGTAGCAAGGTACGTCGAGCTATCTATTGATATATTCACAAGACTAAGATGCATCAGGCATGCCAAAAAGACGCATGGAACCGGGGACATAAGCATGAATGCAAGATATTGAAGCCAATGGCTGGTAGACACCTGCCTAAAGCCTTCCTTGCATGTATGGAACTACTTGTCAGGCGAAAGCACGGCCTGATTTCCGATGAAGAATGGGAGCTGCTTTGTCGCTTACCCTCGCACATTGATGACTTCAAGTGCAACGGAACCTATGAGAACATCGAGCTCATGGCTATGGGCGCTGGTCAATTCTCGTTATCACAAAACCTCTTCGACAAGGACTTTGTCGCAGCGATGTATGGCCGAGTAAGTCTGCGATGAACTCTTCTAATGCTCTTACTGACTCGCCCAAGGTCATGTCAAACGCTCTGACACTGATTACGCCTACATTAGATCCTCTCGGCATCATGATCGACCCCACACTCTGCCATTTGAATCACTCCTGTGACCCGAACGCATACATTATGATGGACGGTCCGCAAGTAAGCATTCGTACCCTCCGATCCATAAAAAAAGACAAAGAAATCTACATCTCGTACATTGATGCCACAAACCCCTACCACAAGCGGCAAGAAGAGCTTCAGTCGCGCTGGTTCTTCACCTGCCGCTGTGCGAAATGTCAGGAAAAGGCTACTCTCCAGGAAGATAACTGGCTAGTACCAGCAAACCCCCAATTTGCCTTGAGTAGAGACGAGATCGCAGCGATGTCAGAAAGCCAGGAGAAAACGTTTGGTCTATATACGCAACTCCAGGGGATGGATAACTCCGTGCCCGTTATCGAGGCGCTCAAGGAAACCATCAAGATTTGTCACGAGTCAAGGTTTTGGCCGATTTATCGACAACCGTATGCTGCAGTTCGCGACGACTTGATTGTAAATCTGCTCTCCACGGGGGAGTACCAGGAGGCATGGGCACAATGTGCAAAGCGATACAGATATATTCTCCCGAAGCTCTACCCAGTTCCATTTCACCCAGTCCGGGTAGTTCAAACATGGCAGATGGCGATGTTGGCCGCATATCTAGCAAGCACTGAAGAAGGTGTTGGTGCACCGGAGGTGAACATGGGTCTCATCGCCATGATGCTGGTAAAGCAGGTACTGGATGTAGCGCATCTCAGCCATGGGCCGGCTAATGCATTCACGAAGAGTGTGAAGGCCAAAGCAGAAGAGATGATAGAAGAGCTGAAGAGGAGTATCGGCAACCCGAACAGTGACGTCATGAACAGGGAGCTTGAAGTCCAGAGAGACAGGCTGATGGATATGGGGGACTGGGCTCAGGATGGCAAGCTACTGGAAGAGTTGAAGACGATACCATTGCACGAGAAAGGTTTCAGTGTATGAAGTATAATCAATTAGTCAAGAGATCGGAGCTGTCTCAACCGTCTGATATCCATCGCTGCATAGCCTTCGATAATGACAGTTTGTAGTCTCCCCTTCACCATACACCAGGTTTTTTCCACTTCCTCAATCCGGTGTGGACAGTCACCTCTATAACTAGGATGGAGGCAGGCTACATTATACTGAACTTGCGTGGTCCAAGAAAGCGTGCTCTTTCTCTAGCTTCTAGTTGGGTGTGGGTTTTACTTTCTCTACGTGAAGGTGAGTGGTGAACCTCTCTAGAGCCCCACAAGCTTTCACCGTCACCACCGCTTTACTTAGACAGCGACTTCTCTCACTACGCAAGCGCAGTAGTAGGGCGCCTGACTATTTCAGCTCATCCTCTGGCTTTCTACTCCATCTTCTTGACACCGCACTTCAAGTTCAATCTTCCCACATCGCAGACGAGCATCGCTCTGCAGTATCATCCTTTCAAACCAAAGGACAAATCCCCTCACATCACACCAACTTCAATATGCCTCCCAAGGCCGCCGCCGAGAAGACGGGCAAGGTATTCACTGCCGATGTCGTCGCCGCCGTCCTCTGCAGCACTGGCACCACCAGCCTGTCCAACAAGAACTACGAAATGATGAGTGCGCTCGACGGCGTCAAGACTGCCAGTGGTTTCCAGCATGACTTTCGTTCAGTACTCGCCAAGGCCAAGGAGCTCAAAGCGCGTCTCGAGTCTGGCGAGGAGTTCGAGCCGGTTCTGCCTGCTAGCAAGCGTGGTACGTTCTTCACCCAAATGCTTGGAGTTTTGCGACATCAACTGCACAGCTTTCCGATTTTTGACAAAACTAACATTGTATAGGTCAGACTACCCCGGTAACCCTAAAGGCAACCCCAAAGAAGAGGAAAGACATGTCTTCCGGCTCTGAGGATGCCACACCATCCAAGAAAAAGACGGCAACTCCAAAGTCGCGCGGCAAGAAGAGTCAGACCCCCGTAGAGGAGACCATGGATGAAGGTTTCCCCGATGATGCTGAGGAGTTCATCAAGTGCGAGAAGAAGTGGGAGGACGAGGTCTTCGCTTAAAGCGGTCAGGCTTGAGTTTGAGGATATGGACAGAATGTGGCATGGCATGAAAAAGTTTGTGGTCTGCAGACTACACCACGACAAAACAAGCAGATTGGAAGATCTGGTGTCAATGTAGGCTCTAGAGGGTTTGCATTTTTTTCTGAATGGGGTGCCTTCATGAAAGATGCGGTGAAGCCAGATGCACACTCAGGTATCTGAAGACAGTTATGAGGATCATCAACAGTTTTGCCGAGTACATGGAGCATCTTCCCACGACTTCATTGCTCATGACTTGTGTTGTATGCTCCAGCGTTCACAACAACATGAGACTCTAAAGGTGCATAATCAGTTGTAACACCTGAATGAGGAGCCTGTAGCACCAAAGACATCGATGCCGTAAGATTCTCTGGTCAGCGACGTGTACACGCTACTGGGTACACCTTACGTCCATACCCATATGACATCGTCAAATTAATGCCGGTATTTTTGGTTTCAGCGACATTCTTGTCTTTCTTGGTCTCAATGTTGCCGATGCTGGGCATGCATGTGATTTCTCTGCAAGACTGTTAGGGTGACATGCTCCAGCTTACCACAAGCAACGGGCGCATGCTGCTAGGATGTATGCAAATAGCATGATCATGCTTGACATAGCGCTCTGACATATCCAATGCGCATATGCATCTACCGGCTGCGATATCATCTCTTCAACAATAGTCACCGCTTCATTCTCCAACTTTGCATCTCTACACCGTGTATTGCCGGTCATTTTCGTCAAGTCCAGCCCACAGTCAAATCTCCTTTGAGTGGGGCCCAAATCTCGGGCCGTCTGCACACCCATCGGCTCCGTGCTAAAAACCGTAGGCTCATCACCGGTGTCCGCACCGACCACCCAAGTCTCACCCCTAGGCTGGCAAAGTCGTCCAGGGAAGGTCGTAGATCGCAGTCATGTCGGCGCATATCGATAGGGGGAGATCAGAGCGTCGATTGGAGTCGCCCTGGTAGAGGATGACGTCGCCCCCGGCGGTTAAGGTCATGTGCGAAACCGGCGTTCGCATAAGGTAGTGGTGGAGCTGACATGTTAGGCGAGGGAAAGTTACAAGAAGATGCCAGGTGCTGGGGGTGGGCGAGTAAGCAGCAGGGGGGACCTGGACGCCAATGCAGGTACAGTTCGACGCCTGTAGTTTGCGCCAGCACTTTTGCGCAGCGTCCAGGAATTCGAATGACAGTCTGTCAACGTCTTCTTGTACTCCAAATCCACGCCTCGTGTTCGTGCGTGGTCATGCGACAGCAGGATGGCAGCGAGGCCCCTGAATTTTCCCCGGATTATTGGGTGGCTTCTTCCTAACCTCCAAACAGCTAGCATCATGGCACGGCGGCCGTTGGTGTGCTCCTCATGCGCCGGGATGCATCGTCGGTGAGTGGCTCCTGGGCTAGACGCTCGCTGGTATCCTAGGCGAGATGCTTTGAGGGCTGTGCGAGAAGAGGGAAAAGGGGGCTCCTGGCCAAGCGTCTCACTGGCGAACGGCCGATTGGGCGCATGAGCATCCTCATCCATTAGCTTCAGAGCGAGCTATACTGCTTTCAGCCGGCAATTTTGCATCTTCTGCCGTTGCTTTGGCGTCTCGATCCGGTCCAGGTAGCCGTTGGGTGTCAGCGTATTCTTTATTATACCCCGTCGCCCACCCTCGACTTTTCTTCTTCACTCCAACGTCGCACTATCGCTGTACACAGTCACTCGTTCTTTATCCAACTACATATCCCTATACAGCTACTACAGTTCTAATACCCTAATCACCAATCCAACTACCGTCACCATGCGCTTCTTCGAGACCATCCTTTCCGCCGCGGCCTTCGCTGCCGCCGTCGCTGCCCTCGAGATCAACGACTTCCCTGCTGAGGGTGTTGTTGCTGGCCAGACCTACACCATCACCTACTCCCCCGCGGATGACACCCCCACCACCTTCATCCTCCGCCAGGGACAGTCCACTGACCTCGACACCATCGCCACTCTTACCAGTATGTGCCCGATCTGACTGTCAAACGATCTCACAATGTTAACTGAATTCCAGCTACCGCTACCGGTGGAAAGTTCGAGTGGACCCCCACTAAGTCTCTCGTTAACGAGCCCGACTACGCCCTCCAGATCCAGCAGGGAACTACCATCAACTACTCCGCCCAGTTCCCCCTCTCTGGTGGCGCCGAGGAGGATGACTCTCCCGCATCCTCTGCCGTCTCTTCCGCCATGGCCTCTGCTTCTTCCGCTACCGCCTCTGCTGCTTCTTCCGCCTCTGCTGCCCTCAGCAGCGCCATTGAGAGCGCCAAGTCCAGCATGATCACCAGCGCTGCCTCTGCTTCCGCCACCATCAGCCCTTCCGCTGGCGTCAACTCCACTGTCACCTCTGCCACTCTCACCCGCTCTGCCTCTTCTTCCGGCTCTGCCACTGGCAGCGCCAGCCTTCCTGAGGTTACTGACTCTGGTGCCAACATCCGCAGCCCCGTCGCTGCCATGCTTGGTGCCGCCGCCGCTTTCGCCTACTTCGCATAAGCGTTTTCCTTCACGACCTTATACTATAATTGTCCTTTTACGACATGTTAGCATTGGAATCTGTGGGAACCCCCCTCCAGCATCTTTTATCAACTAGAGTCACGCGAGCATAGGCGTCCGTGAATGGTGTGTCCGATGGGAACGCTATGCAAAGAGCTTGTATAGACGTAGCAGAAAATGATAACATGGAAGCATTTGCCCTACTCATTCTTGATCTTGCAAGTGATGCGCGCAATGATACCGTACCTCTCGTCTCATGATGTATCAGATTTAGTTTTGCTTGTGCAACCACAGATGCTTTCGACCTATGCGCACTTACCGTGAAACATCCGTTCCGCTTCCCTGCTTCTTTTGTTACTTCCGCATCGCTTGGAAGGTTTCTGTCATCGTAGCGCAGACGTCACATTCAATCATCCGCGTGGTACCGCATCCATCATGTGTCAACGATACAGTGGTACGAAGCTGTCATCATGCGTTGCATGCGCGCTATCCCCGCATGTCTATCACAGCAACTTGGTAGTACACAGTACTGTTTGGTGTGTGCGCAACATGACGTCTTGCGCTTGGCGCGTGTCAAGAGCCTGAAACGCGGAGTCGAAGATCGCATCTTGTCGTTCGTCGCGCCAGGAAAACTGTGGTTGACTGACCAGGTGACCCACAGCGGGATTGTTCCCCACCTCTCCACAGATGCATCAAGCAAGCTGCAAGAACCCGCTGCTCGTTGCCACACCATAATTACACCCCATCGACTCTCTCTTCTCTGTCGCATGTGTTGCTTGAAGGCGTCAACACTCTATTGCGTCTTGACAAGCACACAGCCTCAAGGACGCGAACACCAGCAGCACCCGCATCGCCTCCATCAGCTAGCTTCTAACCAGCCGGCGTACACCGAGTTCCACCACCACTATGTACTAGTACTGCGCAAGCCTACCAAGCAAGCCACCCGCATACCAACCCAAAAGAGAGTAGACATGTAGCACTGCCTGCTGCCGTGTGTTGCGCGCCAAATGTCTTCTATCACGCGGTCAACAGCGTTTTGATCGAACCAGGACTTGCCACGGCTTGTACACGCTAGCGCCGCGTAGTGGCGGCCAGGCCGAGGCTGATGTGCTTTAGCTTTGGAATAGATGGACTGATAAGTTGCATACCGAAAATTTCAAAGGACCTTCTTGCCGATACGGCGGCGCTGAAAGATATATTTAGTCTGTAATCGCAAGAGAGGCTAGTCAAACAAGGCTTGAATCGATGGTAGAGCGGTCGCGAGCTAGGAACCAATGAAGCGCAGCTGGAGCTGAACCTTGAATAGTATGGTGAGTCTTCGTCTTTGCTCAGGCTCACCGTTCATAGTGCTCTTGATCCTGCAAGTCTTTCGCCATTCTTCATTCCGCGCCATACGCGAAGGCTACAGTCTAACGTTGGGCATCATTAAATGCCTCAAGGCTTACGTAGCCACTTCCCTCGCTTTCGGTAACCGACATTGTTGCATTCGCTCATACTTCGGTATTATGACCAGGTTGTTAACATATCGTTAACCCTCGCTTTTACCTAACACGTTGACTCCAGCTTGACTAGGATACCAGGACCTTTACTGCAATGACGATCACGACCATGCCAGGTAGAGCCGAGTTGAGTTGAACGAACTACGCTATAACACAAAAGTTTTGTGATTAATTCAGTCAGCTCTTCCATCCTCATGGCTGAAACCGTGTAACAATATTGCTAGTGCGATACCACCTTCCAACCTCCCATCAATAGACAAAGTATTACGGGTTTCTTCTCCCACTCTTATAGCTCTTTCTCAATCTTAAGTGTTGGCGCAAACCATTCTGGTGTCTGTACCTAAACAACTAGCATCGACTTTTCAACACTCTTTCCATGGAGAAAAGTTCGCCCGTTGAGCAGATTACCCCTCCTCACATCATTCCTCATTCTTTCCTCTAATCTACACAAATAGCACTCCCGCAGCCCCAGCCATCGCCCCCGCAAAACCCATCTTCTTAAAACCTCTCACTGGAACCGCAGCACCAGTAGCCTCCACAAGGCCTGAGGCACCCGTCGCGCTCTCTGTGCTGCTTCCTAAACTCCCCGTACCCGTCACACTCTGTGAACTGGGATCAAAGCTCGCAGTTCTCGAACCAACAGCACTTTGTATCCCAGTGATTACTGTGACATCTTCGGTCACTAGGTTAGAAGGTATAGGTGATGCCGTATCGACTGCTAGACTCGGTGCCCCAGCTTCTGATGTTGGGAGCGAACTTGCTGGTGTACTGGCAGCGCTGTTCTCGACCGTAAAGGCGTCACCCCATGTTGGAGTTGGAGATGTGGATGGGAGTAGGTTCTCTGTTGATGTTGCTGCTATGGGTTCGACGACGAAAGGTTCACCCCATGACGATGTTGCCGCGGAAGAGATGCCAAGGAGGGAGAGTAGGGTCGTTTTTCTGAGTGAGGATTTGCGCATGTTGGCGATGTTTCCTTGGAACCCGTTGCTGTCTCTACTCGATGCTTGGAGCTTGCGTAAATTATTCTTGAGATGCGTGCACTGAGTGACAGGGTTTCAAGGTTCACGGCGATGGCTTCTTTTCACTTGGATGCCAGGGGACCCTGCGCCTATCCCGATACTCCGGATCATCACTATCCACCCAGAAATTGCCCTGTTGAGCGTGTAGTACTCACAAGTCTGACGTAAGTTTCCAGCACAAACAGCGATGCGTGTCGCGTTAACGTGGTGAGACAGCCAGCCTCCTGGCTTCTGATAGGCTATCAATCCCAAGGGGAGGTGTCTGATTGGCCAGGAAGGCTTAGCGTTGTCTCGTTCGGGTCTCCGCAATGCTGCCGCACGCGAACGACTGCCGGACCCGAGGTTTTGTGATGCCGAAACGACGCGCAACATGCTGCAGTGCAATATGCACTCCTTCCTATTATAGGAGCATGTCATGTTACAGAGAGACTGATGGCTTACTGTGGCGCTAAGATCGACCATCGGAGATCAAGCCACCAACCCATTGGAATGTCACGAGAACAACCGCAATTGTACTACACACAGCTCACTAGAAGTTTATGTTGACTCTATGTCGAGATTGTTTAGTCAGAAAAGAGCTCAACTACCACTTAACAAGATCCTGCACTTGTACAGGCATGCCAGTCTCCATAGACCGATTCGCACCAACACCGACAAGAACAGCATTACCGCCATCCCGAATGTACGCAGCGCGTTTGAAGCTGTCTTCACCGTCGCTGGTAGCGATCACATCCCGCAGAAGTAGAGGGTCCCCTCCTCCGTGGCCGCCTTCACTCTTGACAACATCAACAACATAAGGCTTTCCCCACAAGGGATAGACAACGATGTTTGTCTTCTCCACGCCGCCTTGGATGTAGTTTGCTTCAAGCTCACCGAGCCCTTCGTTGGTGACAGTCTCTCCACCCGCTGAGTATCCTCCCTCAACGACGTTTATCTCAATACGGCCTTTGCTTCCGTTGAAAACGCAGCGGTACCCCTCCCATGGTGCATAGGCATACGTGTTGTATGTCATGACGGCTTTGTTCTTGTACTTAATGATCATGGAGAGATTGTCTTCGATAGTGATGCCATCAGCGAAGCAGTTGCGGTCACGGATATAGCCATCCTCGTGCTCAGCCTCAAGATACAGTTTCTTCAGTTGGGCGTTCTGGTCGATATGAATCGCAAACGGGTCGTCTTTCGCAGCCTCGTTGTTGAGATAGCGTTCGCCTAGGTTCTTCTCTCCGCGTCGCTCAGCATTTTCTCTACCGTAGAAACGTAAGCTACCGACGCAGTAGACCATCTCGGGCTCCGTATTCAGCCAGTAATGTACCAGGTCGAAGTGATGAATGGACTTGTGCATCTGGATACCACCACTGGTGTCTTTGTTTCGATGCCATCGTCGCATGAAATCAGATCCATGTGCGCAATCCAGAATCCAGTCCATGTGTACCGTCGAAATTTCACCGATGACTCCGGAATCAACGAGCTCGCGTACCTTCGTATGATGAGGTGCATACCGATAGTTGAAGAGAACTCGAACTTGCTTGCCTGTCCTCTTCTCCGCATCGATCATCGCTTGCAGCTTTTCTTCGTCGATAGTCATCGGTTTCTCTGTAATCGCGTCGCAGCCCAGCTCCATAGCGCGGATGCAGTATACGTGGTGGAACTTGTCAATGGTGGTGACGATTACGACGTCGGCCTTTTGCTCTTTGACCATCTTATCGAAGTCTTCTGCCTTATACATTGGGACGCGTCCGCCGCCAATTTCGGCAATACGATCATTTGCAGCCTTCATGCGCGTCTCATTGGTATCGCATATACCAACGACTGCTGCACTCGATTTGAAGTCTTTGATGATGCTTTGGTAATAGAACGCGGATCTGACGCCCATGCCCACAATGACATAGCGCTTGATCTGTGGAGAAGTCATGGCTTCAGGGGGAGGGTTCAAATGTTCAGTGGTAGAATTCAATTAAGATTGGATGGAGGACTGGCGACAACCAGACTGACCTTGCGGTCGCCTTTATACCACACCTACCTTGTGTCTGCATCATTCAAAGAGAGCTGTTACTATGCATCGGTACCGGTAAAGCGTCAAATCAGAATCCATCGTAGCAAGATGGAGCTGTCGTACCCGGTAATCGAGTTTTTCGTTGCAGGTGTTCAAGTGGAGCAGCGGAGCGTGGAGAGTGTAGATTGCTGAGCTTGCCGACCCAGAAAAAGACTAGTGGCCATTTTCCCCCGCAGTCTGCTTCCAATGACAAGAGTGGAGAAGCGGCAACATCCCAATTTGGGTCGGCACAGGAAACAGTGAAGGAGACATGGCCAACGACATTCAACCAGGTGTCGTGCATAGTGATGGTGGGTCATCTTCTAGCGGTGCGGGGTAGGTAGTGGTTACTCCTTCTGGGACGGGTACAGCGACACATCGACACTGCTCCCGCTTGTTACACACTTCGATCGACCCATGGCTCCGAAAGCCTGCTGTAAAGATGGAGATTGTATGGCAATCGGGAGAAAAAGCACCGAAGAAACGTACGGCTGCAGCATGCTCCACATGCCGTTCACGCAAGAAACGCTGTTACCACGTCGAAGACCGCGAATATCGAAGAAAGGAGCGAACTTGCAGGAAAGGAAGGCTTGTGCAAGAGCCTCATTTGTGCTCCGATAGCCGCGAGTCGACCCCAAGCCCCGGTCGCGTGAGCGAATACAATCCTGAATCCGTCCTCGCAGCTCTATCAGAAGACGCCGAACCAGGAACAAGCGCTTTAGGACAGACAATACATGCCGCATCATCACAACCTACGCCACAAGCTATGGTGCTCACCTCTTCCTCCCTATACGAAGCACAGCGTCGATTGAAGTGGTACAAGCAACATAAAATCCGGACCATCACGCCGAACCTATCCGAGTCATATCGAAAATATCTCGAAGAAGAAGGAGCTTTTTCGTCCCTTCCCAGAACAACGACAGACGCACTCTTGCCCTTATACATTTCCACGCTAAATGACCTCACTCCCATCACGGATGGCGCCGCCGTCTTCCGCGACCACAGTAACGGACAAGCATCCATATACTTGGTCAGGGCAATATGTCTTGTCGTCTGCAAAACGAGACACGCTGCTCCTTTCTTACGATTGACTGATTCAGGTCCTCTCTTGGAGCCCCTAGAGTTTGCATCAAAACTTCTGGCTGGACTTGATGCTGCCATCAAAGCAGACCTGGAACCTAATCGCATCATCAAGATCCAGATCTTAGCACTGATGCACCTGCACAATGATGGACTAGCCGGTGTGGATCGCGCATCCAGTTACCTGTCGCAGGCCATCTGTGAAGCGTGGTCAATGTGCATACACCTAAAGATACCTGGCAACCCCGACAACGACGAATGCAGATACCTGTGGTGGTCACTCCGGAACTTTGACCGCCTGGGTAAACCCATCATGGCAGCAGCGCCCTTCTTCATCGACGATGCGGATATTGGTGTTGAGCGCATAGAACCGAAGAAAGACGACTATCGTTCTCAGATCATGGCTGTTGCCCTCGCTCTTGGGGACCTCATGACCACTGCGACAAGAGCTTATAAAGCTGGCGCTACAACAGCGGTCGATAGTTGCTGGACGTTCCCTTCGCTGTCAGAGATTACGGATGGGAGCAATTTCGATCAGTTTCACATGTCGCATCGAGGTAAGATACTTATCGACTTCACCCTTCAATCTACTTAAAGCAGCAGTATACCTGGAGACATGGTATCATGTTGCCGCCATGCTATCCTGCCGCTATAGCGGACCAGGCACCGAACAATACACTCGACGTCTTGCGTCCGCGGACAGGGTGCTCGAAATTGTGTCTCACGAAGGATGCGAAGGCCTTCCCCCGCTTCCGCTAGTACCCTATGCCATGTCCATGTCGACAACGGTCATCTACCGCGCTTTACACGATCGCGTGAGAGATATTGACAAAGCACGAAAAGACCTCCAACAATGCTGCGACGCCCTCGATAGCCTGAGTGAACGATGGACCAGCGTTAGAGGCGTGTCCAAGCTTGCAAAGCGGCTTTGTAGCCTAATGAGCGACGATACACACGACAGCTTGCGAGACGTGCATCGAGGCGGTACTACCACTTCCAATAGCACTATCTCAACTCTGGCCATACCTGCCAACACTGGTGCTGTTACAGATCAAGAAGGGATCCTGTACAGCGACGAGGCCTTTCAAAAACATCTTACCGAGATCTGGCCAAGCTTCGATGCGTCCTACTCTCAGTTGGATTGGGCGTTCCAAGACTACTACGGCTTGGACATGGAATTCCCCAGCCCGTTTGACGATCTGCCGTCGTGAGCTGTTCGGCAATTCAAACATACTATTGATAGCATAGCGTGAAGGTACACAATGAATGATGTTAAGGAATTCATAATTTCGTTACCTAGTTATCCTACTCAAAGAGCCTGACCAACTGGTCTATTACCCAAAAACTCGCCATTTTGCGCATGCTCCACGTTAGGCGGTCTATACGCAACATACTCTTGTTGCTGAACCCGTCCTTGCCCCTGTGTATTACTGCCTACATCGCCCAAATTCAACCCATCTCTCTTCCCCGCATCCAACTCGCTGGGCGGTGGCATTTCTCTACCATCAATTTCCCATACATTGGCGTTCGTTGGCATCTCGTTAGTTTCCGGTATCTTGGAATCGATGTATTGGTGGTGTTGTGCTGGTTTCTCGTCGGAGTATCTCGGTGCGGGGGTAGAGCTGGATAGAGAGTGACGTGCAGCGACGGCACCAGCTCCCACGGCTGCTGCGCCCCCAAAGGTTGATGTTGATGCCCATGGTGCCTGGCTTCCAGAATCCATAGGAGATACAGGAGACATCATCGTTGTTGGCTGTGTTGAAGACATGTCGGTTTGCGTAGGAAGGGTGGTAGTGGTAGAATACGTGTTCGGATGCGGAATATGTGTGTATGCGCTGTTCGTAGGCGGAGAGTGGTCAGACGAAGAAGATGCTGCTGGACTGGCCTCTTTGTCGTTTAAACCCGCGTTTCTGGATTTCTTCTTCCGGTGACGGAGCAGAAGGAGGACGAATATGCCAATTAGCGCCAGAGCTGCGACCCCTCCTACTACCACGCCAGCGATCAGACCTGTCGAGGGACCGGAATTTGAATCTGAGGATGATGCTACTGCAGCAGCAGCACTCGACGACGTTGGTTCTTCCGATGCGGTGCTCGAAGCTGCGCCCGCAGTTGACGATGCCTCTGTTGTTGTCGGTTCAGCACTCCTTGCTGTACTGCTTGCCTCCTCTGTTGCACTCGTTGCCGTGATCTCAGCCGCGATGCTCGTAGGATTCGCAGGTGTCGGTAACGCATTCACCACACTACCCGCTACGCTCTCGATGACAGCCGTAGGCACCGTAACGCCATTGCTCGACAGCACCGATGAGACATCGCCAACGATGCTGGATAACAGATCGCCAATCTGTCTCCGTTGACGCTGATGGTTCCTCCGTACTTCCTCCGCGCCAATGCTACCTGCCGCAAGACAATAGTCGCTCGTATAACTCTCAGCGATCGAACGATCCGGGTGCGATGTTTGATGCGACGCGTGGTTGTCGAAGCATGAGACGCGCCATAGGTACTGTTCGCACAGGCACGTGTAGTCGGGAGCTGGAGTGGTATTGCAGGGAAAGTAGCCCTTAACAGCCGATATACAGGAAGTTACTGCACTAGATTGGTCAATGTCAGTAAACTTCGCTCCTCTTGACCAATTCGCGATTGAGAATGCATAATTACATCTGTTCATGGTTCGCGCCCTGACCAGCCGAAATAATGGGCCATCGCAACGCGGGCACAAGCTTGAGCAGGACACCAAGCATCATCAGAAGCGTTGTTGACGGATGAACGGCCCCGGTTGAAGCGACAGTACTATCAGCGCTTTAACGTACTAGCCAGACCTGCTTTCATCAGGCTTGCGAAGTGACGGTAATCGGACGTTCCATTCGTTGATCCTGCTCCGGCAGAAGCGGGGACACCGACCCATCTATGCAATGCTCTGTTCCGAACACCCGTCTCGCGATAGGAAACCTGTTGGCATCGATGATGTAGGTGTGGAGGTGCGGCTTACCTGTGGCTGGGTAAACCAGGGGTTCCGTGAGGTCTAACTGGTGGGGATTTCTTTAGCATCGTGCGCTAACGGGCTGCCCTGATGACATCGCAATGTGGAGAGCATGAGTTTGGGCATGATCACCGTTTGTGAGACGAGAACGCGTCGAGCTAGGATAATTGACGTGCGCATTTGTGTTACGAGCGTCGTTGCACCGCCACACCTGTAGTGGTCTGGGCCACGTCTTCTGTACAGAATGTGGATTTGTGATACTTGGGGTATGGTAGAAAGTGAACTGCCGACTCCAGAATGATGCTCCGCTGAAAAGAAATGGGTATTGAAGCACTGCCACAACCGTCCTCCAGGCCCTGAAAGTGTCCATTGAGAGACATTCAATAGAACCTTACTTCCCGTTGGTACCATCACCGTGACCTTCCAACCTGTTTACCAACCTCTTGACGCCACTCCACTCCTCGCTACGTGTCTGGACACCTCCAAGATCATCACCCACCTCGAAGATGGTGACGACGCCATCCATGCCTCCCACTGCAACTCTGCGCCCTTCGTTCTTCTCCCATGCCAACTTGTTCAGACTCCTGTTCATGTAGCCAAGACCGGTTGGCATATTCGTAAACGCACCACGCTTACCGTCACTGGGCTTGACCGATTGAACAGGAACCTCGACATCAACATTAATGTCCCAGACTTCAAGGCTTCCTGCTCCGTCGACAAGCGCGAAGACGGAAGGCTTGACAGGCGACCATCGAACGTCATAGACAAGATCTTCGCGTGCAATGTCGAGAACGGGTGTTACTTGTTGCGTCGCACCAGGAAGTGTCGGGTTGGTAGCGCCTGTAGCAGCCGGCGGGCGGACCTTCCAAAGCTTGACGCTCCAGTCGACGCTCGATGACAGGACAAGGTCCCCTAGATCAATCTGACCCTTGGCGGGATGGAAGTCTAGGCTCATCACGGGCGCAGCGTGGCCAGCGTACTTGACGCGACCGTCCACGCCTGCTTTTGCGCCGGCTCGGTCATAGCGATGGCATGGGTAAATGGTACCTTCCTCTGTGCCTGCGAGAAAGTAGGTTGGGTCCGATTGCGGGAAGGCAATGCTGGTCACTGCCATGTCGTCTGTCTTGGCTGGCGGTGGTGATGTCAATTCAAGGAACTCCTGTGGCTGTGAAAGCATGTCAACAGTCCATCCACATACGACACCATCTGTCGAACATGAGATGATGTTGTTTGCGTTCTGTGTTCCAACGATGTCTAGCGAGTAGACGGGATGTGTGTGGCCAGAGCCAGTGAGAGGCGTCTTCTGCACCGGCGCAGACTTTGCGCGGGTATCCCATAGTAGCACTTGCCCTGAGTATGCTCCTCCAACAATGAGGTTCGGGTGGAACGGGGAAAACTTGGCGGTAAGGATATCGGACTGCGCATGGAAGATGTACTCAGGTCGATCGTGCATGTGTAGGTTCCATACTTGTACGAGACCGTCAGGATCGTGTGGAGCGGATGGGTTCTTGGTGTATGAGGCAAGGACGAGTTCTGGGAACTGTGAAGCATGTCAGTGTCATGATCGCCAGACGTCTTTTTACTCCATACCTTTGTTGAGAAGCCCAGATCTGAGATCATCCTCTTCTTGCTCCATCGCTCATCCCAGAACTGTGCAATCTCCTTGATCCGGCGGCCCTTCTTGCCTCCACTTGAACCATAACCCTCATCGTCATCGTCGACGTCTACACCACCATTTGCGTAGTCTGCCAAAATGTCGTAGCCAAGTTGTTGGTCAAGCGCTCGCTCCAGCACTTTCGTGCTGCGCTCGACGAAGCCGATGAACTCTTCCGAGTTTTCGACAGCGGTCAATTCTTCGTTTGTGAGGGTCTTGAACGGGAAGTTCTCTTCTGACCCCGGCTGTGGTGCACCCTCTTCTGGCGCTTGCTGGAGAACCTTGAGCTCCTCCTCGATTTCCTTGCGCAGCTGCGCTCGGATCTCCTCGTCCCTCTCCTTCTGTCTCCGGCTCAGCCTCTTGCTCTTCGGTGACCGCGTAGGGCTCTCGTCGCGCTCTGTGTCGCTTCCCCCAATACCTCGGTCTTTCGATGGGGTCCACTCTATGCTTGCTTGTACACCCTTGCTGTATGTGATGATCTCCTTCTCCTTCTTGACCTCGGTGGTGACCTGGCCATCGGTCTCGTAAACTGTCGCTAGCGGGGCCAGTGAGAGAGTCTGCATCTCTCGGTCAACCATGCCGGTGAGGGCTGCGAAGCCCGTGGATCCTTCATTGTCGCTGCTTAGTTGGCCTGCGCTGACTACTGACGTCGGGCGGGTTGGTCGTCCTGCGCCTGCTGGGGAGCCAGGTTGGGTAGAGCCGGGTCTACTCTCCCCAAGGATGCTATTGATGAGGTTGGTGACGTCGGTTCTGCGGTCGAGGTCTTCGCTGCGTCTGGGTGTTGGCGAGAGGACCTGGATTGTTAGTCAGTCAATGATTAGATGCAATTGGATGTGTGACCTACTTCTCCTAGAGGACTGCCAGTCGTGGATTGCCTGCTGGCTGACTCTGCCTTGCGCAGTTCTCGCTGGCGCTTGAGCTCGGCCAACTTGGCCTTCTTTGCGAGAATCTCATCGCGCCGCTGCTGCATTGTCGACTCCATGGCGGAGACGGGCGAGGTGGGATGCTTGGTCGAGTATGTGTCGGCGTAGTGGTAGAGGACCTAGGTTGAGTCGTGTGTCCAGAGGCTGTTTCCTCCCCGCCTTCAACTATCCACAGACAAAGGCAAGTGCAATGTACACAAAGGCAGGCGCGTCGGGTGATGCTGTCGCGCCAAGCGGTGGTGGTTCAGGGACGCACTAGCTCGCAGCCAGCGATCCCGACCAAATCTTGCGCCAGCCAACCTCAACTTTCACAGCTCAACGCCCAGCATCTCGCATCCGCCCCGACGCCCTCGTCCCGACTCTCCGGATCTCCTACAGCGGTGTCTTTTCATCGCTCGTCCGGAATACCTGCCATTGGACATATACGAGCTCGATAGCGGCTATCGCAAGTCCTCGCACGACCCTCACCATGTCCACTTCCGTCGGTGTCAACGTACGCTCTGCCCCTCGAAGCGCTTGCCAAGGTCTCTAGCACGACCGTTTGGGCCTTCTGCTAGCTCTAGAGATGGAACAACCAGGCTAATAGTGGTATCTACAGGTCCTCCGATGGTCCGCCCTCGGATTTGGCGTCTTCTACGGTGCCTACCACCAGCTCTCGTTATCCGCCGCCGATAGGGCAAAGGCCGCACAGAAGGACTGGGAGCACAAGGAGTCATTGATTAGGCAAGCAAAGGCACAATGGGCACGGGACCACCCCTCAGAACAGCCAAAGTCATCAGGCGGTACGTCAGACCGACGACATACGTCAAAATTCCCGACTCGGCCATGTGCATGACCCAGAAGAGCATATACTAACAACGAAACAGCCATCGCAGACCCGAAAGACCCCAACGCCGACCTCAACACACTCCTCGGCATAACCGACAAATAAGCGCACCCAGTGTGATTCCGTTTCCTACGTCAGCATGGGCATAATGCGGCCGGATCCCATTGAGCCGAGAGGCGGCTGGATGGGGGAGAGCAGTCAATAGTGGTACGACATCTACGAGATACCAATCTCTTGTACTATGTACCTTTTGTACAACATAGACGTCGAGTTGGTCACGTTTTCAATATACATGCTTCAGTTCGATCTCTTCAATGCCCGTTCATATTTGAATCTTGTACAACCTCTTCAAAAATAGGCCTAGGGTAAGACAGGTCTGCCTCATGACTCAAGGACTGGGACTGATTCAGAAAATATGCCAACAGCGGGGTTGTTGTATTCAACTTGTAGACGTAGAACAGGCACAGAATATCTGGAGGACAAACGAGCACCAATGTCGGTATTGGTGACACGCCTTGAGCTATCGGAGTCATCGTTGTCACTGATTTGCACATTCAAGACATTACCCACATCTCAAAAACAATAGTTGTTGCCAATGATATATTCTATACATGTATCATCTCCACCCCCGACCCGCCATGGGCAGGTACTATGCTACACAGACCATCAAAACGCGCAGAAAAGATGAAAAGCGGAGCCTCGGAAAACGCCCTGCAACCCGTGGAAAACAGCAGGGCAACAGAAGAGTAGAAATGAAAAGCGCAGAGGAGCGGCCCAGGACAATATTAACAGACGGCGGCCAGCCTCCATAACGCTTTGTCAACCTTGGCCCCAGCCCGACCGTCTACCACGACCATCCTATGACGCCAGTCCGAAGAAGGGCCAAGGTTGTATAATCGCACATTTTCAAAACCTACAGGGAACCCATGACGATTCGTTTCATTATCCAAACACCTATCTCTTACAATACCTCGCCCACAATCTTGGCTGCCTCCTTGTATGTCTTGAGCAGCTTCTCGCACTTCTCGCGCTCGGCCTTGATTGTGTCGTCCTCGTACAGGAGCTCCTGGAAGAGATCCTCCTTGTACAGCGTTGACACGAGCCTATTTTGTACCACGTCCTTTGAGTGGTTGACGAGAAGATGCATAATCGCCTTCGGGACCTGGTCAGCGACGGTTTCCCGGACGATGTTGAAGTACGACGAGATGAGGCGGCGGATGAGCTCGGTCTCGAGGGCCTCGCGTTCCGTAAGCGCAGGTGCTTGCTCTGGGTTTGATGGCTGTTGGATATTAGCATATACTCAGAGTGACATGTTTTAGAGAGACTCACAAAGCCGCCTTCGAAGTTGTCTCCTCCCATACTTGGACTTCGAGGAGGGGCACTCATGGCAGCGCTCAATGGGGCGTCATAGTCATCGTTGTCTGGTGGCATCATGGCCAATACATGAGCAGGCTGCTTGTTGTCTCCTCTCCGGATGCTCTGCGCAAAACTGGGCTCGCTGTTTTGGCTAACATGGCGGCTGCCAGGCCTGTTGTCAAGCGCTGCGTGTGCTGCCTGTTGTGGGTTGGCGTATGCGTTGTTGCTATCTTTGCTGAAGAAGTAGTTCAAGAAGCTGTCGCGTGCAGTACCAGGAGGCGATCGGTTGCGATTGTTGAGCGCTGCTGTGGTGCTCTGCGAGCCATTCATCATCCGTCCTACGGCAGGCGACATGCTGCGGCTGGTTTGTGACTGGTGTTTCCGGAGAGGAAGAGCTTTAAGAGTTCCACCCTCACCCCCTTCGCCCTCCTCAGCTTCTTCGCCGTTAGCACCGTTTTGGAGTTCCTTCATCCTCCTCTGTTCCCGCCTCTTCTTCTCGGCCTCCATAGCAATCTTCTTTTCTCGCTGCTCCTTGTCGTTGATGACAGATGACATGGCGGCAGCAGCTCCAAGGAAGTTGGGATGGTTTGTGTTGATGTATGCCCTTTGGATATCGATGAGAGAAGCGACGTAACCTGAGCAAGGGCCAAGTTGCTCTCGTAGAAGGTCAGAGACGACCTCAATGAGCTTTCCTTGTAGCCTGGGGTACCTCGTCAATTCGGTAGAGCCGCAAGTGTGGCAGATCTTGATGAGTTCCTCGTATACAAGCTCCACGCAACGCTGACTGGGTATCTCCAAAAGCTTGATCTGAGGCTTTACGAGAAGGTCAAAAGCCAGCTCGGGGACGAACAGGCTGGGCCTTGGACCAGTCGAGTTGCGGATAGCCGTCCGAATGTCCAGCACAGAAAGGTTCTGGGTTGGGTCCACCTGCTCGAGCGAGTTACCGAAGACGGAGTTGAAGATGTAGTATATGCGAGCACCACCGCACAACTCCTTGGTAGAGATCTCGGTGGAGGTACCGTCGATGGATGAGATGAAGGATGAGGCAAAGCGGGTCATGAGCTGCAGGATGAGCGAGCCGCGGTGCTCCTTTCCAGTGAAGGCCACATCGCCGTAGCTCGCGAGCTCTTGTTGTGTCTGACCCATGAGCGTGTTGAGACGTGCCTTGATGTCTGGTAACCGGTCGCGAATGTGGGCCATGAGGGTCTGGTTGAGGCTTTTGGCGAGCAGCTGGGTACCGCATCGGTTGGCCATATTCCGGTACGCAGGATGATGTCGGAAGAAGTCCCGCTCGGCTTGCAGGGCATCAGAGAGCGACTTGTTGCCCTGGATGTCTTGTTGTGACCGGTTGACAATACCAATGAAGCCGAGCTTGAGAGGGTATACGCGGCCAGAGAGAATATCCATGGCGTTTGTACCGTGATCCATAAGATCTAGCTTTGTAAGGACACCAATGGTCCTCTTGCCCATGGGATCGACATGGCGGGCCAACTTCAAAGCTTCCGAGTTGACGAGATCGACGTTGGCGGGGGAGACGGCGAGGATGACACTGTTGGGCTTCGCAATGTACTCTGTGATGAGGTTTCGCGTCTGCTTCTCGATATCGGAGGGCTGATCGCCAATGGGCACCTGGGGGAGTTAGCTCCGGGGTCCTGGCAGAAAAAAGCTGCCTGACTAACCTTTGTCAGACCGGGCAAGTCGACGAGCGTCAAGCTGAGGACGTGCGGGGAGTAGATCTTCAGGTTGATGGGCTGCCTGTTGATACCCTTGTTGTTTCCTGCTATCCTCGAGGTCTCGTTCTCGATCTCGCGTTTGACGTCGGCAAAGTCGTAGAAGCGCTGACCCGGGATGTGGAGAAACTCTCCCCATTCTTGCTGGCCAGCTACACTTGCCGGTGTGTGTGGTACGTGGACCTCGTCATCGTCGTCTTCGTCGCGTTCGCTCGGGAGGTTGATGAGTTGGAGGATGAGCGGCCGGCGTGTGACGATGCCGCTGCCACGGGGAAGGAAGTCCTTGCCAACAATGTTCTCGAGTACCGACGACTTTCCGGATGATTGTGATCCTACGACGACCTGAGGCAGTTAGTAGGGTTCTTGATACATTGTGCAGAGCTTCGTGAATTCTGCTCTGCGCTCACCGCATTCTCTTCTCGGGCTGGGGCGCACATACAATCTGGGGCAAATCTAGGGAATCATTTCCAATTGTGTTGAAGACCAGATCTTGCAGCCTGTTGACAATGTTGAGGAGCTCTTCGCCCAGCGACGCCATTGCGCTGGTGGTTCTGTGTGGTTTCTCTGCTCCTTAAGGGTCCGGTTGTTGGTAGAACAGCCAAACAACACCGCGGAATCGTGAATGAGCCCGATGTCGTCCTACGGCGTGGAGATAGTGATGCACGGTGCAGATGCAGGATCGGCGAAGTGATCGTGGCTGATGGCGGCTTCGTCGGGTCAGAGGCTCGTGATGAAGTGCCTTTGCTGCAGCTCCGTCGTCACTTCGCTTGAAAGTTCCAAGGTTTGATGATGGTGCACGTGACGGCCAGCATGGCAATCCACCTGGCGGCCAACCCCACATTCAACATTCACATGTCTCCTTAATCTTAGGTCATATTGTTCATTCCTTTCGCATAAAGGAGAAGACACCCTTAGCCATGTCGCCACGCGCGCCCGTGGTGTTAAAGCAAGCACACGGCTGCTGAAACCTCCTCCTCTGCTGGTCGCGAGCCCTGCGAACGCCACCACACGCGATGCAGCATGCGGCTCGGCTCCAAGGCCGGACATGGTGTACAGGCTGCAGCAAACCGTATGTAGAGTGTGCACACGAGCAAATAGGCAACAGGACAAGACTTTCCACCACATGAGCAGCATCAGCAGTGCCTGGTGATGCACGACCCGTGGTCAGCGTTGGAAATGGACAACATAAGACTGGCTGGCTTCGCAACACAGCTGGCGCACGAGTCGCCTAGAATTCTCGAGGTTATGTGGATTACACTCCCCTAGTCCGGCCACGTAGTATCGCACATTACCTCTGGTCGCTGAGAAAGTACCATGGACACGCTGGCGTACGCTGGCTCGCGCTCGGGTATTGTCGGACCCCGGGATTTCCCTTGGACTAAGGCGACGGCTATCTATCAAGCCCTCCAGCCTTATCTCGCTGCGAGACGCGGCCAGACGCGACAACACCAAATTATCAAAGAAGATCTCCAGCTCCTATCTCCGCATCTTGGGGAATGCATTGTGATCGTCAGGTCGCTTCGACGTACTCTACCGCTAATTGGGAAAGGCTCATGTAGCCTCCAAGTCCCTGCGGAAGGCCGTCTCCGCATAAGCTGATAGGGTCTATACTGCTATGACTGATTCATTGTCTTACGACCAAGCTTCCTCCCGAGGGAAGCCTATCATTGTGATAAGCACTGTTATCATATTCACCGCAAACAAACCTTGGAACGTAGCAGGAGCGTTCGCACGCCGACTACAAAGGTAGCGTGCTTTCTTCACGTTTATTCTTTCCCTTCTTAATCATCCTCACACCTCCATACCAACTTTCAACCCTGAATCTGTCCTGGGTATTCTGCCGCTTTCAGCTTTCGCTTACCTCGCTCTCATCATCTCCGACGCCTCCATGGCCCCGGAGTCTCTCACTCTTACTACCACCGAAGAACAGCAGAACGACGTTACAGTGGGGACTATCACTTGCACTGCACCTATCCCGTTTGGAGGGGATGAACAATGGCTTTACCTACCCGCAACCAAGAAGTTCGATCTGTCTCGGGGTTCACGGCAGAAGATGGTCTTCGAGTGCGATGAGGAAGATCGTAACCACACCGGCTTTATGATTGACCCTGGCAACTCGGTTTTGATTGTTGTCGACATGCAAAACTACTTTGTTCACCCACTCTATCGGGATCACGCCGCAGGCATCGCCGCTATCGAGCCGACTTTGAAAGTCATCGAGAGATGCCGTAAGGAGGGGATCCAAATTGCCTGGCTGAACTGGGGAATTAGCGACCATGACTTGAAAAAGATGGCACCCGCTATCCAGCGAGGCTTCAGCAAGACTCTGGGATGGCACGTCGGACTTGGCGCACAGCTACCCGATGGTCAGGGAAGGTGCCTGTTCAAGCGGACCTGGAACGCCGAACTCTACGATCCGTTCAAGGCAGTCGCTCAGCCTGGCGATTTGTTCTTCGACAAGACACGCATGAGCGGACTGTGGTCCGAGAAGGAGCCTCTTCATGAGTACCTCCGCGCATCCGGCAAGCAGACACTTCTCTTCGCTGGCGTCAACACGGACCAATGTGTTTTTGGCACCGTGTCAGACGCCTACTCTTACGGATGGGACTGTATTTTGCTTCGCGACTGCACAGGCACCATGACAGGCCGAGGAGCTCAGGAACTTGCCGAGTACCAAATCTCGCAGAACATGGGGTTTGTGACAAACAGCAGCATATTCTGCGAGGCGCAGATTTGTGAGCATTTTGAGGGTTGCTGATTCGGCAGCACATGTCTTCTACGTTGGCGGTTTTTTGTTTCTTGTTCTTGAGCGTGCTATCCGAATACCCGTAGAGCTACACCAGCCTAGCAGAAATACAATACATGACATCTGTATGACTCGCGCTATCCGAGGGTTGCAAGATTGACGTTGCCCAATCATGTTGTAGCTACCCCGAACGCTGGCGGATCTGCATAAGTTGAGGTACGAATGACGCACAACCGGGTGGAGACTCCTTCACATAAGGGCCTACCTCACGCGATAACGTTCATCTCAACACTCTGCTGCACAATCCCGATCTGGACAAAGAAGAGGCTTGAAGCGACATTGACAGTGAATTTCACTCCCAATTCGACATACCGCTATCCCGCGAGACGATGTTTCTCTATGTTTCGATTGGGCTGACGTGCCTGCTGCCGCTTTGCGCCGTTGCGCTACCAACTGAGCAGAAGCCATTGATACTCAACGGCCCTAAGAACGTCGAGGCTGTTCGGACCAAGTGGGAATCTCCATTAATGTCGTAATTGCTGTACTGACAATTCACAGACTTCAACACGCTGAGATAATTCCTACCGTCATTGACGACTTCCTGCCTAGTCTCACACTGTCGGTTCTTTGGTCAGATGCCAAAGCTAAACTCGGCAACACTATCGAGCCAGACTATCTTGGAGAACAACCCACCATTGTTCTACACGATGACACAAGCCCGGACGGAATGCACAGTGCCTCCGACATGAGCTACGTCGTCACACTCACCGACCCCGACGCGCCATCACGCGACAACCCAGAATGGAGCGAAGTTTGCCATTGGATTGCTGCCAACGTCACCACAGCGCCGAACACGTTCTCGATCCTACCCCTACCAGAGTTTGGTCTTACGGAAGAGACCGAGTCGACTGACGGCGGTCCGGAAGATGTGATGGAGTACAAGCCTCCTGGCCCACCACCGAAGACTGGCAAGCACCGCTACGTGTTCCTCGTCCTTGCGCCAAAGAACGGGACGACCGAGCCGCTTCATGTGAGTAAGCCAGAGGATCGCCAGCATTGGGGTACTGGAAAGGAGGGCGGTGGTGTGCGAGAGTGGGCTAAGCACAATGGCCTCGTGCCTGTTGCTGCCAACTTCATATACTCGCAAAACGATAAGCAGTAGATACGCATCGACGCGCTTACTGTGTGCATGGAATGCCGAGGGCACATGTATATCCAATGGCTGTTTTTCTTTTCGAAATCTCTCTGCAAACGGCGGAGGTGTACTGTCAATAGCGTACACATAGCATTAATACCAATAATCTCGTAACGAATGCACGCAATCAGACTTTCTTCAGAGCAAGCGCTCTCATCGTATCATCCCATCATTCCTCGTGCCGTGCGTCGAACCCAAGTAGCCCTACGGCGCCCGATTGCGAAAATTGTGGGGCGACAGCTCCGGGCCAAACTGTATTGCACGCGCCCCGCGCACGCGTCTCCCGCATCCATGAACAACCTACAACCGGCATTTGTCTCTGTACCGTCTTTGCATTGCAGTATTGCGCCACCCAAATTTCCGGTCAACGCTTTCTAGCCTTTGGTCGCTTCGTCGATTATCCAGACGAGGGTGTGATGATTGAACCCACCTGGATTAACCAGCCACGCAGCCAATACCAGCACCACGCATCCGGGCCTGCGCGTCCGAGACGAAGATGATCCAAGTCTCGCCACCTCTCCATTCTCCTTGCCCTAAATTGCGTATTGACAAGCTTGGCCGGCCCGGGGGCAATGAGCTACATGCTCTATGGGAAGCTTGCGGTATTGCTTCTTGTCTTCCAATGTCCATTGCGATCACTTTGCCTCAGGCTCTACAGGCTCTATTGATCGTGTGACTCGACAAAGAGTTCAAAACAACGTGTTGTGGCGAACATGCTGTGGTCTGGAATCTCAGTTTGAGAATTGACCTCCTAGATACTGCACACTGATTTGTTGCACAGGCACATTCTGTCGAGATAGGGCCAGCTAAAGCAATGGGCGCAGCAGCCACCAATGAGCTGTTCAGCTGGGGCTGACAGCACCTCCGCTCATTCTTCCTTCACTCTTCTCCGTGCACTTGGACGAGCAAGCGCAACATCAATTTCTGAGCGAGACATGGAGCAAGCGACATCAACTAAGCACGGCGGAGAGCTAGATCTTCTCGATGATACAGGACTCTGCCTGCTCTCTTAATGGCGGCGGCGTGCGCAGGCTAGCGGCAGTGGGAAAGCCCGCAAGTGAACGAACAAGTAAGAAGTTGGAGGGCCTAGAGTGACTAGTTCATGCAGCTCCACGGTAGATTATATTATGTTGAACACCAAAGTTGAGTTGTAACACCAAAGAGCTCGAGGAGCTAGTCCCAAATAGGCAGGGTCCCTCCGCCTCGTGCCCCAAGGAGATGCGGCTGATTGTCTTAAACTTCCAAGGTTCAGCCACCATTTTTACAGCTGTGGTTCTAGATCTATTTAATGTGAGGCTGAATCACATCGGCCCAAAAAGCACAGTAAAGTTCGAGATTTGTGCACATTGAGGAAGTCATAAAGCATTCAAATACCGGCGAAGCAATTCTAAGACAATTCCCGGGTTGCTTCGAGTCCTACCTTGCTATTCACAGCTACTTGCCGAATCAATTCATCTATATCTTTTCTACACTATAGCCATGGAGGAGGACAGCAACTGTACGTCCAATTTTGGGAAACGGCACACTTTCACCCTCAACGTCCTCAACATCGCTGTAGTATGGTGGCTCCTACCGGTTCTATTGAAGCTATGGGAAAGACAACCTAAATCTATCCTCGACGGTATAATGTTTTCGGCACTTCAAGCGTCGCAACCCGGAGCTGCTGCTCACTACGCAATCAGAGCTAGCTGTAACCACGAAGAGCGACTGTCTTTGTTCTACAAAGGAATAAAAAAATCCGGAGACCCAGCAAACCCAGGAACCCCAGCAAAGGTGCCGTGGTATATGGTCTTCCTTCACATTATTATCGATGCGGGCTTCGTGCTTTATCCCGCCATCTCTCTCATCGTCAAGCGCCCCGGCTGCGATTCCGATGTTAGCTTACCTATGCTCTGGTTTTACCCGTCCCTTCCTGCTGCCATATTCGGTCTTTGGATTACGTTGGACGCAAAGGTTCTGAAGCTGCGAAAAGGATGGTCCCTCGCTGGTTGCTACATAACTATACTAGGAGTCGGCCTTGGTATTGCAATTCCTACATGGCTGACTTACATGGGTACTTCGAGTACTTCCGGGTACCATTGGCCGATTTTTGCATACTTTTACATGGCATTTCCAGCGGCATTGTTTGTCAATAGCAGGATAAGGGGACCACTCATCGCCTTTATATGCGCAGCAATTGCCGTTGCTGCGCGCAATGGTCCTATCGCATACAGTGCTTTGAAAGCCGATGACGAGGATTCGATCAAACTTCCTGTCCCAAGTTGGGTGAATCAAAAGATTTTTGCAGGCTTCTACTTAGCAATAGGGGTTATTTGTTCGCTGCTCAGTCTCTTACATTTTTACACTGGTGGGATGAAACATCATCTCGAGCACTTGGAGAAGTTGGAAAAGGAGAAAGGGGAAAGAAAACGGGAAGAGAAAGAGGCAAGAAAAGAGGCGGAGAAAATGATGAGAAAGACAGCGGCAGCTGAGTCTGATCCTGAGGCACGCAATTCTGAAGACCCGGAGAGCACGGAGTTGAACGTTACTCATGTGGATATTACTGTCCAGGCATCGAAATGCCTCCTGAAGCCTTGATGACGTCTACAATGTAGATAGTCAGCGCACTTCTACCTTTATATAAGCACATACCATAAAGCGCGCACAAATAATTTATGAGTTATGCTGTAACCAGGTCTCCCAAGACCTGACTTTACACGCAGTACCAACGTCGGCCTGCCGTCCGTCCACCTCCAACTCGCTTTAACGTACGCCCTTTTACTGCTCTTTCTCTTCTCTTCACATCTTACCACCAGTCCTCCCTGAGTCCGCGTAGACGACGCCTTGCTCCATTTCTAGACAGAATTGAAAGGAGGGTGCATGCTGTGAAAAATGAAATCCTGCGATAGACCAGTACGCTACCAGATTGGCTTGCGCACAACACCTCGTTTCGCCTGAAGTTTAAAAACCCGTCCCTGTCATGACATCTTTGCCGGATGGTAAGACTCCAGGATCCAATACATGTCCACCGTAAGGCACGGCCGATGACACCAACGTGTATGTGTATGTATCTCATTTGTCGCAGGGATCTCTCGTAGTGTCGTCATCCGTGTGCTGTTCTTCCAGGCGCTCCGGATCCTCGGGGTTCTCGATCTCCTCCTGACCGTTGACCATAGCCTCATTGTCCTCATCCCACTCTTCAAGTTCCTCGGTCTCGGCGTTGATCATCTCCCTCATCTCCAAAGCGTCCTCCCTCATTTGCTGGTACGGCAAGCCCTTAGTGTCCGTGGGCGCGTGGATGAACCACTCTGATACTTCTTCTTCGCTATCTTCATTGAGGTCGTATACCGTGGCGTCGTCCTCGCTGTCTCCGTCGAGAGTCCAGAGGTGGTACCCTTCTGGTTCGTACTCCTCATACTCTTCGTATTCCTCGTACTCCTCCTCCTCCTCTTCATCTGCGATACTCTGCCTCATCTCACTAGCTACCTCAGCTATCTCGGTTTGGATGACGTTCCATTCTCGCCTTTCAGCCTCTCGGTCCCAGGCCTCGATTTGCTTCATGTAGCCTTCGACGCGCTCAACCATGACCTTCAGACCTCTGGCAAGGTCTTCATTTTCGCCCTCCAGTTCATTGACACGGGATTGCATGGCATGAATGGTGCCGGCGTTGTTCTTCGTCCAAGATTCGTTTTCAATCCGCAGTAGTCTGTTCTCTTCTTGGAGAGCTTTCTTCGTGCGCCAGGATTCGTCACATCTCGACATCCATCCTAGATGCAAGCTTAGGATTTCGGATTTCAAGGCCTTGCAGGCCCTTTGTAGGTTCTCAAGTTGCGTAGATAGACGTTTGGCGGTGTCTTCATTTGACATGATCGTCACGTGCTGTTCGTCAATCTCGTCTTGCGCCTTCTGGCTGAACTGGTTCGCACGCTCCAACTCCTTCTTGGTGTTGTCCAGAGAAAGCGTCATGGACTGGAGCTCTTTGGTTTTGAACTGGACCTGGCACTGTATATCGAAGCACTCATCTTCCTTGGAGTCGTTCTTGCGTATTGCCTCCTTGAGCGCGTGGTCGAGGTACATCGTTACGCCTTCTGCACGGTCGCGTTGGCGTCGGGCTTGGGATAGCTCCTTACCGAGTGCATCGCGGAACTCGACGTGGGCGACGACTTTCTTTTCGCTCTGTTTGAGCGCAATTTTGGTGTTGGCGAGGATGGATTCGGTACCGACGAGGCAGAGGTCAGTACTAGCAGGCTTGGTTTGGGAGGCGTGGAGGTCGTCTTTGACTTCAGACAGCTCAGCTTGAGTGGCCTCAAGTACTGCCTCCTGAATCTTGGCTCGACAGATCGCTTCGTTGAATTTCTGTTCGTAGTGGACCATGCCGATAAGAGCAGCGAGGAGAACCATTCCGGCTGCAGTGGGCCATGCCAAAGAGACCATTGTGGTCGCCAGCAGAGCGACCAACTTGGTCATAGGCATGGAGAACATTGCGGTCGCCAGATGGGAATGTAAAATACACTCGCTGTGTATGCTGTAAGTGTTTGTAGTAGTTTGTGTTCGTCGTAAAAATCAGGTATTCTGGAGAGAAAGATTGTGAAGGAAATCAGCAGTAGTGCAGTCTACTACATTGTTTTATACTTAAGTGGGAATTTCCTTGCACAGACGTGCGTGTTTTGTTACCCATGGTTCAGATGACCATCAGACTGCTGCGGACAGACATCGTGGGCGCGCAGTCATCTCAGTCCGTGGAACGTCGCTTGAACACTCTTATCGTAATTCTGTCACCGTTATAGGCAAGCCAAGGCTTCAACAGTGGAGGCCAACGAGGCAGTGGATTGTAGTAATATCCAATCTGTCCACGTCTAGTGAACATCAAAACAGTCGTTAAAAACATCGTAGGATGGGATACGCTGAGGTTTAAGCATGTGCAATGACTGGTAGCATTTACGCACGCAAGACGACACGGGATGGTGGGTCGCGGCACCAATGAATGCTCACTCTTGGTGATCTCGTTTAGCGTATGACCAATGCTGGAGCCATGGTACTCGTTTTTGAAATTTTGATATGTACAAGAAGATGCTGGTAGACCCAGTGGATCTTTATCGGTGTAAGTCCTATCAATGTAAATCGTTTGGAGATGCGACTAGAGTGGTAGGGTCGTGTGCTGCAACTTTTGTACCAGGATTCCGTCCTGTGACTACTGAGCCAGTCGAGTGCATGGTAAGGCAACAACAAGATCGCCCACGCGAGCTAACTCCAAATCGCTCAGCTTAGATTCATGGCAACAAGCAAGCCTACTCATTCAACTCGACATAGTTGGCGGGGAAGAGACCCGATTGGCCGTTGTAGCTACCCAGCCACCAGTCTTCATCGGGGAATTGCTACAAGAGTATTAGCATCGGTTTCAGCAGTGGTACGGGTAACCTTACAAGTTCAGTTACTGTGGCTCCTTCGGGGAAGCTCAGTTCGTTGTCTTCAGCGGCTTCGTAATCATAAAGAGCGGTAGCAGTAGGACCAGCAGACTGTGATGGTGCCGCGGCAGGTTCGGGCTCTTGCGGCGCCGAGGGATGAGTGGGCAGTGCTGGTGCAGCGGCGGCATCGTCACCCTCGACCAGCTCAACGTAGTTGGCCGGGAAGAGACCACGCTCGCCCTGCGAGTTTGTGCCCATCCACCAGTCGTCATCTACCATGTCAATGTCCGTGACATACTCGCCTTCACGTAGCTCGACCTCGTTATCCTCCGCCTTTTCGTAATCATATTGGATGACCGCGCGCTTGCCGGAGCCACCAGCACCATCATCTTCATCATGTCCAGAAGCGACCGCTGCGCCGACGGCGGCACCTCCTACTGCAGCCGCACCAAAAGTGGCAGCAGCAACGGCAGCGCCGGCTCCACGAGCGGGATCCTTGGCCTCGACTTGTGGCTCTGGGGACATATCGCGATTTTGCCTGGCTGCTTGATCAAGCGATCGCGCGGGCATAGGCGGTGCGTGTTCCTCGGCAGGAGACATCTCCTCTGGTTCGCGCCCACGAGCAACGGGCATGGCAATACGAACAGGAGAACCAGAGGGCTCGGGAGACGGGCTGCGAGGTGGTTGAGGTGGTGGAGATGGCATACGCTGGTGTTGAGTGGCAGGCACATCCTCTTCCTCTGCTTCCGGCTCTTTAGGTCGGGTAGGCAGGCCTGGCATCGGAACGCCCCTGGGGCCTGCATTGGGCTTGCTCGAGGTATCGAGAGGCGGTGGGCTGGAAGCTTGCGGCTCTGGTACAGGGCGTGAAGTTGGCGCTCCCATAGGGACGGCGCCTGAGAAGCGGTCCTTGAGCGAGCTTACGCCGCCAGCTGCAGGAGAAGCTGGCTCTTCTTGTTCAGGTGCCCCACCCGTGCGTTGTTCGCTGAGGTTGCTAGTTGCAGACTGACCTGTTCGGGTGGTCTGCACAGGAGCCCATGATTTGCCGGAGTAGCCACTTTGCCAGCCGCCACCTCCACTCTGTTGGCTTTGGAGGGGAGTTGGGCGGCTTCCAGCATCGGCAGTAGAAGAAGGAACGGCTTCTCCCCGAGCCGCCTTCTTCTCCGCCCAGATCTGAGCAGGTGTCTTTCCTCCTTGGTCAGCAAACGTCTTGCTCGCGGCGCCGACGATTGGTGCTGGAGGAGCGGGCTTTGCGCCAAACCCTCCTGGAGTAGGAGCCTTGGTGCCGGTGAATGTGCTCGCACCGGCGAACTTGTTGGCGACCTTGGGCTTTGGCAAGCTGGTAAGGCGTTCGGGCTGGGCGCTGAAGGCTGCTGACCTCTCTGCGAGCGATTTCGGCTTCTCTTCCTCTTCTTCATTGTTCGACGCTCCTGTTGCCGCCGGCGATACGCTAGAGGACGGTGGGCCGGCTTGGGCCTTTGCGCGGATAGCCGCGATATCGACCTTGCCGACGGGCTCGTACGCGCCTTTGACAACAGTGGGCCGGTCGTCTTTGGCATCGCGCGCCTGGGCTCGGATGGCTGCAATGTCGACTTTGCCAACTGGCTGGTATGCGCCCCTGACGACTTCAGGACGGTCATTCTGCGAGCCCGAGGGCTGGGAACCGGTGGATTCGTCTTTTCTCGCGGTGAGCTCGGCCATGTTAACTTTGGTGGGAGTGTAAGCGGTTCCGACCTTCTCCAGCTGAGATCTGGAGACCTGCGGGGCATCAGCACCCCACCCATCCGCATCTTCATCGCCCTTTGGCGCAGGTGCACGCGAGCGGCCGAGCGGGTTGAAGCCAGCGCCTCCGCCGCCTATCGAAGTAGGTGTAAAGACGGGCTTCTTCGCGGCAACGGGAGGAGGGCCGCGGGAGGCAGGGACATCGGCACCGCCAGAGTACTTGGCGCCTGATGCGTCTGCAACTTTCTGGACAATCTTCTCTGGGCTGAGGTCTTCTTCGGAACGGGCGGTGACTTGGACGTGGTATCCCTATGGAAATTAGCTTGTGCATAGAGGTGGCCGTGGGTGTACGCACATGTAGCAGCTTAGAGACAACCGTGAGATGGCTACCAAAGTAGCCCTTGGTTCGCTCAGGAACACCTGCGCCGCACTGTGTGTACATTAGCGTTGTCTCTCTGGCGGCGGCTGCGAACAGCTTACCCAGGCTATCAGAACGTTCTTGGGCAGCGATGTGTTGGGGTCCTTGACTTTGACGAATGCAAACTGGATGCGGCCATCCGAGAACTCGTCTATCAGGTCGAGCAGCTCACCCTCTGCAAAATGTTAGCACATGTTTTCTTTGTGGTGTCTGTCTTGCACGCAGAGCTGAGCTGAGCTTCGTGATGTGCCGACACCCGAGCTTGGGCGGCCACCTTGCCATAGCCCAAGAGCTCTCCCGTGTTGTGTGCTCGCTGACTACAGTGCATGCCAAAGCCATTGAACGTGTGCTGCGCTGTTCCACATACCTCCGGTGCTCTGCACTTTCAGCACGCTCTCTTTCCCGCCATCCTGCTGGAATGCGCTGACAAGCGGGGCAGCGACTGTGAAGACGGCCCATTGGCCGTATGTGGGCGAGCTGGCCTGGGGACCAGAGGGCGCCGGGGCATTGACGACATTCTGGTAGCTGCGGGTGATGTTGGGGCCGTTGCTGGAGGTGTTGAGCGTGGCCATGGTGGGCGGGAGTAGAGGGGAAGCTGTCGTGGGGACGAAGCTTGGGGGAAGTGGTGGAGGAGGGAGGTGTTGAGAAAAGCAGCACTCGGAATTGACAGCTAGCACGATGCGTGGGACACGGCAGCGTACGCGTATTCCGTATGTGTGCCTGTGTAATTGGCAGTTGGGCGTGAATTAACCTAGTCGGGTCGGGCAGGTCAGCACAGGCAGCGGGCACAAGTTCGGTGTGCAGAGCTGGCAGCTATGTCATGCTTGGCCCGCGCTCGCTGCACTCGGGCGGGCTGGCGCTGGCGCTGGTGGCAGGCAGGCGGAAAGGCCTCCCAGGAGACCCTCGTCCGCCTCACAGCGACGATTGGACATAGCTCCTCGCACTGCCTGCCAACGCTGCATGCCAAAGCAGCTTTCTGCATCCTTCAAACCGCCGCCTAGACTCCAGGCTCCATCCCGGGCTCCATATCCACGCCCTTCTGGCCCTCTAGCCCGACTTCACCTCCACTCTGCCACGACAAACACTAGCACCGACAGCACAGCAGCGCACCGCCTTTTGCAGTCGCCATCGCAAAGCGCGCTGCTACCACGCATCCGCCATCGCATGTCTCTGTCTCCGTGTCTCTAGCCTGCGCACGCCGACAATGAGTCTCTTGTGAACTTTGCCACTGCACGGCTGCGTCGCCATGGAGGACCGCGAATCGAGCGTAGGGTCGTCGGTCGACTTCTACAGCTCCGATGCACTCCCTCCCAATACCAAGGGTGCGCAGCGCGACGCGCCTCTCGCAAAGCGCAAGGCAGAGGATGCGCCGCCTGAGCGTGAAAAGAAGCGCAAGCTCAGCAGCGCGAAGCCGCTCGCAAAGCTACCACCCGAGTTGTGGCAGCATGTTTTCTCTTTTTGTTCGCTTGCAGATCTCGGTCGATTGATCCAGGTCAATCGATCTTTCCTATCCTATCTCACAGATGTGCGCAGCCTGTCGACTTCAAAGTCGCATCCTGGCCGTCTGCGTCTCCTAAAGTCTGAGTCGTTGTGGGCCTCTGCCCGCAACGCAATGTGTACCAAGCCCCCGAAGCCACTCCCAGGCTTCACCGAGCTGCGCATGTGGCAGCTCGCCTGGTCCAGGAGATGTCAGTTTTGTGACAAGGTTGGTTCTCTTTCTCCAGGCGAGCGCGTATGGCAGAAGGGACCCGGTAAAGAAGGCGTCAGGGTCATCTGGCCCTTCGCCATCAGAGCCTGCGGGCCGTGCCTGCTTGAACAGTGCCAGACGGTGAGTTGCACTCTCCCAATGCTCAATTCTGGGTCGCGACTGACATCTACAGGACGCAAGCCTTCTCTTCTCGGCTGCCTCCCCCCTGCGACCCGCCCTCCCGTTCGCCCTCGTCACAAGTGAGCAGCACTACATTCCTGCATACACTCTGCAATCTACGAGTACACCGGCCGACGTCGACATTGCCAAGTTCTACTACAAAAAGCATGTCGAGGAACTCACGCAGGAGATGAACGGGGCCATTAGCCGCGGCCCTGCTGCGGCTGAGGAGTGGTACAAAGGTCTTGATGTTCGCGGCAGAGAACGCATGAGAGCGGCCGAAAACTGGGAACGCTGGGAGGTCAAGAACCTGTGGATGGAAGAACAGCAGGGTGCGAAGCGCGCTCCATCTGCAGCTCCTTCGCATGCCGCCACGTCACACAGGGACCCATCCAAATCACCTCCACGACGAACCCCCTCTCCTATAATTCATGCTCCGGTTCCAGCGAGTAAGTATACCTCTGCTGTCTCATTTGCTGCCACACATGGCCATGCCTCTCGATATTTCAACAACACCTCTCCAGTCCCCAACCTAACTGGTGTAGCACCATCGTCGCAGCATGCGCAAGCGCGACCGCCCACTGTTCCACCACAGGCTTTCACTCCTTCTGGCCAGAGAAACCTACACGATGCAAACGAGGCCAAGGCGACCCGGAAGACCGACATAGAACGCCGGTGTCAGCAAATGGACCCTCCTATCGCTCCCAACGTCTTGCGCCACATGGACTCGTTCAAAGCTGCTATCCAGATTTCACAGCCAATGAACGACTATGCATGGAGTGTTCTTCAACCCCGCTTGATCGCTCAGCTCCCTGCTGCCCAACAAGCAGAAGCCGACCACGTGGCTCGGGCTGCTTCGTTTCCCACAAAAGCTGCCGACCGCCGCCACACGGACGCCAATTCCAAGGAGGCCAGAGAAGTCATGGACCGAGAGTGGGAAGAGTCGCAACGACCCATCCGCGACAGACTCGATGCCATTGCCGAAGACTTCATCAATCAGAGCTGGGACCATGGCAGCGCCGTTACTCACGACAACAGCCCAAAGTTTGCGGCCGACCTCCTTGTTCACGTGCGCCGCACATACTATGCCGAGGACCCCGAACAGGACTCTGATCATCCCGGACAACATGCGCAGCCTTCTACTGACAATATGACTACTAGGCCCAGGCTCGTCCTGGATAACATGAAATGGGTGTACGACAACAAAATCAAGCCTCTAACAGAACCATTCCGGAAGGACATCTTCCTGTGCCATGGCAACGGATGCGAATACAACAATAAGTTCTACGGTTTCGAAGGTGTTACGCAGCACTATGGAGCCAAACATACTGCCGCCTTCAGTTCAGGAAATGTGGTTGTGGCATGGAGAGAAGCCGAGTGGCCAGAGGAGACCCCATTCCACCCAGATCCTCTCTCCGTAAAACAGCCTCAACATACTCATCATCCCTCTTCTAGCACGAATGGGTTTGGCGGTTATTTTGGCGGGTACTCACGCGCAGGGACATCAACACCGCACATGCCGACTCACCATCCACAGGCGAGCCCTGGGCCTTACAACTATGGAGGCCAGTACAATGGACCATTCGCTCCACCACAGGTTCCTTCGGGATTCGAGTACCCCCAGCCATATGCGACACCCGTGGACATGTACGCGCATCAAGCAATGGGTCCCCCGGGCTATGGTGCTCATGCGGCTCAAAACCCATACTTGACCTCTCCAGCAATGATCAACAATGCCATAGCTCCTCCACCACCACCCAATATGCCACCACCTAGCCAGGGAGTTCCTGAGATCGCTCCCAGCGGTACAGAAGATACTGGCCAGAGTACTAGCTCCTTTGACAAGCAAGTAAGTACGGTCATCGATATGACCCAGGACATCTGGAAACGCACCTCGGGGATCAAAGACATGCCAAACAGCCTGCGGGTCTATGTGTTGCTACATCGCGTCATCTCCAAGTTTCATGTAGAGTTCAATCACGAACCGAACCTGAACCACTTCATTGATGCCCTGTCTAATCATGAGATGCCAAAGGCCTTGAAGAATGCACCAGGTCTCTCATGCAAAGCTTGTCAGACGGGCGTTTCGCATAACCTGGGAGGTTCCTTCTACTCCAAGTCTGAAGAAAGAACTACCTATACTGTCCTCGGTCTGTTGTCGCACTTCAGGGGTCAGCATATGCCTTATCAGCAACCCATACCCGGCCACGGAATGTCTGTTGCCCCTTTGGACTGGAAGGAAGACATGATTGAGCTCCCGAGCGAACGTTTCATTTCTGGACTCATACACGCTCCAGGTATGGACGATGAGAAGCTGCTAATGATAGCAACTGTGTTTCCCAGCCTATTCCCTATGCCGCTGCCTAAGATCGGCGTAATTGATAGCCATGGATTAGCTTCCCCAGCCTCGTCAGGACCGAAGGAATCAGACAAAACGAATGGTGCAGTCGATGTTGCGGGTGAGGCAATAGCACGACCCAACTCTGTTTTGAAAGCAACAGAAGCAAATTCGACGCTACCACCCAAGCCGCTGGAGGCTGGTTATGAATCTATTCGGCCAAGCCTCGCAGGCGAATCGAACGAGGCATCTGGCTCCATGAACCGGAAACGTTCGTATCGAGAAAGCTCGCCCACAGACCGCAGGCAGCACCACTATGCTGAATCCCGATACTATGTATGTGATCTACCACACTCCGCAGAAACATTAGTGAGACTAACGCATTTGTCTATCAGATTCCTAGGGATCACCTTGATGATGGCTATCATCGCCCGCGAGAGTATGTGGAGTATGCCCCTAGCCCAAGGATCATCCATGCTGGTCCTGCATATGAGGATTACACCGGCCGCCGAACGGCGTTCCGCGAGCAAGAGCGCTTCTATGGACCACCCGAAGATGTGGTCTATGCACATCCGCGGGAAGGAAGCCACGGCAGTCGGGAATACAGCGCCTATCCCCGCCAGCCTCGATACTATGAAGAGGATGACCATCGGCCCGAATATCGGTTCATGAACGAGCGTCAGTCGAGAGATGCCAGTCCACCTCAGGGGCAGTCTGCAGCAGATCGATTCCTCGCAGAAAACGAACCTCCACAGCCACAAACACAGCCAGAAGTAGACGCTGTCGCATCAGCGCAGGAGAACGGGGACGGCGCTCGTTACACGCCTCCGCCTCCGGAGGCTCCTGTACCAACAGACGCAACCGCACCCGTGCGCCCACTCGCGCCTCCACATCCTAGAGCTCCTTCCACTGTTTCCAACAACTCCCGGTATGATGACTATCAATCCAACGGGTACCGGATGCCTATGTCCGGACCAGGCGGTCCGCCACGAAGGGCTGGGCCTCAACGCCGAAGAGATCGGCCTTATGATAACCGAGGGCCGTCTCGATATCATCGATACATGAGTGTTGCGCGGGAAGATCCCTACGGACGTGGTTCTAGCATGAGCCGATCACAAAGTCGGAGATACGAAGAACAAAAGCGTCGCATCGATCAACAAGAAACACCACAACCTAATGCTGAGCCTGATTACGAGCCTGCGTATTCTCGAGAGCATAGCATTGATCAATCTGTGCAAGATGATGGTTTCTATCCGCCTGCCCGCCGTCATCCGCGTGGATACGTCTCTGTGCAAGACCGTCTGCATCCACATGCGCACGCGTACTCACCACCGCGATATCGTTACGATGAATCTCCTCGCGGTCCACAGCCGGTTTACGTTGACGAGTACGGGCATCCCGTGCATGACTACGAGGTCATTCGTGTACGTGGTGATACCAGATACCGGGCCCCGTATATACCACATCAGCCTCACCGATATGAGCATGACGCATATGGATACGTCCCGGTTCAATACGAGAGACCGACACCACAGAGGTACAATAGTCGTCCTGACGATTATATGTACTACGAGGAAAGGGAGAGGCCCATGCCCAGGCGAGCAGCAGCGGAGGCAGAGAATGAGATATACGAGCCGCCGCAACCGGAGATCAAGGTGGAGAGCGTGCCTGTGCCCATGCCGCCAGAGGCCTCATGATTTCATCTTTTAGCGTGACGTTCGAATTTGTAACGAATTTCCCACCTTGTTTATACCTTCACTATTCTACCATTGGTTCCTGTTTGGGTGGATATTGTGGATTCCAGTGTACTAGTCCTACCCTTCTCGATTGAATGGTTTGTACCATCACGTCACGACATTATTGTGTAATCTCTTGCCCGACTATAATATGATGGCCTTGTTTCTACAAGATTGAGGGACGTGGAGAACAGTCAAGTCCACTTGACACTGCATAACATGGACCATATACAGGCACAGATTCAGATAAGGTGAGATGCCAGGCGAATCTTGTTTTGGCACGTGTGCCTTCTATGGGTATCAAAATAAGGACACGATGGAGAAAATGATGAACGCATGTCTATGCAGTCGACTGAATCACTGGCTCTACCGAGGACTTCTCATCCACACCTTGAGCAGCGGCATCAATCTTGTTTTGAGCGAGGCGCTGTGATATTGTTAGTGTAGGTCCGTAGCTAGATGTATGAATACATACCAACAAATTCCTCAATAGCACCGCAATAGTAACTTTTCCTATGGCGGGAACATAGATCGAGGCCTTCTCCTTGACTTCTGGCGTGAAGTTTCTCTCACTGGAAAAGTTGATGCATGCGGCTCCGTCTCTCATTAACTCGAGTGGCACCTTGTACTTGTCTCCAGGTACACCACTGATGACTACATCGCTGAGCGGGAGGCAGTCGTTGAGAGTCCAGCCAGGCTTCTCCACTACCTCGTGTCTTCGCTTCCTCAGACCAACGCCTCGTGTGAACTCTTGCACGTCGCTGATATCCACGCTGTAGACGTGGGCTCCGTCATTGGCAAGCAGTGCTGCAAGCGGTCTGCCTACCACTTCACTTCGGTTGATGACGGTAATGGTACGTCCATGCAGCCTGTTGCCGTATGGCAGGATGGTGTTGTAGATTCTTAGGTACTCCAGAATCTTGATCACAGCCAGAGGTGTGCAGGGCAAGATGCTCTTTTTCGTGTTCGCAGGGTCGAGAAAGCGAATGTTCTGGTACATGTTGAAAATGTAACGATGCGACAATCCTTCTACATCCTTGTCGATTGAGACAATCTGCTGGAGATACTGGTCCTGTCGGTTACCGAAGATGGGGTAGTAAACAATGATGCCGTCCACGGCAGCGTCGTTGTTCGCTTCGATGAGGCGGTCCTCAAGGAGCTCGCGGTCGACTTCGCGCAGGTCAAATGCGAAGCCACTGCAATGAGGTTAGTAAGCGGCTTTCACCCAACTTTCAGCCAAAGGCTCAGCCATGGAAGAAGTGAGTATCGGCTGATGGACGCGCTCACTTTTCAACACAAGTCTTGCCTGTCCATTCTGCGTATACCCTCGCGGCAGGATCTGCGCTGGAGAGGAAGCCAACGAGTAGCGGCTTACGCGGAATCTTGCTCAGACCATCGCGCACTTCGTCCAGAAGACCCTTCGCGATGTTGTTCGCAAGGATGACTTTGCAGTTAGGTTTATCGTCGGCCATGGCGGGGTAACTTTGCTGTTCTGGGGATGAGCAGCGGAAAAGTCGACGATTGCAATAGTGTAGATCCGAGATCTGAGTCGGTCCAGAGAAGACGATTTTATTTCACAGCACGGGGCCACAAAGGGCAGTCAAGCCTCTTACATCGGGTCAATTAAACACACTTTCCTCACTGCCGACACTTCCCATTAACTTTTTTTGCGCGACCCGCCCCACCATTCCGATACCGGCCAATCAGCAGCACCGCAACTCCGTAACGTCATTGCCGCAACGCTGCAACTTTCTGAACCGCGTGCTTTGAGGCACACGGCAACACATTGCGATATACCGCAATCGCGACAATCAACATGTCAGATGCTCAGCAGTACCTGCTAGACTTTGACAGGAACAAGAAGGAGGCGACGGCGACTGCTCAACGGAGCGCGACGCGTATGTACGAGGTTCCGGCGGGGCATCTGGTGGCATGAGGGCTGATCGTGGACAGGACTGAAGAATGGCGAATTGAAGCTTATCAGCCTGGTCACTGACCTCGGAGAGTACTTGAACAGTGAAGATGGAGCCACGCGGTCAAAGAGTACGTATGGCTGGAATGTAGTAGGAGCTGGGCTAATCCATCGTAGCGATGTCGTACCTTGCGGAGGTACTCGCAGCCGTTCCACAGAAGGTTCTTTCCCTCCAACAACGTACGTGAGCTCGCGATCACTCAGCCCATAATATACCGTCTCCCGTACACATCCATCGCACATTCCAGACAATAACGGTCATTGGAGCCGGGCCAAAGCATCAAACATGCATTGCATTTCTAGGACGCGAGCATCGTGTCATAAGATAGGACCAGGCTAACGTGAAGGTTAGGGAACCTGCTCTGCGATTTCACCCTCTCCCGAACCGAAGACAACGAAGGCCTCGGGTCATGCGCAAAGGCACTATTGGCCCTCGAAGAGCTAGGCAAGTGGGACGACCAGCGGGTAGTCAGCATCGTTGAGGCCCTTCTCAATAATACACACCCGCTACGGCAATACAAGCAGCAGAGCGAACGCTACCCAGTGCTGCGGCTGATCGATACCCTCATGGCGAAATACCGCGAAGTACTACGAGCCCACCACGATGCGACATCAGACTTCTTGGGACGCTTCATATCATACTTTGACGGAGAAAAAGATCCTCGGAATCTAATGGTCGTCTTCTCTATACTGAGGGTTCCAATGACAGAATGGAACATTGGTGGAGATGCACAGGACCTGTTCGACGCAGTCTTCAACTACTTCCCGATTACTTTCAGGCCGCCACCTGACGATCCATACGGTATCACCGCACAAGACCTGAAGGATCGCTTGCGAGATTGCATTTCATCCACGGCCGACTTCGCGCCATATGCGTTCCCTGCGCTTCTGGACAAGCTCGATTCTACTTCTATGAACACCAAGCGAGACGTTCTGTCAACAATCACCGCCTCAGTGACCGAGTATGGACCAAGGACAGTATCTTTGTACGCAGTCACGCTATGGGATGCACTGAAGTTTGAAGTCTTGAATGTACAAGAGGAAGACCTGGCGAAGGAAGCACTTGCAGGCCTAGCAGCAATTGCAAGGACACTATCACAGGGTACCCCAGGATCACTCAACGCCTATCTCAAACCAATCATCAAGGAGTGCAACGAGCACCTTGAAGATGCACCCACGAAACAGTCACAAGCTTCCGCCAGATTTCTCCAAAGCATCGCCAACGTATCTCCCGAAGTCACCAGCCTCGTGCTAGCCGGAGTGCTGCCGAACCTCTTCCTACTATTCCAGACAGCTGACACCATGGCAAAGCGTCGAGGTTTACTGGAAGTTCTTGTTCAACTTGTAAAAGCCAACATCGACGTGTATGGTGACTGGAGAAAGATGGGCCCTGGTGGAGAAGAAGTTAGCAACAACGCGCTCGCTCAGTTCCGAGACCAAGCGCTAGAAGTCATGTTGAACGGTCTCGAGACAGCCCCAGCCAAAGAAGTGTCATTCAGACTGGTCTGTCTTGATGGACTTATCCAGCTATCGAAAGCGCGAGGACTACTCAGCGATGACGATATCGGCAGAATCATTCAGCTTCTGCATTCCGTCGTCATCCACGAAGAATCACATGGAAAAGACGAAGTCAAAGAAGCAGCAATCAACGGCATTGTCGAAATTGCTCACCAGAAGCCGCAGGTGGTAGTCGAGAAAGCATTCCCGGCTTTCCTTGCGCAACTTCCAGACACAGACGCGGACGGGTCGAAAGGCTACTCAACCGTTCTCGAAGCCTTCGCCAAGCTGGCCAGCGAGGAGCAGGTATTTGACACCGTCATACTGCGACTCAAGAATAAATTCAGCGCGGCAGTCCAACAGGGTGCTTCTTCAACATACATTGTCGCGCTACTTTCCGCGATGTTGTACGCACTCAAGAAGGGTGAGACCAAGCTGTCGCAGGGCTTGGATAGCTCGGCCTACTACAAGGATATCGCATTGCCACTTATTCAACGCGCATCAAGTTCTGATGAAACACATCCAGCGGCTTTTGACGACGAGACAACACTTGACCTTGTCGGTCGCATATGCAACTTGATCATCAAACATCTCCCAACCGAAGAGCAGAACACTGTTGCTGCGGAGATGTACACCTTGTTCCGCGGCAAGTCACAAACAGAACTTCCGCCCTTCAGTCTCGACGCTGGTGTGCAAGCGAACAAGACAATGATCGTCTCTACACACCTCCTCGCTTCTCTCTGCAGGGACGCGACGCTACCTTGCGAATTACAACTTTTGATCTCTTCTCTAGCAAACTACGCTCAGCAGCCCTCTTTATCCCTACCAGTCCGATCAGCATCCCTTCGGCAGATGTCTCTCATCATCAACAAGTACTATACCAGCGCTGCACTTAAGACATGCATGGACCCTCTCGTCGCGGACTTTGATCTTCTCAATCCGGAGAAGCTTGATCCGCCACGGATACGCATCATCTTCGCGTGCCTCAAGGGTATTGTATTGCGAAGCAGCCCAGCGCTCAACACATTGTATCCAACGCTCTTGTCTTTGCTATCACATCCGAAGTATGGCAGCACAGTCGCACAAGGCTTCACAACTCTATTGCAACCTGACGACCTTCTCACTAAGGAAAACCACTGCCAGATCCTCGGTCTACATAAGCACAAGAGCTTTGCGTTACTGGTACCGAACATCACAAAATCATTCCGAGAAGCGGATGCCCAGACGAAGCCCAACTACCTCATCGCACTGAGCGGAGCACTGAGATGGATGCCATTTGAGATAGTAGTCGAGGAAGTTGGACAACTCGTTACCCTGCTTCTCCAATCTCTGGACCTCAAGGGCGTGGATGTTGTCAAAGAGGCCGCGATTGGCACTCTCAATTCGACCCTCACGGAGAAGCCGGCAGTGCTCGAAGAGCATGCTGGTGCACTCATCTCTCGTCTTTTGAACAACGCTACCGTCACAAAGGACAACAATGCTACGCCGCCACCGCCAGCAGTGAGGGTAGCAGCTTTGAAGTGTCTGCACCTGGTAGCAGAGAAGTTCAAAGAAGAGAGGATACTAGGCTACAGGAGAGAGGTTGTTAGGAGACTCATTGCAGCGCTGGATGATGGGAAGAGAGATGTTAGAAGTGCGGCTGTGAAGTGCCGGGCGAAGTGGTTACTGGCTGATGAACCAGATGACGACTAGACAGTAGACATGACAGTAAACGTAGACGCTGAATATCACTCGAATCAATTCGACTTTTGAGACGCCTATGACTTGCTACAAATGTGCAGATTGGTATAGTCTCGCCCAACAGTTGAACGCCAGAGGCACCCTTAACGCCGCCCATGCAGTTACTTCTCATGTCTTGATACATTTCATACTCTGGCCTTCTTGGGCGTCTTCTCTTCCTCCTCGCCTTCACTCGCCGTGTCCTCGACACCAACCTCCTCGTCGTCCTCACCCCTTCCTCGCTTGAGACCCTTCATCTTCCTCGTCTGCAGGTTACCATAGTCTTGCTTGCCAAGATGAACCTTGGCCACCTTGTCACCCATCATATCGGTGTCGAAGTTCTTCTTGGTTCGCGGCTCGGCGCCCTTGGGCTTCTTCAGCGCTTGCTTCATCATATCCGGGTCAGGGAACATCTCGCGGCCGAGCGAAAAGTCCATGCGCGGGCCCATCTCCTCGACTTCGATGCGCGGCAGCTTTTGGCCTGAGCGCTTGGTGCGGAGAAGGTAGAAGCGGAGTTTTATTTGCGGGTTGGGGAGCGCGTCGGTGGGTTCTTCGGCGGAGACGGAGACGAGGTATTGGAGTCCTTCGACGTCGACTTCGGTTGCGTCTTGGCCCTTGAACAGATCGATGAAAAGGCTCTTGGCTAGTGTATATTTGGTTTGGGTGGGGTCCTCGAAGACGGTGCCGTGGAAGCTGATTAGTGGCTTGAGGCCGATTGAAGGCTTCTTGTTCTTGAATTGCTGGAGCGTCCGGAAAGTCTCTGCGTTGATGTACAGCTCTAGCATATCCAGCATCTTGTATGAGAACGTTCTTGCTAGTGTCAGGCAGTGTGGTCGCTTCTTTGAGTGTAAGGACAGGACGAGGAGCGAGGTATCGTTCTTCTCGGAGAAGAACTCGAGCGAGGTCGCATCGTCGAAGGGGTGGATGTCGTTCTTTTTGGTGAAGCGCTCGATGAAAGGTCGCTTGATTGTGCAGAGGTCGGCGACGGCGAGCTTGAGGATCTGCGAGGTCTTCTGGCCAGAGACGAAGAGCGTTGTCTTGGGGTTTTCGTTCTGTTGCGGCTCGCGCTTTGCCATTGCGCGCTTGGCGCGGGCATTCTTGGGCTTGCTAGATTGTCATATTAGAGTCGCTCATACGTGCACAAGCGGTAGTCGTCTTTACGTACACCGTCTTCAACATCTTGTCGTTGTTGTCTGGGTTGGTTGCGGATGCCGAAATCTTGGCTAACAAAAAAGTTCCCGGGATCAACGGCGTCGGAGACACCTTTCGCCGATCTGATAACGGAGAAGCAGGCCGTGGCGGGGTGATTCCGCAATTCGGCCTCTGACGTGATTTCCCAAGCAGGCGCTTTGCTTCGGGCGGCAACTAAATAGTAATCGGATCATACCATCCTTCCAGACTTCTTCAAGCACTCTTACCGCATACAATCCCAAAAATCACGACCACATCACGCCCATAGGCTAGCCAGGCAACTACCGTTGACATCAAAGATCAACCGCTCCTCCTTCGACATATACGATTAGTACCATGGCTACCATGCAGGAGATGCCCGATGAGTCGGCTTTCCAGTCGACCGTGTCCGCGCTCCCACCTTCCACCCTCGCCATCATCTATTTCCACGCGCCATGGGCCAAGCCGTGCGAGCAGATGGGCGTTATCCTGAAGACGCTCGCAAGTACATACCCCGCCGACGCGCCCATAAAGTTCCTCTCTCTCAACGCCGAAGAGCTGCCCGAGGTCTCTGAGCAATACGACGTCACAGCGGTCCCATATATCGTTCTACAGAAAGATGGCAAGACCCTCGAGACAGTGTCGGGCTCAGATGCCTCCAAAATACGAGCGGCCGTCGAGAAGTACGCCGGCGCTGGCAGCGGCCAATCCTCTAGTCTACCACCCGCGCAAACCGTCACACGACCACAGGAGAATGGAGACAGCACAGGCAAGAACCTCGCTGGGTACGCGCCTAGCGCACAGGACCCCAAGACGGCCCCCGACTACAGCGCAGGGGAGCAACAGACAAACAAGGAGGAACTACACAGGAGGCTAGGCGAGCTGGTCAAGGCAGCACCAGTCATGCTGTTCATGAAGGGCACACCAAGCTCGCCGCAGTGTGGCTTCAGCCGGCAGACAGTGGCGATTCTGCGTGAGAAGGGCATACGGTACGGTTTCTTCAACATTTTGGCCGACGACGAGGTTCGGCAAGGACTCAAGGAGTTTGCCGACTGGCCAACCTTCCCACAGCTCTGGGCGGATGGCGAGCTAGTAGGCGGTCTTGATATAGTAAGTGCACTATCATATTCTGCGCACAGGCGCTAACAGCTTGCAGGTCAAGGAAGAGTTCGAGAACGATCCCGATTTCCTCTCCCAGCACGCCGCCGGTGCCCCCAAGACGGCAGCTTAGAGAGTTGCAACCACCTCATTCAAGGGAGGATCTGAACAGGTGCTCTGCAGTCTACATTGACATTAAACCGAAATTTCGGCCGACCTTTGACGCAATATAAACTTCTGGGTCGTTTACTTCAACTATCCCCTGTAGGTTTGTGTTCAATCCACTCCTTGAATGGGATGCAACGGGCAAAGCACGTGAACTCGGCGAAACGAAGGGACTGTAAATACTGAAGAGATTGGACGGACTGGGGATGAAATCTAGGGAATACTGGGAATATTGAAGCCAGACAAGTGGGAGGCGTACCTTGGAGGCGTACATTAAAGGCGATAATGACGATGGCAGGGCACGGAATCATGTATACCAAGGGGGGTCATAAATCTGTCTACGCCTTGATTGACGGCATGGTCATGTTCGTTGATGCAAGCAGAGTGGTGGATTGAAAGTGGACTGTTCATCAATCTTTTCGAATTCTACTCTTCTTTCACGGTCTGTCCGAAATGCTTGACCTACGCCCATACCCATGATTCTTGGACAACTCTTGACCTGTGTCTGACCTTACGCTGCGTCGCCATTGGGTCTAGCGAAACCTTACCACGTCTAAAGTTTGGCTTAGATTCTGTTTAGAAAAAGAAAACATTGTTTCAATACATGCTGAGACGCCGGTAGCGCGTGTTGGTGCCCTGTTGCAGTCGCGCTTTGCTGAGAGTCAGACGGAGATCGTTACTGCGCCTTCGAGAACGTTCTTTCCAAAGATAATCAATGCTAGAAGGGTGTCCAGTCCAATAAGCGAGAGTAGCCACCAGATACATGTTCTTCCGGTTGACATGGAGCAAGATCGATCGCGATTTCTATGATGACCGTCTAGCGCGTTCTTGTGCCGACACGGTTCCCCGCCCTTCGCTGCACCCATTCCAACCTCACCGCAACACTCTTTTTCCATCATAGATCATCGATTCTTGGGGAGAAACTCTAGTCTAGATATTCACAGGCTTTGGAGAGCACTACACACCATATGTGTCTCACATCTAGTAGCACAGCTATATGCAGGGGCAGCGGTAGGACGCCTTCAACCACGCTACGGACTCCGACACCTAAGCACGGCAAGTCAGTCGCATGCCGCCAAATCTGCTTTATCTTGGGTGTCAGCCTTGTTGAAGCATGACCTGCTCGCCCCCACGTTAGATTTTGATCAGTTCACGGTACTAACCTTTAATCTTTACTCTTCAAGGCTTCGGCTCGGCCGATTATCGATTGATCGCAAACACCTCAAGTGAAAAGAACATATAATAGCAAACATGCCTTCAACATACTCACAACCAGTTTCAAAAATACCGCCAACGAAGCCCGACACGACATCTCTCCCCCGAATCCTCTGTCTGCATGGCGGCGGCGTCAACGCCGCTATATTCAAAGCGCAATCGCGATCTCTGATCCGCCATCTCCAACACTCCTTCCGCCTCGTATGGGCCGACGGCCCTTTTTTCTGCGATCCGCACTCAGACATCATCGGCGTGTACAGCGATTACGCACCTTTCCGACGCTGGCTGCGATGGCTTCCCGAACACCCTGAGATCGATGCGGACACATGTATTGAAGAGATTGGATACGCGATGCGCACAGCAATGGAAGATGATGATCGGGAAGGCGGCACAGGCGAGTGGGTAGGCTTGATGGGCTTCAGTCAAGGAGCAAAGCTATCCGCAAGCCTACTACTCGAACAGCAAGCAAGGGAAACACAAGCGCGCAAAGAAGGCACGAAGATCGCCACTGGTATCACAGGAATCTCAGGTATAAGGTGGAGGTTTGGGATACTACTCGCTGGTCGAGCGCCCCTAAGCAATCTGAACCCTGAGCTCATGAAGAGCGAGGCTCTTGTGAGTGCGGGTGACATATCGGAAGGGTTTCAATTCTGCAGAGAGGTGGACGAGGAGGCTACACTACATAAGCCTACACTGCATGTCCACGGCATGGCGGATCCAGGTCTACATCTTCATCGGAAATTACTACACGAGTATTGCGAAGACTGTACAGTGACGTTGGTGGAATGGGAAGGCGCACATCGGATACCGCTCAAGAGTATGGACGTTGATCGGGTGGTTGACGCGATATATGATATGGCTGAGATGACTGGGGTGAAGGTTTTGAGGACTGTCTGAGGTGACGAGATGGCAGACAAGAAGAATATATTCATTAGGAACGAGCAGTGGTGCCAACAACGTTTCGGTGAAACAGACCTTGCAGTGATCTTTCTCATCACGGCAGTCTACACAACAACTGTTGGGATAATGAGGATGTGATGGGGCCATCGTCTTATCTCCACGGTGATCCATCCCGAACCGGCCCTTTCTAAGTTCTTGATCAAACGCTTTGAGACTTCCAGGTATATAAAACTCATAATCATCAATATTTCGATGTGACTTCTCGATCATAGATACCAATATAGATGCAATGTATCCAGTCGTTTACATAGGAACAGAACAAGGAGAGTAGCAGAAAGACGACTGATGAATTATATTAGTCATGTCACATCGTAACCTCCTCCTGTTTTGCCTTCTTCTCTTGTTCCTCTCGCTTCAGCCTCCTCTTTTCCGCCAACTCTTGTCTCCATTTCATACCGTCCCGCATGATCCAGAACACGACGCCCAGCAAAACCGCCATTATCAGCGCTATGAATGTGAATGCCCACCCCGGGTTCATAGCATGGCACATGGGGATAATCGCCGCCGTACCGCCAGCACTCATGAGACATCTGGCAAAGTTGACGGCCGCAGTTGCAGCTGCAGGCTTATCGCGATGTAAGTCAATGAGCAAGCCATTGGTGATGTTGAAAGCACCAGTGACGCCAAAGCCCATGATGAACAAAGCAACTTCAGGGCCCGCAATGTGTGTTCGGTATTTGAGAGTCCACCCAAAGATGATGAGTCCAAACATGCCAATGATGTGGCATGGAATTAAGATCTGTAGGCGAACACGTTCGATGGGGAAGTTGCTGAGATCTTGTTGTTTGCCCTTGGAGATGGTCATGCCAACAGCTTTGGCATAGCGACGGAAGTTCCAGTCAACAACTCGGCCCATAGTAAGCGATGCGATAAGGGAAGCTACGCCATTGGAGATGTAGCAAAGACCGACATGCAATTCGTTGAGGCCATATGCGGCATAGAATAGTTCTGGGATCGCCGACACAGTGACCATCATACCAGTGAAGAAGAGGCCATTGTAGAGTAGGAGAATTCCAGACTCCTTCTCGGCCAGAATCCGGAACGTCGCAAGCGGGTTTGGCCAGGCGACCTTTTTCTTTTCGGGCTTAGGAGTAACCTCGTTAGGCGACAGCTTTGCAAGCTTACGAGCTTGTATACAACTGATGACTGAGCGATTGACGCCCTGAGGAGGGATAGAGCCATTGCCAACCACTTTCCGGCAAGTCTCAGGGAACAAGAACACGAACAACACAAGCAGCACACCGGAGAAGATGGCAAGGAACCAGAAGATGGATCGCCAGCCCAGATACTGCGCCAGCAGACCGCCTATCGTCGGACCGAAAGCAGGACCCATCAATACACCGGCCTGTGCATAACCCATGTAGGTGCCTCGCTCAGCCGACGTGGAGATATCCGCGACAACCGCCATTGTCAAGGCAATAGCAGCCGTGCCGCCAACTGCTTGTACCATGCGCAGGATGAGAAGTGCGATGTAGTTTGTTTGGAGTGCGAGGCCAATGTTGCCGATGCTATAGATGATGAAGCATATGATGAAGGTCAGCCTTCGCCCACTGTTGTCCGATAGAGTCCCAAGGAAAGCGGGAGCTATGGCTTGCGCGATCTGTGATAGTCAGTTGTAGTCAAGATTATCAGGCCTTCGGGGGAACAAAAGCGTTCCTATCTCGTTGCATATGAATAAGAAATCTTCACACATACCATGTACGTTGTAATTGATATGTTGACCTGCGTAGGTGTAATATCCAGGACGTTAGAGAGCACATTAAGTGCCGGAAGAAACATGGACGCGCCAAAAGGCGATATCAATGCTGAAATCGACACTAAGAAGATTATCCATGTCTTCATGCCTTTGCTGAAGACAGAGTATGGAGGCTCAGAGGCCAGTCGTTCCAGGTCGTCTTGCAGTCCATCTTTTTCGATATCCACCTCCTGGCTTCTTCTCTCTTTGTCACTGGCAACATCCAGGTGATCGTCGCTCGCTGTATCTTTGAGAGTAGCCATGGCGATGCTGTTATGATCTCAGCATGAGGGGTGGTGTGAGTCCGGGTGGTATGTTAACGCTAGCAGATGCCTCAACAAGCTGGCAGTGTAGAGTGGCGTGGAATTTGTCTCAAGGTCTGGGGAAGGCGAGGCTCGAAGAGTTATCGACCCAGGTCATGGGGATGCGCCCACCCTTAATCCGTCTGGTCGCCTGTCGAACATGGCGCTAGCGCCGGGACGTGGAGAGCATGCCGTGCCCCGTTGAATCTCGCTCCGCAACATGCTTAATTCCAGGGTTTGGATGCGTGTGAACGAAGTGCTGTATGCACGCTGGGGAGCAGCCGGCCGATGTTGACCGATCATTGTGCAGGGTGTGTGTGTATCGAATGGCACCCGATGTAGACAGCTGGGGTATGAACGCGTTGATGCTGTATCTCTGTCTACTGCACGCCTCTGTGGAGCGATGACGCACTTGCAGACGTCTTGAAAGAGGCAGGTGGGTTGGTGTCGGGGGGCGCGCCCGGGTATAAAAGATATCGGAAGCTCTTATCCGCGCGCATCGGGCGTGCTAATGCCGAAGGGCACCACCCACCCGATGTTTGGCCTGCTCTAAGAGGATCTACATCAATCGAGGTTGAGACAAGCTTTTGCAACGAAACTCTATGTGGTCGTGAATTGTTTTGTTGGATTGGTGCATTCTGCTCTCTGAGGCGTTGCGAACGGTCCTACTCAACGCTTCGAAGCCGAAGCGGCGTACGTCACTTCAATGACGCAAGATATGCTCTTAACACTGATCAAACATATATAATAGCATTCGGTACATACTACCTGCGCCTATTTCTGTGACCTTTTAAAGTACCCAGTTCATTCAACGCCAATGATATGCTCTTTCTCGTAACGTCGTAGCGGGATCCCCCGGAGCCTAGGCCGATGGTGGTTCCTACGTGTATATGTCGTCGTCGCCGTGGAAGAATCTTAATACTGCTTTCGCGACCAAAAGACCATCGTGCATCCAATCAGCCCTCTCAGCGGCTTCGTTCGCATCCTCTTTGCTGACACTCCCACTCTCGACCCTCATCTCCAGCTGTCTCTTAACGAGAGCCTCGTCAAACTCCATATGGCCTTGCGTGGTAAATAGCCTTTTGTGAATGTACACGCCCTGCACGCCTGTATGTTCGCTGGTACCCCATACATGTACCTTAGTGTTCTTTGGTATCATATCAGTCGTCTCGGTTGATGGAGGATTGACGACGTGGTCGAGATGCATCTGGTGAAGATGAATCTTGGACTCGGTTTCGGGCAGATTGAAGAGGTTGCGGCCAATCTCGGACAGCTGGATAGGTTGATGGGAAAGTTCCCATTCACCGTCCTTCTGGGGTTTGACGGTTGCGCCGAGAGTCCTGCAAAGAATTTGATGTCCGAAGCAAATTCCTGTGAAGCGGATATCAGGACGATGTTGCCAGACATCTGTAATGTAGTTAGCTCCTGCATTTTCCGACAGGGGCTCGTCTGAAACACATACCTTTGATGAATTGTATGAGCCTGAGGATCCAAGGGTCGTCACCGTGCGCGTCCCAACAGCTGCCCGTGATGAGTATTGCATGGACATCGTCACCGATCTCCTCCAGCTTTGGAATTGCCCCACCTTCCGGTTCGACCACATATTGCATGGCAGTCTCGATGCCTAGACTCGGCTTGTGCTCGTCTCCCGCTTTCTTGAGAAGTTCGCCCAAGACGACCCCGAAGGATCCTGTCTCTTTTTGCGTATCGGGATGTGTCTCATCTGTCTCAAGCACAAGCATGCGGACTTTGTTGGGATGATCGGATAGGAGTGTCCGGCTTTGCGCAATCGGTGGTACCATCTTTGCTATCGTCGTGTGGAAGTGCTGCGGTGTGGAGACAAGAAAGTTGTAAGAGTTACCAGGTCGGCAGGCCGTAGGTCTATGTACACAGGGTCCAGCAGATCTTTTTGCGAAAAATGACGTCTGTCGTAGAAGCTTTTGCCCAGAAGTGACTACGCGTGCAGGTTTGTACATAATCAGGGCAGATCTGGGGAGTCGAGTGCGAATACCCAGCACCGCCGCGCCGTCCAGAGCAGTCTCATGTAGCATGCTTCAGCCTCCATCTTGGCGATTTCGTGTCTGAGGGTTCGATGACGACTTCGCCCTGACGTCGGGTAGCGATGGACAGAGTCTTTGGCCTAAAGTTGAAAGTTTAACGTAATAGTAAAGTCTTGGAAGCTCTGGTGGATTCCGATGTCCCGGCGAATTCGGAACACGACAACGCTAGGCATGCAGGTACTGACAATCAATGTGGCTGCGTGGCTGAGCGCACCGGTTTGATTCGTTTGTTCATTTTACCGACTAATGTCATGCTGTGGCTGCTGCATCTACTCCACGCCCTTTCCCTTCATCTTGAGGTCTTCAGGGTCGTGCGGGGCTTCGGCTTTCTTCCCTGCCGATTCCTTACCAGTCAACACTTCGGTGAATACCTTTCGCAGCGCTTCAATCGCTTCCTCGCCAATCTGGTAATGCACAACAAATCGACCACCACGCACCCTTACGCCGTACTTCTCCGCTAGCTCGATAAAGTTGTTGATGTCAACATGATGTGCCTCCAGATCTAGCCAAACCATGTTGGTATCTACGGGGTATTGCAGCTTGCCTCCAAGATCTGTCCAAATGCTCGCAATCTTCTTCGCGTTCTCGTGAGATTGAGTGAGCTTGCCACCGAGGAATGTCTCCTCAATGGCAACGCGCATTGGAGCTGCAACAACACCGGCTTGTCGCAACCCTCCACCAATGGACTTGCGGATCCAGCGACTGCGCTTGATGAACTCCTTCGTACCGACGAGGATGCTACCAATCGGCGCGCCGAGACCCTTGCTTATGCACAGACTTATGCTATCGAACTCGGCGCAGTAGTCTTTGAGAGTACCGGCACCTGCAGCTACAGCTTCCCACAGACGCGCACCGTCCAAGTGCATGATGATGTCGTGCTTGCGCGCCCAAGCTGATATGCGCCTAACCTCGGACAGCGGCATAATTGCACCATTGAGCGTGTTTTCGAGCGAGATGAGGCGTGTAGGGCAGGCATGGACGTCATCGGAGATGACAGCGTACTTTTGGATATCTTCGAGTGTGAGGTATGTCCCATTCTTCGCATCCAGAGGTTGGACCATGGCTTGGCTCAATGTCGCTACACCACCTGCCTCGTAGTTGATTATATGGCCACGTCGATCGACAATGACGGCGTGTGGAGGGGTGGTAAGGTGTGCTCGAAACGCCACCTGGTTGCCCATAGTGCCGGATAGCACCAGGAGTGCCTCCTCCTTCCCACTGAGATCGGCAACGAATCGCTCGAGCGACAGTGTGGTCGGGTCTTCCATGGTGACGTCGTCGAGCAGGGTGCACTCCTGGATGGCTTTCAGCATCGACATGGTCGGTGTAGTGTGCACATCGGAGCGGAAGTCGAAGGCCGCTGGATTCTTCTCGCCGCTCCAGGCATTGCCATTATGACTTGTGCCATTGGTTGCGCTTTTGCTGCTCTTAGCAGTGTACTGGGAGAGCTGCGACATGGCTGAGTATGCCCGGGAAGGGTGTAGCTGGCGCGGGGAGTGCAACGCGGGGTGGACGAGGGGTGCGGTGAAGGCTCGATCAGCCGCTTTCAGGGTCTTTGCTGGCTGGAGGTGAGGTCAATCGCACAGTCTGTGGACGGGACCACGTACTGCAGAGGCGAGTGAGCGGATATAAACGCGGTGGCGGCATTGCGGCGGCATGTTACGAGGAAGGGCGCAAGGCGTGAAGCAAGCCGAAGATAGGCGAGGCTGCTGCCAACGCGGAAAAGCCACCACTCCGATTCGCCCAACCTTACCTCTACAACCGTCACAACAGGAAGGCGACTAATCCGAGTACCGCAGTAACTCCTGCATTACAAACCATTACTTGAGGGAAACTACGACCACCCAAGCAGCGGCGTCGGTGGAAGACGGTTTGACAGTACGTGTGACTTTGCGGACGCCTTGTGAACGCATTGGGTTGGCGATGTATCTTATTCGAGAGTATACACACTTTCGTATGAACGTCGTGCTGCAGCTTGCATTCAGTTAAAAATTGATAATGCGCTGAGGGCTTCCGCTTCCTCTTCCTCCCTGGAGGCAGGCGCAGGACTGAGGGTATCAGCAAAACAATCTTACCACTAGTTGTGGCAGTAGCAACCATGAACAGAACAACAACAACCACCACCACCACCACCAAACATTCGGTATCTAGAAATCAGCCTTTAGCGTCACAACTCATCACAGCGCGTTGCAACATATCAAGCCACAAACAAAACCATGCAATGTTTTCATCCATCACTCGAGTTCCTAGAGTGATATCTGGAACATCCGCAGATCCCATATGAGCAAGGCGAAGCAGCTCGTCGTCAAATACAGTATGAATGGTGGCGGCACAATTATCCCTCTCCGCCGGACATAGCTACATCCTGTTCATCGCCAACAGAGCGAGAAGCCTTAAGCAGCTCCAATGCTGCTTCACCACAACCAAAGAAAGACCCACAAGCACATCTGCGTGGCGGAGCGCGGTCCCCCGTAAAGCCACTGTGGGCTCTCCATGATCATGGCAAAGACTTTATCGGAGGCGTGTGGAAGCTATCTCGGGGCCAGGCTGCGTTTGGAGACGGCAACACCAGCTACGGCTCTATGCGACGATATGTAAGATACTGTCCTTCCCGTACTTGAACATTCTATTACCGAGGTATTAATGAGTAGTAGCATAGCACATGAGATGGCCCATGGCATCATTATGGATCGCCTAGGACTTTCACTAGGCGACGACACAAAGCCAAATGCGACCGATTGAGGACTCGCTCTGTGGGAGCATTTCGCCGACGTGGTCGCCTTGCTCCTTAAGAAATATAAAAGCGATGGACAGGCAGCTTTCCTGACTGGAGACAACTTCTTCGACCCAAAACTCTCGCCTACATGTATAGCGCTTCGAGCCCACCTCAATTCAGGGAATGCATGGAGATACCTGCATGCCGATGGAAAGGTACGTCAAGACACCTCCGTAGGGCAAATTTCCGATTTGGCATTAGCAAAGGATTACTACGATATCTCAGTGATTGCAAGCAACGCTTTGAACCTGCTAATGTGAAGAATCTTTTGAGGGGCATCAAGGCAGAAGTATACATAGTCTTAGAAACTGCTTCTTTTTTACATTTTGATTGCGTGTATGCAGCAAAGTGAAATTCGGCACGAATTACAGCCACTCCCAGTGTCACATACGTTTGAGTCATTCTATTCCACTCAACTACTCCCATCAACCGCCTTTACTAGATCCCCAAACATCGTGCTAAAGGTGTGATAGTAGTCGTCCGCACTATCCGTCAAGAAAACCCAATCCGCCGTGTTCTCAACCTGCTGCACCATAAACTCCAGCACCTCTTCAGTCAGATTCGGCAAAGAATGCAGTATGACTGCCAGCTTCGAGCGCCGGATCTTGTGTGCTTGCAATGGCACCATGACGTCTCTATCCAGCCACTTGTCGAATGTCTCTTCGAACACGACGGTGAGATCGGTGAGGTTGAGGTAGGATTCTTGGAGCACCGTGGGCGAGGTGAGGATGGACGTGGGTATCAGGCCAGGGTTATGAGCTATGAAGCCGTCGCTGAATGCTGTGTTGTTCTTGATCGCTTGATTCGCCGTCTTTAAGTATTCGTAATCGTCTTCATCCAATGTACTCGGTGTCTCATCTAAGAAGATTCCATCAACGCGCATCTTGGTGATGTTCGTGACTTGGGGCCAGCGCGCGTAGGTGTCGATTTCTGCTAATAAGCTTTCGATAGGTTTGTCTGCGTAGTCTGTTGCAACGTATCCTAATGTGCGAATGTTTGGGTAGGCTCGTAGTTTGGGGACTTCATCTAGGTACACTTGATCGGGGAGTGATCCCATGCAAGGGCCAGAGCAGGGGTTGATGATGACGTTAAAGTCTACATTCCTATGCGCTTTTGCTCTAGGGTTTTGTCAGTACGTAACGATACTCGAGGTGGATACGCTTACGCTGTGTATAGCGGTTCCCAGGCGCCCGCGCTTGGGTACACGTAAAGCGGCAAAAGTATAGACATGTCGAAGCGGTATCTTGAGCGATGGCTATAGAGAAGCAGAAAGCTGACATTATAAGGCCTTCCGGAATTGAGACGGTCTTCTAGAAGCCAGGATGCGTTGCGTCATGACCGCATTAGCCCGGCACGTGTTGTACCTGACAGCGGGTGGTGGCACCATCCGCGTCTCCGGCCACGATCTCCAGATAATACGCCAGATTGCATATAAAGCGGTCTTCGCTCTGTGTGCCATCCAGAGTCTTGGGGTTCTGCGTTCGGTCCAATGGCAGTCGGTTACGGCAGATACGCTGGCTGAATCGGCCATCCATATTGCTGACCGGGATCGCCAAATAGCCGGACATATGAGCACGATAAGGGCGAAGAGATTCGCAACGAGCCAACCAGCTGTGAAGCGGGCTTCCTATTTCAGGATATACGGACAATATATGAAATCAAGCCTCGACGCAAGCCCGCACGAATGTTGATTTCGACAAGAACTCCCCAAGGAAGTTGCAGCTCATGAGATTTTTCTGCGGCATCAGTCTCTTCATACCTTCTCGAAATCTCAGTATCTTGGATTGCATTATGCCACTCCATCTCATGTGGGGTGAGGTCGAAGTTCAACAGCTTAGCCCAAAATCGTCCGGTTGTCAAATCATGTGCAAAGAATAACGAGAATGGATGCGCACTGCCAGGTCTGTTGCAACGAAGCCAAACCATGCCAAAAAAGCTCTGGTAGAAGATAGGGTCGTATCTACCAGGCATGCACGCTAACTTGATCGAAAGCTCTTTGCGATCTGGATTCCATAGTTCTTGAGGTTGTACGCTTAGTATGTGGTATCTCAAGTGGTCGAACTCGAAGTAGAGACAATGCATCGCACAGCTCGTGAGCTGCCTTGGGATTCGGAGCAGATGTTCGAAATATAGTGTCTGGCGCTCCAGCACTGACTCATCTGCGTCATGGAATCTGTTTGGTGCAACTCTAGCATAGAAGCTGAATTCCAGCTTTCGTACAAGTAGACCAATTGCTCTCCCATTTTGGCTTGCATCCAGTACAAGGAAGTGGATGGGATCGGCACCCGCACGTCCTGGCAAACGGCTTTCGCGAAATCGCTTTTCACTGGCGTATTCCGGAGACAATAGTGCTTCGATCTTCAAACCCAAATTTGACATAGCAAACGTGCTACGACCTCGATCAACGCTTTGCGATTGTTCGAACACGTCTGGCGACTTTGCTAGCAATCCGCAATAGCTAGAGGCCGATCCCCAAGCCGCTCTCCACGCAAAGATCGAGTCGTCGGGAGTCGTCCGGATGATTTCCTCTTGCAATCGACTGAACGCGTTTTCGCCCTCACCGTACAACATGGGGATCTGGATTCCGAACAAACCCATCAGACTATACGCGCGGTCTTCAATTCGAGTCGTCTTACGAGTAGCTGCCCATGACATCTTTTGGGCGACAGACGACCGGCTCAAATCCCCGGTCCTCAATACGTATTCTGAGACTCCGGTAGCTTTTGCTAATCCGTTATACATTCCCCAGATTTGGACAGAAGTAAAATCTTGATCGTAGAACATGAGCGTCCTTGGTGCAATAAGTTCCTGTAAGGTCCAACCCCTAGTGATCCATTTACAAGATTGTAATATCGTAGCAAAGTCAACCCGCCCGTTGTAATGCGTGATGTCAACACCCTCCAGATGTACAGCACAGAAGCTTGATTGTCGGTACCATCGGTACATAGAATTGATTGCCTCCTGCAACTCCGCACTGCTGCTCTTATCAATGCAACAAGTGTCTATCCAGAAATAATCCAACGTTTTCTTTCTTGCGATGTTGGCCGTTTCCTGGATTTTGCAGTAGCCGGTACGACTCTGGATCGCCCTGCTATCCAATAGAATGTTCAGTCCGGCAGACATCTTCATCGCGGCTATGAATAACTCATCTTCCTCCAGCTCGGTTGGCAATACTTTGTATTGTTGCAAAAAGCGCATTTCCTGGTAGCTGACCTCTTCGTCTCCTTAGACATAAGGAAGTGCAAGGTAGAAACGGTACAGCTGCGTTAACCGTCCGAGGTGCAGATGACAGTGGCTGTGTGCATCGGCTCAATCCCCCGCCCACTGCCCGCAATGCCAGCCTTCCCAGTACCATACACTGCAAAACGATTCTTACAATTCAACTTTGCCGAATACATCAAAACGGCGATGACAGACCCGATGGCGAAAGCATGGCGAAGAGGACCTCGGGGCAATACAATGAATCTCGATCACCGCGAGGGACGTGTCTTTGCCGATGGTGTGCGGGTTACAATCATGTAACCAGAGCTAGAGAAACAAAGATTCACTGCCTACTGCTAATGAAAGCATAGTGGCAGAGTATTGCAACCACTTTGATGAACAAAAGGATCAATGGATGCGACTCCTTCGTATAAGATCCTGCACCAGGGAACTAACCTCATCTGGGCCGAGCCAAAGGGATAGACGCGCAGCGATGCCACACATCGTCTTTTCCAACAAACACTGCGTACCCGTTACATAGTCGTAGGCCAACACCTCTGTGGGAACCTATCTTCTTATCGACTCAGTCTCTTCACGATCGAGATGGGCGAGTCAGAAGTCCTGGAGCTCTACCGCCTAACGGGTCCTTAGAAGGACATCTTGGACCATTGCTTCACCGACGCCCCCGCACCACATGAGATATTACAGACGCATCAAAAACGTCCGATGCCGTCCAAACTACGCAAAATACTCAATGAGATGCTCATTCCATCAGAAGAGTTGAAACAAGCGATATACCGGAGCATCAGTCGCGCGTGGGACGAGTACGCAACAGGCGGCCAGAGCCCTGGCGCATTCATGCGATCACCGACTGGAGCGCCTTACAAGATAGTCTTCATTGAAGGCAAAGGGCGCGGGGTCGATGAGACTCGCGACATCAAAGCTGGCGAGATCAGTTTGCAGGAGTCACCCTTGCTGGTCATGCCATACCGCGAGTTTATGCCTCCAATCTTGCTCCTCTTGCCCAAAGGAGCCTTGGAAGCCATCTTGCTCTTGTACAGCGCGCGACCTGATGAAACGCCATTCACGGATGATAGAGACCACACCCACCACCGGCCCTTAGATACACTCGTCGATTGCGTAAACTCTGATGTGTTCGATGACGAGGCTTCGTTTAGCAAAACTGGAATGATTCTCTTGACCGGATCGATGTTCAATCATGAAAGCCACCCGAATGTCAGGAGGCATTGGGACGAGCAGCTGGAGCAGGAAGTATTCAAGACCTTCCGAGATGTGAAGAAAGACGAGGAGTTGACGGTCCGTTACTCCGGCTCTGCAGAGGATCTGAAGAAGTACGGTATCTGATACACATAGCGACCGTTACAACACTGAGGAGACCGCATCTGATTACATGGTTGCAAAATACCAATGTCGACGTGTGCCATAAATCACGTCCTTGGTGTGTAAGAAGAGCCGCAGTGCCGAGCGTTGAGATGAGAATCAGGGCATGTTTAATAAGTGGTATCTAGAAACTCGAAATACTAGTACTGCTACTCGTATTTTTCGGCTTGTGGGGTCCAAACTGGTCCATCTCCATTTGCACAAGTGATTGCTCATCCTGATCTGCATGCCGTATTTCGAAGGTCTTGGTGTATGTGATAGCGTTTGGGTCTCGCGCGCCGTTCGAGACGGCCGATCGTCCTGGACCACTGGCCAGCGCACTACCGCCCTTCTTCATGCCATGACTTTGACTACCATATGCGTAGTAAGGTCGTTCTGTAGCCTTGGTCGTGCCGAGAATCTTAGGGAATAAGTGTACGAGTATGACGCGTAGGGCAGGGAGGCAGGCGCAGATGATGCCAACGTTGATTTCGATATTGGACCAGTTTATGACATCTGTTTGATCCCATGTTGGATTGGATGAGGCTGCGAAGTTGACGAGAGACGAGAGACGAAGGATTGAAATGATGGTCACACTGAGGTTTGAGTTAGTCATAGTCGTTCGTAAGCCGTTAGAAGTGTAACTTACAATGTGCCGACGCAGAACATAACAGCGACGCTAAGCTTCTTGCGCCAGGAGAGCTGCAAGTGGAACACCTCATACAAGGGCAAAGCGAGCATCCAGATATCCAAGACAATGCTGATGATGGCATTTGTCCAGGCTAACCCGTTGATGTCGATACATTGGCCGGATCCTTCTCCATCCCATTTGGTCCAGTAAAAAGAGATTGGCCGACATTGAAAGATAGCCACCAACGTGAAAGCAAGACCGTTAAGGCAGTTGAAGGCAATGGTTGCCCATAGTAGTCGCCTGATGCTGGGTTTCGGAAATATCCGCAGGAAGAAGAATAGAAGCGTAAGCTTCAGAAGCGCGACCTGAATGAAATAGAGGACTTCCAGAGCGTAAAGATATCTGACGAAGTTGGTGATTTGTTCGAAGCTGACGGTCCATACATCTCGTCCTAGACCGTTGGGAACAATAGCTCTATCGATGATGACCACAGATGGAACACCAGCTATTAGTGCGGCCAAGACACTGTAGTCATCGTAGCCAAGTTCACCGACAGAGAAAACAGCTTTGTATATGATCCTGGAGAGCGCACAAACGGCGGTGACGATCGAAAGAATCAAGTTGGATACACGAATTGATTCGCCAGAGTAACGGATCGGAGCGTGACAACTTGTTGCGGTAACGTTTTTGGTTGCTAAGAACCGCAGTCAGTAACAGTAAGCATGCTGACGGAGTTCGAAGCACTCACTCAAACTCTGTCTCAATGTACATGACTTCAACACGCAAGCTTCTACCGCGCCTTGCAGTTTAGCATCCGCGCATACGGAGGCCTGGTCTGTATGTTGTATTGGCGATTGTGCAACTGCAGTGGCAAGACACGTTTGCTGAGAAACAGTCAACAGGTGCTGGAAATATTGTTCCGGCTGGACATACCGCGCATTGGGGAAGTTGCTCAATCACCGCCAGTAGAGCCGATTCCTGAGCGACTACCAGCTGTACCCATGCCAGCAATGGGAAAAGTAAATGAATTGGCCTCATCCTTCTTCGTACTCGCACACGACCTTCGTGTACGATCGAACGGCCAGGAAGTGTGAGGCGGAATGAAAAAGACGGCGATGGTCCGGATCAGACCCTTACTATAAACTCCCTGGGAGGCCGGAGAATATCAAGAGCTGTCAAGAATGTCAGGCCTGGTCGGTTAGTTTCCGGGGCCTGCTCTATATGAGACCATAGAGGAAGGGAATAACTGCAGGTACAATTAACCATTGGGCATGGTGGACGGCAAGTGCAGATTGAGGTATACAGTGGGGCTGGACCGCCTCTAGTGCCGCTCTTCGAGGGTCATGCATCTTCCGTACCAGAGGTGTATGTCTCGCCGTAGAGATGATCCCTGGCATATTCACGGAAGGACTTGCACTAGATTCCATTATTATTGAACACCACCAATGGTTCGGCTGAAACCCAGGGCGAATGGAGGTGCTGCCCCAGACTAGTCGAAGTGGGCCCTTGCTGACGCTTCACAGGGCAGACGCTACCAACGACGGAGGTCATACTTTTCAGGAACAGCGGTTTGTCGACGCTAAGTGGACTTCGCCTAATATGCAGGTCGCTCATGAGGTCCAGGAAAGGAGACACGTCCTTTGTATAACACCCTGGCTACCAGCAACCTTATCTATCTGCCTGGCTAGCACAGAATGTACGAAACTAATGTGAGAATTTCCCGATCATCGCCATTCGGTTGCATATCCTTCCTGCCATAGTATGTTTGCTTCCGTATGGATCGAAGCCTCCGAGATTCCGGTAGGTTGACCAAAGATGGTGGCTCGTTCCGCAACGCCACAGACGAGCGATTTTGTGCACATGCAAACAGCTTGGCGTACGCCACTAGCGCGCCTGCATGCCGTTTGCTCCACCTCGCGTACGTCAACCGCCGCCGAGCTTCGACCGCTACCGCTGCACTCTTCGCGGCTCAGAAAAATCACATGGGGGCCCATTTGCTTTTCGAAGATCATGTTCACTGACTCTGGCAACGTTGATGATCGACTTGTGGAGACCGATGCGGTATTTGCGATACGCGAGGCAGGATACAGCCTTTCCATGTGCTTCACGACGCTCGTCCTACTACCCATCATCAGAGCGGCCTGTAAACGTGCCGCTCTTCATCACATGTCATTTGGGCGCTGGTCTGAGTGTCACTGGCGCGAGAGACTGCGAAGTGCAGGAACGGCCTGGAAACAGCCATTTCTTCGGCTAACGTTCCATACCACTGTGTCGCAGCAAGGTATGGGACGTGTTCTTTGGCATACCCAAGGTCTGTGGTAACCTTGAAGACCCGGCCGTTTTGTTGAGCATCAGCAGATTCTTGGTACGGTTGCAATCTCGCCGTTTCCGAGCTAAGAAGCGATGCTCTCAATCATAGTGAGCACCAGGAAAAATCTGAATGATCTAGGAGCTATACCTCCGAAATCTTTGAGCCACGTCCGAAGCATCGTGTCTCTTGCAGCCATTGGTTGGTGTGAGAACTTCTGAACACCGACGTTACTCCATAACATGGCCGCGGAAGAAGTTCTCGAATCCATCAATGTTCCATGACATGGTTGCAAAACATATCCCGGCTGATACCTCAGCCCTACAAGGTATACCTGATGCACCCTCGAAACAGACCCATGCGATTGCGCGAAGCTCCGTCATTATTGCGTCCGCTGTCCCCTTTCCTCACGACTGATGCTTAGGATCTTGACTTCCTGAGTCGATGTTAGTGGGGCAATGTTGCGATGGCATGACTTTTGACTCGCAGCCTCTTCCTCGATTCAAGCAAAACATGCCTGCGCATCCCTCGCGATCACGATGCTTCGCGAAGGAGGTGCGGCGCGCTTCAGACTTCGCTGGTTCGTTGTCGGTCCGACGTCGTACTCTCCAGATCACGAGCGCGGTACCCTCCGGTTTTGCTTTTCTGTTCCAGCCATCATGGCGCAAATCGTCGGGATTGCGTACAGGAGGCGCAAGCATCCCGACTGCACATCCAAAGTTTTCTGCATGTTCCAGCGCAGTGGCACCCTTACGCTTGACTAACACGTTAGCAGATGGCATTTTCCGCGCATGTGTCGTCGTCCAGCTAGGCGAGCTCGGCGATCTCTATGTAGCAAAGGCCACCAGACATCTTCGAGTGCTGCTGATTCAGGAGAAGAATCCTTACAGATCCTACCCTATGACACTTAGGCAACCTGCTATCGAGAAGCGCATGCAAGCTGAGTCCCCACACCACTCAGCCGTAAATCAGCTCTAGCTGTCATTTTCGGGCCGCACCTCTGCAACGAGCCAACGTTTCGGTAACCAAACTTTGTATCTCCAGAGCCACGCGTGACGACATGCGGTCAACGCAGGCATCGGCAATTGCCTTTACTCAAACATAGGTAACTCACTCGCGTGGTCTTCGTTTACCACCCTCGGATCTACGCGGGTCGATCTCTCGGTTGTCTGTACCAAACGGTCAGTCACCGGCATCACGCATCGGCATCTGCCAGGGGCTGACGATCACAACGTGGGCTTGACGAAAGCGACCACTACCCTCGGGTGACTAGCCAAAGCCGTTTCTATATGCAAGTTCAATATCGACCACGTTGCAAGGAGCTGCCATTGGTACTTCCTAATTGAGAGTCATCCAATTGATTTTCCAGCTCCTTTGGTCTTGCAGCCCTCATAGGCCACCCTTTTTCGAGACTCCATGTCTATATGTGACCGCATCTAGCAATCAAAACTTCAACGTTGAGCTGCCTCTACACCATATGTGTACTGACTCCTACCACCGGCAAAAAGAGACTCACGATCAATACCAACCCAAGACGAACCCAAGACTACCAACCTCTTCAGTAATGCTACCCGTGTCGCCTCGACTCTGGGGTTCCACTTGTCCTAGTGGTGACTATCTTCTCGTGTTTGGCGAGCAAATTCGCAAGCAGCCGTTCTTCATGATCGACAAAGCTCGAGCTTTACCGGTAGTTTCGAGTGTATACCGAAGTCATGTGCCGAAAACCCATACTCTCAAGTGGCTGATGCATTCCACGATGACGTAGAAACCGGCCTCCTACTTTCCTCTTCCCCTCTTTTCCTCGTTTCCCCCCATCAAACTTTCTCTGGGTTCAGAAGTAAGTATCACCATGCCGATATTATCGTGAACTAGTATTGTCTCTCTTCAGTATAGAGGGCAGATCTCAGAAGGGAATGTAAGTAATTGATGGGACAGAGACCCTACAACACTTCACTACGAGCCGCATCTCCGGTCACACATCCATCATTGCACATCCGAAAAGCTAATTTGACAAAACCGCTATGAACCGACACATGCAAGTTGTCGCTGGAGCTTTCCAGGCTGTCACATGGAATCTCCAGTTTGACGCATGTGCCTCGTGGCCATATCGCAACGTGATCACGACGATCAAGCGCCTTGACTCACTCTAGTTTCGTCTTCGCCTCGCGGTAAACTTTCCAGTATGAATTTGATCCGCTACTGCACCGCATTTCAAAGCACAGTAGATCCATCCTAGCAAATGACGTTTGGTCTTTGTCAGTTCAAAATAAGTATATTGATCTGCCAAATCCTGGCGACTAAGCCGGCGGGCATGCTTCACCACGATTTAGCTGGCGGCTATCCCTTAGCCCACACTTCGCAGAACACCCTGTAATACATCATGTCGCTCTACTTCTCGTTGCACAAGCCAACATCCAATTCTCATTACAAAAAGGCCAGGTCTCATTCGCATGGGCGACCATGTCTCAAAGACTATCAGAGTGACGTTGGAACGTTCTCAGAACCAGACGTATGTCTTGTAAGAGCAAAACGCACGCCAAATTTCATCATGTCTCGTTTTCTCTTTCTCACAAACAAGCAGTGCAGTGATTGCCACCATGGACGTGTGAAAGACGCATGGCCAGTCTCGAACATATCGCAACATCGGAAATATGTATATGTCTGGTATTTCCAAAGAAAATCTCCATCGTCGATGATCAAGATTCTACGGGTCTGGGGGTCTAGAAAGCTGTGTTTTCCGTGTCTATAACCCAATACTTCTCTTCGCACACTCTCTTCAGTACTTGTTTCACCAAAATCTAAGTTCAGATGATGCATGGCCTTTGTCTCTCGGCCGCCAAAAGATCAGAACTCCACTTACAGGAGGTCTCCTGCTCCTTGGCAATTTCTCGCGTCGCAAGGACCAATTGATCCGATCTCTGCATCGACTTTACACCTTTGGAATACCGGTACGTTGGGCAAAACACCATCTATTCCGTTGGATGAGGGGTACCCTTAGTATAAGCACATGTTAGAAGTGATTGAGAGTTATTGAAATACGTACAAGGCTGTCTGATGCTCATTTCCAGAGTCGGATAAGGTGACGTGAGGTGTGTGAGAAGCAAAGAGCAAAAGCGGACAAAGAGATCATGCATGGTTTATCAAGAAAACTTGGAACAAACACGATGGTTTTGCTCTATGTGGAAGGGGTCAAAATACATGGCCTATGGACCCGAGTAATTTCTAAGCCAGTGTCTCAAGTTAGAAAAAAAAAGAGGAACAGACGAACAATGTTGTCTCTGTCTTGAGAAGTGACCATTTCAAAGTTATGTGAGGTTCCCCAAGTCCGATCTTGAATACAACAGCAATGATCACGAACGCAAAGACGAACAAATTTGATGCATAGAATATCATTGATTACGCTCAAGGCGACTCTCAAAAGGTATCATCTCCGTCATTCCCTAAACCATACATGCTCATCGCACAGCCCGCTCACCAAGAGTCTAAAGTATGGGCACGAACATAACGAAACAAAAGGGACATAGACATAGCCTCCATGGGAGGTAATACATGGAAGCGGAGATAGGACTGGACTGCCTGCCCGCGGGTAACGCCAAGGGATTATACCTCCCATCATGTCATGCTCATGTTACCTTGCCAGCCCGCTGTGGATGCAAAACCCAAGTCTAACGCAAGGAAAACGCCGCCCAATGAAACTTTGCTGGTATGACGCAAAAGATAGTAAAAACAGATATGAGAACAATGGTTCAGTGTGGCCTATTCGAGTCACCGTCCGAATAAGCCGCTGCCAACGCTGATCGTACCGAGACCACTGCGTTGTGTGAGGGGTGCACGCGCCGCATCTGGTCGGGCCGCGCCTGGTGGTCCTGGAGCGGTATTTGGCTCTGCGTTCATGGGTCGCATACTGCCAACCCAGCGTGGCCCAACTTGCTCGTGGGGTATCTCCATATGCTGTGCCGCGGGACTTGACATTATCCCGTAGGTTTCTCTGCTTAGAACGCCCATGTTAGTGCGAGGGTCAGAGCCAGGTGTCTCAGCGTATGTGATATGATCGACCGGCGCGCGTTTCATGTGTAGAACCGGTGATTCTGCTTCGCCTAGCAGACCGTTGGCGTTGTGAGCATTCGACGACGGAGGGTTGGAGTTCGCTTCGATTGTGGAGGCAGATCCGTTGGGAGCTGAGAGATCGACCATTCGACGCTGACCAGCTGGTGTCTGGTAGCTAGGTACGCGTGACGGCCCTGGAGGGTACCGGCTCTCCTGGTGTGAAGGATGTCGCGGGTTGGCCCATGGCGTACTTTCGAGGAACTGTTCTTCTGCGGCTGCCTCGTCCGCTGTTGTCGTTCTGTTGTAGGTGCGGAACGAAGGGGGCGGCACTGGAGCACGCGTTGCAATCTACCGCGCCGAATCAGCTGCTAGTTCTCTAGCAGTTGCGTTCAGCCACTTACCTTCATTGCTCGAAGATCCTCGTCAACCTCTGTTGGTCGCGCAGCGCTGATGTCTGGGGCGGCTGGGAACCCGACGTACTTGGCGACACCTGAGAGAATGGAGACCTCGAGGTTGTATGCTGTTTGGTGTCTGATCTGGTCGGACCGCTTCTCAGGTAATCGCACCATGTATTCAGTCTCGTCGCAACCAAGCTGGCGTCGTCCGCGTTGTAGTTCGAATACTCGCTGGTTGCACTCTTCGAGAATGTCCTCGCGGATGTGACGTACAGTCTGGAAGTATTGGCTGTGCATTTGATGCCGCTCTGCTGCTGTGATTATCTCGAGATTTTTTTGCTTATATTCCAAAAGTCTTGTCTCGTATGCGATCTTGTCGGCGCGTCGATCGTCTACACACTTGATCATGGCGACGTACTCGGGGTGGACGCAATTGGGCTGCTTGAGCATTTCGAGCTCCCGTTCGAGTTGCGCTATCTGCTCGTCGCATAATCTGGCAGTAGTCAGCAGCTTGTCCTTCTGGTCGCACCTTGAGTGGGTTACTTACTTCTCTCGGAAAAGCTTAAACTTCTTTTCGATCTTTGCAAGCTCATCGATGGCCTGTTTCTTCTTAGTGACCTCCTCATCGAGCACTGCGCTGTCTTCGTCGTCGTGCTCGCCCTCGGCTTCAGCCTCATGGGCTTCAGCTGCTGTGAAAGTCTCAGCATAGGCATAGCTGGGGTCCTCAGTCTTCCGTTTCCCTCTTCTGCCACCTTTCCTTGGTTTTGTGTGCTTCGCGACAGTGGCCATCTCACTGACAGTCTGCGCCGCAATGTTGGCCTGTCGCTCCTCGAGCTCCAGCTCTTCGCGAGCCAGTGCCGACAGGTGCTCTTCGGCGTTCTCGAGCTCTTCGTCCGCGTCCATCTGCCCCTGCCTGTCTGCTGCGGCATCCGCCAGGCCATCGAGCGCCGAACCTTTCGCATTTACGCTTCGCTTCCGTAACGGTTCCTCTTCGCGCTCGTCCACTGGGCTTCCCTCGGCACTGCTGCGCTTTCTCTTCATGCCCACGTGTTCGAGATTCGCCGCTTCTGACGCTGCGATCAGCGAAAGAGAATGCAAAGGGTTTTCGGTTGTAGGTGCTTCGCTCATCGTCACATCGTCTGTAGCAGCAGATGGCGTGGGTGGGGCGGAATCGTCGTGCTCGATGGTTTTGGAGTGCGCGAGCTTGCTTGGAGTTCTTGTGTGGATGGGTTCAGAGAGTAATGACGTCTCCGTCGCCGTGCGCGCGAACTTTCGGGGCGTGTTGTCCAGTCGCTCGGTCTCGGCCTCTGAATCATCCTCATCCATATCGGCTACTGCGATTGGCCGTGGTGTTGATTCTGACTGGTCGTCCGATGCGTCTCCGAGCTCGCTCAAGCTGCTAGAGCCGTTGTCGGCGACATCGTCGAAGCCATTTGGAGCTTGCTCTGCGGGCAGAGACTCGGTGAGCACTGTAGTCGGGGCTGCCATGGTGGACAGCATTGCAGCAGCGATGGCAGTGGGGTCTTGGTCAGCTGGTGTGGGTACCTGCGTTGGCGCAGAGTGGTCGGAGGGAGAGGTTGTGGAGGTGGGGTCAGAGAGTTCTGTTGTGAGGGTCGAAGTGGCACCTGGGAGGGTCTGTTAGATATGGTGCAGGTTCGGACGACGTGGGTAATAGACGCGGTGAGAGAGGCAAGTTCGCGACGCCGTCGTCGCCTCGGTTGTTGACGCAAAGATCGACAGTCTCTCCAAGGCGCAGTGCCGCGCTTGGGGAAACCGAAAAAGCGCATCGGAGTCGGGATAGAGAAGGTGACAACGTACTTTGAGTGTGCGCGACGTCCTCGCTGGGGCCGAGAGCTGTTCTCGAGGTGCTCCGTCTGGTCTGTTCGGGCGCGCTCATAGTGCGCCCACGCCGAAGACAGCCTCACCTCGTGACCAATGTCGTAAAAATATGCCGTAGAAGGTGTTATGGGCCTTCGCGATGCGATATGGGCGTTCTTTGGGGTGGAGGCTGCAGGGCCCGGCGAGCGGTCAAAAACAGTGCTGCGGGTGTGAGGGACGCGGGCGTCGAGGGAGCGTGTGGGGACGTCTCAGGCAGGAGCGACCGGGTGGCAGGTCTGTGATGTTTGTATGAGTGTAAGAGCAAACACAGGACAGCGACAGGCATGGGTGTGGGCGTGGTGAATGCAGAGGGCAGCTCGGTCGGGATGGTGTAAACTGCGCTCTGAAGCGGGTCGACAGCCGGGAGAGGCCCTGAGGCGTGCAAATGACCGCACTGCCCTATGCCGGGCGGTGACTTTCTGCCGCCTGCATGAGCCAGCTGAGCCTAGCGCGCGTCCGTCGTGAAGGGTCTCCACCAAAACTTTTTGACGAGCTTGCTGTCGCCAACATCAACATCTCGATTGTCGCAATGGCCAAATCAAAGGACAAACGCTCGGCTAAGACCGAAACGCCCAAGAAGAGTCAAAAGTCCGACAAGTCACTCATCAAAGTCGACAAGAAGGCGTTTGACCCGGCGCTAGCATCGCTGTTTGCTACCAGTGTACGTTGATTGCATGTGTCTGTACAAAAGAGTAATTGCTAATGATGTCCAGGCCGGACCTGTTCAAGCGCCGCCAAAGTCACGGTACCAAGCGCGCGAACAAGCGAAAGCGACCAAAGAATCGAGCGAAGATGAAGGCGATGCGAACGATGCGGAACTGAGCTCGGCATCCGAAAGCTTGCCGTCCGACGATGAGGATGAAGACGAAGACGAAGATGAGGACATGTCCGATGCTAGCGACGACTCTGAGTCTCAGGACGAGGCCGCGCTAGCAAAACTGGGTGAAGCCGTACTGCACGGCGCAAAGGAAAAGCCAAAGAAGCGCAAGCGAGGCGACAAGGAGGAGATCGAGGATGCATATATGCGCAAAGTAGCGCGAGAGGAAGAGAAGGAGGAGGAGCAGAGACAGAAGAAGCGCAAGACCGAGGAAGAGGAGGACGAGGACTCTTCAGACGAAGACGACGAGGACGAGTCTTCGGGTGAAGAAGATGAGGGCAAAGAGACCAAGGGCGCGGACAAGGCCGAAGACATCACAATTCCCAAGCATGAGTCGCTTATGGAGAAGACCGACGAGGGCGTAGCCGAGGTGGAGAAGGCATCGCGCACTGTCTTCCTAAGCAACGTCTCGGTTGAGTGCATAAGCTCAAAGCCCGCAGAAAAGGCTCTCAAGAAGCATCTGGAGTCCTTCATACCCGACCTTGCCGATAACAAGCCCCCGCACAAGATCGAGTCGATACGTTTCCGATCAACGGCTCTCGATCCCTCGCTACCCAAACGCGCTGCCTTTGCAACCAAGGACATCATAGACGCGACTACCAAGAGCACGAACGCATATGCTGTTTACACGACCAAGGTAGCCGCAAGAGAAGCTGTCAAGAAACTAAACGGCTCTATGCTGCTCAACCGCCACCTTCACGTCGATTCACTAGCCCATCCCATGAAGGTTGATCACCGCCGCTGTGTCTTCGTCGGCAACCTTCCATTCGTAGACGACGAGTCCCAAACACCCGTCGCAGAAGGCGAGAAGCCCAAGAAGAAGAAGCCCGCCTCCGACATCGAAGAAGGTCTCTGGGTAAACTTTGCCAAATGCGGGAAAATTGAGAGCGTGCGCGTAGTCCGCGATGCCAAGACAAGAGTCGGAAAGGGTTTCGCTTACGTCCAGTTCGTCGATGAGAACGGCGTTGAAGCCGCGCTGCAACTTAACGAAAAGATGTTCCCACCTATGCTCCCTCGTAAGTTACGTGTTACACGTTGCAAAGCCGAGAAGAAGAACAAGGACAAGCCGAGAGGTCCACCACCATCCAAGGCACCTAAGCCGGGCGGCAAGCCTGGTGCTGGTTACAAGCAGAAGTTGACTGAGGAGCAAAAGTCGATGCAGGGACGTGCTAGATCGATGCTGGGCAAGGTCGCCAAGGCACAAACAAAAGAGGGCTTCGTGTTTGAAGGCCACAGGGCGAGTGAGAGGCAGGGCAAGAGTGGGCTCAAGTTCAAGGGCAGCGGCGGTCAGAAGAAGGGTGCCAATGGACGAAAGAGCAGAAGTGCGGGCTGGAAAAAGAACGGTGGGAAAAAATAGGCTGGTCTGTGTTGAGCATACATTCTACTATTCACAAGGTTCACCCTGCGAGTATCGGAGCTGTCTGGTCCAGACAGCTATCGTCGCGTTCATTCGATACATTACATGCGCATCTTCACAATAGAGCTTGCACCCCTAAACTGTGGATGTGATACTGGATCCTGAGGATATTTGCGACTGGCTGTCTCCGTCCAGTACATCAGCTTCACGTATCCTTTCAGATGCTCCGAGGGTATCGGATCTAGATGTTGGTGCGGCCAACTACAGCAGTAGCTGTTCCACTCAGCAGCACACCGTAGAGTATGGGTGATTCTTGCAATGTGCACGTAGTCAGAAACAAGAGAACTATCGAATCCACTCTTTGAAATTAAGAGAACTACCACTCGGCACCTGAACATACAAAGGGAGAGAGGATTGTACAGGAACAGGGATTGACTGTCTGATAGCTAGAAGTACTCTCTGAATATGATGCTCGTTGAGTGTTATCTCCTCCTGGTCTGCTCTGGTGCTGCTGAGTATGTCTTCTATTGACCCGATATAATTCCAAGCGTAACTTCAAGTTAACCCCTTCCGAAACTGAAACTGTTAAAGAGATCGCGGCGGTCTAGGTTCATGCCATCCATCAAGTCGGCTAAGATATGAGCGATGGCGATCTGGTTGTTTATTATCATTTCGTTTTGTGTTTTGACTCGATTCATGCCAAGCTCCAGGTCTTGCATGCTGTTAAACGTTTCTTCAATATGCTTGCCGTGGTGACCCGCTTGTGACACTGCCACTTTCCCTTTGTTTCGTGACTATCCAAAGGTGAAGGCACCGCTGGCTATGGAGGCATCGCTGGCCATGGGAACACCGCAGCCGACGAAGGGGTTCATAGTACTGCCAGTGCTAGATGAGGGCGCGCGAGGCGTGAGCTGGCTGGAAATAGGCGTGCGATATCTTATTCGGGGCTGAACTGTAGATGTTAGTGGATGTCTGTTGGGAGGCAATGTAACCAGTACCTTGACCGTGAGCCTTGGAAAGGTGGGATTGCCGTTCGAAGAGGTGGATAGCCTGGAAGTTATGGGTTTGCTGATGAAAGAGATGGGTCGGTAGATGGAAGTATCGGCGGTACCGAAAGGTAGACAGAGTTGCAGGTGGGAGTGATCGTCACTGCGCCAATATTTATGAGCTTGAAGTGTTGATGGCGTGGAAGAAGGCGTGATGTTGCATCTGACCCATGGATTCTCTATTCATTCGCGATTGAGGCCGGAGAAGACTCAGTATTGAGACGCCTACTGGACAGCAAGTCCCCCAAACCTCCGATCTGCATTGCGTAACCTGTTCAGATCTTGCTAACCTCTTGTCCACAGCGCCCACAGCGCCGCCAACGCGATCACCAGCAGTGAAGTCAAGCCTGCCTGCGCTCTCATCTAACAGGTTTACCCTCACCGGAAATATACCTGGTAAGATGCTACGTGCCTACGGATTCGAGCTACCCAGGTAGACTTCACCTGGACACCGCTAACATCCCGCCTACAGATCCGCGGGCGTTGAGCGATTTCGTTGAGCCTCATCCCAGCGACAAAACCGGAGACAGAGGCGAAGACGACCGCGTCGAAGAGCCACAGGACGATGTCGCGATGGACGACAACACCGACACACCATTCACATCTGCCTTCGCCAACCACGTCTTCCAATCCCTTCGTGTCGATCGCGCTGCCTAGGAATCAGCGCTCGAGAACACGGGAACACTACAAAGACTCTCTATGAAGAACTACGACTAGTACCGCTGTCAAAACAAGGTCTATACGAGCACACCAACAGTCTACCACTGGCCGCCAACCCTCGCATCTTTAAACGAATGCATTGCCATGTATTCTCGTTTCTCCAACCATCTCACATTGAAGTCCACAAACAGATAAGTCTTACTGTACGAATTACATGTGATACATATACTAACGTCCACATCTGTAGGCACTCAGTCTCGTCCTGCGATCAGGAATCTACCAAGAAGCTGTACATCGCGATCTCTTTACTCGCGTAGACATCAATGCATCATACGACGGAGACGGCATCTCCACAAAGCAATGCACACTCTTCCCTCGTCAAAGACTACGCGTCAAGTTCCCGAAGAATTGTTGTGCTCGGTGCAATACCTCGCACGACGCGATTCTACGAACGATATCCGCGCGGTTCATGCTCAAAGTTGCTGTCGGCCAAGTCTCGTTCACGGAATGGATAAACTACCTTACAACATTGGATGTTAAATCTGTGCACATAGTATCCAGCGCCGAAGTCCCCAAACACGACGCAAGCATGATTGAGCTAAGTCACCTCTGTGGCCGTGAGTGGTGCTACGAACCAAGCCACCTCATCTTGGAGTGCAATCTCGCCAATAAGACCCGCGACGAGTGCCGAGAGCAACAGAGATGCTCCGCTGCATGCCATGAGCGATCGCCCTACCGATGTATCCCCAAGGATGATAAAAACTGAGATGGGGGCATTTGCAAAGGAGAGAGAAGAGAAATTCTCCAGCCAACTCATTGCGGCTTCTGCAGAAAGAACCTACGTCAACCAAATGCAAGTCCTAACATGGAGACTTCCTGGGGTCATTAATGTGCAGATGGCCATTACACATCCAAAGGAGTAATTCTCTACCAGCATATCCTCTCAGGAGAGTGTCATCTTCTCTACCTCACTCACACGCACACCGCCGATTCCGTACGCCAACTCAACAACACGCCCACGAGAGCCTCCGCCACTGAGCGCGCCCTCATCTCAAGTCCTATGACTGCCAGCCTGCGCCCGACATAATACTTTACAAGGCTACATATGAGACGCTTACATACGTTGAGAAAGACTTCATCAGACGCTGGGATCTATCCCAGATCGACTACGAGCAGTTTGTCAAGCTCATAGAAGAGAAGATACCAAGGCCAGGAAGCTCGAAAACTTGGACCAAAAGGCAAAGGAAGCGACGTGGGAGGTCACCGTGATACTCAGAGAGCTAGTCAACGAGACCCAAGAAGATCTGCATCTTATCTTCCTGCAGCCGATTGAGCCGCCACATTATCGCACATGATCAATGTCACTGCCAAAGACATCCAGAGCCGTGAAGAGAGGCGTGTTTACGACGAGCGCACACCAAAACGCCGCAGGATCATCAGCGATAAGCCCAATGGCAGGACGCCAAAAAGGGCAGGGGAGATCGAAATCACAAGCGCTCCGTTCGCCGTTACGTCCGTGACAGACGACAAAGGCATCGAAGAGATGAACCTCGACATGGAGCAAGTTTGGGGGAAAATGTTGGTCCAATGTTCACCGCGCAAATTTCTGAGTCCGCGTATGCGATCTGCTCTACGTTCGTAGAAGTCTTTTGAATTAAGATGTGTAGCGCATGTTCAGTTCGCAAACGGGAGAGAGACTTCAGACGAAACACAACCTTGTCAAGAATTACCGACGGACCGCAGATACATAATGCATGACATCAGAATTGTGATAACTGGCCACATATCTGCCAGGTTGGTCACCTCGACACGGCTTGTGTAGTAATAGTCGAATATTGTGCTTTTTGTAACCCTTGAAAAATTTGGCAATCAAAGATGTCCGTGAAACCTTGATAAATTTATCGCACACCGGCAGCCGTAAAATGCCGTGTTCAGTGGCGGTTCACGTGCAGGAGCAACTAGATTACAGGCCAGTGAGCCCCCACCTGCTGGTAACGACCATGACTGGTGTTGCCACGATGCGGGAACGCGGGCGCAATGTCGAACGTCTGGGGGATCTGCGATGGGGCGGATTCGAATCGCACATCAACGACGACTGCAAGAGCCGCACTGTGTTGCAAGATTAAGATGAAACGAGTATAGTGACGCACGCGACAGGCACTCCACCGATGTTCCCTTGCCAACTAGCACTGGTTTCATCCGGATTGTGCTGACGATAAATGCCTGATCCGAAGAGGAACGCGAAACGGACGGCTACAGGTGTCCGGATAGGGCCATGTGGAGCAGTCGAATTGAACTCTAGCAAGAACCCAAGATAACACCACTGATTAGTTTGCTATCGAGGCAGGCTTTCGGTATTCGAATGCTGTAAAGAGTGGGATGAAGCGTGGTGCGGTGACGACGAGTCTTGCAAATGCCGACTTGCCGTAAAAGCCCTCGTGTGTTGCACATCAAGCTTGTGTTAGACGAAGGATGAACGCGTGGAGGGGATCATGCACGTCAGCGGAAGATGTAACCTGATTAGATTAACGTGATGAGCAATCGAAACTGATACGCTGCGATTTAGGGCTGGCAGATATGTAGCCGAGCTACATCGGTACGGTTCTGGTACTGGGGATCACATCTCGCGTAAATGCAACGGCACAAGTGAGGCTTTTGATTGAGTGTCGTGGAACCTGGACAAATGTAATCATAGCATCGCGGTCAGAGTCCAGAACAAATGCAACAACGGTTGACACTACCCAAACTCCCCACAACATGCCAGCAGAGGTAGGGTTGGGTGACATTAGAGTTGACGGGTTTGCCGAAGCAACGCGAAGCAAATGTCCGGGCAAGGAGTTATTGCCCCTTATATTCCATATAGTGGTTGCCTTCCAGATGACATCCGTCTTCAGCCGCGGACGGAAGCACATGTTAGGGATGGGCCGAAGTATCAGCAAAGTGGTGTGACTTGGCGGCGCGGCCGAGCCACTGTCGCGGGCCCGAGGCGTGGAATTGAGGATGACGCAGCGATGTGCGACACGGGAGAAATCGGTGGCTGGTTTTCAGGCCTTGAGACCAGGGACGTATGCGTCTCGGCTGGAAGAGCCCAGTTTCCAAGTCCAACATGCGCCTTTCCTTTGTTTTGTATGTGACGATCGCAAGCTCGGACGTCTGACTTTGGCCCACCTGCATCTGCATACTGTTGTGCTTATGCTACAGCTGATGTGACGGCAGTGCACCTATGCAGATTTGGAAGAGGTAATACTGTTCATTCTGAAGCTTGCCCCGTGGTACTCCATGGCATCAAGCTATCCAAATCATGTTGGACGGTTTCTTGAGACGCACGCGAGACAGGACTTGGGCCAATAGACGTGGGAGGCGGCTTTTAGTCGAGCGGGAGCGCGTTCAGAGGCTTAGTGAAGCATAGCGGAATGGCTGTGTTTGGGCTCCCACAAGGGAGGGTAGCTGTTCGAACAATTAACTCCCTGTCCGAAGCGGGAGCGCCCTACTGGGTATCACTGTGACGAGTGAAAAAGCTGGTCTTTCACATCTCGTGGTCTCATGAAATCATGAATGTTGACGAGTAGTCTCTCTGAACAAGGTTGGCGAGAGCGCGTCCAGAGTTTGGCGCCCGACGGGTCCTCCGCACTGGGGTGCAATTTTAATGTCTCGCCAATCACCCGCAATGTGCCAGCATCGCTGACGCCCCCATTCGGCTATACAAGGTGATTTTCAGATGGTGTGGGCTCTGATTTGTCTAGACATGGAAATGCAGTATCGCTGTTCGAGGGGCGGTAAACGTGAGGAGAGAAGGGCGGTCCCGTGCGAACCTTGGAAGGCTGGGAAAGGGGACGTGCGTTCTCCACGAGCGTCACTGTCCGGCTTCCAAGGTTAGCCTCGGGCTCTTGCGTCGCGACCCCGCTCGAATAGTATGCATTCTGAGCCACGATCCAGCATCAGGTACAAACTCAAGAAGGAAACAGAAGTAAACAGACATGCGCACTCACCTCTGCCGTTGCGTCTGAGAGCGGCATACAGTCTTGTTGTGCCGTAGCAGAAGATCCAGATGCAGTATGTGGCTGCCTTGACTTGGACCTCACAAAGCTAACCTCTTTCAGTTGGCGCGAATTCTCAGACTCGGACTAATAGCCAGCCGCGCCGCCTCCTCAGATTCTTGATTGGACCATTCCTCTCTCCATCTTTTCACATCCAAACAGAAGGCACGAAGTTCGCGCTTTCCCAGCAGAAGAACGCACCCTAGCTCCTTCGCAACTTGATTTGCGTCCAAAAGGGCCCTGCCTGCTTTCGCGTCTCAGCATTCGTCAGGCAAGAGTTAAGACCTGTCGGTGGCCTTCAGCAAATCATCTCCTCAGCCATAGAGCGCGGCAGATCACGGGATCCATTCTTCCTGCAAGACGCAAGCACCTCTGTAAGTCATTCCCGTCGCTCTATGCATCACTGGTTATCACCATGTCCATCAATCAAGCGCTTTCAAGCGACGGCGCATCCATTCGGACACTCCCGTCACTGTCGCAAGACTGTATTACCTCTCTTCGCTATGCTTCTCATTTTCCTTTTCGGCTTACAGGCATGCGGCATGCTCTGGTGCTACACATTCTCGCGCCTTGCCTCCACTTCACATGCTAGAGGCTGACGTCGCATTCAAGGCAACGCAAAGCTCACCGAGCCTTTTGTATCCCGCGTTCTGTCCGCTACTTGGACCACGCCGCTGCCCAAGCTGTCATTGCGCAACGACAATATACATTTGTCCGCTCGCTGGTCGCCCTAGACCTCAAACCCGAAGAGCATTCAGACCGGCAATACGACCTTGACGCCCGCCAACTGACGAAACAAGGTAAGCGCACTAGCTCACCGCGCATGCATATGCCAGCGCATCAACCCTTCCAATCGCCCACCCCGCCAGCACAGCGTCCAATGCTCTTTGGATTTGGCTGACAGTTATTGTAGGCGACTCTCATCTTCCTTTCGTGACTGGTGAATACCTGCAACGGCTCTTCCCCACTACTACGGCGCGGGCCTCTAGAGTGCAGCTTCATCCTCGACAAATCACTCCATCATTTGTAAACGCGCACTGCCCCTCGACGTCCAATCACCACTGCTGCGCCTCAATCCTGGAAGCCAAAGCCGTGCGCTCTAGCGAATTCGCCTCAAGCACGTCTGGCCATTGACAGCGCATCAAGTATCGGCCCTGCCGCGACGTGACCGCCTGCCTGTATTACGCGCCTCAACTGCGAGCCTCTCGCTACCTCGTCTTCACGCAAATAGGACTACAATCTACGCATTGTAGACAGCCATGACCGACTACGCACAATTCCATGGGCATGCGCCCGCGCCCAACCCGCAACAGATGCAATTCGGACAGCAACAGTCGTCCCCAATCCTTCCATCGAATGGCAACTTCGCGCATAACGGCCAACCACATCCCCAGCACCACCCGCAGATGGGCTTCCCTCAGCATCAGGCCTACATGGCCGGTATGCAAAATCCATACATGCCGTCTCAACAGCAACAGCACCAACAGGCTGCCGCGTTGGCTACGGCAGCTGCTGCAGGTCCAGCCGGATACTACGATCAAACCGCCATCTCGGGTCAACTAGCACAAGACCCGCGCGCATCTCCACGCATGTCAGTGTCGCAGATGAAGAGTGATGGACGCGTCGCTCCACGGTCCCCAACAAACGTTTCCAACGCGATGAACAACGCGCTCCCATCTCAAGTTCAGATGACCCCGACTCAGATGCAACAAAGGCGAATGAGCACTCAAATCAGCAGTCCTGCGATGCAGCAGCCTCAGCCTGTCATGAACCATGGCGGCCCCAGACCCTCTGTCCCTCCAATGACCCAGCAATCGCAGCACCAACAATCGCCTGAGCTTGTTGCTGGAGGTGCACAACCAGAAGAGGCGCCACTCTATGTCAACGCTAAACAGTTTCATCGCATCTTGAAAAGGCGTCTCGCGCGACAGAAACTTGAGGATGCATTGAGGCTGACATCCAAGGGACGAAAGCCATACCTACACGAGTCTAGGCACAACCACGCCATGCGTCGTCCGCGTGGTCCTGGCGGTCGCTTCTTGACCGCAGAAGAGGTGGCTGCGATGGACAACGCAGCCGGAAAAGGCGAGGGTGAAGACGGCAACAAGGAAAATGCGTCCATGCCTCCCAAGCCCGCCAGCTCTGGTCCCAAGCGCAAGGCATCATCTACACAACTCAAGGGAACACCGACTATCAAGAAGAACAAGGCAGGTGCCGTGCAGCGTCACAGCACGAGCGAAGAGGATGAAGATGAGGACGAAGACGATGGTGAGGACGAAGGCTAGGCTCTCTTCCCGCCTGGGCCACTGCCCACTTCCGTCGATCTGATTTCTATACCCTTTTAATTTCGACACCTGATCTTCTTGAGAGTTCCTCCAAGGAGCTCCCCTTCATTTCACGACTTACGAAGCGAGTGCTTTTGGGACACCCGGTTGGTTTATGCATTTTATCCCTGTTGTCAGATTAATGACACTTTCACACACAAATTGTCTTATCAATGGACTGGGTCGGATTCGGGTCACACATAAGGCGGGTGCGGTCGGAGCATACGGCACTCACTCGGACGTTGGGAGTTCTGTTGTTACTTCCTGTTTCTTGTCTGCTGAATTGTGGACTATCTTTTATATCTTTTCTTTATCTTCTTTTTTATTCTTCTTGTCTTGTCTGTTACGATCAATACCCACACTCGCTATCTAGCTTGGCGAAGATACCCAAACCACTGGCCAGGAGAGCCAGTGGCTATACTAGAAAGGGTCTTCCTTCATCGGACGAAAATCAATATCATCCCATTCCCCCAAAATTGGCTTATGTGAATGTAAACTGATGTTGCATCCTTGAAATTCAAGTTGTCCGTGACAAGCTACCTCATCAGCTCCATGTATAACTTCGTGGTATATCATTGTGCGTAAAACCGATCTGTCAGGATCGAGCTGAGTGCCCGGGAGGTGTGTGATCTGTATCACAGTCGCATGACAAAGTCCGATGTCCGCTCAGAGACTGCAGGCGTCTCCTTGTTTGCGGCATTTGGATAGCATTTACCGTTCTACCCAAGAGTGGGGCTCTGTCTCGCTCACTAGAGCTACTCCACCAGCGGTGTCTACAATTCGTCTCGCATTTACAAAAAAAATGTTCACGTGAAAGTATATATTATCTTGTGTACTACCTACTTACTAAGACATAATAGTGTGTATGCAGCAAACCTTGGAAATGTGACCCCCGACGATGCCTGCCTTTCCGTATGTCAAGTCCATCTCGTCGAAACGCCAGCCCCTCGCCAGACTCAGACGGCGCCCTGACATGCCTGACGACACGTGCGACAAGCAAATCTACGATGGCCGTATGCAAATCTCCACATCAGTGGGTTGGTCATTGCTAAGTAATCTGCTGCGGAATCATTGTGCGGAACCGCGCCTCGGTAACCAACGGAGCCCTGGAGATCTGCACCTGCGAAAATGCGGAGCTTCTGCAGCCGGATATGTACACCAATTTGGATTGTACTACGATAAGCACGTTCTGGCTACTTCCATAGGCAACCTACATGATGAGCTTTTCGTCGCAAACTCCTGCTACCCCTCATCCATCCCAACCGCGAGAACATGAAGAAGAGTGCATCTAGCCAACAGTCAACGGACGAGTCAATCCGAGAATTACACGACCAACGGCATGATGAAATCCACGATGGAGAAAGAGATAGAATCGAAGAAGAATGGCGCAACAGTATCCGCCTAAAGGTCGACCTTCGACTTTGCAGCATTGCTGGTATCTTGTGCTCCCTCAACCTACTCGACAGCGGCGTCATCTCTAGCGCATCTGTCACCTCCATGCTCAGCGACCTGGAATTGGACGTCGGCAACAGATACTCAGTCTCTATATTCATCTTCACAATCGCGAGCATTGCCTTTCAGCTACCATCCACTATCGCTGTGCGCACCTTCGGACCGCGAATCTGGTTTGCCTTCATCACCTTCTGCTTCGGCATCATCACACTGTGCACAGCTTTCGTGCAGACATGGCGACAAATGATCGCGCTCCGCATCCTACTTGGAATAGCGATGTCGGGAATCTACCCCGGCTTGACGTATCTCATCTCAACATGGTATACACGAAAAGAGCAACAGCTTCGCTTTGCTCTGATGCAGAGTGGTGAAGTCATTGTCTTGGCTACCGGTGGCATCGTTAATTTTGGACTCAACCAGCTCGACGGCCAGTATCTCAAGGGTTGGCAGTGGATGTTCGTCGTGCAGGGGAGCATTACTGCATTCTTCGGTATTCTAACATATTGGTGGATGGTCGATTTCCCTGAGCACGCCCAAAATTCCTTCTACTTCCTCACGCCCCACGAAAGTGCGTTGGCGTCTTCTCGAATCGACAACGACAGAGGCGATGTCAAACCCGACGACTTCGCATGGTCTAAGGTCTTCGTTCACGCCAAGGATCTAAAGGTGTACGGGTTCTGCACCCTGTACTTCCTGCAGAACCTCGTCTCGACATCGCTGTCTTACTTCCTACCTATCATTTTGCAAGGCGGCATGGGCTTCTCTTCGAACAAAGCGATTCTGCTATCCGCACCGCCTTACTACTACGCCGTTCTTCCCGCTATCTTGTCCTCGATCGTGGGCGACAAGTTCCAGTTGAGAGGGCCCATCATAGTCTTCAATTGCGTTTCTCTGATTGTAGGTTTCTGTATGCTGGGCTTTTCGGACCAAGTCACCGTGAGGTATATTGGTACCTACCTTGCGACTGGAGCGTATGTGGCAAACTGGGCGGCCATGGCGACTTATCAGGCGAACAACATCGTCGGCCAATGGAAGAGGGTTTTTACTGCCGCAATGGTCACAGCTTTTAACGGCGCCGGGGGTATCGCAGGAAGCTTCATTGTGAGGCAACCAGAGAGTCCGAGGTATATGACGGCCATCTGGGTCAGCATAGGAAGCCACATCTTGATCATTGGACTGGTGGGAGTGTTCTCGGTGTTTTTCTACACGGCGAACAAACGGCAGACTAGAGGAAAGCGTCTACTAGAGGGAACGGAAGGATTCCGGTTCACATATTGAGTGAAGGGCAGAATGTGGTTGAGCTAAGGCAGACCCTGAGAAAAATCTACTTTAGCAATACCTTGTGATACCTGGTTCTGGTCGATTTCATGTAGTATCTTGAACTTGTCATGCAGGTAGTTGTCCGCCGGCACGCTTGACAAGTCGCAGGAACATGGGATGAAAGCGGGTTGACGTCGTCAGTGGGGACGACCGTATGGGACAGTTGGCTCGTGCTGAGTCCTCACAAGCATCGTCGACCCAACTTGCAGCTGCCTCACCACTTCCAGCTGCTACAGCACAAGCGATCCCGCAGTCCCGGCCATCCGCCCCAAGCAACCCGTTCTATTCGAATCTCGCTGTTTTCTGCTTCTCCAGCTGCTGGCGCCGACTTGGTAGCGTCACGCAGCTTCCCCCTGTCCAGCTGGCCCCTCGACCGGGCAACAGCACCCCCGTGGCCCTCCGCCGAGCTTATGCGCATCGACACCGGCCGTACGCACATTCAGTAATCTACTTCACCACACTCTACACGCTTTTTGAGACTGCGCCGCACGTGTAGCCGCCACAATGGTGTTCCTCGGCATATATCGCGCCATCTACGACTATGAGCCCCAGAGCGACAACGAGATCGCCCTGACCGAGGGCGACATCTTGATGGTACTGGAGAAGTCATCCATCGACGCCTGGTGGAAAGCAAAGAAGAAGGGGCGTGATGGCGACGAGGAAGAGCCTGAGGGCTTGATTCCAAACAATTACATTGAAGAGGTATGCTGCGCCTCACCCACATGACAGCCCAATCCGCGTCGCAAAACGATACCCAACGCGGCACCAGGCATCGCGTGGAATGCTACAGCATAGAGACTGATGACACGTATAGGCCGCCCCAGTCGCACAAGCCAAAGCCCTCTTCGATTACGACCGCCAAACGGACGAGGAGCTCTCTTTCAAAGAGGATGCTGTTCTCGATGTTTACGATACCACAGACCCGGACTGGACACTGGTGGGAGTCGCAGACGACTATGGCTTTGCGCCCGCAAACTACATCGAGCTTGCCGAAGAGGGAGCGGCGGCAGGAGCCCCAGCCGCGCCATCTCCAGCGCTGCCCAGTCGCCCGCCCATGCCACCAGCGACCGACTCTTTCGATGACGATCAGCCGCCTACTCCAGACACTCCTCCACAACCGAGTCCCGCTGCGGCCCTGGCTGGCATCATACAGAAGAAGTCGCAAGAGGCAGCACCGCGATCGACTATTTCTCCTCCACCCAACGTAAGCGCGCCTCCACGGCAGCAACGACGCGTGCAATTCACCCCGGAAGAGTCGGACGAAGAGGTGCCAGCACCCCGTCTTCCCCAGCGACCCGAGTCCGAAGTGTACTCACCCCCGCCTACCCAATACGCACATGCGCGATCCCCATCACCCCCAGTCAGATCGCCCCCTCCCCGAAGCGTCACGTTCGATCAATATGACCCTCCGAGTAGGGACGAACAGCCCGCGACACCCATGTCGGGCTCTGGATACCATCTGTACAACATCTACGAGTACATTACACAACCGGGCAAGAATAAGAAAATGCCAATCACCCTGGGCGTCAACATCCCGAAAGGAATGATCATGATCGCACCCGAGAAGTCGCGCGACGGGCCGCAACAGGAATGGAGCGCAGACAAGATGGAGTACTACTCGCAAGAAGGCAAGCACATATTCATGGAGTTGAAACAGCCAAGCAAGAGCGTCGACTTCCACTGTGGTGCTAAAGACACCGCATCAGAGATCATGCTCGCCCTTGGTGAGCTTGCAGGAGCGGCCAAGAGCGCAGGACTCCGCGAAGTACTCGCAGCTGGCTCTGGAAACTCCAATGTGCAGAAGAAGGGAGTTATGCTATTTGATTTCATGGCACAGGGTGATGACGAAGTTACTGTTGGTCTCGGCGACGAGATCTTAGTCCTCGACGATTCCGCAAGTGACGAGTGGTGGAAAGTCAGGCGGCTGAAGAACGGCAAAGAGGGTGTGGTACCAGCTAATTACGTTGAGGTCACAGAAACTGTCCCCATACACGCTCCTGCAGCTGCCATCGCTCGATCGGGAACCAACGCTGGCCGGTCCGTTGTCGAACAGAATAGGCGCGAGGAGGAAGAGCTTGCTCGCCAGGCCGCGAGACGGAAGAAGCCAGAAAGTGAGGCAAGGAACGATCAGGTAGGCCCTGGCCTGCACTTGCCTTCGCGTAACTCTAGTCTTATGCAAACAAACGTTGACCATCGTCGTACTTCACAGAGATCAAGCAAGCGCGAAAGCTCCGCAAAGGACTCGAGTTCAAAGTCCGGCTCCAAACCAAGTCAGTATACAGCAATTTCACTACTTGAGTTTCTTGATCTGTCTACTGAGAAGGGTTCTGCGCCATTCGTGGGCGCTGAACATCTATCTAGTGGGACAACAGAACACACATTGTGTGCAAGGATGCTGACCAAATTTCTTAGATTCAGCCAAGGTACGCACTTGGACCGACCGATCCGGATCGTTCAAGGTCGAGGCAGAGTTCATTCTCATCAAGGATGGCAAGATTCACCTACACAAAGTCAATGGTGTCAAGATCGCTGTACCTGTCACAAAGATGTCAGTAGAAGACCTCGAGTACGTCGAACGCGTCACAGGCGAGTCTCTAGATGACGACAAACCCCTATCGGATCTGAAGAGGAGGAGCATGCAACAGCCTCGTGGGAAGGACTCAGGTCCAACCGGCATTTCTGTCGAGAAGAAACCAGAATACGACTGGTTCGACTTCTTCCTCAAGTGTGGTGTCAACCCACAGATCTGCGAACGATACGCCAGGGCATTTACCAAGGACGAAATGACAGAAGAAAACATTCCAGACATCACTCCTGGGCTTCTACGCACGTTGGGTCTCAAGGAAGGTGATATTCTGCGCGTGACCAAGCACTTGGATGCGCAGTTCGGAAGAGATAAGCGAAGCGTTAGCTTTGCTGAAGAAGGAGGAGAGGGAGCTTCTGGTGGACTTTTCTCAGGCCCAGGAGGTGCACTGAGAAACAACACCCGAAAGGGACGTCCTGCACCACCGGTTGAGACGAACGATGTTGTTGATCCAAAGGCGTTTGAACCGAAGTCCGATGACACCGTTAAGAAGCCCGCAGACGGGACATCAGCAGCGACATCTGACAAGACAGCGAATGGATTTGAAGACAATGCGTGGGATGTCAAGCCATCCAAGTCAACACCTGCACCTGCAGCATCTCCGCCCGCAGCACAAGCCCCTGCGGCAAAGCCACCCCAGCTGACTGGATCCATGAACGATCTGTCTCTTCTAGACATGCCTGCACTCAAACCTGACGAGATCGCGCAGCCAACACCTCCTGCTCCAGCACCTCAGCCAGCACAAGCACCTGCTCAACAGCCTCCAGCACCTGCTCAGCAACCACAGCCAACAGGCGCTACTCCTACCCTTTTCGAGCAGGTTGCGGCTATCAAGGCCCTTACCCAACCTCACAACATGGCTCCACCACGCATGCGACCACAAGCTCCTCAGCAGCAGAATCCAGGAGGTCTCATCGCTCCACCGCCGCAGCGTTCTTCCTCTGCCCCTCAGAACCCACAACAAAGTGCCTTCGGTCCTCCACCACCCTTACAACCTCAGCTCACAGGTTACAACCCCAACCTAATGGGTCAAAACTCTGGACAGGGCCAAGGCATGCAGAACATGCAGGGTATGCCACCAATGCAACAGCAAATGACAGGCTTCCCACAGCAAAATGGTGGGTTCGGGTTCCAGCAGAACGGCATGATGCCTCAACCCACAGGTTACAACTCCATGTCCCCACTCCAGCAGCAGCCTATGCAGACTGGCTTCGCCCAATACCAACAACAGCAGCCGACCGGCTTCCAGCAGCCCATGCAGACAGGTTTCCAGCAGCAGCAGCAGCAGCAGCAGCAGCAGCCACACTTCACACAAGGCTTTGGGAATGGCAGCCCTTTTGCCGACCCACCACGGGCACCTTTCCAGCCACTACAGGCTCAGCCTACGGGGTACAACTCGTTCCAACCATCGCCGCTTAACCCCCAGGCGACTGGCGTCAACCGCTTCCTGCCTCCGGCCCTTGCGCCACAACCGACTGGCTACATGTCGAACCAAAGCCCGCCGCCTGTCCCGCCCATGCCGCCCATGCCCCAGGCGCAGCCTTTGGTGCCCCAGAAGACTGGCCCACCTCCGACTATCAAGTTCGGTGTACAGCCTGCGAAGAAGCTAACGCCTCAGCCGACGGGGAGGGCGAACCTTGCCAATGCCAGTAAGTCTTCGAACAAAACTCTATGCAAGACCTCTCTAACCATTGACCAGCACCCCAAAACCCGTTCGGCTTCTAATCTCGCTTGCGGTGGCTGTCTGTTCTTTCGCACCCCTTTGCTTACCTATGGGGCATCCACTTAATTACCCTGATACTGTATATGTACATAAATTCTACCGTGCTTGTTTGTTGTTTGGTGGAGTGGGTTCGCAAGGCTCGATAGCATTCTTCATCAAGCCACATAGCATTTGCTTGCACTTAACACTCTCAGTTACCTGCTTCATTTTGCACTCATTGCCAGCCTTTTGCCCTCTACAATCATCGCTCTAATATGAGTGAACCTTTAGTCCAGGTGTTGACGTGGTGCTATCGGCCCGGCAATTGTGTGGTCTAGACTGCGGCTGACATGCGTGGTGTGATGGCTGAGTTGCTCAGAGAGGATTGGCGGGGAGATGTAGTCTCGATGATACGTGAACTTTTGCACGTCAACCAACCTTGGGATACTTCTAACAGGGCATTGCGATAACGGATATTGCACATGTTACATATGCGGAACGAATTACCCCTGTTCTCGAGCTGTCGTTCACCCTTGGCGCGAAGCAGATGCGAGACCAAGCCTTTGCCAAGTAAAGCTTAGCCTGACACATCAGGTGGCACGCCTATCCCTGCGATACATGTGTGGCTAGCTAGCCGGCCGATTCGATGTCGTATCCACGCAAAACCGCGCACGCGTCTGTGGCTCTGCTCGTCGAGATGACAGGTATCTCACTCACCGTAAAGTTCGTGGACAGACCTCGGCCAACTGCATCATCATCACAGCTTCGGCCATAACTCAGCCACGCCTCTAATGCCCCGGTATCGCGTTGGCACTGTCAAAAAGCACGACAACCATGTGTGGCGATGACGAAAGCCCACAGCATCCCTCGCGCCCCCGGCTTATTTGCACCAATAGCTCGGCCCACTGCGAATGTGGCTCAGGCTAACTAGCGCAATAGACCGGCCGAATGATGCAGGATGCATTGCCCTGTCCGCGTGAGAGAGAGGGCGCGAACGAGCGCTGCAGTTTAAAGGCGGCGCATCCCCTCCCCGGATTGTAAGAAGGGTCCACTGTATTTCCTCCAGCCTTATACTCACCTTACTCCTGACTTTACTTTGACCCTCGCGCAACGACTTTGGACAGTGACGCGGGTTTCCTGCAAGCGAGAAATTAAGATTCGGACGGCTCCTCGGCGAAAGCTTGGTTTGGGGATACGATACTCGCTTGCGCGACTGCTGCTTGCCTGATTCACCATTACCAGCTGCCTTGTCTTACCTACATCATCGACGAACGAACGAGCGATTTTCGTGCGCATATTGAGTAGATTCTTGGGCGAATCTTGACCAGCACTTCACACCCTCACACATATCTCAAAGACCGACTTCATCACTATGTCGAACCAAGGCTACTACCAAGGCGGTCCTCAGTACCCACAGCAAAGGTACGCTTCACACAGCCGTCTACAGGAACTTGGCATCATAGCGCAAAAGGCGCGCGCGCTCACTATCCCTTGCGATTGCGAAAGATGTTTACATCTTCGAAAAATGGCCAAATGCTAACTTCCTCACAGCTATGGTCCCCCAGGCGGCGGCTACGGCCAACCCCAACAATACGGCGCTCCACCACCACAACAACAGATGTACTACGGTCCTCCGCAAGGACAGTACCAACAGGCACCTCCACCAAAGCAGAAGAAGGACAGAGGATGCTTGGCGGCTTGGTGAGTGGGCATGATATACTTAAGGACTCAACTGTTGGCTAACGGAAGACTAGTTTGGCGACACTATGCTGTTGTTTCGTATGCGAAGAGGGTTGCGAGTGCTGTGCTGATTGCTGCGAGTGTGCGGCGGAGTGCTGTTAGATGGATAACGTGGAGTAGCTGTATGAGCTAGACGGGTTATTGGTCCGCGCTGGTGTTGGGTTGAAGGTGCGCACGGGGAATGTGCGATTGGATTGTGATGGCATGTGCATGAACTCTTGCCGTTTTCCTTTTGTTTTTGAGGATACCTGACCATGAATGGTCTTTCTTATGATATTCAGTGTACGGATTCTCTGTTCAGTGGAGGCAGTTCCAATTTGAGCCCATTTTGTTGATATACGGTGACAGAAGTTGTTCGCGTCCATGTTTTTTGATGAAAGTACTTGGCATGATGAGAGACAAGCCCAAGATTTTGTTAGGCGGATGTCCTTTGTAGTCATCCGGAGCTCCAGATCTCATTGCTGGTCGAGGTTTCGCGAATCATGTAAGACAGCGCAAGCACCTTCGCGTTGAAGATTCTAATTTCTTGTAGCCACTCCAACCACCTCAAAGCCCTGACATCGTGGTCTACCCTCTTCTCGCCACTCAACAGCCTTCCTCCCGATCCATAGCCCGAGAATTACTCTGCGCGAAGATTTGCGCCCTCAACGAAAAACACGAGATCGGATCGTATTAGATTAGGTGAACGCCCAAATGAAACAGACTCTGGAACACACACTGGAGAGAAAGCTGCAACAAATGCTGATAAATGGAAGAAGATTCTTACCCATTCGGTCTTCTCATTCCGATCGTCTCTTTTCAACTGAGTACTGGGCTCCAGAAACCCAAGAGCAAATGGCCAGATGAATTATGCGTCTCCAAATACCAGACCGGTGTGGTTGATATGCAGGTGAGAACCTCCAGTCATTGGTCATGAAAGGTCGTGTGCACTACACGCAGATCTACATAGTCAGTGAATATCTCGTAGGCAGTTTATACAAGGACACTTACCGCAAAGTGCCGTGTGTCGGCTCCTGGCAAAACGCTCGATCTCTTACATCCCAAACAAACTCTTGAAAAGCGGCTGGCTGCATACGAAGCCGCCACAATACACCGAACTCTCTCAGTAGCGTAGGTAACTCAAGGAGGTGATGGAACGGTTGTACCAACCCACTCCAAGGCCTTCACCCTCCTTCTTCATGACTTCATCGATGAACCTCTTCTTGACATCCTCGAGAGGCTCTTTGATAGGAACTGACCAAGACCAAGTACGGGCATCCATGCGCTGATTCATCTCCGCCATCTTGATATGCAACCTTACTCTCGTGATGCCAGGGAATGTTCGGCGGAGTAATTTGCGAAAGCCATCCCGATACAGGCTGTAATATCCGAATGGGATATCCACTGAGGTGACCAGGCGTCTCTGTCCGAGTGCGCGATTTAAGATCCAGCGGTCGAAGGTATCAAGATTATCGAAGCCGAAGTTGTTGTGCGTGTATACCATTGACGATGTTTCAACGTACATCTGGCGGCATACCTTTGGGACCGCGAAGGTTGGTGGGACAAAGCTGGACGAAGTGTTTATGCCTTTGTTCAGAGGGCTTGTGACATGTGTGAGCTTGATGTCCCATCTTCGGACATGTGAGTAGTCGTGGATGTCGATTTGGTGATGGCCAACAGCATACTCCCAGATCTTGTTGCGAATCTCTGCCGGAAGACAGAGAAGAGGAGACTGGAGAGAGTTGGCTTTGGCACTGTCGTGTGTCAGCTTTCCTGGGAGGTGTATTGTAATGTTGCATGTACATCGTCATCAGATCCGAGTGAACTGGAATCTTGGCGTCCATCAGACCGTTCAGGTACGTGCGACCAGCTTGTCTGGGCTTGCGGTTCGTGGGAGCTTTCTTCTTCACGACTTTTGTATGCTTCGCGGGAATCGTGTAATCTTTCGGTGCCGTAGAGCGAGCGGGCAGTTCGGATGAGCCCATATCTGAAGCTCAATATAGTCTTGTTGCGTGTGAAGAGAGAGTGTGGTTGAACGAGGGCAGATTCAAGAGAGCTTGACAACTGCAAAACCGGAGACGTCCACATATCGGGCTAAGTACTTCGATGAGCGATGAGATGAACGATGAACGATGAGGCATGTACGAAGATTGATCCAGATGAAGTAGCTGCTTTGAGACTTGTGAAGCTTATGTGCTTACCAAGATGAAAAGTGATGGTGAGAGGAACGAAGGGATGCCGGCGCGGGTAACCAACGCGTATCTAGGAGCCTCACTGCGTTTCGAAGGTAGCTGGCACGATGACTGCCGGTGATACAACTACCCGCTCTTGTATCAATGGATAATTCGAGTCACCCTGCGTATGTGCAGTGTCGGCATCCTTATCTGCGACCTGTGAATGTAACGGATACCGCAGCTCTTCGCGCTAAGGTCAATGAGAGACGATTCATCCATTGTGCCGTGAAACAATTTGCAATGAAGGTTTGGGTTTCCCAAGCAGGATATTGAGCAAGGCTGTGGAATTGGAGTACCATAATTGAGCAGTTGAAAAGACTCAGATGCGGTCTAGCCGTTTCTGTATTAAGATGACATCAGAGAACTTACTTTCTCTCACCTCCGCACCTGGGCAGAATCCGGCCATGTCCCTTAAACACAGTAATGACAACTCGGTTGTGTTGCAGACACTTCTAATTTGTAACCCCCTTTTGGCAGTCATTGCCGTCTCCAATTTTCTCAGACCTCCTGGAGGATGTTTGTCCCAGTCAGACCGAGGTTTGCGTAGTCAGTAACGACAATCATCAGGCCACTCCTCTCCCTTTGCAACAGTACTTTAGTCCTCTGCTGAATGTCCTGCTCAATCTGGTCGGTTGCCCAGCCATTCATTTCGCTAGAATACCGGGCATTCCATAGGTCGACGTAAAATACTTCAAGGTGTGGGAATAGGTCTGTGAATCTGTAGTACGACTGCTTGAAGTATGCGCGATCAAAAACTGGTGGAGTTTTTAACACCTTGATTTGCCGTAAGTGTATGAGGAGGCGGCTTGACGTCCAGGTTCTCAAGGCGCTCATTGATGTGAAGCCGAAAGAGTTACAGGTGTATGGTAATAAACAAGTCTCGTCGTACATCTGTCTGCAGACAAGCGATAGTACCCGGTACGATCCAGCTTCGTCATCTGTTACAAGCGCCTTGTTCAGTTCCCTGTGGCAAATCTTCGACTTCAAGATGACACCCGCAGTGAAGTTGTGAACAGCACGTTCGTGTATCTGCAGACATGGTTTCTGCAGGATCATGGTGAATATCATGTTTCGCAGTTCCGCCGGCAAACGAAGAAGTGGTGACGCACACCTGTTTCTCGCAGCACTTCCGTAAGTTATTTTGTGTCACCGCGGGCGCATCGTTCGTAGCTCGCGTGAGGCAGACCGCCAGTTTGCTCGTGTTGAGGAGACCATGTTCTGTGAGACCCAGCCGGTACATGGCTCTCGACTGTGTCGCCCTCCTTACAGAGGCGCATAACGGGTGGACGTGGACTCATAAGGGACGTGGTTGTGTCGAAGAACGGGAGAGGGGTATATGAGCTCCGCAAGAGAGAGTACGCTGGACGCTGAGAGTGCTACGGGTTCAGGCAAGTAGGAAGCGACCTCGGGATCCGTCGATGTGAGTGTACAGAAGGTACGCTAACGACACGCTAGGGCTTCGCAGTCTAACGCACTTTCTCCGCTCGTATCTGGTCAATATTGTAGCTACTTGCAGTGAAGTCGCTGTTCAGTACAGTCGCAATGAGATACTCACCTGAGATTGCCAAAGTTTTGGTATCAACAAGATCCTCCGCCTTCACGCATGAACGATTGCGTAGGCTGCAGGTAATACCCGTGGATTACTTAGGTAGTGTGCCCTGTCTTCTAAGGGTGTAACCACTGCAGCAAAACTAAGAAGTACGTACTACGTCATTCGAAGGCCTTCTAGGTACTGCTGGATTTGATGGCCTAAGGTGCTCGATGATCGCTGCCTCAGTGAAGCCCCAAGCACATGCGAGGGGTCAAGTCAGCCAATGACCCACACTGGTTGACTGCGCCTTTCCTTGAGTTGAAGACTTTCTTAAGCTTTTACTAACTCTTTCCCATACACAACACGACAACGCGACACCAACGCGACATCACCATGGTCCGCCGCTCCGTTCGCCTTGCGAGACCCGAAGACCGACCCCAGGTCCAAGTTTTCCATGATCTAGATACCGCCGCGGTCAGTGCCAAACGCCAGAAACTCGAAGAAGCTGCGCTTGCGCGAAAGAAGCAGCGAGCAGAGCATGGCGAATCCACCTCTTCGGCGGATACCATGATCAAGGATGCTATGGCTAGGTCGGATAATCTCTGAGACGGAGATGAGCCCACCCTCTATCGGGGCAGTCAGCTTAACGCGCAACTCTCAAAAGATGATCCACGCAGTGTAATATATGTATCTAATTCACCAGAAGCTCCTCCTTCGCTAATGAAATCGCAGCGTGGAACGTAGCAGCTTGCCGTCTCCTCTGCTATCTCTCCCAGCAGAAGTCCGTTGCGTCATCTTCGAATATGCTCTTGGCCACCAACACGTACACATCCTCACTGACACTTACGACCCGAGCATCTCTGTGGATCTTTCCGGCCCAGCTCGTTTCGGTGTGGATCCGCCTCATCAACGCGAAGCGATATCCCGGATACAAGCGCGGCAGTTCCACAACTGCGTCTTTCCAATTGACTGACAGGCGTACTACCATACACAGCCGTACAAATCTCGTCCGTATCTTATGCCTTCTTATGGGCGGCACCAGGTGCAGCCGCGGCGATTTGAACACGAACGAGTGATCGTCGCGACCAACGATCTCATGGCTCTGTTCCAAGCCGTATGTCGACAGATATATCATGAGACTCGGTTCATTCCGTACGAGTTAAACGAATTTTCCTTCCAGGACGAGATGACGATGAAAGATTGATTTGGCAATAGAGCGGCTGCTCAAAAGCGAGCTATCAATACGGTGTGGTTTGACCAAGAATGGAAGCGCAGTCACGCACTCTTCCCCTACTCATACTTACGCTGGCCACAGACCACAGGCGCCCTTACCCATATTGGAAGAACCTATGGTATCAAGAAAGTTTACGTGTCTGTGGCGGCTGTCCAACACATGTGGTCTGCGCACAATCGTGAAAGCGGTTCGAATGCAAGATTCGCACAAAAGATCTGTTTCCTTTTCAGCAGGCGAGACGAGCTTCAGATAGAATTTGTCAAGTAGATTAAGCTAGTGTGACATGGTCATGCGTGCTTTCATTGTACGCACCTCGTCTACATGCTTGGCTCAATATGGGTGTGCATGATAGTAATCTATATGCACCTCGCCTGTGCATCCTCAGTTGCCGAGAACACTATAAAGATCTTAGTGCACATTTAGAAAACGATGCGTGACCAGAGTGACTTGCTGTTTATATCATTCGGGTCGCTACGATGCTCTGGATGGGTGTTCAGAAAATAGCTTCCCAACTAGATAGCCTAAAATGCATCTCCTACTAGCCCTCTGCGCCCTCGCTGCAACGGCGCAAGCTCATTGCAAGTTCACTACAGTGTAACGAGAATAGTTGAGCTGACTCTTGAAAGACCGCTTCTCCAAGCTCATCCTGAATGGCGTGTCCGAATCGGCGGAATGGACTTCAATCCGACAAACGAAGAACTACCAAACCAACTCCGGTGTCACGTCCGTCACTAGTCCCGACATGCGCTGTTTCCAGAACCGTCCTGGAACGGGTACTGCCGTTGTCGCTGCTGGTGATAACCTCGGCTTCGTTGCCGAGACATCGATCACGCACTTCGGACCAGTGCAATTCTATATGGCGAAAGTGCCAGATGGTGCGAATATCAACACCTGGGAGCCGGCGGGTAATGTTTGGTTCAAGGCGGCGAGTATCAGCGCCGTGGGAAGTCCGTTGACAAGTGGGGAGAGCACTTGGCCTGCGTATGGTAAGTCCCCATCCCCTGCATTATGGCTCCCTTCCACTTTCGATCCTTAACTCGAGGGCAGGGAAGTCGCAGGTACAGTTCCAGATCCCTAAGAACGTGCCGAGTGGGAAGTATCTTGTTCGTGTAGAGTCCATCGCCCTTCACCAAGCTCAATCAGTCGGCGGCGCGCAGATGTATCTTTCGTGCGCTCAGGTCGAAGTTACCGGTGGTGGCAACGGACAGCCTGGGCCTCTGGTCGCGTTCCCGGGAGCATACAATGCAAACGACCCTGGCCTGAGGTGGTCGTACTATCCGATTGCGACGAGCTACACCGCGCCTGGACCTGCTGTGTGGAATGGCAAATGAGTTGCTCCGAAACTGGTAGAAACGATGGGTTACGCTGGCGATGTCGATGCGGAAGTTGGGAGATAGGTGTGATGCGACCTTTCCTTTAGTAGGATATTTTCCTCATGAGTAACCTTCTGCCTGATTCTCTTTCCTTCTCGACCCTTTTGAGATCGCTGTGCCATGGGCTCTTTTCACACCAGATACCGCTCCAGTCTCCGCTTTTCTGCCTCTTCTTTCTTGGCCAATACAAAGGCGATCTCAGATCCAATAGCAACCATGACTGTTGCTGCAATGCCAATGCCGGTTCCGATAGCCGCAAAGCCCAGAATGGTAAAACACGTGAACCCTGTGAAGATGGTGAGGTACATAACACGAAAGAAAAGTAAAAAGAGGCCGTCGGGTCTGCGCTTCATCGCAGGCGAGTGAGCTCAAGTTTCGATGCCTCAGGGCGTCCAAGATATGATACTTCTAAGATGCTGCTATTTTTGATCGTCTCGATGCTGGGCTTCCGTTTTCGGATACGAGGTGATGTTTGACGCTGATCTTAGTTGGACAGCACGGCCATGGAAATGTGGAGATGCGATTCCGCGCCAACCGAGCGATTGTGTGCACGAAGGGAACAGCATCGTACCACAACGATCAAGTTGTTGATAGCGCATTATGACGAGGTGAAGCGCAGTCATCGCAGCGGGATCAAGGCCACGTGACATGGCGTTCGCAGCGTTGGCCGCGTCAGCCTGTCGACAATTGGCCCACTGGGTCGTATCCTTATGCCAATACAGTGCCAGGCGGGCGTGCCATCCTACTACCTATCTGTTTATAGCAGTGGCTATGCAGGCGAGGGGCCCGTTTAGGAAGAAGAGACATGAAGGAAAGGCCCCTGAGAATTTCAGACCGGTTATGGACAGTCGGGGCACAATGCGTCGAGCACTGCTAGTCGCATCGGAAATGAAGTTTCATTGCTTACTGCATGAATATGAAGAGGCTTAGTTGCTCGGAAACAACATGTCGATGTCGCTTCACTGAAAGACTTTGCGGCGGGCATAAGCGCGTGCGCTGACGTAATTGCCCTCCATATCCGCCAGCAGCCTTGACACCTGGGCAGGCGAGACGCATACACCAGGAGAATGTGCCAAATGCAATAGTATAGATTAGAAGGGCTTTGTAGGTAGTAGAACATATGACGAACCTCATGACCGCAAGAAGATGCCGTAATTGAGCAGCCGGCACTTTCAGATCGCGTCTCCGCACGTGTCGACGCGTTTGTCTTGGCGCGCGTTGAGCCACTCGGTCGCCACTGGTTCACTTGCACATTGCACAGCACACGAGCACCACAACCCTACTCAGTCATGCTCAATTACCTGTTCAATGTTTAGAAACCCTCGAGAAAACCGTTCTCTGCCGGAATCGTCCCGTTTAACACCGTCCACCGGCCGGGCTCCATCGCCACCCCGCTCATCGTCTCGCGCAGCAGACATGGCTGCCAAAACCGCAACGAAGAAGGCTGCGCCCAAGCCGAGCACGAAAGCGCCCCCGCCGAAGAAAAGCAGTGTTCAGACCACTTTGACGCCAGCCGACTTTGCTAAGAAGTCGCCCGCTGGCAATGGCAAGAAGCAAAAGTCGGCTGGTACACCAAACGGCAACATCATGGCATTCTTCAAAAAAGCCGAGGAGATCAACAGCCGTATATTCCTACAAGAACGAGGGTCGAACCCAACGATAGTACTCGACGGCGATGAGGACGACGTGGGTTGGAGTGACGAGAAGAGCAATGGCATCATGCCTACAGACAACAGCGAGGAGCGATACAACGAGAACGGCGGGAGCAACAAGAGGCGCAAAGTCAGCGAGGAGGCGGTCGCGCCCGTGCCAGCCTGTTCACCACCTCCGCCGGCTGATGTTGAGAGCAATGTTCTGGATGCATTGGCCGCCGACGTTTCTAAGCAAGCGCCAAAACTGCGGAAGAAGTCTGGACCCTTCGTGGACGACTCAGAATCCGAAGACGACGAAGTGGAAGTGCCTGCTACAACTCCAGGTATGACCATACGAAGCCATAATGAGGAATCGCCAATGACTAAACCAACGGAGGACCTGTTGCCCCCGGATAGTGCCGAACACTCCATTTCCCACGACACGACACCCATAAAGTCCGAATCCACATCTCAACACGGGGACGAAGAGCAGGAAGAATATGAAGATCTGGAAGACGATGATTTGCTCGAAGGCGAAGAGTACGATGAAAGGCGGTGGATGAAGGAACAACAGAAGCTCGAGATGGAAGAGGCAGGCTTTGAGGGCGACCCGGACGATTTCGACGCGCCATCTCTATTTCCTGAAGGCGATGATACCGAGATCAAACAGGAAGAGCCATGTACCAATGATATACCTTCCTGTCCGATATGCAGCAACAAACTTCCAGGCCTGTCGGAACAAGAGGTATCCGTACACGTTAATGCGTGCCTAGATGGCAATCCACTTCCTTTACCTGTAGTGAAGTCCGAGGAAGAGAGCAAGTCGACCATGACGAGTAAAGCGAAAGTTTTCAAAAAGCCAGACAGGCCAGCTAAACCTGGTCAAGCGAATCCGTTTCAGCTTGCGAAGCCCAGCGCTCAGCCAAGTTCGGCCTTTTTAAAGCTTATGGCAGGTCATGCTGAGGATGCTGCGTGGGCATCTGCTGCGGCCGAGAACAACAAGTCTCGCGGCAAGCCTGCATACCAACGTACCTGCCCGTTCTACAAGATTATGCCAGGCTTGTTCATCGCTGTAGACGCGTTTCGTTATGGAGCTGTCAAAGGTCAGAATGCCTACTTCCTGAGTCATTTCCATAGCGATCATTACATCGGACTTACTTCCTCATGGAAGCATGGACCGATATACTGTAGCAAAGTCACTGGCAACTTGGTACGACAACAGCTTCGTGTGGACCCCAAATGGGTGGTCGATCTGGATTTTGAGAAAAAGACAGAAGTGCCAGGAACGGAAGGCGTCCACGTTACAATGATCTCTGCGAATCATTGCCCTGGCAGCTCTCTGTTCCTGTTTGAAAAGGAACTTAGCAACGGCAAGAACCCGAAGCTACAACGAGTGCTACACTGCGGAGACTTCCGTGCCTGTCAAGCGCACATCGAACACCCGCTATTACGCCCAGACGTTCTGGACGCTGTGAGTGGAAAGAATCGGCAGCAAAAGCTAGACGCTTGCTACCTTGACACCACCTACCTGAACCCCAAATACGCTTTTCCGCCTCAGAAGCAGGTCATCCAAGCTTGCGCAGACATGTGCGTGAGCCTCAGCAAAGTCCGCGCGGACGACTCGGATGGATGGGAGCAAATGAAGCGAGACCGCGCAGGCCAAGGCATGGTCAAGTTCGTTCGGAAAGACTCTAATACCGATGCTACCGGCGAGCCCAAAAGTCCTGAACGGGGCCGACTTCTAGTTGTGGTAGGCACATACAGCATCGGGAAGGAGCGCATCTGCACTGGGATTGCGAAGGCCCTCGGAAGCAAGATCTTCGCGCCTGCCAACAAACAGCGCATATGCAAAGCTCTGGAGGACCCTGAACTGGATGCACTACTTACGACAGATCCCCGGGCAGCCCAAGTACATATGACACCATTGTTTGAGATTCGAGCGGAGACATTGGACGACTACCTGCGTGATTATGCCGATACATTCACGCGCGTTGTCGGCTTTAGACCCTCGGGTTGGAACTATCGCCCACCAAAGGGTCGCTTTACCGAATCGCCCCAAGTACAAACAGTTTTGCACTCCGACAACTGGAGAAGCACCTTCTCTATGAAAGAGCTGACGCCTCAAGCCGGAAGTGGAGGTCGGGCAAGCTGCTTTGGTGTGCCGTACAGTGAGCATAGCAGCTTCAGAGAGCTGACTATGTTTTGCTGCGCTTTGCGCATTGACAAAATTATTCCAACGGTCAATGTGGGTAGCGCGAAAAGCAGAGAGAAGATGAAGGCTTGGTGCGACAGATGGGCGGCGGACAAGAAAAAGAATGGACTATTCAAACTGGGTGAAGACGGAGAGGGTTGGTCATAGTGAGACTTCGTTAGCATGCCCGTTACAATAGTGGGCCCAAGTCTATGATTCGGTAGCGATATTACCAACCCTGGCTTCTAAGCCAATGCCAATGATCTTTCGATGTGACTCAGTCTCACTACATATTGATATTGGTTCTCTACCATCTACTCTACACACTCATCTACGATATTCTCAAGTTCGCTTCCGCCATGTCGTCAAACATCCGCCTCCTCGTCATTTCCGATACCCACTCCACCTGGCCCTACACCCCAGACAGCCCTGCACCTCCGTGCGACATCCTCATCCACTGTGGTGATCTCACACAAGTCGGCGGTCTTCCCGCATACAAAAAGGCTATGCAAGGCATCCAGACCGTCGACGCAGAGCTCAAACTCGTCATCGCCGGCAACCATGATCTCGATCTCGATGAAAAGTGGGTGCGCAAGAACGCTGAAGATGGTGAAGAGGAAGAAGATGTAGAGGACAGTAGGAAATGTGTCGAGTTCATGAAGTTGCACGAGAAAGAGGGAGTATACTACCTGGAAGAGGGCAGACGTGAGTTCAAGCTGAAGGATAGGAGAAGCTTCAGTGTCTGGGCGAGTGCGTATACGCCGGAGTTTAACGGGTATGCATTTGCGTACGGAAAAGACGAGAATCGCTTCCGTGATATACCCGAAGACATCGACATCTTGATGACACATGGACCGCCTTCATTCACTGACGAACTCGGCTACGGTCTCGATGTCAATGTGAAAGGAGAGAGCTGCGGATGCAAGGTGCTAGGCGATGCAGCAATTAGAGCGAGGCCAAGACTGCACTGTTTTGGGCATGTGCACGAGGGCAGAGGTGCAGTGAAGATGCAGTGGTCCGAGAAGAGAAATGGGAATGAAAGAATGAAGATGCTGCCCGATGACAGGAGACTCCTTAGCGTCAGTAAAGAACAGGAAAGGACGAGTTCCGTGCTAGTGAACGCGGCGGTATGGGGTGAAACAAAGGGATGGACTGTTGATCTCGAAGTATAAGATTCCCACTTTCTACCACCACACCTGAACGAAAACTGCCACCACAACCCACACCACGATGTATCAATCAATGGCCACCCCCTACTTAGACAGTACCAGCGCATACGAGACTCATGGGCCCGCCAACCGCCTCGATCATCTCGTAACCACCTATGGAGTCAGCGTTCTTCATCGCTCCCCAATCTTCCAATTTCGAGAGCGAGTCTGACTTCGAGCACAAGTATGCGCAGCTATTCTTGTATATCTTGCCCTCATCATTTCGGTCTACGTCACATTCGGCTACAGCGTATACTCTTACGGCTACTTGGGCGACGAAGCAGCCGATGATGTCATGGTTTTTCTGTTAATCGTCGTAAATGTCTTTCTGTGGACGATGGCTAGCATTCTTTGGAGAAAAAAACTCGAGGCGGGAAGTCTCAGGAATAAGGAGGCATTTGTACATGTTGGTCAGGCCGCATGTTGCGAGGGGAGAAGAAAGCGCGGATGAAGAGGTGCTCGTTGTGGAGAGACAGGATATGGTTTGAGTTTCTCATATCCTGTGTCTTTCAACAACCTTTTCCGAGGTATAACTGAATCTCGATACTTTTCTATTGACTACATATTCATGTGTACGACGGCATGAAACCACCTCTCAATCCGCGCGCCTTTCCAGGTGCTCTTCCGGAACATGATCGAACTTTTCAGCATCGCAGCTCTCCATCGTGACCTATTCATCTCCATACAATTGTCCTCTAGGGTACTTGATCCAATATTGTTCTAGCGCGTTCTTGAACGAAGGTGGACTCATTTTGACTGTCTTTGCTGCCTGTTGAACGATGTGCTTCGGAAACTCATGAAGAGATGAAAGCTTTTCTGTGCCTGGCTCATCCTCCGTTCTTCTGTCTTTTATCGCTTGCCGCCAAAACTTTCCATAGGTATGCCTGATCTCGAGCGTCTCTATTCCAAGGTCGCGGACGAACTCCAGAATAGGGCGGTATTGGTGTTTATCATCTGACGAAGGGAGTATTATGTGCTGAGCGTGCTTCCCATAATGTCCAAGGGATGAGAGAAGATTTGACGCATTCGTTTTAATTGAAGTGGATCTGAGTACGGCTTCTCGTTTTCCTGCTTCCATTCTGCTTCTGCTATTGATGCCTGGGGCCCACTTCTGTGGGTCCATGGGTATGCCGCAGACTTTCCATCGCAGGCTACGATAAGTTTCGTAACCCAGGGAGCCAGACGCCGGCAGACGGATGCTATTGTGAGGTGGTGTACACTTTGGCGTGATCGCAAGTCGAATGCTGTTTCGCCCAGGTACACTCCGAACGCCTTCCATGAACAGTCACTAAAGCTGCGGCTCGTGAGGCGAAACGCTATTGAACAGACATGCGCTTCTGTTTGGTCGTATCGACAGACAACTGCTCCGGTATCTTTGCAGTAAAGACTTGGTGGCATGACGTCTCTGGCGACTTCCAGCAGGATGTTATGCAGTAACTCAGGGGGCAGTTTCTCGATAAAGCAGGTATCCGCCGAGGGCAGGGTCGTCGACGCCATAACGAGTATTACACTTGCTGTATTGAATGGCGCAGTAAATACGGTCGAATTGGGTTGACGAAACGCAGCTGGCAGGGGACATAAGGCTGAACATAAGTGAGAGGATAGGCAAGAGCGCCAAGGCCTGTCAACAATACCCGAGGTCTAGATGGTAAGGGCACAATACCATAATATCACTCTAGAAAACTATCTGACTTGATGAATGGTCTTCTCGGTAGGCATATCATTGTTTTTTTGAGAGATCAACCACCACTTCCGATGGCGTGTATCACGCGGTGGCACTCACTGGGGCTGCCGTTGCGTCTACCTCAACAGCCTTTATCGTCGGCTCCTTCTCTTTCTTCAACTTGTCTTGTATGGCCTGATAGTTCCGACTCATAGCATTCCTCGTGAACTCTTCACCCGTCACCATTGGATACTTCTTCAATGGACCCTGAATTTTGGCGTCTTTGCATGGCTGATTGAAGAAGGCGATGCTGTAGCGTTCGCCATAGAAGTCATCGGGCTCACATGGAGCCTTAACACGATGAAAGGTCGACTTGAAGCGGTCATCTGACCACGACATAAGGAGGTCACCGACGTTGCAGACTGTGGAGCATGAGTACAGGTTTCAAGTCGACATAGCACATCAACATACCGATTGCGTTCTGGTCTGCGTCCGGCTCAACCTTGGTCCACGCATCCCCGTATCCGAACGAAGTTGATACTTCCCGCCCCGGACATATCTCAAGACCGGATTGCCCTGCCTTCTGGAACAGCAGAGTCAAGAAATCCCAGTCGGCATGTGCACCCGCTCGATGATGCACCTCTCCTGTTGGATTCGGCACCTGCGGAGTCTCAAAGTAATGCAGTAATCGGCAGACAGTCTGAGACTCTGGTCGGCTGACATCGTGAGCTTTGACAAAGTAGTCTTCCTCGAAGTTCAACCCTCGCGCGAAGCACCTCATGAGCCTCTCGCTGACTGTCTGTACTCTGAGCATGAACTCCAAAGCCTCTGCTCGAAATCCCGGAAGGGTCTGGTCACTCAGCCATCGACCTATCCAACGATCAGCACAGCCATACGCATAAGACAAAAGAAATCAGCTCACCATTCATGCCTTCGCCAAATTGCATTTGATAAGACTCTTTGCGGTCGACTGCACCAGTAGATGGCCGGATTTGAGCATTCTTCTCCCATCCGGCATTGTGTTGAGGGGAGAATGGCACCTGCGATTTCACAGGATCGGGCTGATTGAAAAAACGTGCTGACTGATTGAAGATGCCGTCGACAGCGTCGCGTGTTATGCCGTGGTCTACAATGCAGAAGAAACCATGATTTTCTGCAGCATCGACAAGTTCCTGTGTGATCACATCGATGCGCGCATCGAAGTCGTGGAGGGAAATTGTCGGCACAGGGCGATCAACATACTTCGTCGGTGCCATCATGAGAGGTTTGAGATCCAAGCTGATTGACGTTGGTGAGTTTGATATGATCGTTGTGTTTTGAGGGCAAACTGTACCTGTTCTTATGTCCGGTCATCTTTGCTTCTATGCACGTGGTGTCGCAGTGTGCGCTCAGGCGTACTCAAGCCGACAAGGCCAGGGCGGCCGCTTACATCGGCCGTCATCACCAATGCGTGTGTCGTGCAGCTTAGATAGGCACCCGCAACCTGTGAGATGGAAGTCGCGGTCGAGATGAAGTGGGGCCGAGGCCAGATTGTGGAAGGTTCCGCGTTGTCGGCCGCACCCTGTTCATCTTCGTTCCCCACCGCAACTGCGCGCAGATAGCCAACTGATAGCCGGCACGCCTTCTCGATTACTGGGAACGGAATGATGGAAAGGTCGCTCTCATGGCATCGATATATCCTCGATTGTGATACCTAGTGCACGGTCGGCACGGTCAACCTTACCATGGACGACATCAGCACCTCGAAAGGGCCGAGACCCCGGCTGACATGTACAGAGTGCTATAGAAGGAAGATCAAATGTGATAAGAATGTGCCTTGCAGCACATGCATTCGAAGGTCAGCTCCTCCGTATCCAAGACAGTCTAGTATCCGCGAGTCTTCGACGACGACTGTGCCTGCGCGACTGTGGATTACTTTTCGCTGGGAACCCAGTGACCGGGCTTCTCAGTACTGCGCAAGCTGCCCGATCCATCTCATACTAAGTAAAACAGGGGATATGCAAGCTTCTGTACGAGAGAAGACGCGGCTGTTACATCCTCAGTACCACCACCCGCCTACCAAGCTAAAGTTGCAGCGGCAGCATCTGACGATCTAGTGCGCGCTCTACTCGACCGCGTAAGTCAGCTTGAAGCCAAGCTACAGGAACAATGTGATACGGCCTCGAGCGAAGCACCCTTGCCTCTGGAAATGTCTGATACACCAGCAAGTCCCGTTCATTGTGCTGCGATCACTTCATCTCCTGACAATAACGTATCACAACCTGCGGACACTGATGATGCAGCCACTGTGTTGGAGTTTCTGGCATGGGGCCGTAAGAAAGACATCGACTACGGGACATCACCAGAGCAGAACAGCGGGCCACGGCGACTGAGTATCAGAGATGAGAATGAAGCGGATGCATCGAACATTCTATACGAAGCTAGCAGAGATGCACAGCTTGATGTACTTGAAGCACTTCTTCCGAACAGGACTCAGATCGTTCAGCTTGTGGAGTACCACAGTACCACCATCTTGTGGTACCATGGGTCTTACTCCTCAGCAATATTCAAGGACGACCTCGACATCTTTCTCGGAGAATACGAAGGCGACGTTCGACATCAAGACTTGAATCTGCAGTGGCTGGGTCTATTGTTTGCCATCGTAACAGGCAGTATCACATGTGCACCGCCATCTATGTATTCGTCTTGGGGATTCTCGTCTGGAGAAACGAACATATTGTCGCAAAGATGGTACGATGCAACTGTGACATGCCTTGAGATCGCTGGCTACATGGAGGCTCACACCATCTACTCGGTCCAAGCTATCGCGACACTGACCATTGCAGCTCACATCCTTGGCAAGTCGAACAGTCAGTCAATACTGCTTGCATCAGCTGGTCGTATTGCTCAAAGTCTTGGGTTGCACCGACTTGGACCAGAGAGCGCAGCCTCGGCCATCTCAAAAGAGCAGCTGCGTCAACGTGAAGCCGGTCGACGGGTGTTCAATCAGCTTTGCACGCAAGACTGGTTCCAGATTCCATTCTCTGAGTCATATTCGCTGAACCCTCGCTTCTTTACGACCGCGAAGCCGCTGAACTGCAACGACGACGACATGGTACCCTATCAATTGAGCGTACCGACTCAAGCGAGCTACTGCAACTATCGTTATGACATTGCCGCACTTATGCCGCAGCTATTGGATGCAATGGCAGGATGCAACACGCTTTTCACAAAGTACGAACAAGTACTGCATTACGACGAGAAGATGCGGAAACTTGCTACCGCATGCATACCTACATTCCTATCAACAAATGCGCCGGTAGCGACCGGTTGGCCTATATATGTGGGCTGGGCCAGACGCTCACTGGCCATATGCGCTTCACACAAGATTATCATGATACATAGGAAATTTCTCGGTCTTTCATTCACGAATTCCGCGTTTTCCTTTACGCGTCGTACTTGTATCGCAGCGTCCAAGACCATATTGAAAGAGGCGCTATCGGGTAGCGATGAGCAGGGTCCGGTACTATGGATCGAGCAAGCCTTCTCTGTCGCGGCGGGAATCATTCTCAGTCTCGATACCCTTCATCGATCGGCCAGTGACAGGGAGTTCGACGAACATACCAGACTTGTTGCTGACGCAATCGGTTACTTGAATAGATTCGAACATAGCAAGATTGCCTCTCGCGGCGTGCGGTTGCTGTCGGGATTGCAGCGCGAGCTCCAGGGTGGAGGCGTGAACAACAAGAAGCGTGCACGACCTACGGAAAGTGGTGGAATATCGTCATCATCGGGCAAGCGAGCCCGTAGATTCAACGTGGAGAGCTTTATCAGCAACGTAGCCCAAGACTTACAGGTAACAACTCCCACGTCGTCATCAACCGAAGACGTTCCTATAAGTGTAGGAGATACATCATGGAACTCTTTCATGAGCTTGCTACCGCCACAAACAGGATTTGGGGGGCAAAGTCTATTTGATGACTTGCTCTCATTTCAGTTTTAAACTCATATATACTTTAACGACATGTGGTTTCGCGCACCTACACCGCTCCTTTTCCGTATGTCTTCCACTGACTTCTTTGCTTTCCGTATGATCGTCTCCTCATCAATGTGCAACAACTTGCCGTTACTGACAAGCAACTGACCATCTACAAGAACTGTATCGACATCGGCACCAGAGGAATGGATCAGCACTGTAATCGGATCAATGCCACCGGAAGCCTGCTCGTTCGGGTCCCAGGGAGCACAAGACACGCCTTTTGGCTCCACAACGACGATATCCGCTTTCTTCCCAACCTCCAGACTTCCGATCTCATCTTCCAGTCCTAGCGCTCTTGCGCCGTTGATCGTCGCGAACTCCAAAACATCGTACGCGCTGAGGATCCCGGCATTTTGCCTGACACCGCCATGTAGAATGGATGCTAGATGCATCTCCCGAAACATGTCGTACGTATTATTACAAGGTGCGCCGTCGGTCCCCAGAGCTACATTCACACCGCTGGCCACCATGTCTGGTATCGGTGCCACACCAGACCCAAGCTTGAGGTTACTTGTAGGGTTATGCGAGACCGTACTTTTACTTTCGCGCAATATATCGAAGTCTCCAGCTGCTGGATCCGGATGTACGCAGTGAGCGAAGACTGACTTCGGGCCCGTCAGTTGCGTATCGCGGCAGAACTCAAATGGGCTGCATTGGTAATACTGTCGGTAGATAGGTAAGTCCTTGGGGGCTTCCGCGCAGTGCATAGTGAGACCGATGTCGTGTGCTCGCGCTGCTTCGCCAATCGTGGCATGGACCGCCATTGGTGATCCTCGAGGTGTGCCCGCTGCAAACCACATGTGTAGACGGTCGTTGGAAGAGCCATGGTGCTTCTCGTGTGCTAATAGTGCAACTTCTACAGACATAGAGTCCACGTCCCGATCTCTGGCATCTTTCATGTTGAGATCTGAGTTTGTCTCGCCGACTTTGATCAGTTTGCCCTCGCAGCTAAGTTAGCTCATCGCATTGATAGTACTTCGCAACACTCACCAAGCACGCACGAATGCCAGTTTCTTCTACTGCTCTGACGACGTTTTCAAGGCCACTCCTATGCGTGAGCATAGCCTCAAGAAAACATGTCGTACCCGTCTTCAGCATCTCCGCGATCGTCAGCATTGAAGCCACATAGCCATCATCTTCGGCGTAGTTGGCTTCCAATGGCCAGATGGCATCGCATAACCAGTTGTGTAATGGGAGATCTTCGGCGAGTCCACGGAGCAGTGATTGCGCGAGATGGGCGTGTGTGTTAACCAAGCCCGGTATGATGATCTTGTTCTTGCAGTCGACGATATCAAGATCTTTGTTCTCGTTCTGGTTGACCTGATCGGTGATATCAGAAGTCTTTCCGAGTGCTGTGATGCGGCCGTTTTCAACAAGGATTGCGCCATCGAGTATGATTTCCCGGCTCTTATTGACAGTGACGATGGTCGCATTCATCAAGAGGCGCAGCCGCGTCTGACTTGATCTTGCCATGTTCATTCGAAGTGATGCTAATATATCTGGCTAAGATCTACGAGGATGCTAGGTCCGGCGTGAGAGGGTTTTGTGAAAGTGTAGGTTCAACTTTCTAGGAGATCTCATCCATACCTAATTTCGTCAATGAACTTGGGAATCCAGGCGAGTGATTACTTCACGCGATTACCCTCAAGATCCTATTTGCATGGTCGCGACTTCCCATAGGCGTGCGCTGACAGTCGCCTCCGCCGCTCTCCGCTTTCGCGCCTTCGCTAAGGTGACATGGGACGGCCGACGCTAGCGATATCTCCGCCCTTATCTAGCTCACTTACTCTGTCATCCGTCGCACGTCTCAAGCTGTACGCACAAGTATCGTAGCACTGTTATCAGGTTTAAACAATAGCCGGATCCCGATGGACTGGTTATCGCGGGGTTTACAAGCGCAGAAACGCCTATCGTGGGAACGGCTTCTTGCCGATCTAGAACCACGAGTCAATAATAACCCAGACGTTGATATATAGCCATGCAGCTCGATGTTGAAATACACTCGCCGCAATATCTCGGCCAGCAGACTATATGCTTCACCGGGCTGATTAGCGATAGCCATGGCCGTCGAAACCCATCGCGATATGGAACCGAAGTCCAGATATGCTGAGGAAACGGGTGAATACTCGCCCGCAGTGAGCCAAGAGTTGGGAACAGTGACTACGAAGTGGCAGAGTACACTCGCAGAGATAAAGTATGCGTTTACGACGAAAGACGGATGGATCGGCGACTACGTATGTCAACATTCCGCAGCTTTCTGCCACAGGTAGCTGACCGCCCCCTAGGACTACGTCTACCTGATTACCCCCAATATCTGGCCCTTGAACCGAAAGTACAAAGACTATCAAGCGCCGTTCTACGGCCTCAATGACCGCGTACCCGTTCTCCTAACACTGCTTCTCGGCCTTCAACATGCACTCACCATGATTGGATCTATTGTCTCTCCACCACTGGCAATCGCCTCCGGAGCGTTTAATTTCGATCCAGCTATGACGACATACCTAGTCTCGACAGCCTTTATCACTACAGGTATTGCGACAGCTTTGCAAGTCACTCGGCTGCATATCGTGAAGACGCCATTCTTCATTGGTACAGGGCTCTTGAGTGTCGTAGGACCCACATTCGACATCCTACCCATCGTCTTTAACTACGCCGCTCTACGATACAAATCCGGATCTTGTCCGGTCCTCGAAGACGGAACTCAAGGACCATGCCCTGATGCCTGGGGCGCATGCCTAGGCACTATGCTGTGCTGTGTCTGGATCCAGATAGCCATGGCTTTCGTACCGCCCAAGGTGCTCAATAAAGTTTTTCCTAAGCTCATTACGGGGTCACTTCTGACCCTCATCGGGGTCTACCTCGTTGGCAACGGACTGCAGAACTGGGGCGGGTCATCAAATTGCCATGGAGGAGAGGGTTTCTACGCTCTTTGTCCGGATATCACTGCGCCGCGACCGCTGGTATGGGGCCATCCAAAGTTGATCGGCTTGGGGTTCAGTGTATTTGCTACTATTATCTTGGTCGAAGCCATCGGTGCGCCACTCATGCGTTCAGCTTCGGTGATCATTGGTCTAGCTGTAGGCTGCGCCATCTCAGGCGCAACAGGCTACTGGTCGACGGAACAGCTCAACCAAGCACCCGGCGGAAACTTTCTTTGGGTACACACGTTCAAGCTCTCTGTCGACGGTGCGCTGGTACTGCCTATGATCATCATGTTTGCTTGTCAAGCCGTGTCTTGCATTCCCGACATCTTGGCCACTGCGGAGCTATCAGGTGTCGACATCGAAGGCACAGAGTTCAACAGCAGAATCCAAGGCGGTATTTTGTGCGACGGATTGGGAAGCTTCTTCAGTGCGCTGGCTACGGGCCCACCGATGGTCAGTCAGGCAGGCAACAACGGCGTTATTGTTCTCACCGGTTGTGCATCTCGCCGTGCAGGATGGGCAGCAAGTGGCTTCCTGATCCTTATGGGGGTCATTGCGAAGTTCGGTGCTGTCTTCGCTTCTATGCCGCCGTCTGTCCTCGGCGGTATGCAAGTCTTCCTTTACAGCACGATTGCTGTGGCCGGTATCCGTGTCCTTGCACTCATTCCGTGGACCCGTCGTGATCGCTTCATCCTTTCGGTCGCTCTGGGCATTGGGTTCATGGACATATGTCAACCTGATTGGTTTTCACAGGTTTTATCGTACGATGGGCCCAACGAGAATCTTGTTGGATTCGAGCAGGGCATCAACCTCGCTGTGGAGACTCCGTTTGTTATTGCTGCTATTGTTGGTATATTTCTGAACGCTGTACTGCCGAAAGACAAGAGCGCGGCGCCGATGGTAGGATACGGTGATGAACAGAAACATCCTAGAATAGGGCAGCGCGAGGATTAGACATATATCACAGATATTAAGATATTTTTCCCTGAGTCATGGCGTAATGTTCTTCTACGTGTATTCGTCTTTGTGTGATCAATCTTCTATGCAAACGAGGTTGTGTCGGTATCGCTGCTATTGCACGATGGTTTTCGTCGCTTACTGAAGCGACGTCTCACTATGGAGATGATAACTTGCTACCTGCGGAGAGGACTTTTAGATTCCATTCTGCCACCAGCCTCGCTCTACCTTCTGCCTAACCAACCAGGCATCCAATATATGCCTTAACATCCTACTCAACACGCGACCAACATGCCACTCTATTCGGTCCTTTCCCACATGCCTTGTCCGAGTCGCCCTCGCAACCCCACAACTGCCCCATCACAAAGCACATCCAAGTTTCATAGTGGCCTCGCGTGGAAGTGGTATGTGGTTTCGAATAGTCTTCGGCGCGCGGCAGAAATGCGGATACTACGACGATGCGGTGTGGGTAATGGCTTAGCCGAATCGAACATCATTTGCAAAAATGGGGGAGGTTGGTCTGTGAAGATCTTCAAGGCTAAGAATTCTCGGCTGCCCTGCCGAGTAACATCGGCGGACGGCAGGTAAAATATCGCAGCAAGGCGAAAGTGGAGATGATGAAGCGGAGTGAAATGCGAGTTTTGCTCGTATGTGGGTTTCCTCAGATAGCTGTCATCAGTGATTGGAGATTGCAATGCTTAATCATGGCATTGATCATGATAATTTTGAAAACGAGGCTGTGCCAAAATTATCATGCCTCCGCCTCGGAGTAGACCGACCGAGAAGAATACATGGCAACAATACACAGTAGTCGCCAAACCGGTCCTTTCCTAGTCCCCAACGACCAATTCTCCCGCTTCTTCTCCCGTTGCCCCTGCCCTCTTGGTTCTCACGACCCTGTTCCCGAACGCTGATCATCAATGCATTGCATGCGTATCAAACAACGCGCGCTCGCGCAATCGTTCAGATCGGTGAGTGACCTCGTACAATCCCACTTTTTAGCATTGTAGCAAAACATGACTCGTCAAACGAGTCGACAAGTCGCATGCATTAGTCAGGCAGAAAGACGTTGGAAACTTGCTTGGCCAAGACACATGGGACAGCAACTGGGTGTCGGTGTGGGTTCGTACACTGGGATTGGGAACAAACGCACTGTGGGTAAGTCGCTTGGAGGAACATTATGATGAAACCAGGGGTCAGGGGGCGGTTTGCTGGGATTCTGGTGGTCGGCGACTCTTCCGCCCGTATTAGTGTTAGTCTGCTATCGTCGTTGTGGTGGCTTGCTGGAAAGTGCCGTCAAGTGTGTGTAGTAGTGCTGTCTAGAGCACGCACACGCGGCAGAGAAAGTGTGAAAGAAGGTTTGATGTATCTGCGGTATGCAAAAGACTGCATGTTCACGTTACATATTGCCCGCCGCCTTGTGACAGGATGCAGTAGCGTACGTTTTTTCCACGCTTTTCCCTTTCCTTCGCTCCCATGTCAGATCCTATTGATCTCTAGCGTCTTCTCCACAATCATGAGAAGCGTTCCATTCGAGCCAAGTTTGCAGGGTAGTTTGCGGCGCGTGGACCGTGCGTTCCAAGGTGGACTTGATTTTTTCACATGCCGAGAAGTTCAGGGGACGAAAACGCTCGAGCGGTTTTTACCTCGGGATCTTTCCAGCCTGGCGGGTGGGTAGGCGTGTGCCTGTGCCTCGATATTGACCCTTGAAGCCGCGCAACCCGGATTGAAAAGACCGTTCGATTTATTGTCTATAGTATTGACAAACCAGGTTGAAGGGCCCCTGTTGCATCTGCACACTAAAGTTGTACGCATGGTGCGGTCCGGTTACCCAAACTGTTACGAGATCAGCGTCGTCAACGTCGCATCGCATTGACTTGCTCGACGATCAGGAACAACGGCTAACTGCTTTTTGCAGACGGTACGAGCAGCGGGTAGAAGGATGGAAGGTCGAGACGGACGTTGGGCAAACCCCACGTGCGAGATCGCGATTGGTGCTTTTGCTGTACCGGGCCGTTTGAACGCTCTGGCTTCATCGAATTAGTAAAGCCTGGTGGCTGGGAAGGTTGTGAGTGGTGATCTCAAGAAAGATGCATATGACGCGTGTATGTTGAAAAACGATCACTTTCCGTTTTGGTATAATCTATGGTGTCGGACGGCACCGGTGGGACTTAAGCAGGGTGAATAGATTGAGTGGGGATACCTGGTGCGCTTATGATGTAACTTCAAGATGCCAATGTTGAAACTCCAGAGTGTACCTTGGAACAAATGGGCCTTCGAAAGTTTGATAGAGCGGCTGGACACATTGGCTTGATTGTTGAGGTTATCGTTTGTAGGCTGGCACACCATTAGTGGGTACAGTGCTCCGTATCATTATGAATGAGGAAGGTCCATAATATACATTGCGATAGTGAGGACACAGCGTCTTTGCTCAGAGTATCATTACAGTGATAGTATTTTCGCTAGATGATATCGCTAGATGATATCGCTAGATGATATCGCTAGCGGCGCGTAATCGTCATTGCGGTCGTGCTTGCAGGTATCGCAAGATCAGCGTATTGTACAGGCGCGCTTGTTGCAGCGCTTTCTGGGGGTTTCCCTCTTGCGGTAGTGATACACCTGAACCGTGTTCTCAATCGACTCTTTCCAAGCGCGTGCATCTCCATCCGTCAGATGAATGGCTTGGACAGCAGTGCGAATGACGCCGAAGCGTATCATGCCGTCATCTTCGCCATGGCCAAGGTCAGACGATACAGTGGACATATGCTTGCCATTCTGCAGACTCATCCGCTCACTGGGGCTTCTGCAAAGTGCATTGCACAAGCAGTGTAATCTTGATCAGGGGTTGACATCGTGTCTCAACGCGCGCGTTTGTACATGGACTGGTCCCCCATGGAAGTGTTGTCGTCCCACCTGCGCTTGAGCCCATCCGGTAAAGAGCTGGCGACTGCTTCCTGCCACATTGTAGGGGTAACGTATACGGGTGCAGCGTTTCCATATGTCGATGCTGGTGGCATCTGGCCTGGAACTGTATGAACATTGCTGGCCTGGGGCGATGTGTTCGACATTTGGTAGCCCGGTTGCATAGCCTCCTGTGTTGGCCGCATATCGTAGTTGGTTCCTGGAGGATTGGGTCTTAGCGGCGGAGACGCCTGAGAGGACGCGCTAGTAGGAGGGGGCGTACCAAAGGCTACATTCCATTGACTGAGTTGTATTAGTTTGATGTTTCAATGAGAATATGATGATTGAACCTACTCAAAGATGCGTTGTGGGTTCCATTGGGCGTTCTCCGGCATTTGCATACCAGAAGGTGGCTGAGCTGCACGGTGACCAGACGCCATCATGACCAAAGACTGAGCTACGGGAGAGTCAGCCTTGGAACCGCGGTCGGATGCCGAAATTGGTGGAGTTATGGGGAGTGCATGGTAGTTGACCTGACCTGGTTGTTCCAAGGGCGAGGGATGGCTCGGGTGACGAGGTCGGTACGATCCCTGGTGACCCATAGGGCTTGTTTGTGGAGCTACTTGTGGGCTTCCGAACGGGAATGTCGGCTTCAACTCAAAGGCTTTTGAGCAGTCGGCCGAAAACGCTTGACGCAGGCTGTTCACTTGCTGTTGCATCTCGGGCATCGGGAACGAGGGAGACATGGTTTCCAGGACGCGCATGTGGCGTACAAAGAAGTTCCTGGCATCGTGGTTGATATCTGGGTCAGGACATGTCACAGCAACCTATGGCTGTTAGTCAGATGCCTCATCACATAGTGTATGTGACATACCAAGTGCAGCATCGTGCAGGTCAACACAGCGTAGATGTGGAAGCTTATGCCTCGCATCATGCAAAGTAATCCAGGCATGCCGTAGGTCTTGAGAATGGCCTCCTGAAGCTTGCAGAGATTTTTCGCGGCCGAGTAGCATGTGAGCATATGCTGCTTCCATATACCATCATACGACTCTGATACGGCATGTAGTTGCGGACGGAAGTGCATAATGATGGCCAAGCAGTGGTAGGCGTGCATGTTCGCCAGCTGATGGGATGGAATCCAAGGAGCAGAGCCATCCTGGGGGTAGACGATCTGCATATCCTCGGGAAGCTCTCGTAACCAGAGGGAGAAGTCGGTGTTGTGGCCAACGAAAGCTGGATCCAGTGCCCAGTCCGGGTTCTTCTTCCTGAGTTTTCCATACACGAGGGCCGAGTGGTGAACGTTCTTAACAATACGAGCGTATTGTACGAATTGACGCGCAATTTGGAGCTCGGAGGGATCCTGTCCTGCAATGTGTCTAGGCATCTCCAAGTCTACGGTATCAGTAGTGACACCAAAGTCGTAGCGTCCTATGGAAGTCAGCATCTTCAAATACATTCTCAAAGACCAACATACCCTGAGGACCGCCAATCATGACCTCGAAGACCATGCACATCTGCCATACTCTCGTTTTGGCAACACAGTCGTGTACTGTCGATCCGCATGATTTCCCCATCTGATGAGTATCGAAGTGTTCGTGTAATTCAAGGTCCTTGGCCATGGCCACAAGGCTGACAGTCGCCATCCAAGAACGCCAGAAATATCCTCGCTTTGGCGATGCTTCACGGGCCTTGAGTAATAGTATCATCGCCTGCATCGTACTCAGGCGAGACACGTCTTTGAAGCTCTCTTCGTGCTCTGCATCTTGTCAGCAATGATCTTTCGCAAATACAAGACGCGACTGACTCGTGGCAAGGGCCAGCCATTTGTTGCCCTCTTCTGCATCCCCCAGCATCAACGAAGAACAAGCAAAGATGGACTCCAACATGAGCGGAGAAATGGAGTCCGGAGCGCTGTGCCATTGCTGGTAGAAGTAGGCCTTGTTGATAACGGGGCAATATGGGTGGACGTTGGCGAAAAAGTAGTCAAAATAATGCATGGCCCGATCGTCATCAGGCATCATTTCCGGCGGTATGCGGACAGTATGATCGAGGCTTACGGAAGCTGGCAGTACGACCTCGTACTCCTCTTGTGCGGGTGTCTCCGCCAGCGCCTTCTTCATATTAGTGATATATGGGGCTAGACTGGTTAGCTTGATATTGTTACAGCAAAATATCGTGAAGCTCACCAATAGCTGTATGGTCGATCTTGAGTTCACCCAGGGCCTCAGATAAACTCGATACAGAGTCGCTTCGCCAATGCGGTTCTGATTCCGGTGGAGTAAGGATCGCAGGTGGACCAGCTGATTGTTGTGAGTAGCCATGCTGCGGCGCATAGCTCATGGTCTGCTGGATGACCTGGGGTTGAGACATGGGTTGATAATGACACGACTCCTGGGACTGTTGATCCACGTAGGGCGAAGATTGGTACATGCCTTGGGTAGTCGGCATAGAAGGCGGCATCTGGTGAGACATGGCCTGCGACATGGACGGGTGACGTTGGTAGTCATGTTGGGCAGATGGGTCCGGAGCATACTCCAGTGGTTTGGGCTCCAGGTCAAAGGTTTGCGAACCGTTGTAGTCCTTGTCATAGCTGACTGTAGGCGGCACGCAGTTGAGCTTCAAACGGATGCAAGCAGCGCAGGGCCATGCATTCGTTGTTGCCGCGTCGCACTTGATTTTGCGTCTACGACATCCTTCGCACGCTCTCATTACTGCTTTGCATTAGCGCTTGAATGTTAGTCCTGCTGTGCTTTCACACCTTTTAGTCGTTTGTGTCTATTATGTTCGTCTACGAATACATAATCTGGAGACGTTGTCAGTTGCCATGGCCTCCGGGACGCAGAGCGGTGTGTGGACTCACTGCGCTGGTTTTCACGCGGTGCCAGCGTGGGCGGCGCAAAGGTGAAGCTCTGCATTTGCGCCGTTTGTGGCAGCAGTGGCCGTCCAGTGGTCTCCGGGGGCATAACGTTAATAGCTACCACGAGCCGATCCGGAGTGACAGCGCAAGGCGTTGCGCAATGGATGCAAGCAGCGGGGTTGTCGGCTATCCACTAAGTTGATGAGGTTGTGTGCGGTGGTTGGTGTGCAGCCAATGGTAGCGGCGCGCGATGACGGTCCAGAATGTCCAGAGGGTCGGCGAACGGAAGAAATCGCGGAATGGCCAGAACTAAACACAAAGAAAGCGAAATCGAGAAAGGATGCACTGTAGAATGCTATAGCGCAAAGGAAATCTCCGCAACACCGCGGCGTGGTTAGGTTATACGGCAGATCAGGGCAGAAAGCGCATAGGGATGGTAGGTGGAGACGATGTCTGGCATACCGGGGTTTCGAAGACGCACTGGCAGCGGGCTCGCAGCGTGGCTCACGCGCGTAATAGTGGCGTCGCAGTGTATGGATCTCCTGAAAGTCGAGAGTATTGTGGTCCTAGGCGGTTGGCCGTGTATGAAGGGGTCGATAGGCGGGCGAGGGGTAGACGATATGCGACTTAAGCGTGCAGGATCCAGGAGCCGCACTGCTGCACAAGTAGCGCCTTTGGTATGGGCGCCCAAGCTGCACGCGCGTGAGTGCAAGCGTCCGCTTCCAAGATGCTGCGGGCACAGGGAACTGCCGTGCTGTGGGGGTGTGAGGCAATGGGCAGCAGGGATTGTGGTGCCCGTTGGAGATGGCCTGAATCGTAACACGTAGAACGACGGGTAGTGTGGACCTTGAAGCACTGCCATGGGCCGGGAACGATAGCTATAAAATCAGCGGGGGCAAAGTCTGACAGCTGAGAAGACGGTGGTACATGGCGGCGCTCTCACTCAGCAGACTTGGACGGCAAGGCAAAGTAAAACCCTTCAGCGGACCGCGTACGCAACCTGTCGCGAGGCTCTGGTGGCGGCTGCATTTGCTGGATTGCCCAGAAAAAGAAGATCAGACGTGACCAGTAGACTGCAGCAGCCCGGTCCTGGCCGTGATAGGGCTGGACAGAGTCGAAAACCTTGTGCGTGCATTTAGTCGGTTCATAGTCGTACCTAGTTTCTCATCTCGCACAGCCTTAGGTGCCTGAATGTTTGAGACATGGTCTGGCAGTGTCACCGCAATGACAGGTGGGCCTTCTAGAAAGTGATCTCCGGCTGCTAGCCTCGATGACGAGTATTATGCTTTAGCCGACATATAATACAGCAGGTGTACGACTATAGCTAGCTAGATAGGGGGCACGAAGATGGCTCTGGTAGGACGCTGCACGACTTGCCAGGAGCTAAAGCGAAACAAGTCTTGTCCACATAGACGCGGAAGTGACTTGGCTTGACGCAGCATGAGGATAGGCGTCCGCTACTCGACGTCGCGCTTTGGCCTGGTTGATGTACCGCTCTGATCGGTGGCATCTCCATGGCCGCAGACTCGACGTTCACTCGAGACTTTGCATGGGTTGGGCAGACGGGATCCCGTCGCATGCGGCAGAGGCCACGGCAGCACCGGTGTGTGTGTGTGGTTGAGCACGACACATCGGCGAATTGATTCGTACGGAAGCTTGGTAGGGCCATGTGCATGCAAGGTTCTAACGGCAGACGCATCACCATCAGCGTAGCCCGCATGAAACAATATTACTCGAGATGGCTACCCTCAGTTGGGCTAACATGATTCTCGAATGTGTAGCATGCACAGACAGACGGCATAGCTTTGCATGAGCCGAATACGAAAATTGCGGCCGCGAAGCGAAACATGGCTGACAAGACTTGGAGAAGGCTTCGATCCAGTGCATGGATCGTATTTTCGTCCGCCACTGGCGATTGCATGACATGAAGAACGACCGAAGATTGCATGGAAAGCTAAAGTTAGGGTTGAAAATCCCTTTCCTTAAGGGCTTTTGCAATCTGTTAACCACAGCGCCGGGTCGCTCTCTGTCTGGCGCGGCTGGCGACGGGGCAGCTGAATGATTAGTCAAGACGCAGGTGGTATGATGATAATAGCGATGGCAGTCAAGGCGCGGCCGGGTCACGACTGCTAGCTTCGATCACGCAGAGACGCGACGGGCGTTGCCAAGTGGTTGTCTGTATGGAGCAGGGCGGGATGGTGCGATGACTGACAGGTGCTGGCGCCAGGCTACCGTCGACACATGGAAGGTCGATAGAAGCAGTGGTTTCCGTGGCGCGTGGGTAAGACGACACGAATACTGACCTCATCTGGCGCTGATCACTGCCGTTGATCTCCCTGCAGCTCAGGAACACGGCAAGGCAAAGCAGGGACAATCCAGCAGCGCGGTTGGTCGTGCGCCGGATGAGGCAGCACATCCGTTATGAAGGCAGCACCTGTGCGGGAGGGGCCGACAGATGTCGTCTGGCCACAATGCTATCGGGAGTGATTTGTTATAAACATGTCGTCAACGCGATCACCGTGGCGGCGCGAAGCTTGGGGAGTTGACGGTGTGGTGGATCAGCCGGAAGCGTCGGCTGCCGATGAGAATGAAGCCCAAGCACCACCCTCCGCCAGCCGCGCTGCTTCTCACCTTCTGGATGCGCACTGGGGGTTGCCGAGGCTGGCCGAGCAGAACGGCATGGGCGCCATTGCAGGAGTCGACGAACTGTATACCCCGGCTGGTGATGGGATGACACGAAGCTGCAGACACTAGTCAAACACACGGGTGCCCTGCTGCTGTGGTGTGTGAACGGCGCACCCCACACCCAAGTGTCCCCTGTATGTCGCGGATAATCTGCGGGAAATTTGTGGCATTACAGAGCAATTGGTAAGGCGGCCAGGCATTCGTCGAGGGTGCCGGGGGGGCTCAGCCGGGCGGTGGTGGAGGGTGCTGGTGAGGGTGAAGGTGCAGCCGCGGGTGACATGTTCCGACCGTCTGGCTGGCTGCTTGCACATGCTAGATGACGAACACCGAGGAGGGGTCGCTGGTGGCCCGGGCGCGCCTTCCTCGCAGATTTGCTGGAGAGGCAGGAGCCCACGACGGCTCCTTCCCTCCGCCACCATCACACCACGACGCCGCAACCCCTGCCAACCGCCGCCATGGAGCTCGACAAGGACAACGCCAACCCGACCATCCTGAATCCCTCGGATCTGCCTTCCCGCCGCAGCGACTCGACGGCAAAGAGGCGCGATGACGGCGGGACAGGCCTCTTTGACAACCTGATACCGCGCTACAACTACCTCAGCGACCCCTTCGACGACAGCGTCTCAGCAGGCGACTCAGACAGCGACGACGCACGTGAGGACATTGACGAGCAGGAAATCTACGGTAGGCGCGCCCGCTGGCCCTCGATGGGATTAACGTTTGGCTCACCCCGCGCATGACAGACCTCATTTCCACCATCTGCGACCCTGAACACCCGTTGTCCCTCGGCTCGCTGTCCGTCGTCAACCTGCCAGACATCCACATTCTGCCCCCGTCCTCACCGCTCTCGAGCATCAGTACCGTCGTCGTCGAGATCACGCCGACTATCACCCACTGCTCGCTGGCCACCGTCATCGGCCTGGGCGTGCGCGTCCGTCTCGAACAGGCACTACCTCCGCGCTTCCGCGTCGATGTCCGCATCAAGAAGGGCACCCACAGCACCGATGAGCAGGTCAACAAGCAGCTGGGCGACAAGGAGCGCGTCGCCGCTGCCCTCGAGAACGGCACCCTGATGGGCGTGCTGAAGAAGATGCTCTCTACGTGCGAGTAGTGTCGTTTGCGATTAGTCTCCCTGAACCGAAACCAATCACGATATCCGTTCCCCGATATTGGCTCATTCGAACAACGCGTATACCAAGACATCATTTCCGCCACACCCACACACCGTACACCGTATTCCTACGAACCATGGCATCATCGCTCCGACGGACACACCGTGATGAGTAGTCGCCCAAGGAGGAAGGCCCCGGCTGTTCACAATATTGATGTTGTCCCGCAATATGCAAACCGCGTATGCATGCGGCGCGTGTCATATCCCTGCGTCGATCACTAGCGTCGTGTTGGATATAGCATGTTCCTGCAGGCTAATGTCGTACACAAAGTCAATTCCGACCTCACCACAGGTGCATCGCTGATGGAGGGAAACAAGTTTCGATGGCGGAGCTGGCCCGAATGGGTACAGAGGATGGGGCGTCTTCACAGTAACATCCGGGTGATTTAGCCGCGAGCACATACCGCAGCCTTGGAGGTTTGAGGCGAGCAGGATTATGAGCAGACACAGATGTATAGAAGCCTCATGAACAGTCTGAGATTGCGTGTGCAATTCTTAGGTACACTTGGCTCATGATACCACATATCTTTCTGGTGCTCAAGTGATACGTCCAGGCGCAGATAGCAATGAATGCAGCCCACGCAAAGCATGAACAGATCTGAACTGGCATTATGAAAACCTGCTCCGTGAATAATATGACGTCTCTGCGCCCCGTCTCCCACCTCGAACCCCTCTTCCCAACTGCCCTTCCTAGTCCTCCAATATTCCAGTCCTATCCGCAAAGTCCTGCAGCATCTTGATCTTATCTTCCATCACCAAAATCTTCGCCTCGTTATCCAAGTCGTCAAATCCGTCATACAATTCCTCTATTGCGATTTCCAATGCGATCCTCTGCGCTCTGTAACGTCTGGTCTTTGCCCTCAGCTCCTCTGTTTGTCTTTGCAACTCCCAGATTTGTGCGTATTCGTAGAGTGAACGAAGGACATATAGAGCTGCGCTCGCGAGAAAGATGACGATGTGTGAGACTTTTGCGAGACTGGCACAGTTTAGCGTGGCGATTGCGATGGAAGCTGAAAGAGCGAGCAGTTTGTGCGAGATAGTGATCGGTATGTGGAGTTCCATGATAGTACTGGTGAGAGGTTTGCACGGCTGTTTGGGTAGAGACGTGATGGTGTGAGTTTTGTCCTAATCTGTCTAGGTACGAAGAAGTAAACGACGACTTTAATAGTGTGCAGGCGCAAAGTGTTTGCAATTGCCGCTGCACTCACTTCAGCTCAGCAATTTCTGGTTTACAGGCAATCGCTGTATGCTCCATAATACCGCTTTGGTGTAATCACAGCCGATAATTCACAGTGTAGTCTTCCTATACAACTCCGTAAAAAGCAGCTTTCTCACCCGCGACTCTTTTGCAAAACCAAAATCTCGATATGGTCGTATCAGCTCTAGCTGGAATCCTCAACTGGTTGATCCATAGTATAATTGTGGCGCACTTCTCATACATCGTATGGCAAATTTTCCAGGGTCACAGACGTGTCCCCTTCCAGACTTGAGGCAGGCCTCGAGACAGACGGGAACAGCACCTCTACTCCACCTAGCGACAAGATGATGTACGCATGGCGCTTAGCAGAAAGAAAGAAGGCCTGGAAATGAACGGATGCGAAGTAACAGATGGAACAGATGCGATGGATGCGAATGGACAGTTTGAAAGAGTAAATTGTTCAATTGTAAAGAATTTCGAAACAAAAATGTGAGGAGAGATAGCAGTCTACGAAAAGTATTTGAGCATTTTTCATTCCTGAGATGTTAAGTTAGACGAATGATCTATCGATAGTAAGAAGTGAATGGACCAGAAGCCAAACACTCCCGCCATTAGCTCCGCCCAACAAGATCTCTATCAACCCCCATGAGAAACCCAGTGACCCTTAAGCTTATCAGCCTTCTCAAAATCCTACTATCGTTCAAGGTGCTTTGTTACCGTGCACAGATACATCACTTCCCCCACCACCATGTCGCAACCCCAGCCATCCGTATGGCTCATACTCCCATGCATGCTCCTCTCCCTCATCATCACCCGCTTCCTCACCATACTCTTCACTTCGCACAATGAGCGCGGCCTAAGCATAGTCGCCAAAGCAGCGCTCATATTCGTCGCAACACTCGTTCTCACTACCACGGCTGCGACTTCTCTGCTTCAATCTTCATCTGAGGACCCACAGCCGACACTATCGCACACCAGGAACGTTCTGCGCAAGAAACGTAATGTCTCATCCATGCGCGAAGAGCGCATTCAGGCATGGCGCGTCAACACTGCGCCGACTCTTCATTGGAGTTCTTCCTCGTCTGATGAAGATGTGAAGACAGTGAGGCCGAAGCTTGTTAAGGAGAAGAATGAGAGGCGGAATGAGAAGTCGCTGAGGAAGCGGTTGATGACGAAGTTCAAACCGAAGAGGAAGGAGATGCTTGGGGGTAGGAAAGAGACCATTGAGGAGGTTGTGAGGGAAGATCCTTGGGCTTAGGTAATGGACGGGGTTGGAAATGGACAAATGGTTTTCTAGACATGATCATGAAGAGACATTGTAGATAAAATCGGGATATACCGCCTGATACTGACTACTTGCCCCATGTCCGTCATCTCATGGCGTTACGATTATTATCTAGCAGATGCCGCAAGTACAAAAAGAAGCAAGCAGAAACTTTTCAATATTAGAGGAGCACACATCAAAGCACGACGTTAGTCCCTGTCCGTCAAATCCACCACGTAGCGCTGTGGAAACACACACCTCAACCACCCCAGCAGATCCCCTATGATACAACCGACTCCACACTCGGCTCCCACATCTTGTATCCTCTCCTCGTCGCCCACCACCCTCCCTCAATCCCCTCTCCACTCCCTCAATACCTCCCCACCACCCTCGACATAGCCCTAACTTCCGCCTGCGCCTTAAGAATTTCCAATATCTCCCTCTCAAGCCCCGCATTCACCGCGATACCCCCAGAAGAATACGTATCACCAAACGCCGAATTGGCCGTCGTCGTGATACCGCTTCGATCATACAGCGGTACATCTCGCTCCCACATCGATATTACGCCATTCCTACCATCCGCACCGTTCTCTTCGTCAGTGTGCGTGCCCTTGTGCATCAGTCCCCACAGGCTGATTGGTTTGCTGCGGAAATATAGAATGGCGCAGATGATGTAGATGAGAATGCCAAAGATACCGACACCGCATATGAGGCCGATGGCTGCTGGGGAGAGGGGTTGGAAGGACGAAGCTTTGAGTGCGGAGCGAGTAAGCGGATAGGGCGCTGGGGTGGCTGGGCGAGTTGAAGATGGGTAAGAAACGGGCGCCATGGTTGTTGAGGGGGTTGTCGCTTTGTTGAGTGAGTGAATTCGATGCGCAGTATCTCGTCTTGAAGGTATTGATTTTGATCTCGGTCTCGTTGGAGTGTGCGTGAGGACGTCGTCAACCGGCGGAGGAGCGGTTGCGACGTTGGTGTTATCTGGGGGTGGACGGGGCATAGAGACGCGTAATTTTCCAGTGGAGTGGATATAGGTGAGCGCGATTTCTACACGAAGTGTTCCGTTTGCTGCGGGTGAAAGTGAAAGGGGACGGGATATATGTGCGGCCCCGTCTCCTGAACGTAGAGACTGTACGAGAGAAAAATTACAGGTGAAACGATGTGGACAACAAAACAGCAGGTTGGTTCGTGATCTGAGAGTCAAGATGATGCCATAGATGTGGGTAGGCAAATTGGAGAAGGAACGCACGTATGTAGAGCAAGTTGAATTCGATGACCATGGCAGGTGTGGGCCTGAATGGGCAACTTCAGTACCCCGTGGGCTAGGGCAGAAACGAAGCAGGGCAGATAGATAGATCGAACAGAGGGTAGAAAAACAGAGCGAGCACAATAACGGGCGAGCACATCACCTCGCACTCCTCAAGGGTATATTCATATCACCAGCTCTGCAGGCACCCTTCGTGCTTGCGCACTTTACACTCGCTCCCTGTTGAAACGTCCAGCTCTTGCGCTTGGCCGCGCTCTTATATGCCGTGGGTTGTCATATCACATTGCGTCTGCCCATGCTCCTTTTGTCTTCCTCATGCTGCCGCACGAACGGTCGCTTCATCGCGTGTTATCCTAGCACCCGATATCTTTTCTTTCTCATTTCGCCTTATTCTTCGCCGCCTCGGCCTCTCGCCTTGTCGCGTCCTCGAGCAATGCGGTGTCGACAGCGCCGGAGGGAAGGTGTACGTATCGGACGACGGAACCGCGAATGAACATGTCTTTTGTCGAGCACTATTGTAAATTTAGCATCCGTCCCCTTCCAACAATTCATATCGCCTTCTCTCTGGTACGCTGTCTGGTCCGTACGCAAGGGAGAGGCGCGATGCACAAACGTACCAAATGCGGCCACTTGAGCTCATCCACCGCCTCTGCATTGTCCAGCTTAATATTCAGGTACTGGTCCACACTCTTGAGTGTTCCGCGGATCTGGACTTCGTTCTTGAGTTCGACGGTGATTTCGTGCTCGACGAGGGTTTTGAAGAAGCTATTGCGCTGTCAGTCGCTGTTGCGTCATTGTCGACGGGGACCGGGAACTAACCTGAAGAAGAGCATTATGTATATGTGAGGAGAAAGGTCGGGGTAGAGAAATCGAGGATACAGCTAAGCTCAAGTTGGGTGGAGTGGTCGCGACTTGTGGTGCATATGGCACAGTGACGAGGTTATGCGCTGCGCATGGACCGCGTGGGGTTCGCGCCGCTACGAGCGAGGCTGATCTGCCGCCTCACCATGTCTCTCACTTCAGCATCACCATCAAGTTGATATGCATAGACAATCAAATATGATAGACAATGTCTTCAATTCATCTACAAAAGAAATTCGCTATTGTGGTATCAACCTAGTCCAGTCCAATTCAGCCTATCCAACACCGTCTACCCAAAGCCATCGTAACCGTATCAAATCATGGTCAATCCTGTTACCATTACTTCCTCGCCCAGCCGGACAAAGTCCTCCATCCAGCGTGGCCTTGTGCGCCCTCCTCTAGCACGTTGACAACTCCCTCCAATAGCTTCTCCTCATCCTTGCCCATCTCCATTTGCAACCTGAGCAGCCACCTCTCCCATGCCCAGCTTCCAACTACGCCCGTCAACATTGCCGCGTCCATGGTGGTGCCAAAGACCGGGGCGTCCTCAAGCTCAATCTCGCCGTCTTCTGTGATGCGACGCTCTTGGTGCTTTGGCTCGGCGCCAACAGCGAGTGTGTCTTTCCAGTTCGCTGCGGTCTTTCCCATGGGAAGGAGCATCCACGCCCTTTGTACGTCCTTGAAGCCCGCCTTGGAGACGCGCGGGAGGAATGTCTTGGTAGGCTGCGCATCGTAGCCGCGGGTCTTGAGGTTGAAGCCGAACTCGACACCCATGGCCTGAGCGTTGCGGCCAGCATGGACAACATCGGCATCCATGAGGCTGAAGTCAAGAATACCACCGGGCTTGAGGCAACGGTAGCACTCCTTCAAGCACAAGTCGTACTCGTCCGATGACTTGCCGACAGGCTTGCTTGTCTTGAGCAGCTCGTAAAGTGTACGTGCCGAAACAACGTCAAAGTGACCGGAGGGGAAGGGAAGAGTCCATAGGTTGGGAACGGTAAGGTGCTTGTGGTTGTCGGGACCCTTGACGTTGGATGACATGTTGTTACCCGCAGTGTAGACAGTAGTCACTGTAGCGTATGGGTAGTCGTAGGCAACATCCCACGCCCAATCGTTGGTAGCAACACCACCAACGTCGAGGATGCGTGGGGTACTAGCGCGTGTGATGCATCGCACGGCAGGTTTACTGAGAAGCTTGCCACCGTTGAGTTGCTTCTGAGCTTGCAGAACCCAGTGGACAGGCAGCATCTGGTCGAGCGCTTGACGCTCCGTCTGTGCGCGCGCGATTCTCTCCTTCAGTACAGTTGGGTCATTGACGAAGAACTCGGACACAGGTCGCGGTGGCGCTGGTCGCTCTGGCTGGCAAAGCTCGAACTTTCCCAGGAGCTGATCGCGATGTGCGAGAGGATTGCAGCGTCGCTGTACGTGCATAGCCTCAGCACGAGTCTGGCGGTGGATGAACGTATCCTTCTTTTGGCACCGAGAGTGAAGGTACTCAAGGCCTTGGACGTAGGTGGTGATGGGCTCATCCGCCGACTCCTTGACTGGAGACTTGGCCGGCTCATCAGCGAACTTGACCGACTTCTTGACTACAGTCTTCTCGAGCGAATTGCCGCGGCTGTGAGTGCCACTGGAGAGGCTGGGAGAGGTCATGTCACTCATATCGCGAAGAGCGGTCTGTAGCTCATCTTGCTCCTCCAACCACCGGCCGGTCATCTCGAGGTTGGCAGTAGAAACCTTTTGAAGTCCGGCGTTGTAGTTTTCGTCGTACTGAAAAATGGTCTTGCTAGGGTTGATCTCCTTGATCTCTACGTTCTCATCGGTTGGGCTGCTGAGGAGGACTGGGCGCGACGTCGCCAGAGGCTCATCGTGTCCATCGAGAGTGGATCCGGCAAGAGTCGAGTTTCGTACCGGGAGAACTGGCACAGCTGGTACAGCTGGCACGGGGTGTGGGGACGTGTTCCTTCGGCTCTCCTTCTCCCACGGGAGGTTGTAGAACCTCTCAGCAGTCGAAGTGTTTGGGATCGATTCATCCCGCTTGGGAATGCTCCAGGTGTGACGAGCAGTTGATTGAAGCGATGAGAAGAAACCACCAGGGGAAGGAACAGAGAGCGCGGAAATCGGCGTGCTACCAGAGGAACCGTTTCCGAATACTGTTGAAGGAATGCTCAAGCCGAGACTTGGTCGGGAGACTTCTTGCATCTCGCCTCTAGCCTCAACCGTCTGAAACTCCTGTTGCTCTGGTTCCTCGTACTGCTCAGCAGATGGCGAGTTTCCGAGGTGCTGAAGGGTCTCCATGGCTTGCAGGTCCAGTTGCACAGGTCCCCACGAGTCGACGCTGGATATGGATCCGCGTCTACGTTGCGAGACTGGGGTGGCAGGGCAGCTGAGCTTGTCCATCTCTTCTGATGTGAGGCTGCCGTCCAGGGAAGGGGCTGCTGAGCGCTCAGGCACATGCAGGTTGTGAGAGTCGATCATCTCAAGGAAACGACGCGATGGGGTCAGTAGCAGCGATGGAGTAACGGGCATCGCCGAGTTTGCACTCTTCAACTTCTCAATGGTTGGCCATGCGGATGGCGAAGGGATGACGATGGATGGGTAGCGTCTCTGCCGAGGCTGGGTCGCAAGCTTCTTGACTGATGCGGATGCATGAAGAGGTACCTCAGCCTCATCGTCGGTAATGTCGTAGAGGGAGTCGAAGTCGCTGTCAGCACGACTCGCCCGGTTTACTGGGGGATATGTAGCCGAGTGAACAGGAAAGCGTGGCGACGGCTGCGGGGTCATGTCGAATAAGCGTGCCTTGGGGGTAGGGAAGTCGTCGTCAACACTGGATGGTGATGCGGGACTGGGTAGGTATATCGAGGAGGTCGAGTATCTTGCGGCAAAATAGTAGGTGGGAATTGAGGACTCGTCCTCGGTGGTATTAAGTGCCTGTCTCTGATCCAGCGGAGACATGGCTTGATGAGAGTTGGCCGTGGGGCCGAAGGTTGCAGGATGGTATACTGCCGGCTCCAACATCTCAGGCATGTTGTATATTGCAGTGACGTGAGCACCGCCTTGTGCTAGTATTACTAAAGATACCTATGAAAATCCGAGTAGGCGGGAATGCGGCGAGGGTGGTAGGGGTCCAAATACAGAAGTACAGGGGACCGAATAGAGGCGATATTAAGATGAGCTATAGCCCAAAATTGCGCTGGTCAACAGCTTACTGGTAAAAATGGAATTGCTTCGATCAACGAAGACTTCGCGGAAGAAGGGGCTCGGAAGAGGACTAGAAGTGAATGGCAAAAGAGAGTAGATGCGGCGCGAGCGCGATGATCAGAGGATATATCGCGCGTAGACGCCTACTCGTCGAGTGACTGTGGGCTAGTGTTACTGTGGCATTCGTCCGAGCTACACTGCCAGTTGGCCGTCCACTCGCATAGAGGGCCGAGTCTGGGTGGAGAGGCAGTAGCGGCTCAAGGTCGGCCACGACATGGCAAAGAGGGTGAGCACGGCATGATTGGCCAATGTAAGTTTATGGTGAGCAAGGTCAATACCATGCGCTAGAAACTTTGGGCTAGAGAAGCGTTGCGCTGCACGGCGTGGTTGGGTGTTTGGTGTGTAAGCGCCGGGCTGTGCTATTTGGAGCCCTCGCGTTCTGCATGCCTGTCCAATGACGAGCCGCAGCGGCGTTGGACAGCATACTCGCCCAATAGCGCCTCGTCGAAATCGATTCTTGCTGCGGGGCTGGATATTGTCTCACGGTCTTGAGTTGGACGCGAGGCGGTGGTTGTGGCTGTTCCCAAGGCTGTCATGTAGTCATCCCGTGCCATGTGAGATGGAAAGACAGGACAAGGTGCCGAGACCCATCGCAGCCATCTCGGCAGTACGGACACGCGACCAGCCACGCGGTTGCCGATCACCGTGATATAACAATAGTGTAGGTTTCAGTCGATTTAGAGCATTGACGGCCCCGTTCAGCAAACATTGTTGATTCGAAACGTGAGGTGGTGAGCTGCGAGGTGCGCATGAACAAGAACGGAGGTGAGGCGTGCCAAGCCCTGCAGCGGGGCATGGATGGAGGGGCAGGCGTGACGCTGATGCCATCAACACCAAAAAGCTATCGTGAGCTCCATCACACTAGCAATTTCCACAATCACCCAATACCTCCCATTGGCGCTTCTCCAGAACATCTATACAGACCGAAACCGCACTAGAACCGCCCGTCATGTCACCGCCTGCCATCATCGCGCCGTCGATTCTTTCGGCAGACTTCGGAGCGCTGGGCAAGGCCTGTTCAGACACAATCTCCCAAGGCGCCGACTGGCTCCATGTACGCGATGCTGAGTTTCGGGCTGTAGAGCACGCGACTGACACGTGCAGGTCGACATCATGGACGGCCACTTTGTGCCCAACATGACCTTTGGCGCGCCCGTTGTAACCAAGATCCGCTCACACGTCGACCGACCGACTACCGCACATGGCAAGGGAACGTTCGACTGTCACATGATGATCGCCGAGCCCAAGCGATGGGTGCGCGACTTCAAGAAGGCTGGCTGTGACCTGTACTGCTTCCACTACGAAGCCGCCGTCTCGTCAACCGCGGCAGACTCACCTAGTGGGAAGTCGGACCAGAAGACATCGCCCAAAGAGCTGGTCAAGTTCATACATGGCGAGGGCATGCAGGCTGGCATTGCAATCAAGCCGAGCACACCAGTCGATGTGCTGTGGGAGATACTAGAGAACCCAAACAAGGACGAGGTCCCGGATGTGAGTTCATCACCCCTGCACTGCCATGCTTTCCATCACCACAATCGATATCACGAAAGGGCCGCACGCGCTATATGGTGGTTAGAGAGGCCTTGGAAGTGGTCGAGCAAAGCGAGGCTGGTTAGGGCTGACCCTGTTGGGGCGTGGGCGGCACGCGCTGGCGGCGCTTAGGCATACCGGCCTGCGTAAGCCCACTGTCAATCAGTCTCGCCCTGTGCGTTCTTTCGAGAAGCCTGCCGCATGCTGCCCAACCGACTGTCCGTCCATTGGCCACCTGCCAATTCAGCCGTTCCCAATGTTGCACATCGGCACCTACCCGCCCACGCCGCTGGCTGTTCCCGTAGGATCAATAACCTCAATATTCACGGCCCACACCCGGCCACGTCACTTCTGGTAAATATTCAATGCTAACGTTAACAGATGATATTGATTATGACTGTAGAGCCTGGCTTTGGTGGTCAGTCATTCATGGCGTCGGAGCTTCCCAAAGTCACCGCGCTTCGGCAAAAGTACCCAGAGCTACAGATCGAGGTCGACGGAGGCCTAAGCGAAAAGACTATTGATCAAGCTGCCGACGCTGGCGCTAATGTCATTGTTGCTGGCAGTGCTGTATTCGGCGCTTCGGACCCCGGTGATGTTATCAAGAAGCTTAGGGAGGCGGTCGATAGCAGGAGAGGGAAACTATAGAAAGAATAGCGATACAGACCGATGAATTAGGACAATGAAGATGCTGACGTGCGTCGATGCAATGTTACACAACCTTCCGGCTAAATTCACAAAGATAGCAGATTCGGCAGATGTTGATGACAGGGCTGGCATACTCTCCGCACGCTATCACATCGAAAGCCGTGGAGGCTACAACGCTCTTGGAACCCAGTAAATACCTCGCAAAAGGTCATCCTGGCTACTACGTATCTTCTAGCTCAAGTTGGGTGCCATACAAAACTGTACCCTGGTATCTACATCGACACCAAGTTACTCCTCACATTCATCGGCCGTATCGTTGTCCTCCTCTGGCTCATACTCAGATCCTGACCAGTCTGCATCCGTTTCTACGCCAGATGCTTCAATCTGATTGTAGGTCCGTGTACGTCCGGGCAACTTCGGGACCGTTGCCCTACCCATATCTTGCCTCTGATCAGCGTGCTCTCTGAACTCCCGCCGGCAATTCAGGCGCTCCCTTCTTGTTGTGGCGATGGTCTCGGCACGGAGTGCACTGGGTGCTAGACCATTTGTCCGCCCCCCCCTGGGTCCGCAAGCATGTTGAGCTCTGAGGAGACGAAGTGTGCCGTACCTGGCTCACTGTCATGAAGAAGCCCAGCAAGGGTCTCCTGATACCTCTCTTCATCGAACTCCCATTCCTCCTCCTCGTTTTCGTCATCGGCATCGTCAAATTCCGGCTCGTCGCTGTCATATACAGGTGTAGTCTCTTGTTGGAAAAGCTCTTGACGGCAAAGTGGACATCGATTGTTGTTTGGCATTTCAGCCTCGACTTGCTTGATGATGCAGTGGTCTCCGAAGATGTGACCACACAGAAGTTGCACAGGGACGTGCCTAATGGAGGGCATCCAAGTTAGTGTGTTGTGATAGTAAGGATCAGTCAATGCCGCTTACTCGGTACTGTAGTCGTCCAGACAGATGCTACACTTGAGCCGCTCTAATCTTTGAACGAAATGGTCTTTGGTCAGCATATTCGCCATTGGATCGTGTTGGAGTAGAACACAGAGGTTGACGGCGAGGTAGAGTCTAAGGAGAAAGTCTTGTATAGTCGACAGAAGAGGTAATATGGTAGTGCGCGCGGAGTCGGCATGAGGTCCCATCACTTTCATCGATCGAATATATGCTTTTGGGTTCACTTCACCGTTCACCCTCTCTACTCTCGATGAACTGCAAAAGACACTCTGCATACACCACACTGCTGGATTTGCAAGCTTAGTCTAGCTGTGTATCCGGAAGCGACCATCTCATGCTTCTTGCAAAATTTTGCACCTTATACACTCTAAGGTGGTTTGGAATCGTTGCCTAAGTCTAGTTGCATGTTGTCGTGATGCCTCGATGTCGTTCATGTATGATCGCAGCTGTGACGGTGATAACGTTAGGGGGTACGTGTGGTGTGTAGTGTGTAGCAAAGACCTCGAGGATCGATACCTTAGAGCCATATGGTCACATTGAATGGAAGTATTTCATGGTGTCAATCGTAGAACTGCTGCGTCGTGTAAAGTGACAGAAGTTGACCTTCCCACATGTGGGCCATGGCTAGCGCGTATCCAATGCGTCGGATCCCCGAACATTTTCTTGAGCTTCTCCACACCAACACCTCGCGCCCACCACATCGACTCACGCAGGTCGCATGAGCTCTGATATGGCGAAACGAAAGCGCGGCGCTCGCGACGAGCAACCTCCTCCCGATGTTGGACTTGGTGCGACATTGGCGCACATGCGCGGCGAAGCGCAACCCGACGAGGCGGCAACCACCACGGCTGGCGGAGACGAAGAGGGCTGGACAGTAGTCAGCGGCTCGAAAAGGAGACGGAAGGAACGCGGATCACACTCTGAGCACAACGGGGGCCACGCCTTGAACTCGCCTTCGCCAGCTCGCAGTCCTGGCCATTCGCGCGACACAGATGGGCAGGGCAAGCGCAAGGCACGATCGCCACCGCCGCAGCAAGATGCATCTCTCGACAACCCATTCGCAGGCAAAGACACCCAATTAGGAAATCGCCTTTCCTCCACAGATAATCCGTTCGTCACATACAAAGCTGGCTCTGAGCAGTCAAGCGAGAACATGACCAGGGAGGAGCGCAGGAAAGAGCGCAAGCTGCAAAGGAGCTACCCAGCCATTGAGCATTCACATCATGCCCGCCTGAATTCGCACGTGAAGATCACAGACCTCCAGTCACTGGTGCTGTACTTGCTTGCCGATGGTAATGCGCCGCAGTGGGTTTCTGTACGCAGCCGTGCCAATATCCAACAGGTCGTCATGCTTATGGTTCCGGGATTGGATCTGGGTATGTTCAACGGCGATGTCGCTTTAGACGCCGCGTCTCAGTCTGAACCTTCTGTTGGAGCAGAGACAACGGACGCGCAGACTGATGCTGCGCTAACAGCTGCAAAGGCTGTAAAGGATGCAAGGGATGCAAAGCCCAAGCGGCTGAACATTTCGCGTGATGACTTCTATCCGGCTAGTCTCAAGGCCGAAAAACTACCTGCATCGCTGAAACCTCTCGCTGATATTTTTGAGCATGTCTGGCCCATCAAGGCTATAGGCGAACATCGCAACAACCAATACATGAGGGTGCATTCGCCCATTCATACCATGCTGACCTCACAAATACCCAAGACGCAAGAAGAGAAGCAGATGAAGAAGACAGGGAACCACAAAGGCCCCTTGCCGCAGAACTCAAAGAATTGGGAAAACAGGCGTACGCGCATCACCAAATACATCGCTAGTCTAATGGAACAGCAAGAGAACGAATACGTGCTACATCCAGCAATGTTCACCACTTCGGAATCCAAGGAGGCCAATCACGAAAGAAGGAGGCTTGCTCATCAGACTGCCGATGATGGTTGGGTCGACACCAATATCGCTACTTTGGAAGATGCAGAAGTACCTGAGATGGAGATTGAACAAGGCAGTCTAACTGCTGGAAGACACATTATATCCGTCGACTGTGAGATGTGCAAAGCTGAGAATGACCAGCTTGTACTCACTCGCATCAGCCTATTGAACTGGGACGGCACTACGGCCCTCGATAAGCTTGTCAAGCCAGATGTCGCCATCAAGGACTACCTGACCCAATGGTCCGGTATTACAGCGGCCATGCTCCAGGACGTCACAACCACTCTAGCGGACATACAGAAGGAGCTATTGGAACTCATCACACCGCGTACAATCCTTGTGGGACATTCGCTAAACTCTGATCTCAACGCACTCAAGCTGACCCACCCCTTCATCATCGACACGGGTATCCTCTACCCACACCCCCGTGGGCCACCATACAAGCAGTCGCTGAAGTGGCTTGCGCAGAAATATCTCAAGCGCGAAGTGCAAAAGGGCTCAGCAGGTCACGACAGTGTGGAAGATGCTCGGACATGTCTGGATCTGGTCAAACAAAAGTGTGAAAAGGGCCCGCGCTGGGGATCGGGCGACACAAACGCGGAGTCTATTTTCAAGAGAATGGATCGCTCTGTACGACCAAAATCAAACGACGCGCATCGCGCCGGAGCTGTCATCGACTGGGGCGACCCGAACAGAGGCCATGGTGGCCAAGCTCAAGTTTCCATAGGCTGCAAGACGGATGCAGAGGTAGTGGAAGCCATTGAGCGCACAGTAAAGGGCCAAGCTGAAGGCAAGGATGGCACTACTGACAAGATCGACTTTGTCTGGGGACGTCTGCGCGAGTTGGAACTTGCAAGAGGCTGGTGGGACGATGCGAAGACGGCCGACGTTGAGCTCATTCGACAGAACGCCCTGCAACGACTGGGTCTTCTGAAGGACGGCGAGGATACAGATGTTGAAGTTCACGGACCTGAGCTCGGCGATGCCGTCTCCAAGACCATTGAACGTATCGGGCAGATATACGACGCTTTGCCACGCTGCACGGCCTTCATTGTGTACAGTGGGACAGGCGACCCTCGAGAAATCCGTCGCTTGCAAGCAATGCAACAGCAGTATCGCCGCGAATACGCTACCAAGAATTGGGACAACCTCAGCGTCAAATGGACGGATACGGAGGTGCAGGCTCTTTCAAAAGCCTGTCAAGAGGCTCGCAACGGTGTTGGCTTTATTGTTGTCAAGTAAAGTACGAGTGTTCGTACCTCGCGCGTGCTACATGCAACGCAACGTGTCATAGTACATGGTGTCCAAGCGCATATCGCTTGACAGACACTTTCGGTCGTGGCGTATGACCGGATAATCGGGATGCATAGGCTGAGAGGCTGAACGCTTTCTAGAACATGCGCTGTGTTTTGCGATTATCGGTAAAAAGGTCAAACGCGAATAACCATCGTGCCAAGAGCACAAGTACTGCATGACATCAATCAACATCCCTGTACACTTTCCCCTTGCTTGGAGTTAAATTAGCGCAAAGCTTTTCGCCGCCTCACAGTGGGCAAAGATTGCGCAGATTCAACTCTGTAAAACCATAATCCCATCTTTGCCTGTGTGGGATCGCTCTTGCGGTACGGCGTCCACGCGTTGCCCTCGGGGACGATCATTCCGTCATGATGGGAGGCGGGTACCAGTTGGGACAATGCTGCTGACGACGACGACATGGCATTATGGCATGGATAAAAGCCAGAAACGAGTAGTCTGGCCCAGATATAGCTGCGAATGTAAATTCGGGCATATAGCTATCATCCATATGTTATGCTTATTGGCCCATGTCGCGGATCAAACTTGGCAACATGTAATCGTCGCAATTTGATGGTAATAAAGATAGCCGGCGCTTGGTCCGTGATGAGTAAACTGCCCCTATGGACGATAGTGACTACCGATCAGGTGTTGGGATGTTGTGGCACGAGTTTATACCTGTGCAAGTCGACACATGCGTGCATTGGACGGTGGGTAACTGCTCGCATTTGATAAAAGGACGAAGTTACAGCTGAAAGGGTCTGGCTATTGCGCGAGATGGAACAGCTAGCGTGTTGCGCCTGCGACACAAGACGGCTTCAGGGCTTTTTCGCAATAGAGCGCATCTAAATTGATAGCGAGGCGCGCTAACCCCACTAGGACTCATGCATGGCTAATCATGGAATAACTCCTGCTAATTATTTCACTTGCCCTTTCTCTCCTCTGAATTAGCTCTCGTCTTTCAGGGTTCCTTCCAGTCTCCGCCGCAACCGCCTATTCTTGTTGGGGCCTACCATTTTCTTCCTCTTCGCTTCCAATCTCACTGCGCTTGCTGAAACGCTATCCTGGACTGAGACGCGTCGTCGCGTACCAGCGACCGGTAGTTCAGCTTACTTAGGCCCACCCTCTTTCATCCAACTTTTATTTGTTGCTATCTAGCACTTTTCGTGCAGCCTCTACGCTCACTTGCAGCTATCCGCTAGGCACGTTTGTGTCAATGGGCTGCATCAATGGCGGGCTCCAGGCGATCCAGAATTGGTGAGGTGGAGTCAGACATGAATAAACATGAACTTCAACCATCACCGCCAGAGGTTGTGGAGGATGCTGATGAAGCCTCTCAACCTTCCCCGCCCGCCAACCGTGCAACCAAAGCATACTGCAAGAATTGCCAGAATTGCATTGGAGATTTCTACAATTCCTGGTACAAGGTCACCGGCAGCTACTTCGTACCCGCGCTGCTCGGTTCTTACAGTTCCATCCTACAACCCATGGGCAAACTAAAAGCGGCATCAAAGGGCACCGAATTAGCAGGATGGTAAGCTTAATCCATATAACACATTGGTCCCTTTTGCCTTGTATCTGTTTGTCGCACCTTTCCCTCTTATAGCCTTGGCCGGCTATCATCAACCTCCCAACACATGAGTGGGCGCATCCCGGCTGCCGATGGTTACATGGTATTTTAAGTTTCTTGCTCTAGGCGCACCGACGCTAGCCTGCACCAAATCTTTTCACACTATAGATTAACATCTATTAGACGTGTACGCCCGCGTTTTACGTCCCACATTTCGTATTGCTATACTTTCTTTCGCACAAACCTTGGGACTAACTCAACAACAGTACCATTCAGCCCTTATCGTGCCCCAACCCCAATTGTGTAAAGACAGCTATCGGATTCACTGTTGTCACCGCACCTGCTGGAAAGGGGTCTTTTCGGTAAGTAACCTCTTCAATGGGACCGACAAGTCTTCGCATGGTGACTGACCTGTGATAGTGGTCGAGATTTTTTCAAGCTTGGTCGCATAGAACTGCAATGCAAGACAGCAGCAAATCATACCATTGTAGTCGAGCCTGAAGTGGATGCCTCACAAGACCTACTGGCGAACGAAGACACCCCAAGTCCTCCCTCGTCGAGGGCAACACCAAAGGCATCCTCAGCTGAAGCTATGGAGATTGACTCACGTGCGCCATCTGTAGATCGCCCAGATCATACTCGCGGTCGGTACGAGCCATCCCAAGACCGTGGTTTACAACAGCAGCACCAGCAGTCGTTGCATCCTGTCGAAGGCAATGCACTGTCATTGACAGCACCATCATCGAAGCAGGGTTCTTCGATGCGCAACTCTCCACACGCTTTTGCTCAAGACGCGCTGAGCGCTGCATCGCGTTCAACTTCCCCCTACCGTCAAGAAGCTCATAGGTCTCACCAAGGGTCTGGCGTTGAGTCAATGAGCGGTCCACCTGAAGTGCCAACAATGGTCCCTCAGACCAATGGCCATCACTACCCTCGTTCGCCAGAGGACGTTAGCATAGACGCTATGGCGCGTCTACAGACGCAAATGTCCCACAACAGTGGCGCCTTAGCTGCCCACACCCGCGACATTAGGCTTCACCAGGAGAGGATGGACCAAACAGAAGAAACACTGCGTCAAGAGTTCCAGGCCAAGTTTCTTCGGCAAAATGACCATATCAAAAGAGTGGAAGCGCTGGCTGAAAGACTACAGACTGAGATGCAAGGCATGCGCCATGCCATGGAAAACATCAATCATGAGTTGTATGCGATCAGGATGGAGAGGCAATCAGGAGCTTCGGCTACACCCCATGCCGCTCCATCTTTCGCGGCTCAGAATGCGGCATTAGAGCAAATGGCGCAGCAGATGAATGTCCTGTCGCATAAGGCGAGTGATGTAGATCTCATCAGTACTACTATTGAGATCATGAAGGGTAAAATCTATCGACTCGAAGAGCGCGCCGGACCCGAGCCCTCACAAGCACCACCATTTACGTATCAGGCACCACCGGGATCGATAGCGCCGCCATCGCACTCGCATCAGAGTACACCAACGATGACGCCAAACAATAGAGCACCCCAGCCAGTATCCAATGGCCAGCAACAGCAGTCGTCGTTCGTAGCTCCTTCCACTATGACGGCACCCATCAACGCGCCGAATGTCACAAACGCTCAGTCCGCCGGAAGTCAGGCTGGTGGGTGGGCTACCATCAACGCGGGAGTGAAACGAACACATCCCAACGGCGTTGAGACCCCACAGGAAGCCAACACTCACACACCTGGCTCCCCCAAGAGGCAGAGACTGGTCGATAACGGTGCATCAGGCTACACAGCCTCGCAACAAGCTCCCACGACAGACCATCGCTTTCAAACGCCTACCGTACCGTCCCAACAAACTGTACCCGAGTCTGTTCTCGGCTCACAGTCACAACAGTCTTCGTACATGCCTTACGCTACACAAGATGGCCCTTCGGATGCCAGCTGGCAACCCGAGTCCCAGCGTATGATCGAACACCGGCCGCGTGGGCGTCGTGGCGGGGGTCCTGGAAGTCGAGGTGGCAGAGTTAGGAAGAGTATGCCAGCCCAAGGCACACTCGGAACTCCTGAGTGGGAAAGGAGTGGTTGGCAAGGTGTTCCCGATTCGCAAATCAGCCCATCCGGATACTACCACCACGTCGCGCAGCCAGGACGAGGGGGCATTGCGCGGCGAGGCAGTGGCGGTGGAGGTGGTCGTGGCGGCTACTCAACCAGCGACCGTGCCAGCAGTCTAGGTTTACAAGGTGTGACAGCTGCTATGAGCTTTGGCTCGCCGGGCGACATGTTTGGATCCGCCAAGAAGACACGCACCAAGCCTATTAGAAATGCAGATGGGGTCTTGATTCGCAAAGACGGCCGCCCAGATATGCGCTCACAATCCTCAGCAGCTAACCTCCGTAAGGTGCATTCGCGAACTGAAGGCGAAGCAAGCCACTCACCCACTGGCTTCACACCTACCAACCATCAATATGCAGCCTCAGCAAATGCACCGGACACGCCGAGTCCAAACGGTTACACAGCGGATCCAAGCGCTTCCGACAAACACAATGCCATAATGGGTAAGATGTTTCCCGCTGGTGTCGACGCAGCACGGAAACAACAAGACTACACTCGTCAAGTCTTTGAAGAAAACACCGATCATACCGTCCACCCACGGTCGCAGAACCACGCACCCACAACAAAGTCGGCAGTCCAAATAAAGAGGGAGCAGGTTGAGCGGAACCGAATCTCCGAGACACAAAGTCCGCGGGTCCAGGAAACAGACGTTGACATGGATACAGGGGAAGATCATGCAGACGACGAGCGTCATACACCTGAGGAAGGGAGCAGTCACCACGAGGGCGGTGTAGGACTTGAAGACCAGACTCAGGATACGAATATGCAGGAAGAACGCGGCACAAGAGCTGCCTCACAGACTAGTCCGGAAGATAAAGCAGCTGAAAAGTCCCGTAAACTCACCTAGGCGAGCCGATCCAACCCGAAGACAGGGCGCAATATTATGTGAGGGTAAAGAGAAAGTAAATTCTTTGTTTTGTATTAGTACTTGGTAGACTATCAGTAGTGTCAGTTGATACGAAGAGATTTCACATTGCTTCATTGATCAGCTTGAGTGCCAGTGGCACCTTAAACATGCGTCTCAATCTAAAGTAAGGGCTTAGAGGGCTGTGTACCTGGGCGTGATGTGCTCAAGGGCGACGCTCAAGGCAAAAGGGCAAAAGCGAAAAGTGGCATCTTCTGCAAACGCAGATTGATTAATGTTGATCATTACAATACATTCCAAACCCTGCTACGTCGTTTTAAAATGGAACAGTAGGAGCCTTCTCGGACCCGTTGGTCCTCTCCGGGTAGTGTATCGCGCCTTCTGAAGTAGCGCAGTTAGTCAGGTAGGTAGCCGAAGCATTAACGGGAATGGCATTGCCTTCCTGAGGGCGACCGTAGACCTAACCGCATGTTAGCACTCATCTCATCTTCTCCTGCGCACAATCAGGGAATACTCACGTGCTCATAGTACCAAACCTCGTTCAAGATAGTGTACCCTCTATCTGTCGTGTTCTTTCCAGCATCAGTAGCATTGTACCTGGGACCCGAGCAGCCCAAGAAAGGAATACCGCCGTGCTGCTCGTACAGAACATCTACGAGATCGGAGTACGAGTACGTGGTTGAGTTGGAAGGCGTGATACCCTCAGCAGCCAGCCAATCGAAAGTAGGGAACCTCTTGTAGTACTTGATAGTCGTCTCGAAGAAGTCAACAACATCTTCGTGCTCACGGTACTGCGGGCCATAGCAAGGGACGTTGAAGGTAGAGAAGCAGGTGGCATGCTTGGAGAACTCGTGGCCCCAGAAGCCAGGGTTATCTTGCTGCCACGCGATCCAGTAGGTGTTCATGTATTCCAAGAGGTCGTAGCGGCCGAATGGCTCGAGAAAGGTGCCGATGTTGGAGCCGTTGTAAGGTGGGACAAAGGTTCCGTTTGGTAGGCCATTGGTTGTGTTCGGTCCGGGAATTGGGTCGTATTGGCGGCTCAGGTCGCAGTACTGTGTGTAGCTACCGTTGCAGAAGTCGGGCCAGAGGCCATGGAGCGTCCATGTGTCGGTAGGGAGAAGCTGGCCTTCAGACTCGCGACCGGTGTATGTGTTCCAGAATTGAGTGCTCAGAACGAGCCCACCGAATGTCTCAACGCAGCATGAGTCGACCTTGGAGGGATCTTGCGACGGGCAGGACAGAAGCGGTTCTTGTAGTTGGCAGGTGTGGTTCAACGGGCTTTGGTCGGGATACAGTTGTGCGTTTGCCGTTGTGGCCAGTAGAGCCGCGGCGCCGGCCTTGGAAAAGGTACCCTTCATCTTGCCTTGACTATAGTGATGAAAGATTGATAGACGCAAAGGTGTACTACAAATTCAACAACGCTGGGAACCCGACATCTATAAAGCTCACAGAATTTTGGCCACGGCGTACCCAGCCCGCTGCAGCCCCAGCCGGTCCTTACCACATGTAGAAGGTACATCTTCCAGACTCCTGGTTAGAGCTCCGGCGGCGGCGATGAGCGAAAGACGAACAGTACCTGCATGTAAGCTAGACGGGCTCACGTGTCGGTCCTATTGGATGATAAGAGAACAAGGCTACGCAAGCCGCGCCTTGGTGCTTGTACCCACTTGAGCTGTCTCCGAGGCCCATGATGCTGGAGATGCGCGTTGGGATGTGAGATTGGTGGGTAGGGCCAGCCACAATTGCGGCTTTTGTTCTCTGTGCAAAAAGAGTCGTGGATTACGTCTCGAAGGATTGCTGGGGCAGAACGTGGGTTGCTCGATAGGTGACAGGGTCTGGCTTGGTCGGACCTGCTCGATGACGCCCCACGACCAGACACGCCTGAACGCGACAGCTGCATCGACATCGCTGCGAGCGCAGTGAAGTCATCGATGAACGTCTCGAAGGTTTCTCAGCCCTAGACGACCCTCGAGTCCCAAACGCGCCTCCAACGGTCGACCGGACCAACCCGACGTCCGATGAGCACTGCCTATCTCCGCCTCCACGCCCGCTATTCGTCGTCATAGTCTCCTCTACACGACAAACAGCCATGCGCGCCCAACTCAAGCCCTTTGCATCCTCGCGCCGTTTTTTAGGCACTACCAAACATCGAGAATGCCTCCCTCATCCTCCATAACACCGCTGCCGCCGCACAAGCCTGACACACACACGACAGCCCACCACGTCGGCAAGCCACCCACCAGCTTCAAGAACCCATGGCCCTCGTACAAAAACGACGGCATAATCGCCGCCGTCCGAACGCGCTTCAGCACGCCTAAGAACTTCGTCCCCATTCCCGCCGACCGCTTAGGTCTGGTCGACGTGCGCAAACCCGACTTCACCAACACACAGAACGGGTTGAAAGCAACATGGATAGGACACGCGAGTTTCTTGATCGAAACAACGGCTTCGGAGGGAAACGAACGGGGAATGCGCATCCTCCTCGACCCCGTGTGGAGTGAGCGCGTAGGACCCTATGGCATGGTCGGTCCTGTGCGATTTACACCTCCGCCATGCACCATTGACGAGCTACCTGAAATCGACGCTGTGTGCATCAGCCACGACCACTACGACCACCTCGACTCGGATACGTTGAAGAAACTGAATGCGAAACAAGGTGGCGACTTACGCTTCTTCTGCGGTTTAGGCGTCAAGTCTGTTCTGACGGGGCTAGGCGCAGGCATCAAGGCCGATCAAGTAGAAGAGATGGATTGGTGGGATGGCAAAACCGTGTTCAAGAAGGGTGCTGGAGGCGTCGAGTTGATATGTACGCCTGCGCAACATCGATCTGGACGCACGCCTTGGAACTTCGATGGCACATTGTGGTGTAGTTGGATCGTCAAGGAACCGTCTTCGTCTGGCAAGAAACTCTTCTTCGCTGGAGACACAGGGTACTGCCACGTTCTTTCCGACGACCAATTCTCACACCACGATGCGCCGCATCCACCTTGTCCAGCTTTCAAAGAAATCGGCGAGTTGTACGGGCCCTTTGATCTGGCGCTTGTGCCTGTGGGTTGCTTCAAGCCGAGGTCTGTTTTGTCAGGTCAACATTCTAGTCCTGAGGATTCTCTGGCTATACATAGGGATGTGAGGAGCAAGAAGAGTATAGGCATGCACTACGGTACATTCCGTGGTCAGTACTCGGCCAGCTACGAACCGGTTACTGAGCCGCCTGAAAGATGGCGGAAGGGTGCAGAGGCAAATGGGCTGAAGTGGGGAGTTGACGTCGACTTGTGTGATATTGGCGGGACGGTTATAGTTTAATGGCACATTTCAGTCGTGTTCGATTAGTTTGAATAGTAATATGACATATACCCTTCCACCTCATACAAGAGAAAAACCAAACAGGCCTAGAGCTTACATTGACGTTGAGTCACCTGCTTTGCATGTGTCTATGTTGATGTAGGCTGCAGACCTACTCATTTTCCTTTCCTAGGTTGACGTACTTCTTATATGAAGCACATATCATATCGACAGAGCACATGCACCAACATGACTTCATTGCAGAGAAGAAGATGATTCGAGAAATGCATTATGTCCTTATCCATCTAAGTGGAAGAAAAGCACCATCGTGAATACTCATACAAAACCAGTGCTGCTTCTAATGTAAATACATAAGCTGCTCTCAACGCACCTTACGTGGGGCCGTCTAGTTGTACTGAGCGTACGCTGCAGTGCTGTTGAACTTCATGTTGGACTTGATGACCTTCTCCACAGCATCGAGAAAGTCCTTTTCCGAAGCCACTTTGCGCCTCAAACGTATTGCGAACATCCCAGCCTCTGTAGCCACACTCCTCAATTCGGCACCTGTGCTGTTGGGGCAGAGACGAGAGATGAGCTCCCAACGGATGTCGCGCTCTACACTCATGCTCTTTGCGTGGATACGGAGAATGTTGGCGCGGCCCTCCATGTCGGGTAGCGAGAACTCGATCTTTCGGTCGATACGTCCGGGACGCATAAGGGCTGGGTCGAGGGTTGAAGGCCTGTTGGTCGCAAACATGACCTTGATGTTACCACGAGCATCGAAACCATCCAGTTGTGTAATAAGCTCCAACATAGTACGCTGTACCTCGTTGTCGCCTCCAGCACCGTCATCGAAACGAGCGCCACCGACAGCATCGATTTCGTCGAAGAAGATAATACACGCCTTCTTTGTTCGCGCCATCTCAAACAGCTCGCGCACCATCCTGGCTCCCTCTCCGACGTATTTCTGGACAAGCTCTGAACCGATAACTCGGATGAAGGTGGCGTCGGTTCGGTTGGCAACAGCTCGGGCGCAAAGGGTCTTTCCAGTTCCCGGGGGACCATAGAGAAGAGCACCCTTCGGGGGGTCGATACCCAGGTTGACGAAGCGCTCTGGTGATAGCAGGGGCATCTCGACGACCTCTCGTAGCTTCTCAATCTGCTCTTTGCAACCTCCAACATCTCCGTATGTGACATCGGGCTTGTCCTCAACCGTCATCATGGTGACCGAGGGGTCGATCTTTGGCGGCAGGGGAAGCAGAATCTGGTACTTGTTGCGGTCGACACCCACCCGCATGCCCTCCTCGATGTCGGTGGGTGAGACGCGTTCCCCGAGGTTGACGACGAACTTGGCGATTTGCTTGACGTTGATGACATATTTGCTCTTCTCCGAGTCCTTCTCGTCCTGTATTATCTTGGTGCATCGCGCGACCTGGAGGGGTTGCTCTTCTTGCATTCGTTGGCGGTCGGCGGCGATATCCCAGAGATGTGGAGGTGCGAGACCGGTATCTGATTCCTGGAGGCGTTAGTCGAGCATGGAGGGAGGGTGAAGGAGTCAGTACTTTGACGCCAATCTTCTCGTTTATCGTCTGCTGCTTGTCCTTGATCTCCTTCTCGAGCTTCTTGAGTTCGGCGCCGTAGGGTGCCGCTCCGTATGTCTTCAACACCTGGATGTCCCTGTGATGCCATTAGCCCATGTCTGCTTTGAATGTGGCTTGGCGCCTCCTACTCATCAGTCAAAGGTGTGATCTTCTTCTCCTCAACCTCGTCGTCGGCGAAGTTCTTCTGGTACTTCTCCCAGGACTGGCCTGTGGCTGAAGGCATGCTTGCGGAGTGGGCGGCGACTGTCGTGTGGCCGAGATAGGGTTCGGAGTATGCGTGCAGTCGAGTTGTGGATGATTCCGGGTAGGAGCGACAGCAGGAGCGGATGCGGCGACGGGGGCGAGTGTATGGGGTTGGTTGTTGTGTACTGGATGAAGGTGTGTAGCTGTGATGCGGCAATGGGCCCGGCGAGTCGGAGCTTGTGGATTGGCCGTGCGCTACGTCTATCGCGTTCTCGAAATATTGTCAGTTCGCGTTCAGGCACCACAACTTCCCCGCCAAACTCTCACGATACCCCTCTTTTAGCTTTGTTCCTCCTGTATACTGAAAGATGGCTGCTCAAGTTGCAAATGGCGGTACCGGTGGCGGCAACACTGCCTTCAAGGTGCGCCCCATACTCTGAGCTCTGAAAACATTGACTGACTTTGGCTCAGGACAAGGAGAAGCCCAGAGCTGTTCGCAGCGCCAACATCATTGCCGCAAGAGGTACAGAACCTACTCATCCCCTTTTAGGAGCATCTCGCTAACTCGAATTGTGCAGCTGTGGCAGATGCGATCCGAACTGTATGTCCCACCACGAGGTGCGGGGAAGAGATGAATACTAACTTTTTGGCAGTCTTTGGGACCAAAGGGCATGGACAAGATGGTACGATACAGGCGCAAATCTCCAGCCATCACAACTGACTTGTCCAGATCCAAACCAGCAAAGGCCAGACCATCATCACAAACGACGGAGCCACCATGTTGAACCAGATGAGCGTTATGCATCCCTCCGCGAAGATGCTCGTCGACCTCGCACACGCCCAAGATATCGAAGCTGGAGATGGTACAACGTCGGTCGTAGTCATTGCTGGCAGTCTGTTAGGCGCTGCTGAGAGGTTATTGGGCAAGGGCATCCACCCCACAGTCATATCAGAGGCTTTCCAACGGGCAGCGCAGGAGGCGATATCGATATTGACCGAGATGGCCATTCCCATCTCGCTCACGGATAGGCAGACGCTCCTCAAGACCGCCACGACCGCACTCTCTTCCAAGATCGTCGCTCAGGAGCCCAAGCTACCCATCATGGCGGTGGATTCAGTCCTCAAGGTCATCGACCCCAAGACTGCTGACAACGTAGACTTGAAGAACATCCGCATGATCAAGAAGTCAGGCGGTACCATCGAAGACAGCGAGATGATCGACGGACTGGTTCTCAACCAGCCTGTAGTCAAGAGCGCCGGTGGTCCCACATTGAAGGAGAAGGCACGGATAGGTCTCATTCAATTCCAGTTGAGCCCACCGAAACCGGACATGGAGAACCAGATTGTCGTCAACGACTACAGGCAAATGGACAAGATCCTCAAGGAGGAGCGAACATATCTGCTGAACATGGTCAAGAAGATCCAGAAAGCCAAGTGCAACGTCCTGTTCATTCAAAAGTCAATCCTCCGGGATGCAGTCAACGACCTCAGTCTGCACTTCTTGTCTAAGCTGAAGATCCTAGTCATCAAGGACATTGAGCGTGATGAGATTGAGTTCATTTGCAAGGTGCGTATGAGAAGCGATTCACATGTAACGAAGCTAATGCACAGTAGAGCACTGGCTGCAAGCCTATTGCCGATATCGACTCGTTCACAGAAGACAAGCTCGGTTCGGCAGACCTTGTCGAGGAGGTACAGGCATCGGGCGCACGATACGTCAAGGTTTCGGGCGTCAAGTCAGCAGCCAACACTGTCTCCATCGTCTGCCGCGGTGCTAACAACCTCATTCTGGATGAGACCGAGCGATCTCTACACGACGCTCACTGCGCCATCCGCTCGTTGGTCAAGAAGAAGGCGCTACTTGCTGGTGGCGGTGCCCCGGAGATTGAGATTGCGCATCAGCTGTCACTCAAGGCTCGTGAGCTCTCCGGCACTGAATCTATTTGCTGGAAAGCTTTCGCCGATGCCATGGAGGTCATTCCGACAACACTGGCGGAGAACGCCGGTCTGAACAGCATCAAGGTCGTCACAGAGCTAAGGCATAGACACGCACAGGAGCAGAAGAATGCTGGTATCAGCATCAAGAGCGGGGGTGTCAAGAACGACATCAGCGAGGAGAACGTACTGCAGCCACTGCTAGTCAGCACCAGCGCTATCGAGCTTGCAGCCGAGACCGTCAAGATGATTCTGCGAATCGACGACATCGCCTTGTCGAGGTAAAGAACTGCAAATGCATTGACTTGGCAGCAAAAGAAGCAGGATACCACGAGTAATGAAAAATTCGAACAACTGTTGATGCCAAATAACTATTTGGAATGTGATGACTTTGCATGTGAAGGTTACGCGTATATTGCGTTCAATGCATGAACGGTGCAATTAAAACCTGCACGTGGGGGAGCATGGGACTGCAGTAGCGGGACACGTCTTTCTCTGCAGAGAGTCCAGAGAGGTTAAGCCGTGGATCACTTTTCTTCTTCCAGATGCCGGATTCGGACCACTGTGATCCTGGGGTATGCACCTGAAATGAGCAACGTTTTCAACTTGACTCGTTTGGAAAATGGAGAATGCGAATGCGAATATCCGCGCGCGTGACGAAGCAATGGCTTTTGAAATTGATCTCACTCCCGGGTAGTTTCTCCGGCTGTCATCATGTAGACGCAGTGTTTCCATGCGTAGTGTGCCGTGCCCATGAGTAGTGTATGTGTGTGATGCCTCACCACGATAACGCGAGCACCCTAGCCTAACGACTTTGTCGTGCACCTAACATTGAAGAATATCACAGCACGAAAACCATTTTGGTGCATGCAGACGATCGGGTTTGTGATCTTACTGCAGCAGCTTATCATATGACCATCACGCGAGTCAGAATGTTCGCATTCAAGTTTTGATAGACAGCCGCCTCGGAAGTCTGCAGCAACATCACTTTTGACATGCACTCACGAAACCCATGCGCTGGCATGTTGACTAACATGAAAATGATCATCAACACGTTCAATAAATCTTACATCCGACTCCGGCTACACTCGCGCGCGTAACATTGAACGTGGCGCGAAAAAGAAAGCAACCACGGAGAACACAGGTACCTCCAGCCGCCGTACGCCGTCCGATGGTATTCCTGCACATTCGCATTACAACGATGATAGACGTATGCGGTACCTTTTCTCCATTTTTCCTTTTCCCGTCGATCAGCCAAAGCCACAGCACATGACCTGCAGTACCCCAGACCCTCCATCCATCTCACACTCGCAAACTGCGCGTACGTAAACAGCATCAAACCACCTCAACCCAATGCGTCACCGAACCCGGAAAACCACATTCGTTCCAGACCCCGCTACATGTGACCCGATTGACTGTACGCGCGCGCGCTATCCGCTGCGAACGCAAGATCGAGCCTTGTAGGAGTGAAAAATCTAGCGGAAGCTGAAACGTAGCGTACCGTGGGACGTGTAGCAGTTCGGTTCGGCATCTAGTGAGTTAGTGTACCGGGAACTTGCTGTTCGGCCAGGAACCCTTTAGGAATCCAGAGCCGATGGGGAGTGGAGCCTCACCGGAAAGCGACGGTGGAGTTGGGGGAGCTGGAGTGAGGATAAGAGTGAGTGGTTGTTTCATGTTGGGGCGGCTGATGAGATGTTTGCTGGGTTCTTTGCGAGAGGGCAGTGCGACGTCATTGTTTACTGTACTTGGCCTGGATGGTTTGGGGGATTAGAGCGGTTGGATAGGGAATATGGGTTGGTTGGCTGCGTGATATGTCGACGCGTTGATACGACTGAATCTCTCACATGTGCTCAAACTGAGCATAGCGCTGATAAACCCTCTTTCTCATGCGTCATACCTCGCCACCCAAACATATTCTCCTAGCACAAAGAAACGCATACAATGTCTGGTATCAACTACTGCATGAAAACTGTACAAGTACTGTACCGTTGATCTTTGCCTAGCCACTGGATGAAAAGGGAAACATCATACAGCCATCCCTGTCGTTAACATCTATGCGATATAGATCTCTCCGCTGCGGATAATCTGGTTAGTTTGGAATTTTGGCGAAACATGTGGAGAGATAAGACGGGTAGTGCGAGCGGGTAGGTAAAGTTCCGGGAAATAGTGCTGGGAGTCATGATCGCTGGAGGCGATCAATCCTTCGGGAAAATGCAGGTGCTGTGTACTGAGACGCTGGTTTGTATCGGCAGTTGCGAAGCGTAGCTATTGTTGCTTGATGCAATAGGAAATATGCGGAAACAGCGGTATCGACATGGATAGTGAAAATGTGGTTGGATCAAAGCGACAGACCAGCATTGGTTGCTGCCGACTGGGTATCATTCTCGATGAAGTTCTTGGCTAGCTAAGTATGAAGAAATACCAGCAGGGTAGCTGGACATGGGAGATGAAAGGAAAACGCCTCATTCATGCATCTGAATCGTTCGGTTCGTGCATCGTGATAATCGTACAGTCTGATGAGCTTTCGTAAACCCCCGTAAATGTCTAGAAAATGGTTGGACAAGGAAATAAAAGCCGCTCGCTGAAATGCAGCAGACCTGTTGTTGGTCTTTATTAGGAAAGACAGACAAAAAGTACGATATGAGAAGTAGATTAATAGATGTAGGCTGAAATGGTGATCAGCGACTGGTGGCCTTGAGGCTGGCACGCTTCAGTAAGCGGCTTACGAGGTTTCCGCGCGGTTTGGGCTTGACGTAGAAGGCGCCCTTGGTACCGGTCATGTCGTCAGTGAAGACGAGATCTTCTAGTGCCAGAGGATCGTCTCTGGAGGTTTTCGGGCTCGAGCTGGAGCCTTGCCAGCCGTAGAGTTGATCTTCGTCAGCTCGTAAATCGGGCCGGGTCAAGGTCATGCGGAGTGTCATTTCTCGATGAAAGTGCCCATTGGCGGAGTGGACAGGCGACGGAGCTGGCGAGTCGACTGAGAACTTGCGGTGCGAGAACTGGCGGGAGTGCATGCGGAAGGACAGGCCGGTGCTGGAGGGAGTGGCGGGTGAGTCCATGTCGGCTACAGAGCCAGCATCGGATTCCAGACCCTGGTTCTCATTTGGATGGTCTTCGAAGAAAGACAGCTGTCCGTCCCTGAGGAAGGTGTGCATGTCTCGGCTAAACTTGCGAGCATGGCTGTCAATCTGTGGCAGCTGAAAGTGCGGTGCAGCGGCGCCGTTTCCTGTGGACGATGGGAAGCCAAATTCAATCGCTTCATCGAACTTTTGGGGAGATGCAAGATACATGCGCAACTTTTTTCTCGCCTCTGGATCTTGGTAGTGTGTTGCTTCGGGGTCGATCGTGAGGGCTGGGGGCGTAGACGGCATCATGTGGCCCGCAAGAGAAGAAGAGTGGGCACGTTGGTGAAGTCGGTTTGGCCTGGCATTGAAGAATGGAGGATCCGCCGTGTATGAAGATCCAAGGCGGACCGGATGCGACGTGAGGGACATGGTCCGTCTCATATCTGCCATTGAGGTTTCCCTCCGGTGGAAGATGGGCGTGGCCATTGTGTCGAGATACAGTAAATGGGCGTTTCGGTCCTTGCTCGTGTTTGATGTAAGAGAAGGCCCGAAAGTCGGACGGGAAGGGCTGATGGTCGAAGAGGCCGAAGATGAACGTCGTCGTGAGCGGCCGCGTTCCGGAAGGTCGACGGTGGAGTGGGAAAAGTCGAAGTGGAAATCGTTGAAGCGTTGTTGTGCCCACTCGGGATCCTGGTCGTCGGGAAGGAACGCCTGTTCGTGCGTTCCTTGGAGGAGTGCCTGCTCTTCGCGGGAAAAATGCTGCTTGCGTACCTTTTCAGGCAAGGAGAGAAAGAAGTCAAGGTCAATGTGGGATAGGTCGTGAGCGTGCACAGCCTTTTCGGATTTGCGTCTGCGTCGTCCGGTGCCGAGAGATAGCGAGGGCCGGTGGGATTTGGAAGAGGTGCTGGCCTGGGACGAGCGGCCTGATGTAGTAGGCTCGTCGGAGGCCTGCTGGGCGATCTGCAAACGCTCCAGGGATGAAAAGTACTTTCTCCTGTAGCGGCACGGATTAGCATTGGCATCATGGCATAATTGACAGGCCCTTCATCTACTGCAAGGTACACAAAAAGTCATGGTGGGGGATTCGGTATATGCACGCGCATAACGCGCCCTTATCACACGTGCGGACAAATCAGGAGCGCGGAATATTACTTACTGAACTGAATACGGCAGGGCGTCGAATTCGGCCTGCCGTAAAGGCAGAATAGTGCCTCTGGCTTTGCTCTTCATGGCTTCGGCTCGGAACTCGACGTCGGCGATGGCGCAACGTTTGGATTCAGGCACATGGAGGCGTGGTTTGCGCGATCGATGCTGCGAATGGCGGCCCTGACGCCGTGGCCGGGCTGGGCGGCGAGCACTTGGTCGTGAACGTTTGGTTGAGCAATGCTGCTGTACTTTCTTCTCGAGGATCGACCGGAGGGCTATCCGAACAGCAGCAAGCGAAAGTCCGAAGAAGAAGGAATTATATGAGGTCCAACAGAACGGCCGCTGGAAGAGAGAAACAATCTGTGGGCTTAGCACCGTACGACTGTCGCTCGCACTTGGGGGCGGCTGCATATTCGTGTCGCGGGATGCTACAGCTGCAGGCTAACGCGCCGCCAGACACGCACTCGCTGCTCTCCACCGCACACCTGGGCCCTAGTAGAACCGTGGCTGATGTATCCGAGCACGCCAGGCCCGCGAGCAGTCGTTGGTTGAGTCAGGTCGTGCAGGCAGGCCTCCTCCCCGCTTCTCTCCACCTTGCCGTCCGCTGTTTCAGGCCCGTGGCCGCCAGGAACACACCGTCAGCGGAGCCACGATGCCTAGCGTGCGACACACCGCTGGCAAATGAGCCCGGCTCGCGGAGTCGACAGATGCTCTCCATCATATTTGCCTGATTAAGCCTCAGCATCAAATATACTTGCTTCTGGAATATGCGTTATGGCGTTACTACCAGGCCGCCCGACTGGCCGGCTCAATGCCTGCGCCAGCGTGTCACGGGTTAATATCGCACAGATCACCGTCGATTACCAGACGCTGTGCACAACGTCGACCATGCGCTGTGTAACGACGACAGGCTGACAACACGCACGCACGCACGCTCCAAACAATCTGTCTAATTGCAGCATATTGCACAGGTACAAGCAAGGGTATCTCAAGAGAAGCGCATCCAGCTCCTGCGCCAACACAAATGCTACCGCCCCCTGCACAGTTCCTAATATGGTTCCCCAGAGAGCGGTACCTGATTCCCAATTGGAACGTCGACAGACGTCTATCCACAAGACGGCGATCGTCCTCCACCCCGCCGTTGCCTAGTTCCGCATGGAGACGGGTTAGGCTTTCGGAAGTGTCTACTTAGGCTTCCCAACATCATGCAGCTTGGACGTTGGCGGCTCCATTAATCTCACCATTACCTGCACAAGATCGATGTTTGTTGTCCAGGACTCCTATCCGTAAACAAGCATTTTCTCGATCTTCAGGCACCCGCAATGTCATCTGCGTTAGGGTACCAAGTCAGTATTGAGTCCGTGCCACAGAGTAAAAGAGAATGCACGTACAGTAGTATTCGTCGTCCAATCCTTCACGGCTGGGGAGCACTGGTTCCTCCAGCCCGACATCTTCGTAGCGAACGTTGAGCAGTCGGATCTTGAGCCCGTAGCCGCCGATGAAGGTTACCAACTTATTGGTGTCGGCAGTAATTGGCTGTTGGTTGAGTAGCATCAGCAGTCCATCAAGCCACTCGGAAGCAAGGGTATGGCTCTGAGGGTGCAGATGCAGCAGAACGGATTCTTTTCGCCCTGCACCTGAGCCGCTGGACGCCTGCCGCGCGTGATTGGATGCGGGCAGGTAGCCGTGGATCGTGATCTTGGTCGACGTGGAAGCCCGCTCGTGGCCTGGCAGGGTTGTGACAGTACTGTCAGACGATGCGGTCGACGGCGCCGAAGCGGAGACATTGCTCACGACCGAAGAGACAATAGATAGATCGACTGTACATGCGCGTCAGCCACCGCAGTAACGCAAACCATGAACGACGCGTGGACGCGTGGACGCGTGGACGCGTTACACTTACTCTTCTCCTGCAGCGTATCTAACCTCGGCTCAGTCGCCGTCTTCTCGTCAAAGTCAGCGTAATGTAGATACCGCCGATTGTGCGACAATCTAACAAAACGCCATGACGAGGGTGCAGAACGATTCAGGGTCTTGCTGGTTACCGGACCCGCACTCGTGCCGTAGTCGATACCCATCGGGAACCACGCGCCTTGTAGCAGGCATCTTATACGCTGCTCCTTGACAAACTGCAGAGCCTCGTGGTTGAGCTCGTCACGGACCTGGCTGTGGAGAGTTAGCTTAGCACAGACTACGTCGACGTATACCGCATACCGGAGATGATGCCCCCATGCATCCTCATAGGTCAGCTCCAGTACTTCCATTTGGAGTTCTCTCAGGCGCTTCAGCTCAAATTCAGCGAGGTCCTCTTCGACGTCCTTGACGTCCTTCGTGCGTGGCGCCTGGCCCACAACCTGTTCAATCAAGATGCGGATAAGCTCTTCAATCTTCTCAAAGTCCTCGGTTTGTGCGCCAGCTACCTTCCATAGTCGGATGAAGGCATTCAGACCACTCGTATGCAATCTGGACCAATGGAGCAGAAGGGGCTTGAATGAGCGGTCGAAGTTGGCCCGCGAGTCGGTATGCCGGTGGGACTCCACATCGTCGAGCTTGTCTACTTCGAAGTGTTCGTACAGAGTTTGAGTGACTGAAAGGCTTGCGCGAGCGATTGGACAACGTTGCTCGACTGGCTCTGCCGACTGCTCCAGCAAAAGTTTTTGAAACCCGTCTTCGTTCTTGTAGACAAAGTCGGTTATGTCCATGAGGCCTAGGAAGCCAGTCGCATCGAATTCCCACGCAGGCGATTCCGTCTCGAAGCCCAGACGCTTCCATTTATCCGGGTTGTGCTTCTTGCTTCCCTTGGGGTCTGATGCTGACTTGTCTGGATTGCTCGCTGTGTGTAGGCCTCGGATAGCCCTTCTGTGGTCAGGGTTCTCTAAGTCGACCTTCTCTTCTCTCCAGTTCCTTAGCAGTATCTTTGTCAAGGACTGAAAGTCGAGTAGTGGATGTGCCAGATCCTGTATCGCAGAGCTCTGCATCAGTCCGTATACGCTCTTGATCACGCCCAGCTCCTGCAGCTGCTTGATGAACTTGGGCCACTCAAAGGCCGCGTCGTTTGCGATGGCATCCCGCATGAGCGCGTTGATGAGCTGTAGGGAGTTTGCGCATAGCGCGTGGTCGGCCGAGGTGATCTTTTCGACAAGGGAGGGTAGGAAGTCGGGTTGAGAATCGACGGCAGGCTTCAGGCGCTGGAAGCCCGTGGTTCCATCCTGGGAGTTTCGGTGTGAGGGGTGACCGACGATGGCTGCGAGCACTGACATGGCGCCGCGATTGACGTTGACGAGAGGTTGCGCGACGACGAGGTCGACGATCTGGAGTATAGTTGTTAGGCCTCTTCAGGGAATCCCTCCTTCCAAGGTTGTCCACTTACCCTCGCGACCAGATCATCCGTGACATGGTCCCATCCCTTATCCAGCTCCAGCAAGCGTGCTAGAGAGGTAAGACAGTAGGCCAGTGTGTTGCCGGTCGAGTGCAGCGCCAGGAACCTGAGCTTGGGCAGGCCGCCTTCGTATATGAAGACGTCGGCAAACGAGGGGTCGCCAATGGCATTCTGCAGCTTGAAGACAGCCATCTTCCGCACCGACTCCTCCTCCGCGCCGAGGCGCGCAACCAGTTCCGAGACATTGACGCTATCCATGGCTCAAGCTTCTTCGCAGGGCAGGGAGAATGTGGGGTAGGCAGGTATATTGTGGAGATCGCGACGGTTACTTCACCCCAAATCACGCAAGAGTCGCGAACATGGCACAATCGGCAGAGACCGCGGCTGCGAAGTTGGCGGGCGGGTTGCTCGCCTCCGCTGTCGTCGATGTTTCACCCTGTCCTGCGCCGGCACGCGTTAGCTGAGTCGCGACCAAAGGCTTGGCGACACGCTTCACGTGTCGGCCCACATGCTGTTTGGCTGCCTGGGCCGGCTAGTCAGGTACGTCGCCGAGCATCGCGCGGCCAACTTCCAAGGGCCGACAACATCCTCCCATCGCCCTCCGGTCCGTCCTGAGCACCATCGCGGCCCTCATCGCTCCTTTCGGCCCATTCCTGTCCCTTTGCTTTAGCGCCGTCGTCTGCGATACCCTTTGTCCTGTTTTGCATCCAAGCCTCTGTTCTGTGTTGACGCCGCCGCTGCACGTTCCAGCTCTTTCCGCCTTTGACGCCGACAACAGCTTCTCCGCTCACCCTCACCACCACTGCGAATTCGCCGCCACTATGGTCTACATCACCTCTGACTTGTTCGGTCCCAATACACCGCACGAGCGCCAATACGACACCGCCACCAACTACTGGCATACCATGGCCCACGATCAACACGCCGCCGGCCTGGGCAAGAGAAAGAGAATGGCAGGCGACGACGGACCGCAACAGTATGCACCAACACTCTATTCAAAATAAAGCTCTACCGCTAACAGCCCAGCAGCATGCCCCGCCAACATCGCTCATCACCCAGTCGCGACTCTAACCGCCTCCATCTCCACAATACCCCGCCTTTCGAAAGCAACAACAACCTACCCTACGCCCTCTTCCCCTCAAGACCACACGAATACACATCAGAACGCCGGCCGGTCAAGCAACTCAAACGCCTCAGTCCGAAAGCGTCTCTCGTCAAGTCAACATCACATCTAATGGACGTCGATTTGGATGCCCCGTCGCCCTGCCAAAATCAATCACACGCCGTTTCTGACCTGCGATCTTGTCACGCCTGCAACAAGGCACCCAAGCGACGGAAAGACCTGGAAAACTACCTCGATTGTAGGAGATGCGAAGGCCGAACCTGTTTCATCTGTGCGAGGCAGTGTGTAGGGTGCAGCAAGGCGATATGCAAGAAGTGCATAGTAGAAGTTGGAGAAGAAGGGGACGCATGGTGTCTGGACTGTTATTCACGGAACCTCAACTCGTGAGTGGTAGAAGAGAAGGTGTTTTGGTTGTTTTGGTTCATTCTAGCAAAGCGGGCGTCCTTGTGTTACTACCAGCTGCATCGAGCGAGACTCTATCGAGCATCATAATGAAGAGAAGATGCCAATATCATGAGTCAAGCCATGTATCATTCATGGTCGGCATCCCATTGTTGAGTGTACACAGTATCCAACAACCCAGTGACGTTCTAATCCTCATCATCTGTATCCCGCTCCTCCATAACACTTTCCTGATCACCCGTCCGGAACCTCAAACGCGAACTGGTCATATCTCCATCCTCAGCCTGGCTAGTCCTAGTGCTCCGTCTTCTACTCCTGCTGCTAACAATGCCGGGAAACAGTCTAGGCTCCCCATCCAATGTGACAGTGCTTGTTGAGCGTGTCAGTCCCTGATCCGGCTCTTCAGGTTCTGTTGGCTGAACGACGGACATCGTGTTAGGATTGACAGTGATACTAGAGCTGGCGCCGTCCTTGGTACCCGAAGGCGAAGCTGGTTGGCCTTGGACACTACCCGTGTCGGTTGTCGAGGCGGAGGGCTTGAGCCGAGCGATTTGGGCTGGAGGTAGTTTGGAGAACACTTGGTTGCCACCGGCGGATGCATGGGTAGGAGAGGTGGGGTGAGTTCCTTGGAGTGACTTCGGCGTCTGTGGCACTTCCGATTGCAGATTAGAGCTGGTGAGATCATGACGTCCAGATTGTGCAGCGCGCGTGTAGCGGTCGATCCTGTTCGGTATTAGTACTAGAATGGGAAGGTATTATTGTCCTGCCCGAGACTTACATAGCTAATTCACCCATGAGCGTCTCGTGTCGGAACGCCTCACGGATACTAGGCACATTGGATCTTGCCATATCGTTACCCGCAACACCAGGGAGATGGTAGTTACTGCCTAACCATTTCTGCTTGACAACATGCTCAAAGCCGCTCTGCTCAACAGAATGCTTGGCTAGCTCGCACATGTCCACAGCACTCAGCTTGTAAATTTGCGCAGCGACGGAGTACTCTTCGATGAGAGGCTCCTTCGTAAAGGCAAACTGTAGAGGATCATCTGTTGAAAGCGAGACGTTGAGACCACGTCTGAAGTAGCTCAGGAACGGGTTACGTTCGTACGCCAGGAACAGTGCGTTGTTGCTAAGAGGCGACATAGCGACACCAATCTGTTCAAGATAGAAGATGTATTGGAGAAGAGGCACCTTACGGAGCAAAAGACCGTGACTGATGCTATGGCAGCATAGTACTGCGGCAGCCAAATGATCGGTGTCACCAGCCTCTCCACAGTGAGGGCGCAAGAGGAAGGTGTTGAAGCCGCGCTGCTTTCTCCATACGTTGAGTGATGAGATGTTGGCGAAAAGGTAGTACATCCAGTAGCTGTAGGGCGGGTTCTGCTTCGTAGCCCATTCGTTCGGGAACGGAAATTTCCGGTAAACGCGTCGCTCGACTTTACTCTCATCGTCGACACTATCGAATCCAATGACCCTTTGCAAGAAAACGTGAAGCTTAGGATGGCTTGATGGATCTTTGGTAACCTCGAACAGTGGCTGGAACACGTTTACAATGACTTGCTGGAAGTTATCCATGAGACCGGTCGCTTTGTACACGTCAAACAAACGAGGTACTTGGATCAGCCAGCGGACGTTGGGCGAGAACAACTTGTTGTCAATGACCCAAGCTGCCAGCTTATCCCACTCTTCAATGTCTCGCCCGTAGATGGAGATGCGCCATTCCACGAACTGGTACTTGCTGGCTTCAAGATCTGAGATGACTTCCTTGGTGATTTCTGCTAAGTATCGGCCCTTGACAAAGTTGTCTGTCTTTAGGAAAATGGTTCGTAGACGTGATTCACCGATCGGGTTATACTTCAAGTTGAACTTGTCGAATCGGTGGAACGAATCTGTGTGAGCCTGGAAAGTCAGCAAAATACCGTGATGTCGGGTACATCTACTCACATGCATATCTAGAGTATCAATACTTAGATCGTACGCTGTCAAGTTAATCGACTCAAAGACTTCCCTCAGCGTGAGGTGTTTGCCATCACGGAAGAGTACCACCTCATCTGGAGACTTCTTCATCTTGGACTTGATGAAGCGCAGCAGATGCTTCTGGTTCATACATGCAGAATGGTGAACGTGGGTGTCGACCTTTCGGACGTTGTAAAAGTCTCTGTGCGGCACTTTCTTGGTATCGGCTGTCTCTTGATATTCATTCAACAAGTAGTAAAGATTGAATTTGCCTTCAAGATATTGGAGCCGACGGAAAGCAAAGCTCTTGCTCGGTCCGTCGGAGGATATATCAAGGATGGAATCGAGATCGATGTAGAATTCGCGCAATGTGGGGATTGATACGATGGGCGTATCCAACTCAGCGGACTTGACGGTCTCGTACACTTGGTAGACACCGCTGCTGTCCAGACGAAACGACATCTCTCCGGGACCAGGTACGGGAAGACAGTCTTCCAGATGGAAGTCCTCACCAATGTTTGTTCCCATCTTGCGAGGTGGTTTGGCTGGTTCATTAGGCTCAAGAATGCCGCTGTTCTGCAAGCTGCTGCCGCCTGCGTTGCGACGCTGTTTAGAGGAGTCGTTCCACACTGGCTCAGGAGGGGTGGGGTAGATGCGCCAAGCTGGATCATCTTTGGGGTTATCGAAGTTGCGCTGCAGAGACAAGCGGATGTACTTGTGACGTAGATCTAGCACTTTCTGGATATTCGTATAGATGGAGCTAAGCTCAGAGGTGATACTGGAATCGTTCATTGCGAAGCCTCCTGCTCCTGTGCCAACACCAATGCCAGCGCCCGCACCGTGGATGCCTTCTTCAGCCAGAAGTGGCTTTTCTTCGTGAGGGAGAGCGGGGTGTTGCGCGTGCGATCGGGCTTGTTGATCAGCTTGGAGAAAAGCGTCGCCTTCGTTGCCGGTACCTGCAGTGTTGGCTCCGTGTTGAGTCGTGTGTCGGCGCGGGTCCTGTGACTGCTCTGTGTGTGACAACCCGATAGGCAAGTTGGATCGATGCCCTTGATTTGCGAGCGTGACATTGCTCTTCCTAGAGCGAATGCTTTCTGCCTTGCCGTGGAAGTCCACACCGTCTGTGCCGCCAAAGTTGGCGGGGAATGTCTTTGCGCGCATAGCAGGGCTGTACGTATCGCCCGCCTGCGAGCCTCCATATTGTGTCTCTAGTTGGTGACGCTGGTAGAACTGCTTGGCCTCTGTGTGGCTCATCTGCTTCTCCGCAGTATAGTCGTAGAAGGCGGTTCGTCGCTGCTTGTCGCGGGGCAGCATGCCATTGTCCTCCTCTTCCTCATCGCTAGTACCAGCATTCTCCTGGGCTGTTGCAGTCGCACCATTGTCTAGTCGTGTGCGCCCGCTACCACCAGCTTCAGTTTCGGAGAAGTCATGGCTCAGCTCTTCTTCTTCAGAGGAGGGGATCTGGTCATCGTGGGCAGGGCCAAAGTCGGGCGACGCGTCTGCATCAGCAGAAAAAGCTCCTATTCCTCAAGTCAGTCTCCAATGGTTTTTGTATGGGGGCATTGAACTGCACTACCTTTCAGCATGGTGCGATAGAGAGGTGGTAGTTGTGGTTGCTAGAGCGAACACAAACTTTAAGACGAGCCTCACCAGGAACGCGCCTCGGAGACGGCCGGCCTGTCGCCTGGCCCCGTGCCATTTTGTGAATTATGGGTTCGATGACTCCATGGTATACTTAATCTGCTTACTGTTCCAGCAGGAGTACGTAACCCATGGCGAGCAAGATATAGAGGCTACAAGCAATCACGTTTCATTTAGGGAAGGTTACTAGACTAGGCCCCTCTATCCTCGGCCTGTGATGTTATCGGCAGGGTCAAGGGATCCTTTCCGAGAGTCATTCTGGCCAACAACAACATTCACTTGCATGTGAAGCCTTCATGTGTGTTATTGTCTTCTAATTCGAATTATGACGAGACTGGCCTGGACTGGGGTAAGGAATAGTTGAAATCATTTGCACACAGGGCAGCTAGGCTTGGGAAGTGCCCCTCATGCCGATGCGAGTACCCCACAAAGTCAGCAAGCAGCCTGTGTTGGGATTGACACCCTGCGAGGGACACCAGGCACTGAATGCATCGTTTTGTATCGTACGAAAGGGAAATCTAGCACAAAAGCGTTGAAATGGTATTCGAAAGGTGCAATACGTCATCAAGAAGTTCAATACATGTCGAAAGCCTTGAGATAACGCCGCTCACGTGCTTAGTGCTTAGCGCGAATCAATGATCCATGCCCAAAAATTTACGGTATTCCGACTTTTAGCAACAAATTCACATTTGCCAACTTCACCCATATCGCCAGAATGTAAGAATCGCCTCGTCCGCAATTGTGATCGTGATCCTGATATGGCAATGCAGGTTTCTTCTCCGCCGTACTGCCGTTCGCGCCATCACCGCGTCGCCTTCCAAGGCGTTCCTTGCGAAGCCGCGATCCATCAACACCATAACCCCCTCGGCTTTCCGCCTGAGGCAACAGCAATGGTCAATTGCGTCCTTCCAGCGACGATTCGCCAGCGATGACGCCAGGACGGCGGACGAGAACTTTGCGCAGACAGCGGCTGAGGCACCGGTCGAAGAGAACCTGACGCCGGCGCAGGAGCAGGTGCAGGCCAAGCCTACTGACGCCTCTGCTACTGTTGGCGCGGATGCATTGGCTGCTGCTGCCGAGACCGCAGAGAATGCCTCGAGGTCACGAAAGCCCCGGACTGAAAGGAACACCACCCCGAACAACATGCTGTACATTGGCAACCTGTACTACGAGGTTTCCGCAGAGCAGCTGAAGCGTGTCTTCTCCAAGTTCGGTGAGCTTGAGAGCACCAAGATTGTCTACGACAACCGGGGTTTGAGCAGAGGGTATGTTAGATGGCCCAGTTTCGGGAAATAGACACTAATCCTCGTGCAGTTTCGGATACGTTGAATTCAAGAATATCGCAGACGCCCAAGCTGCCATTGACAACCTCGACATGCAGGTCTTCGAAGGCCGCAACCTCGTTGTCCAATTCCACGCGCCCAAGCCCAACTCCAGGACCCGTAACAGCGCCTCTGGCAGCTTCGAGCAAAACCCTCCCTCCAAGACCCTCTTCATCGGCAACATGTCCTTCGAGATGTCAGACAAAGACCTCAACGACCTCTTCCGCGATATTCGCAACGTCATGGATGTCCGTGTCGCCATTGACAGGAGGACCGGCCAGCCTAGAGGCTTCGCTCACGCAGACTTCATCGATGTCGCTAGCGCCACCAAGGCTAGGGAAGTCTTGAAGGAGAAGACCATCTACGGAAGGCAACTCCGCGTCGACTTCAGCAAGTCTGGCACCCAAAACCAGCGCGACAACAAGCGCTCGGATTCTACCCAGGAGGATTAAGAGACGAGGATTAAAGGAGGCCAAGGACTAATTACATGCAATGGGACGGTTGCCCCACGCTTCTACAACGAATGATGTATGGAGGAAATGGTCGACGTATCTGTACGACTACACGACTGGGACATGCGTCCTGTCGGCTGCATGCTGTGTTGATAGGTGGGTCTTGTGTATCATAATGGAAGAGCGTCCGGCGTTGTTATATTCCCCTCTTCTTTTGTACATGGTATTAGGGTCTAGGTCTAGAGAAGCAAATCGGTCTAATGAAACTCTTACGATGTACAGCACTTATCCGTATCATGGTGCATTCTGTTTGTTGAAGTTTACCCAAGTGCTGCCGCATAACTCTACTGTGTAAGCTCGGATTCACTCGCTCTGTGTGGCGGTTATTTGCGACCTCGGCCGCCCCGCGTAGCTTCTCCACATGCTGATCAATTAGACCGGCCGACGCGCCTCTGGCACCCGCTCGCCGCCCGACTTGTACATACACCTCCTCTTCACTGTTGATCGCGTCATAAAACTCGCTCACAATTTCACAATCTTCTACCTTTCGCGATGTCTTTTCTCGGCGGCGCAGAATGCTCGACGGGCGCAAACCCGCTCAGCCAGTTCACCAAACATGTGCAGGACGACAAGTCGTTACAGAGAGACCGCCTGGTCGGGCGGGGCCCCGGAGGAATGCAGGAGGGCATGCGAAGCCAGCAGATGGGCGGCCCGTCAGACGGCGTAAGTTGGGAGCCAGAGCAGGAGGGCGAACAAATAGAAATCATGGCTAACCATACGATTCATAGATGATGAATGAGTTCATGAACCAGAATGTACAACTTCCACAAGGGCCCGGTCCCGCGTCTCCATTCGCTATGGAGCAAATGCGACGAGAGTTGGAGCGGACACAGCACAGCGGATCGCCAGCATGGGCAGCAGAGTTCGATCCAGGCATGCAGGCGCCACAGATGGGAGGGCCAGCCATGCAAGAAAGACCAGCAGGATTTAACCCTGCCGAATTCGCAAAGTTCCAGCAGATGAACCCGAACGCGCGGACGGCGAGCCCGACTACCGCTTCTCAGCCTTCGATGACGGGATACCAGCGGCCCATGTACGGAATGGGCATGGGTATGGGCGGCATGGGAATGGGAATGGGCGGTATGGGTATGATGCAGCAGCCATATGCACCACAAAACTTTCAGCAACCCATGCAGGACTCCGGCAAAGGCAAAGGGCGCATGGTGGAGCTCGACGATCAGGATTGGGAGGCCCAGTTCGCACAACTCGAACAGACAGACCAGCAGGACCTGAGCGCTCTTGACGCCGAGGCGAACAAGGCCATGGAGGCAGAGCTGAACGAAATGGACAGGTCAGTAGAGAAAGATGCCGTTGATCTCGACGATTTCGAGTCCATTTGGAAGGGTATCCAAGCTGAGACTGAATACGCTAGGCAACTTGCCAACGAGGAGAATTTCGTCGAAGGACACATGGGCGACATGGATCAATGGGAAGGCTTCGACGGGTTAAACACACACTCGGTCCGCGATCCAGCCATGGGCGACTACCTATTCGAACAAGAGAATCTCTTCAAGAACGTCACGAATCCGTTTGAAGAAGGTGTCAAGATAATGGAAGACGGTGGTAACCTCTCACTGGCGGCCCTAGCATTCGAGGCAGCCGTTCAGAAAGACCCGAATCACATTGCAGCCTGGGTAAGGTTGGGAGAGTCGCAAGCGCAGAACGAGAAGGAGACACCAGCTATAAGAGCCCTGGAACATGCTCTGAAGCAGGATCCGTCGAATTTGGAGGCGCTGATGGGTCTGGCCGTATCTTACACGAACGAAGGCTACGAGAGCACTGCATACCGGACACTGGAACGCTGGCTGGCCACCAAGTACCCATCACTCATCAAAGAGCCACTCTCTTCAGATGCCGAGATGGGCTTCACAGATCGCCACGTACTTCACGAGAAAGTCACCAACCTTTTCATCCAAGCCGCACAACTCTCGCCAACCGGCGAGCAAATGGACCCCGATGTGCAAGTAGGCTTAGGCGTACTTTTCTACGGCGTAGAAGAATACGACAAAGCCGTCGACTGTTTCGGCGCCGCCCTCGCGTCCACCGAATCCGGTGTCTCAAACTCCTCATCACAAGTCCACCTCCTCTGGAACCGTCTCGGTGCCACCCTTGCAAACTCCGGCCGCAGCGAAGAAGCCATCGACGCCTACTCGCGCGCTCTCGCTCTCCGACCAAACTTTGTCCGCGCACGCTACAACCTCGGCGTGTCGTGTATCAACATCGGTTGCTACACAGAAGCCGCACAGCACTTGCTCGGCGCACTAGCCATGCATAAAGTCGTAGAGCGCGAAGGCAAGGAGAAAGCTAGGGAAGTCGTTGGCGAAGGCGTCTCGGATAGCCAACTAGACAACATGATCCACCAGAACCAAAGCACAAACCTGTACGATACGTTACGGAGGGTCTTTGGCCAGATGGGCCGTAGGGATCTTTCCGATATCGTGGGTCCCGGCATGGATGTTGAGCGTTTTCGAGGCGAGTTTGAGTTTTGAGGAGGAGAGTAGCGGAGTTGGTATTACGGAGCAAGTAGAGGTTGAACGTCATGATGATGAGAGTTACGATGATTGGCTTTTGCAGCGGAAAGTTAAGACGCCGCGTAAGGACGAATGGGATGAGGGTGACCTGGGCGATAGCTGTTGCTTTGGCACACGCACTGTAGAGATGGGCTTGGATTGCGTCTGGAAGCTGCATGGAGGCATTTAGATCATGGGAACTGCAAAGCCAATCGCTACGATGTAGATGTCATGCTGTCTTCCACTGCCTCGCATGAGTACAATTACATAGCTCTAGTTGCATGTTATCATCTTTGGCTCAGGCCCTTCGAGAGTATGACAAATGCACTGCAAAGGTGATTTTATGGATCTGTGAACTTATAAATTGATGGCCGAACCATGAACTGTTCACCACCATATTTATGTCTATTACATAGGAGAATATTTGCGTGCTCAAAGGCGTAACCTCTACTCAGCCCCGTCAAAAGAGAACACACTAAAATACATAGAAGACCCTAATCCACACAACCAACACTCCGTGTTGTGCGGTATTTTACCCTAGTTGATCCAATAGAAAACATCCCAACCTCAATCCGGTGCGGATCCTTCACTTATGCTCCATCTATTTGGCAAAGTGGAGGTCATATCCAAGCCACTTCCTCGACTGAACTTGGGGAACAGTAAGGCCAGGGCTACCATACGTGAGCGGTGCGAAGAAGAGGAAGCACCAGAAGGCGGCGGCGAGGATGACACCCATGGCGATCCAGCTGCCCATCAGGCTAGAAGAGGCAACACGCTCGCGAACAGGCTTCGAGTGAGTGCGGCGGTGGCCCTTGACGGAGGCTGGCATATCAGGATCCTGGGGCTCGATGCAGAACACGAATTCTACCAGAGCACCAGTGACTAGACAAGACGCAAGATGCGCGGGAAGGTAGTGATGCAAGAAGAGCTGACGACCCATGATGTAGAAGGGGATGTAATGGGCAGCCCAGGTGAGGAAGAAGAATCCAGTGGAATTGTAGAGACGGGAGCGAGTGCCTGCAGACATGAATGTTAGAACCTCCCCTTCAAATACAAATGCCAATACAAAAGCGAATAGCCTGGGTTTCGTGTATGAAAGTGGTAACTTACGCTCATCGAGGGCATCCATGCCACGGCGGAGAGCCAGCTGGTCGGCGCCAATGATACCAGCAAATACAGCAAGAAGCGAGGAAGCGAGCCACCATCCAATGGGGTTACCCAGGAAGTAGATCTGCTGGCGAGTGTCGTTGTGAGTCCAGAAAGACACACCGCGAAGTAGAAAGGGCCAAGAGATGGGCTGGGATGCGTATGGATGCGAGCTGGTCAAGGCGTTGTTGTGGTAGAACATGGCACGTTGGAGCTCAACCCACTTCCTGAGGAAGCCCAAGTGCTTGACCTGCTTTGGTTCCTTCTTGTTGCGCTCATCTTCAGCAGGAAGCGAAGGAATGTCATCAACATACCAGACATTGCTGGACTGCTGAACTGCCTTGTTACCGTTGATCTCAGCTTGCTTGTAGGCCCAGTCTGGCAGAGGCTTGGTGTGGGTCCACATGGCGACCTTGGTTGGCACGTGAACAAGCTTGAAGTGAGTAGACATGGTCTTGAAATCGCCCTTGCCCTTGTCGACCTTGAGCTCAAAGAGAGTGTCGTTGTAGCGTGCACCGGTTGCTTCGTCCTTGCTCACAGTGGTGAATTCCTGGTTGGTAGGATAGTAAGGAGAAGCAACATCGTGTGTTAGAAGAACCGTGTCCGTAATCAAATGGCGAAGACGAATGACATCGCCGACCTTGACGCGTTGACCGACCTCACTGTCTAGGGGCTTTGAAGGAAGGACCTGCCAGTGGTTGTTGGTGTCGTTATGGGGGTATCCAGTAACCTGCTGTCCCTGGGAAGAAACACGTCCATCATCGTAACGCAGCGGGTAGCGGTCAGGATGGCTGTGAAGGTAGACTTTGGTCTCCTTGTGACGGATGGTGATGGAATCATAGTAGTTGATACCGACGGATTGAAGGCTCATGACATTGTCGCTCAGAGTCTCCTGGAACTCTGGGGTCATGAAGTCGTCACCAGGGCCGGATCGTGTGAGGATGGAGAAGTGGACCTGGAACCAGAAAAGGTAAAGGAAGAACGGAACGATGACCAAGCCAACAGCGCGAGCAGCAAAGTGCTTGCCAAACTCGGCCAAAGTCAAGGCACCCTGTCGCCGGTTGACGTCCATCAGGTCCCAGAGGTCAATCATGACTGGTACACCAATGGAGAAGAACGTGAAGACACCGACGTACTTGATGGAGATAACGCAGCTCAGACTGATGCCAGTCAGAAGGAGCCACTTCCACCATTTCCGCCCGAAAGCATTATGACGCTCCTTGTAGAAGCGAATGTAGGATAGTACGGAGAGCGCCATGAAGAAAATAAGCGAAGCATCGAGGAGAATCAGACGCGTCTGGCCAATGTGGGCGTTATCGAAAAGCATCAGACCGGCGGCAGTGATGCAGGCAGGTAGCGAGTAGCCAGACTCCCACATGATCATGAAGACGATGGGAACGGTAAGAGCACCGAGCGAGGCGGGCATGGCGCGGTATGCGACATACGGGACCTTGTTGGTAATGTAGGAATCGCCAATGTTCTCAAACAGGAAGTCGCCCTTGTATCCGACGAGCCAGCCAGCGAAGGCAAAGAGGAGCTTTCCGAGGGGAGGATGGACATCGAAGAAGTAGGTTCGTTGCAGGTAGTAGGAAGCGAACTATGTGCAATTAGCGATCTGTACATGCCTCGTGTCTCTTTCTGTCTTCAATGATATACACACCTTTCCAAAGTGCACCTCATCGAACACAACCTGATCAGGATGTCTGATGCCCCAGAACCGCGTAATGAAGGCCAGAACGGTCATTACGGCGATAGCGAGCTTATAGTCCCATTCTCCGCCCTGCTGAACTGGCTTGTATGGTTTGGCTTTCTCGACGACATTGGCGACTTTCTCCTGGACCTTCTCGGCGAGGACTTCCGGGTTCGGTGAGGTTCCTCGCTTCTTGTCCTTGCCTGCGCGCTGGCGGACGCTACCAGCTGGTGAAGACATGGTGGGTTATAGCTCGATGAAGCTACCTGTGGACTCTATCATTAGCTTCTAATGCCGCAACACGTTGAGGGCTACGAGAATGCACCTACCTCCCATAGACAAAGGAACGAATTTGATGGAATTGGAAAGAGAGTTGGGGTTGCGCTCTAAGAACACGACACCTAATCGCGAGTTCAGGGTCCGGAGGAGCCAATCCCTAATGGGCTTTCTCGCTTGCACTTGGCCCCTGCATTAGCGGTCATTGGTCCACCATCATCACAGCCCCCCCCAGCGAGGGGTAACAGAAGTCTGATGAAGTATATTCGTCTATGTGCTCTTGGCATTGGCATCTCCGTGATCTTCGCATGCTCTACATGTTCCCGAGATACCACCGTAGCCTATCTCCTTGCAACCTTGCAAACGCTGCCGGCAAGCAGGACAAAGTTGTATTCGCACCTCACACAAGGAGAAAACTGAGCAGATCTAAAGACTACGCTAGGATAATAGAGGCAAATTAGGAGATCTAGCGTTTATGTAAGCTCTAGGGTATTCAGTTTTCTCCTTGTTCGAGGTGTTCGCCTCGCTCTAGAAAGCGGATCGAGTGGTAACACTCTGGAATCATTGGCCCTTCTTTCCCTTTCCGGCTTCCAACTTCTTCTGCTGCGGGATGCGATACGATGTTTCCCATCCATACAAAGCACCCGCACCAAACACCATGGCAGCGCCGACTTTCATCAATCCAGTCATCTGGTTTCCGAATATCCAGATACTGAGCAGAAAGCTCACCAGCTTTCTGATATTCAACACGATCGTAACGGTAACGGCGGAAGTGTTGGCGCTGAGCATGTTGACGCCGGTGATGCAGAGTAGTTGGGTGAGAGCATTGGCGGTGAGGTAAATGACATGCTGTGATGTTGAGGCCAGGATGCTGTTGACGATCGGCGGGAGGTTCTCTGCGACTTTCGGTGGGACCTTGAATGACTGCGAGGCCTGTAGGCGCTTGAATTGTTGTGTCAATACCGGTGCAAATCCGGCAAAGAACGGGATGGATAGCAAGTGGGAGTAGAAGAGGTTGGCCTGCCAGTCCTTGCCATGTTCACGATAGACGTCCTCGACATAGGCGCCCATCCATGCAGAGAGTAGTTGCGCGATGAGCAGGATAAGAAGTCCAGCCTGTAGAGAAGAATTAGACTCGTCGGAGCTCGAAGCATCCATATTCTTGCCCTAGTTCCGTGGTCAGCGTCTATAGATGAGTCGTTGATCGCTCCACTGTACCTTTGACTGTGCATCTGCCCATGCTGATACCATGACACCTAGCGTCAAAATCGCAACGGAGAAGACCTGGAGAGGTGTGTATCTCTTGCCACGGAACCAACCAGCAGCCATAGTAGTCACACTACCAAAGCTTCTGAGGATGATGTGAACAGGGACTGAGATGTTGAATGCGAAAGCCCAATTGTTCAGCATGTTGACGGTGAAGAACAACGCAGCGCTGACACACCATTTGCGAAATGGTACAGGCGAACTCCGCATGAAGTAACGACCGTTTGGATCGAACTGGTAGTGCAATGTCGAGAGACATGTAAACACGAATTGAAAGAGCGTAATGAGTAGGCCACTGTCAGGCTCTTGCCTGGGTTGTGTCAGATATTATGATGTTACTAGGGATTACACGCTGTTTACTTTACTATTGCTTCCAGACAATACACCTTTTCATATTTAGTGATGGCATCATGACGGTTCTGAATTTCTTACATTGGCGCAACACCCTCCAAAGATGAGCGAAAAGCTGCTGATGACGGGCGCAAGAGCGGCCATGATAGCAGTCCCGTGGCGTGAGAGGTGGCACAGATTACCTGGGCAGTTGTTCGGGAATTTGGCTGTGTACACTTTTCGAAGCGAAAGACGATGGATCTGTTGCTTGTCAGACAGGTGACGTAGGTGAGCGTTGAATGACAGTAAGTTGGCAAGTGCAGAACGGCATAGCGCATTCCGCGAAAACCATCTTCTATCGCACAGGCAACATACAAGAAACACTCAAGTGAATACGACTGCACACAAGCCTTTATGTACTGAGCATGGCTTGCAATATGGTGAACGTTGCGAGAAATTCTAGAGAAATGAAACGCAACGTGGAAGTCTGGGATGTCATGAGCCTCACGGCGGGCGCTAACGGGATCAACCTAGGTACTGCCGAATCAAGCAAACTTCTAGAACAGAGCTTCGACAGGCATCTTCACGCACAATTTATGATAGACGTCAATAAGTTTGAGTATATGAATGCTTCACGCCTATCATGACAGGTGCAAAGCACATGTGAAACTTTCATCTGCTTGTCGCAGTCTTTTAGTACCTGCGATATGTCCTGGACTGTTTCACGCAGAGGTGGCACCAAGACGTGTTGATGAGAGTTTCTTTTGTTCTTTCTCTGCACCACTCAGAGTCATTATAGTGGTGTTGCAATCTACACTGCTCTGCGGTTACCCGATCGTTAAACCACATTGCGTCGTTCCTCATCTGCATTCCCACGCCGATTCGCCAAGAATGCTCCTGTTCTATCATCCTAGCGCCGCCTGGCAGGCTGCTGCCAACATTGAAAGGAAGATGGAAGAGTAAAGATGACCAGAAACCCAACAAGCTGATGCTCCTGTTTACATGTATTCCGTGGCGATGTTCGCGAATCAAGGCTACCCCTACAATGCGGAGAAGACGAAAAGCTGTAGGACGTTAGAAATTGATCATACGAAAAGGACCGGCTTGCTTACGTTGTTTGTCGCTGCTATGGCGATGCTGTCTTCGAATGGATGCCAGCTCATGTGTAAGATCTTCTTGTTGAAATCGATCTGATCTGCGTCCGTCTCCTTCCTCATGCGTTGGCCCTGTCCAACTGCACCAGCAGCAGGGCTGCCGGCCCTCGAGCCACCTTTCTTACTTGTGTTGCTGCCTGTCGGGCTTGTCGACGAGTTCATGGGTGTTGGGATTCCAACCTTCTTCGCCTTGAATGCAGACTTGTCGGCCTGCAAAACTACCTCGGTGTCTTTGTCGTTATCGGATGGGTATATCATGAAGTTGTTGTTGTAGCTACCAGTCATGACGTTCTTCGCATCCCCAGAGAAAACAACCTCGAACTTGTCAAAAATGCTGTCGTTTTCGTAGGTGTCGCAGAGTCTCGGTCGTAGATGTTCATGAATTGGGATGGTCTTGACCGGAGTCTTTTCCATGTTTACGTCCCAAATCTTGACAGTCAGGTAGTCGCGTGACAGAATGTATCTTCCGTCATGTGAAAACCGGACGTCGGATATGGATGAGATGATCTCAGAGAAGAATGATCGCGAAGATGGATCTTCTTCTTGCTCGAATTCTGGAGAGTGAGGTTAGTATTAGCTGAGGTAGAAAGACATACGGCTTACGCTTTGCATGCTGGTCGCATAGAGCACTCTCGCGCATATCAGCCAGCTTGATAGTACCCTTAGAGCTTGCGTACATGAACCAATTGCAGCTGATAGGGTGGAACTCAGCAGCGGTGATGACCTCCGTCAGCTCCTCCATATTAGCGGGCTTGATGTCGACGATGTTGAAGCTCTGGTCCTGGATGTTCAGGTTCCAGAGGTTGATTCGCAAATCATCGCTACTAATAAACGTCTCGCCGTCGCTGTTGACCGATATGCTGTTGATGTGGTAGGCGTGTGCGTTGGCATACGTCTTTCGCGGTACTGCGGCGACAACTGTGTCGTGATGTGTGAGCCGTGGGAGCTTCAGATCGGTGGCGCTGCGGAACTGTGCATTCGGGTTCCTGACGGGACCACCCCCACCAGCAACCCCACCTCCAGGTGTCAACTCGTGTGACAAGTTGTTCTCCGCTACCACTTTCAGCGACTTTTCAAATACCTTCCATAGCTTGATTGTCTTGTCATTTGTAGAGAGCAGGTAGTGTGAGGCGTTTTGCCGGCGGCACCATTTGATCTTGTTGATCTTCTCTTCGATCTCGAGAGATTTCAGGTAATCGAATTCAGGCTCGTGCGATTGGAACTCGGTGTGGAACTTGTATTCACAGGTTTTTTTCTACACTTTGTCAGTCTTGAAACAGCGAGAGAGTATGATAGGGAAGGGCATACCGTCTCGTTCCTCTCGAACAAGACCACACGACCGCCCTTGTCGCCGGTTGCAAGGTAGTTACCCGTCTGGTCGAACTCGACGGTTGAGATGATGTCGGCTGCGCTCGCTGTCAGCAATTGCATGCAGGTATTAATGAATGTACAGAGAGCGGAACGGTAAGAAACAGTACGTACCTTCGGTTATGTCTTCAACATCGCCTTTGTCGCCGAAGCACCTGCTCCAGTCAGTGGCGTTTCCAGTGCGATTTGAGCTAAGTGGCGAGCACAGCAGCGACCGAGCTGAGCTGAGGGGTCTAAAGGAGATGGGGAGCATGCGGTACGTACTGGGTGAATTTCCACGTCGTGGGATTGCCTTCGGCTTCTACCATGATTCTGGACAAGGATTGCGGGACACCAGCGGCGTGCGATCAAGAGTAGCGAGTGCTCTGCTGTGTTCGTACGCAATGTACTGTGGGTGTTCAGTGTGCGAGCTGTCAAGCTTGTCGTGGGGCCCGGGTGAGGTAGCGCCGCCAAGGTTGAGGGTGGTGGGTGAGTGAGTGCTGGGGATGATGTAGTGGGAGCGGTGTCTGCTGGCCGTGGCCGATGGCGGGGTTGGCGGTTGGGCGGGCTTGTCGTTGAAGCTCCGGCGGAATCGAATCGGCGGCGGAATGACGAGGGCGGGCGACGATGCAGGGAGCAACAGCGCAGGTACAGAGGCAAAGCGTGTTAGTTGATACCTCGATTCACTCTTGGTGGGGGCAAGTGCAACCCGTGGACGTGCCAAGGTCGGAAGGCGCGCTAAACCGCTTGCAGCTAGCGCAGTCCGCTCGCTCTTTCCTCCGGTGCCCACAACATTCCAATATTCGAGGTTTCGAACTCTTCTTCGAACAACTTCGTTCGACAACTAACCACAGCACATCGAACTGCCAATGTCTCACAGGAAGTTCGAAGCCCCCCGCCACGGGTCTCTGGCATTCTTGCCGCGAAAGCGCGCCGCCCGTCACCGGGGTAAGGTGAAGAGGTAAATTCCCATGTTACCGCCGCCCGCTGTCGGACAGTCTGCTCACTGCAATTGCCAGCTTCCCTAAGGATGACCCCAAGAAGCCCGTCCACCTGACGGCCGCCATGGGCTACAAGGCCGGTATGACCACAATCGTCCGCGATCTCGACCGACCAGGTGCCAAGCTGCACAAGAAGGAGATTGTCGAGGCCTGCACCGTCATCGAGACTCCTCCCGTACGCACAGCCAGTTCCGAACAATTTTGGCGCACTACTAACACGACCACAGATGATCGCTGTCGGTCTTGTCGGCTACATCGAGACTCCCCGTGGTCTCCGCTCGCTCACCACCGTCTGGGCTGAGCACTTGAGCGACGAGGTCAAGCGCCGATTCTACCGCAACTGGTACAAGAGCAAGAAGAAGGCCTTCACCAAGTACGCCAAGAAACACTCCGAGGAGAACGGCCAGTCCATCACCAAGGAGCTCGAGCGCATGAAGAAGTACTGCACCGTCGTCCGCGTTCTCGCCCACACCCAGATCCACAAGACCCCGCTCAAGCAGAAGAAGGCCCATCTCATGGAGATCCAGGTCAACGGTGGCAGCATCGCCGACAAGGTCTCTTACGCCCATGGTCTGTTCGAGAAGCCAATCGAGATCAGCTCCATCTTCGAGGACAACGAGATGATCGACGTTATCGCCGTCACCAAGGGTCACGGATACAACGGTGTCACCTCCCGATGGGGCACCAAGAAGCTCCCGCGTAAGACACACAAGGGTCTCCGCAAGGTCGCCTGTATCGGTGCCTGGCACCCGGCCCACGTCCAATGGACTGTTGCCCGTGCTGGTCAGATGGGTTACCACCACCGTACCTCGGTCAACCACAAGATCTACCGCATTGGCAAGGCCGAGGATGAGGGCAACGCCTCAACCGAGTTCGATGTCTCCAAGAAGCGCATCACACCGTAAGTCACATGTCACACTGGTCGCTGATCACTACTAACATATATCAGAATGGGTGGCTTCGTCCGCTACGGTGAGGTCAAGAACGACTTCCTTCTCCTCAAGGGTAACTGCCCTGGTGTCAAGAAGCGCGTCATGACCCTGCGCAAGTCTATGTTCACCCACACCAGCAGGAGGGCGCTGGAGAAGGTCGAGCTCAAGTGGATCGACACCTCTTCCAAGTTCGGTCACGGTGCTTACCAGACACCGGCGGAGAAGAGGCAATACGAGGGTGTCCTCAAGAAGGACCTCCAGACTTCGTCTTAGATGTCTTGAGGTGGTGCTACGGAGTGCATGCTTTCTTCTCACGGGCTTGGGCGCAGAGGATAGGTCTACTATATGGATGCCAGTCATGAGCGATTGAACAAAAATTCAACGATTCCCCAATTCACAAATGTGTTACCAATGCGTGATGCGTGAGAAATGTCCGTCCTAGCGGCACTCCCACGTCAACCTAGGAAAAAACTGAATGTTTTCATGTCGATGTAGGATGCAGACCTGTTTAAAGTAGGTAACCTAACTCCGACGTAGGCTCCAGACCTGTTCAGCATTTTTCTTTTATGAGGTGCTCGCTGTAATTTAATCACGGTGTGTTTCCGTGTGCGACTTGGTTCGCGTAGTGAGTCCTGCGTCGCGCCATACGTGAGGGCATCGAAAATGCGGAAAGGACTTTGAACAGGTGCTCTGCCGTCTACATCAGTATAAAAGTCGAAGTTTATATAATCCCTACGGCAATGTAGACTTCTAGGGGGTAGATGTTTATCTTTTTCCCCTTGTACGAGGTAATATAATAAAGCCAACAAAATGTCGAACTGCAAGCGTCAACCCATGTGCGTGTAACTAGGATTCGAGAAGTCTGTATGAACATGCGCAATTCAGACGTTGATGCGGCTGATGAAAAGGGTCTTGGAGTAAATAAGAATGGTATGCTAACGTTAGTAGCAACAGCTATACTAGCAACGTAACTTGCGGAGAAAATTCCCTGGTACAACGACTGGGTAACAGCCTTGTGATCGTGTGAGAAGGTCTATGACGACGACGAATGAGGCTCGACATCTTGAGCGCCAGCGGCAACAACTGTCGGCCCAGACAAGGTGCATGAGTCAGCCCAAGTGACAGCAGTCGCCATGTGCTTCGCAAGTACCATTATTGTGCCGAATGTCCAAAGCAGAACGTTGGCTGTCGAACATGTATCGATTTTGTGTGGGATGAGTTTGTTTAGATGAAATCATGTCTATAATCGCCAAGAATCTTGCTATAAAAAGTACACTCAGACCCATAGCCTTTGTGTTGATAGCCTATATGGCCTGCGTGACCCTGCGATAGAGGCAAAGATGCATCACGTTCATCAAGAAGAAAAGCCGGAATCAAGGGCAGGTACTTGGGAGGCAATGCAGCCGAGGCCTACCGACCCAATTAGCGCGCTCCGATTTTAGTTGGTAAGTAACGCCGTCGGTCGCAACTGCCATCATTGACCTCCAACTTCAAATCCACCAGGACCTTTCGCACTCCCGTCGTATACTCTCCGCTCTTCGGCTACCGCCAAAATGAGTTGTCTCAGGATGCGTCGTACGCAGCTTGCAAGCCAGGTGAGTTTTGACGACCTTCCCACACCACGCAGTCGCAGTCGACGGTCGACAAGCCCGGCATCCGCCGCACCGAGGCGTGTGCCACATCCCACATGGCGTTGGCACAATGTTGCATGTCGACATGACACTTTTGCAGTGGTGGACAATGCCTTTGCATCTTCCACGTCTTCTTACAAGTCTTTACTGTTCAATGGCTAATGTTCGCCTCATAGCTCGCGAGGAGCTTCCGCCCAACTACACGAGCCTTCTCTTCCACTCGGCCAGCGCAGCGCATATTCGCTACCGAGAACCTGAGGGCAAAGGAAGCGTCAGGCTTCATCTCGAGCAAATACCCCGTCATCGACCACGAATACGATGCCATTGTCGTCGGCGCTGGAGGAGCTGGTCTCCGCGCGGCATTCGGTCTCGCTGAAGCTGGTTTCAACACAGCATGTATATCCAAGCTTTTCCCCACTCGATCGCACACAGTCGCAGCACAAGGTGGTATCAACGCCGCGCTCGGAAAGTACGTGGATCAGGAAGACCTGCAATGGGATTGACAGAAGCTGACGGATATGTGTAGCATGCACGAGGACGACTGGCGGTGGCATATGTACGACACTGTCAAGGGATCAGATTGGCTTGGAGACCAGGACGCCATTCATTACATGACAAGAGAGGCGCCTCAATCCGTCATCGAACTTGAGAACTACGGCTGCCCATTCTCGCGAACTGACGATGGCAAGATGTAGGGTCAACCCAGCTCTGATTCGTGCAGCATACTAACGTCATCCAGCTACCAGCGTGCTTTCGGTGGACAGTCGCAGAAGTACGGCAAGGGTGGCCAGGCATACCGATGCTGTGCTGCTGCCGACCGTACTGGTCACGCTCTCCTCCACACTCTCTACGGACAATCGCTACGACACAACACCAAGTACTTCATTGAGTTCTTCGCCACTGATCTGATCATGGAGGATGGTGTCTGCAAGGGTGTTGTGGCATACAACCAGGAAGACGGAACCATCCACCGATTCATCGCAAAGAACACCGTCTTGGCCACTGGCGGTTACGGACGTGCCTACTTCAGCTGCACATCCGCCCACACCTGCACTGGTGACGGTATGGCTATGGTTGCTCGCGCAGGTCTTCCCAACCAGGATTTGGAATTCGTTCAGTTCCACCCCACTGGTATCTACGGTGCCGGTTGCTTGATCACTGAAGGATCCCGTGGAGAGGGTGGTTACCTTCTCAACTCTGAGGGTGAACGGTTCATGGAGCGTTACGCACCAACTGCCAAGGATCTTGCTTCCCGCGATGTCGTATCCCGATCAATGACCCTGGAAATTCGTGAGGGCCGTGGTGTAGGTCCGGAGAAGGATCACATCTACCTCCAGCTCAGCCATCTACCCGCCGAGGTCCTTCACGAGCGTCTACCCGGTATCTCTGAGACTGCCGCCATTTTCGCTGGTGTCGATGTCACCAAGCAGCCCATCCCTGTTCTTCCTACCGTGCACTACAACATGGGTGGTATCCCCACCAAGTACACTGGTGAGGTCATCACTCAAGACGCTCAGGGTAACGATCAGGTTGTTCCAGGTCTGTTTGCGTGCGGTGAGGCTGCTTCCGTCTCTGTCCACGGAGCCAACCGTCTCGGTGCCAACTCCCTCCTCGACCTCATCGTTTTCGGTCGTGCTGTTTCCCACACCATCCGCGACAACTTCAGCCCCGGCCAGAAGGCCGACCCCGTCTCCGCCGATGCTGGCGCCGATTCCATCTCCGTCCTCGATCAGATCCGCACATCTGACGGCGCCAAGTCGACTGCCGAGGTCCGTCTCCAGATGCAGAAGGTCATGCAGACCGATGTCGCCGTCTTCCGAACTCAAGAGTCACTCGACGAGGGTGTCAAGAAGATCCACGACGTTGACGCCGACTTCGCCAACGTTGGTATCAAGGACCGCAGCATGATCTGGAACTCCGACCTTGTCGAGACCCTTGAGCTACGCAACCTCCTCACCTGCGCCGTACAGACTGCCGAATCCGCCGCCAACCGTAAAGAGTCACGAGGTGCCCACGCTCGTGAGGACTTCCCCGACCGTGACGATGACCAGTGGATGAAGCACACATTGTCGTGGCAGAAGAAGCCGCATGGCGAGACTCAATTAGGTTACAGGAAGGTTGTTGGTACTACTCTGGACGAGGCTGAGTGCAAGGCTGTACCACCATTCAAGCGTACATACTAGAGGATTGGTAATTTGGAAAGGAAATGAGGGATGTGTTTTGTATTCTATGTACATCGGATGATGGATTGCATGTTTTAGCATGTTTACGAGCGGAAGCCATTTAGGATTGAGAATCGAATCATTCAAGTTCACATTGTTATATCTTATCCATTGCATCAATATGTATAAGCGCTGCTGTTGTGCTCCAGAATACTACTCTCAGTGGATGATATAGCTGTTCTGACGTATGAAGCACTCCTTCCCGGCCTGACTGTGTTGTTGTGGTGGGGCTGTTGTTCTTGGCAAGTGCGATACCTCACCCGCACAGCACGACAACATCAGCTTCTCGACCACAACACGAGCATCGGCACCTTCAAAGCCAGGCAATGGATATGGCCTCAACCAAACAGGGAACAAGGATTTTACTTCGACGTTCGTGCACCCACAATCATCGCAAAACGAACATGGCTCCTGCCGTGTATAAGCAAGGCTGGCTTCTAGCCTGGTCTATCGTTACCCGAGGGCTGAAGTGGCTGAAGTGGCTGTCACCACGCCAAATGGGGATCCGCTCATGGCAATAACAAGACTTTCAGAGTTTCTCGCTCTCTGGCACATTATCATGGCAGAGCCTGTGTCAGAAATTGTGTTCCTACAAGTCGTGAACTCCAAGAAGGCGGAATGCGTGAAGAAATGCTTGCACGCAGGCACACCTATTCTGGCCATGCATCGTCCACGGAGGCCGTGGCTAGGCCCTCAGCCCCCTGCAAGAACCTATTTGAACATAAGAAGATCGGTTCGAGTTCACGCACGGTCATCAGCCCCAACCTGAACCGGAGGCCTATCACAGCCACCACCAAGCCGAACTTGGGCGGCACACTGCTTGTAAGTTTGCCATGCTTCAGCCTTCTCGAGAAGAAATTTTAGGAGGTCTTGTACTTATTAGAGGCTACTTCTCAGCCTTCTCCGATGAAATTATGGCTCAAGTTCCACGTCAAAAAGCGAACACACAGTTTCTGTCTCCCATTCCATCCCATTCTCAACGCTGAATGCGGGAACGTCATTATAATATCAATACTCTGACCTCGTGGACTCTTACATACAAGGATTCGAAGGCTTTTGAGCTATTATGGACCCATTCCAAGACCACAACATAGCCTCTTTTACTTCTGGGTTAGCAGGGCGTCGATCATCGTCGTCCCAGACATCTCCCTCTTGGTCAACTTCATCATCGACAAGATCATATCTGCCAGACGATGATCAAGACTTTGAACCTGGAAGGTTGCCCCGTTCCTTCGGTGCAGAGGCGTTCGATGTAGGGACTGAATTGACATGTTATCCGTAAGCCCCATGTTCATATCATGATCATCTTCCGGCGAAGCTTACAGGCAGATAGATCATACCAAACAAGCAGTCCAGACACTCAGACCTTGCTCAAAATCCAGAACGCCAGGTCTTCAGTTTTATCAGTCACGTCTTCATCCTCTTCAGAAACGGACGATGATCGGTCAACCCAAAGACTACACCAGATCAACGCGGTCGTCAAAGCTTTCTGGGAACTACCAGTTATTCGTGACATAACCTGGCCGTTTCAGTGGCTTAGCCGCCGATTCAAAGACGTCTCTTCGAACAGCCGGTTCCATGGTTGGCGTATGGGTGTTCTACTAGGCTCCTTTGCTTCGTCGCTTGTTCTTTGCTGCAACATAGGCATCCTGGTATTCGGCTCACTACGGCACGGCTCCGCGGACAACTTTACCGTGCTATCAACTGGAAAAGCCAAAGACATGTCTTGGTGGTCTAGCGCTATCCATATCGTGATCAATGCGCTCAGTACAGTTCTTCTAGCTGCTTCTAACTACACCATGCAGGTACTGAGTTCGCCAACAAGAAGAGATATTGATCGAGCTCATTCTGCACATCATTGGCTTGATATCGGGATCCTTAGCGTTCATAACTTCAGCTATATCCCAACCCGAAGAAAGTTCCTGTGCGTCATCATGGTATTGTCCTCTATACCTATACACTTATTGTAGGTTTGTATCAACTTTCATCGGATCAGATTGGTGGCTTACGAGTCTCAGCTACAACTCTGCAGTCTTTTACATCGGTGCAGACAACATGTACAACATCTCCATGCTACCAACAGACTCTATCGAGTACGAAAGTCTATCACGTCAGGCAGATACAGCCACCAACGACGATCGCAATGTAACACTCGATAACAGCAGAATAGACAGTGCATACTATGGGGACACCAGTTTCCATGAGTATGGAGACTTGTACCTTGCGATCGACGGGTACTTTCATGGAAACAAGTCGGAGCTTCCAGAACTGGGTGAGAATGGCTGGCCGTTTAGCGGTCCAGAAGTACTTTGGAATCCGAACGCATCCTGGCCCTTTGAAATAGAACGCGATTTATACCTCAACCGAAGTATCATCAATGGTACTTGGACGTATGTCAGAATTAATTCGACAATCGCTGCCTCTCCGGAAGACGTCAACCAGATGTGGGCTCGTTACACTCACGGATTCGCAGAATTTCACGTCAAAACATCCAGCCGCATCGAGCTAAGTCTCACCTTCATGGCGATTGTGATCGTCTGTAACGTCGTGAAGCTGTTTACGATGTTGTGGGTGGTTTTCATGGAAAATCTGGACTATATCGTTACGGTCGGAGATGGAGCAGCCTCATTTCTAGCTTATCCCGACTCAACGACTAGGGGCATGTGTGTGTCAACAAAACACGAAGTCATCGCCAAAGTTGGGGTTGTAACAGACAATTCAAAAGAAGACCAAGATCTACTCGCGATTATAATTCGTAAATGTGGCAATCTTTGGGCCAAACGACGCAGTCAATATTCCACTGCCCTCGACAGAGATCGAGTATATACCTCGTACGCCATGTAAGTCAACCTGGGACTGTGGACCCGAAAAGGCGAGGTTAACGTCTTAATAGCTTTGCGATTGGCTGCGCACTCTTCTACGGTCTAGTGATACTACTCTCGACTCTGGGACTCACAAGTCCTAGATGGGGATCCTCAAGCCTTACCGCGTTCCGCAAAACTGAAACATCCGCGCAGGCCACACTTTTGAACGCGTGGCTTGCCAATATCGCCCAGTTGGTGCTTTCCTACTTTTATCTCGCTATCAACAGCGAATGTACCGCTATGGCTGGAGCTGCGGAGTGGAATAACTTGGCAGTCTCGCGCAAAGGCCTACGTGTTACTCGTCCCGTCGGGGACCAACGCGAGAAGTACATTCTCCAGCTGCCATATCGCTGGTCCCTTCCTCTAGCTGCAGTGAGCGGTGGTTTACATTGGCTATTATCTCAGAGCATCTTTATTGTCCGCATCGACGCTTATGATCGAGAGGGAAAGATCATGCAGGGTGATTCTCTATCCGCAATCGGGTTCTCGGCAGTAAGCTTCATAACTTTGATTCTGTGCTTTTATGCCCTTGTAGGATCCGTGGCCTGGATAGGGCGAAGACAGATGAGGGTTCGAATACCCTTCGCGGCATCTTGTAGTCTAGTCATGAGTGCGGCATGTCATCCATCACCAGACGACATCGATCCTCACTTGCGACCTGTCCAGTGGGGCGTCACGGAGGGTGATATGTTTGAAGGGGAAAAGCACTGTTCACTTTCATCGAAAACTGTAACAAGACCAAAGGTTGGAGAGAAATATCTTTGAGTCATCAGCTAAAAGATGATCAACTTGAATATGAATTCATGATCGACATGAGGCGTTGGCATACGAATTACAACTATTGACGTCGCCAAAAGCTAAACCAGCCTCTCCGCGGCTCGTTGATAACCGGCGCGGTCTCTACGTCCTCCGCTGCTAACTCGCTTACCGACTGCTGCTCCGATATTGTCAAATTCGTCGAAGCGAACGAAGACGTCTGCACCATTATCGGACTCTTGCCAGGCCTCCACATGATCGGTAGATCCTTGAGCTTATGACCCTTCTCCATGAGCGGAATTTCGCTCTCCAAATCAGTCCAATTGCGGTGGCCTTCTCCCTCGTAGGCTCGACGTTGCAGTTGCCATACTCCGTCTTGTGTCCAGCGGGCGATGCGAGGACCGAGCGCGCGGCGGAAGCGAGTGAGGTAAACAAGGAATTTGAGGAGTGTGATGTCGATGATTGCGACGAGGACGGAGAAGGCTATGATGAACGAGAGACCGAAGACATTGATGTTACTGTTATGAGTTAGTAAATGTTATCAGACGCTTCACAGTGGAGCAAGGATACTCACACAAACCCACCAGTCTTCTTCATCTTCTGCGCCCCACAAAGAGTCCGCTCGCCCTCAGTCTTCGGCTCTATGAGATACCCGTCTGCTAACGAATCACCTTCTGCGGGCCCTATGGCATGACGCGATACCATAACTTGCATAGCCCCCCAAGTCTGCTGTTCCCAGCCAAGGACTTCTTGTTTCCAGAAGTCGTCTGGTATGTCTCTAACTGTGAATTCGTTCAAAGATATCATTGTGTTGACCTTGCATGATAGAACATCCGAGGTTGGGTGCAACCACGTCGACCTGATCAGCAGCTCTAATATCGCCCGCTGCACCTCGTTTGCTTCCGAGAAATCTTGTTCGATATGTTGAGGATGGGGTACACCTTCCATTGGCGTACACCAATCTTCTTTGCCATCTCTTGCATGGCAGTATTGCAACTGTGGGGCTGTCAGTACGTATTGCTGTGTGAAAATGAGCGCTTGACTTACGTTTTGGGTACATGCAACTGCCTTACTAGGGTGATCAGCTTGATAGCGCATAGATACCTCGCCAGTAGAGAAGTCAACCTTTTCGTATTCTTTATGTGAAGAATAAAGCGGGTCGTTGATCGGTTTTTCGAAGGAGAGGGAACCACCAAAGAACTGCTTCAAGATAATATCGCTTTCTGCTTCGTCTGCGTTGATAGGTTTTATCCCCCTCCTAGGAATCCAACTTGATTGTGCGATGGTTTCATTCTTTCTAAACCATTGCAGGCCGCTTTTCGCTTACATCAGCTGAACCCTTGACAGAAATCATCGTCATATTGACTTACCGAGGCACCCAAGGATTTCCACTAGAGTTCGAGGAAAGAAGGTGTACGTAGTAGCTCTCTCCAGTTTCGAGAGGAGTCCTTGGCCCGTAGAAAAAAACCGCAACCTGTTCTCCCGGCAAGATCTCTCGATAATCGGGTTTCCACATAGGCCTTTCTTCCAAATCAACGACATCATAGTATCCTTCTACTGGTAGAACGGTACACTCAGTCTTCTTGCGAAAGGATACGCGGTCTTGAGCAGCCAGATTCAGTCCGAAAGTTTTGCTGACATCAATAAGACCGGAGTCGATGCGAACGGCGTCTTTGGTATCGCACATGGTTTCGTTGAAGGGACAAGGAACGTTTTCAAGGTTGAGCGGTATGTTGGGTTGCGTGAATACATTGCAGGCTGGAGGCAGTGGGCCATCACGATAGCATTCCCGGGTATATGCAGAAGCAGCTCTGTCAATCAGCTGCCCGTATGGCCGCCATACTGTTCCAGTGAGGTTTACTTGTCCGCAATTCGGAGAATTTACCATGACTGTAACCGTTCCAGTGTCGACAATGAGGGAGGAGAAGATGGAGGCGGTAATCGTTATCGCTGCGAAAAGCATGGCAATGAGTACCAACAATATTGACCGTAGAAAGGGTCGATCCGCCTTTTTTCTCCAAGCCCAATATAGCTTTAGCGCTTCAGCAATGACTGAGCTTGGAGTCGGAAGCGTACGGAGCAGCGCTTGTTGTTGTCTGAACAAAGCATCTGCTGGATGGCCATTGGCTCGAAATTGATGGATCGCAAATGCGATCAGATGCCAAAGATGTGCCGTACCTGGTCTTGTTAGAGGTACATCGAGATATATCCTAATTAGTCATACCGAGGGTTGATAATATAGCTAGTAGGGCAACGACAAGATTGCCAGTTTGCGTGTCAGTCGTTATCGTTCTTCCGAGGATAGGCCCATCATCCTGGTTAGTCCTAGATACGAGCCTGTCAGTAAAGGTTTCCTAGTTATGATACTGAACTTTAACGAGTTGAACCCACCATGCGCCAGTTCTCACAAATTTCGCATCGAGCTCGAGAGACGTCCCGTATCCAAAAAGATCCATGATTGGAATGACAGATGAAGTAGACCGCTGTGCTGAAGGAAGCTACTGCGATACATCGTATCTACTAAATACCATGTCATTCTGCTACGAGAAGCTTCGAATCCACTGCAATGTACAATCTGAAGGAGGCACAGTTGCTCGACGATGCTTGGCAAAGTGATGCGGCGAATGATGAATACTGAGGAAACGACGACCATTGCTCCTGGCGCCTCGAGACCAGTACTCGCGATCTTCATACCGTAAAGAGTATCTCTTGAGCCGTTTTTAGTACGCAAGACGTGCTCGGCGTCTATAACGAGGCGATGTGGGTATGGTCAGCGCCTAGGCGACCGCAAGCGCGATGCCGGCGCGTACGTACAGATACAACAGGTTGGACACCCGGCAGATGCTGAAGCAACTCTCGTCTATGAAGCTCACAGCACTGATAATGACGTACTTATGCAGAAGGGGGCCTGGTTGCACCCGCGACGCGTAGAACGGCACCCGAATCGAAGGTGTGAAGCGCAACTACGAAGTCCACAAAAGAAGATCATAAAAGCCACGTCGCGTGGCCTGTTGAAAGGCGATGGTTTTTGTCAATGAAGTACGCGACAGCTGTGACGCCGTGCTCAGTTTTTCGGTGATGCTGGGGATGTCAGAAAGTATGAGGTTGTAGATGTGTCTAAGCAGCCGCCTGTGCGTGAACCTTTCAGAGTCAGAAATGTCCCGCGCTCGGCCCTTCTAGGCCGCCACGCACATTGAATTCCAAAGTACAGCCCCCGGCTACTCTTCTTCTTTTGAGAGAGTCGTCGCTGTCTTCTAGAACGTGGTATTCTTAGCACAGTGCATTGTGCATGGGAATTCGATTGTCGCACATGGATCAACACGTGACCAATTTGATCTGCCACAAGGCGAAGCATGGATTGACCGGCTTCGCTTGCATTCGCCGCACTGACTTGGCCAAGACACTATCAGAATCTGCCGTATGATCAACGTCCAGCATCGGGGATGTCAGGCAGGCGGCCTAGTAGGCGAGCAGTTTACGTGCAACCTGCAACGCTTTTCGCCAGGTTGGCAGAGTGGCGGTGCATAAATGCTTCGAATAGCTGTGGGGCCATTGTCTACAAGCATCGACATGTGCTCGCCGTGTAATGCTGAAGTGCATTTGTTGCTGTCCGCGCAGCAAGTGTGAGATGCTGTGCGTTGGATCATGACAGCCTTAGCCGCACGTGCTATTCTTCACAGATATTAGATGCAAACATGGAAAAGATGCAAAAGTTGGTATGTACAATGACTAGATTCGTCTATGTAATACACACGGCTAGAAGCCCACCGGTGTGGCTGCGCATGAGATCGTTCATGGCAGAATCACTTCGTACATAGCCAATCCCCAATGTCCTTCTTCACCCCAGCCGGTCAATGCGATGAATAAAAGTATTGACAGCGAAATTAAGATCCGACACACACTCCCCACTTGATGACAAAAAAAGAGACCAGTCCGTGCTGAAGCAGGTACATTGGATTATTATGGGGCAGCTTGAGGAGCCCAAAGATGAGACAGAAATGCCGCGGTAACTTTTCCGAAGAGGTACCAACAATGAGGGGTATCATGCAATCGCTATGCTCTCATGTAATTCTCTCTTGCTTGCTCTAGAATCGAAGCTTGGCCTCGCGTGAGTGAAGCTGGAAGCGCTTGTCAAGAGTGATGTCCTTCGCGATGACGGCAGCGGCGGCACGGGCAGCTGGGCTACCGTTCAGACCACTATGGTCAGGTACGACATAGTTCTTGGTAAGACGCCTGGCAACGTTGCCATCAACACCGTTGCTGAGGAGCAAGTTCGCACTCCCGCCAGTGTTACCTGTGATGTCACCCTGGCGAGCAGTCTGGAGAAGCTTGGCCTTGAGGGCGGCAGGGTTCTGACCAAGTCCAGCAACATCCTGGGTCATAAGGGTGGCCATTACACCAGTGACATGAGGGCAAGCCATGGAAGTACCGGAGAGGAAGTTGATAACAGCATCGCCAGTGGCCCAAGAGCTAAGAATTTGCTCACCGGGAGCGTAGATGTCTACGCACTGACCGATGTTGGAGAAGGAAGAGATCTTGTTGTCGATGTTGACAGCGCCGACAGTGACGACGTTGGAGTTCTTGCCACCAAGGTGAGCAGGAGTGCTGCCGCAAGCGTCAATACCGTCGTTACCAGCGGCAACTGAAACGTGAATGCCAGCGTCTGAAGCACCTTGGATAATCTCATCGACTGAGTTAGCGGTACCCTGGAGACCCCAAGACATGCTCATGATGGAACCGACGAAGCCTGGCTCTGCCTTGCGCTTGTTGTGGTTGGCAATGACCCAGTCCATGCCCCTGATGGTGTCAGAAGACGCACCAGAGCCATCGTCTCCAAGAACCTTGACTTCGATGATGTTGGCGCCTTGAGCAACACCGAACTTAGCGCCACCGGCAGTACCAGCAACGTGGGTGCCGTGACCATCACCGTCAACGAAAGAACCAGTAGCGGTGAAACCTTCAGAAGCGCGTCCAGTGAACACAGCGTGGGAAGTGCGCACACCAGTGTCTATGACGTAGATATCGACTCCGGCACCGAGGGCTGAATCGTCGAAAGAGTAAACAAAATCCTGGTCGTTTGGTGATCCCCTCGCGCCGGCTGCGCTAGAGACTCGCTGCAGACCCCAGGGGGCGCCTTGTTGTTGTTGTTCCGCAAAGGACTTGACCTCGGCCTTCTCTTCGACGACGTTGATTTCTGCCATATCGGCGAAGATCTTGGCGTGCTCGGCGCACATCCTCATAAAGACCCACTGAGGGTTAACACCCTCTGAGGATTCAGCTATAACACTGTCCACTTTGTTGAGCTGCAAGGCATCCACATAGCTGTCGATCCGTCTGGCGTCCGAGTCGTTGCGCCACCAAGTGATGATGTACTCCTTAAGCTCGGTGGAGTGGTTTGCAGGGAGAGTGTACTTGTGGATGAAGCCATCGGAACCAATCTCGAGTGCAGAGACACTGGCGGCCAGGAAACCGGCAGCGATAGCGAAGAAAGACTTCATGTTGATTACGGTAAGGATCCGGTCCGGTAAAAAGTTGTTGGAGTAGAAGCGAAAGTGTAGCGAGCCTGGTAGTCACTGGCAATGAATGTGGAAGGAACGCTACAAAGTGCAAGTCAGTGACAGCCCTGCTGTGAACAAACGACTAGTGAAGCGGTAGACCAGCGACCGTCTTTGTTGGGTTTATAACCGTGAACTCAAGCGCTGTTGGGACTAGGCCTCTTGAGACAGGCATACAAAAAGGCTATAATAGCGCTGTGTGGGGTCGAGGTATATGACAGATTGGGATAGGGCAGGCACACAGTGTGCGGCAGCCTTGGGTTGGCAAAAGCTAGGGTACTCACATCAACGTGCAGGTGCGACGGAGTCGTGTATCAGGCAGGACGTGTCTGAGGAGGAAGGCGTATCGGCCAAGACGTGCCAGCACGCGAAAAGAAGAAAGGGAGGGTGGTGAAGGGAAGCAAAGTGAGTGAGGGACGAAAAAAGTGAGTGTTGAAGAGAGAGACAGAGCACTCCTAATGAATGGAAAGTGAGTGTGGGGTTGTGGGAGCAAAGAAGGACCAGGACCGTTGGGAAGGAGTGATCGGAACCTGCCCAGGCGGACGAGACGGCCTCATGTACTCGCTTCGCAAATGTCCAGGCCATAACCACCAAGCTCATCGTAGGAGCCTCCGCATGTGAAACGGCTTGGCTGTGGGCTTGTTCCCGCGAGCTACCAGGCCCAATTCACTACTGCGCGCCGGTAGCCAAGCCGCGACGGTCTGCATCAAATCGCTTAACCAGGGGTAGAGCGGGCCCTAGGGACCCTCGACGCACGATTGGGGCGCGTCGGGAGATTGTTCGTGGTAGAGCGACGACTGGCCAATAGCCAACATCATATTATTGCACGGCCAGCATTCACATAGTTGTGTGCACCAATCCGTTGTTAGTCGTACAATGCCGTCCCCACGGCTCCCGAGTCGCTGAATTGGGAGATGCGGAAATTGAACGCAAACACTCGCCCCTGCCGCGTTGGTAGTTTGACTGACACAGAGGGAAGGAGCAGCCTTAGCCCTCTCGCCCTTGATTGGCTGTCCGCTTCTGAAACAGCGTGGGCCTGCGTCACGACCCAAACCAGGCAAGCGCCTAGGGCCAATCCCCACATGATGCATGAACCTGCACTCAACGCAAGAAAATCCAGACAACAGTCCGCACGGCCAAGGGGCCCGTCTGCGCGTCCAAAGATCATGCACGACCGCCAGCAGAGCCGTGGCGTCCTATGAACGCGTCAATGCCTGAGCCACTCGGCACCGCAACGGCTTTCCCTCTCTCCATCCAGTCGCCACCACGTAGAGTGCATAGTTTGACACGACACAACGGCCTCTCTCCGCAATGTGTCAAGCCGTCCACCATCCGGAAACTAAACATCCAGAGCCACAAATCCGAATGGGGCGTTTCAATGTTTATTAAGGGGACTCGTACGAACTCATGGGCGTTACACACCCGGCGATTGGGAACAGAGGAATCATCCCACTGCTATCATTGCACATTGTACTGCGTCTGTGTGCATAACTATGTACCATGCAGTAGCCACACACTTCGAGTACCGGCAAAAGCTTTCTAACAACGTGCGCCCTTGCCGTAGTGCCATGAACACAGCGTCCAGTTCTCCAGCGTTTCGCACTCGACTCGTACCACCCGAGGGTCTGTTCCGAGACTGGCCTTGTCCGATATAGCACGCATAAGAAACACCACCCACGCACCACCAATTATAACACCACTTCAGCCTGAACAACAAGAACTGCGGCATAAACAACCATGACCTGTACGAGCAGTCTCACCTGTCAAAGACAGAGGCATAAAGCTGTCAGAAACAAACAAGATGACATTGTTTGATCAACGGCCTACTTTTGGCCTCGCGACAAAAACCCGTGCCTCACGTCCAGCAAGGCCCAGCAGATTGGTTTGGATGCCCTGGTCGCAGGACAGAGACCCTCAATCTATGTGCGCCGCATCGTGGCTTGGTCTTTGAATCATGGCCACACAAGTCGGGGCTTAGGCGCGGCGCTTGAAACCACACTACCCAATCCCTCGCTTGGAGATGGATGGGGAAGTTTCCATCGCGCCACTAGATGGAGATCTACAGGATCCAATCTACCTCAGCCAACGATGCAGAAACCATGTGGAGTTATGGCGAACACTGGCAGGAAATGTCAAATTTTCCGATCTTTACTGTGGAGCAGCATGGCCGTGGTTGGGGTCGCTCTATGTCGGACTTTAGATTGTCGATGCACCACGGAAGACCGTACCGTTACTCTGCCTGCCCAACGGCTGGGGTAGAGAATTCTACGCGATGCGCACTAAACTCTCTTCATGACGCACAGCATCTTGACAGACGCGAAAGCGATAAGCTTTAGCCACCCGTGAGCCCGCAAAAGCAGGGTATGCAGTTTTGCCTGTGCAGGAGTGTCTGCGCACTCTTCAGTCGACACCGCAACATGCGTAGTCTTTTCAGAAAGAGAATATCGTGTTACATTTACACAACCATCAAACAGGTTGATTGATACAAAGAATGTACAAACTCGATCCCATCATACCCTGCACCTCCCAAAACCCATTGTTTCAACCAACTAGCATGACCATGACCATGAGCAATACCAAGTCTCCCATGTCTATCTTAATCATCTAATAATGAGACCCCTATACATCCTCGTCACTCTCATCGCCCAGCAGCTCTCCTTCGTCGGGATCGACAACCGCGTAGTCACCCCTGCCACGCGCAAAACTGCTTCTAGAAGTATACGTCCGGCCGTATCCTCCATAGCCGCCTCCGCCACCCATTCTGCCTGCCGCCCACCGCCACACACTACCCACGAGTAGGGGCAGCGCACTGACGACAGCTACAAGGCCTGATACAGCGACGATGGGATACTTGACCCATGGTTGGTCCGAGTCGAACGCTCCGCCTCCATTGCCATCGCCGAGGCGAATGCGACCGAACTTGCCGTCCCAGTGTTTCCACACATAGTATCCGATACCACCTGCCGCGGCAAAGGGAAGGACGATTGCTAAAAAGAGCGAGAAGCCGCCGATGCCGTGCTTCTTCTGGAAGTCCTCTTCAAAACCAGGGCAAGGTTGCACGTCGCCCGTCTTGTCGAGCTCTCGGCCGCCTTCGCAGGTAGAGAGGGGGATCTTGCGGAATCGGACGTCGGTGTAGTACTCTTTTACGTTCTTGTCTTTGCATACGGAAGAGGCTTCGGGGAGCTCGACACCGGCAACGGGCTTGCAGTCGCCGCTTGCGTCGCGTTCGTAATTATATGCACTATTGGATGTTAATATGTGTCGTCGGTCAACAGTGGGAGGTGGGTATTACCATTCAAAGTCCCTTCTGGTGCAAGAGCAATTCCGGGCAATGTCGTGCATTTTGTCGATACGCTGGCCATTCCTGCATTTGGCGTCCCTCTTCTTGCGGTGGTATTGTGCTACGTGGCCGAAGAGACATTGCGGCTCCTCTTGCTGCAGAGGATGTTGCGGGGTCCAGAGGTCGTAATCGCCGCTTGTGGGATGCTTCTCGTCGAGCTCGCAAGACTTGCTGAATTCTGGTAAACCGGAGAAGTCAAGGTTGACAGCAACAAGTTCCTTGCTATCCTTACCCCAAAGGAGGAAGTTTAGAGAAGTGTCGCTGGGCACGGTGGTGATGGCTTCGACGCGCATCTTATGATCAGAGAATTGGTATAGGTTCCACTTCGCGCCGCTGTCAAGAGAGTAGTATACGTGATCGGTATCTTCTCCACGGCGGACAATGACGATGACAGAACCTTGATCGCCAAACTCCCAGGCGTAGGTGCCCTTCTTGATCTCTGTCCAGGTGATACCTGCGTCGGTCGTCATGAATGTATTGGCCTCACCAAAGGTGGTCAGCTCCGGGCCAACGTTGCCGACAGCAAGCATCAATCCAACTGCTGTCGGAGAAGAGTACATCTCCCGAGCATCGGCACGTTCGGTGTATCCATGGATGTGTAGACCGCACTTGTTCTTATCCGAAACGTCGCAGTCGTATGCCTTGCCGTCCGAGTCCTTCTCGGGTGCTTGCAGAGCCTCCCAGTCAGCGCCGTCGTTGTGTGTGATACGACTTTGCTTCTTCTTCTTGGATCCCTTGTTGACCTCATCGACGTTCACAACAACGTTGGCGACAGCAACTCCCTCAAGACCTTGCATCTTCTCAAAATCGACATAGCCTTCTGTGTTCCGGTTAACGGCGCTGAGGCTCATGACGTAAGATGTGCCGTTGCTGTTGCTCTTGATGATAGAGCCATACTCCTGATCCTGTGCTGGGTTGACTGTAACGTGGAGAAAGACTGCATGTGTAGAGCTGTCCAGAACTGTGTAGGCAGTCTGGTGGACGTCGAAGAACTTGGGAGGGAACTTGGCCTCGGCGAAGGTGTTGGCGTCGAGACTAGCATCCAGATGGAGGGTGCTGTCATCAGCTTTGGTTGCGACAACAATGAACTCGGACATGGTCGCGAACTCTACAACAGACTTGAACTTGACATCCTTCTTCTTGAACCAGTCTTCACTGGAAATGAGTTCGAGAGGAGCGTTCATCTCCTCGTTTGTGTGTTGCTCGCAGAAGACCTGCTCCTCTTTGACACTGCGACCGGCCTCGCGCCAAACGAATGCACACTTTTTGACATAGGGTACAAGCGGGTCCCAGCTTTCTTCTTCACCGTTCTTCTGCGAGACGTATGCTACCGTATGACAGTCCTTGTCACCAAGCTTGTCGCAGTTCTTTCCGCCCATCCAGATGATCCAGTCCTGCTGTTTTGGATGGAACTGCATAATCTGCAGTCTTTCCTTGTTGGGCATAACGGGTGCTTGGTGAGAGCGGATGCTGTCATGACGTCCACGATCTGTAGAGTAGTAAAACTTCTTGCCGGCGGTTAAGAAGTAGACCCTGTTGTTATCGTACTGATGAGGATAGATCCGAACAACTTCGTCATCGACAGCTTTCTTCCACTTCTTTCCATGGTCGTGAGTGATGTAAGCCGTTCGCTCGTCGGTCAACATCACAACGGTTTCGTCCTTGTCCCGGTCGTTACCGTCAGGATCACTCTGGGTGTTTCCCTCAAGGTAGTACTGCTCCAAGAATTCGCCCCCCTTGAATCTGGTGATCTCGCTGGTAATCTTGTCACTCTTTGGTGGTGGCTTCTCTGCATCGCCGCATTCGCGTTCAACTTCCTTGTCTCTGTCTGTATCGCCCTTGCATTGGTCGCCGGGTATCTTCCTCCATCCTGAGCTACCCTTGTATGTCTTCGCGTCACCCTCGCAAGCGCCGCTGGGTAAGCGGAACGTGTTGTCAGGTTCGCACTTCTTGTCGTTACCTTCTCCAGTGGGCGTGAAACCGAAATCACATTCGTAGTCCCTGAACTTGTCACAGTCGCATGGCTTGAAGCTTGGTGTGGGGTCTTTGAAGACCTCGCCAACGAAGCATTCAGCGTCCCACTTGCGCCTACGGAACAACTGCTTGTGGCCCATGACGCAGCTCGGGTCACCGTCGGCATCTTTACGCACAGACCATTCGTCATCAAAGTCGCTGTCACCGCACTTGGTCTGCATATCAGTAAAGTCGAGGTGAATAATGACATGTTCTCGGCCGCCACCATCCTTCTTTCTGGATGCGTACAGCATGAACTTCAAGCTCGTCGAGTCGGGTAGGGTCGTGAGTTCGCGTGCGCGGATCTTGTAATCCAGCTTGATCTTCTTCCAGGTATCCTTTCGTCCGTGCTTGAATGAGTATCTGATCTCGTCGGTGTCGCCCTCATCAAAGACGGCTACTAGAACAGAGCCCTGGTCGCCGAACTCGTACTTGTGCGCCTCTTCTAGTGCCATCTCCCAAGTGAGGCCCGCGTCGTCGGATACGTAAAGATCGCCATCGCTGTACTTGCCCAAGTAGTCTCCGGTGTTTCCAACGCCCATTACGATGCCGGGCGCTGGGCTCGAAAAGACCCTCCCGCTGTTGTGCAGGTTGGTCACAGAGTGTAGGTGCAGCTCCGTGTCCTTGCCCTTGACCGTGAGCTTTTCAAAGGATCTGCCGTCATCGAAACTGATGCGCGACTTGAGCTTCTTGCCCCGGCCGGATCTTTCCACCTCCTTCCAGTTATCCACAGTGTTGACCAAAACCACACCCTGAATATTGGCAATCTTCTCAAAATCGACGTAGCCACCCTCATTGCGGTTCGTGTGTTCGACGTTCTTGGTGAAGTGGGTTCCGTTTGAATTACTTGTATAGAGGTTGCCCATGTCGACAAACTTAGAAGTCGTGACATCGACCTGTATGCTGTAGTTGGTCGATTCGAGGATGGTGTATGCGTTTTCCTCAATCTTGTGGTCGCCAAACTGGGCGTGGTGCCATGTTTCGGTGTCTTGGGTTACGTAGAGGGCGAGCTCGCTCGAATGCTCGGCTTTGGCGGCGGCCACGATGTAGCCCTTGACGGCAGCCATGTTGGCCATGCCTTGAACGGTCCGGCCGGAGGACATGACGGGCTCTTCCTCATTCTTGAAGTAACTGCGCCTGTTAGCTATTGCCTGCGGTTCTAGCGCATCGCCACTCACTCGTCGGATATCAGAAGCCTAAAGTCCTTTGACCTGTCCGAGTATTTGCCTCTTGTGATGCACAGTATCCGGTCGTCGTGCTTGTCCTTGCCTTCGAGGAAGCGCTCGGCGCCCTTGGCCCACTGGCACATGCGGCGGTCGTCAACGAGGATCTTGGGCTCTGACTTGAAGCCATCGGTAGTGTAGTATGTCTGATTTGGGTTAGCCGGTGAACTATTACCAGGCGTAGAAAGCACATACTCGTCCAAGACATGGCGCAGTGAAGCAGTTCTCAATCTCGTGGATCATGATCTTCTTGTTGTCCTGCGCGTGCCAGTTGACGGGTACTTGGGGCGAAGGCGGGAGCTCCGTCTCAAAGGCATTCCAGTTGTCTCCCCGGTCGTATGTGATCCAATGCTTCTTCTCGCCCAAGACCAGCGCGACTTTGTTGTCGTACGGACTCTTGATGATGCCCAGTCCACGCAAGTCCTTGATCTTTCCCCAGCCCTTGCCAGCGTCCTGCGATCGCCAGATGCTCCCCGTCTCGAGTTCCTGGAGCAGGGCGACGCCAGAATCGTCGAAGTACATGAGGTTGACGAGGTCATTCTTGAATGGCGTCACCTCAACAAGTGGCTCATCTCTCTTCGCGGCGGCGGTGGATGCTAGTGCCAGCAGGGCGGGCAGCAGGAGGCCCTTAGTGTATTTCATGGTGCATAGAGGCGAGTGCAAACGTGTGTGGTGAGGTCTGGCGAATGCGCAACGGTAAAGAACAGCTGGCTGCGGGAAGAATCACAGCCTCAGAGCTATGCAGTGGCAGCCCCGATGACGCTTGGCAGTCTGAAACAGTCGATGCGCCGTGGTGGCGTAGGCGTAAACGAAGCGCAAACGTTGCAGTGAACGCGTATAAATGTCTAGGAAGCGATCCAAGGGAATGCAATAGATTCTAGGGTGCGAGGCGCCGTTGCGCGATGATGGGTGCCAACAGGACAGATACAGCGAGCAGCCTTCCCACGTTCCCGCGCGTCGTGACGGAGGCCGCGGCATCTGGCCGCACCCAACATCCCTGCCACTCGTTATTGCCGGACATGGCACGCGACTGGCGCTTTCACCCAAGTCTCACTCATGGAACACTTTCACTACAGAGTTCTACCATTTCTTTTATCAAAATGACACTCTGCTTCCATCGAATACACTACGTAGACTTGATTCTCTGGTCATTCCTCGCCGTAGAACTACAAGCCCCGCCTGATCGACTAACGCTACCTCTCAACACACCCAGAAGCAGTCTGCTTCACGGTTCCATAGCTGAGTCAGTACACTTTCACATTCAACTCATGCACGAGATCTCGTCGATCAACTTATGGGCACTTTGGGATTAAACATACTGCCCCAATCCCACCCTCCAACATTGCAGTACGGGTACTTCGACCCATCCTGATCTCGGAAAGATACGGTCGTGACGTCGCCAAAATCGATGACCGTATCATGAGACTCATATGAACTCTCATATCATGCCGGTATGCCCAAGTGGACCTCAATTGGATAGCCTCATAGTGTTTTACTGCCTTCGATTACGGCAATATCACTGAAACGCACAGCATCGTAATGTCTGTTAGAAAGTCTAGCATGGCTGTTGTTATCAAACACAGCCAGACTCAACTGAGCGGGCCCACTCTCTCTAGTCCACTCCTTGATATGCAATCTGCAGATGCCTTGTTCATAAAGCGGACTAGGCGTTGGAGACTGTATGGTAAGCGATGGTGGCGGCGATGCGTTTGGATCCCCACCCGGTCCGCGGTCGTATGCCACAATTACCACTTGGTTATCATCATATTCACTAACGTCTTAGAAAAGGTTGTCTCTCAGGACGCTTCGGATGGCATTGGTATGATTCGGGTACGCTAGCTCCGAACCGTCTGAAGACCTAGTGGTGATAACGATGACTCGTGGCTCTTCGCCTTCCGCGAAGGCTTTGTCGACGTGGCATGCCAAGCTCAAAAAGCTCTTGGGTTCCTCGTTCATATAGCAGCTCTTCGTTGACTCCGAAACGTCGAGCACGTAGGTTCGAAAAATACTCCGTTTACCTTCTTCCTCATTCTCTTATGGATCATCCCGGGTATCGTAGAATCCATCGCTCGGGGATTCCTCATCGTACCAGGCTAGAAAGCCAGGAAGCTCCTAAAAGTGGGACCACCTTATTGCAGCTTTTGACACGATCAACACGGGCGTGCATTCGTACAGATTCACCAAGCCCAACACCATCTTTGCGTAGTCGTATGTGCGAAATAGAGCAGACGGAACGCCTTTCTCAATCTACGTGCCCGTATGGCCATGGGGAACGAAAACTCGCTCTTCGTTATTCGTTTCGCACGCATGCTTTGCATCAGCAAATTTAGAACGCATGAAAGCGTTAATGCCTTCTTCCGTAGTACTCTCCGGGTGGTCGAGCTGTGCCAAAAAGATTGATACGAGGGTGTCCGACCTGTTGTATGTTTCATCGATCATACCTCCCCCAAATCCTTCCATACCCTCTACATAGACTTCTTGGAGGCACGTTGTACAGGAAACAACGCATGGCTGAAATCGAGGACAGAAGGGCTTCTTGGTATACAATTCCCCTGGAAAGGCGCTGACAATTGAAGTTGGCACAGCACAAGCCATGGTGCTAGAGACACTGGAAGATACCAAAGTGCTGGACCTGGAAGTATCAGTCGATGTTTCGGAGTTTGACAGTAGCGTGCGGGCCGATTGCAATGGACTTAGCGACGGCAAAGGCCAGGAGTTTGGTTGAGTCGTCAGAAACGGCATTGAGGGGGGTACGTGTGCAGACTCAGTAACATGCGACCCGTTGCTGGTAGAGGGAGGCGAAAGTGGTGGAGTGACTAGTCGTGTGTTCAAGGCTGGATCCGCCATGAACTTGATCACATCAAGTATAGCCGCCATCTGGACAGCAGATGTCGAAATTGCTGTATGAATATCTATTGCCCCCTTGATCAACATACTAAACGCATGACTGATGTCTGACGCCGTGCCAATAATGCACGAAATCGTTTTGGGGACATTTCCAATGAACCGAAGCCCACTGCTAGATCGTGTGCATGAGTCATCTTTCTTGTGGTGATCGTCGTGGTCATCCTCGTCGTCTGGAGTCGTTCGACCCATGAGCGAGCCCATCTCTTCCATGAACCTGCTAAAACCCTCTGCAACCACTATTTGCTTTGCTGGATCCATACTACTCTGACTCCAGTCTTGCACAGCTAGCGCCACGCCCATCCACCGCAGTGACGCCATCGTTAACGCGGAGGATATCTCGAAATTAGTGGGGTTCAATGTCAGCATAGCAGGTGTGTTTGAGTTGTGTGTCGCAATAGGTGTGGCTATCGCACCCCCAGATAGGTACTGTAGAACTGCTGTCTGCCTCAGGGCCACAGTCGTAATGATCATCATTGTTGGCGCTGCGAATGGAGACGTGATCACTGTAGAGAAGACCTGACTGCCGATAGTGTAGGGGAGGATAGGAGCGAATGAAGCCTGCGTCGATGTCATGGTAACTTGTGGAGGGTAGGGTGTCGTGGATTTACGGAGTCGCCAACACCCGATGGCCTTGAAGGCGAAGAAGGTTGTTGAACAAGTGTACTGGAGCCCAAAATCTATGAGAGCACCACTGATTCGGTAGAGAATGAACCCGATGTTTATTGTGTCGTTCCAGGAATACACTGAAGACGCAGAGCTCATGCCTGCAAGCCCAATGATAGTGCTGGTGTTGACATACGCAGGTGCAGTAGCGTTTGTCCATTTTGGAGACCCTGGCAGAGCAGTCGAGGAAGTCAGCTGCAAGTTCAACGGCCCGGTGGTTGTTTGCTGGCTCTCCAGTGAAGGCATGGTTGTGCTAGCGATAGAGGGACTCTCCATCGCGTGTGTATGATCCGTGGATGAGCCCGCGGTAGAGGTATTCGACCAGAATGTAGGCTTTAACACTATAGTAGTCTCAGAAAGAGTGGAAGTAACAACAATTGAAGACACGAAGATCGAGATGGCGGAGGGCGACATCGCCAAGATCTGCAGTCCTGTCATAGTCTGCAGCATTGACATGATCAATACTGTCACCAAGTGCTGAAACATGTAAGAACCAGGATACCAAGTCAAGGTCCTGTGCCGTCAACGGTTCTTACCGAGGTCCTCAGAAGCTTTTGGTAGCCTGACATCGCTCCTACTGCTGCTCACCGGAACAGTTGACGAAGACGGTGGAACTGACCAGACCTGCGATGTAGTTACACTGCTATTTTCCAGCAAAGGCCGTGCTTGACATGAAGTAACAGTGATAGCTTTCTATAGCGAGCGCGTATTTCCACGAGTGTGATGTATCCATTGCTGAGACTTTTCGGCCTAGTCTTGTTGCTACGCAGGCTTCAATCTCTTTTCTCTGCGATAGAATCGGTGCGTATTTTGATCATTCGGTCTTCCGTGCGAATATCCAATGGTGTTCCAAAATATTTGTAACATTAGCCGAGAAGGCCGCGATGGTGTCACAACAACTGTGACCCGATGTAGTCACCCATACGTGTACTCAGAGTTGCTGTCCACTACACGCCTCCTTCGTAAAAGGGAAAAATAAGCCGAATCGAACGGCCTTGGTGAGCCGTTACATAAGTCATGTGCTAAGTCGGTGAATTCCCGATGTTGCCGCGAGCATCTGCTGCTGCTGATGGTCTATTAATCTGACAGTTGTCATGGCACGACGCGCGGAAACGAATGAGCATCGGCTCTGGGTAGCTCCTCAGAGGATACACGCTCAGCTGCTTGAGTGGTGTAAAGCGAGAGAGACCTGCACGTGAGTGTATTGCTCATGCATATTAAATGCAGGCGTGCCTCGTAAAGGGAGGTAGATGACTTGTCGCGACGCGTGCCAAGTTGGCGTGTGATTGGAAAAGCAGCGCGCCCGGCCGTGAACGTCAGCGCTACCTACGTAACTTGGGCGGCCCTTGCCTGTTTAGCGTGCCAAGAAAGTATTCCTGGGTGTCTCCGTTCCTGTTTCCACAGCTCCAACTCTTCTCAATCACGACAGCCTTGTGTAGTAGTTTCTAACGACGCAGCTTGTACAATGATACGATGAACTGGCCCATCAAATCATCCCTCACGGACTCCCTTGCATAGAGGTCTAGCGGTGGATGTCGTTGAACATCGGGTGCAATCCTACCGCTCATCACATCTTTTGGCCCCCGTCACGGTCAGCAAACTAATCCCATGCTCTGCGGTAGTCCCTACATTATGTAATTTTCTATTGCATAAGTAGTGCGATTGCGAAATCAATATGTCTCGCTACAGGGATGCATGAAATGTACTCATCTTTCAAAGACTTAGCCAAACAAATACACTCCCTCGGAAAGCCCTTTCAGCTGCATGCCAATGCATCTTGCAGGCGACATCGATAAATGGAAGTTCCTCCGCTGTGCTAGATCTCCTTTTGGAGCTTCACCTACAGCTCACCCGTATTCGGCTCCGGCTGTTCCAACGGCTTTTCTTGTGCAATTAATTAGCAATGATGGTGAATGCAGTGAGATGTCTGCTGCGTATAGTGCGTCTGGTCGTACTTAAATTCTTCATGGAAGCCCCCCTTAGCTCTGCTATCATCTTATCCTCGTCATGTCTCAGTTGATCAATATTTTGGTGCCGTCTTTGTATTTGTGCGCCACCTTGGCAACTGCCGAGAGCATTATCACCCCAGATCCTATCGAAATAATCAGAGATGTTGCGATCATCGGCGGAGGCGCATCAGGGACGTATGCGGCCGTTCGACTTCGCGAGGACCTAAACACGAGCATAGTACTCATCGAACCCAGACCAAATCTGGGTGGTCACACCAGCACCTACCACGTTCCCGAGACAAACACTTCGATCAATTTCGGAGTCCAAAGCTACCTTCCTTACGGACCGGCTACCGATTTCTTTACACGCTTTGGGGTCGATACAGGGAGCGCCACTAATCAGATATTGGCGGCACTCAATGTCGACGTCGAAACGGGTGAGATATTGGAAGACTACAGCTCCCCGAGTGCAAATGCAACAAATGAAGCATTACAGCGATGGCTTGCTATCACGTCGAAGTATGAAGACATATTGGAGCCCGGTCTCTGGCAGTTCCCGTCTCCGGCGAACATTCCTGATGATCTTCTTACACCATTTGGTGAATTTGCCAAGCTTCACAAGTTGGAAGCTGCTATCCCACGCATAGTGACAGTGTCTGGTGTAGGATATGGAGGCGTTCGCGACCTTTTGACGCTCACTGTCTTACAGGCTTTTGGAGCCTCGCTTACGAAAGGTCAGTCGATACTGCAGGCTTGTTCATATGTGGATCTTTTCTTTCACATAGCTTCTGTATCGTTCTGCTGAGGGTCCTAGCTTACCAGACTTAGATCTCTTGAGCGGAACGCTTTTCAGACCTGTTGACAATAACGGTGTTCTCTACGAACGCGCGCTCGAGCTTCTTAAGCCGGATGTATTGTTATCGAGCATCGTTTATGATGCGGAGCGTACCGGGAACGGGGTAAAGCTATTGATCAAACAGGGTGATACCAGTTACATCATCAAGGCACGCCGTGTCCTGTACACAGCGGGCCCAAGCCTGGAAAATCTAGCTCCTTTCCACCCCGACAACAAGGAAACGGCGACCTTCTCGAAATGGATCAAAGGGGCGGAATTTGTAGGGATTCTGAAGGCGCCTTGCTTACCAGAAAATCATTCCATCACATTTTTGCCTTCAGCAGCGGTGCCAGCTGACCAGCTTGCGATCAAAGACTGGCCATACAGCCTGCGTCTAGACTCGACAGGGCCTCCTGGACAAGGCCTTTTTCGAGTAATCTTCGGTGCCAACTATACGGTATCTCCAGACACCTTCAAAAGCCTAGTCTTGGAAAGTATCAGAGACATACAGGATGCTGGAACTGTCGCCGCGGACTGCGAAGCGGAATTTGAAGCGCTTTCAGATCATAGTCGTCCTTGGTGGCCCCAGTCAGCTGAGCAGCTACGGGCAGGTTTTGTCCAAGATTTATATACCCTGCAGGGATATAGAGACATGTGGTACACTGGATACGCGTGGGGAGCGCAATACAGCTCAACCGTTTGGGCTTTTACCGACACAGTCCTCGAGAAGCTCATAAAAGATCTAAAGAGCGGGATCTGATATTCATTCCGTTGGTGTGTATGCAGTCAAATGCGGATTGAAAATCTCTGCCGTAAGTGGCTGTCTAGACGCATGTCAAAAAGGAATCTCATCGATTTAAATGCTCAGCGGATTCGAAATCTACACAATTCTCGAAAATACGACAATATTATTGTTGTTCTTGCGTACATCGTCTGCTCTATGACAGAGCGTTTGTCAGAGTCTACAGAGATTATTCCGTGTCAGAAAACGTCGTCCAATGCCAAGGTGCCGTCCTAATGCTGCTATGCATAATGCATAATGCACGGCAACGATGCAAACATTCTCATGTGTCAAGTGCTACGGCTTACAGTATCAACGCGATCGATATGGCTTCTGGAGAACGATTGACGCGTGTAGTCATGGAAGTAAGCACCGTCATTGCGGTCGGATCATTGCGAGACGAGTGCGAATAGACCAGCGCTACGAGTCAGACGCGCAAATCTTAGAAGAACAGGCAAAGTGATGACGCTGGGCTAGGCCACCACTGGCAATTCGGTGCGTGATTGGATGGATAGCCGAGCCCCCGTCGGGTTCCTGCAGCAGCCCCCGCCGGCTTCGCTCTTTATGCTCTCCTGTTTGCGTGAACACCAACGTGTGATCACCACCGTCCTCAATTCCACTGGAAATACACCATCCCGATATCGTTTGCATCGAACTCGTGCACATCGTTATCTACCCCCACCCTGCCTGCCAACGCAAATCACATGCGAGATGGTCAGCCTCCGGACTCGTCGGATTGTTTGTGAAGACTCCGAAAGCGAGGAAGAGAGAGAGTTGAGGCTCCTCACATATCTCCTCGCAAACGACCGCTAGTTGTAGATGACTCTGATTCTGGTTCTAACAATGTGTTCCCCACAGCAATGCACAAAAGAGTGCGTCGTGTGGCCCTGGACGACGATGACGAAAAAGACAATGAGAACGACCCGCTCAGTATTCCAGCTACTTCTCAGCTACCAGAGAAGAGCAAAGACCACGAATTACTTTTGAGCAGCCTCGCAGCAAGCCAGAAGGCATCTCCATCTAAGCTACCGACTCTACCTGCCGAAGTCCTTTTGACCGTCCTTGACAACACCGACCCAGCGGACATCTTGGAACCACCGGCTCGTATGCAAAGCCTTCAAAGAAGTGATTGACACGTCTATGCTTTATTATTACATCCAGCGTGTGGAGTTGATCGGCTATCTCGAACCGAAAGAAGGTCAACTCATGGAGCAACTCAATCCGCAAGATTACTGGGACTTGGCATTTGTCAACGCGACTTTCGAACGTCTAGACGAGCGCGTGGGGAACCAAGCCGTGTGGGATCCACAAAGCGCGTACTTTCGCATCATCGAGGCCTGGTACGACACGTTTGTCCGCGGTATCGAAGAGATTGAACCTGACAATCCGTGGTGGCACCATACCGTACAATGTCTTGATTTACGAAAGTCACCTTTGGTGCACGGGCAGCTACGTTGGTGTGTCAAAGTAGGCCTAACGGTTGTCGATTTTGGCATGGCAGACGATAAAGGCGTGGATATTGAACTGGTGTGCGCGAAGACGAAGACACTATCACTGTCCAGATTACAAATTGGAAGCGTATGCTGACGAATGTCTTTCGAGAAGAACGAGCTCTGGACCTGTTACTCAAAGACACCGAAGAAGACGAATTCACATACAGCCATCTATAGGACAGTCTTCGAGACATACGACGTAAGCGCTATCGTTCGAAGTTGGATCCACGTAACAATAAGCACGGTAGAGACATTTGGAAGATGGATAACATGACTCCGTTATGGGGCAAACACTCTTCGACGACTGTCGTCCGGGACTATGAGGATGTAGAACTTGCTGAGCGCAATGCCGTTCAAACCCTTATGCTCTTGCGAAGAGAAGCTTCCATGTCCATTCGCGAACGAAGTGCTCTGTACACAATGAAAGAAGAAAGAGTTATGATGCATCGGGAAGTGACGGAGGTTGACGAACAGTTCAAGAAATGGCAGGAGAGCTTGCTCGGGTTGCCAAATCTAAGCCTCGTTCGTATTGAAATCGACCATGACGTTGATCCCAATCCAATGACTTGGTTCAAGGAAGTCATGGATCGCGAGAGCCAGAACCTGATAAGGTGGAAGGCCCAGAAGCAAACCATCGCGCATATCAAAGCCTACCTGGATGCTACGAACGCCGCAGCCTCCATAGCCGAGGACGACTTCGATGAAGATGACGATGACTTCTGAGCATTCGCCATGCTGTGACAAGGCAACCATACCTCTTGTCCACGGCCATGCCGCCCTATCGCTCTGCGTCCACACCTCACATTGAAACCCTTGCAGCTTAGCCTGTTCTGTCTAGTCGCAAGTATCGATAAGAATGCAGAATGGCTTGTCTGTTGGTGCTGACTGTATATTTGCGCCAAGCCGGCTCAAGTGTCCAGGTGGTGTTCGGCCCCACGTTGACAGCCACCATGGAGGCCCTTTCCACCACAATATGCGCTGCAATCCTTCCTAGGTCTTGCGCCAATCCCGCGCGATAAGACCTGTTCGCATACCTTGTACCATCAAATGGTGCTCTAGCGCATTTCTGCAGGCATATCTTGCCAAGATCGAAAACGCCGGATGAAGCTGTGTTGACCGAGGATGGGGCGGAAAGTGCGGGCATCGCAGTAGTTTCTCTATATATAGTGAGAATGCTTGCTAATGATGCGGATCAGGCTCGGGGTATGGATACCGGAAGGTGAATGCAATCTAGAGCTTCTGCATGGCCTTGCCGATCATGTCCTACGCTTGCTCCACGACACACTCTTGGCCGATCTGCCATGAACATACTGCGCCGCCACCTTGCTTATCGGCAACATCCTCCATTGTTTCCAAGACAATCAGTGCCTAATACAAGGGCCTCGCATGTGGCAGGTAATCTTTGCAGCGTGTCTGGCAAATGAGAAGCAGTAGGCCTGCACCACGAAGCTGCATCAATGTGGCGCTGGACGAGCTGAACCCCAAACGTAGGCATGGCGGCATAAGCTTACCGTTTCTTGAGAGCGGGTTGTCTGTGCTTATCACGCTTGGAAGGAGCGGCACTACACAGCGGCTGACCACAGCAGAAATCCCTCATATATTCATAGATATCTAGGTTACTCAGACCTGAGCATTTCGCCGCATTGTGAAACACTGCAATTAGGGCTCATCTTCGGGTACTACATGCTTCAGCCTCAGCCTTGCAATGGCGTACCAGCAACTACCCAAACTGCAGCACAACGTGGAAGTGACGCCGGTCAACGAGGACTACACTCCACCTTCGTCTACTCTGCAAAACTACGAAGAGATACGAGACTTCGACTTCAGCCCCATGAGCCCGCGCTCAACTGTCAAATCACCTTCCATCAAGAAGCATGTAGCGCATTGGAGTTCGTCTACCAACAGCACGGCTGTGACTTCTGAAGTATGTAGCACAAAGTCTGACAGCAAGGCTGGCCTGTCCCGTGCGCGGTCTTGGGCTTTCGAGATCATGGCTGTCGCAATCGGCTTGGGTGCTGTCGCCGCCATTGTTGGCGTGGTAGCCAAGTACAATGGGCACGCATTACCAGACTGGCCTTACAGCATAACTTTGAACGCTCTCATCGCTCTGTTGGCTACGTTTGCAAACGCAGCAATGTCAGTGTGTCTTTCGAGTGGACTATCGCAAGCGAAATGGATTCGGTTCAAGCAGACATCGGCTCCATTATCTGACATGGAGGCCTTCGATGATGCTAGTCGTGGTTCCTGGGGCTCTGTCAAACTGCTGGCGACCGCCAGAGGAGGGTACGTTTCTCAGCTTAAGATATGGTTGTGGTGTGACTGACGCATGCTTTGTCAGATTTCTCGGATCGTTTGGCGCTATCATTGCTGTTATAGGTCTCGCTCTTGGGCCTTTCGCGCAGCAGATCGCAACCTACAAGATCCGAAACGTAGAAAGTGACTTTGGAGCTATCATACCTAGAGCCCTCAATTTCACCCCAGCATTAGCGGGCAATACTAGCGCGAGTAAGTAGCGTTGCGCGCATTGTGATCCCGTTCACTGACGTATCTTTAGCGGGCTTTGTGCCTATCCTTCCCCTCAAAGCAGCTGTCTACAACGGCTTGTTCGCGGAGAACAATAGACCTGCAGCGTCGCTACCATTCAAATGCCAAAGTGGTACTTGCACTTGGGAGCCTTTCGAGACATTAGCGGTTTGCCATGAATGCACGGACATCAGCTCGCTCATGAGGCGGTACTGTCCACCCGAATTAGGTGCATCGCCAAACATGTCGTCATGCGGATGGCAAGTACCACAAGGAGCCCATCGTAAGTGTTGCCTATGTAAATCGCACATTGACCCGTACTGATTGTGCACACCGTTCTCTAGTCAACACGAGCTCCGATGTATTTAGTATGACATCTTTCATCCCATCGGCATATGGTGATATGCCCCACTCCACGATGATACAGCTCATCTTCATGGGTACCGAGCTTCAAGACACACCCAATGCTCTGAACCCTTGGGCATCGCAATGCACCCTACAAGCATGTGCAAATACATTGTCCGCGTCGGTCACAAACGGTACGCACCAAGAGAATATTACGCACTCAGTGCTCAACCACACTGTCATCGACATGAGCTCCCCGGATCCCGCCGCCGACTATGGTGTTTACATCACTGGCAAGTCCGATGACACTGCGTACTTGCTCGGCATGGAATCGCTCTTGAGCATACGCGGATGGTTCAGTGCAATCTTTACCAACGGCTCCGCCACTCGTACAACTAGCGATTTCACCCGTAGTGTCACGGATCCAGACCGTGCCGTAGTTGTCAATCTTACAGTCGGTATCTCATCAGGCGAAACGTTCTTCGACACGGACATTGTCACAGCGTTCTACTGGAACTACTACGAGTACGCCGATGGACTCAACATGCTAATGAGCGACTTGGCTGTATCGATGACAACCGCTTTTCGCGGCTTCAATGGCGCTGTGGACACGAACGGCAAGTCGATAACGGTAGAGTCCTACGTCCATATCCGATGGGGTTTTGCCGTCTTACCGATCGCGGCTGTTGTGGCCACCCTGATCTTTTTGCTCGCGACGATGACGATGACGCATACGTCTGGTACGCAAGTGTGGAAAAGCAGTGCGCTTGTGCCGTTGTTACATGGCTTGGATCATCATACTAAGGAGAGGTTTGGTACTCAAGACAGCTTGCCAGCTCAGAAGAGACAGGCAAGAGCGGTAAAGGTCAAATTGTTTACTGATGATCGGGATAGCACAATGCTTGGAGCAGAGAAGGCTGCATGCTAGTTTTAAAGGCGATGGTGATCATGCTTCAGTGGGCACAATAACACCTCAGTCATTACAATCTTTGGGTTATACCCTAGTTTCGCGATCAATATCCTTGCTCTTTCCCCCCTCACTGCTGATATCACTTTCTGTGTCGCTGAGCAATCCATTCCAAGCATCATCATCGACACTATCCCTATCGTCTTCTCTTCCAACGTCTTTCTCTACCTTGACGTTTACGAACAACATCCACAATCCGATGTCGTAGGTGATCCTACAAATACTTGTAGCCAGGAAGGCCACCCAGAAATTGTCGCTACCGGATAGGAAGCCCGTGATCGATGGCCCAACGCTCATGGCCAACGTGCGCAGCATACTAGTAATGCCCATGACACCCGTACGCTCTTCAGGCTTCACGACTGCTGCGATGAAAGCCGTACGTGGTGCTTGATCCATGCTATTGAGGGAAGCTCTGAATAGCAGTAGGCCGACTGTCCAACCGACTTTTGTAGGTAGCGGGATAAAGCCGCTGGCGATCGATGATGGCAGATGAGTGAACACCATGGTGTTGATGAGGCCTATGCGTTTGGCCAACGGTCCGGCGAAGATAGCCCCAACGGCGCAGAGAAACTGCGAAGCTGAAGTAATGTCTCCAAGCGTAGATTTTGATACGTGGAACTTTTGGTCGACGTAGTAGTTCATCAACGAGTAAGGTGTCATGCCGTCTGCTAGACTGTCAACAGCTAAGAGAATCCAGAGCTTGTACATAACGGATCGTGTACTCTGCGAGATTTGACTGAAGTAGCTTGTTTTCTTCTGGGATAGCGGGTTCCTGACACCCGCTGACCTTCCTACGTTCTCACGATCTTGGTCGAAGCCGTCCGTGGTGCTTGGTGTCATCGCCTCTAGCAGCACTTCTTCCTCTTCGCCATGACCCCCACCGCGTCCTCGCTCTTGCATCTCCGCCCGCTTTTCACCAGCAGCTTCGCATCTGCTACTCAAACCAAGGCAAAGAATGCTACCAAGCACTCCAAAGGCTGCATAGCCCCAGAACAGGGCATGGTATGCCTTGGTCACATTACCGCTGCTCTTCTCGAGAGCATGCACCGTTCTCCCGGCGACTTCCGCGCCGACGGCCCCAGCCAGGGTCGTCGCCGTGACGTACCAAGAGAGCACGTCGCTTCTTGTTGTCTCGTCTGTCAGACCACTCAACATGCTCTCTTCGACAGCCCTGAAAGGACCACAGTCAGCACCGGTGACAGAAATAATGCCGAACACCGCCGCTACTAAAAGAATGAAGAAGTTTTCCGACAGCGCAAATGCAACGCCTGAACAAGCCATCATTACACTACCCATAAACAAAATCCTTCTCCTGCCTAGTTTGTCCGCCACGAGAGTAAGCAACAATGAAAGTAGGACATCTCCAAGCAATGTCAATGTCATGAAGACCCCAATCCTCGAATCCGGAAACTTGAGCGAGGAGAAGAAAAGGGCGAGAATCAGCGATGGAATGCCGGCCGTGAACATTCTCAGCGATCGCAGTGTGATAATAATGTATGCATCCCGTCCAGTTGCGTTGAGTGATGTGATGCCGAGAAACCCAGCGATCCGCGATATCGCCGTGGGAGCCATGGTGGCAATGCTAGACTGTGCCGCGTGTTGAATCAGAGAACGCGAGTTGACGTTTCGTGAGAATACAAACTCGACGCCCACTGCTCATAGATGTCGAGAAGAGAAGATGAAGAGAAACGGAAAAGCACGGAAAAGATCTCATCCTACAAAAGGCTGGTGACCACCCGCGTTGCTAGTGTTGGCGTTAAACCCGAGACGGGTTTAAGCTGGGAGGTTACATCTTGCCTGACTCACCTGTGGAGCTGCCTGCACACGCGCGACGCCATTGAGGCGCGTTCTAGATCATGCTTGGACGACTGCTTAACGGCGTTACTACCGACATTTGCTGTGCTGGTTTGGAGATGCTGCGCGGCCGAGTCTGCCCCGCGGTAAAAGTGGGGCTGGATTTCGTCATCGCCAGGCTCCTGCACTTCTGATAGCGCGTCGCGTGTCTCGAACAGTTTATGATCCGCGCGATACGTTAGGTGAACGAGTCTCGAACGAAAAATGTAACACCAACAAGAGATATCAGGAGATTTCGTACGCTTGTGTACTGGTATACATAACTGAGGGAAGTGCTCTGTCACGAGGCCATGCTCCCTTATCGTCGCCATGGGCAGTTGTTCCTTACGCGATTAGATGTTGACGTTCGTCAAGTGAGATGGCTTGATGAAGGTGACTTGTGAAGGTGAGAGTGCAGATGAAGTACAACAATAGGACATCTACCAGTACAACGACGCCTTGCAATCCAACTATTTGAGACACGCTCAGACACCTCAGGACTCTCTTTTTATCCTCCACCACCGAGCCTACAGCTGTTGCGAAACCACAGAGTTCGTCGACTTGTATTTCGGTAATCAACGACAGTACGCTCAGTCAGATCACTACAAGCACGACCCCGCCACCGACATGTCTCCCAAGGATATCTCGTACTCAAACGCATTTGATGAGCTCTTACCACTCGAGATCAAGCAGGTGATCTTCAAATGGGCAGCGAGCGACAACAGCAGCGAGATCCAGATCAGGCTTTTGCACGATAACCAAGACCGGCTCGATGCACCAGCTGTCAACTTCCTCGCGAAGTTGAAGGATCAGCACTCGACCGACGCATATACTCAAGCCGTGCAGTACCTTACTGGATCAACATTTCGATGGGTCTTTAGCAGCGATCCGCAGCCACATCGATACCTTCTCCGTGCTTTCAGAGATTCGGTTAGAATGAACGAGTCGATGGAGCAGTTAGTAGTAGATTTATAGGCCGGAAACCAGTTTTTGTCTTCTAGCAAAGGTATGTTCAGAGTGAAAGATCGATCACAGTGTGGTATGGTATATTTACCATGTCAGTGAGAACTGATATAGAATGAAGAGACTTTTTGTTGGGGAGACGATGTAACAGCTTTGTCACATATTCGCCGTGATCCTAGACCGATCGAATGCCATCTTTTCCATCAAAGAGGAAGAGGAAAAGCAACCACCACAGGCTCCGTAAGACACGCAACCGATAGTTTCAATCAAATCAACGTGACCTTAACCTCGCTGTTCGCTGCCTCGTACATAACCTTGATAAGATGCTGACCACGTCTTACCTCATTCTTGTCAAGCTTGCTAAAGCCTGTGGCTTTCACCCGGACAGCAAGCTGTACACGTCTGAGAGAGGTCAAATCTGAAGATAGCCGCCTGTATTGTGATACATCGAAGTGTATGTCGTCGACCCAGTACACCGGAGGCAACAAACTCATGTAGGCAGGAAGTTTTATTGAAGTGGAAGCTTTTGATCCACATTTTGAGATGGTTCGCACAAAGAGCTAACAAGGTGTTCGAGCTGAATGGCAGCAGAGAAGTTTCGGCAAAAGTTTGACGAGAGACGGCAAGCAAAGCGAGAGCATTCTTTGACAGTGTTTTGTTTCTTGCGTTGCGACCCCGTCAGTCGCATCCGATCTCAAATGCCTTGCCACCAAGCACGTATCTGAAGATTAAGTGGCGTAGTTCCGGCGGCAGGCGCAGTAATGATGAATCTCCCTGGTTCTGTCTCGCGCTGTAGTCAAGTCAATGAAACACTCAAAAACAACATGTTCGAGTTACTAACATCTTGAGGTACTTTCCCGTCTTTCGCTCAATATTGAGTAGGCCGTTCTCATGGAAACGAAGCTTCTTGTGACTGCGCTTCGCTACTCCTGCACCAGTGGAAGCATTCGTGCTCTTAGCAGTGGTCGCAGTCTGCTTAAGCTTTCGAGATGCTATGGTGAGGTTGTCCATGGTTTGGGATGTGTAGAGTAGATGTCCAAGGAAAAGAGGAGAGTTGACTTCTGCTTATGGGACTGCGGTGCCCTAGCGGTCAGGTAAAGGCGCAGTTCGGGCATACAGGATGAGTCAGAAGAGATGAAATACCTGATACGATCGGGATGTAGGAGGTGAAGGTAGGTGAGATTAGATATAATGACAAGTAGTAGCTTGATGTAGAGGGTATAGTCAACTGACCATGCTCTCCTGTAGTACTGGCGCTCCCCCATAGACGTCGCGCGCGGCGAGCGACGATACGACGTCGATTACCTAGCAAAGCATGGTCAGTAACTCGTATTACCATCATCATCGTTCCTCCCCTCACCAATCTCTGATCACCGCCACGTGCTTGCCTCTTCACTCAACGCACGGTCACACGCTAGTCTCGCGCGGTTTCTTTGATAGTGGTCCTCAGTGGTTGGGCCTCACTCTTACATCAAAGCTCAACCAGTCTCTTGACTGTGAGCCAACCTAGAGCATCGCGCATTGGTCGAGCAACTTACACCAGCAATGGCGCCCCGTAAGACCGCCACCAGCGACAAAGCCCCGAAGGCAGCTGTCACCAAGAAGACCACAGACAAAGTCATCAAGCGACCGGCGCGCGGATACCACAAGTTTCGAAACGGTCTACTGAACGTCACGCCCAAAGGTGGTGAAAAGGAGCTGTGAGTTGACACAAAATTCCTACGTAAGCAGCAACTGACACGCCGTCAGTGCCAGGCAGAACCAGAACTCATCGCTTCTACGTCTACCTGCCGAGGTTCGCAATCAGATCTGGAAGCTCGTGTTGGGAGCGAAGGTATACTGGGCACGCTACACGAAGAAGTTCCAGCTTTCACCGACGGAGCCAAAGAACGCCATGGCACTCCTGCGAACCTGTCGTCAAATATATGCAGAAACCGCGCTCATGCCTCTAACGCTCTCGACGTTCGCCTGTGCTTCTGTTACGCAGGCCAAAGGATCTCTGGGGAAGCTCAAGCCACATCAGCGCAAACAGATTACTTCTCTCCAGTTCTTGTGTCCTGGACCCATTAGCATAAGAATGCTCCAAGAAGGTTACTTCAAGACCTACAATTTTGTGCTTGCAAGGTCGCTGCCTAACCTGCAAGAGCTGCGCGTCCGTATATTCTCAGCTGGAGCTGTCTCTTCTACCCGCGAGACTGTTGAGGATGAGGCGCGCGACTATCTCAGACCAAGCCTCCAAGGCATGTCGGTCGTACTGAAGGTTGATCAGACGGAAGAATTGTGGTCAGACTATACACAATCGTAAGATGATGGGATTCTGAGATACACGTTCAAAATAGCGCTAACAATGTCGCAGCTGAAACAGTACTGTCAACGGTTAGCTGCATGCATCAGCCCTTCGTCTTGCGAAGAATCATACAACTACGGTCAGATCTGAAGGTGAAAAAAGTACTGACGTGTCGGTGAACTCATATTTGGGGGCTCATCAAAAGGTTTCTGCTGCATCTTGAAATCATTTGCGTTCAATATTAGTGCCATGCTAGTGCAGCTACTTCTTTGATGAATTGGTTCCCACAGTTGCATGCCGAAACAGTTGCTGAAATGCAATCAATTGCCCCGACTCTTATGGATTTCGAGTGCCACGACCGTAGACCAACAAAGTGCTTGGAGTTTTCCCAATATCTCGGTGCAGTCACAGCGTCTGTCGACCTGCGCCTCTGTGCACTGCCTTCCGGTGCAACTCCTCGTCTCAACATTTGCACTGAGCTCTAGTAACAGTCAGTACAATGATACAGATAGTTTAGAGTGTGGTTGCGGGGAAAGGTTGTGCTCAGTGAGAAGATTATTGAGTCGTCTTGGACAGCGCCGGACGAGTCAAGAGATCAGGCCGCAAGCAGTCTTTCACCCTCGTCTCAAGCCCGACGCCGGCTACGCCTAAGGATGATAACTAGGGTTTCATCATTGCATATGGGAGTGAAGAGAAAAGAGGACTTACAGCGTGGCGTCGGCTAGGCGCATGGAATTTGCTACAAGGCAGCGGTGGTCGCGGAGGGGCTGCTGCACCGAATGATAGGTTTCCCATCAGTTATCGTTGTTGTCCGTTCAGTAGTCCAGATCGAGGGTCTCGTCCTTTTGCACGTCGGGCCCATTGGCCTGGTGCCAGGCGTCCCATTCGTCGCTTCCATCGTCACTATCCCCGCTGTCTGCGCCGTCGCGCCCACTCCGTCTGCGCGGCAACCCTCTCTCTAACCTTCTTTCTTTCCTCCTCTTTGCGTATCGATCTCGCTTCCTCTTCGCCTTGGCTTTTGTTGTGGCACTGCTGGTCGCCCACTGTTGCTTCTTCGGTTCTACAGACGCATCAGGCTGCGTCTTGTCGACATCAGCCGCGCGCAAGGAGCTTTGTTCCGTGGGTGGAACAGCTGGCGCTGGATTCGCATGGACAGCGTTATCGTCAGAGATTTCACCGTTCTCCTTCCGTAGCCGCCGTTTGCGGAGAATTGTATGGATTTCGGAATGTCGAAACATTGCGATTTGCTCGTCGGTCAGGGTACGCTTCATGCCGTCTGGGTAGTAGCCCAGCCCATCGTCGGCTTCGTCGCAGTATTCTTCAGCTGCTTCTACATCTTGTTCGAAGCCGTGGAGTATGTGTTCTGGCGGCGGCGCGTGTGGGAAGTGTTGCGCATGGAAGGCGCGTAGGTCGTCCTGAGCTACTTAGCGACTGGTTACGAGCGCGATACTTGACTGCTGCACTCACGATAGTGACGGTTGGTATTTGAAGCTCCATGGTCGGTGTCTGAGTCTTGGAGCCTGGATTGGATGCGCTCCAGGGCGCGGAGTTTCACGTTGGTGAAGACATGCGTGAAGAAAAGAAGAGTTGGTTCCCAGGCTCAAAACGCACCCGGGGATCACGCGCAGTCGCGAGGTCTTGGCTTCACCGCGGCATGACGTCTGTGCTTCCACCTTCAACGCCGCGTTCACCCAGAACCTGTAACGACACCCTAATGCACCCTCTGGAGCGATCATGAAGCCCGCATCTTTCGTCGCATATCCCCTCGCAACCATCGCCCTCACCCTTGCCACGTCTGCGCAAGCCCGCCCCTTCGACAGCATCATCCAGTCATTCAACATCCTCAGCGAACAGTCACCTCTCCGAGATTACATTATGAGCAACCCTGAAGGCCAGGCGACGACTGGCGTCATCATATCCGATGTCATCGGCAAGACGCAGAACATCGCCATCTTCAGCGGCCTGACGCGTGACATCGAGGCAGTCTCCGGCCGCCTCGATAACGCCTCGCAGAACGCCACGGTGCTGGCACCGAACAACAGCATCATGCGCGACCTAAAGAGGAAACCTTGGGAAGACCCCGACGACTACGACAGCTTTGGCGCGGACGCGTACGAGGGCACCAGCGGCCAAGACCGGGCGCGGGGCAACCTTGAGCGCTTTGTGCAACGCCACATCATACCCGAGAGCCCATGGGAAGAGGGCAAGAAGGTGAAGACGCTTGCCGGCAATGAAATTTGGTGGGAGTCCAAGGACGGCCAAAAAAAGGTAAGCCATGCCGCTATATCGGTAGTCCCGCCCTCTCGTTGGCACTGCCCCACCATTCGTCCCCCGCCTACACAACCACAAATATATTTAATTCTATTCCTCAACTCTTCATCGAAACAGTTATCCTGTCGGACAGATGGCCGTGAGTAAAATCAAACACCCCCTAAACAACAATGTCTAACAAATTATAGGAGCTGGTTATGGCGCCAGGTTAAGGTTACTCTTAACATATATTCCTGGTCACGAAAGTGGCGTGGGTTCGAGTCCCACTCTGTTCAGCATTCGTCTGGCTTCAGTCAGATACTCCAGGATCTTTTTTTTTGCCCATGTTTTGGTCGTTCTCGACCAATTTTGATTTTTGCCCACCCTTGCTTACTGATAGTTCTGCCTAGCACGAATCTTGTGTGTTCTTACTAACGTGAACCTGCAGATCCAACCTGCCGACGTCGAAGTAACCAGCATCGCCGACAAGGTATCCAACGGCGAGGTTTGGGTTCTTAGAGGCTCTCTGGGGTAAACATGGTAAATTTAGGAGAGCCTAGAGCTCACACTGACATTCCATGCGCTATCATCCGCCCTTTGTACTCACGAACCATTCCTTACGATCGTACATACTTGTTTCATGTCCAGCATTAGACGGTTTCATGATGAACCTGCATCAACTCGGTGGTAGTGACGGTCTCTATAGAATAAGATTACGCCTTACGCACACCTACAGCTATTATTATCACATTTCCTTGCCGGCGTGTCCAGTCCACCGACCTTCTCCACTGCCGTACACCAGACCCCTCCGGTTCCTGTTCAAACATTCTCCTCATATATACCCGCCTTCTCATGTCCACTTCTCCGCAGGAAAATCTTCATGCTCTCCAACACCTGCTTCTTCAGATCCGATCTCTTCAGGTTCTGCCCTGGAAACCCTCCATACGTACTGTTGAATTCAAAAGGCTTGATCGCCTTCCAAATTCCATGGATAGCCTTGGGCGTTAGTGGAATCATGTTAGGATACGCCCACATGAACGAGTACGATGTCGTATCCGGGACGCGGTGCGCGTTGTTGAAACCAGACTACCTCACTTGTTAGCAATCGTGACTCTATCAATGAGAGAATGGAAGGACTGACAGGTACACTCATAAACGTGTCAGCGATGAAAAGCTTCCGATCCCACCACAATACCGAACTACCCTCAAAATGCCCTCCGCATTGGATCATCTTGGCCTCGCTTCCAATTTCTTCAATCTCGGTGACGCCCTTCACCATCTTTCTCACACCATTCTGATCCTTTCGGTTCAACCACGCCTCATCATCGCCACACATATAAATCGGACACCCAAACACTCCCGCCCATTCCAGATGTGTTGTGTAGAAGTGCGGATGGCTGATCACAATCGCTTTTAATCCACCTTTCTCTTTGATGAATTCAACCGTAGCAGGGTTCAAAAAAGCGACGCAGTCCCAAAGAATGTTTCCACGTGATGTCTGCAGTAGAATGGCGCGTTGCCCGATACCAAGTTGCTTGCGAGTAGTACTTGAATCTGCAAGACCGGGAGGAAGTTCCGATGGAGAGAGAGGCGCAGTGGTTATGTAGTGAATGCGAGAATCCTCTTTATCCGTTTCGAAAGTGTTCTTTTGGAGGGGTTGGCAGGCGGAGAGTGAGGTCCAGGACTGGCCTGTTGCAGGAACATATTGGCGGGGGTCCTAGACATTGATCAGTTTTACTGATTTTGTGTTTTCTATTCTAGCTGTGGTGATTCTGGGTTCTTGGGGTTAGTAATAGACGTACGTCGCAGATCCGACATGTCTCCGGGTGCTGCTCAAGCGGAACGTCGAATTGTGTGCCGCAAGTTTCGCAGATGGCTAGGTTGCTAGGCTCAAAACTCATTTTGTCTATATTCGAGGGTTATGTATTGAGCCACCAATTAGTCGAGGCGAAAGATGTAAGAGGATGGGTGAACACGCCGTCATGCTTGCGATGTGTGATGTATGTAGCTTCAAAAGTGGGGTTCGAGAGGGGAAAGAGCAGCTGATGAGAGCCTCCTCGCTGACAGCCACTTTTCGGCCTGCAAATGCATCGAGTGAGACTTTTTATAACCATACCGCGATATCATGATTGTCAAGTACGTTCAAAGTCGCGTCAAATTGTGGGGCTTGCTTGAGCATATTCCCAAGTATACTCCGGTACTCAAAAGCGGCGAATCAGCAAGCACAAGCACTGCATCATGCATCTTGGCTGACTTCGCTACATTGGTGAACTTATCAGCTGCGGAATTCAACGGTATCTGGACACTCAGGATGGTCGATGAAAATATTTTTTGGAAGGTAACGATATTGGAATCCCGCGCCTTTAACGCCTCCGCATTCTATACGCGTCAAACACTATACATGCCGAGGCTTTGACTCACGTCCTATTGACTTTGTATCAAGCTGCGATTTGGGCACAGCATTCGTGATCCTCGACCATTCGCCGTTGAAAGCATTGACGAGCCACCACTTGAGCTCTGGAATTTCGTTAGCAACCTTGTCGTTGTAATGTCATACTGATTCACTTACTGTCGTAGACAATCCTGTTCGCGTTGTGGAAGTAGATGCTATGATCCGAATCGGGAAACACATGAACGTCGTAGTTTTCGATGCCTGCAAGATCCAGGCGGTCAAGCAGGGTAAGCGTGTTCTGCATGTGCACGTTATCATCGGCGACACCGTGCATGACCAAGAAGCGGACGTTCTTCGCTAGAGAAGTGACATCAGTGATGGTAGAGTTGTCGTAGCCTTCGGCGTTGTTCTGCGGCGTGTGCATGTAACGCTCCGTGTAGATGGAATCTGCGGTAAACCATTAGCGAAGTAGATAGATACTGGAAGTCTTCTTACCGTAGTACCGCCAGTCAGTCACAGGAGCGACAGCCATTCCATACTTGAACGTCTCTCCTCCATCCTGCTCGAGGGTCTTCAGTGTGTTGAACCCCCCGTAGCTCCAGCCCCAGATCGCCAGTCGATCGGCATCGACATACTTTTTGCTGGCCCATATTTTGGCCGCGGCGATCTGATCGTGCGCCTCGTAGTATCCAATGTTGCCTCTCGTGATGCATCGAAGCTTCCGACCAAGGAAGCCCGTGCCTCGTCCATCCACTGTCACCACAATGTACCCGAGACTGGCGGCAATGTATGACTGAAAATCAACCTTGAACTTTTTGTTGACTTCCTGCGAGCCTGGCCCGCTGTATTGGTAGAAAAGAACAGGGTACTTCTTCTTCGGGTTAAAGTGCGGCGGACGACGCTCGAGGACGTTCAGCTCGAAGCCATCAACATTGATTGTTTGATAGTTGAGGATGGGCATCTCAAGCCGGCGTACGAAGCGGTCAAGCGCCTTGTTCTCCTCAATGACCTTCTCGTACTTGTCATTGTTTGATGGCGTGCTGATAATCTTCTGCCATGGAATTCCGGGACCGTTGTAGGTGACCAAGGCGTAAGAGCCACCAGCTGAGAAAGAAGCTCCATAGTAGCCCGAACCTCCATTCTCCAGCATTTCGCTCTTTCCAGTACCATTCAGGAACACTGAGTAAGCGTGTCGTTCCATGGAACCCTTCTCAGTTGAAATGTAGTACACCAGATTGTTCTTCAGGTCCACGCGAGAAGGCGCCTCAACGACTTCCCACTCGCCCTGAGTGAGCAGCACAGGCTTGTCGCTATCCAAGGGTGAGAAGTAGCCGATGTGGTCGTAACCTTCGTGGATGATTGTATCAATGTATCCATCATCCTTGCGGCCGTTGTCGGGATCAGCTGGTACGAACGTTGTCTTCTGTGAGACCTCCATCCAGCCTCCATCCAGCTCAGCAACGTTCTCGGTTCTTACCGTCTTGCCAGTGCGCTTTTCGACGTCCATCAAGACAAGCTTCAAGATGTCGCTCTCGCGATTGGTTTCACGAACAAGTACTTGCTTTGTCTTTCCGGCCCAGACAATCTCGGTGATCAGACGGTTTTCGTCCTTGAAGTCGTCTTCTATCTCAACGCTGAAGACTTCGCCCTTTTCGACGTCGTAGAATTGCAGCGAGACGATGGGGTTGGGCGCGCCTGCCTTGGGGTATTTGATGTCGCGAACCTCAGGGTAGTTCTCTTCACCAGCCTTGGGCTTCTCTCCGCTAGGCCGTGATACGAAGTACTGAACCGGGTATGTCGGGACGGTGGACTCGTCGGTGCGCAGGAATGCGATGTACTTGCCATCCTCGGACCACCATGTCGCACTGTTTCCTTGGAAGACCTCCTCCTCGTACACCCAGTCAGGTACACCATAGAAAAGCTCAGAGCCACCGTCTTTTGTAATCTGTATAACCTCCTTGGAGTTCAACTTGCGGAGAAACATGTTGTTGTCTCTCGTGAACACGACCGCATCCGACTGCGGCGATAGCGAGGCCAGCTGTATGACGCTGTTTGGCTGGTCAGGATCCAGAGCTTCGCCAGTCTGTGTTTCCACTTCAAAAATCCAGTACTTCGCAGTACCGGAATGTCGCCAGTTCTTCTGGTAATCTGACATGACAAGCACCTTCTTGAAATCCTTACTCGGCCAAACATCACTGGGATAGACGAATGTGCCATCCACCTCAAATGTGTTCTTCTTCATCAACGTGGTCTTGCTCTCAGAAGACGTTGCCTCGCCCTTGGTCCTTATATCCTCAACTACAAGGTATTCCTCGTTGCTCGAGCCTTTCTCAAGCAATAAGCCATCCTCGCCCTCTGGTCCTGGTATCCATGCGACGCTCTGTTGTTGGGGATAAAAGCGACCTCCGAAGACGTCGTCCAATGTGATTTTCCTCCCCGAGCCCTTGGTAGAACTAGCGAGAGGGTCGTGTGGCCTGGTCGAAGCATGCTTGTAGCTGCCGTTCATCAAGAAGAATACGAGCGCAAGCGCCCATCCAGCTACACAGGCCGTGCCTACGATCCATAACCATCTTCTTGTCTTTTGGTCTACAGCAATGGGGGCCTTGTACCGCCCATCCTCGATGTCAAACGGCTCGCGCGCCTGGCTTGCGTCGTCATCGTCGTCCGTGTACTTCTCCCCACGCTTCAGTTTCGACGCACGATTGAGGGACGGATCGTTGATGTGTTCGAGGACGAGCGATGTTGTGGAAATCGAGGATATGGATGTTTCGGAGCCGTCTTCTGAAGTGCGCGCGGATCTCTCTTCTTTGGTCAGCAGCTCCGTCTCCTCCTCCTTCGTGGCGCGCTGTCGCGGCATGGTAATGATTAAGTAAGATCAAGTACGCAGACAATTATAACATTTTAGTAGCAGGTGACGCAGGATCAGATGAGACCAGTCTCAGGAAAAGGGTATAGTGGCAAGGCGCAGGTGCGAGTTATTAACAGTGTCCAGCTGGGCGGTGTTGCGGAGTTCACGCGGAGGTGCGGGAGCTGGTGTTGGCCGAAACGCCCCAAGCCGCTCTTTGACGCAAGGGGCCGCTGCACTAAGACTTGCACTATAATGGGATTTTGGTACTCGTTTCTATTCAAGCCTCCTCAGGGAAACTATTGGAAGAATGGCGCTACAAACTGTGCCAAATCTAGAAAGTATACTTTTCTTCCGCTGCTCGCTTCCGTGCAGCCCTCATCTGCTCTGATCCCGCAAAACTTTGAACCAATTGAGCAATTGCCTTACTCCCTACGGACACTGATACAGCCAAGAATCCGTTATTACGCTTCATGTTTCTACGACGGTGTCGGTTTGTGGATGGATTGTCAGATGGTTCCACCGAATAATGACATCTGTTCTGCAGTGAAGATGACCGCTTGATTAGACTGCTCGCGCACTGGCCCTCTAGAATGGCGCATACTGCCAATGACCGTCGATTTATCCGTCTATGATGGTAATGGGCCAAGATAATCCTAAAAGCTTCGCTTAGCCGATGGTCGACAGGTTCGACCTTCATCTCTCTTACCTCCTTCATGGTGCCGACCGCATACATCTTGTCCACCTCTGATCTTAGACCCTTGATCTTTATGCGGATGTTGGTGCCCTTCTCAATGACCTGCTCTCCGTCGTCGGTCCACTGCGGGGGTGTAGCGTTCGCGTCGAACTTGATTTCAGCGGGGATCATCTGTCGCTGTTAGTAATGGATGGAGGCATGGAGCATGGTGAGATTTACACTGCGTCCCACAAAGGCCTGCAAAGATCCACAGTCGACGAAGAAGCCAGTACGGAGTACTGAGGTGACAATGCCGTCCATCTTGACATTGTTAGCAATGGACTCGATGATCACGTCGGACGCTTCCACATACCACCTCGCCCTTGTATGGCCGCCATACGACCGCCTTGTAGTGGACAACGTATTCGGCAGAGCCAGAGCCAGGCATCACTTTGCCATCGGAAATGTCGAACGAGTCCAGAATGCACACAATGGTGTACTTTCCCGTGCTCGATCCCTCCTCTTTTTGTAGCAGCTCGCGGTGGATGTGCTGACGGATGAGCGGGCCAAAGTACGAGGGATGCAGCTGGATGGTCTTCTCAAGCTCTTTGAGGAAGAACATGTTGCGCGTTGTACGGCGGATACAGTGGAGTAGATGCGCGGTGTGGATGGGTTGCACGGTTCAACGGTGGAGATCGAGACAAGGTGAAGATAGGACCGTCGTCCTTGCTATTATGCGACTCTATTGTCTGTGTACTGAGCGGCCCAGTCAAGAGTCGACAGTGTACGGTAGGCAACGCGCGTGCTTCAGCGAGACGCGCCTTCGGCCTGCAACGCAGCCCTGATTCTTATATGCAGCAGCCCATGCGCCCAAGGTGCAGTGTGTTCGCGGCGCCCGTGCAAGTCCGAGGATACAGTGGGAGCAGATGTGGGCGGAGTGAGTGTCTTGTAGCCGTGCAATGGTCGCGGCAGGAAAGGTGAGCTCCAAGGGCTGCAGGGCTCTCGGCGCGGAAAATCACTCGCTAAGGCCCGAGCAGTGACCCAACTCCCACCTGCCAGCTTGCGCACCCCCACACACCCATGTCGTGATACCCTTTCACCCTGCGCCATCATCTCTCGGCTCCCGCCGCCGGTGCCTTGGTCCTTCCACACTCTCCGAGCTCGATTCTTCACCCTGCGCTTCCAAGACATGATTTAGTCTCTTGACGCCCATCCCACTCTTTGACACGCGCCCAAGTTCCCCATCCGGCACCATGTCTCTCAATCTAGAGAAACAACTCGTCTTCGTACGTCATTCTTCAACAGATGTCTGTACTTGGCTGACTGGAATGTAGTACGGAGCATACCACCATAATAAAGTAGGCTCTGCCGTCAGAGAGCATCTTCACATGTCAACTAACATGCCATGTGTCAGGTCAACGTCGGAATACATCTGCTCTGTGTACCTCCGATCCTATTGACGTCTTTCCTACTAGTAAGGAATCCGAGTGCTCTCATCGCGGCCCCTCTGACACAGCAGTAGCTCACCAACACGCCTGCCGTCCCTATACCCTCATGGCTCTCGGTACCTAATCTCCCGCTCAACGTCGGCACGGCCGGAGCCGTTCTGTACTCGACCTTGTACATCCTCATGGAACCTGTCGCAGGTGCCATGATTGCTCCGATCCTTATTGGCAGCACCGCGTATGCGAACCACCTCACCTCCACGTACGGTGCGACTGCAAACTCGTGGGCCGGCGCAATCAACATCGCATGCTGGATTGCCCAGTTTGTCGGACACGGAAAGTTCGAAGGAAGAGCACCAGCGCTTCTGGACAACCTTGTGCAGGCCATCTTCCTGGCTCCGTTCTTTGTCTGGTTCGAGATACTCTTCATGCTCGGTTATCGCCCCGAACTCAAGCGCCGGATAGACCAGGCCGTTGACTTGGAGATCCAGAAGTTCAGGAAGAGCAAGGAGAAGGGTCAAAATGGATCCGCGAAATGAGGCGCGGCCCAACATCGGATTCATAGCGGATTCGCAGACAAGGACCCAGTTATTGGCACTTGCAGGATAATCGAAGCAGACATCAGAGGACCAGAAGACAGTGCAAATAGTGTATGAATACTGAAGGAGAGGGAGCATTGCGCAGGAGCAAGGTGTACGCGGCGTCTTGAGGTATACGTTGTCTTTGATAGTCAAGTTTGCATAAGTGGCTGCGAGTTTTTAAAGATTCACATAACATAGTAGGATACCAATTTAGAATGTTGCTATTTTATACCTGGAGAGCATGACATTGGTTATATCAACCCCCATCTCTTGAGCAACCGTGCAGGGAGAATACTCAACATGTTGGCGTAGCTCCTTTTTGCCTACTACAGCAAGACAGCAAAGCCTGTGAGAATATCTATCAATAGCTTCGACGGCTACAATACTGTGCAGTCATATAATCTGTCGGGCAATTTGTTGATGTAGACTGCAGGATGGTGGAGGGTCCGTCGGCTTTTGTTTGATTAGGCACTTGTATGCGTTACGAGTACTGATGTATTTAGAGGACTTTGCAGGCAACTGCGCCAACTGTACAATGTACGCTTCGAGTGATGCTTATGATCTGATTGTGACAGTATTGAGCTGCAAAGAAGGCTATTCTCTCAATTGTACCATACACCGAAACGCTGTCCGAAGGTATCCACAAACATTTACTTTATCTTTATCAAAGTGTGGGGTATCGAGCAGATACATGAGGTTCGTGTTTCGTATCGAGACGTCGTACAAAGAGTTCGATAAGATATGAAAACCAGGTGGATGCTCCATTTCGTTTGCCTGATATCTGGTTCACAATCTCCAGTCAAATCATGGCTCGTTGAGTGCCAACGTGGTGGTGTAGTGAGAGAGCTCGGTTGAGATGCGGCTTTTTTAGGATTAGGGTAGACGCCAAGGTCCGCGCTTTCCTCCCGAACCGCAGGACTTTCTTCCTCACAGCAGAGCTCCCCATCCTGCACTCCATCACCATCTCCCCTCTTCCATACCTGCATCAATCTCAATTGGTTGCAGAGCCTCCGAATTAGACTCTTGAGCAGCTGCAGCCATGTTCTCAAGGGCCATCCGCCAGTCGAGCCGCCGGGTCGCTGCAATCTCTGCCACGAGCAGGATTGCGTCGGTAAGTCCATCGCAACCGCCTGCAATTGCGCCTGCCGCACGTCCAGCCATCGCCAGCAGCCTCCAGAACCGATATCCGATGCCATTGGCGCCGCAATGGAGCTTCGTTGATGGAACTGCCTGGGCTGCGCGGCGGCGGGACCAGCTCCCCTCTACCGAAGTGCAGTACTGACGCCTTTTGTCCGCCCACAGACCCGCGCTCCCGCGTTCACCAACGCCATCCGATCCTACGCCGCCGATGCGAAGGCCACCCCCACCGAGGTTTCCTCCATTCTGGAGCAGAGGATCCGCGGTGTCCAGGAGGAGAACAGCCTCTCCGAGACTGGACGTGTCCTGTCCGTCGGTGACGGTATTGCCCGTGTCCACGGCATGAACAACGTCCAGGCTGAGGAGCTTGTCGAGTACGCCACTTACACACCACGACAATTTGCCATGGAAGCTAACGGGGTGACAGGTTCGCCTCCGGTGTCAAGGGCATGTGCATGAACTTGGAAGCCGGCCAGGTCGGTGTTGTGCTCTTCGGTTCTGACCGTTTGGTCAAGGAAGGCGAGACCGTCAAGCGTACCGGAGAGATTGTCGACGTTCCCGTCGGTGAGGCTCTTCTCGGACGTGTCGTTGACGCTCTCGGTAACCCCATCGACGGAAAGGGTCCCCTCAAGACTACTGAGCGCCGCCGTGCTCAGCTCAAGGCCCCCGGTATCCTGCCCCGCCAGTCCGTCAAGGAGCCCGTCCAGACTGGTCTCAAGTCCGTCGACGCCATGGTTCCCATTGGACGTGGTCAGCGTGAGTTGATCATTGGTGACCGTCAAACCGGAAAGACCGCTGTTGCCCTCGACGCCATGCTTAACCAGTACGCAACTCTTCCCACGACCTGCAAGAAAGACACGCTGACATGAAGATTAGGCAGAGATGGAACAAGGGAACCGACGAGAAGAAGAAGCTTTACTGTATCTACGTTGCCGTTGGTCAGAAGCGATCCACCGTCGCCCAGCTCGTCAAGACCCTTGAGGAGAACGACGCCATGAAGTACACCATCATCGTTGCCGCCACCGCCTCTGAGGCCGCCCCTCTGCAGTAAGTTACACCTGCGTACGGTCTGATACGAGACGTCCACTGACTTCGCACTAAAGATACATTGCTCCCTTCGCTGGTTGCTCCATGGGTGAATGGTTCCGTGACAACGGCAAGCACGCCTTGATCATCTACGATGATTTGACCAAGCAGGCCGTTGCCTACCGTCAAATGTCCCTGCTTCTCCGCCGTCCTCCTGGCCGTGAGGCTTACCCCGGTGACGTTTTCTACCTCCACTCTCGTCTCCTTGAGCGTGCCGCCAAGATGAACGACAAGCTTGGTGGTGGTTCGCTCACTGCTCTGCCCGTCATTGAGACCCAGGGTGGTGATGTGTCCGCTTACATTCCCACCAACGTCATTTCCATCACTGATGGCCAGATCTTCTTGGAAGCCGAGCTCTTCTACAAGGGTATCCGTCCCGCCATTAACGTCGGTCTCTCTGTCTCCCGTGTCGGTTCCGCTGCCCAGGTCAAGGCCATGAAGCAGGTTGCCGGTTCCCTGAAGCTCTTCTTGGCCCAGTACCGTGAGGTTGCTGCTTTCGCCCAATTCGGTTCCGATCTCGACGCTGCGACAAAACAGACCTTGTCTCGCGGTGAGCGTCTCACCGAGCTCCTCAAGCAGAAGCAGTACTCCCCCATGGCCGTCAACGAGATGGTTCCTTTGATCTACGCTGGTATTAACGGTCTCCTCGACTCCGTACCCGTTAGCAAGATTCTTCAGTGGGAGGCTGACTTCCTTGCCCACCTCCGATCAAACGAGCAGGACATGCTCAACCAGATCGACCGGGAAGGTGCGCTCAGCAAGGACCTTGAGTCCAAGCTCAGGGAGGTTGCACAGAGCTTCACCAAGAGCTTCGCGGCATAAACGAGTTGAAGGCTGGAAGAGTGGGTACTGTCTATTCCAATGTTCTGAGGGGCCAAAAAAGTGCTGATTGGTCTTTGAGAATAGATGTATAATAGAAGATGCGTCCTCGCCATCAGCTGTGTCTCAATATGGAAGATTTGTTCGTTTTTCTGCATTGACATCAGCCTGGCAACGCACGCCTACCTTGGTCGACGAATACCTCTTGTGATTCCCTGTGCTCCTGTTAGCGGTACATATACGGCTCTTTTTCAGCTCATGGAAGTGGGATGGTGGAGGCTCTGTATATGACAAATGAACGTTTCCTCTGTTATACTTGTTGCGTGCTTGAGGTGTGTGTGACCATGATCTTGATACATGTACAAATCTACGCAGGACCTCGTTTGCTTCTGCTGCAGCTGGCTATCATCTTGGAGCATACGGTGATCATTGTTGGTAGAATTCAAATAGTTAGGAGGTACCCTAGATACATACATTACTTCATGCCTCACACCTCTATATACGGGGGAAACACTGACAACCTCCAAGGGCAAGTATAAAAGACTTTCTAAAACTGCAAGCTTGTTTGTAGCAGGTAAACGTGATGTAGAATGTCTGGATATGGGATGAAATTCATAGCCTACTCCCGTGGCTGGTAGCCAGATAATACCCGGGACACCATATGATTGGAAAGAAACGCTTCACGACACGGATTCGATTCTAGTAGTCTATAGTAGGTACTCGTCTATCCAAGCGATCTAAGTAAAAAGACCATATCCAAATACGTCTACTTCTGCCTTCCGCGTCCCCGTTCTTCTCCGTCACTAGCATCGCCGTCCTTGAATGGATCGTCGCCGATTTCCACGGCATCACCCGTCTCAGGTGGCTCATCTCTGTACTCATCGTCCCACGTAGTGCGGAGACTGATATCGTCATCCTCTTCACGTAATCTTTCGGCAGCTTCCAGCGCCCCCGGGTCGTCCGCGTATTCATGTTCAAGGTCCTCGATACTCATGCGACGGATACCCGCACGCTCCTCAGCTTCTAGCTGTGCCGCGCGGGCCTTGGTCTTGCGGTATACGAGCCAGCCTGTGGTCACACCCGCAACGAGACCAATGAAGATGGAAACGTAAGATAGAGCTTTTGTGCTGGGGTCCATTTTGCCTCCACTTTCGGCAATCTTCTCGAGTTGACTTCCGATGAATATGTGAAGCATCAGCTTTGGTGATACTATGGCTGTGGCTAGAGCGTAGGATGCCCAGTGTACGGTAGGGAAGGTTGCGACAGCACCGTTGGAGATGGAGTATGGTAGCGGGCATAGTCGGTACATGACGAGGAGTTTGAGGCCGTCGTGTTTGAGGGTAAGGGAGAGGGCAGCGAAGCGCGTGTCATTCGCTATGAGACGGTGGACCATGGATTTGAGGAGGGTGCGCGAGAGGAGGAAGGATGCTGTGCTGCCGGCAACGGTTGCTGTCGCAGCTATGAACCAACTGGTCTAATGTCAGATTGCATGTTGTGAATAACGTATGAATCATACCCGTTTGGAAAACCATAGACAAAGCCGGCTATGGTGAGTAAACTCGAATACCCGATTAATGGCGGAAATGATACGATGAAGATCAAGACCCAGAGTATCAGCCACCCGGCCGTCACGTCTCTCCACTTCTTCGCGACGGGCAACAGGGCCCCGAATATGCGCTCGTTGTACACCAAGAACAATATGCCGCCCACTGCCAGCACCAAGTTCCCTACGAAGAACAGCACTTTCTGCAGGGGAGAAAGTTTGTTGTATTGATCCAGTACTCGTCGCGAGAGCGTATCGTACTTGTCCATGGCGCGCTGCCGCCATGAGCTGTGTTGACTTTGGTGCGATGCGTTGCGCCGGAAGGTAGATGATTGCGAACGCCGGCTCCATATTGGCGTCTGGCCTGTTTCTTCATCTTCTAAAGGTAGCGCGAGAGCGCGGACATCGTAGTCGCTCGCCGGCATGCTGATGGATGCCTCTATACAACACGGGGAGGCGCGCCTGACGGAGTGGCGCGGAAGTATGCGGAGGTAAGAGGATGTGAATGGGGTAGGGAAGTGAATAGAATGGTAATGGGAGATGTTAGCTGATACAACTGGAGACGGACATTCCGCGTGGTGGTAGTGGAGCGTCGGAGGCAGCTTTGGTGTGAGATGCTAATGCTAGTGTGGGCGCTGTTGGAGAGCTCTGGGTTTCATCGTCATCCGGGCGGACGAACGTGGTGCATCCGCCATCCGCCCTGCATTAGGCGATTAGATCAGATCGACCCCGAGTTGAAAAGCAGTTTTGCTCGGCATGCGCGTGGGACAACTGTATGTGATTCGATGATTGCAGTATTGTGTGCGCATATACTGTGGCATATGTTCCGGTCATGTTGACAGCTCCGAGCAACTTACTGCATCCATGGATGTTTCCACGGACCCACACGACGCAGAGCACGTGATTACTCAGCCTCTCGCAGTCTGTGGCGCCCATAGCCCTATTCGAAGGTACTTGAGGCATATGTTGCAGCTTCTTTTTCCGCCGACGAATGCCATCGCAGCACTTCTTATCCAGCCCCAGTCGTCATCCTCGCTCAGCTGAGACTCACACGCACCGCATCACCACCCACTCGAGGCTCCAGGGCCATGTAGGGCAGACCGGGAGCAAGTGCTGGAGATTACCGTTCCCGCTGTATGGTCGACGTTGCTGCACGGTGCAAGCATCCCCCACCCCTACGTAGTTGAGCCTAGTCCCTTGAGCTTCATTCGCGCTCGAGATCGCCCCAGGCATTCCATCACTCTGCCCGTTTTGGCGCACTTGGTGTGTCCTGCAGAAGAAGGCTGCGGGACTGGTTATTGCCCTTCGTTGCAGCTTCATTCCTCCTGTGACGCGCCGGTCGCTCCTCTGCCATTACCCGCAGTACTTGTAATCACCCCCGACGGCCTCCTGTCTCGACCTGAACCTCGACCTCTGACCTTACCCGTCCTGCGCGCCACGTCTGAACACCCATCACCCAGTATCCTTTGCTTGCTTGGAAGTAATCGCCATGGTCGCCGACGACTTGTACGAGAAGGCGCTGCCTGTGCTGCAGGACGAGGCCCTGGATGAGGAGGACAAGACGGACAAACTCGAGGAGCTCATGCGCAAGGAGACCAACCTCACGGGCAAATCACTCGAGAACATCGTTCTGGACTGCCTCTGGCGCTATCGCGACGCCGGCAGCTCTTCCAGCTCTCCCCCCAGCCGCCATACCATCATCCGCCGTCCCTCGCCAGCTCCCTGGCAGGCCAATCGCGCCCCTACTCCTGTCAACGCCTCCCCGCGCATGGTACACCCTCCACCGGGCTTTCCCATGCCACCTGGATTCGCGCGCACAAAGTCGTCAACCGCGTCCCCCTTTACTTCCCCGCGACCCTCGCCTCGCCTTGCTTTTTCCACACCGCATATCCCCCACAGCCCCAGCCTGAGCGCATACCAGTTCAGCGAATGCGCCAGCCCCAACACAGAGTCGTATGGCGACCTCGATGGCCACTCCGTCGACTGGCTAGTCAACGATGACGCTGCGAGCACTGAGTCGTCTCTCCTGGGCGACGGCACGCTCAATGGGGCCGCGGCCGAATGGGTGCAGCCCCAGACCATGGACATGGGCCCATACGACATGCTGCGCTCGATTCTCAGGGACGACCGATCAGACGAAGAGCTTGAGAAGGTTTTGGAGGCCAATGGCTACGACCTCAGTGCTGCCCTCCTCGCACTCATGGGACAGCAACTCGATGTACAACAGCTCCCTACTACACCCTCCGAGCACCCGGGATACATCATCGGAAAGTCCATGAGCCCGGCATTCAGGCCTAGTACACCCGTGGGCCAGCAGAAGAGCAACATCGTGTGCAAGTACTTTTTGTCGACTGGACATTGCGCTCGAGCCGACTGCAGGTTTAGCCACGACACCAGCAAGACATTATGCAAGTAGGTACATTTACAGACATCTAGGTTGTCTAAGCTAACACGCAATTTAGATACTTTCTAAATGGGAATTGCTTAGCTGGCGATACATGCCTCTTTTCACATGATCCCTCAGCTCTCATGGCTCGTATGGCTGTATCAGACGTCCAAACTCCACCCATACCCAACTTCCAAATGTCCGATTATGAGTTCCCCACACTCCACTATAACGGCTCTCCGCTAGGCACTCCGTCGATAACATCTGCCGCGACCTCTTTGGAACAGCTCTACGGTCTCACAGGTGGTGGCCCCACACGCCCTCCACCAGGACTAAGTCCTTTCGCAAACTTCACTCCTGGGGGCGGTAGTCGCCCGCAGTCTAGAACTGGCAGCCGCCAGACTTCGCGTGCTACTACACCTTCGGTGCTTGCAGTTGACGACAATGACGCTTTCCCTAGTCTAGGCTCCGCTGCTGCTGCTAAGACGGGAAAGCGTCACCATGGCAAGCGAGGTGGACATGGCCATCACAAAGACGCGCCAGGACCTAACAATCTAGCAGATGTTGTTCGCATGTCGCCTGTTCCGACTCCTGCTACTCCGGCTCGCAAGGGATTGAGACCAACCAAGAGCTTCACAGGATCTCGCGAGAACAGTGTGGCTGCCCAGGCGATACCCGCTCCTCAGCACATTCCATGGCTAGAGACAGGTGAAAAGGGCAATCAGGCGTATCTCAAAGCTCGCGCCGAGGCTTTCAAGCATGGCAGTCTGCGCAACAAGTTTTTGCAGAGGTAAGACGTATGCCTCGTCCTACGACATTTCACCGCTAACATACAACAGCGCTGCTCAAGCTTGGAACCGCAGCGATTCGCGCGCGGCGAAAGCTCTGAGTCTTAGGGGGCAGAGTGAGAACAACCTGATGCGTGAAGCTCACCGTGAAGCTGCTCGGATCCTGTACGAAGACCGCAACAAGGATAGCGATGGCTCGAGAGAGCTGTATGTTGATCTTCACGGTACGTCACACTGGAAAGGTCGTTTATAACAACACTAACTTCAGTCAGGTCTGCATCCAGATGAGTCGGTTTCGTATCTCGAGGGCATTCTTCTGAAGCACAGCTCGTCTTCTCGTCCAGTCTATGCTATCACAGGAACAGGTCACCACTCCAAGAACGGCAAGGATAAAGTTGGCAAGGCTATTCGCGGCTTCCTAAACGAATGGCGCTATGCCTTCCGTGAATTTTCTGTTCCTGGCGACCGCAACAATGTAGGTGGCATTCTTGGTATCGACCCGAGTAGCTATGACAAGAGCGTGGCGGAACGGCCAAAGGAATCGGAATCAGATGGAGACAGCGCAAAGAAAGACACCAAGATTCGCATCATGAAGAGAGATGATGTGATAGATGCGCCGAAAGGACCGAAGCGTACTGCTTGATCTGATTGAGTGGGAGTGGAAGGTACCAAGTAGGTAGCATGAAATAAGAAAGAGTTTACTTCACTACTTGTTTGGTGATCTAGGCTATGTCAACGCGTTGGGTAAGTGTGTCGCCGCAAGAAATTGAAAAGGTGTGCTGCAGCCTACGTTAGTATCGGAACGAAAGTTGACAAACTTTCACTGCCATGTAGACTTCTGGGTTATCTACGTCCATTCATATCTGTAGGTGGTGTCCAATTTTTCCCTTGGATGGGGTGGCCGAGATGTGCCAGCTCGGTGAAGCTGCTCGACTGAGGAAGCCACGCCCAACGTCGTGCTTGCTACTCTCGTCTGGACCCACTATCTCTCACCTTATGGCACACACAAGTATTCATTTTCGTCCCTTCTCACCCGTAGCGGTCGCCTTTTCCAACGTGTTCCCTCACCAACATCTCTTGCCCTCACCACCGCGTCGTTTCAGCTAGTGTGTTATCGTCACTCACTCTCGTCCCCCCGCAATGGGTCCCCGAAGACCTAGTTCAGCGACAGATGTCGACTCACGTATGCCGTTCGCATCGGCGGAGGCACTGCTATGGGGGCTAGAGATGAAACAACAGCACGCCCACTTGCTCACAGAGATGCGAACACTTCAGAAGCATCATGAAGAATACGAAGCCCGCATCAGATCTACCGAGCATGTAGCAGAGGCTGCCGAAGCTGCTACGTCCAGGGTCCGCCACTTGGAGCAACAGCTCGCAGCGATCGAAGCCGAAGACGACGATAAGGCTTTCGAAAAGTGGGCAGCAGGCGAGATGACACGGCTAGGTATCTTTGTTGACACGAACAAGCACGTCAGACAGAAGCAGATCGAGTTGGACGGCATTGTTTCTCATGCTGTGGACGATCTCGATAAGCTCAGACAGGTCCCCAGGGCACTGAAGGGTGTTCTTCGACGCCTTGATCTTCTCGAGTCTGGTCGTAATCAAGATGCGCGTCGGATCAAGAGCTTGGAGGAAGAAGTCACTCGGCTCAAATCTACGCGACAGGATGCCACCTCCAAGTCCAACACCGCTGGCCCACAGACCGTTTCCAGGCCTCAGCAAGGCAGTCTGACATCCATGACACCGTCTCGATTACTCGACGCCGAAATTGCCGATGCAACAAGCGACACGGACGATGAAGACCTGATACTCATGCCTGGGTTTGTACATGAAGAGATCCAAGTACCCCAGAGTCCAGAGATGAGAGAGAAGTAAGAGTGGCCTGCGAAACTATCTTTTCCAATGCTAACGACTATTTTAGGAGACCAGTCGATACGTCCATTTCAGATGTGCCTCCAGGTCATCCAGTAAAGTCAGCAAGACAGAGACTGATGCAGAGGCCTTCGATCCACAACTCTATGTTGCCGCATCTGGCAGAGGAACAGAGACAAATTCGAACACCTGCTCCAAGGCCTAGTCAACCAATATATGCTGCTCCTGTTGCAACACAGCTGGTCCACCACAACCGCCCGACTTACCCTTCTCCCCCGATTCCGGTCCCAGCCCCAGCTCCAGTGCCGGTTCCTACGCGAAAGCCTCGCCCACGTGCTAGAGTCGCCCCACCTCCAACACAGCTGACCGATAATGACATTACAAGAAAGCGAAAGCAGCCCACGGAAGAGCCCCAGACTCAAAGGCTGACTCGTGCCCAAGCTAAGAGGATTCAAGAACAGGAAGCTGAAGAGCGAAAGCCGCATGTAACAGGTATCGAATCACTCCTCCCACCAACACAATTAGTGGAGCCGGCTCTCTCATCGCGCAAGAAGCAGAAGACTGTCCATGATCAAGGATCAGATGATATCAAGACCAAATTCATCACACCGATTCGGCCAACCACCAGAGCTCCAGCAACCACAAAGCGCAATGCTGCTGTAGGTAAGAGCAAGAGTACCGCGGTTGAACCCACTCAGTTGGTTACGAGAAGTCCTGCTAAGTCGAACGTACCTAAAGCCACCATTCCACCTGCTAAGAGGAGGAATCCTTCGCCAGTCCGACCGAGCGCTGTAAAGGAGGAGCAACAAAACTCACTCGTCGTCATTCTACGCAGTCCACAGAAAGCGACGGGGATTGATCGTAGCGAGAGCGATGATATGCGTACCACTGTGGCAGACAGAGCTAAGATGTCACCTCGCAAAGTAGCAGCTGCGCCACTGTCACGTTCTAAGGCTATTCCTAAGCCTTCGAGCACACGCATTCCGGGCGGCCGGAGCAAGCCAGGCGTCGGGTCACTCGCTGAGATTCTAGCATCCTTCGGAAGGAAATGAGCCTCATTGATTGCTCTCAATTAAAGAGCTGACCTTATGTTTCGCTAAACTCATACAACCCCTCGCGATCCGCAACTGGTACCTCCAAGTTGGCCTCTTCGATATCTTTTCCATCCACCTTAAGCCCTGCACGCATAATGTCACCCGTCTTCACAGGGCCTACACCCTTCGGCGTTCCCGTGAGTACGATGTCGCCCTTCTCCAACGTCATGACCCTGCTAATATCGCTCAGTTGTCTTGGGATTCGGAAAAGCATCAATTCGGTGTTGTCGGACTGCTTCATCTCGTTGTTGACTGAGAGCCAAAGGTGTGCTTTCTGTGGGTCTGGGATTCTGTTCTTTGCGATGAAGTTGCTGATGGGCATGAACGTGTCGAAGCCCTTCGCGATAGACCATGGAAGTCCTTTTCTTTTCGCCTCGTCCTGTACGTTACGGGCTGTCATGTCAATAGCGAGGATATAGCCTGGGGACTGAATGTTAGTCTGACGGATCTCGACATACTATTTTATTTGGCTGGATGTATGGCGTTCTACGTACCTTCGATAGCATCCATAGCACCCTTAGTATCTTCAGGATGCAGATCCCTCAACGTCTTTCCCATGATGAGACCAAGCTCAACTTCATAGTGCATGTTTACACCACGTGGGCGAAGGACTGGGCCAGCACCTGGTAGCAAGATAGACGACGGTGGCTTCAGAAAGAAGAAGGGCTGCTTAGGCGTAGCACTGGACAGCTCCTTGATGTGGTCTGCATAGTTTCTGCCTATGCACATGACCTGTAAGAATGTTAGATTACACGAAGAGCGTCTTTGCCAAACGTTGTCCTTTCAAGGTTTCCAAACTCGATCTTCCCGAGGTCAGCACACGTGTGCCATTGAGATGGCACATATCTTCGCACATGATGACATGTGAGCAACTCTATGGCTGCAACCCTCCCTATCACGCTACTTCCCAACTCTTTCTCCTTTCCGGCCTCGTTGATAACGCGAACATCACACGAAATCACATACCTTGCGGCAATTTGCCCTGATAGCTTGAATACTCGCCATACTTAACGAAGCCCAACCAACGTTTTCCAGAAGAGGACCCAAAAGCACGTACGAATGATTGAAAACAAAGATCGCACACCGTCTTCGGCAAAGTACTTAGCCGGCAATTGACGGGGGAGTTTTGATCTGGACCCCTGCCCGCCACGGGGAGTTGGGAACCGAGATGTGGGGTGAACGTCAGAGCTTCAGGCCATGCATCCCACTTGCGATCGCATCGCAACACAACCAACCTACCAGAAACGCTCCCACGCTGCATTACACAGCTATTACCACGCACGACCAAACAGGCCTCGAGCTTCTCGTCAGCAACAGCAGATATGGCGCAAACCCAAGGAAACACAATGCAACTCGCGGAAATACTATCTGATCTCGTCTCCCTGCGCGTTTGTGTACGTTACTCTTCCTACACCAGCAAATCTGTACCCTTTCTAATATGACTCCGCGCGCAGGATCCCGCCGCAGCACTAGCCCTCGTTTCCGCGCATTCGAATACCTCCACGTCCACGTCACCTCCATCTTCTCATGATCACGCCGCAAATACTACAACAGACCCAGGGTCGACAACAACGATGGACGATGAACAAGACCCAGAGCTGAAGCGCGCAAAAGACCTGCTGAAATTTCACTATGAGGTCAAGGAGGCGCATAAGAGGGGCGAGTTGGGCAGGGGTCTGGAGGAAGCGAGGAGTTTGGTTAGAAAGGCTGTTGGGGGGTGAAGGAGGTTGGGGTTGAGTATGGAACTGCAATATCATGAGTGGGAGCATGGAGTTATGCTGGGAGGTACCAAAAGCGAGGATGAAGCTGGACCTGGTGACGAAGGTCAGAAGGGAGCCATGTCTGGGGTCATGGTCGAAGACACAGAGCTAGCACTGGGGAATGCCGAAGCCGAATGGATGGAGATATCAAGACAAAGGGGGGATTACGTTCGTTGCACACACGTCAGGTCACCTCAGTAGCAACCGCTTGCGCGAAGTTGCTGTATGCAAGAAAGAATCTAGACAGGTGACACTAGGTGTATCACCTGTACTGCGGCCTACAACAATGAGCTGGAAGCCTTTTCTAGAGGAACCAAGATAATGTAGTCGTCTAGGCTATTAAGATACCAACGTAGTAAACTTCTTACATATGCTGCAGTAGGTAAAAAAGAGCGTGCTGAGAAAAGTTCAATGTTCATCATGTACGGGTATGGAGCAGAGAAGAGGCGTTACACGTAAACAGAGACGAGGGTAAAGATGACATTGAGTTAAGAGTAACATCTACATAGGAACCGGTAATCAACGCCAGGTAGAGGGTGTTCTTAGGGAGATTTGGAGTTCACCACCACGATCCAAATACCAATCTTCCAGTTCACTTCACGATCCTGCGGCCGCAAGCATGGCATCGGCAATGGCTTTGATGTCCTCACCAGCCTTCTTTTTCTGGCGGAGAAGCACCATGATGGGGACGGATTCGGGTGGTGCGCGCATCGCCGCAAGTAGCTTGACCTTGTCACGTTTGCGGGTTTTGCTGGCGGACGTTAGAATGGAAGCGGCTATAGGGGAAATGTAGTATATGCTGACAGGGACAGAGGAAGAAGGTACGGTATCAGGTTTGCGGAGAAAGGGTTGGTGTACTCACGTAGCGGTAGTTACAACAGAAGGAGCTGGTGCTTCTGTTTCTGCTACAGAAGGTGCCGCTTCAGGCGCCGGTGCCTCTGGAGATTGAGGCGGCAGGTCTTCAGTCTCTGCCGCAGTATATGCAGGAGCGGCTTCCGGTCTTGGTGCAGCTTCTGCTGGTGCTTCTGGCTCTACTGCTCTGGAAATTGGTACGACCTCAGGTTCCGCAGTCGGTGCTGCCTCGGGTTCTTCTGCGACAGGTGGTGCGAGTGGAGGTTCTGTTGGTGCATCTGGCACTGGCTCAGTGAATGCCGGCTGAGGTTCAGCAGGCACTTCTGGTTCGGCTGCCCTTTCGACAGGCGCGGGCGTAGGTTCGGGCTCGGCAGCTGGTGGTGGAGACTCTACAGGTTCTGTCTCAACGGGCTCTGTAGCAGGCACTTGTAACGTTGGCTCTGCTTCCGGCTGAGATTCTTCTTCAGCTGGTGGGGCAACTTCTGGCTCTGTTGATGTAGCTTCGGCGGGTGCTGTAGCTTTCGGCTCCTCAGCTGATAGTTCTACTGCTGGTTCTTCAGGGACAGCTTCAGGCTCTTCAGCTGGTGGCTCTGCTGCAGGTTCTTCGGGGGCAACTGCAGGTTCTGTATCCGGCTCAGGTGCAGGATCTACGGAGGGTTGATCTGGAGTAGGTGCAGCTTCAGGCTCTCCAGCTGCAGGCTTAGCTGCAGGTTCTTCTGGGGTAGCTTCAGGTGTTTGTTCAGCAGCACCATCAGTCTGAAATTCACCAGGGCCCTCCTTTGGTGGATTGGGGGGAGATTTGAAGTCAAGTTCCGGAGTTTCCCCTGTTGGTGAACCGAACTTTGCCTCGGGCTCTGGCGCAGGAGGAGGAACTTCGTCTTCAGGATGTGGTGGTTCTCTTGTTGGTGACCCGGGCTCTGCCTCGGGCTCCGACGGTAGTTCTGGCTCAACATTCGGCTCAGGTGCAGTTTGATCTGTGTCTTCAGGGTAAGGATTATGAGGCGGTTCGACAGGCGGTGGGGGTGGTGCGGGCCTGTCATGATGTCCGGGCTTCGCAGGCTTGTGAGGACGTTTGGGCTTGGTATGCTTCTCCGGTCGCTCCACGGGAGGCACATCCGAAGCCGCAGCTGATTCCGCCATTACAAGTGCGGATGGAATTAATGATAGACAAAAGATGCTAAGGAAGAGCTATGAAAAGCAACCAGACTGGTGAGATGGGACGCGGGAGAGATGGTATGCTGGCCCAGGTAAGTGGATGAGTGTGGCCACATCCTTTCCAATCGACACATCTTGTCTATATGACAGAAGGAGAAGCTCTGATCCAAACAAGTCGATAAAGTGGCGGCAGGCACAAATGCACAGGTATAGCAGCTGCATACTCAACGATGCCCATTCCACACAGCTGAGTGTAGCATGTTGCGGGAGAGCGGATGAAGTAGATTCATTGCCACGATAGCACAATTCTGTATTTTCAATGTGCACTCATAATTGTGTAGTGTCTACGGATGTCTGCGTTCTGTGATCTCTCGACTCAAGATATGGCAGGGAAAGCGTGAGGGCTGGGACGAATGACGACAGCGTTAGCGTCAGTCGTACCTGCATGAACGACGTAATCCCCGGAGGTTGACGCCAAGCCCGCAGATGGGCCCGCCCGAGCTCCAGCTTTCACCGTCGCGAACTCGTCTCTCCGCACACGCGCCACCCCATTACTCCTGCAACTTCACACTATCTTCAGCCCTCAAAATGGCGCTCAGCATCGATCAGAAGCGTCTCAAGGCGACAAAGTTCCCACCTGAGTTCGACAAGAAGGTCGACATCGAGAAAGTCAACATCGACCTGATGAAGAAGTGGATTGCTAACAGGATCACCACTATTCTCGGTGACGAAGATGACATTGTGGTCGAGACCTGCTACAATTTGATTGAACAGAACCAATTCGTCAGTAACGCTCCAGTTGACACAGGGCAATGTTTGCTGACCGACGCAGCCCAAGATCAAGGAAATCCAGATTCAGCTCACGGGCTTCCTCAACAAGGACACCGCACCTTTCTGCAAAGAGCTATGGGATCTCATGCTGAGTGCGCAGGACAGTCCTATGGGTGTGCCCCGAGAATTGCTCGAAGCGAAGAAGGCCGAATTGCAACAGGAGCAGGTAAGTTGGGTCACGGGCTTGCACGTTTGCCATTGCTAATACCTCATAGCTTTCCAAAGCCGCTGCTGACGCTCGACGCGCCGAAGAACAAGCGCAGAACGCTATGATTGACTCGTTCCGTCAGAGCGAGCGATCCGATCGACCTGAACGATCCGAACGTGGCCGTGGTGGAGGAGGAGGAGGACGATACCGTGGTAGTGATCGTAGGGGACGGGGAAGGGATTTTGACAGAGGGCTTCCACGTCGCGATCGCGACTCAAGATCACCACCGTATGTGTTAGGCCTCTACGCTGAAGTTCAAGACTGCTGACATGTGACAGGAGACGAAGACCCTCACCACCGAATCGCGAGCGTGATGTTTACATACCTGGAGGAGGTCGTGGCCGCGGACGCGGAGGCCGTCGCGAAAGATCTCGCGAGCGTCGTCGCTCACCTTCGGGCAGTCGTTCTGCATCTCCACCACCTCGTCGTGCACGTCGCTCACCATCGTCAGAACCCTCTCGATCCCCACCACCACGACGCCGACCGCGGCGTTCCCCATCAGCTGACCGCTCAAGATCTCCTCCTCGTCGTACGCGTCGTCGGTCTCCTTCCCGTAGCAAGTCTCCTCCTGCAAGACGAAGGAGAGACCGGTCTCGAAGCCGGGACAGCAGGAGGCCACCCAGGCACATTTCGCGATCTAGTTCCCCGCCAGTCAGAAACAAGTCGAGCTCACCAGCACCCAGGCTGCGATCACATTCCCGATCACGAACTCCTCCCCGCCGCCGGCGTCGCTCCCCATCAAGCTCTATGTCTATAAGCCCCGCACGACCGCGGCGGCGCAGACACTCTACTTCATCTGGGGCTGATTCAAACGGTTCTCGCGCCGACATCAAAAAGCGTAAACGATCCGTTAGCTCTAGCAGGTCACGTTCTCGCAGCAAAACCGGTAGGGCTAGACGTCGTGTCACTCGCTCACCCACAGGATCACCGGTTCGTGGAGAGGGTACTCCCAAGTCATAGGCTGCCTATAAGCATGCTCTCTGCAAGACATGTTTAACGGGACCGCGTTCTTCCTATGCAGAAGCGAAGCGGTGTTGGCGGTGCCGTCCAATGAAGAGAGCACACGATCCATCCCGATCCCCACCATATACATCTGGAAAGGAAAGGAAAAGGCAACTATGATCGTTTCAATTGCGACTCTCCTTTAATTTCTTGAATCGTATCTTTGCCCCAGCGCCATGGAGAACTTCAAATCATAATGACATGGATGGATAGAGAATGTCTGTACTGCAACTACGCCCGTTAATAGCCTGATGGCCATTTGTACCCTACACGGCTTTACATATCGCAACCCTGAGCATTCTATTTCAATCTCATAAAGTATTCTTTTCCAATCCCCTTCTACAACGTGCCTGTGATCAATGTGGTGTAGCGCATACATCTTCGATCTGGTATGTGGCTCCAGTGTCGTAGCATGGGCCTGAATATGCAACATAAGTTACCCGCGATAGAAAACGTAGTAGAAATCCATGTAGTTCGCAGACTCCTCTATGGTAGTAAGGAAAACATCGAGTACGTTCCTGTAGCACCTCCGGCTTTTCGGCGCGATGTATGTCTCGGGCTTTGGTGTGACGCTGCGACGCTGTGACACAGGAGTACACGTGTGCAGGGCCATTCGCAAGGTTACAAAGTCGGGTGTGGCCTGTGACCTAGTCTTGTATGTGGCTTTCCGTGGTCGGGCCCTGGTACGTTCGGTGGCCATCGGCGCCCGGTATGGTGTGTAGTTCTTTGCAGAGTTCAATCATCGAAACTTCTCTTCACGACTTCATCCTTTGCGCCGTTTGCACTGTGCAGCTACGACACTGATGTCGTCAAGTTTTCCTAGAATGATGTCAGCAAAGTATCCCATCCAGATGGCTAGCTATACGTACCTCCTTCAATAGACAAGCCCTCATCAATCGCCTTCTCCATATACGGACTCTCAGCAAACGGGTCTTGAGCAATCTCTCTCGCAGCGTTGACCAGCTGCTGCGCCACAAATTGCATACCATCAGCGTACGTCTGATCCTCTGTGTCTTTCTCCTTGTCACCCTTCCACTTCTCCATGCTTTCGCAGATGTTTTCTACAATCTCATGTTCCCACAGATTGTCTACTACGCCATCCGACATTGCCAGGACGACATCTTCTTCCTGGATTTCTACGCAATCCATGGCTGCGTTGTTGTCCGGAGTGTCTGGACTATTAGTCCCTAACTGCCGCGGGCAATCGAACCAGTGCCACTGCTCTTTCGTCCTGAATATGACCTCCTTGCTGCTCGGTCGTATGACGAGGATCTGGGAATCGCCTAGTTGCGTTACGTAGAGTAAGGGGTGGTCTGGTTGCTCGTTGTCTGCCCCAAGAAGCGCTCCGCAAGCGGTGGTCGTGCCGTGCCATTCGTTGGGCGAGGAGGTCGCTTGTTTTGTAAGTTCGTATGCGGTCTGGAGGTATGTGACGGGGTCTGGAGGTGAGGTAGAGGAGTAGGATGCGCTCTCGATTTCAAGTGACCAGAAATGGGCGATGAGGCGGGACCATAGACTGCGGAGTATGGTTAGCACTTGTACATCTTGAAGCGACCAGACGGCACGCGACTTACGCGGCATGACCCTTTTCTCTTGTTGCCCATGCGCCCACGCCATCATTTGCTGCAATGAAGCTCTCACTGACGAGTACCGCATCGTCCCCGTTTGTGACGCCTCTTATCATCTGCCCGTTGACTGTCGGCCGGCGATCGCGACTCTTGTTGTGCGTACTCAGGGGCTCAGAGAAACTCGTCGAAGGCAGCGACAGGAAAGGTGGAGGAAATGGCCGCGAAGGCCTCTTTGCGAAAAGCGCATATCCGGCCTCGAAGTAGAAAGGCAACTTGGACTTGGGCGGCTCAGCGTTATCGGGAACAGGCGTAGTCGTGCCAGCGCCCGTTTGCGCCTTAGACACTTGCTGAGAATACCATCTCGAACGTTGCGGGAAGACGATTACTGCCGACTTTCGGGGTGCTAGTCTCCAGGCTTGTGATAGTTGGTGCTGGAGGAGGGGTCTACTGCGCATGCGAAAGGAAGGTGCGAGCATGCCAGCGATGGGGTATGCAGAGAAGGAAAAGTTCTGTTGAGGACTTTCGCGTCCAAAAATGTTCAACCCAAAAAACCATGCGGAGCCGTCGCTCTACCTTCCGGTGTGTGGGGAACCCGAGAATGCGGTTTGCGCATGGCGACCGTGGATCGGGAATGAGAGAACATGAGTCAGCAGGTGGTATTGCCGTCTACCATGACGTGTGGGTGTCGAAGCGTTCATCTCACGCGAGAAATCGCCATAGAGTTCTTAGGAGTTTCAAAAGTAGTTGAGTGAGATTGCACAGACGTGATATACGGAACATGGTCTTGTACATGGTTCTATGGATTAGTGCTGTGTAAATCAGCGAGAGATCGTCGCTACCGCTGGCACTGTTGCGAAGGCCGGATGCGCCAGGGTACTACAAGCACGTATCTTGTAGTACTTCTAAGAAATATGTGTTATCTTGCCTACTACATTGGTTTGCGTGTGTTTTTCTATAGCTTCTAATTTGGGCTGTGGAGCGCGACTATATGTAAATCTAGCTTTCATGACAGCGCTAGAGGCTACGTAGATACCAGCCTGCCTACCTAGGTACCATCTCGCAGATGTAGGTGTCGTAGATGACTGTTTTCATGAGGATCATTGTCCTTCAAGCCGTGTTGAATTGAGCTTCCATAGCATTGTCATAGGGTATACCAGATAAACGCCTGCCAATGCATCCTATGTTGATCTTCCCAAGTTCCTCCGTTGCCCATGACTGAGCATACAAGCCAACTCATGCCCTCCTCTTCGCGAAATTCTCCAGATCCGCCCGTGTAGCCACGCCCAGGACGAACTTCCTACTCGCGTCCGTCACTACCGCAAACTCCTGCTTCCCGCTTCCATCTACCCCGCCGGCAAAGAACTCCTCGAGCTCTTCCAGAGGCGTCTCTGTGGTGATGACCTTGTATCTCCTGCCGCGACGCTGGAATTTGTGCATGGCAGCCTCGACTGGGTCGCTGTCCTTGACTTTACCCTCTTTGAGGAGTTGTTGGAGATGCGGGATGCTGATGTAGCCGAGTAGGGCGCGGTTCGTTTGCGAGATGACTGTAAGGTGTGTGTAGTCGCGCTCAAGGCCGGACATGAGCGCCCATGATATGGGGTCCGAGGGCTGGATGGACAGCGCAGGCGGGGGGTCAAGGTCTTCAACTGTCGCCTACGGGTCGTTAGACTAGGCATGCCGGGTATTCGGAAATACATACACCACGGTACTTGTCCGCCCATAGTGCTTGGTAGTTGCTGGTAGACGCGCCGTTGGCGGTGGGCGCTTCAGTTGCCATTGTCCTGGTAGGGAGATATTGCGGGGATGTTTGTTACGCAACTTTCAGAGGAAAGCTAGGGATGCAGATCGCCGGGTCGTCGATTGCCTTGCGCTAGCATTTGCAGCATGCGCGGACCGGGCTCTAGCGGGTAAGGCTTTTGCAGTGCCTGTATGTTTCAGAACGTATGACAGACGTTCTAGCCGGCCTGCACGCACCTGCGTAAGCCTACGGCCGCAGGTATCCTGAACGCATCCCTCGACGGTACCGTCTAAGCCTCTCGACTAATGCACTTTCCATGCTGGATTCTCACGTGTCCATTTGATCTTCGTGACCAAATTGGACTCCTGCACTGCGGCTCTTCTTAGGGCACACATGGTTTTGCAGCGCTTAATAGTACACGTGATGGGCGGTCCACTAGCGACAACCACAGGTCTCGCTCGTAGGAGCCGCCCGCTACGAACACCATCAACACCCTCAAAGCGCGAGCAAATGGACATCTCGCATTCTTCGTGTGCAGAGTTTGGATAGCCGCTCTGTACTCTCATTACTTCTCTACCGCACTACGACCACACGATGGCACTACCAGCGCACCACTGCCCCTCGATCGCCCACGTAAACCGGTCGGACGAACGACAATCGCATACATCGCACTAGTAACCACATCGGACGAGAACATTGATGGATATGGAAATCGCACGTCTAGGGCCTCGAGGTTGGCCTACTTATGGCCCCCGTGCCTTGGCTCTGCGAAAGCAGCTTTGACAAGGGCTCTTGTCGAGGCGCTTTACGTTCAGAGGTCGTGACAACGATCATGATCGTGATCATCGCATACCACAACAAAGCGTCTTTTTGTATTGGGGCTCTTAGCATTACTTCGCATATGTCCCAAGAAGAAATGCTGCCGGCGACTGGATCACTCGAGGCGATGGAAGGCAAGTCGTATTGGTTCGTAGCATTTGCACGATATCGGGCTACCACCAGACAATGATCGAATCTGGCTCTATACGTGGAAGCGACATACAACCGTCTTCTCGCCGTGGACACTACACAAGAGATGGCAGATGCAGGCTTATCGATAATAACGCGGGTACGGGATACACCCCCGTCTCGGACCATGACAATCCGGGGAAGCCTTCCACCCAGGAGAGTTCGTCCTCAATCCTGCCTGGGGGTACTATTGATCCTGTATAATGTTCTGGCATATTTGTTATGCGTAACTGATATACAACCCTGGCCGATTTCAGGTTCCACGAGGCGATCCAGACAATACGGGAGCATGGTCAGCATTAAGTCTCGCAGTGTGGTTTCGAATACCGCTATCGAAGCTCGTAAATCTGGCCTTCAGCACGTTCATGATAACGCTCTCGTCCAATGTTCGAGTCGATTGCAGATTCTCTCCGATGCATATTTTCCCGGCATATTGTACGCAGAGTCCCACTGTTGTTACTCTTCCCGACTTGTACGGGGCATCATCGCTTTCATCACGACTTCTCCGAGTCGAGAAAGACATATTTTACGAATTCGGTAAAGAGATGGAATTCGTGCGACCTCTGCAAGGATGCAGTATCGTATGAAACGGCCTGTATTGAAGCATGCTGCCAGGTTCACGAAGTCACGATGCCCTGAAAGTAGATCCGAGGAACAGCAAGGCCTCACGCATCACGGGACCGACACGGCGTAATGATCGCTCTTTGAAGGTGGGTTTAACTGATTTCATTTATTATATTGCAACGTCCTCCTGAATGGCCTTTGGGACGTCGCTGTATAGTTCATCAAGGCAGATGTGCCAAACTTTCAACGCCAGCTTGATTTCGACTTCAAACACTGGCCATCTTATTCAATCAAGGTAACTTACATATATGCACCTATTCTGGACTGTGCAGCTAGAGCTGTCGCGCAGGAGAAGAGTTGCTAAGGCATGGGGACAATGGAGCTGGCAGGGTCGTTGGCTTTGTCTCTATGGTAAGATCCGGAATTTTGGCAGAACGCAGGCTAGACTACAGTGAGTATTTCTTTGTTTTATCTAAATTCAACAATACTTAAGCTGACGACGGTTTAGTAGTAACCGAAATGCAAAATTACCCTGACAAGTCTACCCCGAGCACGTCCAAAACCCCGCAGCTCAGCGTTCTCACTTGGTGCCACGCAACTTAGCCGCTCGCATCTCACTATCTTCGCATCACAAGCGTCATCATTTAACGACGACTACACTGACTTCACAGGACAAGAAAGAGCTAGGAACGGTGGTCTCAGAAGGTGTCGCTTCCATCGGCTTGCGCTCTTACCTAGAGGGCTTCGTCTAGCTCGTCCGTGGCGGCTTCTCACTCAGTGCCGATCGACCGCTCCCCGTAGCCCAACAAAGGGAGAAAGGCGTAGTCGAGAGAGCTGCGCCGACGCGGGAATACCGTTACTTTCGCGTCATCAGCAAGCTTCGTGCACAAGTATTAGAACAGTGGGTTTGCTTGGCCGGAGGCGCGGCTGCTCTCAGGGCTGTACTCCTGCACGGACCCAAGTCATCGCATCGCGCGAAACCTCCCACGACGCAGCAAACACGCCACACTTGCTGCAACATTACCAAAACTTCACCGGTGCCTAAACGAACGAGTCCCAATTACCTCGCGCTTTTCTGAACGCGATAGCTCTTGTGGTGCGTGCAGGCCGAAGAACGTCACGTGCTGCGCCTGGCGTCGCTGGAAAGTTCAAGAGTTGCGTCTCCGATCTCTTCTTTCTTGCCCTCCCCACACCACCACAATACGACCCAACCACCTCACCCACCGCGCACCATCGATCTACCCGGTCGACCATCAATCACGCGACACTGCCATCGCGTCCGACACATCGACGAGGTAATTCGCGAATCTGCGCCTCCCTTACGCGTCGACACGACATCGTACAAGCGTGAGCTCGACTCGCACAATGGCGGACGAGGCCAACCCACCCGTGCCTGCGGACACCACCAACACTGCTGAACTACCGACGCGTTCCACAGACGCTGTTGCAGAGCCTGCTGTCGCTGAGGCAAAGCCGGCTGAGGACGGTGTCATAACCACCTCAGGTGTCGCTGAAGGTAACCAATTGTCTGCTCGTAAATTTTCCACGGCGCGGTAGCTAACGCGATCGCGAATCAGTTCCCAAAGACGACGCTGCGCAAAAGGACGATGCCGCGAAGGAAGACGCCACTGCTGACGCGCAGGCAGAGCCAACGGCTAGCGACGACGCAAGTAAGTTCAGCCATACTTGATTTCAGACTTCGGGCTCTATGAGCGGTATCAACGTATCAGACTCGCGTACTAACCCATTCTCCCAGATGCTGCTCCAGCCTCCGACGCGCCAGCGACGAATGGCACCCCAGCACCAAAGAAGGCTGCCAACGACAAGCGCAAATCCGGTGCGGGCGTTCCCGAGCACAAGAAGAAGACACCGGCTAAGAAGGGAAAGAAGCCACCACCCGAACTGCGTCTGAATGTCTCGCCTGGTGACATGTTCATGGTCGCCATGCGGGGTTACCAGCCATGGCCAGTCATTGTTTGCGATGAACAAATGCTCCCAGAGTCGCTGCTTAGCAAGCGTCCTGTCAGTGCTAAGCGCATTGACGGTACGTACCGCGAAGACTTTCTCGAGGGCGGCAAAAACGCTAAGGATCGGAGATACCCGGTCATGTTCCTGGGCACCAACGAATTCGCATGGCAAGTCAACACTGAGCTGTTGTCATTCGACATCGAGGAGGTGAAGAAGGACGTGGAGTCCGGCAACCAAGGGAAGAAGAACAAGCAGCTCTGGGAAGCGTATCAGATCGCGGCTGAGGGTCACGACCTGGCACACTTCAAGGAGATGCTGGCTGCCCACGAATCTGCGATGCAAGAAGACGTGGAGCAGAAGGAGCAGAAGAAGAAGGAGAAGGCTGAGAAGTCAGCCAAGCGTAAAAGCACAGCCCCTGACGACTCAGAAGACGCTGAGATGGGAGAAGCTGGTGACGATGCTGCCCCTGCAAAGAAGGCGAAGGCCACCAAGAAGCGCAAGAAGGATGATCAAAGCGATGGCGAGAATGAGAAGGTATGGACCGCATGTTTCCATTGGTTTACGTACTCTAACTTGTTTACAGGCTGTAAAGACTCCCAAGATCAAGTTGACGACTGGCAAGACACCAAAGGCCGCATCAGCCGCGAAACCTAAGAAGGAGCCCAAGTCTAAGAAGAAAGCGAGTGAAGAAGCTGCGCCTGAAACACCAGAAGAGGCTCCTATGACTGAAGAGGAGCGGCTAGTGAAGCGCGAGAAGCAAGTTCTCTACCTCCGTCATCGCTTGCAAAAGGGATTCCTCTCGCGCGACCAGAAACCAAAAGATGAGGACATGACGAGCATGTCCGAGTACCTGAAGCAGCTTGAGGCTCACGAGGATCTAGAGGCTGATATCATAAGAAAGACCAAGGTTCACAAGGTACTGAGGGCAATTCAGAAGCTGGAAACTATTCCGATGGAGGATGCGTACAGCTTCAAGCAGCGCTCCAGTGATCTCCTCTCCAAGTGGGGCCCTGCTCTGGCATCTGACCCTGAGCCTGCCGCTGCCAACGGTGTCAAGAGCGAAGATCGGGAGAAGTCTGAGTCTGCTAAAGACGAGGCGCCGTCTGCTGAGAAGACTACAGAGGAAGAGAAGAAGGACAGTGCCAGTACCGATGCCGCCATCACCAAGACCGCTGACGAGGATGGCGATGTGCACATGTCGGAAGCCGACAAAGATGTCATCAAGGATGCGCCTGCAGCGCAAGAAGAAGCTGAAAAGAGTGGAGAGGGCATCGAGAAGACGACAGCTGAGCCTGAGACGGCTGCTGCGGCCACGGATGATGCGTCCACCTAAACGCAGCGCGCTCACGAGCAATGAGCAAGGAAATGGCGTATTCAGCCCTGTTACAGTCGTCTTTCTGCAGCAGCCTGACTGCAATACTGAAGCGTAACGGCTTGCGATGGTTGGTACGAGCACGCATGAGCGAGACGTGTTCGGGTATCTCTACGGCGGGCGCACCAGCTTTGGTATCTTGGACGATAAGGTCATCTGTGTACATATATATAGTGCTGAACAAGCAGGGTTAGTGGAGTTCGATGAGAAGACGCGTGCTCATTCTTCGCGACATGTGTTTCTTTTCATGGGTTCTCGGAGATTAGTGAGCTTTAGCGGAGTCAGAGACTGTCCTAGCGATCGATAACAATTGGAATTATCTCATTAACATGCCACTGTTGTATTCCACTGTGATCACATTGATTACTCTTCTCATGTTTTTGTTCTCCACGCGTATGTATCATGGCCATTGTGGCGCGCGCATCGCGTGGAGCAATGAATGCCCCGCTATCATTATGACGTACTCTTCGCGCGTTGAGCTCCATAACAAAACCATAGCCGTGGAAAGCTCATCACAGCAATCAAACAACACTCGAGACTCCTACTTTTTCTCGTACTAAACACCCAATACATAATTCAGCCCCCCGAGCAGATTTCAAGATGGCCAGCGCAACTAGGAAAGACCTCCTGAAGAAGGTATACAACATGGTACCACCCATGCTCGAAAGTTTTCACAAGGGTAAGCAATGGTGTACAATCATGCCCCCGACCAGATTCTGATGCCTTCGAACAGGTCAATTGGGTCGTGTAGCTGTCATTGGTGGTAGTGAAGACTACACTGGTGCGCCTTACTTTTCTGCTATGGCATCCGCAAAGCTAGGTTGCGACATGGTAGGAACATACACATATCCTCGTCCTGAACAATCTACTCACCTTAATACAGTCCCATGTGATTTGCGAACCCGGCGCCGGTGCGGTTATCAAGACTTACTCGCCCAATCTCATGGTACACCCTTACATGCGTCAATCAAAGAACCTCGCCAAGTCCGAAAGCGCGGACAGCGTCACCGCAGAAGTAGTAGCCATGCTCTCACGTCTCCACGTCATCGTCATTGGTCCCGGTCTTGGTCGCGATGAACTCATGCAAGACACCTGCGCACAGGTCATTCAAGAGGCAAGGAAGCAGGGCATTCCGTTCGTGCTGGACGCAGACGGTCTCTACCTCGCACAGACAAGGCCAGAACTCGTGGACGGCTGCACTGAATGTATTCTTACACCCAACGTTGTCGAATTCGGAAGGCTAGCCAAGGCCAAGGGTGTAGATGTCAACGAAGGCGATCCTTCAGAGCTGTGCGCTAAGCTGTCGAAGGCATTCGGCGGTGTTACCATCATCCAGAAGGGTGCCAAGGACTATATCTCCAACGGTTCTCACACACTCATTTCTGAGGGCGAGGGTGGCCTGAAGCGCTCTGGTGGCCAAGGTGACACTCTTACTGGCAGCCTAGCGACCCTGTTGGCGTACAGGAAAGCATACCACGATAAGATCTGGGACATTGGTACCGAGATGTCAAGGAGCGAGACTCTTGCTCTTGCGGCGTATGGTGGATCATGCATCACTAGGGAGTGCTCGAAGCTCGCGTTCAAGGAGAAGGGCAGATCGCTGCAAGCCAGCGACTTGACTGGCTATGTTCACACTGCGTTCCTCAACGTCATTGGTGAGAGGGAAGAGACTCCTATGTTGTGAGCTGGGGATGGATCTTTTCGCGATAACAAAAGTAATCGTCTTTGGCAAAGCACATTTTGTGTCAAAGACTGGCAGGTAATATATAAGGAACTGTAATAAATTGTACAACTACATGTTTTGAACCAATTTGTACGACTTCTCCTCTTCGTAATGAGATTACTTGACGAACCAACAAAGTATCTGTGTAACAAGTACATAGGCTGGGGGTGGGCGCGAATTTGCTGAATAATATCTTTACAGTAAGAAACAGCGTCTAGATACTGAGGAGTGTAACAATCATTAATGGATTACGATAGGATATCCTGTCACAAGATATTGTCTGCCTCAACTTAGACCATGTAGTATCATTTGTAATGTAGCCTCTCGTAGACTTCTAACGCAAAATAGCTTTGCGCAATCACCCTGTGTCGTGAACACACGCTCAAAGGTAGACGCGCTACATAAAAAGTAGCTCGAAAACGATACCTAACAAGACGTCATACCCTTATGGAAAGATGAAATGAGCGCATGAATACGTAGGGAATCCGTAAATAGACAGCGTGCATGATGAAAATGTTCCGGTTATTGAGAATTGCGTTGGTGGTTGTGCTGATGAGGCTCAGCGACTGCGCATATGCAAGGGGCCACCTCGGGACGAAAGAGGTCGTAGGTCGGGAATCTACACCCAATGTAAGCAACGTTGATCGATCTCGGGGTTAAGGAACTGATATTAGCGCACAGAGAAGTTCTTATCTAGGTAAACGTACGCGCTTCGCCCCAACCGGATGCCTTTCTTTGTCCTCCAAAATATTGGAATGCATCCCCGCGTTCATCTGTGCAAAAAGAGTATCAGTGCAGCTATGTGTGGACAAAGGGATACTTTGAGCAAGGCTACCGTCATCGAGTTGTGTATATGTAAATTTGTGTGCTCACGACTACACTTCCTATCATCTTTACTGGAAAATGGCACACCCTGCAGAGGACTACTATGACATGCCTGTCGAGATGTTGCCTTCTGCGAACTTTGCAGGCCGCCCTACGAGCGACATCAGCATGAGCATGTACGACGGGCTTTGGGATTTAGTGTTCTCCCCCTCCTGCTATTCTTCCGAAGACGAAGCGGCATACGATGACGATGAAGCTTCTATACAGCAACGAACCCCACCGCGATCATCTCCTTCGCCTACTCAGATGGAGTCGCCAGTGAGACCAACAATCAGAGTAACGTCACCGACGCTCAAAGAAAAGAGAATTATATGGGGAGAAAGCTTGGGCAACGATGAGAGCATGATAGATCGACCACGATTGCGGAAGAAGTCCCAGACAGCACCTCCTGGCGGCTTTGAAGCACAGGTTGCACCACCCCTGGAGCCACGACGGGCCATCAGTGTAAGGTTGAGCTACTCGAACACAATCAGGAAAAGAAGGCCGAAGTCGGATGATGGGTCTGCGAACTGCTTGGATACTAGGAAGGTCTCTAGCAATGGGGTATTGGGACCACGGAGGGCATTGCCGAAACCACCATGCCAGGATAACGAGGCGACATCGCATTGTACGACGCGCACGCTCGGCTCCTATCTCGATAAGTCGCGAGGGCAGGGAACATTGAAACAGAAGCAGCTTAGAACGCTGAATACTCTGAACACAGCTCTGGCGGACTTTGAGTCAAAGATATTACCTACCTCGCCCAGCTCGATGTCGGAAACACCACAAGAATGTTACGCAACACCAGAACGGATTGCGACAAGTGGAACTTTAGGTAGTCCACGCTCATCTCACTCGTGGGGTCTGAAATTAGTCCGACCTGTCAGACCTATTGCTCATATAACCCACTCGCCCTCCTCCGCACGGCCAAACGTAGAAGCCCATTATACGCTAAAGCGCAAACACCATGGAGATGTTGACGCGGCTGAACGGCGGAGAGTTTATCTACCCGGGGCGATCATGCTTGCAGAGCATCCAGCTAAGCTTCGCAGAGATTCTGTCGCAACGCTTGATCCATTTACGTTTGACCCCAAGCTAGACTCACCAGGAAGGCGAACATCGGATACCGCAGGGCTGGATAGTATGGTCATGTTTTTTGAGGAGTTTGGTGTGGTCGCAAAGGTTACTGAAGCCACCTTTGACCAGTATTGGCTACGACAAAGTCTAAACATGAGTGACGCCATGGACGAAGAGATGGAGGACTTTGTCGCCCGCAAGGCAAGCGTATCAAGCGTGAAGGAGGTAGGGCCAATGGGTCCTTATGTCGCCCAGGGTCCTCCCGGATTGAAGTCCTCGTTCTCGTCCGCGTCATCTATGGTTTCTATGCACCCACCAGAAAAACGTAAGCGGAGTAGGCTGAGAGGACTGCTATCACCAGGCCTTCCTGGCGCAGCCTTTCTCAAGTCCCCTGCAAGTCGGGGACAGCAGATCGAAAGTTCATAACCAAGATAGCAATAATGTAGATTGAATCAATAAAACCTTAGGGAAATGAGCCGCGTACCACGATTCAGGCTGGGATACCTAGATACCTGGGGTTGTGCTCTGCCAAGGCGTGATAGCGATGAGGTGCCATCCTGAACGGGTAGTTCACGACACATGGGCTGGCGGTTGCGAGCATGGGAGACGATCAATGAGCCTGGACTCTTCGTTTTGCTGACATGTCTAACGCGAGCAAGAAAATTGATGGCGATCCGCCGTTTCCGCATTTCGCGTACCCATGAGCGATGACGACTGACGGCTTGTGATTCAGCCGTGCGGTAGACGCTTTGGGAATAAGAGGGCCATTGGCGCGGCGCCAGAGGAAAAACGTGTGGGTTACGCCTCTGCCACTGACAGCACAGTTTGCCAAATTCGAATGGACGCATGAAACCTGGTGGTCCCTCACCGAGTGTGGGTTCACGATAGGGTAGCACTGGGGGGTCCCCAGGATCGAGGAGCCAGGGTCGGTGTGTTGGCTTCCGTGTACCAAAAGTGAGGCAGCGAATGAAAATTGCTGCTGCCCCCTTTTGTCCAATGAAACATCAGACGGATGGCATCGATCGCCAGCGAGGATAGCCCTTCTGAGCTCACCTTGGCCCTTCGTCCACCGCTCAGCGCGGGCCGCATTCGTCAGACGCTCTCTAACACGAGCCAGCGCATCGCTCGTCCCCCATGTCCTGAGGTGGTGCTAAAAGCACATCCTCCCCTTCCCAACCCGCACTCTCACTTATTCATCGCCTCGCATTTCTGAAATAACCCCATTTGCTTCCTTCTTCACAATCATCTACTACCACCAACGTAAGATTTTCCTGCACAGACAAGCCCTTCTTTTGGCCGTTGTTGCTGATCATCGTTTCGACCAGTCTGCTTCTTACACCGCTACCACTATTCTTACCATCTCACCACCCCTCAGACGTCATGGCCTCGACTCTTGCGAATAGTAGTAGCAGTAGTAGTAATACCTACGTCGCCTTCCTCGAACAAGCCAAGCACGACTTCTGCGTGAGCAACGCACACCTCTCAGAGGAGGAGCTAAACCGCGCCTGGTTCCAGGCCGCCTGCCAACCGTCGCAACCCTCCATGGCCCACCAGGTCCCACGGTCAATGGCCTTTAACACGTCAAACATGACCCAGCTCCCAGTATGGACACATTTTTGGTCTACTCGTCCCTGATCTAACACCCACTAGACAACTGGCTTCGAATCAATGGACCGGACTCGTTCTGCTCCCGTCATGAATCGCTCCGACTCGGCAATGACCAACAACCTACACCGCTCAAACACCACCTACTCTGGCTGGCCGTCCATGTCCCAAGAGTCCAACACCGACTACACGCTCTACTCTGACACTTCCATGCGAAGACAGCCGACTCTTCAGTCGATGCCAGAGACTGCTTACAACAGCATCGCTGAGTACAGTGTTGGCGACTATGTCAGCAGCTGTATCCAGCCAGAGAACTCATCTTCCCTCCCCACCCCCCAGCATTCACAGCAGTTGCAACTGACACCAAGCTTGCAGTGGAGTTCGTCTTCGGACGTCTCCTCACCCAGCACACCGTCAACCGCTCTGATGACGCCTGTTACTCAATCTAGTAACATGAGTCGTCAGGGTAGTTATAACCCTCTGTTTTTTGATAACATTTCCATGTCGCGTAATCAGTCAACTTCTTCATGTATGCCCATCCTCCCAGAGGATGGGTCATTTCCTTATTCCTTTAACGTCGCATCAAAGCCCATCAGCGAGTCCGCTGATGGTTCTCATTTTCTCAACTTCACTGGCTCCTCCAGTGAAGCTTTCCTTTCTTCATCTGTTCCTGCAAGTGCGCATGCACTTGCCTCTTCCGACAACGATCAGTCGTGCCTGGCGGAGGATATGCGGAGGTCGACTTCAGCTTCATCAAGCGAGGGTTACTCGAGCGAGGTCTCTGCACCTTCATCGACCAACTCTCGTCAATCGCAACGCGAACGCGAGATCAATGCGCAAGCTGCGTCTCGCAAGATTGCCCCAAAAGCAATCGACAATAATGACATGACCGAGTCCGCGTCATCCAATGCTCAGATGACAAGGATAAGGTCTGAGGATGGATCCTCTAAGACTGTCGGTGTCTTGTCAAAGACACCGTACGTGCGTCCTCAACACCCCAAGATCAAGTGTAACTTTTGCAACGAGCGACCCGATGGGTTCCGTGGCACACATGAGCTTGACCGTCACATTGCTCGCGCCCATGCCTCTCGCAGGAAGGGCTACATCTGCGTCGACTCTTCAGCCGACAAGAAGTTCCTCGCCAACTGTAAGCATTGCCGTAACAAGAAGGTGTACGGCGCGTACTACAACGCTGCCGCTCACCTTCGACGTGCGCATTTCCATCCCCGTAAGAGGGGCAGGAAGGGCAAGAATGACGAGAAGCGTGGTGGTATCGGTGGCGGAGACGACCCTCCCATGGAGTATCTCAAGCAAAACTGGATCAAAGAGGTGGAGGTCGACAACAAGCCCACTCCTCAATCACCCGAAAGCGCTTCCGACAACGATGCGTCTGAACAGATCGACAACACCTTCGACACTAGTTCGTACGACATCGACAACACTGCTGTTCCTGCTGCCGCTTACCCTCCGTCGCAACAGCCGCTTCCGATGGCGATGCCCATGCAAGTACCCATGATCGACCAAGTCCCTATTGACCCAAATCAATACATGGACTATGGTATGAACATGCATGCGAATGAGCCCATGGTGTTTGACAACACCACTTTCTTCGACCCGAACCTACCTCTTCCCACCGATATGAGTAACTTCCAGTTCGACGCGTACATGGGTCCTTGAGCCCATGCACCCCCTGCTCTCTTCCTTCAACCTCATCCTCTTTCTCATACTTGGCTCTTTGAGTCGTCGATGTACATAACGTTGGGTCTGGGGCCGTTTGCATTTTTTGTCGTCTTTGGCGTTTGATGAATTGTGACCACCAGTTTGACTTCCTATGGAGCAGCTGTGGTAGGTCTGCATCGTGGCGCTATTTTTATTATTTTTTTGGTCACGCTCGTCGACGTAAATGATAGAGATTTGCTTGGCTTATAGAGAGTGATGTTGCCCTTTTGAGGCGCTCACATAACGTTCCGATGTTGCTATCGCATAACGTTAATGCCTGTGTAGGTACTACCACCGGGCTTGAAAGAAATAAAAATAAAATAATCAAAATCTACATGTACGCGTTGATGTGATGTTTGGTTCTGCCCTTCTTCCGGTCCATGCTCAACGTCCTTCGTATCGACCACGACAAACAGCAAGCAGACAAGGGTTGCTACTTGCTTGCCTTCTTCCGCGCATCTCTTCATGATATTGTGTTCACCTACAACGGTACTTCAGGATCACGGCGAGTTTAGTGATACTAGTTAGTACCTCGCATGACCTTCCTCTCACTCACAGTATGCGTGCACAAGACTGTACACTAGTCGTTCCATCTTGAAATACTATACCATATATTTGCAACTCCTGTTGGACACGTGCTTGCAGTATACCAGGCCTTGGCGACAGTGCTAGAGCTTGGCTTGATCGCTTTCTCCTTTCCTGTACTAATGTGGGACTGCGAAGATCCTTTGTTGATGACTTGGGGGCAATCGTGTATAGTAAGAATGTGACTCGACTTGGAGAAGTGTATTCGTTTTGTTAGCAAATGACATCGATACCGTAGGATGTCATGTGTATCGCTCCTCCCATGCTCCCTGAACAAGCCTGTATAGACCAAGATGTATTCCTCCGCCTCTTCTCGAGATCAAAAAGACCTAGTAGCTGGAGTTGGGGTAGTTGCCACCACCTTGTGTCGAGTTATCAACGGGGTTGGCGGGTCCACCAGTCTGGCCCAATGCACCACCAGCTTGTGTCGCTTCGCCCTTTGACTGCTTGATAGCCTCTCTCGCTTCAGCTTGTTCAGCCTTCTTCCTGTTCCGCTATTAGCACATGATCTACTCACACAAACAGTACACAACACTCACCTGTCCAAGTCGCTTGCGAGATCAGGCTGCTCTCCACCACCGCCCATACCCTTTCCTCCCTTGGCCACCGCATCGGCCACACGTCCCTCGCCCGGCGCAGCCATTTGTTGCCCATCCAACTCCTTGTGCCTTCCTACGTCTTCGTGGGTCAGACCTTTCCTCTCTTCACCCGCTGGTGCGCCGTGTACACCCATGCCTTCCTCGAATTTTGCATTCCGTAGTCCCTCGGCATCGGTAGCTTGCTTGGTGGGAATGCGTTGGTCGACGGTGGCAGCGTTGTCGGTGGCGTTGAACTCTGTTTGAACTTGCTCTTTTGGGTCTTTTTGCGCTGGGTTGCCAGGTGTGATGTAGGCTTGGTTTAGGGAGGGCTGCGAGGGGCCCTGGGGATCGAGACCGGACATTTTTGGTGGAGGTAGATGTGGTTGTAGTTGTGAGTAATTAGAATGTCAATTGATGGTGAGGATGTGGATGTAAAGAGTATGCGAGGTTGAAAATTAGGAGGATTGGGTTTGTATATGGGAAATCAGGCTGAAGCTCTCAAGGACATTGTTTTGGCTATCTGCCATCGCTATGACGTCTGCGGGGTGGGCCCGTCATTCATTCCCGCCCCACCAATGCGCGCCGTTGTCATGTGAGGACGTGGAAAACAAACGTCTGAGCCGCGTTTTAGTCTTGTCTCGTAGTCATTGGTATCGGCGCGGCACGATGGCGGGAAGACTAGGTGCGAGATCGGTCCCAAAACTTGCATGCGGCCGTGCAACGAGAAACCAGATAGATACACGCAGGTCTTCGTGTACGCTGCCGCCTACAATAAAACGAACGTACCGAGGTGAAGAACGTTACACTCATGTAGACTTCTGGGTTATACATACGTATACAGTATATGTAGTATTGTTTGTTACTTGCTGATATAGTAGGTGATGGGTTGGGTACTTCTCTTGGATGGAGAGCGTGCTTGCCGCAGGTGCTAAGAAAGTACGCCTCGGATGACCTCACTCAACTACTTGGATGATGTTAGTTGTAGGAAACAATATCATATCGTCGCCACAACTTCGTATCGCCTAATGTATGGTAAGAGGTATATGCACCGTAACCACTACAGGCCGTGGAATAATGAGCACGCGAGCTCGAACTCCCAACACACCCATCGAGTAACCCTATGAGTTACAGAGCCGGCCAGCCCAAAACCTAGATATCCCTGAACGCCTTAATAATGATTCGTGACCAAACGCCTTCGCTATGCTTGTACAATGAACGGCCAGATATCACTCCATTTCCATTTCCATTTCCACGTCCGCCGAGGGCTCTCTTGTTTCGACGTTGTTTGTCGTTTCGCGGCTTTCTCGTTTTGACTCGGCTGCTTTGGCTGCTCTTTCACGAGTTCTGCGACACCACTCTTCTATCGATTCGGCGCCTCCTCCTTCGATTTTGATGGTCTTTGGTTCGGCTGGGACTCCCAGAACGGTGCCTTGGAAACGCGATTCGACACCGGTCTTGCTGTGCTTCTTCATGAGAGCTAGGGAAGCAGTTAGTACGTCTGTAGCCGTGTAGAGAGGTATTTGGACATACTGTTTAAATAGTCCTCCATTTCTTCCTGGTCAAGCTGCTCTGTCGGGTTGGTTGCAACTGGCTTGTAGATGCCGGCTATGCGCCGAATCTCCTTGTTCTGGTCGCCTTTGACCCATTCAATGAACTCGGTCACATCTGCTGTGTCTTCGGCGTCGCGACGGGCTGCCTCGTTCTCGCGGGCTCCCGTTTCCTCGTTGTACTCATCGAGCGGTTTGCGCAATATCTCCTTCCACAATTCTTCCCCGGCTGTCATGGTCGGCACAAGAAGGGCGCAGTCCTGCATTGCCATGCGCACATCGCTAATGTCTGGGGTGAGGTCGTTGTGGTTGGAGAAGGCATTGTAGGCTGTGCGCTCTGCTAGTAGTGATAAGTAGCGTGCCGTAAGGTCTACGATGGTGTCGACAGCCGAAGGTTTGCCGTGTTGGAAGCCCGTGGCGCGTAGAATGTGGAGGACGGCGGGCCGCAGCAGGTTGAGGAAGAGGTCGTTTTGGGACATGCTGGCGGTGGTGTGGGCGATGGAAGATGCAGAGGTCCGCTGCTGTGTGGTGCTGTTAGGGCGGGAACAGCAGGCGCATGGTGGTCTTGTCCGGCGCAGCGAGTGTAAAGAAAGTGAAGGTACGCGACTGGAAAGCTTTGGCCCTTCACTGCGGTGAACGCCAAGGCCGACGCCCGTGGAATGCCAACGCTTCCGACTCACCTACCCAGCTTTCCCACCACCGTGTGCCCTCGCGAATGTCGCGCACCCAGGCGCGCAGTCCCACACCTACGTCTTGAACAACGAAACTCCCCGTACCGCCGCCCAAGATGAAGCTCAAACTCAAGAACCCGAATGCGCTTCCTGGCGATGCGCCGCCCGCCGCACCTCCCCCGTCCGACGCGCCTACACCCGTTTCCGCGAAGCCAGGAGGCCTCAAGCTGAAGCTGAAGCCTTCAGGACCCGCGGCTGGCGAGCCTGCAGATGGCCAGAATGGCGAAGGTACCAAAGTTAAGCGCAAGTACACCAAGAAGCCCAAACTCGATGAAAGCGGCAATGTCATTCCCCCGGGAAAGCCTGGACCGAAGAAGAGGGCACGCGAAGACGGCGACGATATCGATTCACCTGCCGCGAAGCGCAAGCCGAAACCCACCGCGAAGAGCCTCGCCATGGCCAATGACAGCGGCGACGACGACGACGATTACGCCGCAGTCCAACAACCTCCGCCTCAGCCTATCAAGTCACACAACCGTACTCAGTCTATCAAGCTCTCGATCAAACCGAAGGGAAGCATGACCTCGGCGAGACCAGCCATCCTAAAGGTCAAAGGCGCAGGAAAGCCGCCAGTCAGACCATATGGTGTCGGATATGACAGCGAGGCAGAAGAGGCGGAACCTGACCCGGCTATCGAATCTCAGTTTGTGTTGCGCATGAAGCCAGGCCCAGACTGCGATTTGCTGCGCAAGTCCATCGAAGAGAAGACCATTGGCAAGAGTGTGTCACAGGGAGGGCCCGGCGTACACTTCCGATTCTTTGACCGCGAGGGCCGCCGTGCTATGCTCACTGTACAAGGCCGCCACTACGCTGCGACTATGGTCGAGTTACCCGCAGTCATAGAGTCACTGAAGAGTTGGAACAAGAAGGACTGGGTCAAGACCGCAGACGTCTGCCAGATGCTGCTAGTCCTGGACGAAGTTAAGAACGAGGAGGAAGCGAAGAAGTATCCACTGCCATCCTACATCTCGCCGGATACCCACCGGTTTCCCCACGGTCTGACGCCACCTATGAAATGGGCCCGCAAACGACGCTTCCGCCCTCGAAAATCATACATCGACGTTGAGCGCGCCGAAGCAGCGTTACACCGACTATTGGAAGCTGACGAGCTCGCCGAGTCAACGAAATATGAGATGGTAGACAGTGAAGCCGAGAGCTCAGAGGAGTCTAGTTCGGAAGAAGAGGTCGACGACGAGGAGATGGCAGACGCTACCCAAGTGGAAGAAATGGATGCCGACCAACTGGAGCAGATGCTTGCCGAAGGACTCATGGATGACGAGGTCGAATTCCAGGGCGACAATGACCAACTGAAGGCTTTGCTCGCGGGTAACGACAACGTGCAAGTTGAACAGGCTGACACGCCCACCACCGCTCACGATGTCGCCATGCACGCTCTCAGCCAGAACGGAAACGTCGTTATCGAAACCGAGACGGCAGCGTCTACACCTGCAGCCGCGACATCTGCAGACGACGACGATGATGACGACGACGAAGATTCCGATGAGGACGTCGATGAGGTGGACGAAGCTGCCGCAGCGGAGGAACAGCGTCAAGAGCAACTTCGGGGCGAAATCGCAGAGTTGGAGAGAGCTATTGTTCAAAGTACAGAAGCACGCGACAGACACACCAACTTCCTCTTCAAGAAGCGCGCACAAACCCAAATCGACAAGCAGAAAGCGGATCTTGCAATCAAGCGTAAGCAGCTGAATGAGGAGGCTGATGAGTGATCATACCTCCCCTAGACCTTGCTCTCTCGGTGAAGGGTTGGTCATGGACATTGGGTAGCGGGGTTTATTAGATGTAGCATCGCTTCGGCGTTCTCAATGGGTAGGGAGCATTCATATGGCGTTTTCTTTGGGCTGGGGTGCAGCACCCATGGCTCTATAGCGGATATTCCCAATTTCATTTATTGCTCACACAGAGATGTGTTCAAGGGGAAGTCTTCCTTGAATGCTTCCATGGAGGGTTCTGTATTTAGTGGAGTACAGAAAACACGCTACCAGACAGGCACTCTGTCTAGAAAATTCCATGTCATGTATGCAATGTACGATCGCGAGATCGTCGTGAGGGTGAAAACATGACAGAGCGACTATGCGAACCATCCGAGTCAGCCCAACTTCTATCTTCTTTTCTCTTGCTCTACACATCAATCATCACGCGAGTTCACAAGCAGCAACAATTCATCCAATGAACGATTAAAAGAATCGATTTCCCCAACTCTCCAACACGGGTATATACAACGAACCAAGGAAACCGTATGCGACTAGAGTGAGACCGCCATTCATGAGTTCATCCAAAAAGAGACAATGCGCCTTTTCCAAACAAATAAAACACCCCGTCAAAGAGGGCGACGCTTGAACGCTCCAGAAGCGGCGATTTCGCGCGAAAGAGGTGGGTAGTAAGAATGTAGCTGCTGACAGCAGCAAGAACAAACAACCCAAGATGGAAATAGCAAGGAAACCCGGGCGCCAAGTCGTCATGATGATGATGATGATGGGAAAAGAGACAAAGAAAATAAGACGTGTATGTACATGTCAATACCCCGAAGACGGAGCACCAAGAATAGACAAAAGTACAACAAAGAGAGAAAGACAAAGATCAGTCGCTCTCCAGCAACTGTCTAATCTTCTCGTAGAAACTCGCCGGATACTGACGAATCTCATCGTCGGTAGGCGGGCTCTTATTCGGATCTCTAAACCGATCTGCGACTCGTTGGATGATTTGACCGAGCAGCTCCTGTGGTATTTTCAGGTCATCTCCGCCGTCGGGGTAGAGGAAAGGATCTCTTTCGTCTAGAAGCTGTGCAACGTTGGGTCGGCGCGAGGCATCGCGTTGCAAGCAGCGGCGAAGCGTAGCTTTGAGGCCGGGAGGGACGCGAACATCGCCGACGCCGAGGTCGGGGATTTCAATTTTGTAGTCGCGGTTTACAATGGCGAGGACGCGCGCCATTTGGTTGGTAATGTGTGCGAAGGGAGGGCGACCGTAGACCATTTGGTAGAGGATGCAGCCTAAACTCCAGACGTCGGAGGGCTTGCCGAGCGCCATGTCTTTAGAGCCGTTGCCATTGGAGAGCAGGCCTCGGGCACCGCCGGCGGAGTCTTCGAGCGACTCTGGTGACATGTAGTTTGGGGTGCCGATGTGCGAGTCACGGTGCACGTTTACAGTGTGGTCGACTTCGATGGCGTTTGCGATGCCAAAGTCGATGAGCTTCAAGCGGCCAGAGGTGAGAAGGAAGTTTGCGGGTTTCAGGTCAGAGTGGACAATGTCGTGGTCGTGGACTGCGCCGACGCATTCGAGCATTTCTTTCCAGTAGTAGCGTGTGAAGCTCAGGTCTAGTTTGCCGTCTCCATCGGCGGGATCGAGTTTCATTCGTATTATTCGCGCGAGATCCGACTCTCCGAGTTCCATGAGCTGGTGTATGTTAGCAAAGAACTCTGCTTCATTTCATAATACACGTACCACACTCAGCACTTGACGTTGCTCATCGACCTCCCAGTCGTACAATCTCACAACGCGATCAACGTTCTTGAGCTTCTGTAGGAGGTCGATCTCGCCCTTGAAGCCCCGTACAGTAGCTTCATCTGCATCCTCAAGCTTGACCCTCTTCAGTGCCAGAAGCTTGAAATTCTCTGCCATGACACGGTACACGGCTGAACTGCCGCCTCTTCCTATCCTGTCCATTTGCGAATAGTGCTTTCCATTGACTGATAGTGTGCTCCTCTTCTTCCTTTCTCTCGTCTTTGTTGTGGCTGCTCCAGCAGCAGTAGTCGCCGTCTCCAACACTGACATCTTCGGCGGCGGAGGAGGTGCTGGTCGTCGTGGAGTGTTCGCACTTAGCGCCTGGAGCGGCATCTGCTTTTCTTGTTGCTGCGAAGATCGTTGTATCGGCGACTGGTGCTCTGGTGCAGGCTGCATATGGCGATCCTCTGCAACCTTCATGACAGAGCCGGTAACTTTCAGGACGGAATCGGGGACGTTCTCAGGCTGCGTCTTGACCGCTGAGATGGGCATGTTCTCTTGGTCTTGAGAGGGATGGTGCTCCTCCTCACTCTGAGGCGTCCTTCGAAACCGTCTCATCGGCGCACCCCGTAATGGCACTCGCTTTATTCGCAAACTTGGTGCAGGTGTGACGGTATCTTGCACTGGCGTGTTGGAGCCAGAAGCATTGCGCGATATCTTCAGCTTGGGTTTCCTCTTCTCAGGCGAATCGACATCACTTCCCTGCGCAAGAAGTGCCGTTGTCAAAGCGCTGAGCTTCATAGGTTGTGGTATCTCGTCATCGGAGCTGTCGCCAATGTTGATGTTCTGCATCATGGGCGCATCCGCCGAGAAACCCTGCGACTGCCCCAGTACGGATAGCGGAGAGTCTCTCCTGGGCCGTATCGAGGAATGCGCACGCATGCGCCCATATGAGGGCGTGGGAGAAAGTGTAGCCATTCGATTGTCGCGTCGAGATTCGGGAAGCGCGTTGCTTTCTATGTGCTCGTCGGGTTACGTGGATAGCGATTGTTAGCTGAGGGTTAGTTGCGCATTCATCCGGAAGGTGGGCGGGCGATTTCGTGGTAAAGATGGGGTGAAGTTGGCGTTCATGGATACTTAGGTAGCGCGCGAATCCTGAGACTCGCGCGGCCGCGTTGCTGAGGTAACTGCGATAAACAAACAGCCGAGGTGCCATGCTGCAAAATGCCCCACACGTTTGACGTCAAAGCTGCTTCGCTATGCAAGGCTAGTACTATGCCTGCCTGTGCATTCTATCTATCTTGACATCCAAACATTGCAGCACAATCAGTGCTTTGGCGCATGTCCTTACTCTCGTCAGACGAAGACATGGTAGCATTGGTACGTAGGTAGTCCATAGATGATCAATACAGCGATCAGAAGCATGTCATAGATGCCGATGGCCTAGCTTGTCTACAGTGTTTGCATCCATGACTATATCGCACAGCAATGTACAACTAATGTGTCCTCGACTCGTAACGATGAGGTTTACTTTAACATAGAACCGCAACAAACGTATACCTTAATCTAAATGCACACAGCTTGGGATCTGTTGTCTGCATCTACACAAGAGATAAATCGTAAATGCATAATGAAATGAACGATCTTTTGATGTCGCTATCTAGTCTTCGAAACATTCGTAACCACCACTGAACTTCATACGCCAAGACGATTAACAACCCATAGTGGCATGCGCAGATACGCCTCCGATTCCGCGCGTGAGTCCTCTCCAAAACGCCATCGCCTACCCATGCAGCCAAACAACAGAGATCTAATGCATATAATCATAGCTTTGCGCGCTGCGGTGCCTCCTCAAGCACGACAGCTACCACGGCAGCAATGTCATCTGGTTTGCCGCCATGCCAATTCTCCCCAGGGTAGTATCTTTGTACTTCTTTGGCGAAAGGTCCATCCCGGCGAGTGTTAAGCCCCGTCACCTTTGCCTCCTTCGCGATCGCTACAGCCACCTTGGCTTGAAGGGAGGAGCTGTCGGCTTTACGAGCTGGATCGGCCTGTACCAGCTTCGCTAGATCCTGTCCGACCTCAATGGTGCCATCTTTCTCGACCCAGGCACCCAGATCGACCATGTGACGACTGACAATACCGAGCGCATCCTGAGGGCTAAGGTTGTCCCACACACCATCGGTTGCAAAGAGAAGGACGTCGCCATGGCGTACTTTATGGTGTGTTATGCTCGACTCCTTAGGTAGATCCGAGAGTGTGGAGGGGCCTCCAAAAACAGCCATTTGCACGAGCATGCGTTGGGGAGTTTTGGAAAGCTGATACGGGGTATTGAAGGCGTGCGTCTGGGGCTGCGTGAAATGTCGTACTGCATTGAGACCCAGATGCATGAATCCTGAATCTCCCAGGTTGGCTACCTCGACGTTGCCGTCCGGTTCTGCAACAGCCAGGCATGCAGTGCTACCACCACCCTCAATGGTGTCGTCGTCCGTGACCTCGTCGTACGCGACTTGGAGCAGGTCTTTCGGGTGTAATGCTGTCGTGTTGAATCCGTGCGGCCATGAGCGCGCAGCGCAAGCCATGTACTCGCACAATCCATGGGAGAAGTCGGCGGGGTCCAATCCAGACTCGACCCATCCTCCTACTCCATCTGCAACACCAAACGTTGTAGTGTTTGTGTTTCCCACCTGGCTGAAGAAGAAAGCATCCTGGCCACTTTTCGCTCGTTTCCGCTTGTCTATGGCCTCCTTGCATTCGCGCAGGTCCTCAACCTTGCTACTGCTGGGGTCATGCAGCGGCCGTGTAAAAAGATTCTGCTCCGCATTGAAGCGATCCTGCTTGGCTGAGTAGGACGCCGCAACATGGTAGGTATATTGCGGCGTACTCCGCCAGTTGTGTGAAGTCGAATGAAAGGATCTTAGGCCGACTGTGGCCGGAGATGTATCTCTGTTCAGCGGGCAGGTTGGTTGTGCGAAATTGGAAGGCACGCGCTGCGAATGAAAGCTGGTTGTTCGACTAGACGAGGCAGGCGCTGCCAATGGAGATGCGGCGAGAGCAAACAGGAAGAGGCCACTAGACGAGGCGCGTCGCGACACAGGTGAAAGTCGCGCAAGGCCCGCAGCGCTGGTAATCGCAAATGACATGGCCACAGCCAGAGCCTGAAGATGGGAGTCAGTACGTGGGAGTTTGGTCGCAGAATCAGCGCATGTTGGCGGTGCCGTACCTCTGCGACAAATTATGTTGAAGGAAAAGGGACTTCTGGGCTAAGAAATCACATTGGCCGTCGTCATTGCCGATCGGCTAGTTGCTGGAGTACTTACAATTATCTGGAGCATTCTTGGAGGATAGATGTAGCAAGAAGGAGCCCCAATAGCAAACTAGGGACAACAGAATGGCATTGTTTTACTGAGATCTGGTCTCTTACCTGCGGAGCATATTCGTCTAGACCAAACACTGCAGGTGATTCAAGCTTCGTCTCAAACGCGGAGTATGACATAACCGGCGCTAGCTCAGCCCTATCGCCTAAACCCGTGGTCTGGCTCGGAACTTCTTTTCGAGATACTCCCCCCCGAGCACCAACATCCTTCCCCGCAGCGGGACCCGTAGTCACGATGAGCATGCACCCGGCGCGACAAGCCTATGTTGAGGAGGAGAATGGCGCAGTGAGTACCCCGAGTTCCAGCGATAGACTGGCGCAGAAGCATCACAGGCTTCGTAGCTCAGTCGCAACTTCTGTTCGCATAAAAGCTGACCATAGCCTCCAGGCTGATGCGATGGAGGGCATCGACCTTTCCAGTGTCCCGCTCGACCGTAACCATGCCATGCCCGGTGGAGGAAACGCGTCGGCCCATTCTCTTATGGAGGACTTCGACCGCAAACGACGAGCAGCGCAGTTGATCGTACCGACCGCCGACCGCGATGTCAAAGCAAAGCTGCGATCACGAGGCGAGCCCATAACCCTATTCGGCGAGGGGCCCTCTGAGCGACGCGACCGACTCCGGGCTTTACTTGCAGAGGCAGCCGAAGCACTAGGCGAGGATGCGGCAGACGTGGACATGCAAGATGCGGAGGAAGCCCCAGGTGATGAGCAGGAAGAGTTCTATACCCAAGGCACGCAGTCGCTACTGGACGCGCGACGGGACATGGCCAAATACTCTTTACCCCGCGCAAAGGAGCGAGTCGCATTCCAGCGTCGCGAAGCTACCATTTCCCTAAAAACCCACGTCGAGTTCCGGAACAAGATCAAGGACCGTCTCAAGGGGTTCGAGCTGTATGGGTCGCAAACCGCAGATCGTCCAGTGAGCATTGTGCGCGTCTCGCCCAACGGCAAGTATGTCGCATACGGTACCTGGGGTGGAAAGGTTGCGTTGTTGGAAATTCCCAGCTTGGAGCAGAAGAAGGCGTATCGTGGTGGACACACGGAGCGTGCTACTGGCATAGATTGGATGCCGGGCGCGACACTTCAGAGCAGCAACGTCTCGACCTCCAGCGTAAACTTCGCATCTGGCGGAGCAGGCGGCAAGATTCAGCTTTGGTCACTAGACGACGATAAGCCCCTACGCACCCTAGAAGGCCATACCGACCGCGTCTGCAGAGTAGCATTCCATGCGTCAGGACAATACCTGGCCTCTGCTTCCGACGACACGACATGGCGACTCTGGGACGTCAACACCGGTCAAGAGCTTCTCATGCAGGAGGGCCATTCAAAAGAGGTCTACACCGTAAGCTTCAACGGTGACGGATCCTTAGTTGCAAGTGCTGGTCTCGATAGTATCGGCCGCGTGTGGGATGTGCGTACGGGTCGTGTCATTTACATGTTGGAAAGCCACATCAAGCCCATTTACGGTCTTGACTGGTCAACAGATGGTCATCGCCTTCTTTCCGGTTCAGGTGACGGTTTTATGAAGTGCTGGGACGTCCGAGCGATGAGAGAGACAAACTCAATTGCAGCCAACACAGGCGGTGTCACAGACCTCCGATGGTTCAAGGGTACAGATGGACCAGCCAGCGGAGTGCCGTTACAGGAGAATAGTGAAGGAGACGTCATACCGAAGAAAGCCTCTACGTTTGTCATTTCGTCTGGTTTTGACAAAAACGTTCAGATCTTCTCGGCAGATGACTGGGCACATTGCAAGACACTTCAAGGTCACTCGGGTCCCGTCTTCAGTACTGACGTAACGAGCGACGCGTCTTGGATCGTCAGTGGAGGCAAAGATCGCACTGTCAAGTTGTGGGCCAGAGACGACAATGGGGGAATATGAGACCAGAGCTATTATACAACGCTATGACTCATCACGACCGACGGCAACAGCCATGAGCACGCGACAAAAGCAAGAGGAGCGAAGGCCATGAGTTTGAAAGGAGACACAAAGGTCAGTGCTTTCCCTCCCTACACTACAACGGGGATGTTGAACAAAGAATGTCCATAGCTTGAACCGAGATACCCAGTACTCCCGAGCGCCTGGAGTTACGAATACACAGTACGTTGCGCAACCAGGAGTGTGCAACGTCATTCTTCAAACCAGCCTCCTTCACATGTTTGCTCGCTGCTTTTCTTCGATTCCGAAACTCACCGCTGCTTGCCCGTTTCCGCGCTCCGTTGGATCAACATGCCAACCACACGATTCGGATCCCGCGGTCGTGATGTGCTCATCGTCGCGAGATAACGGAAGACCGCTCGGCATTCATCGCACAGGAAGAGGCATGTGGTTACCCTTTCGCCTGTAGCATCGGGTCACCTTCTCTACGGAAGACTCTACCCAGTATTCCAAAACACACCACGTCCGTTTCAGCAAGCAAACTTGTCTCTTCACCGCAATGATCAGAACATTTAAGAATCTTTCTTCTTCACCGCAAATTGATCGACATCGGAACAAGAGCTGCGATAGACTGTTCTTGGATATCGGCCGGCAGTCTAGCTTAATAATGGACGACCGACGGGAAGCGTAACCGGACCCGCGAAGTGTTTCAGGTCCACTACGATGGAGTAAAGGTGCAATGGCCTCGACTTCTAGCTGTTCCACCGTCTTCCATGCCCTTGCCGTCATCGGCCGGTACTCTAAGCTTTTGATGATATGCAGGCCCCACGCGAAAGCCGGGTGCGGAGAAAGAAGACGAGTGACTCATTGTTTCAGAACAAAACTCGGTGCATGGTGCCAAGATGTCAACGATCGTGGACATCCCCTACGACAGGAATAACTATGACGGCGAGGTTCTAGTGATGATGGCCCATGCGCGGATGCGGAGAGTGGGTCTTTCACCGCTACAGCCTCACCTTTTTGACAGCCACGATTAGTCGATGCGAATTGGGGGCCATTATGTTATGCGCCCCAGAGATTGGGCTTCAACGTGTTTCTGATGCTGTCTGTTTGATCCTCTTGCATCAGCGTCTGTAGCGGGTTCCGGTCAACTGGAAGCCCTCGTCTCAGGGTAGAGAGGTCGGAAGCACCCGAATACAATAAGTGGAGCATTACATTCGGTTTAGTATGCAGTCCCTGGCCCCGAGTAACGCGTGCCACAGTACGCGCCATGATAGAGAGGATCAACAGCCACGGCCGATCCAGATGCAGCGCAAGCAGCGTTTACGCGTCGACGACTTGATCTAGCTTGTCAACAAGAAGAATGACGCGTTGCCATTTCCGACAGACGGCGCGTTGATTTGGTGTAACGCGATCTGAAGAGTTTGGCTTGGGGATGGATGTCTTAGTAGCCGCAGTACGCGTTGCACGGCACGGGCAGGGCGCACAAACCGCCATAGCAAGGCTCTATTACGGCGTGCAGATTGTAATTGGGGTGGAGATGAAGATTTCGCAGCGTCCTACTTTTCCTACTACGGGCATCATGCGAGACTTGAGACAAACCGTCCGATGATGCTCGGCGGAAGAATAAGAAGCGGCAACAAGCAAGCATGATAAGGATTTGCGAAAAGTGACCAATGATCGGCGGGGAAATTCTGGGGAGTTTCCAGACCCTCGGTAAAAGAGACAGTCGGATCTCGAGGGTGGCACAGGACGGCAGGCTGTGGCTGCGGTGTTTGCCTCTTGATGGGCACGCAGCAAGAGTCCAGCCAGACGGAGCGGCGGCCGCTTGGTGCCTTGCACGAAGTAACTGCCCACGATAATAACAAGAGCGGACACGGAAGTACAGGAACGGTAGTCGAAAAGCCAAAATAGACAGGGAAGGGTGGTGCGGGCAGGGAGCGGTGAGATGACTCGCGGACGCCAGAGGGCGCCGGAACTTGGACAGATGACACCATGATGAAGAGCACCGAGGCGGCCAAGAGGGCTCACCTTGCTGCGGAAACGAAGGCGGGCTGCAAAGTGGGAAATGAGATCAGAGTCGGCTGACGGCCATCTGCCGGGCGACAGCGACGAGTGGTCTGTGGTGGTTGTGGTGAGGGACATGTCGTTGCGTGCGCGAGGCCGGGGGCTTAGGCGGGCCGCGTCGTGCTCAGCAGACAGTAGTCATGATGGCGATTACGCAGTAAGCCCGCGATGCGCCGCTACCAGGGCGAAACAACAATTCCCACAGTTGCGGGAGGGTATTTTTTCGACAAGCGCGCATCGCATCTTGACTCTTTCGAGCAGAGTTTTCACGGCGGGCGACCGAGGAGGGTATAGGCGAATCGCGATGGAGGCAGTCCGGTGGAATATGGCAGTACATGGGCCGGCCCGCGCAGACTAGCCAGTCATGCTCTGCGTATCGATACGGAGAGCAGCAGTGCCGCAGCAGGCAGAGCAGCGGTGCAGCAGCGCAGTGCACAGGCAGGGCGGCACGGGAGCAGCAGCCGAAGCTGTGGCAGCTGTCGTACCAAGCGCCCATGTCTGGTAGACGGCGGCAGTGACAGAAGGCCATGCCCCCGTGAATCCAAGGCCAAAAGCAGATGCGTGACGGCGGGCGCGCGACAAACGGCAAAGCATCACTGTGGCAGACGGCTCGTCCAGCGAGCTGCAGCGACGGCCCCAGGGCAAACACTGGGTAATCGGTGCGGAGGGTGAATGGGCCCATGGCGGGCGTGACAGGACAACCCCAGCCAGTCGCTGCTGGGAAGAGTGCTGGAATGATGCATCAATACCCGACGCTATTGGGGCGTCCTATCGCAGGGCCTTGCACGCTTTCGTGCCCAGATGCATCCCACGGAAGCGTGACCCCGGTCGTCTCGCTCAAGCAGGCTTGCGCTTCCTGCACACCCCGCCCGAAGCCTACCACCATGCTTTAAGCCCCCTCTCCCACCTTCACCTGCCACCACCCAGACCCTCACTGAGCCGCTACTTGCCCATCGCTCGCTATCAGACGCGCATCGCCTCTGCTGCCCGTCTTCCTGCCCCAAATCCAAATCCACCGCAGCACCGTTGAAGTTGAGTACAATCGCTGGGGACATCCTGCGATCACCTTTACCGAAAAGAGCAATCCACACCGCCAGTCCCGCGCCCACACCGGTACTTTGATACATAGGCCCGCCATGGACCATCAATACTCCAACAACGCACATCATATGGATTTTCACAGGCCAAATTCCACACTGAACAACCTCGACAGGAAACCTTCCGCCTTTTCCTTTGACGACAACGCCACCCTCGACTCCAGCATCCTGGACACGCCCGTCCTCATGTCGCCCACCACCAGCACCCAGGGCATCTTCTCGCCCGACACCTCCATCTGGGAGGACTTCTCCGCCGGCCAATTTGTCGACCGCACTGCCACCAGCTCTGTCGTCAACACCAACGGCAACAACCCCTTCTTCACCGAGCAAAGTAACAACCCCTTTGCCCGGTTACCACCCAACCAAGCTGCTACCTACGGACAGCAGTCATGGCCCGTGACCGACAACTCTGGTTCCAGGACGCCCACAGCCCCCAAGCCGCTGAACCCCTTCGGCCCCGGTGACTTTGGAGCGGCACCCTTCGTCGAGCAGCAGCAGATGCCCTTCCACGGACTCCCCGTGCACCAGAATGTCCGACCTAGTGCCGTCTTCCCCTCAGCCCCAGAGCAACCCATGTCGCCCCACACCCACTCCGACTGGATGGCCTTCAACCAGCAGGAGATGGACGCACGGCCCGGACCCAAGCGCATGAGGCCCAACACCCCTCCCCGCTCCTTCTCCCCTCGTCGTGACGGCGGCATCCGCAAGAAGAACGCCCGCTTCGACATCCCGGCCGAGCGCACCCTCGTCAACATCGACAACCTCATCCAGAGCTGCACCAACGAAGAGGACCTCAAGGAGCTCAAGCAGCAAAAACGACTCCTCCGCAACCGCCAGGCCGCGTACGTACTCCCATTTGGTTCTTGGTTCCACGCTCCACGTTTGGTCCAATCTACCTCTTGGTCTATCCTCTCCCTATTCATCAGCTAACGTCATTCTAGACTTGACTCCCGGCAACGAAAGAAGAAGCACACTGAGGAGCTCGAAGAGGAGAAGAAGCAGTGGATGGAGAAGATCTGCCAAATGCAAGATGACTTCGCCGCCATGCGCATCGAGTACGACTCTCTTGTCGCTGAGAAGGAGAAGTGGCACCACGAGTCCATGGAGATGCACCACATGATCAACCAGCTGCAGTTCGACAAGGAGGAGCTTGTCCGCAACCACACTCTCGAGACCGGCGAGCTTCGCAAGAAGGTCTCGGTCCTCACTGAGCGCCTTGAGGCGGCCAGCAGCACCGGCATGGCTGCCGCACCCAGCAGCACCTTCACTGACTTCGCCTCTGAGATGGACAACCTCAACATGGGCAACAGCGACTGGGACAACTACATCTTCGTCAACGACTTCGCTTCCGACGACCAGGCCACTCCCCAGCAGAACCAAGAGCTCTCTCTTGTGTCCCGCAACAAGGACGAGGACAAGCCCGTCGCTTCCGGTCTTCTGCTCATGCTTCTGCTGTGCGGTGCCTTTGTCGCAAGCAAGTCCGGTGGCGCTGCTCCCCCCATTCCTCGCATGCCCGACGAGGTCCGTGCCGCTTCCGCTACCGTTCTCGACAGCATCTTCAAGGATGCTGGTGTGTCGACCGCTATGAGCGAGCAAGGTCTCATTGCCAGCCACGTCACCGGCCTCGAGCCTACGCCTTCTGGCATGGCCTGGCCCAAGACAACCATGTCTGGCTCTGAGCTTGCCGGTATCTCGGGCTCGCACCTCGACCAACTGCACTCTCATCTCACCGGACCCACCAAGGAGCAAGAGCACGAGCAGCTGTTCTCCATCACTCCCGACCAATACAACAGCATGACTTCGCTCGACTTCACACGCTCGCGTTACAGCATGACCAGCGACGACCTCAGCGACCCGCTGTCGCCCGGCTCTCAGCCATCGCACCGCCGCAACCTTGCCGAGACCCTCGCCGCTATGCGTGAGCAAAGCAAGGGCGACTCTGCTGCTGAGATCTACACTCGCAGTCTGCTTTGGGACAAGATCGCTCCTGAGGTTGTTCACGAGTTCAAGCGCATCGTTGAGGAGTCTGCTGCCATGTCCCGACCCAGCACATCCGACGGCACCAAAGTCGAGAACATGGGCTAAATAGCCCCACCACCACTACTACTACCACCACCAACAAACAACCTCTCCTTTGTACTCCCCTAAGTTGCATTTGTCGTTTATCAGCATAGCGCTTCACTTCTTAGCACCCCTCATACAGGGGTGCCTATAGGGTCACAAGTTGCATCACGGTCCGGCTGGAACCTCGTTCTTCTGCGCGTTTCTCTTTTGAGCGCTTACGATGGGCATCGCCATTTTCCTTTCTACTACAGCTCTGGCGCTTGCCAGTCTTCTACAACATGGGACGGCAACGTCGAATTTTGGGTCCACCTCACCAGGTACCCTACTTCGCTCGAGCATAACTTGGCGGTTGTCTTCTTTCCACGTCGAGACCTGGTTCACGACTTCACCTATCTACCTTTGTCCTTTTTGTTTCCTTTGTACTTTGGATTTCCCTTTGGCATCAGACTGGTTGAGCGAGCAGAGCGAGCACACATTCGCGGTTGGCTTCATCTTTTGTATTTACTGCAAAGCGTAGCGAGCGTTGGATATTTTCCCTTAACGTTACCACGAGATATGGAGAGATTGAAACGAAGGACATGGGACATGTATCCGACGACAAACCACGAGAGTTGTATATGATGGCACGAGAGCGAGACAGATTGGCAGCATTCTTATTTTCTGGTACTTGAGCGAGGAGGATGATTACAAGTTTTGTTTTATTGCTTGAAAGAGACGATGCTTTCCCCTTCCCCTTCCCCTTTCCTCCTCCTCTTACGACTAACATAAGTTTTATTACGACCTTTACGCTTCTCACGGCCACCTACTCACGCTACCACTTTTCGTAATACCCCCTTTCCGGACTTGTTGTCCGCGCATGTTTTGAGATACCAGGTTTTTCACGATTATTCCCTTGTCGCGTCACAGATGCGGCCGTTTCTGCGACCTCTGTCACAGGGCCTTGGTGGGCAGGGCTCGATTGGTTGGCATGGCACCACCGGGAACAAAGTCTTTGTACCTAAGTAGTCGCCCACTCTATTGGCGAGGAGAGAAGTGCGAACGAGTCAAGTAATGCTATCGGATGCCCTTCCATTCCAGCGCTTACATCGCTTCCTTGAATGTGCACCCGACTTCACCCACTCGCCTGTGAAACCCGTCTTCCTCGCCACTGACTGCCATGTTCGAGACTCTTGCATCTGACAACGCCAGCCCGCCCACTTGGTCGTAGTGATTCATTCATTCACTGCCTGTCCATTTCTCCGCCGCTTCATCTGTGAATCCGCTCTTCTCCACTTACGGCTTTTCCGTCGAGGACCCACGCGGTTGACCGTCCGTCGCGTGCCTCGCATCGCGCGAAGCGTCCATGAAAGGATTCCCCTTCCATAACAAACGGGAAAACGCGCCATACGCGGGTTTTCTGACATGCTTCACAAGTCTACGCGCGGTGCATAATGCATCGCTTGGAGCACGTACCCTTTGACTGCACAGCCATTCACTCTGTCCAGTAAATCACTCCCTTTACTGTGGGTATGACGCTTCGCCAACGCAAGCCACCTACCCGATTCCCTTCCTTCACGCGGAATAATAGCCCCAAAAAAAACTGCACATCCCCCACTCCGCTCGCAAGGTGAGACCTGGAAAGTAACGTCTGCGGACTGCGGATTTACCACAGGGTCCAGCATATCATGCAATATGCAAGTTATCGGGCCCTCAGTGGGGCTGAGCCACCTTTTTTTCCCTCGTCCGATAGATGACGAATGTTGTCTTACGCCCCACCCTATGTTAAGTACCTTGATTGGTAACATGTCGAAAGGATCTGACTTGACTGTGCAGAAGCGTGCAGCTATGGTGAAACACGATGAATGGAGAAGCTAATGCAGCAGAGAATGGTATGATGGATGGTGGATGATTCATATTCGGACCGCGCTTCTATGAGAGGGGATCAGATGGGTCGCGGGAAGGCTGTGATGCGTATTGTAAGTGGCTGAGCAAGACGGTCAGCTAGTTTCCCTGCAGTAGTCAACACGATATCGTACGGAGTACCTACACACCTGGGAATGACGATCTATTGAAAGAGGACATCAGAAGGCCAAAGGCCAACGACCGATGTCTTGTCCGTCACACACGATCCGACATGGGTAATCACGCCATCGCTTAAAACGCAACATCCAGCAAGCTTCATCTGACAAACTAACAAGAAACGGGCTGTTGTACTACGACATACGCCGTTGCTGTGCCACACCACATGCTCCCCACGTTCTGAAAGCGGAAACATAGCCTATCGCGTACCAGAGACATTGTCCGTGTACAGCCCTCCGGACCTTCGCTTCCCAGATCCAGATGACGGCCTCTCAGCAAGCCACTTACTCTACTTGCATCCTCAGCAAAAGATAGCGTATGAACTAGGTAACAGTCATGGGGGGGTAAAGGAAAAACTCAAGATAGTACAGCAACGATGATAGGCCAGCAATGGTGTGAATTATTGGAAATAACGTTATGCAAGACATACGGTGTGATGTTCGGAGCAGGAAAAGAAGAAAACAATAGCTTGCTTTTCCCTTTTCCCCGCGCGGGAAAGGGACCAGGCTTCCGTCACTCTTTTCTCACACGACCACTTCCAGGCGTGTGCCCTCATGACTCCCAGGATAGGCTTGTTGAAGTGCAGTCGGACCGGGACGGAAGGACCTGTCCGAAAGCGGGTTGCGGATCGCGCCTTATTTGGGATTGTATTTGTCCTTCCAGATCCTATAGAGAGATAAGTCAGCACGTTGTTCATCCCACCAATCAATGAAAACATCCTCGGTATCCAGTCGGTGCAGACGACGGCATGCCGAGACTACTGCAGGCTAAAGTTCCAGATCTAGATCGTGATGAAGTTGTTGATGGGTCGTTGGTCGTCGTCCCGAGGCTGCCGTCATTGTCGCGGTAGCCGTCATACGATCTTCCGTTTCTCTTTCAGCACCACCACTGTCGCGCCATCAATGCAACTCAATCTCCAGCTTCGCTCAGACCATCCTAACATGCACCATCTGACTGTGCTCCACACACACCATAACGTTCGCGGTTCCGTCATAATTGGCTAAACCTCTCCATCGTTCCGCTTACTCTTCCGCTTCGGAACCGAGGCCACCAGCGACGCGCCACGTGTATCCCCGTAGACAAGCTTGTGTGTACTACGCACCCAGCGCAACGGGTCTGGAGGCATGCCACTATCCATTATTGGAACGGGAGAGCGAGGCTTGTGCCAAACAGGTTATGTGCTACTGGTCATGTTTTTCTTTGCGAATGCCATCATGTGTGCGTAGCGGGGAACTGGCAGTAAGTGTGACAGGTCGTGCTGCGGGTGAGGGCGAGGGCCGTCCACCGTCCGCATCGACTAAGCGAGCAGGACTGTTCAAAACGGTGCGTCGAGGGCCAATCGATTATGCTTGGCAGATGCGCGTTGAAACCGGTTGGCCGATGCGGACAGTAGTGCTGTGCGTTGGATTGTTGGATCCTGTCTGGTTGCTATGGTGGCTTGGTGTTGAGAATTGATTGAGAATGCAACACCGGCTGGAACGGGATGGCGCGGGTGAACGTCGTGATGGCTGCTCGTAACGGCCACCATGTGCTCCATCCACACGGCATCAAGGTGGTCCTCGGTCCGGCACATTTTCGCTCTTCGCGCGCGATACAGAAGGGGATAAAGGAAAAAATATATGGGGCTTACCATGTGTTGCCTAACGTCTTGTTCCCTTTGGATTCCGCGAGGCGCAGAAACTGAGCCGCTTTGAACTGGCGAGGCGCAGTTAGCATACCTGCCGCTTACGCCGAACACCACCAGTGCTGCCCAAACAATGAGGCGGGATAACGAGGGGAAGTCGTGTCTCAGTGGATATTGCGCGTGATGGCTGAGGTCGAGGCTGTACAAGACCTCCGGGCTGACCGTTCGCGTCGCTATCGCATGAACCTCTAAACGAGTCGACATTGACCGGTGACGCAGACGTGCACTGCAGGACGGCCATAGTTGGGCTGTAGGAGAGACGACATGGCTTGCTTACCTTATCCTTCTTCGTTCCAAAGCCCTCTGTATAGCACCAGGCTACCTCGTTCATCGCATCTGTATCACCTAGATTCGCGGCGGTCTCATAGTATTGCTTTGCGGCTGCGGGATCTTTCTTGATACCCCAGCCATTGCGGAAGCAGTTGGCGAGTTCGTACATGGCCAGCACGAGCTCGCCTTTGGCTGCACCGCCTTTCTTCATGCCGGCTCCGAGGGCCAGTTTCTCGACCTCAGCGCTGTTCGCCGCTGCCATGGATAGGTATTGGACAGCTTGTTCCTGGTGAGGCTCACACCCCCAGCCATGGCTATGTTCTAGTCAGTACTGCCTTGAGCAACATCCAGGGCAACATTCGGGTATGCTCTGGTATCAGGCTGCGATCAGTGAGGCTAAACCTACCGTAATGCGAGACCGTAGAGAACCTGCGCTAGAGCATTGTTCGCACCCGTTGGTTCTGCAAGTCTGCCAAAGAGCGCTGTTGAGGCCTCAAGGTCTGGTCATCCTGTCAGCTTCATCATGATAGCCCAACTCGTGTGACTACTCACTGCTATTCTCATGCAGACGGATAGCCTCTTGGATCGTCTCCTATGCAAAGCTTAGACCAATTCTTGCCCTTCCCAGATTTGTGCATACCTCGTCCGTAGGCGCACCGACAGTCCCACTACGTCTCCTCGCACTCGTCGCGCTCGTCGGTCGTCCATGAGACATTGGGTTTGGAGACTCGTGGTTTGGTGTATTGGGCTGACTAGATCCGTGTTGCAGACCCTCTGTGACCAGCACCGTAGCCCTCGTCTCCCACCTGGCCTCTTCCTCCTCTGTGCGTGCGACGCCGTCTCCTCCCACTTCTGGCAGATTGTCCGGCACGTTTATTGAGCTGCTCGACCTGCTCCGTCCAAAGTGCAACCGCTCCGCCAGTTTGTCATGCTTCTGCTCCCCACCAACTGCCGATCCCTGAGACGAAGCGCTACTGCGACTTCTGAACCTGCCAAACTTGCCGCGCGACGTTGGCGACAATAGAGGAGACTCGCGCGTAGGGTCGCCGGGGAAGCTGGGCGGCTCGATGGTCTCTTGCGTCGAGGTCGTGGTGCGGAAGAACTGGAACTCTGGGACATCGGGAGACAGCGTAGGGCCCGTAGGTGACATGGGAGTAGCGCCCTCATCCCTAATTTTGTCCTTCTTCTTCAGCAAGTCTTTCAGCGCCATGGTGGTGCGCAGAGGAGCTGTCGCGTCGAGTTTCGCGTTGCCAGCGTAGGCAAGGGGTACGCGGCTCGAGACCTAACAATGTCCAAGGGTAACTTCACGCAACAGAAAGCGAGCGTCGTGTCGTTGGTACTATTCAATTCTGAGGGTGGTCCTATATCTCCGTAGATTCATCGCAAAGGTGAAAGCACTCATGGTCCTGCCGGCGCGGGCTGTCGAATTGTAAGGCACGATTGACTGTAGGACGAGGGCCAAGCAGTAGCCGCAGCCCGTCTCAGCCTCCACTGCGCGCCTCATATGTCAGACACAGCGCCACAAACCGCAGCAATCACAATTTTGCAACTATGCTGCGGTACGCCACCTACATATGTGGTGAGAACATCATCACGAATGCATACAAGATCTTCAAATTAAAGAGAGTGCATTTTCTGTGAGGGTGTCAAGCCTAAGAGCACATCTCACACTAGGAAATTATGGTACCTGGCGCTACTGATACGCACGTCGAAGCAATAATTAGTGCGGTTGAGTATGGCGACTAACAACGTGAAGCACTCTATAGCATCATCACAGCAGACAGAGGAGGTCTATTCTAAATTTTTCTTTTTTTTGTTACATGTTTCTTCTTATGTTCTCTTTTCAAGTACATGTCCTTCATGGGACGACTGTATCCATCAGCAAGCCGACAGCGACTTCGCGAGCCTATGTGTAAAATCCGCCGAGCGTACAACGTCGCATTGGGTCGTGTGATACGCTTACAGCAGGAACGAGAATTTTTTTCTCGATTGGAAACAATGAAAAGACAAGAAAGGTAGGAAATCGTAAGAGGGGGTATCATCGAAAGAACCCTGAACGCCATGAATAGCTCTGGACCTTCAAGAGTCAAGACAAACTGGAAGTGTTCCAGAGAAAACCTACCGGGTCAGAAAACCACAAGGTCGAAACTTTGGAAAACACAAATTAGGAAGGACCGTAATGGAAGCTGGGCAGGGGGACCACATACAATGTCCGGGCATCACTAATCCAATGGGCAGGCCATGTTTACTCGTCGTCGTTCTCAAAGGCAACGAAGTCTGCCTGCTGTGTGAACTGCTGTGGCTTCGGAGAAGTTCCAGTCTTGGGCATCATCCATTCATGAGCATCCTCGGCAGTATCCATATCATCCTCTGGAGCGTCCGAAGTAGCAGGGGTGTGTGATGAAGGAGAATGAGCCGGAGAACGCACCGGAGAACGAACCGGGGAATTAGGCGGGGACTGGGCTGGAGAAGACAGACGAGTGATCTTCCTCATGCGAGAGGCGAGACGAACGTGTGGATAGTGAAACCTACCAGTGTAGGAACACTCTCCTGTGTTGGCGAAGGTGGGACACTCAAATGCATGCAACTCAGCACACGTATCTCCTTTCTCGCAGTAGCCCAAGCGTCCAAAAGCTTCGCAGTTCGGTGCGGATGGATTGACACGAACATGAGCAAAACGGCAGTCTTCTTTGGTGCATCGGCCTGCTTGGAAATGCTGGCACGTAGGCGTGTTGTGCGACGATGCAGTATGAGACAGTTGACAGTTGCTGTCGGGGCAAGCACCCTTGAAGAGAAACGACTTGCATACGGTTTGTGTATCCGGATCATGCCGAAATGGACATCCCGGAATGGAACACCGACCTAGACAAGAGTTAGAAGCGAACAATGGGCAAGAAAAGGTACCGAAATGTCGTTTCGTCGAAATACCTGTATGTGTGAAGTTGGCACAAAGTCTTGATGGTTCAGTCGACTGGTGATCGCTGGATGAGGACCTAGTGCTGTCCGCGGATGCGTGCGCTAGGTCTTTGTTCTCGTTGGCCTCGCGTGGTTGGGTGACAATACTTGTGCCATTGGAATCGGTAGCGAAACCAGTATACATAGATGCATTGAGAGAACGCGTGTATGGGTGGTAGGGAGTATACCCTCTGCCTCTGCCTCCGGCACCTCGGCCTCTACCTTTACCATAGCCACCGCGCTGGTTGTACTTGCTGTACGGAGGGTTGTAGGAGGGATTAGAGACGGGAGTATAGACGGGGTTGAAGACGGGGTTATGGACGGGGGCGTAGGAAGGAATGGAGGGAGGGGCGTAGTGGTTGAAGCTGCCGGAGGTGGTGCGGTAACCAGAGCCAGTATAAGCGTTCGACTGGAGCCTCTCGCGCTCTTCCCTCTCTTGTTTCTCTCTCTTGGCGCGCGTGATATAGCCTAGAAGTAGATCGTAAGTATCTTTCTTACCCTGCGACTCGGTTTTCACGTACTGGTGAGCTCTGCCTGGGCGCGAATACGTTCCTCCTGTGAGGTCATCGCTTGGAGCTGTTCGGCCGTGTACGGAGGCGGACCGAGCGGCGCCATGTTAGCACTGGCGGGTCAGGAAATCTATAACTTGAACTTGTTAGTAATGCGCACCACTTTCACTGCAGCGACATTTGAGGTTCAGGCGGGCGGCGGGCGGTTGTTGGTGAGGTTTCGCGAAAGTAGAGCGTGGGGCAACAGAGAATAATACAAGCGGTTAGGCTGCAGCAGCTCTTGGCAGGGTCTATGTCACGTGGTTCATGTGAGCGCCCGCACAAGCTGGCTGTGGACGGCACATGTGCAGGTTTCAGTCCCGATCATCGTTTTTCAGTTACCGTTCCACCCTGAAATCATGACGAAGAATCTGTTAGAGGTAACACAGTGAGAGCGGAATGGACGGACGAGCAAGCTTTTACTATTTAGTTACACCCTACCCTGGAAGTGTACGACCCATTTCGCTCTGTTGAAATGTCAAACACTACGCTCGCCTTTGGGGTACGATAAAGCCGGTGGTACAGCTTGCATAGAACGAGCTTCTTCGCAGGGTTGACTTAGGATTCATGCAGTGACAAAAATTTCATTTCTGAGAAGTAATACAGTAGAAGCTAAATGTGGTATGCACTCAGACACGCGACACTTCAATCGAAGTACCGGACCATGACCCTGATGTCTCCCCGGCCCGCCTCCTTGAAGACGCTCGACACTGCCATATTCAAGTGGTCCTTGATAACCTCAATGTCGCTTCCAAACCAAATCAGTGTCAAGTCCTTTAGACTGACGAGCTGACACAGGTCCCCTAGTTCCTCGATGAACCAGGCCTTGAGTCCGGCCTCTGGGATCTTGCCATCCCTGTACACGCCGAAGGCGTCGACATATAGCCGTACATTGGATATGATGTCGGTTTGAGAAGGAGTGAAAGTGGTCAACAATAGCTCGATAACATGCTCCGCGTAGCCGACGAAAACGTTGAGGGCGAATGGGAAGAGGTTGGCTTCGAAGTAGATCTGGCGGCAGGTCTCCAGTAGGTTCAATTGTGATCTTGGATATGCCCAGTGTGGCCACTCCCTATGCTCACGAGTTGGGCGGACTGGATGGGAGAGGAAAGCGAATTTGTAGATTTTGTTGCGGAGTTCTGCTGGGAGGCGAAGGAGCGGTGACTTTCGATGATTGCGCTGTGAGCTGTGTCTTCATTAGCTAGCAATACAGCGAATGCGATATCCAGTACTCACATTGCTGCGAGGCGATCCATGAGCAGAACACTACGATCGTAGTAGCGTACACGTTCCGGAACAGACATGGCCTCGGCAGACGAATGCATGGCGAGTTCAATGTACTGGGGGTCAGGAGTGATGATAGAAAGATCAAGAAGGCTGCGTGATCGCTTTTGAGCATGTGCGAGGAAAGTGGGGCGGTAAACAGGAAGGACGGTGTAGGGGGAAGGCGCGAGCCATTGCGAAAAAGTGAGAGTCAGATGACGTGCTCGCGGAATGAGCATTTGTTGAACAAACTTATCACTGAGTATACGTGGAGTGTTTAGATGTGTCGACGTCTTGGGACATACCTCATTGTCACCAAAAGAGATATCTTTGGCTGCTGCCACGCCCACGACCTGGAAAGTACATTTCACTCTCAATAGCGTCACGAGAAGGGATCATGAATCAACATTTTCACTCGGCATTATATCGAAGCATGCATCAAATTACAATATAAGCATCCATTTTATTCGTGTACTGCAGCTGAGCACACGGATTCCACGTGCTTGTAGCAAGACACCGAAAGCGACTACTTACTGGCCATAATACAGCTCTCCGGATACCTTGAACGTGCTCGGCTTCACAGGAAGCATCTCAATTTAGACATACGTTAGATACGACACTCTGATATCATTGGCATTCATAGCTGCGATGACTGGGTTACTTCATCATCCGTTCTTGTCCTCACGTAATGGACACTCAGGAAAGATCGAAGGTAGACTTGAGCAAATTTTGACAGTTCATGGATTTAGGTGCGACCAAAGTGTGAGTCCGAACTGCCGATAGGGGCGGTGAGGTGACATGAAATCACAGTACAAACGGCCCAGTCCCCTAATCTAGCCTACTACCTGCCTCTAAGTCACAACATAGATACTCAGGATGCATATTGCTACTCCTCAACCAATGACCGAGCTTGTATCTCTTCTCCACGAGTCGTCTGCTGTCGCAATGCGTATATTACCCACAGTCAGTACTCCTCCGCCCAATCATTCTTGCAGACCAACTTCTAGATGTCGCACTCGTATTGCGAGGGAGAAAAAAGAATCTGTTTTAGCTCGAGTAGCCTTGCTAGCCTTCTTCATGTCGATAGCGTATTCCGATGCAGAACCAAAAGGAAGGGCGTCTCGAATGTCTTTAAGCCAAGTCTGGGGTCCGATCCACCCCCGATGATATCGAAGTCCATGTCATCGATCAGAATCCGTATAGTTCGATATGGCATTAGCTTGCTCCCAACTGAAAAGCTTTGCAATGCTTCGTAGTGCCCAATGGCCACCCTTGAATGTGTTTGAGGCGAAAGGAAGTAGCCTGGCCTCGATATAGATTTGACGGCAAGTCTCGAGTAGCTGTAGGTTCTGTCTTGGATGATGCGTATGACCATCACTGTTTGAACATGTTAGCTAAAGTTTGTGCTAGAAAAGATTTCGCCTACAGGCAGCAAGTGCAGCGGGAATCTCTGTGCCATCATCGTCATGGTCCGTTCGTTCGAGTGATTGCCGTGTCGACTGCATTTGTAACATAGTGTTACAAGATTGAAGTTGAATAGTCGACATCGTTGTCTGTGTTTCGCATGCTCAAGGTCTTTCGTTAATTTTTCGTGAATCTCTCTCTCCATTACAGACTAGTTCTGTGTGCTCCATCATGTCGACCAGCACACTCTATAGCAAGCCTGCTAAGTCAACGAAGACTTTCCATTGCTTGCAAAGTCGATATCAAGTGGCTTCACCTTGATAAAGAAAGCGGGAGGTTAGCTGATTCAGTAGAACATCTGTACCGAATATGATGACAATGGTTTGTTACGTGAGCGTCACGGTGGAGCAACAGTATCTCCAGGAACTGTAATTTACATTTATTTGACAACATGGTAGCATATGTGTATACCTACCTCTAGTAAGAGACACTAATAGTACACTGTCAAGTCATGTCGAGATGTGACGTTCTCTTGACCTTTAGTCGATACGGACGAATTTCCTAATCTTTCTTCGAGATGGCCCTGAAGTCCCAGTTGTTCAGGTAGCCTGAACCGATCTATTTGCAGCATCAGATTTTATCGGTTCATACACTTTGAGCGATCACGGTACTTACGCAGAGGTATGTTGCGAAGCTGACCCAACCTAGGTACGGTGCGAGCAGCCATCCGCAAACTGGATCCACTTGTCCCCAGATGTTGATAAGGTAGGCAAGAGTTCCACCAAGAGCGAGAATGTCAACCGAAGCGGGAATGGGACGACCGAGACCAAAGTAAAGAGGAGTCCACATCAGGTTCAGGGCCAACTGGATAGTATAAAGAGTAGCTCCGTGCTGCACCGGATTAGCTCGGATAATAGCAGATCGCGCATAGCATTCTCATACCTTCGCCAGGGCAACAGTATTGGGGTTAGCAGATGTTGCTCCAATGGTGTAGGCGCGATAGGCCGTGTAGCCCATGGTGGCATAGAGGGCTGTCCAGACTGGTCCGAATACATAACCGGGAGGATGTAGTGGAGGTTGCTTCAGCGTTCGGTATGCTGTTTGAGACACACTTGCTGTTTTGGAATCAGAAATCTGTTTCGGTACAGAAGTATCACTGACTTACGACTGATGGCAAATCCTGTGGCCGTTCCGCACAGAACAGGTAGCAGGATAGCCACTGCAGGGTTCTCGAAAGCAAAGCTGGGAAGCGTGAGGGAGGGGATGTAGCTCGTCATGATGGCGGTTGATGATGAGGTTTGTGTGCGACTGTCGATCAATGTCACAAACGCAACAGAAGAAATTGCCCAAGAAGGAAGCGTCCTGTACCTGCACTCCGCATCTCGTGATATTTTCGGAGCGCCAATCACAGCCTCGGCCAACGCGTGGAAGGCCGGGTCCACTTTCCGCGTGGAACGCTAGCCCCGTCTCAGCCGTCGTTCGGGTCTCTCCAGCCCTCCGCGACCTACCTCACCCTTCTCTCTGCCATCGCCCTCTCCACCGGCATCTTTCTGCCCGGGAGTCACTTTAGCACATCGTGAGTGCACCTTCTCGTCCTTGAGCTGTCCCATTGTTTGTATCCCTTCTTCCTCTTGTACAGCTATCTCGATAGCTCGGATAGCTTTGTCCCCGTGGCCCTGCGCCCAGCCTCCCTCCAGCTGCCTCTCTGACCCTATCTTCCTGCCGCGCTGCCCGTGTGCTCTCAATCGCATCAGGCGTGTCGGCTTCTTGTCACTTCTTACCTACCTCTTCTTCTTCGTTACTAATCGCATTCCTTCTCCGTTACCTTGTCCCTGACTTGTTCGCTCTCTGACCGAGCCATCATGGCAAACAGCTACCCGCGCCGATTGCTTCTCGAGCAGCCACCCCTACCAAGCGCATACTCCCGGCGAGATTGCGCGTCGCAACAGCCCAAGACTACGCGCGCTGCCCCGAGGCTCGTTGCACCACACTCATTGCAATCCCCCTAAACACGATCACCTGTCTCGATTTCGCGCCATATATTCATAATTATACGCAGTCTTATCAGGCGTGAATACCGCGGCGATGGATTCATACACGTATGTCGATGCACAAGACGGTGCGTAAAGTACGATGCTGACGGCTTGTAGTGCCACGCGTGAGGACTCTAGGCCGCCTGCGGACTCGTACAGACGTCGTTCACCAGGTAAGCCAAATTCCCTTCTTGAGACGTGATACACTATCCTTTTCACCGTCACGCAAAATCATGCCGCGCGTTTGTTTCGGACCCGTCTTGCCAAGCACTGCCAACGCAGACTGACTGCGCGTGCTTTGGCATTGTCCTGCTGTCCGCCCTCTGGACGTGGCCGACTTCGATTCAAATCCCATCTCAAATTGACTCTGAAGCATTGGACTGAGCTAATATGCGTCTCAAAGGGTCCGGAGACCGTAGGGCAGGCCGACGACGATCGCGCTCGCCCCAGAACATCGACCGCTACCAGCCTGATCGCGCGCGCGAATACGACGGGCCCCGCCGAGATGGCAACCGACGACGCTCCTCGCCTCCGCCCGTGCAAGCAGGCATCGATCGGTACGTGCCCGGTCAAGACAACTTCGCGCCAACCTTCACTACAAACCCGGTCCCAAACCCCATGCATCTCGAATACCAGGTCGGATTCAACTACTTCGCAGAGTGGTGGCGTGTCGAGCAGCTCATGAAAGAGGAGAAGGAGCGCGCTAAGAATGGTGGACGCAAACCTGGTCTCAAAGGCGAACGCGAGGCTCGAGAGGAACGGGGCAAGGAGCGCGAACAGATTCAGGCCGCGTATGACGAGTACAAGGAGAAGCTACAAGTGCAGATGGCAAAGACATTTGTAGACAAGCATAAGAACGAAGAATGGTTCAAGGAGCGCTACGATCCAGACTATGACTTGGCCTTCAAAGAGAAGCTCCGTCAATATCGCCACGGCATCTACGAGGAATGGGAGAGACAAATAGACGAGGGGTACTTCGATGAATTCACGCTAGAAGGCATCTACAAGAACGATTCGAACGGTGCCGGCGGGATTGTGGAAAAGGAAGAGGGCGAAACAACGGCTGCCAACGAGGTGCTAGGTGTGGGCGATTTGTTGCCTTGCAAAGGCGGCGAGATCCGCGATGAGACTGCGTTCCAGCCTACGCTACTCATCAAGACCATTGCGCCCACCGTCAACCGTGAAAAGGTCGAGGAGTTTTGCAAGGAGCACTTGGGAGAAGGCCCCGGCGGCTTCAAGTGGCTCAGCATGAGCGACCCTAACCCGCTTAAGAAGTGCCACCGCATCGGTTGGGTCATCCTCAACCCAAGCGATGAGCAGCCAATGGTCATCGACGACCGTGGTGATGGACGCGACGAGGATACCGAAGAAGGGGCTGTTGAGGATAAGCCTGAAGCTGCTCAAGGCCCACAGTCTACCGCTCACAAGGCTCTCGAAGCTCTCAACGGCAAGACCGTCATCGATGAAGAGCGCGGTAATTTCACGTGCCATGTCGGCATTCATGAACCCCCTGCCGCCCCTCGCAAGAAAGCACTTTGGGACCTGTTCTCTGCGCCCGAGAGAATTGAACGTGATCTTGAGCTTGCAGAACGACTTGTGAGAAAGCTCGACTCCGACCTCAAGGTGCAACACGAAGATGAGTTCGCGAACGTTGACGGGGTCAGTAAAATCGAAGAACGTGTTGAAGCTCTGCGCTCGAAAGGCTGGCTCCAGCCCCCAGCCAATGCCCCGGTTCCTACCAAAAAGGCGCGGGATCCAGAAGACCTGGAAGAGGGTGAAGACGAAACCATGGAAGACGATGAGGGTGCCTTCGATGACGAAGTGGATGATGAAGAGCTGCTGGCCAAGAAGAAGAAGCTTGATCTCCTCATCGAGTACCTACGACGTGTCTACAACTTCTGCTTCTTTTGTGTCTTTGAGAGCGACTCAGTGCACGAGTTGATTCGCAAGTGCGCGGGAGGACATCTTCGCCGACCGCGGGCTAGTCTCACAACTGCAGCCAAGGCTACTGCACGAGCTACAGCTACTGGAGATCTGTTCCCTTACAGGAAGCAAGAGTCTTCAGGTGACGCTGAGAATGGCGAGGGCGGTAGCCCAGTGCAAGAGAGGAAGCCGATGCGCTTGAGTACTAAGAACCAACAACAGCTTCAACGGGCATTCAACTGGGTCAAGACTTATGAAGAAAAGCTGCTACAGCTGCTTGAGCCAGAGAATGTTGATATCCGCAAGCTCGGCGGTAAGCCTTTGGATGAGGCCATCGAGGATGAACTCTCCCGTTACGTCAAGCAGGAGGATGAGTCCAAGTGGCGTTGCAAGGTTCCGGAATGCACAAAGTTGTTCAAGGGCCAGCATTTCTGGCGAAAGCATACTGAAAAGCGTCATCCTGAATGGCTTGAGAAACTACACAAGGACGTAAGTGTTCACAAAAATGTTTGTCAGGTTACGTTTGCTAATATGAAACAGCTGCGACTGGTCAACAGCTATGTTGTCGACCCCGCGCATATTGCTCCATCCCGTAGCGATGCCAACAGTAATGGCCACTTCCCAATGGGCAATCATGTCCAGGCAACTGGAACGCCACGGGGATTCAACTTGGCCAACATGAACATGGCAATGGCAAACAACGGTATGCAGAACGGCGTGCATCTCGGCGCTCTGTTCAATCCTGCTATGGGCGGCAACTGGGATCCCAATGCTGCCCACGATGACCGTGCCGGACCCATGCGACGAGGCGGCCATCGCTTCAACAATCGTACTGGACCTTACGATCGACAACCTCGTGACGGCCGTGCTCGTCCCGCTGTCAACGGCGGCCGGTTGACTCCTCCACCTCGTGGTAGCCGTCAAGGCCCTCAGCGATACGGTGAGGGCGGACCTGGACCTGTACAATCTGTGCAAGGCCGGTCGATCAAGAGCTACGAAGACTTGGATGCGGTTGGCGGTGGTGGCAGTGGCGAGCTCAACTACTGAGCCTCGGGCCTCCGAGCGCATTGGTGGTTGTCATGTAAGATGTTAAGTGGACTGGCGTTAGCGTGGGTAACTTGAATTCTTCTGCCGAAATGCCATGAAAGGCCTTGGCAGCAATCTGGGAAAGGAACAGGCCGGCGTCCTGGGCTAATCATCGCCATAGACTGGCATTTTGAAATATTTACCCATTGGGATTGTAAGAGTACAACCGAGTAGATATCACCCATATTCAAATTGCAACTGAAAACCTTAATGTCCACACACGATAGTACCCTGACGTGTTGTTGTGCTAGTTAGTCAATCGGATATCTTGGCCTGTGGCCAGATCGTGTTCGATGTCAGATTTCCTTGCTAGATGTGAGCGACAGGCTGCGCCAAGGGGGGTCAGTAAGCCATGCATGACCTTGTGATGTGCGAGTGCGATCTTTGAGAGCAGAAGCGAGCCGGACGCGGTCCGATTTCAGGTACTTCCGAGTCTTAGGCACTGTTCCGAGGAGGGGTACTCTTGTCAGTTCAACCAGAACGCCTCGTATTCATTCCCAGGATACGCGACGCGTATTGTGCAGACGAGATGGGAAACAACGGGCGAACATGGCCAAGACATAGGGTGCCGTTCCTTCCTTTGTTTGGCCTCGTGGGCCTCTGCGCTCCATACGTCAGATGAGCTAAGACGTCGGGTTGCGTCACTCAGCCACAATCCTTTACGCGCCCGACTCTGCTTCAGTGCCGACAAGCATTGAATTGATCCACTTTGAGCAAGAACGGGCGGTGCAGACCCATCGTATCTCTTGTTCTTGCTGCCGTGCCCGCATCTCCGCAGTGCACCAGCCTCAGTCGCAGCCACAGGTACGACGGGGTGTTAGTCAGGCGTCATACAACACGCGTCGACGGTCATCTGCAGGGACCCTAAAGGCTCCTTTTCGCTATTCCTTCTGCTTCTACACCTTATCTTCCTTCTTTCGGATCGCGGCTCCTTAGCCCGCGCGTTAGAGTTGCTGTTAATCCAACTATGCCCGCCAACTTCGACACCCCGCCCGCCATTCAGCTCAACGGTGCTACAGAGCCCAGCACCATGAATCCTCCGCCCTCAGTACAGAACTTTGGCGAGCCTGCACGGCCGGCTGTCCCTCAGCGCAATGACACGTCTTACTCCAAGTTCTCGACCATGTCGGTGCCACCAGAGGGCTCCATATTGACAGGCAAACAAGAACACTGTAAGCCATTACAACATCATCCATAGCCCGTGGCGAGGCTAACGGGTGCGCAGATCTCAAGCGCGAACTCATCTCCCAGCAAACAAAGTACGAAATCGCCGAGCTCTCCTCTCCTACAGCGCTGCGACGCTTTGGCGCACCCTTTCGCTCAGATGCCGGCGAAGTCGCGCCGGAAGACTCAGAGTTGCCCCTCCTCCGCTACATATTCGTCAACCATGTTCGCAACTTCCCCTTCCTGGACAAGGCTAAAGAGAAGGAGTTCTGGCAGGACAAGCTACAAGTTGTACGTTGTATGAGGTCATACCACGCAGAGAGGGAACTGACAAAGGTGCCTTTCTAGTTCCTGGAGTCATTTGCGAGCAAGGACATCTCATCTTCAGAAGACCGGCTGGAGGAAACCAAGAGGAGAAAGCTAGCGCTCAAGGCCGAGAAGCTGGTCGAGCTGATGATGGTCTCTGGCATTCCCACCGCGTCAGGGTACGAAGAAAGGATACGCTTTGCCGAGATGGAGATCGTGGACCGACAGGCAGACGAAAAGGGCCTCACGATGAACGAGCCGAGCGGCCACGCTATTAATGGTTGGGACGTCAATGTTTCAGGCGTCAGAACAACATCGGTGAAGAGACATCTCCGCTACCACACACATGCGGTAAGTAGGTATACAATTTGGAAGAAGACAAAACCTGATTATGCATTTACAGGAGTACCTCATACGTGTAAAGCACGACGGAGACAAGGACTTCTACATTGGCCGCCGATACGCAGATTTCGTTCAATTACATAAGCGCATACGTCTCGAACTTCCCGGCAAAGTGCTCGCTCCACTACCTCGAAAGAATGCGAAGGACGGACTCTTACAATCGAGTGCTGATGACGATGATGTTAGCTCTATCTCGTCGGGATCAACCCAAGGACCGCCCCCTCCCGAACCTGTTGAGAGTAGCGGCGGTGGGCTGCGTAGCTATATCTTCGGTGGCGGACATAAGAAGAACGCCTCACAAACATCACTAGGAAGACGCTCGCCGAGAGCGTCAACAGACTTTTCGGCGTACAAAGCTCCTCGCAAGCTGTACAGGGAAGAACAACGTGTTTCTCTTCGCGCATTCCTCCGATCATTCCTACACAACGAGCGAATCGCCCAGTCTAGTGCCATGGCTGAATTTCTGACACGCGATCCTATCGAGGTCAATGAGGAAGAAATGGAGGACATTCAGAGGCGAGAAGAGATGGACAAGAAGCGCATAGAGGAACAAAAGCAATTCTACGAAGTCGCGCGGAAGCGAGCAGCGGAACTTGACATTCACATGGAGAAGTTCCGGAGAGAGATTGTAGAGAGCAACGGACTCTCCCACCTATTCCAAGAAGTCAGAGTCAAAAACACCATCCGAGACCTGAAACCAGAGTACCAAAAGTTCGCAGAGTGGTTACGGATAGAAGTGGCAGCTACCATCTACCATCTGTTCCTAGCCGAAGACAATTCCCCCGAGCTCTTTGCCCAAGCGAAGCGCATACATTCTCTCGTTCCTTACGGTGTCCTCAAGAACGTCATTAGGATAGCCAACCCTGCAGCCGTCATGAGTGGAGTTCTGGATCTGTTCCTTGCACAACCTTTCGGCGCTCGTTCATTACTCCAACGCATTTTCGGGATGGCTATCAATGACGGTGTCAATTCTGTGCAGAAGACAATCGACACGCTTGGCTCCACGAGGATCAAGGATGACGTACTTTGCGACAAGATCAAAGCATATGTACAAGCGGATGAAGGTGTCAAGGACGCGATAAGGCAGGAAGCTGCACGCGACAACGTCGACGTCGTGATCACCATACTGCGATCTGAATTCTTCCAACCAGAATTGTCTTCGCAACAAGTGGAGAAGGTTTTCAATGCCTACGTTGCGTGGAACAACGCAGTTGAAAATGTGAGATCGAGCCGCCTCAGCAGAAGAGCTAGCACCCGCAGCAGCGTCAGCACAGCTACTAACGCGACCGGTCAGGTCGAAAAGGAGATGCGATCAGGCGCCGAGCTTTTCGCGCACCTCAAGCAATACTTGAAGCTGTGTCTCAGGCAGAGAGATAAGCTTATGATGCTGCAGATCATCGAAGAAGTAAGTTTGACAAGAAGGCGATTTAAGGGATGAATGACTGACGTTCTTCTAGCCGACAACACTGCAGCTCTTCCGGGACTTATTCACCATCTTCTACGAACCTCTTGTCCGTGTATACAAGTCCGCAAATGTCTACAACAGTATTACCGACTTCGCCATGTTCGCCGACGACACGATCAAAACCATCGAAGCTTGTCAACGGCAAGAAGTTTCGGCAGACCCCAACCAAACCGTGCAGGCCTTTATAGATCTGTGCGCCCGCCACGAGGATAACTTCTACAAGTTCGTTCACGAGGTACACAAACATGACAACGGTCTCTTTGACCAGCTCATGGGCTGGCTAGAGGGTATCCTGGACTTCTTGCGCCACGGCCCTGGAAGTGGCGGTAAGCTTGATATGAATGCACTCTTCCAAGGTGGAATGGATTCAAACATCATCGACAAGAACAAGGCCATTCGCGAGATTAACAGTCTGATCAAGTGGCAAATGGCGAGGAAGAAGTGGCATTCGGACAAGACAAGGCAAAAGATGGCGAGCGGTGGTGATGACCCTGATCCGCTCATGGGTGGTATCGCTGGCTTCAAGTCGAGCGACTTTGGGCTCAACGCGGTTCGTTTTCCTCTCTGACAACATGTTGGCCATACACTAACGAGATACAGATGGATCTCCAGGATCTTGAACTCGATGACGATGGTAGCGACTCCACCGACTCGGAAGACATGGACGATACAGATATCGCAGATCCAATTGAAGCTGAGCGCAAGAGCCGAGCACGCGCTGCTGAGAAGCTTCGGAGAAAGGCAGGCGAACCGAAAAAGCCACCTATTGTGGAGCTGTACAAGCTCAGTGATGGTTTCAACAGCATGCTCAGAAACGTTCTCGCTTCGTAGGCTATTTACAATATGCCCCTTAGATGGCATGACGCCAATCTGGTCACTTTTGAATAGCGGTATGACAGGGCATTCTGCAAGCCTCTGAGACCTAATGCAATTACTTCGATTCTTCCTATACCTCCACTACTAATGTAATTTCATTTGTACTAAACGGTTTTCGGTGTTGGTGGACCAATGCGGCTCCACGTGCTCGGTATGCGCACCTACCCGAAGCACGCTAGCGCGGTGCGGCGCTCGGAGCTAGTGTTCAGTCGCATAGCTGTCCTTTAGTCCAGCCGAAACGCTGCCGCGTCCACGCGTTGACCTGCTTGCCAGTTCTCTTCTCTGTACAATGATACTGCGACAGTGCTGATATTCATTCCTTCGCTTTCACCTCTTTCGGAAAGCAGCGCCAATTGCGTTTGCAGTCCAAGTGAAGTCGATCCTCGTTCAAGACACGAGCTACTACCACATCTCGAGACAACGTTCGGCTGCACCCTCCACCCCACTGATCTCGACCCCAATTGCCTTCTACTGCAGGGCTTCACAGCAACTTCCCACAAGCACGCCTACCCTGCAGCGGTAATTCGCCATTATGCCCGCCAAATCGCGATTCACGAGGCTCGATGCCTTTACTAAGACGGTCGAAGATGCGCGCGTGCGCACAACATCAGGTGGAATCGTCACCATAGTCAGCTTGCTGGTTATATTCTGGTTAACATGGGGCGAGTGGGCCGACTACAGGAGAGTGACTGTACGACCAGAATTGGTGGTTGATAAGGGCAGAGGCGAGCGCATGGAGATTGCCCTGAACGTAACGTTCCCACGGGTACCGTGTGAGCTGCTCACACTCGATGTCATGGATGTGTCTGGAGAATTACAGATGGGTGTCACGCATGGCATCAACAAGGTGCGATTGAGCCCTGAGAAGGAGGGCAGCAAGGTTATTGATATCAAGGCTCTGGATCTGTAAGTATCCACGGAGTGGCTGATTGCAACAAGGCAGATTCTAGAAGCAACGGAGTGCTAACGACGATTTCAGACATGCTGACGAGGCGTCGCATCTTGCTCCCGATTACTGCGGCGAATGTTACGGCGCACCTGCCCCCACCAACGCAATCAAGCCCGGCTGCTGCAATACCTGCGACGAAGTTCGTGACGCATACGCTTCGATATCTTGGTCTTTCGGTCGTGGAGAGGGAGTTGAACAATGCGAGCGAGAACACTACGCCGAACATCTCGACCAACAACGTCAGGAAGGATGTCGTCTTGAGGGAAGCATCCGCGTCAACAAGGTTGTCGGTAACTTCCATATTGCGCCCGGAAAGTCGTTCTCGAACGGCAACCTTCACGTACACGATCTCGAGAACTACTTCAAGGATGAGTACGCGCATACCTTCACCCACAAGGTTCACCAGCTTCGCTTCGGTCCCCAGCTTAGCGATGTCGTTGTCCAAGATATGCAGAAGAAGCACGCAGGGTCCGGCGCCGGTGGGTGGTCGAACCACCACATCAACCCTCTGGACAACACCGAGCAGCATACCGATGAAAAGGCTTACAACTTCATGTACTTCATCAAGGTCGTGTCGACCGCTTACTTGCCCCTCGGCTGGGAGAAGGAGGTCCCTCGACCTGCCAAACACGACGAGCTTCTCGGTGCTACCATCGATGCTTCTTACAAGGGCAGCATTGAGACGCATCAGTACTCTGTGACTAGCCACCATAGGAGTCTGCAAGGTGGTTCCGATGAGAAGGAAGGTCACAAGGAGAGGATACACGCTCGGGGCGGTATCCCCGGTGTCTTCTTCTCTTATGTAAGTTTACAAACACCGATTTGTTGATGCTTGATATGGTCACTAACGTTCGCAACAGGACATCTCACCTATGAAGGTCATCAACCGCGAAGCTCGTGAAAAGTCCTTCTCTGGCTTCCTTGTCGGTCTCTGCGCCGTGATTGGTGGTACTCTTACTGTCGCAGCGGCCGTGGACCGCGCGTTGTACGAGGGTGTCAACAGGATCAAGAAGATCCACTCAAACTAGATGACCATTGTTGTCCGAGGGTCATCCTATTGTTGCATTTACGCGCGTTCATGTGTGGAGTTTTTGGCGTCACAGGAAACCAACGGAAAGACTTTGCTTATGCTTACAAGTCTAGGGGAGTGGTGTGGGTGGCGGGAGGTATGGAGAGGCATTGGGAGATAGAGATTGGCCTTTGAACAAGGCTTGTATCATTTAGATCGGAAATCTATGAAACGTACACCTACTTTACTGTCGGTCTCAGTAGACTACCAGATGAAATGTTGTACTTTCCTGTGTTCAATTTCATTGTCATTTCTGGGGTTCAAAAACTTGGTCTTTTAGTAGGCATATCGCGCATTGTGCAACCAGAGCTTCAAGGGGCCCTGGGGTCACACTCCGGGTTGACAAGAGAGAGCTTCGCGGATGACTTTGCTGGCTGACAGAGAGGCGCCAGGTCTTGACGGGATTAAGTTCTTCAGGCTGTCATCAAAGTGACTGCCTTGCTGCCTGATTGCAACCCAAGGAGTCAGCACAAGGGAACCGTATTGTTTGCACCTGGAGCAAGATTTTCAATAGGCTGGCATGACTAAAGAGCATAAATCAATAGGCGAGAGCAAAAAGACAATAGCAGTGAACTTGGTTGACATCGAAGGTTCCATGTGTTTTGGCCAATGACAGTGGAACGAACAGGAAAACTGTGGCTTGGCGACGCACAGACCTTCCGACTTTATAGACAATCCCATCTGCTCGGTCTTGCTTGATTGATCTTTTCCACCTCTAACACACGACCAACATACTCCAATAAACATGAACGATCAACCAAGAGGTGGCCGAGGGCGTGGTCGCGGCCGAGGGCGCGGGAACTGGAGTGTCTCATTCACACCACAAAACCATGACGACGATCAGATGATGGTCGATGGCGAGTCCTCACGTGGACGAGGTAGGGGACGAGGACGGGGACGAGGATTCAGGGGAGGCCAAAACCACTTCCAGCACGACAATCGCACAGACAATCGCTCACGAGAGCCGGCGATCGACAAAGAAACCCTTGAAAGACTCAAGTCAAATCCGTCATATCCGCTCATGGAAGGCTTCCTGGGACGACGTTACGACGCCTCTAATAAACTATTGAACCTTTCAACTATCGCCGGCGACCAAGAGATCCTCCAATCAGGCATGTTTGCCTCAGAAGGCGCCCAGAAGAAGTTTTTCCCAGCCCTTATGATCGTTTGCGACGCCATTCTCGAAACGCAAGAAGCGAAAGAAGCAGCAATCCACAGCGTCACACTTGCTGGTAACAACCTCCAAAACACACACGCCGTCTACCAACTCTGCAACCACTTCCGCCACATCCAAAACCTGGATCTAAGCAACAACGCCTTTGCGACGCTGGAAGCGCTAAAACCCTGGAAAGGCCGTTTCAGAAACGTCGAACACCTCATCGTCGACCCGTTTCCCAACCCGAACTGGCAAGACGAAATCGTCTCGTGGTTCCCCAAACTCAAAATCCTAAATGGCAATCAAGTTCGTCCTGACGCGGCGGCAAACAACAACGCAGTAAACGCACAGCAAATACCAGCTTCTACCACCCCAACACCCATACCTGCAGTCGCCGACCCGGAGCAACAGAGGAAAGAAGAGATGATTCTCTACGTTCAGCGCGAAACCAATCTTAAGCGCGACTACGCTATTCAATGTTTGGAGGCTGGACAGTGGAATATCGAGCAAGCTGGTGCTCTATTCGCACAGAGTCGCGAGTCTCTGCCAGCTGAAGCGTACAACTAGACGTTGATCGTTTGAGAGCTCACAGAGATGAAATTTCGCAGGTGATGGGAGGAAAAAGACTTTGATGTCATTTGTACGACATCAGGCATGGAACAACGAAGAGCAAGGAACCAGTGTCGCTACTACCTTTACAAAATCACAACCCAGGCAGCACATCTTTGGGAAACATGGACGTCTGCGCAAAGAGAGCGGGACTTTCAAGCAGGCGCGGACATCTTGGGGGCAGCATCTGGCTATCATCACGAGGAGCAGGACTTTTCTTTTACTGTATGGGGCGAGGCAAAAAATGGTTCAGGACAGAGCATAGCATGGCGTTGATGTTTTGTGTATGGGGCATGAGGCGGTACATATACCCACGCGTAGGAAAGCAGGAGCACGAGCACGAGCATGAGTATGGTCTACATAGAATGAAAGCAACCATCGAAGACATAACGACAGACCAGATCCTACCTTTGTCATTGTGATCAATCTAGAAAGGAAGGTGTGGCCGCCTAACGAAACATCTCACGTCAGCTATCAGCAAGACCGACATCGCACACCCACGTCATCACACATACAGATCGTAAGACTAGTCTTTGAACAGGGAAAGAAACACTCAAGGCAAACAGCCGAGCGCAAATAGATATCATCTCTACATAGTATGTACTGAAAGAAAACGCGTCCTTATTACCACAACGCAAAAGCCACAGCACCTGCTTAGTGACTCTTTCTCTGCGCGTTAGCCAACGCACTGTTAAGCGCAGCCGTGACATCCACATGGAACAACGGCCTGTTCAGCCCTTGAACAACCGCTATCCGGCCCCTATGTCTAGCATCTGACGCATCTGCATGTCCATACGCCTTGCTGTGCTCCAGCTGCTTGGTAATACTACCCGTCTCGGAGCTGTCGCCCGAGTCGGGATGCCCGGCCTCAATATCGCGACTTCGTACTTGCGATAATGTGCGTTGTGCGAGGAGGTTCTCGCGTGCTTCTGCCTCCGCGGCGGCAGAGTCTGAGCCGCCGATTTCGGCGACGCTGAAGATCGGTTTCCATCGGTGGGTGATGCCGCTATCGGGCATCTCCGGAGTGTAGTAGCCGAAGCCGGCGGCGGCGAGCGAGCGCTTGGTCCAGCGGTTGTTGATGTTGCAGAAGTGCCAGTCAACAGTGTCTGGGGCCGCGTACTTGTCGAGCTGGTTCCTTACGTCAATCAGATTCTGAATTGAAGTAAGGTCAACATTGTTGACGGAGGAGAAATCGAGAATGATAGCCTTGAGCGTGGGTCGGTCGTCGGTAACTTCGGTCTCCTTGCCACGGCGAGGGCCAGGGTCGTTCCATGGGCGGTCGCCCGGTCTGTTGTAGGTCGCTTGGTTCGTACGGCGCGTCTTCGCGAAGATGATGTCGGTGAGCTGGTCGAGGTAGTGGTTTGCGTTGGGGTAGTTGAAGCCTTCGCTAAATCGGTAAATGAAGATACCTGGGTAAGGGTCTTCGAGCTGAATGCTTGGGTTGGACCCGTCCTTATGATCGATGGGTAGAAAGACTTCACGAACAGAGTGCTCTCCCTCCGAAGGCTTTTGCCGAACACCAGGGGGTGACATCTTGTCTTCTTCGGTTGGGTCCAGTAAATGATCTCCAATGACAGAGTGAATCTTGGCCCTACCCATGAAGCGTCCCTTGGCCTTGAAGAGACGGAAAGCAAACATGCCTGCGGAAACTGACACCGTTACGAAGATGCCATTCTCGATGCTGGAAAAGACGGTGACGAGAACACCGACGAAGAAGATGATAACTTCAAGCGGTGAGATCCTCCAAAATTGGTAGACAGTGTTTGGTGGTGTAATCAAGTCCAGCACTGCGTGAATGATGACTGCCGACAGCGCGGCGTTGGGAATGTACCAAAACATAGCTGGGAGTGCGTAGATGGCGAGTAGCACTACGGCGGCCGTAATGACACCTGCAAAAGGCGTGCGAACACCAGCCTTGGACTTGATAGCAGTACGTGAGAAAGAACCAGTCGCGGGGTATGCTCCCAGGAAGGGGCCGAGGCAGTTGGAAACACCAATGGCTACGAGTTCTTGCGATGGGTTGATAACGTAGTTGTTCACACGTCCGAAAGACTTGGCGATGGAGATGTGCTCGATGAGGAGGACGATGACTGTCGATGGGAGTTCGGTCGCGAAGGACTTAATGATGGGAATCGTAATCTTGGGCACGCGCGCGTGTTGGAAGCCTGGAAATGTAAGTAATGAGTTTGACCAAGTTCGGGAAGCATCTTACCTCGTGGAACAGTTCCAAGAGTTTTGATAATCGGCTTGGTTCCGTTGGCCCTGTGCTCTCGGTTTGCCAGGTAGCTAAATAGGATATACAACAAAATGACGAACACTGTTCGCAGAGTGTTGATGAAGAAGAACAGCTTGGCGCGGGTGGGATAGCGCTTTGCTAGCTGACCGCAGGTAAAACGAATCCCATATAGGAGGAACAGGCACGTCAGGCCGAATGATGCGTTGAGATCGGTTCGTCCCAGGTACTTGAGCGAGTTGATGACCACTTTGTATGTGGGGTCCCTAGTCGAGAACCCTGTAATACCCATCATGGCAGGGAACTGCCCGGCAGCGATGCTGAGCGCAGAGCCGGTCATGAAGGCCGAGATAGCAGGTAATGAGATGAGGTCCACGATCCAGCCCATACGGACAAGACCTAAGAAGAGAACAATAGATCCAGCGATGATGGCCAAAGCGGACGCGATCATGTCTCGTGAGATGTCTTGGTCAGCAAGTTTCTCTTCTGCAGACAGCACGACGCCACCAGTGACTGTTGACAATACGGCAACGGGCCCAATGGTGATGTCTTTCGAGGTAGCGAAGAACCAGTAAATGAGTACACCCATGAATGAAGAGTACAATCCAAATTCGACTGGAAGCTCGGCGAGCTTAGCGTAGGCCATACCCTGAGGGACTACAACGGCGCCCACGGTGATACCTAAGAAGAGTTAACAGCCATACAATGATTTTGTTGGGGGCTAACATACCAGCAACAAGATCTCCAATTAACCATTGCACGTTGTATCGGCCTATCCAAGAAAGGAACGGAAACAGGCTGGAGCAGTACTCTCTCAGCTCGTGACCACTGGGAAGCGTGTCTTTGATCCATTCTTTCGCGGTGGGTTCTTCCTCAACATAGGTGTCCGCGGAGTCGATGGTAAAGACACTTTCGCCTCGAGTTACGCGTTCCGAGCCAGTTTCATTCCGGTAGTGCAAGTCGATGCCTAGCACCTTTGCTAGGCCTTCGCCGACTTTACTGGCTGTAGAAGCCATTGTGGTGATGAGAGGTCTCCAACGCGCGCAAACGAAGATGCACTGGATCAGCACTGGAATGCCACGTGCCTGAAATCCAGTACTAAGTTTGTCAAGACCGAATAAGCTGCAGAAGCAATGACAAGAGCTGCCAGGTGCTTGAAAGCTTATCTATGAGGACCACCGAACGGGCGGGTGTGAACAAGCACGGCGCAAGCAACTGGTGGCTTGGAGTGAATCGCACGCGGTCTCTCTGGGACGAATGACAGTGGTGCTGTGCCGGTCTGGGCTGCAGGATCGGCCTGTGAGCTTCGAAGTCAAGGTAGCTTGGGATGCTTGTGTGCCCTGGATGTGGGAAGGACCGAAGCCTTTACGACGCGTCGGGATTGCTCGATATGACGGAAAATTGCGTGATCGCTACCGTTACTGGATCGGAATTGGTGTTGACGTACGCTAATAGGTTACGCGCAGTCGGGGATTGTCGAGGCAATAAGGCCACTGCTATGATAGAGGAGAAGAGATGGGTAGGAAGTATTTCCAAGCAAAGCCCGAGTGAAGGGATCTGACAAGTGACATAATGCCTTGATATGCCGATCAGACCTAAGTGATGCTTTAGCGACCGTGACGCTTTTCGCCGCAGTACCGGGCAACAATCTGATGCCAGATGGGTCGAGCTTGCAAGGGTGTGCGGGTGCGGCGACAGGGATGGTGCGCGAAGGATGTGATGGTCGCTGACGGTTCGCACTAGTATCCAATAGAGATTCGAGGCCGGAATTGCGTGCTCGGGAGGAAAGATGTCGTCTTCAGTGTGCGAGTCCGCCAAGTAAACTTAGGAAACGGTTGAGGTGTGGCACAATTGGCACACAAATCCTTCTGGAGTATTATGACCGTGTTCCCAACTGACGTCCGACTACATCATGTGTTCGTCTTAAACAACCGCACTGAGCATGTCATCTAGCCCGACGCATACCTACAGTGTGTGCGACCATCTAACTTTGCGTCAAAAGATCCTCCAATTGTAAGAGGCGGCATTTTCAAAACTCCGAGGCTCTTTGTTGAACGTAGTCGTGATGTCGCGAAATAGCATCTGACGTCATGCTCTGGGGAAAGCCGGCTGTGCGGGTACGTTGAGACGGCACTTGGATCATCGACGGGAACTTGCATCCAATCCAGGGCAATTATCTCAGCCTACCATGATAAGCCCGTGATAGAACCGGCACTGTCTGTCGTGAAGAGGAGGTTTGTGGGTGCGATTAAGGTTCTTTGCAGGATGCCAGCCGCACGTGGGGAAAACTGGTCCTGACTAAGCGAGCAGACGCCATTAAATATGGGGTGTTTAGTTCTTTTAGGAAGGCTGGACACAAGAAGTGCATACCGCTTTTGTCCATGCTCAAAACTCAGCAAAACACAGTTGATGGGTTTTGACGATGGCTCTGCTCTAGATTTCCATAAGTGGGTGGCGAGCTATGCCGCTCTAATTGAGATGCACACTTCCAAAGTTATGGATGCATCACTCCAAGAGGTGCTGCGGCCACATTGAGCTAGTCTCGCGCGTTCGGCGTCAGCGCTTTCCGACTTCCTTCTTGGCTGACCCTCAGTCCTACGTACTCAGTTTCCACACGCTTGCCCACCTCAGTTGCTTTCCACGACACGATGCCTCCACCCAAAAGGCCAAGTACTGAGTCGGGTCAATTCGCCCGTCCGATCTAGGCCGACCCGGTCATGCCGTAATGCGAGTAGATGTGTTGCATTCGAGACCCACTCCCATATGAATCTACGGCGTATAACGTCTGTCACAAGAGATGCTTTGTGGTGTTCTTATTTCAGGTCTTGTCAATTTCATCCACGGAAAAGATCAGACCAGTGTGGGGTGTATGCCATCTACTAGGCTACAGTCTGCGACAGCACCTACCTAAAGAAGTGAAATATTTGACAACGATGTAGCACCTGGGAGCAAGCGATTTGGTTTCTGGAAGTAGCATGACGCCCAGCAATTCTGGGAAGTAGAGAATGAGATTTAGACCGTTAGATATATGAGCTTGAACTGATCTACCAGCCTCCTACCCCTGAAGAGCTAGACTCTTTACTTGGAAGTATACAGAGCATTTTACTACTCGAATCGGAGTGTTGATTCAGCAAATAGTAACCACACTCTGAACGTCTTAAAATCAATCTCTCATCTTGACCGACTTACGCAAGACCGCAGCTCAACTCTGACCCGCACACTTGCCCCCACCATCTTCTCAATCAGCGGCACCCTATCACCGGCACTTCAATATGTAGACGACCACCTTCATCCGTGCGCTGATTGATAAGTTCCTCAAGCCCATTGAACAGATGCCGACATTGGAACAAAAACGCTGCCGCCGACTCAGTACGCCTAGGAGCGTAACAATAATCCAAATTCATCAAGCGGATAGTTTGAGTAGCGTCGCGCTGTCGACATGAAAGAGTCCCGAGAAAATGCTGGAAGCCGCGGTTGTGGTGGGCCTGGAAACGATTCCGTTTCAAGGGTAGAAATTCTGTCGCGGATCGCAGTTGTCGCGAAGCGGCAGTGAGCGCGAGGAAGTGGTGCGGTTGAATTCATTTGTCGTCGTTGTGGGAAGACAGCTTGATAGGAGGGTGGCCGGACATTTTCCAGCCGTGGGGAAGACTTTCCGTACGGATTTCATGGCCGCCTAGTAAATAGGCGTATATCTGATTGCGCAGTTCGGCTGGGAGACGGAGAAGTGGGGATTCGCGTTGGGGATTCGTGTTGGTTTCGAAGGGTTCTGCTGGTGTCCGTTTGGGTCAATGAGGTGATGGGGGTGCACTGGAGAGCGTACATTGATTCGCACAAAGATGCAGCAGCCTCGGACTTTGTTTGAATGTAGGCCATGGTTATATTTTGAGTTGGTGTCAACCTTGAGAGTATGTGGTTCGAATCAAATAGGCAATGAGTTGATGACGCAGGCTTTCGAGGTAAATACAGCGGTAACCCGATTGAGTATCAGTGCTAGTTCAAGAACTTATGCATTTTGATTGAAGTGAATATATGACTGTGTGCTTAGGGACCAATTTCAAGGTCAATTCATTCTGTAGTCAGTTACACGTCGAGTCTGCGAAGCAGTAGCGGACACGTGCAATGCTCGGTACCACTCCATTGCCACAAAAATAAAACCAACTCATCAACGCCCTTCAAAATGCACTCCAACCCCTCCTTCGCAGTCCTCCACAATATAGCCACCTATCTACCACTCTTTCTCGCCTTCTTCGCCCGATCATAAGCATTCTTCTCCCTCCCCTCCTCACCCTGAATCTCCGCCACAAGCCTCCTATACTTCGTCTCATACGCCTTGTCCTTCTCCTTCTTCTCCTTGAGCGTCTCTCTCGCAATGAAGTTGGCATCCTTGCGCAACTCTCTGAGCGCTCCTTTCCTCTCGCGCTTGTACTCCTTCTGCAGCTTCTTGGCTTCCGAGCGCTCCTTGTCTGGGTCGTAGTGGCGGTTGGGGTCGAAGGATTCTTCGAATTTGGGAATGCTGGATTTGATGGGGAGGGGGCGGTGGTGGTGTAGGAGAAGTGGTCTTCGCTTTGAGCGCGCGAGGGAGAGGCGGGCGAGGAGGTTTTGGTGGGTGGAGGTTTGGTTTGCGGATTTGAGGGGGGCGAGCAGCGGGGTGAAGATCTCGATGAAGGCGGTTGAAGCGCTCCAGAGTTCGGCGGCTGTGATGACGTTCTTGCTGTGGGCTGTCAGGAGAGCGGGTGTGGCATGCTCGGATTTTAGGGACAGTCCAGTGTAACGGATGAACTCGGGGATGTAGCGCTTCGACAGCCTTTGGTATTGCAGACACAGCGCACCAATGAAAGCACCCGTAGCAACATCCTTAGTGGAGGCAGGTGAGGTAAGTCCCATCCAGCGAGCCATGAGAGTGATGGCGGGAGTCACGACTTGGTGGAAGTGGTCGGAAGTAGGGAAGATGGAGCCAATAGCGGCAAGTAGAGCCAAATCGCCCGGAGTTGGGTCATTCGATACCTGAAGCTGCTTCAAGTGTTGTCGGATCTTGGTGGCAATCTGAACTGGGTATGATCGCGTCATGGAGTGAATATGACGGATGATGGCTTCGATGACAGCCAACGACGCAGCTGGCGTCTGGTTCGACAGGTAGGAGACGTGATCAACGAGCGCGCATGCGAAGTCAGCAAGCTTGTGCTTGTTGTCTTGATGCAGTCCAGCGTGATAGAGCGCACGTATCCTTTGGATGACAGTGGAGGTATCGTTAGGAGCCACGTCCTTGAAAACCTTCAACAGCTCCTCGTGAGACCGCGGGCACGCGTATGTAAACGCCAATTTTGGTGAAGGCTCGGCGGTGAGTGTCAGCACGCCGTTCACAGCCTTGGGTTGCTCTTTCCGCTCTGGCATGACGTGCTTCAAGAAGTCTGCATCCTCTTCATCCATGGCCATGGTGTCGTCGAGCGCAGAGCCAGCATCAGACTCATCGTCCGACATGTCTGCTTCCGAATCGGTAGCGACAAGATCGTCGTCCATGATGAAGTCGTCTTCATCTTCAACGCCTTCTGGTCTCAGCTGGCCCGGTAACTTCAGCCCGAACTCGGCAGCATCATCGGCAATGTCGTCTTCATCTTCATCTTCATCCTCCTCTAGCTCTTCGACACCATTCTTGCGCGGCTCTTCGTCATCGCTGACTGGCTCTCCGCGCATCCTCTTCAACCGCTTCTGTTCGAGTTCCTTCAAGCGGTCAGCCTCTTCCTTGGCCTTCTCCTCTTCCGTCTTTGTTCGCTCCGTTGGCTTCGCTCGCTCGTCTTGCATCAGCAGGCGCACGCGCTTATCGTATTCTCTGTCCTTGTCTTGTTGTGTGGTTCCAGCGAGTAGTGCAGCGCGGTCGGCGTTCATGCCAAATTCGTTGAGTTGGGGGTCTTTTGGCTTCTCGGGCTCAGGCTTTTTGTTGATATGTCCTCGCAGGGCAGAGAGTACGTCGTTGAGATCCTTGTCGAGTTCGTCGCGTAGCTCGTCGTCGTCCTCTTTTTGTGCCTGACGCTCGTATTTGTGCTGCTTTGACTTGGCCACGACTTCCTTCATGACCTCTGCCTTGCTCTTCTTCCGCTCTGGCTGGTCTGTAGCCGCTTCGCCGTCCACTTCGCCGTCTTCATCGTCATCGTCTCTCCGCCTCTTCTTCTTCAAGAAGCCATCTTCGCCGTCGCTTGACCCAGCAATGCTAGCCGCGTCGTAATCTTCCTCTCCGATCTCATCGTCAAAACGAAGAGACTGTCCGCCGTGGGTGAGCTCCACCTCGTCGGCGTCGTCCTCGAGATCAAACACATTGCCGCCTCTCTTGCGCTGTTGTTCCCTCTCGAAGCGCGCCATTTCACGGTCCTCCAAGCTCATTGTCGGGTCATCTTCGCCTATCCGCCTATCCAGGATGCCTCCGACTTTGTTCTTGCGATGCATCTCCGGAAGCAGCGACTTCCTTCGTGCCTCCTCGCCCGCGCTCTTCGTAACGCCAGGCCGACCGAGGATCTTCTTGGGGGCATTTTCGGCCTGCGCAGAGACATACTCATGCTTGTGAGGGCGCGCAAGGTGCTTGAACTCGAAGGGATTGAAGGACTCGCGAATTGAGGCGAGCGCAGAGGCTTTCCGTTCGTGGTGGTCGGCGTTCTTGGATTGCGACTTCTTCTGCTTCTTCGACTTTTGCGGGCCGGTGATGCCCTGTTCGCGGAGGGAGGCCTTTAACCGCTTCAGCTGGGAGGGCGGCATCTTTGCTGGTAACCGAAAGCCTGAAGACCTTCCGATAGAGAATCCGGCGTTGCGAGGCTTGTGGACGGCACGAGATGGTCAACCAGAAATTATTTCGAGAACCAAAACTTCGGGCATGGATGACCCCGGTCTAGCGCCACAGGTGAGCCGCGCCCCACTTTCACACGCGACGAGGGCCATGATTGCCCGCGCAACTGCTTCCACGACCGCATCATGCTTCCATCCCCGCCGCTATAGGCCTCACGTCATGAACAACTATTCTTCGCGATGGCATCCAACATCCCCGACCACTGGCTCTGGCTTGGCCTCGGTACAATCCCCTCCTCCACCAACCTATCAGCCCCGCTAACCCATCTCCCAGGCGTCTTCACCTTCATAGCCGTCCAGCAAGTCTCCTACGGCCTCAACCACATCCGCACCCTCACTGAGATCCGAGACCCCCAGAACATCCCCCAACAGCGCCGCGCCATCCCTTCCGGACCGCCGACTCACCAAGAAGATGCGATCAAGACAAGTTCCCTCTTGACACTGGCGACTAGTCACAACAACGACATCCGCGCCTCCGCCACCAAGATCCTATGTACACGCTTCTATGCTTCCAAGTCTGCCAAAGACCTGCTCATCAAAGACCTGTACTGTGCAGACGGAGAAGTTCTGCATCGTGCGCAGTTGGCCTTCAATCTGCTGGGTGACATGGGTGTCTGGAGGGACGATTCTTTGTTGCCCAATAACAGGTTCAGGTGGGACGTCGTTCAGCCTGGAATGGGAGGAGGTTCGCAAAGAGATGTCAGGCGGAGACGGAGAGAGGCCATGGTGATAAGCGATGGTGAAGGGCTGATTGGAAGTGATGATGTTTACATGAGGGGTCCAGATGGAGAGGAAGAACATGATGAGGAGTCGTTGTTTGTGTCTTGAAGACGCGAAGTTATGGACATGGTACGGAATTTTGAATATGATACCCCAGCGATGCTAGAATACACCTTCTCAGTTTGATATATCACTGCCTCAGTGTCTATCGTGCAATAGCGGATACTATACTCAAGCCCCCTATCGTCCATCTTCACTGCGGCCAAATCCTCTAAACCCTCCGACATCTCTTCTGAAGAATTTCCCAATGTTCTTCAAATTACTCTCCAGGTTTGCGCCTCCATCAGCACCTCCAGCCTGTTGCTGCTGGCCTGGGGCTGGGCTGCCGAATCGATCGACACCATCCCTTGCGGCATTGACGAGCATATTGCCCAGGCCTGTGGCGTCAAACCTGCCTCCACCAAGACTTGGTGTCCCCATAGTGCCCATTACACTTCCCGCCGCACTACCAACGCTACCTGCCGTCTGAATTTGCAGTGGCGTAAGGAACGGCGAGTTCTGGACAAGGTTCTCATGATTCGGCGATGCGCGGAAGGCAGAGAAGAGGTCGAGGAGCTGGGTTTGCTCAGCCTTGCGGATGCCCTTGAGATCCATAATCTTCTTGAAATTGGTGTCTGATTTGTCGGCAATGTGGATAAGGTAGGCTTGTACAAGGGCCTCTGGTGGCGAGGGACGGACTTGGAGCGTTTTGAGAAGAGGGTCGATCTTGGACATTGACTGGTTTACGCGTTTGATGAAGCTAATGGGCGGGTCAGCCGTACGTTATGCCAAACAGGGCGGTCTCAGAACATACCTTGCCGGTGGTGCTGTACCAGGCTCCTCATTGAGCGTGGGTAGCTCTGTGAAGCCTTTCTTCAGCACGTACGAATCCAGCAGCATCTGCTCTGCACCAACTTCCGAGATCGGCTTGCACTGCACTATGTTCGCAATATATGTGGAAGCCATCAAGTCGACAAGGTTGTCGCTGAAGGCTCGCGCATATTGCTGCTTATGAAGATACTTCAGGATTTCTCCAGATCTCTCCTTGACATTACGTAGAAGTTCTCCCACGTAGGTACTTTGGTCACCAACACTCTCAAGCTTTGCCCAAGGCGTGTTTCGCATCTCCCTCCAGCTAGGCTCGCACGCGATTTCTACTTTGCGGACAAGCATTCGAACTGTAGCGCTGGCGATACCCATGAAGGCGTCGGCTTGGCTCTGCAGATCCACCTTTTCCTTGAACTCTTCGTCTATGCGACCTCTTATCTTCTCTTCCAGTTGGTTGCAGGTCATGTAACAATAGTCTGCAGTGTTGAGAATGAGGATGGCGTCTTCGACAGATGGTCCTTGTGCTCCTGCCTTCTCACTAAGGAAGTAGTACAGCACTTGCTGGCCATACTGGTCCAAGTACTTGGCAAAGGTCATAGATAACTCCTGAAGTCTCGTTCCAGTCGAGAGTTTGGCGCATTGCGCCAACGTCATACGGTAGAATTGGAACAATTCTGTCGATGAGGGTATCACAGCTTGATGCGAGAAATCGTCTTCTGGATTTCGGAGGGGTTGCTGCCGATACTTTGGCATAAGGTTGGCAAGTTGCCTACAAAGTCAGCTTCGTTCTCCACAGGTACGTGTATGTAACCTACTTATCTTGAGACTCCACCCAGAGGCTCATGTAGGGTTCAAAAGCCTCGGAGATGACCTGACTAAAGCCATGTGGGCGGTCATCCTTAGAAGCGACTGTGTCCATCGAAGAACGAGACTGCAGAGAGTGAGTACGTATGACAATGTGATGGACTGTCTTCACGAACCTCGTTGGTGAACCGCCTCTCCAAGCTGTGTTCGAAGTCAAGCGTCTCCTGTAAGCACGAAAGGAGTAGTTCGACGTCCAGACTCTGCCCGTCCCCTCTCCGTACAGCCTTTTGCAATATAGACTTGAAGTCTTCGCGTGTTCCTTCGCAAAACGAGTTGGCCAGCATCTCGTTCACTCTCCAGTAGGCTGGGAAGATGGAAGCATGTTCGACATCGTATGTTTTCATCATTCGGTTGAACCAGCTGTATCTTCGCCCAATATTGTCTAAGGATCCAGCCTGTTATTGTTAGCACCGTGTTACCACGAAAGAGTACGAATGTCCCACCTCATCATTGCCCCGGAAAACTTGGCGGTACTCCCGAAGCTGCGTATTGCAGTACCAGTTGATAAGCCGTGTACGAGCGTGCTCTCCGAGGGCATCAATGACCAGACATGCTTCCGCCAACATTCCTTTCCGTTGGGCTGTTTCGCCCTTGGCGAATGTCACCTCGAAATCCTCGCAGACCTGCTCCAGCAATTCGCCCTGCACATCTGCTACGTTGCGACTCAGCGTTGCGATCTGGTCTATCGAGCGATAGCTCTTGAAGTGTGCCACCAGCTGTATCACAGCCTGAAGAAGCTGTGCGCATTCCCGGTATTGCCGCGACTTGCTGAGGCTCCGTAATTGTTCGTATGCCGTCGTCAGCATCTGAAGGCGCTTCAACGCCGTCATGGAGAGCGTCAGGTTCTTCTTGGTGCTATCCAAGCGCTTTATGTCTGCAGTCATCTCGGTGATGGTTTGCTCCGTCTGCATAGCCCGCTCTCGGACGCTCTCGATCTTCTTGAAGAGGTCAGCGAGCTCTGCCTTGGCGGCCTGGATGCGCTGCACGCTGTCGGCATCGGCAGTGGACTGTGAGGCGACAACGCCTGCGATGTCTTCGTCGAGGTCATGCTGGTAACTGCGGAGGGCATCCGACGTGGCAGAAACGGACGAGAGTGCGGCGGGGTGGGAAAAGATGGCGTTGAGGTGATCGATAGGGTCGTATGAAGCTGCATTGAGCGTCAGCGCGGAATCCATGCTTGTGGGTGTTACTGCAACTGCGTACTAGATTCCAGCGAGGTGGAGGGCGCAGGCATGTGGTTCGGCGGGCGTCCGCGTCAATGGCATGCGCTCGCGGTACACGGTTGCAGTCGTAGCAGCGGCAAGGAAGGCACGGCCAAGGTGCAAACTAAGATGAAAAGTATCCTATCTCTCTAGGACGCAGTACGAATGATTGGATTTATTGGCAATTGCCTAAGGTCTTCCATGCTTCACAAGACAATATCCCACGCGTCCTCAATCAGGGTCTCTATTCCGAGGTCCGAGCTCATCGCGCTAGAGCACCCTGACGTGTGGTAATATCGCCTGCGAGCGTATACAGAGCACAAATACAACAGTCATGCATACCAGAGTCTACAAATACACTCGGATACCACTTGATTTTGAGATACGGGCTTACTATTGTAACCCAGGCACTATTGCGGGAATAGACCCAGAAACCCGTTGTAAACTAAACTGCGGTCTTTTTGCGTGAGTGAGCTTGCATCCCCTGTGCCGGTCCAATAGAAGAGTCCACCTAGTCCGTTTTGACGAACGTAGTTGGCCTTCATCTTGACTGTGTGCGGGGTATCGTATGTGACTAGCCCTCCGTCACCACCAATGCAGTAGGCTGCGCCCAACTGCTCGTCAACGTGCTCTTCCGCACCCGGACGTGGTAGATCTCGGTACTCGAATGTGCCCTCCTCTCCTGCCTGCCCGGAGAACGAGTGACCAATACCACGGGTTCCGGTGAAACTGCGGCCATATGCTGGCACACCCATGACAATCTTGTGTCTTGGAACACCTTGCTGCATCATGTACGAGACAGCTGAGTGGCACGATATTGCGGCTTCGGGACTATGCGGGATGGGTGGTGTGAACAGTTGAGCCTGATGCCCGCACTTGCTGACCCACGGTCCAGAGTAGTCGTAAGCCATAAGGTTGATCATGTCCAGATAGTGCGAAGCATGTGCCAGGTTGATGTGTTGAAGGGCCCATTCGCCTGCCGGAAGTGCCGAAGAGAGGGTGTACTGAGGAGCTGGCAAATACTGACGAAGTATAGCCAGAAGAGCGATGTAGTCTTGACCTTGACTGGCATCTGAAGGGTGCTCCCAGTCGACTGTCGTCTGCTTAGTATAGACGTTTCAGTTTGGATTTGAACACCCACTATCGACTCCATCGATCCCGAATTGCTGTACCAATGCCAACGATGACTGGGCGAAACGCTCACGGCATGCAGGATCTCGAGCTACGCCAGCGAAAGGCTCACTGCCTTTTCCACCGCCACCGACAGATAGTACAACTCGTAATCTGGTGTACTTTCGCTTCAGAAGGGCGAAAGAGTTCAGACAGCCCTTTGTGGCAGGAATATCGTCAGTGCCTGGAACCTCGATTTGAGCATCGGCCCATTCATCGCTCAGCTACAATGCGAGTTAGTCAGGGAGACTTCTGTACATCTGACAGACTCACGTAGACAGTTCCATCATCTTTCACCCTGTGACCATGTTAGCCCTATCACCCAGTGACTCGGTCCAGCCCTTAGCGTACCAGGCAAACGCATAAAAGACGTGCGAGATGACATCGTAGTTCAGTGACACAGGTGGCTGGTCGCGATAGATGCGCCAGTTAGGATAGTAGACTCCGTTCCAGTACATGGCTTGCAGCGGTGTAGAGAAAGTGGTGTCGTGACCAGGCGGGTTGAAGTAGTGTCGGCTCATTTTCGGTCGTCGTCAGCTACAGCCTAGCTTGCTGCACGTCAGAACACCCTGCAGGTATAGGCGGGTACCCGGACTTTGAAGGATCAAAGTTGGACGGATATCGGAAGCTCTTTTTCGTCTTGGTATCTCGAGATTTGGTCTTGGTAACGAAAATGTATAGGTACGTATGTAGTTCAGAGCTGTGTGTGTCGTCGATGATTCCTGTGATTGGAAGGTTAGTAGACAAGAGAAGATGGAGAAAAGGGTCGAGATTGTCTAGGGTAATTCTGGAGCACTTCTTGCTTGTATATGAATATAAATGCAACGCAATCAATAGTGGCACCGGAGGCCATCGGTGATGCAATGCTTCTAATGATCGTCTTGAGACCAACGGACCGCGCAATCATCCTAGAAAGGACGGAGGCTTCTATGCAGGCCTTGCTATAGTGGCTTTACTACATAATCGACGGTGAGGCCCAGTCTGGCAACTGATGGACCACAGATAGACACTAGACTGCCACCCCAAGCATCCCTGATCGCGTTAAGCAGGCCTGTGTCGCGTACGAGGTTGCAATTTTCTCAATATTCCGACGTCGTAATGTGGGCCTAGTGCTTCGAGAGCAAAACGATGAAGTCCACCACAGAACGGTTCAGCTCTACCCCATACCAGCGGGAGTGCAAGGACATAGTGACGCGAAACTGGGTATTGAAGCAACGTCAATATTGAGCCGAGGACGATTTCTCAAATTGTCGCGGAATATAGACGGACTATTGACTGCTGATTATACGACCAGGAACGGCTTTCCGGATCCTTGTGGGGAGAGGACATGACGCAAGCGGCTAGAAGTATAGCAGCCAAGGAGCATCTAACGCCGTGTTGCATGAGTGGTGACCAGGTGAAGGGACGACCCCGCACGGAATCAAAGCCTGGAAACGATCATGGCTGCCTGCGAACACGTTGATGAAAATGCACAGATCACGCAAAGCGTATCGACGGGCCGCGAAGAGCAAAGCGAGCACCGTCAAGCGTCGTATGCGATAGGTCTCGGGGTCGCACGATCGGTTTGACGGCACGTAGGAAACGCAGATGTAGTGGGTAGATCAGGGTAAGTCAAAGGCCGAGCGGGATGTAACCGCCATGTAATACGCATCCGGTAAGTTGCAGATGCAGATGTGGATGCGGGAGTACGGTGATCGCCGTCGGACCGGAACAATGAAGCTCAGCATCTTCTCTAGCGTCCACGTGATTCCGCGTCCACTTTCGAGGTTATTGGTGATCGCGCGAGTTCCAACGACGTCACATCAACAACGCAACACCCCAAGTCTATCCTTTCCACTTATCGCATACTACTCACCCACCTGAGGTAGTCAGTGCGCGCCGCGATGACTGAAGTTGCGAACCCCGTACCAACGCCCGCGCCCGAACCGAAGCCGATAGAAGCTCAGGCGCCACAATATACTTTCAAGTTCAGCGAGTTTCTTCGGCGTGAATATCGCTTCGGCCTCAGTCCCGACCGTCCGGTATGCAAGGCATATCTTCAAGGCCACTGTCCCGACGGGAACAGGTGTCCAAACAAACACAACGTCTCGTCATCCTACAACAAGTATGCGGCTTTGTATCGGAACATGTGGACACTCATATACTAACACATCTCAGTCTCGTATGCAAACATTGGCTGCGTGGCTTATGTAAAAAGGGCGAAACGTGCGAGTTCCTTCACGAGTACAACCTACGACGAATGCCCGAGTGCTCCTACTACGCCCGAACCCAGACGTGCTCTAACGGTGACGACTGTCTTTACCTCCACATCGACCCCGAAGCCAAGCGACCATCATGCCCACATTACGACCGAGGCTTCTGTCCACTAGGGCCATACTGCGCACTCAAACATAACAAGAAGGAGAAGCTGTGTCCCTTCTACCTCTGCGGATTCTGTCCTGAGGGCAAGGGCTGCAAGTATGGTGCACACCCACGGTTCCCCACTGAACTCAAGAAGCCCGAGGTGCGCGTGGAGAAGAGCCCCGAGGAGCTCGAGGCTGAGAGGATAGAGCGCGAGCGCGAGATGATGAGGAGAGAAGAAGAGGATCGTGAGCGTGATGAAAGGAACGGTCATCAAGGTGGTCGCGGCTTTAGGGGCAACTGGGATCGCAAGAAGCGCGGAGGCCGGAGAGGCAGAGGCGGCAGGGGAAGAGGAGAATACTGATGGGCTATCTGCAGGCTTACTGGAGCTTCAGAATGCTACAAAACGCCTTTCATTAAGGCGGTGGCCGACCATCGCGCCCGGCGCGTACCGGACATAAGCCAAGAAATCGAGACGGAAAGAATAGTGATACCCCCAAGCTTGATTGTGGTATCAAGCGCTTATCAGCAGAAGTCCTGACTTGGATGGTCATCCAGTGATCTTAGTTTGAAACCTCGGTTGGCTCTGAAAAGGCGGATGTACAAAGACAATTGCCTGATGGCAATTATGGTGGGTGTATACCGTGAGCCTCAGCGCTTGGCCAAGAGGAGATGAGTCCACCATAGAGTACTATTATTACATGGCTTCGCGATGTGATCTCTTATGGCTGATCTAAGATGGTTTGCATGATCAGAGTAAATCCTCCAATCAATCATGATTACATACTTAACTATTTGTAATTACTGTGCTGTACATTCATATGTCAGGGCGAACCTGGAAAGCATGGTGGAGACTCTTGCCTAGCTCCGTTCTAGCGCACCCACATACCTACGGCTCAGCTCTGAATGCGGGTGCAACCCTAAATCCATCACATGCAACCCAGTTTCGATCTCGTTTCCTCACATTCATCGGGAACCATTCATTCTGCGCGTTCTAGACGCCGTATCACGGGGATCTGGCTGCCAGAAATCAGGAGTGGCGCGCAGCCATGATCTAGCGACATCAGATCGAAGGTCCCGACAGCACTTCAAGCGGCGCTTGTGATCTCATGTCCCCCTGGTAGCAATGCCGAAGATGGTGACTGTTGCGCAATCGTTTTGTCTATACTCATCACTCACCCTTGCAGGGCAGGTTGGACCATCTCTGCGTTTAGAACTGGCGAAAGATATCATGTTTATCTTTAGGATGTTGACCGGAAGCCCTGAACACCTATCGCAACCATCCATCAGCCTTGCAAGTGAGTTGCGTTGACCAGGTGTAGAAGGCGCTCACCTCTCACCGGCGCTTCTGGTCTCAGTATACATTGAATGTGTATACCGTGCCTCTTGTCTCGTCGAGTTCAAATTGATGCTGTGGTCGCACAAATTCCTTCTCGATGTCGGCGGCGCAGGCTGTCCGCCAGTGGCTTTGCAACTCCACCACACCTGAAGCTCCGACCTGCAGCTATATGGGCGTCTGCCCCCGCACTCTATCAGCAGCAATCGAATTAGCGATAACCTTCTCATTGCAGCAACCAGAGAGAGCTTCGCAGTAAGCGCGAGTCAAGCATCAGACCTTCTTTGAGGCTCAGCCGAACACCAAGTGTCGTCGAAAGCCGGGTATCAGGTCGACGTTGTCTCTTCCCTAAGCCGATCAACTCGGCGCTGAGTTGATATTATCAGGGCAGATGACGCGGTTGCTTCTCGGTGACCCGATGAGTATATAGTATCAAGGAATGGCATCGCACCTCCATCTGAACAAGAACTGCAAGCCCTTACTCACACGAACTCAGTCGACATATCCGAGAACATCGAAACAGGCATCTAGGTACTCTGCCGTCTCAAGCCATTCAACAGCGCGGCTTGTTCGTCTTTGCAATAGGTTCTGAACCTTCGCCCCTTGCCATACCCAGGCAACATTCTCGTACTTCAGTGGATTTCGCTCTTGTCCTCGCCCGTTCAATGCGCGTTTGAACCCTTGCCGTTGCTTTCAATGTCGCACTAACTCTCTGCAGTCCCTCGGGCCAATGGCAACCAACCCGGTCACTTACCCGATGTCCCCACAGTCGTCCTCGGCACAACAAGCCCCAAATAACCTGGTCAACCACTCGACATTGAACAACGGAGGATATCCCGAGCTCGCCTCCTTTTTCTCACAATGTAGCAGGTCTCTGCACCTGCGAAGTTTTTCCGCCCTAGCAGCACGCCTTTTGCTTTACCGCCAGCATGAGTTGATAGTGTTGGAGAGAAGACTAAAAGCGCTTGAACGCGGGGACGCTCAAGACAATGACCGTGACAAGCGACTCTTCTCGGAGGATTTTGCTCCGCTCAAAAAACAGAGTCGTGCCACCGGGATTCCTGATACACAGTACAAGGTGTATGAGAAACTCAAATCAGAGATGAGAGAATATGGTACGTACCTGTCGCCGATGTCTCGTACGACCTAGATTGACTTTAGTAGAAGAAGCACTCCTTCGCTTTGACCGCCTTGCTCAAAAGGGATATGATATAACGGAACTTGATTTCCTCCAAGGGTTCATGGATGAACATATAACTCTTTCAGGGTGCGATTCCAGAGCTTGGGGTTCTATGGAGGAACCAAAAGAACATGCACCTGATCTAATCCAAGTCGTGGATCAGCGAAGCCCTAGTACGATGGGAAGATTATTCCGGGATAAGTTCTTGCTGTGGATGCCGCGCTCTCCAAGCCTTCAGAGACTTTTGATTGGATCCACGAGGGCACCAGACGAATGGGGTCACTATAACTTCAGCAATCGCAGGTTCGAAGTCATCTCGTTGTTACTAGGTAATCTCGCCACTTCGGTTTTGATATACGTGGCGGTGACGTCGCTATACCTCACAACTGGCAGCGCGGCCCGTATCGCTGGGGTGATCATTATTGCTGCAACCATTACAGCTTGCAGTGTCTTGTTCCAGAATCAGCAATTCATCTCCATGATTTCCACGTAAGTCCACCCCCTCTCCGTTTATCTGAAAAATCAGCTAACAGGTAAAGGGTATGCGCTGTCCTGGTAACCTTGTTATTGAACGACGGCCCTCGACAGCCCCGATCGACGCAGACTCAGTCAACAGTCGCTACCTAGAATGGTAAAGACACAGTCCGAAGTCGACACGCATGTGGTATGGCCCTTTGAGTACATGCGCGGCAGCGTCTCCGAAGCTTAGCCAGATTGTATAATGCCTGGAGAAAATGGAAGCAGTGAGTAAACGTAATACACAGAGAGCTTGCCGCAAGAAGTTCGAACTCCTTCTGTCAGTGGGTAATAAGGCGACCGCGCACGAGCCTCGATCGACTATGGACCGGAGCGTCACGCACTAGACCAACATCGGTCGCTGTGGCGTTGCCTTTCCCACATCTAGCGTCAGCCGAGTGCCTCTCGCGCACATCAGGACGAGAAATGTATATCCAGAGACCTTCCCGCTGTCAGGAACTCTACGAACTTCATACCAGTCATTCTTTCGCTACACTTTCCAGCTTACCTTTGAGCTGAGCGGCTTTCCCATCGGGCAGTTGCCTGCATGATCAAGACATGCGACACCCTGGAGGAGGACCAGAACATTCGGAGCCCAGACGGTGCTTTGACCAGGGGTTGTATGCCAAGCAAAGTGGTGAGAGGCGAGTGGTCTTTGCGGCTTGATCTGTGGAAGGTCGAAACAATCCACGAGCATTATTCCGGCTGAATATTGAGGTTGTCGAGGTCTAAACACCATCAATTCTTCTTCCAGTCATATGCACGGGTCTTGATCAGCTAGAGATTCTGATGCTGGATGCCCAAAAGACTAGGTCTGCGCAGCTCGACACCCCGAACATGGTCGCTGTGCATGTCTAGGGGGGTTTTACGGCATCGCGCATCCGGCTGCGCATTTCGATATGCCAGCTCGAATTCTCATAGCTCGCTTGTCTGAACAGACCATTTTCAGGACAATAAATTTCCTGGCCGGAGACCACCCTCTACACTTCAGCTCCACGGCCGCACACAACCACCTTCAGCACTGGGAACATCTCACCCGATTGAACAAACATGAGGCCGGTAGTACAGTCAAATGACTGCGTAGCCACAGTTGATTGGCAGCGGAGACAAGGTAAGATGTTATAGGTCATTGTGTCATCCAGGCATTTTACTGATACTGAAGTTCAGCTTTGTTGAAGGATCCAGCATACAGGGCCAAATTCACGTACCGAAAAAAAGCTGCGCAAGAAGCGGACAGAGTCGCGTCGACTGTGGACCGTGGCCCATCCAGCAACACTCAGCAACCACACTCTACGGTAGCTGCCACTCAGCCTCATTCTACATTCTCGAGCGAACAGGGCGCGTCATCTATTTCCCCTTGAGCCTCTCGCGATCATATAGGCCTTACTGGATGGTGGCTATGGGACTTAGTGAGCTTCGGAAGATTTGTTACCCTGACTACCCGCATTGGCATCGAGTCAGAGACCTCACCGGTCAGCAAGCATTTGGCAAGAGCGGTGGCACGGGCGGAGACAACCTGGTAATGATGACCATTGGTCCGACTTCGCAAGAGTCTTATCCCTAACAGGCGATGGCGGCTTTGGAAGGCCTCAGTCGAGCAAGATGTAGCCATCGACGTCACCAAAGCCAATGAAAGTACAGCAATTCACGCGGCTCTGCCAATTCATGTCAAACCCTTTTCATTGCCCTCTCCAGCCGGCTCTCACATTTTTACGTTAAATCATGACGATGTTGTGTGTGGCTCAAACCTCAAATTTCGGTTGATGGGCCTGGACATAGGTCCTTCAGATAGTTACGAAGGATTCTGAGGCTTTTCGCTTTGAGTCCGATACAAGGGTGACACAGATCCTCGCACGGTTGCCGCTCGTGACGAAGGACGGTACGCTCGTTTGACGAAAGCGCTGTAGCCCCAGCCGTGGGTTTATCTCACGTTGGGAGAAAAGCCAAACTTTTTCTATGCTGCAGGCAGACCCGCGGACAGGATTTCGGAAGCTTCATGTTCACATAGATCCCACGATTTGCTTGGTATCTGGAGCTGCGTGCTTCGCACGAGTAAGGCCTCCCGGGCTCGCTTGCGGCCAGAGGCGCATGCCCAGATGCATATTCCCGACGTTTGTGACGGCTGAAAGCTAGCCAGGGGTGATCATAGAGTAGACAGGCTGGGCAGCGTACTGTCAAGAGCCTGGCAAACGCGGCGAGGGTCTCTTTCGCACTCATAGCATGTCCAACTCGCCACTACCTATGCTGCGACGTCGCGCCCGCAAGACAAATGCGACATGGGCACTTCTACCATTCTTCTATGAGGTCCTGTTGGTGTCTCATAACCGTCCATGGGCACCAAGGCCGCTTCCTGAAGTTGTCAAAGGTACATCCAATATTCCACGAGACAAAAGCTAACACATTCTCCGAACCAGATGTGATCAGCTTCCAGAGAGCGGAGTCAGTGATAGGACTCAAAGACTAAGCGGCCGTCTTCCTTGCAAGCTACGCTGCACGAGAACCAGGTACAGCCCGTCGCTACACCCAAGTGCCGAACCCTTGGCTCGCCATCCTCACGCTCGAAAGCCCTTACCAATCACGTTGACGCGACAACAACACACAAACCCCACGCTTATACCCCCACGATCGTACCGAACAGATGGCGAATGTGGAGGGGCTTGCGGTCTGCATGCATCCTTCCGTGCTTCCGCACCGTTGGGCTTGCGTTTGATTTGACGACGCCCTTAGTACTTGCGTTGCTGTGTCACAAGGGAGGAACATATGGAGGTGTAGCGCGTGAAATGCGTGCGGTGTCGCATGGTGGATGTGTACATTATTGCATACGGACCGGAAGACGATGCGAAGTGAACGGAAACGCCAGTGAGCCACGGCAGTAGCGAGCAAAGACATACAAAAGATCCTGGTTCGCTGCTTTGTACAAGGTTCATGCATGCGCGGAGTCTTGGGCGTTCGTTGCGGTTGTTCTTGAACAAGACAAGGTGGCAAGGAATGTTGATAGCTGGTTGCTTCACTAACGCGCGAACATCATGTGTATACTTTCACGCGAACACTGCATACACCCGCTCGATGAACAATCCCCTAGTGTCGTGGATAGGGTATAATGGCATTGACTGGAAGGATACGAGTACATTAGAAGGTGTCAGTATTCCACTGGGCTGTTCGAACTCGTTGTGAAGAGCGCCGACGGCGATACATCATCCAATCTCGTGGGCTTGCTCAAACTTGAGCTCATGTATTCTCTGCCACTTTGTGCGCCCCCCCCCCCCCCCCCCCCCCCCCCCCCCCCCTCTAATTGAGTCTGCCGCTCCCTTACGACTGTTCGTCCGATTCCGTGGTAGAAGGAATGAGTCTATAGGGGATACATCCCAGTAGTGGTGTGCAAAGATGTGCTCTTCCGAAGCTATATTACGCAAACGTGAGCAACCGCACATGGCGTTATCATGCAGAGCGAGCCACTAAATACCTTGTCTAAACCCTTGGAGATTGTGGCACTTGAGGCTCCGGGGCGCCAGTCCACTGAACATTCTGCGTCGACAGAGCTCGAAAATTGTCAGCATGTAAGCTTCCACTGATGGACGATGTACCTATGAAGCGGTTGCGGTGGAGTAATTGGAATCTTAGTACGAGATGACATCATGTATAGCGTGGTACTCGTTTGTTTCGAAATGCTAAGGGTGTGAAGGGGTCTTGGATCATGCGTTCGGTCGTTGGATAGCGGGAGTAGAGGAGAGAGACGAAAGGTCCCACTAGTTTTTAGGTGCACAGTTAGGAGCGTGCAAAAGCAATGACACGGGATGCACAGTTACTAGCATATCAACACTGCGACATCGGTGTGGGATCTGGATACTTGATGTACAACGGCACTAGCAGCTTTCACCGCGCGCCGTTCATGAAATATGACGATCGAAGTCGTCAAAAGGACTGACCTGGTGAGACCATTCTGGACACCAAACCACAGAACAAAAGCTCTTTCCTGGCTTGGATCAGTCTCATCGTCTGCTCTACGAGATCAATGCAGTCTCTTCGCAACGAGTAGAAGACTCTACACCGCTTCTTTGTATTTGCCATGACAGCAACCCTAAAAGTAAGTTCGTAGTGCTTACAGCTTCGTTGAGTGCAGTGGGTCATGATTTCAGTGAACGGTGTCGTAGGCGATCTCTGTGGCCTGATACCCCCGTCTGCTTGGTGTCTTTATCAAGCTCTGAGCAACAGAGGGTCTAGCTCAGATGGTTGTCAGTGATGCTGGTTTGCCATCTGAGTAGGCGCTGGGAAGGCATGTAAGTGGGCAACCGCGCGATGCCAGTCCAACAGGAAACCACTCTCGGGCCGAGATCTTCAACGCAAAGAAACGGGTGCGGCATGCAGTATTGCTATTACATTATTTCGAGTCACGTCTGCTTTTGATAGGCACTAGATGGCTATCTCATGACCGCGATAAACCTCCAGAAACGATATCGACAACGGTTGTATATTTCTATCGCTATGATGTTGGTTTGCTTTATCAAACATGTCCACGGCAACGATTCTTCTATTCTCATTCCATATGAAGCAAACAGTGTGAGGATGATAGCAAGTGTGGATATATACCTGACCTCTCAGTACGTACCTACTACTTCCTAAATCTATTTTGGCATAGCGCTGGTGCGGTGCGATCATCGAGATGCCATACTACAGCTCCAGATGTCCTGAATAATGCAATTACAGGTGGTTGGATCCAAACCCGACACACTCGTTCCTTTAGACCTTTAGCAGGACTGCATATATCATCCTCGACTTCTGAGAACTCCCGGGTACTCCCTGAATGTGAATGGGAAAATTTCTTACGGAAACCTGCCCCAAATCTCATCCCCACATCTTAACGACCACAGCTGCTTCTCGACCAGACCGAGTCGTTCTGTTCCTCTCCTGCACCAATGTCCTTGGGCTCATGTTGTCTGCATCTTTCGCTGTTGCTCACACGTCTCACGCATTCTATTTTCTTTGCGCATCTCTTCTGCACCGTCTAGGACTGCATGACTGTCATCACTCCCTCCTGCAACTGCTGACATGCACGATGCAAATCAGCGTCATCTTTTGACCAAGTAGGAGTGGTTCTAAACAAACTGAAGCGAGCTTACAGTATCCAATTCGTGGGCGGAACTAGAAAGAGAAGATCTGCAAGAACAACCGTAGCTTCGATGCGCTCACAGGTGTTTGTTCTGTTTGGGTTGATCTTTAGGCAGAGAGGTAACGGCCTGGTCTACCAATTCTTTCGTAAGCCCAATATGGTTGCGCATACCGGAGTTATAAACGGCGATTGTCTGTTACTTGGGGGCCACGTTGTGAAACTTCTTGTTGTGAGCTTGTTTGTCGCGAACATATCGTGACTCATGGCAACCCCCGGAGCGGAGTGGTATGAAAGCCAAGATCAAGTTTATGGCCGCTGCAGGTGTGCGACTGTGAGCACTGACCCCGTGGCGTCAGGACGCCCCCTAGAGAGTACTGTGAGCCAGTGCATCAGCCTTCCGGTAAACCCTTCCATACGACATGTGGAGATGAAACAACTAGCACCTAGTTGGCAGTAAATTCTGACCAATAATTGAGCATGCATAGCGCAGATCCTTCCAAGATGGTTCATGACTTCTTGGTGCGCGCGATGATCGGTGTTACCTTCGCTCGAGTAGTCTCTAACGGCGGCCGTTGAAGAACGTGATACAGTGCTGAACTCATTGGAACTCGCTGCGAGCCAGGTCGTCTTTATGTTTTGCATGAAGGATGACCTACTGGATAAGAAAACCAGTGACGACATGTATCTGACCTACAGGTTGGCTGGGACCAGGCACCGATGCCAGATACCAACGAGCCGCCCACCGGGGGGTGACGCTGCCCTGTCGGAGGGAGGGTGGCCTCAGCACGCACCACTGCTTGGCTCAGCCTCAAACTATCCATCTCTACACGCGACTCTGATTCCATTCTTGTTTCCCTTGAACGGCAGGTTATGTTTCTCCCATTCTCAATCATTCGAGGTTTCCGAACTCCTCACACTCTCAAAGCTCATGCACGAAAATCGTAGTGTAAGTTTGCGTTCAGGTCGGCCATCTATAACTGCCAGCTTGATCACCTCGTCCGTTGACAGCTCACTCAAAATGTAGCTCATAAATCTCCATACGACCCATCGATTGAAGAAACCCGCCCGTCGAAAGCGCGAATACTGAGCTCGCTTCAGTCTACCCAACCGCGCATCTGCCTACATAGAGGTATTTGTTACTCTCGATATACGAACAGTTTCCCCCAGGGCTACCTGCGCGCCTTCTCGCACTGTCGCCGCCGTTGAAGTGATCCCGCAAACACCCAACAACGGTGTGAAGGCGTCAAGAGAAACACCATACACCACGCTTGGAAATGCGCACAACCGATCCTTTATCCAAGGCGTCTGCGGGTCATTATACTCGTGCGTTGAAACACGGCAATTGACGCGGCATTTCAACACCTTCGCTATGGACTTTACTGAACGCGACGGATGGGGTTATAACAAAATGGATACAAGACAAGAGAGGCACCCCCACACACTGACATAGTTCAAAACCATGAATAATCTTGTGGCTTCAGATGCGGCCTGTTCCCAAAACCAATGTCTGGGGTTATCCTTCCCCAACCATGGTAAGCCATCGACGCTAGGCGCATCACACTCCCGACTGCAAGCGTACCAATTGCAACAGAATGCCACCCTCCCATTCGACTTACCCGCATCGCGCTTTGCAGCGTTCATCCTTCAACCGTTCGTTTACTATGACCTGCGGGAAATGCTTATCTCAACCGCACACCTGTTGGATGCTAGGGCGGGGGCACACTGCGACACTGAGATCAAAACGGGCATATGGTCGAGTGGACAGCTAGGTAGTGCTGTGATAGAACCAGATTAGAAAGCGTTTGTCTTGTTGTTGCAGATAGCAGGGACAGGTGCAAGGCATAACATGTTCGCAGCTGATTGTTGCTCATTCTCGTTCTAAGGCCAGCATGCGCATTGTCGGCTTAAACAAAATTGACAGCTCTTGCTGCCTGGCGAATTCTGACTCGCGAAGAGAACTACCAAAAAGATTTACAGCAAACCATGATACTGAAGTGCTTGGACTGCGACGAAGTTCCAGGCGTCACTCGATAATGAATCGTTGGTGAACGTACTGCGCGCTATCTATACGTAGGTAGCGTACATGAGGGATTCCCAACTATGCGATGGCCGAGTACTCTCATGAGTAAATTTCGCAATATCTGGTCGCCATGTGGAATATAGCGGGCGCCTTCAAGTTCCTCAGCGGGATCTCAGCAGACGCCGAGCGGCAAGACTGCGCACCCCAGGCAGCAATCCGCTCACCATCGCGTTTCCTATAAGCGGCATTCAATCTTTGACTACATAATCACATAAGAAGTGTTACAGATAAGTCCGGCAGGGTCGAAATAATAATAGATTCGTCGTGTCGCGCGGATCTTGCCCGCCTCGCCGACGTCCTCCATCCTTGGCACTGAGTGCCAGTGCGTTCTGATCTCCCAATAGTTCGACTCTGATCCCTGGGTTCTCTTGCATCCCCTGGGAACCTAATGTCACCTGCTGCTATTCGTTTCCAAGGTCTTTTCAACATCATTCTTGCACTAATGACTCTTACTCGGCACGCTTGTTCATCCACGGGGCCGTATACCTACATTCTGCAGCGTCTGCGATGGCTGCGGAAAGCTCTGCATCCCTTCGATCAGCACCAATGCAACGGAGACGACGGATACACTGTTGAGCAGCAGCGCCTTCATGTGAGAGACTCTATGCGCTCTTATCCAAAGGACCTTCTGAGTCTTTGGATGGGCGACTGCCCCTTTGATGGCTACCACCTCCTTCCCGTGTTCCGATTCTGCTTCTCAACACAAGCTAACAGATCATCCAAGCATGTAACCGAATCCTCCGAGACTTCCATCCTCCCGTAAACTAGCAGCACGTGCTCCGCCGAACATTAAGCGATCTTCTCCACGACACGAGAGCACCTACTTCTTCCGGTACAGCCTGAAATCGATCCACGAAGGCCCCACATACAAACATCATGCGAAAAGTCGTATAGCACGGGTGCGGCGCTATTCCTAGCTTGGCGACTTGGTTAGACGAGCAACAAGGGCATGTTATCCACGAGCGTAATGGCCTAGCTGATGGATCATTCGTGACAGAAGACAACATGTCCACTCAGTCGCCTTGGAAGCATCTCAAGGCCTTTTCCAGGTGTCTTGGAAGCTACGCTGCGCACTGTTGACGTTGAGAGCGGCGATACTGAAGGATGTGAAAGACGATACTATATGTAGATGCGAGAGACGGTGAGTCAGCAATGATGTTGAAGACGTGATATCAGATATTGGAGCTCGGCTGCAGCAGGGTTTGCGAGATGAGCGGCAGCGGATGGACTCTAGCTATGCGTTTCTCATAGCAATGACTACGAACGATGCCATTTATATGTTACTGCACATTCTGAGAATATTTTAGGAAGATTCTAGCTGCCCATGCAGCTTGTAGGCTTCAATTATCCCCATCACGTACTATGACCTTATGTCGATTGAAAACTAGGCACACAATTGATGCGTATAGCCCCAGGCGCAGCTCGTGCGTATGAGAGAAGGACCGCAGAGTTTCCCAACATCCTTTAGTTTCCTCTGCACAATGTCGTGCGCTTCGAGTGGTGTATGCCATGTGTGCGTGCGTGCAAGTAGCTTTTAGCGAAAAAGGGAGGGGACGCGTCGTAAAGCTCCTCCGATGGCAATACCGCTGATTGAGAGGACCGGGATGGTTAAGAGGCGGCTGTGCGCGCTTCATTACTTGTGGGAGTAGCTTGTTTGTTGCACTTCGTGTTACTGTCGCCGGCCTTGTCCCCCAGCTGCTTGTCGTTGCCGCTCTCAATGGGTCGCGGGGTCTGGTTCTCGCTCACGCGCGGAGCCGGAGGAGACGGATTCCCTGTGATGTGGTCAGTTCTTTCTCGGCCTTGCTCATAGTCATGACAGCCGTACTGGCTTTCTCGATAGTCCGGTTCAAGATCACAGGCTTGCTACGCGCCATGATGCTCGGAGAACGAGAGAAGGACGCATCCGGTTACGTTCTGAGGAGAATGTGCGAGCTTGTGAGAGAAAAGGACCTAAACAAGCCTGCGAGGTGATGTCTTGGGACACTTGATAGTATCAAAACTGTATAGTATGTGAATTTGTGAGCGTTGGTGGGTCTGTAAGCGACTTGTGGCGGAGGTTTATCGGACACGGATTGAGAGTCCAGGCAAACAGCAGGAGCCAGCCTTGCGCATCGGGTTGCTAGCAGAATAGGCAAGCTCATATTGTGTGCACCGAAAATAATACCCTCTCAGCATGCATGCTTTGTGCACCGTCGATATGTCGAAGCTGCCCAGGTGTGTTCGAAGGTCCAGACGATCAAACCAATTCATAATCACAACAGCGACGACGAGTTGTCGCAAGCCATCTCTATACGAGGATGAAGATGCGGCTATGGTAATGCCGCCTCGAAATAGTTTGAGAGCTGCTACTATCTGCATTAATAAATGGGCGGATAAAAAATGTTATGTTTATAGTGAGATACGTAATCCCTCGTGACTACTCTGGTGTAAAATATTGACGCTTTCGAACGATAGCTGGTGGTGGTGGTTTGACTTCCAGGGGTATGACTCGTGGTGTCGTTAAGTGTTTGGCATTCTGTATCGGTCTTAGTTCCAACAAGCGGTGAAGCAAAACAGGCGTGCAGCGCCGTCGTGGTACAACCAGAACGTCGCAACTCACACATAGAACTATCCGTCATTCGAGTTACCCACGTAAAACACCATTGCTTGAAAGTATCTATCACAATGTAAGTATACATGGCTGAGAGTGAGATCGTATGTATATGCTTACGCGATGACCAGAATGAACGAAGGCTTTGCGCTGGATCCCATTAACTGTGCTGATGCTGCTAGCAGCAGACAGAACAACGGCATGATGACGAGCCTTTGCGACTGTTCCTTGACGACAGTGAAGGTAGCGATAGGGGCGACCAAAATCAGTGTGGCTGATACGTAAACAAATGCCTCGGCGACGGCTTCTATCGTCCTGTCGCTGACCCTCCGGCTGTCAATGTTGTTGTCCTCAACTGCACACCGTCGTCTGAACGTCGGCAGCTGCAACAAAAGGTCCCTAGGAGGCACAACGATATAGTCGACTAGTGGATTCAGGAGCCATTCGCATATGAATCGCGCCATCGGCGAGAGGTTTTCGTCATCGACCGTGGCCACATTGGGTGGTACAGGCCCACCCTCCTGGCCATACATCGACGATATTTCTCCGTTTGCCCCGCGCCTACCAGGTTCTTCAACACGACTCTTGACGCGGTATAGATCCATGGAAGCCTTCGTGGGCGGCGTAGACGAACTCATCTGCCGAGAAGCCTGGACGAAGCGTTCTTGCAATTGTATTAGCTATCACGAATGCTCATAACACGTGATATACTCACCAAGAAGTAGCAGAGAGCTGACTAGATCCATCATTACCCGTTTATAATCAGCTTCATGGGCAGTGGATTCTCCAGGCTGCATGTTCTCCTGCCGGTAGCAGTCGACGGCTCTTTTACATCGGTGGACTTCGCTTTGCACATAGTAAAGAGCTAGCGCAAAAAGTTCGGGAAAGGTCTCGTAAATCGCAGCTTGTGGATACGTGGCGATCGTCTCGAAGAGCTCACTGTGGTCGTGTAAGGCTTTGACGCGTTCCTTGACTGAAGGTCCACCACTACCGTGGTAAGAGCTGCCTTGGATTGACATTGCGATATACTGGAACTGTTTGGAAATACGCGAAGTATTTGGGGGAGCTGTGAAGGATAGCTGCTATCATCTAGGAGCCTTCGGTGGTATAAGTACCTACGGTTCGCTGACAGCCGACTCATCTATCAGAGGAGATATGGCACCGCAACGATGACTACGGGCCTGTCGCCACCCCTCACTCCTCAAGAGCCTCATTCTGAGCTGTCAGGCAGATATGCAACACCAGAATGCCGCGCCGAAGCGCAGAATATGCATGAGTTGGCCCTTGAGAGATCGAATCATTGCTCCTATGTCTCACCATTCACTACACCGCTTGAGGCCCTCTCTGGGACCACAACAACCGGACGCAAGCAAGTTCTCACCGGAATTATGACTGTAGACGTCGTAATAGGCTCGACGGCGAGCCCAGGGAACGATGCGGTCGCACATGGGTCGAGACAGCCACATGTATGATCCACGCGCCATCAGCAGCCATAGTAAGCGCTCTCTTTCGTGGCCTTGGGAGGCTATGCTGATGCGTTCAAAGAGTCGACCGGGGTCGTGGGATGGTGTGTGGACATGCATACTGAGATAACATTCCCGGGAAGCTGAAAATGGCTCGCTACGACGTCTGACTCGAACCGTGCCGAAAGCTCCGCGCGAAATGGATTGCATTCTCAAAGATATCGTCAAAGATTGGAATGGACGGCTGTAGGGAAGCAGCGCTGAAGCTCTTGAGTTTAGTGCTCCTGCTAGTTGACAAGCGAATCTTGGGGCCGAAGACCGCCAAACTTTAGCAACCCCGCCGTCAAGTGTCACATCTGCGCTCTTGAACCGACAGCTTGTTCTTCACATCCTCGAACCGTTGTTACTAGAGGGCGGCTCACGGACAGTGTGCAGATCAGATCTTGGAAGTCAGGCAACAAGCACAATTCATCCCGGATTGCCGCGCAATGTGGTCGTCCAACAGCGACAAGACGGCCCCTGTTCGACGATTCGTCTGCGCCGCTGCCGCGCTTTCGCGGTATCAGATGACTCTACCTCGCAGCTGTATACGCTGTGCGACAATGGCGCTCCACGGATTGTGATGGGCTGCGCCTATCAGAGCAGTACGCTCATGACATTGCCTTCTTACGAGACGGTGTCCAGGGTTTTACGTCAATTGCATCAAAAGCCCTGCGCCTGGCTATTTGCGATGATGTTGCCACCACCACGATGCCAACATAGATGGCAAGCGCCTAGGTCTGCAGCTCGACTGGATCCTTCGGCCTTGACAGACAGCGAAGACAACCATTACACAATTAGAAGCCGAATAGCATCTTTTGCTGGCCCTCCTTAACTGCACGTCCATGGCCCTTGGGTCTTAGTTGTTGTTCAAGTAGGATTGGTCGTTATGGAAGCCTACACCGCCTCTACCCTGAAGCTTTCAGCCTCATCGTTGTCAATCCATTTGCCAATCGAGGCGGGTTGAATACCTCCTTCATCACTGCGGCCTTTTCTATTGTTACCGCGAATATGTGTATGACGCTCGAAATCCTGTTCTCGCAAAAGAGAAGAAGTACGCACAAACATGTCTCACACAGAAGCTGATGTGACGACCTTACGAATTGCAACAAAAAGTAATACAACAGTTGCTTGAGAGTGTTGATACAATAGCAAAAGTTCACTTTAGATGTGAGCTGCGGTGTTTCCATTCCACGCTGCTGTCAAGCTTACCGAGATTTCACGCCGTCAGCCTCGTGCTACTATTGCTTGACTGACTGTTCTGACGGCACCATCTATTGACGAGTCTCATAAGGTGATTATGCCATCGATGGAGCTGCATTTTATCTCCTAGACGTTATCGAAAGACGATTCATAGCCTCGTTGTTGGGTATTTGTCCGGCGTGTAAGTATATAACAGTCTTGAGCGAGTGGAAGTGAGCTTGCCTTGCTTCCAGTACCAAATCATGATGACCTCGATACCTAAGTGTGTCTCGGCCGGTGCACAACGGTATGTGCACAAAAATCGATGATAGCGAGATGCGGTGATGTATCAGAAGTCTAAGGGGGAAGTGAAGGCCGTCAAGTTGGATCAGGCTGCGCCTTGGCGGGGTGTTCAGCCGCACTCTTCGCATGCACGATGTGGTTGGCCGACCTTTTCCTTACGCGATAACATGGTTGCTTTTGCACGCAGAGAACGTACTATGTTCTTCCACTTCACAGGAAGAAATCGTTAAGTCGCATGGACTAGAAAGATCAACTAATATGATCTAGTCGATTGGTAACGTCTACTAAGTAAAAGACTCTGAAGCAAGCCCGCTAAAATCATCCAAAACTGCTCTCTGGTGCTACTCTAAGCAATCCAGTACCAGATCTTCTGCATAACATTCTTCGGCACAGGCGCACCGGTAATATCGTCCTTGCACAACTCGTTCATCTCGCGCACACCCGTCGTGACATCAATGTGCTCGACCTTGATAGCAAACGGCGTCCTGAAGTAGATCTTGTGGCCAGCGTAAAGTACGATGAAGATTGGGATAGTGATGTAAGCGGCAAGGAAGTCGGAAACGGACCAGTTGGCGGGCACAAAGACCTGAAAGCCGTTGGTGAGAGTCAGGAGCGACACTACACCGAGGACGAAGTATGTAAGATATGGCTGGAATGGTGTTCGATAGGGCAGAGACTCGAGCAGGTTGTTGAAGATCATGGCCTTGCGGAAGCGGATGTAGGTGATCATGACGACGATCCAGGCAATGAATCCAGAGATGGTGGAGATGTTGGAGAACCACAAGAAGACCTGGGCGCCCGTGTTGGAGACATTCAAGTACGCGAGAAGTCCAATAACCCACGTAGCGAGAACGGCCACGTACGGTACGCCCTTCTTGCTGGTCTTGCCGAAGATCTTGGGGGCTTCTCCGTTGAGAGCCATACCATACAAGACACGGGATCCGGAGAACAAGAATGCGTTTCCGGCGGACCATGCTGATGTCAAGACGGCCGCGTTAACGACATGGTTTAGACCTGCGATTCCCGCACGCTGGATACCAATGACGAAGGGAGAAGCGGAAGCGTTGGAGCTACCGCTGAGGAGGCGATCATCGTCTGATGGGACAATAACACCGATGATAAAGCTACCCAGACCGTAAAAGATGGCGAGACGGTAAACGAAGCGACCAGCAGCCTTGGGAATGTTCCGGCGTGGGGCAATAGTCTCTCCGGCAGCGAGTGCGATCAATTCGGGCGAAGTGATGAAGGCAAACCCGGCACGGACGAAGGCTGTCCAATACGCCAGGAAACGCCCGGAGTTCCCCTGCACGATATACGGTTTAAATGCGCCTGGGTTGTTCCAATATCTAAATCCGAGCCTCCCTTGATCGTTAGGGCTGCCACCTAACATGATCACAAAGCCGAGAATGACTAGACCGATGATGGTAATAAACTTGATAGAAGCGAACCAGAACTCCGCTTCTCCAAAAACCTCGACTGCGACGATGTTTAGGAACAAGACCACAACGAGGAAGATGGTAATCCACACAGCGTTATGGACAGGCGTCTCCCAGTACTCCAGAAGAATGGCTCCGGCTGTGGCTTCAGCGGCGACCAAGATCGCATAGGCGTACCAATAATTCCAACCGGCGGCGAATGCGAGACTCGGATCTACGAAGCGTTTGATGAAATAAGGGATGGTGATACCACGCATGGGAAGGTAAGTGACAATTTCAGCCAAGTTGTTCATGACGTTGTAAACAACAAGCATCATACTGAGGTAGGCCATGAATAAGGGAGCAGGGCCGACGAGGGCTAGGATAGATCCAGATCCGATGAAGAGACCAGTTCCGATAGCACCACCAAGCGCACTGGTGAGGTGTTAGCGATTGGATCAGCGACACAAGAGGTCGCGGACTTACAGAAACTGGATGTGTCGACTCTTCAGTCCACGATGTGTGTCTCCGCCTCGTCCAGTTTCGCCGCCAACAGTAGCGGCGCCGTGAACAAACGGCTCCTCGAAGCCGACCTGGTTCTCTTCGAAGCCATATGGCACAGCCTCAGGCTTCTCGTCGACCATGTGGTGGTTAGGCATGGCTAATACGTGACAAGAGGAAGGCTTGGTCGGCGCTACCAATCTTGCTTTTAACTAGGAGGCGATGCTAGACGGTTATATAGAATGGGATGTCAAAGGCGGCTGAAGAATGCGCCGGTCGTAATAGCGGATTTTGCAAATGTGGAGTATGGGCCGGCGCGAGAGGAAGATTATTCCACGCTCGCAGTTCGGACCTACCCAAACGTGGTACGGCTTCGGTGGCCAAGTCCTTATCGAATGTATGGGACGATCGTAGCTCAGACCCTTGTTAGAACGCAGTCTGGGGAACCAATCACTATGCGGTAGTGCGAACTACCGGTAGAAAAGGCGGGGGAAATCACCTCGAGCGCAGTGATGGTTGCAGGCCAGGGCTCAACTCGTCTGATGACGTTCCCGCTGCGCGCTGCGCATTCCTTCGGGTTTAACTTGTTGCGCCATGGGCACTGTTCATCTGTTGGTGTCTGAAGATGCTGCCGACGTGCGAAGTGAGATAAAAAACGATCTGAGCCGATGGAAACCGCGCGGTTTGTAAGGGTGAGATTCCAGCTGGGCGTGCCTAGAGCTTGGACAAGCTTCTGGAAATACGCCTAGAAGCTTAGCACTCGAGGTACCCGCCGATGGTTTGCGAGATGGATCTGGGTAGACATGGAGCCGATCACGGAGCGCATGGAGACTGCACTGACTGACAGTTCACTGCAGAATCTGGGGATTGCGGGGATGGCGGTTCCTGCTTCATCCGGCGACGCGATTGTTTGGTTTCACCGGACAAGCCGCCGATGATGCCAACCAAGACTGTATGCGCCGTATAACAAGAGACGCAGTAGCTCGGCATATTGGTATTCGCTTAGAAAATCTTGACAATCAACTGCACTGCTATTAGGCCTCCTTCATTATCATACTGTGCTACTCTTATCTCCAGCATTCGTTCCGTTGAGGTTTTCAAACGTAACACTTTCACCCAGACAGGATCTCAGAAGCTTGGACGTCGCTTAGAGGATATTCACTGCGGGTCTCTTGTGGGTACATCATCCCTAGGGCCATACAGCTATGGCGCGACCCACTGTCATACCAGACATCAATCTAACAGCTTTAGCATGTACCCGGATTCCGGAGTGACGGAACCCTCTATCGCACTTCACTCCCAGTACTTACTTGCCAACCTTCAAGAAAAAACATGGTTGTCAGCTTTGGTAAACGTCGGTCCGGTGATACTGCGCGGGTATCCACCCCAGTCGACACGGTTAGTCCTGCAATCCTGCGCACACCAATATGTGGGTCTCCTGATACCAGCCAGCCCACCTGCATGCGCTCTTGAAGGCAGGTAGCAAGATGCGACATGTGCTCTTGGAGCATACACCTCTCATCTGCTTTTGAGCAGACATGATCCAGGATATCAGGCAAACGCGACTTCTATGCTCGGTCGGGTAAGCTTACAACAGCCCCCCAAATCGATCACATCCCAAAGCGTAAGTTGAGTCATTCTCGTGGTCCTGTCGAGTTGGCTGGGTCAAGCTTCGGGAGGAGTCCTTGGAAGGAACAATAACCCCTCACCAAGCTTTCTGCGCCTGCCTGCGGCAGGAAGCGAAGGCGCAGCATGACAGCATACGCGCGCGTCGCAAACGTCACACCGCAGACATGTATGCACGCGCCCCGAATGTACAATCCCCGTCAAGTTTGAGAACCAACATAAAGCATCGATCGGGGAGTTGGCGATATGATTCCGCAGGTTGTGATTGACAAAGTGCTCTCCAAGGCGCAAGAAAGTGCGTCACACAGCTGGGAGTACGGTACCGTATTTGAAGCGCTACTCGAGTACAGAGGTCCTCGACACAGTGTCTTTCATGATCCGTTTCCACGAGGCGAGATACCAAAGTTGACGGTGGATGATGTAGAAGCATTGCGATATGTGAAGCCGTTCATACAGACGAATAGTGCGAGACTGTGCGAAGGTAACGGTAAGCTCTCTCTTCTCAGATGTCAAACAATGCATGCTCATGACAGTGGCTAGGCTCGTCGTCCGATCCAACGTCTCTCTGCATTCCCGCCTTGTTGCTCTACAAATCGACATCCTTTCAAGCGCCTGACAATGCTTACCTATCCGCCGTAAATCGCCAGCTGCACGACCTACTCTCCACCACACCCAGATACACCAACGGCGCGATATCGCATCGTGATGCGTACCCTTCCTTGTGGGCAGACTTCATCTACATGGTACCGCCTGCTCTTGCATACCACGGCATCTTCACCCTAGACATAAGCATGGTGAAAGAGAGTGTACGGCAGTGCCAGCTATACTGCGAGGTACTGGGCACGTCGAAAGGGTATTGGCGACACATCGCCAATGTCGAGGGCACAGACAGCGTAAAGAGCGATGATGGCGCATGGTGTACGAGCAATGCCTGGGCTGCAGCTGGGATGACCAGGGTCCTAGCAACATTGCGCAAATCTCAATATGAGTCGGAAACCGCTGATGAGCAGAAGATGCTACTGGATATGACCAAAGGCATTCTTGACGGCGCGATAGAGGCTGATACTGATGCATCGGGCCTGTTGCGCAACTATCTCGACGACGAGACATGGTTTGCAGAGGTTGCTGGGACAGCGTCAATGGCAGCTACGGTCTTCAGAATGGCGGTCCTCGAGCCTGGCATATTCGGGGAACGGTATGTAGGATGGGCGACGCGTAAGTTGGAGTCTGTCAGTCGCCATCTAGATGAGGAAACTGGTGTTGCGGCCCCTGTGGTCAACTCCCTGAAGGAGGGTCAGCGAACGCCGCTCGACGGTATCAATCCCGAGGGACAGGCTTTTGTCGTATTGTTATACGCTGCATGGAGAGATTGGAGGACTGTTGCAAATAATGCATCAATCGCGATGACCGGAACTCACGCGTCGAGGACATGAGCAGCGCGTGCCGCAGTGGTTCGCGTCGTTTGTACCTCGGCAAATCGGACTCCTCACGTCAATCATGACTCTCTGACATGCAATGGAAGCCATGCCTTCAATCACGGAGTACGTGACTTAAATAAAACTGCATCTCGCGACCGAGAGGTTAAACTGCGCCTGTCTTACGGTTAATCTCATAATACGACATGATGTCCGCCAATATCCCCGTGATCATCGGCGTAGGCGACATCAAGAACCGCTCCACCGCTGTCGCGGATGCGAAGGAGCCCGCGACGTTAATGCTGGAAGCCATCCAAAAAGCCATCAACGATACTGCATCTCTTTCGAAGACTGATCTGCAGTCAGCAATCGACAGCATCGATGTCGTCAAGACGTGGACTTGGCCGTATCCAGATCTACCCGGGCTTTTGGCAGAGAAGCTAGGCGTTGATCAGAGTCTGAAATGGAAGAGATATTCCGAACATGGAGGCGATAAACCAGGAAAGCTGTTCGACGAGGCCGCTAAGAGGATTGCAAAAGGCGAATGTAAAGTCGCGATTGTAACTGGGGGCGAAGCATTAGCTTCGTGTACGCACCGCATGCCTTTCTGCCGTCTCCACACATCACTAACTGTATCAGTGTCTGTATGCGCAGCTGCAAAGAAGCTTCCTCCACCAGGTTGGACAACTCCGTCCGAAGCCGTAGATTCGGTCTTCACACCAACAGGTCGCGACCTAGGAAATAGTGCGGTTTCCTCTCTCTGGCAAACCCTTTCTTCTACTGACTCTGGCAAAGACCTCGGTGCTATTCACAAGATTGGTGCGCCAATACATGTCTACCCACTTTACGAAAACGCGTTTCGTGCGCATCGCGGGCAGACGCTGAAGGCAAACCACGAAGAGAGTGCAAAGCTGTATGCTGAATTCGCAGACGTCGCAAAGGACAATGAGTACGCATGGAGTCAAGGAGCTTCAAGTAGTGAAGAAGACATCAAGACTGTTGGGAAGAAGAACAGGATGATATGCTATCCTTGTGGGTTCTTCTTCTTTTCCCGTATCAGGAACAAATGCTTACATGACACGCGCAGATCCCTTGCTTATGAACGCCTTCAACACGGTTAATCTTGCCTCTGCAGTCATCCTCACATCGAATTCCTTCGCCAAAAGTCTAGGTGTTCCAGAGTCGAAATGGGTGTATCCGCTTGGTGGCGCGGGGACGAAGGATGCCGATGAGTTCTGGAAACGACCGAACTTCTACTCTTCGCCCAGTATATCGCGCTCTATCGATGCTAGTTTGAGGGTGTCTGGTACGACTAGGGAAGAGATGGACATCGTTGACATCTACTCTTGCTTTCCTATCGTACCTAAAATTGCGGCGCAGCATCTGGGGCTACCTATCGTTGGTCGTCAAAAGCCATTGACGATACTTGGTGGTCTCACGTCGTTCGGTGGAGCTGGCAACAACTATTCGATGCATGCGCTCACTGAAATGACTCGGCAATTGAGAGACGGTAAAGGCCAAAAAGGACTGGTGCTTTGCAATGGCGGTGTTCTAAGCTATCAGTATGTCGTGATACTGTCAAAAGAGGCTAGAAGAGAAGGAGACTATCCGATCGAAAATCCTCTCCCGCCACAAATAACTGATGTGCCAGCGCCGGAGCTCATTTTCGACCCAGAGGGCGAGGCTGTTGTCGAGACGTACACTGTCGAGTTCAACCGCGACGGCAGCCCGCTTCGTGGTCACGTTATTGGTCGCTTGAAGAGCAGCAATAAACGGTTCCTCTCGAACCACGGAGATGAGAGTACGTTGCGACATATGGCCAGTGGTGTGGGTGAGATTGTGGGTAAAAGCGGATGGGTATGGCAAGATGGTGAGAAGAAGGGGAGGTCGCTGTTTGCATTCGATAAGCCAGCAAGATTGTAGCGACTTGTCGAGCGCGTGAAGAGAGTAATGAGCTAGACTGTTTGCTAGGAAGCGCTGACAGGTCGAGTGAATGGGGGTGCCATTTCTCTGCGAGTACATGTGGCGAATCTACCTAGGTAGGCTACGAGATGCCGCGGTTTCGACTTTGCGCATTCCCCTAGCCAACTTATCTACCCAGGTACAGTCTCTCATCAACAATACACGCAGTCAACCATAGCTCTACCTACTTAATCCCTCAACTTACTCTGTATCCATCTTCAAGATACTGCGGCGCCATCGGGCAACATCTCTCAGTCATGCCTTACTCATCCGCAATACTAGACGACATCACGGCGTCCCTATCTGCGGTAAAACTAAACCCTATTGCCTCATCCCCTCCAACTCAGATCACCCGCTCGTCTCTCGAACGGCTTCCCCTAGAAGTCAGACAGCAAATCTACCGATACCTCTTCAACAAACGCGACCCTGATTCACTCTCAGTCTATATTCACCTCCGCTACCACCGTACTACCCAAGCCCTCCAATCATCCGCGCTATCCATCCTCTGGAGTCTCATGTTAACAAGCCGCCAAGTCTCACAAGAAGCGCGGACTTACTGCTTCAATCTCATACCCGTACACGAGAAACAGGGCTACCAAGGTCTCCTCACAACCTTTTAGCAGAAGATTGAGGCACATAACCTATGTCTTATACGGAAGCTTGAGTTACCATTGTCCTCTATTTGTTTATTCGACAAAAGGAACAGTGTGATAGAGCAGTCGAGATTATGGTTTGCGTCGAACCTTCTAGCGAAATTCCCGGCGCTTACCCATTTCGACCTCGGATTGCTTGCGCTGGAGTGTCTGCCACTCAATCACTTGATCTTGTCGAAAACGCGACCAACGAACGAGGGGATTAGTGCTATGAAAGAGTGGGAATAGGGTGGTATTGAAGCGAATATTCCTTTGCGATGATGCTTTGAGGAGATAGGTAGCGCTATACAGGGGAAGAACATAGAGGTTGGGATACACTGGTGTGTGGGCTATGAGTTATGGATGTAGTCCAGTAACGTGTTCTCACTGACGTGCGATGTAGGTCAGACTTGCTTTATCTGGAGTTACTGTGGGAAGATAATCGGCAGACGTCTGAACGGCTCGAGGCAGTCTATGAAGAGATATTGATGGCGGTACTACAGAAGTGGCTCAAGGCGAAATCGGTGCAGAGTAAAGGCGCACTTCGAGGCTTGCGGCGGATTGATGATCAGTTTTCTCGCAACTATGTCATTGCGGATAATTACCATTGGGCTATTGGGGTAGAGAATAAGTTAAAAGATAGTATGGAAGATAGGAAGATCACACAATGAAGCATGATGTGAATCAATGTTCTTGAGAGCAGTTCAACTACCTTGATACCCTATTTACTATCGAAATAGTAATCGTTTGGAGACTGTTGCCGCAGCGCATAAACAAAATAAGAGTAGACGCAAGTCAAAGCAAATTCTTCGTGACAGTCCAACGACTGGGAGGATTTGATCGCTTTAGCTAGGAAGAAACTGAAATTCTCCGGTCCATTGATGATAGCAGAACGGCAGATCTCATGAACAACCAGGAAAGTAGCACAAAAATGCCATGCTTTTGGAGGAAGAAAACATTTGAACACAACCAGAGTGTGGTCTGATATTTGCTTCTCTGCTAGCTATAGAGAAGAAATTTGAGGGTCTCAGGACGTGACTGAGGACACTGAGACGTTCTGACATTCCTGATTGAGCTGACCAAACGCGACATGATGGCGTAAGGTGTCTGGAGGTTTCGGTTAGCTGCGATGGGGAATGATCGGTACAATAGGTACTTACTGATGAGCTTAGCGAGAACGATTATACCATGTGATCGTGAATATGTCTTCTTCATGCTCGATTGTTCCATCAGGCTCGAAACCTGCAGTTCTCATGCTCTTTTGGAAGTATGCTCCGCGCAGGCTTGGGGAGTTTCGAAAAGATAGCCGGACCCTCTCGATCCCCTTCCAGTCGATTAAAAGAAGTGACAAAATCTCCATTCTAAAGACTTCATTCCAAAGTTCCCATACGATGGTTTGCATGGCACTCGCCTGATACGGCTGCAATAAACCCATCCAATCGCCCATCGCCGAGGCGATTCCGCAATGGTTATTTTGAAAGATGTTGTTCCGGAATATAAGTGCACTCGTGTCATGATGGAGCTTGCGGCAGGTTTGAGATAGAGCTGTCTGCTCACACCAACGGGAACTAGCGGTACTTTCTTGGATGAAACGGTAAGATCTCCTGCCTCACCCAGCTTCGGCATGCAGCTTATAAGTATTGCCACCTATAACGTAGTTGTAGATCTGATTTCGGATCTCAGCTGGAAGGCGAAGCAAGGGCGAGTTGTCATTGTGTTGAGTGCTAAACACCATCTAGTCAGCTACTTCCAAGTACAATGATGATCTGAGAACACTGACATGGCTGCCCGGCGTAATACTTCACTTCTGGTGATGTGACGAACGTTGGGCTTTGCGACTCGACTTGTCTTGTAGATTGCTTGAGTCTTCGTCTCGCGTTTCTTGATGATGGAACGTACCGTGATGATGTTTAGAGAGTGGTGCTTCAGGTTGAAAGTCCAGAAATAGCCCAATTTATACTCGGGTACCTAGATAGCTCTTGGCTTCACGCTAGTGTATGGTAAGTGGTGGTTGATGAGAAGCAACCGCGAAGGTGAAGGTAAAGGCAAAAGTGGACTGCACATGTGTGATAGTAGTTAGACGATGCTTAAACAGAATCACGTCTCACTGAACGTTCAATATCTGCGTTCTCGCGGTAAGTAAGAATATACCACGACGAAGTTCCATCATGCGTCGATATCGTCCTTGCTTCCGTCGTCATTCCATTTGGCCGCATCTGCACTAATCCGTCATAATAATCTGCTCATACCGTCTTTCATTTTGTGTCCGTTCCTGTCACCCGAAATCTTACTTCAACACATCTCGAGTATACCAACTATGTAGCGGACATAACCAATACACACCATACCTGCCCCTCCGTCCCATCATCAAGCCACACAAACCGATCCCAAAGCCCTAAAGTCTGAAGTCCTAGTAAACGCGTCTCGGGGCGTGCGAACGATGCGGCTGATCTCTCGACATCTTATGTGGATGCCCGGACCGTGTAGAGCGCTTGCTTGAACTTCGTCTCGGTTGGGACTTCGATCTCGATCTCGATCTCGATTTCGACGAGTGCGAGCGTGAACGTGAGTGCGATGATGATTTGCCGCTAAAGCAGGCGAGCAGCGCCACGAGGGCGCTTGTGATACAAATGGTTGCGGTTGGGAGGATTGTCCGAGGGTGTTTGAGTGGATATGTCCGTTCGTAGAAGGTACGACTGATTCAAGCTGAGAGGTTATGGAATTACTTTCTGAGGACGTTGAATTCGAGATGCCTGTACCTAGACATGACTTCCTATCATATACCACATGTTGTGCAGTGCGGCACTCTACTTTCGACGTCACTTTGTCCCCACTATGTACTGATGACATACGCCGAACCACACTTTCCAAGCATCGAGACCTCTAGGCCTGAGTTACCAGCTCGATTGTTCACATCCAGACCCGCGACATCCGGACTTTGCATACGTCTTGTTGCTTGGCTGTGCGTGGCGTCGGGATGCTGGCATCATGGTGATTGGTTGATGAGGGAACGAAGCTTGTGGCGCATGTGCGGGATGACGCTCGCCGTCTACTTCGTGTACAGGTTCAACATGTGTGTAATACATTCGTAGATACGCAAATATTGTGAGAACGTTAAATCTTTACAACCCACTAAGCACACTCTGCACCCCCACAGTTCCAACATCATCTCTCCTAGCAATGAATCCCTTCAACTCCTGCGCATCCTGTCCACCCGCAGCCCTAAGTCTATCCCTCAACGCCTCAGGCCCGATAATGAACAAAGTACTGACATCCGTCAGCACATCCATGGCACCAGGCTCCAGTTCATCGCCCGTAGGCCATGCTCTCACGAGCTCAACATAGCGATTCATGTCCTTGGACACACTAAGACCACCGACTTGTGAGATGGTGAACTTGAGCAAGTGGGATAGAACGAGGGATCGCAGACCGCGAGCAAGTTCGGCAAGGAAAAGGGAGAGGTTGCGGCCGGAGAGGGCGGCGGAGGCTTGAGAGGCGACGCGGGTCAGGAACGCGGAGACGTCGCGACAAGCTTGTGTTTCGGTTGTTACCATCAGGTCATCTTCTTTGGGGCGGAAGTCAGTCTTCTTTTGCTGAGACAGACATCTGCTCACCCAGTTGAGAGATGCTGTGAGTGTAAGATTGAGGATGTTGGATAGTTTGGATTCGAGAGTTGAAGTCGTGCTGTTCGCTGACTTCTCAATATCGCGGCGAATGGTGAGGTTGGGTGTGCAAAGAGGGAGGACGATGGTCGTAGTGGTTTGTTGTAGAAGATGTAGGATTGTTGTGATGGCGTGCAGCGATGGGAAGTGGGCGAGATCAGGAGCTGTCTTGGAGTTTTCTTGAGAAACGGCATGGTCTTGCGCACTGTTTTGGTGTTAGCAATGTAATTCAGCGTGGGCAGGTTCAACTTACGCGTCTAGTGCAGTCTCCAGGTAAATCTCGCCCATCTGTCGTAGCAGTAGGTTGAGTAGTATCTGCACATCCTTTGGCGTTTCGTTACCTGGCGACAGCTCAAGTCCACGGCCTACACCCTCTGCCAACCACTTAAGCATGCGCTTAGCGACTGGTAATGACAGTCTGCCGTCTTCATCCGTCACCTCGATGTCTTTCTTCTCCTGTTGGTCTTCCTTCAAGCCAGCAATGCGAAGCAGCGTTGCTTTTTGACTGGCGGGCAACTCGGTGCTCTCAAGGCGTTCCATGTACTTATCACGAGCGGATGCAGCCAACTCCTTACCTCGCTGGGCCAACGATCCGAAGTATGAGGTGGGCATCTTGCTGCGTCGCGAGTGGTAGATCGTGAACTTGAGTAATAGCGAGGAATACAACTCCTCCAGATTTTTCTTTTCGCGCTCGATATACTTCTCCCCGATGAAGTAAGAGGAGAAAAGCTCTTCCAGCTGCTGATCAAGCGTAGCTGCGACCGCCGAAGTAGCAGGCTCCGGGTGTTCCGTCAACCCATGTGATTTAAGGTCATCTACCAGCTGAGTGATATAGCTCCTAGAGGCCTGCAATGAGCGCAGAAAAGCGAGTGAAGATAGCTCTCCTGCTTTGTCGAGCACCATCTCCAACCGACTTTGTATCGACTGCTGGAAGATGCGCTCGAGGAACTTGATGAGTACCTCCTCGTAGTAAGGGAATGCTCGTTTGATGATGGCAGACTCATCTTGAACGACAATCTTGACTTCGTCGATCAGAGACTGTAGCGTAGGCTCGACACCGGGTGGCTCCGCATCGGGATCTTGAAGGCGGTCCCATGTCTCCAAATCCGTCGCTAGCTCTTCGCCGTTGAGCTGCATGCGGTCGATGAAGAAAGAGTGCTGATTGACGTAGGTCCCAATGACACTAGCTCCGTCGTTGAAGCCCTTAAGCGCAATGGCACAGTCGCGCATGCCAGCGTAGTTTGGACGCGCATAGCATTCCTGAAACTTGCTAAGGAGATCCTGCTCCAGGTTCTCCAAGAACTTCTCGATGACTTCCTTCGTGTTGTGTCTCGACTGGTATACCGTTCTCCTCTTCATGCCGTTCTGTACCTCACCGTTGACTCGCTGGCTGCCTTCTGGGTCGAGACGCGTGCTGATGCGCAGCAGTTGGCGTGCAATCTCAGCGCATCGTACTATATCGCCGTTCTTTCGCTGGTCCTCGAGGATCATGAGTTCGCCCCGTTCGCTGACTTCTTGCCAGCATTCGATCAGGAACTTTGCGTCCAGGGCTCGCTTCCGCTGGCGATCGAGCTCTTCGAGTCGCTCTCCGATGCGCATGGCCACGTTCCCCCCAGTGTCTGACCCCCCCTCGTCACTGCCGTTCAGCGAACTGTCTAGCCTTTGGAACTTGTCCATGGCCGTCTCCAGCCGTCTCCCCAGAGATTCAACATTCTGGTTGTGTTGCAACTCCGCACGGCGCACAGCCGTGGAGAGTTCAGTTTCCTTCTCTTCTAGGTCTTCAGACAGACTGTTGAGTCGTGTGAGAGCGTGTTCGAACGTGCGGATGAGCGGCTTGGGGTCGAATGTCTGCTGGCCGGCAGCACCTCCCGATCGTCGTGTCGCAGGTACGGCAACCTGGGAGAGGTCCTCGATGAAATCTTTGACCAGGAAGTCTTTGCTCTATGAGAGTCAACAAAGGAAGCTGAGCTGAAGCTGTACGGCTGCTTACGGTGAACTTCTCTAGTGTGAACTGCGGAGCGCGTATCGAATTCCTCGACGTCTGGTGGGTGAGTACCGACGAGCCATCGGAGCTGATGCGCTGCATGATTGCAGAGAGGTGAGCAACTGCGCCTTGGGTGCTGGGTATCACTCGAGTCTAATATCACGGACGTCTATCGTAGCGGCCCAGCGCGCCAATGCCCCCCGTTGCCCTGGAGCTGGTGATTGAGCTGTCGCGGAGCATGAAGTTGCCAGGTATTGCTAGCGAATATCTCTCTTTCACTCCCGCATGGCGCTGGGCGTGAGTCTTTCTTGTTGCAGTGTATTTGCATGTGGTGATGTAGCGTGTAACATGTCCGAGTCGCGACTGTGGCTTGTCGCACCCGTCGACACCCCACGCCTCGGTACCAGGTCCGCAGTCACAGCAGCTCCAGCCGAACGAACAACGGGTGACCTCATGCACTATGATGCCACCAATCCTGTCTGAGTAGGCCGTATACAAGAATGCAAAACAATCTGTTCGTTGTCTACAGCCTCACAGTACTTGCGACAGCATCTGCGTAATGACGCCTCAGCGCATGGCGGAGCAGGCAGGATGCGCGTCCATACTTGGCTGTGCTCGGCAGGCACGGCGCCACACGTACTTCGTATGCACCAGCCTCACCGGGATATTTCATCATCTTACATGTGCCAGACATGGCCAGCTAACGCGCGCATTATTCCTCTCCTTTCTGTCATACACCGACCGCCTGGTCCACTGGTATAGACATTGACTGTCCAGCTCATTTTCTCCTTCACACCTATATACCGCCCGCAATGGCTACCACAGGCCTGACTCCCACGCAAGAGGCCGCTTTTAGACGAAGCAAACAACTCTCTGTCCAGCAACGCGAAGAACTTCTCAAGCCTTTCCTCCCCTCCGAGCCATCCGACAGCGAGACGCAGGCGCAAAAGAAGAAGGCCCTCCGCGACCGCCGCCAACGCGCAGCCCAACAGAACCGCAAGCCACTCGCAGGCCCCATCAAGACCTTTCTCCACCTCGCTATCTACCACGTCGTCGCTCTCTTATTCAGCATCTTCTTCCGCTTCCGTCGCGCCTACCGACTTGTCAGGGGCAAGGTCGTCTCGCTGCTCAAGTACCATCACCGCACGCCAGAGTTCATCGCCCATGATGTCAAGAACCTGGAGAAGCTGCCTAAGCATCTCAGTGTGGTAGTTGAATACCAAGAGGACGACGGAAGTCAGGGCACAGCCGGATTGGAAGGACTAGTGAACGATGTCTGTGAGATAGCAGCTTGGGCAGCGAGTGCCGGCATACCCTTTCTCAGTGTTTACGAACGAACGGGTGAGTATTTCACGTTCTGACTGCAAAGCATATGCTGACACGATCCCACAGGCGTGCTTAAGAACTACCTCCCGCAAACCCACGCCTCCATCTGGTCAACCCTAGAGGCCTACTTTGGGCCCCATCGCAAACCTACCCTTTCGCTCCGCGCACCCCACCTATCCTCCTACTCTCCTCCCAACACGCCTCCCCAGAGTGCAGACGATGACCTTAAGGGTGAAGAACGCCAGCATCTTACTGTCCTTCTCCTATCCGAACACGACGGCCGCGACACCATCGTCGACCTGACGCGTACACTGGCCGAGATGGCCCAGAAAGGGGACGTACGACAAGAGCAGATCAACACGGATTTGATCGATGCACAGTTGAACGACCACGTTTCCAGTGAACCGGATCTTCTGATTCTGTTCAGTCCTACCGTGCAGCTCAAAGGATACCCACCGTGGCAGTTGAGGTTGACAGAAATCTTGTAAGTTGCTCTACTTGAGCCACGGACTCTCTACTGACATGCAATGTAGCCACCTACCAGACAACAAGGGTGTCAACTATCAGGTCTTCTTGCGAGCCCTGTACAACTTTGCAAAGGTCGAGATGCGCCTGGGAAGGTAACAGCATCACATCCTTGTCGACTCTCTTATTATAACAATACCCAATTTGATTACCACTATCCATTGACCCGTTGGCTTACTTGTCTTGGTATAACGTGAACATTGAATGTGAAGTATAATACAGCGCATTCGTTTGATCGACCAACAACTTCAGCGTCACCATCACATCTGCATGTCACGGGTTGAAGGAGCAGTCTTGGAGGTATCTCGAATGTCATGGTGGTGCTATCTACACCATATCTTCATGCCCGCTGTGACCGTTGTGTACGTCGTAGCCATCGAGAGTAAATGCACCTAACACCTTATTCATTGTAGGTCATCAAGTACATATCCGCCCCACGAAAGAACCCATGCAACCAAAACCCAGTTCGTTTACTTGAGAGGAATGAAACGGGAGGAGTGAGTGGCACCAATACCCGGCCTTCCGTGCTTGACGGGCCTGTATGAAATGGAGAACTCGGCGAGGTAGTGGCCGACCATCTCGGGCTTGATTTCGACCTGGTTGAACTCCTTTCCGGAGTAGACACCGATGACGGAGCCGATCATCTCCGGGACGACAATCATGTCACGGAGGTGGGTCTTGACAAGGTCGGGCTTCTCGTTGGGCTTGGCCTCCTCTGTGTTGTGTTAGCAATGATCCGTCGACCAGGCGGACAGTGGTGCATACGCTTGGACTTCCTGAGCTTCTTGATGAGACCCATGGGCTTGCGCTTAAGACCACGGTTGAACCTGCGGCGGGCACGGGCGTGGACGAGGTCGCGGAGTTCCTCAGAGCCAAGGTCGAGGAGCCTGTATACCGATCAGAATACCGCCACATTTGTATGCATTTCCAGCGCGTTCGAGGAGTCGCGGGAATCGGAGGACGTACTGGTCGAGGTCAACGCCACGGTAGGAGAACTTGCGGAACGCCCTCTTGGCCTTAAGGGCTGTTGTGTTCGTTAGCTATGTCCTTCACATTGTGCGTCTACGTATCCAGGGAGAGCGGTGCGGGTGTGGGGGAACGGCTGGTGCGAAGGGCAAAGGCGTACCAGCTGCGGCCTCGGGATCGTAGTCAGCGTCAGCCATGTTTGCGATTGTCGAAGTGATGGGAGAACTTCGTTGGGGTCGCGAGGGTAGTTGTCGGTCGTCAGTTCTCGATGGGCGATATTGAAATTAGAGCCCTGGAGGTGTAGCTGCCCCGTGCGCTAAGCGAGACATTTTAGCGCCAGTCCAGGCGGGCAGCTGCGATCATGCTATTCACCAACAAGAACGTCTGGACTGATGTGGACATACTTATGATGATGAAATGTCGCTCTATAATCATAATCAGTTACTACTTTTTGTGAATCCTGCAACGGAACCCTCACAACCTCGCTTTACATAAGATGCATAGAACAACTTGAGATATCCTATGACGCAGTGAGTTAACACGCGACTATCCTTCTCTAAGTCTAGATGAGGATCCGAGGTGTCACTTCAATGCTTTCCCTAGAGCACAATACTCTCTGTTGTGTTCAGTCATGGTAACTGTGGTGTCCCTGTACATCTCACTGTCGGTTCGCCAGTCGCAAAACCTGACGCATGTTGCAAGCAGGTAAGAATGCGCCTTTAACTCAGACTAAGATCTGGTATTAGTGGTATCCAAAGCATATCTAGTCAGGAATACCGTGCTCAAAAGTCACTGTCATTTTACGGGCATAGCCTTGCATCACACACCACATGTACACTTGCTGAACGTTTGAGGGTGCATGGCTTCATTCCGGGTATCTCAGCAGGCAATTAATCTAGTAATGCCGCAGTGTCCTTCTCCGTATCCCTTGTAGTGCACGCTCGACACTCCCCAAATCGAACTCGTTGCGCATGATTCTCGTGATGATCGAGAGATTTGCTGGATCATACATCGTGACAGAGGTGGTTTGGCGACGCGTTTAGTCGAAGAGACCGAAGCCCATGTCATCGTCGGACTCCTCCTTCTCCTCCTCCTTAGCGGCCTCGGGAGCGGCCTCAGCCTCAGCGGCACCGCCAGCGGCAGCACCACCACCGGAAGCAGCGGCGCCACCGGCACCACCAGAGGGAACGGAAGCAAGCTTCTCGGAACCGGACTGGATGAGCTCGTTGATGTCCTTGCCCTCAAGCTCGGAGATCAGCTTGTCGAGACGGTCGGAGTCAGCCTCGATACCGACGGACTCAAGGACGGCCTTTTACATTGTTAGAACGCGGTATGGCGATTTATATTAGGCTGTCTTCTTACCTTGACATCCGCGGCGGAGGGAGAGGTGTTACCACCGAGACCGAGGAGAAGGTATGCTGCGAGGTGCTTCATTGTGATTGTTGGGGTGGTTTGTCTGGAACAGGAGTTCAATCGATTTAACCTGGGCTTGTCAGTATTGCGCTGCTAGATCCGAGTCCAAAGTGATGCGTACCGTCGGGGCCGGAGACTGAAGCTACAAGTTCTTCTGTAGGTTGTCGTTCAGAAAGAAAAGTTCGAGGTCCGCGAATATTGACTTCGGGTGGGATTTCGCTACCTGCGCTATGCCGCGATGCGACTAGCGCACAACGCCCGCCTTGTCACGTGCCGTCGGGCTAGGCGCAAAGCCATGTATAAAAGCGACTTGTCTGCGCCGCCGCCGACCGCTCATTCTCTGGCCGCTCCCCTCTTCAATCCACGACCGGTCCCGTGCGCCCAGCTCCCTCCCCGCGCGCGTGATCAGTCATCGCCGACAATCGACACCGGCGAATCTCACCTGGAAAGCATGTACAACTTGTCCTCCAATCGATTTGACGACCGGAAGTCCTGAGTCAAACGCTTATCAGCTGCCCATCATGAGTGTGAGTCCGGCAACCCCATCCCCGCCAGTGGTCGTATGCTGACTACATCATCTAGTCTCTCAAAGACATCATGTCTATAATCGACCGTACGGGCGCGAAGACGCAGGCGACCGTTTCGAAGCAAGGCCCGCCCGCCGGAGCCCCTAGGCCAGCATCGCGACCGACCGTAGGGGCAAATGGCGCCTCGCAAACACCGCAGCTGAAGCGCAAGGCTTCAGGTCCCGTCGAGAGTGGACAAGTCAAGATACAGAGGAAAGAGGCTGTCGGGGGATCAGCGCAAGCAAATGGTGCGGTGCGCGCCACCTCATCGCCTGCCACGTCGAAACCAACTCCGTCCGCACCTACCACCGCTGTCCCATATCGTGGCACTGCTGCACCAGCCTCCTCAAAGCCAGCGAATCCCCCCGTCCGAAAACCTCTACAGTCGTCAAACGCACCCGCTGCCAAACCGAAGGCTGCAGCTCCTGCACCCAAGCCTGCGCCCCCTGTCACTACCTCAACACCCGCCTCATCCGCTGCGCCCAAGAAAGGATACCTTGCTATGCTTCAGAAAGCGAAAGAGAAGGATTTGACGAAGCCTATCGCCCCACCAATCAAGCATGAGCCAACAAAGATCCTTACACGAAAAGAACGCTTGGCACTCAAGGCAGAAGCAAGTGCCGGCGCAAAGGGCAAGAAGCCTGTCGCTGGATTACCCTCGAGAACACTAGACCCGAAAGCCGATCCCTCAAAAGACAAGAAGAAGGCCGTCGAGGTTGGCTATCAAGGCACGGCACGACCGGCCAAGAAGCCTGTCGAAGTTGGCTACAAAGGCACTGCCCGTCCAGCGAGCGCCCCCGCAACGTCTAGTCGAAACGGCACACCAGCTATCAAGGCCAAACCGAACCCGGGCAAGGGACGCTATGACGGCTACGCAGACTGGGATGAGCTTAGTGAGATGGAGGACGAAGAAGAAGACTATGCCTCCGACGCTTCTTCTGATATGGAGGGTGGTATCTGGGACGTAGAAGAAGAGGAACAGATAGCCCTTAAGGTTGCTAAGAAGGAAGACGCGGAGGCACTTGCTGAGGAAAATCGGTTGAAGCGTGAGAAAGAAGAACGTAAGAAGAAGTTAGCGGCTATGGCTGCCAAGGCGAAGAAGAGGTTTTGAGGTTCTTCGGCGTTACGGTTTACGATCACACGGCATGGGGGCGTTTCATCTGCATTCTCGCGGTTGCATAGCCATGGAGCGGTTTCTTCTTTTTCATGGCGCATTTACGGTTGTTGCATACCCGGAAGAACGATCATGGCTTCACAGTAAGTATCTCACTGTAAGAGACTACAATCCAAGTAGTGTATATTTATAACGCCGTCGGTAGTCATACCTTCAGGCTCCAACATATCACGATACCCTTTCTACTCCGTTCTGACCTTGCCGCATGGATTGTGCTCTGTCTAACGTTTGTGCTGTCACTTCGGAACCACCAAGATCTCTTTTGCCGAGGATCAATGTGTCCAAATATTGCCATGGCCACGCACCGCTCTGCGATTGCATTGAAGCGAATGTTCAGCCAGCGCGATCACAAACGGCCCTTTGTCACAATCGAGCACATGGAACTGCCAAACAGCCCCCCATGTATCCTCACCATCGAACACTCATGTCCTGATATTCTGCCCCTCCCAGGCATTCTAATATCTCCGCCTCCAGACCAACAGCACCAGAACCACGCAGATGCCATCCTTTCAGCGACTCAAACACCCATTCCGACGCCCTACTCATTATTACACGATCCATGAACCGTCCCCTACACCGAGGCAGCTAGAGAGACAACGCGAGAAGGAGAGGCAAAGGGCTCTCGACAAGATCGAGAATGACCTCGATGACCGACGTATTGGGCCCAGAAGTAGTGACTCGCCAGACGAACTTCCGGTGATCATCGATAGGGGCCCGTACCGAAGCCATATATACCCACGAGAGCAGCTCTTCTTCAACAGCATTATGTTGGCTTCGGACGTAGAACCAATGTATGCTGGTCCACCGGGTGAAGAGCTACGCCAGGAGGTGCATAGAACACCAGTCCGGCGTCCAAAAACACAAGGAGAGCAAAAGCTCCCTCCAAGACCCGTACCAAGTGAGTACTTGACGGCCTCACAGAACAGAGAGAACCTGAGGAGGTGGGAAGAGAAGAACAAGACTGTTGCGGTTGGGCAAATACAGCACCCGCGACCTGTACCTAGTAATTATTTGACTGCCGCACAAAACGCGGAGAATCTTAGGCGACGGGAAGAGCGAAGCGGCAGGACTCCTACTGTCCGGCGAGCACAGATTTCAGTACAGAGACCATCTCCTCCTAGACAACCATCTCTACCGAGGGTGCCGATCACGCCAGGCACGAGTGAGTGGGATGGCTTCATGGACTACCCTTCAGGTGATCGTCAGTTCGGTGATTCTGGTGGACAGGCCACTATGAATGAGTCAAGCGCAGTACACAACCTACCGACAACGACAACCCCTGCAGCACCATTGCATCCAACAGTTCCGCCTCGAAGTACTGTTGATGCGTTATTGCGAACGGATCCATCTCCCCCACCTGCTTTAGCAGATTCTGTACATACGCAAGCTCAAGCGGAACTGGCTACAGAATTACCAAATGGTTTCTCGGACCTGACGGAGCAGCCTGAACTACTAACATGGTTTACAGCGCTTAACAGAATCATTCGCAATGATGTTGTCGATCCGGCCACGAGAGCAAGGATTCGAGAAAGAGTGCATCAAAACTCTACCGCTGCTGATTCTGGGCATGGAGATACTCACCCTATCACGGTGATAGACGCTGGTCTTGTTCCAGATTTCAGCTACCCAATTGCTGGGAGTGCGTTTCATGATCGCCTTTATGCTGAGCAGGCGCCTTCATCGCAGTCACTAGAGGATATCAGGGGGGTTGAAGAGCAGCAGCAGCAGCCGCTAACAAATGGTGTCAGTTCTGGACATGATAGCGACTCGAGTTCAAGCCGCACTCTCTATCGCTCTCCCACGCCTAACAACTGGCCATTACGAGGAGGCAGTGAAGAGAGCCCAGCTCAACTAACGAATGGTGTACATCCAGGTTACTATCCCCCATCAAGCTCTAGCGGGGACTCCAGTAATGATGCCCTCCACTACCCACCTGCGCTTCCCGATAGCGTGCCAGAGCATGTCTTCAACCTCCTCCGTTCTCTACTAACACCTTCCGAGCTCGCCCTTCACTACGACGTGGTTCAGGATTCAGCACCTCCGCATCTGCTACCCTTCCCTGCACTTGTGCCGCCCAGCAATGCTACGTCAGACATTCCAATAGAAGTTCGTCTTGTCCAAAGGTTACATACAGCTGTTCACGGTCTCCAAGATCGCGTCCGAGGCCTAGAAGAAGATCTCATTCCGCAGCTCAGCGCGCACCTGAAAGAGAAGCATATCCAGATCAGGGAACTCGATCAAGAGAATGGCAGCTTAAAAGACGAGATCACAGAGCTAAAGCGCATAGCAGATTTCAGCACCAACATTCTGACTGGATGCTGGGAGCGTGAATGGGAGGTTTGGCGCACACTCTTCGATATTCAGAAAAAGCGGGAAGCATATCGTAGTCCTTTGGCTCGCATCTTCTCACGTACAACAACTCGTGGTGTTCAAGACGATGAACTGTTGGACTATTGTAAGCCAGAAGGCTATGTGGCGCCGCCTCTGTCGGCTGGAAGAGCGACGCAGGGCCTTCTTAAGAAGAACAAACTCGATGCTCTTCTGTTGATGGCGAAACAGAATGTCAGTATACTCATTGAGGATTTGGGGGAGTTGAAGGGGTTGGCGGAGGCGTATGATAGAAGAAGTGAAGCGCATGAGGAGGTGCGGCCCGTCGAAGGGTATTGAAGGGGTGTCTGATGATCTTTGTGCATTGGTGGAACGAACGTTGTCTCTCATCCCTTATGAATCAGCGACTGTCGATATGATCGTGGTCCTCGGGTGCAAATGACATACTAAAGTACAGCTTCAATGACCAGCCCGAACCAATAGCAGGCCCCAGTCTGCGACAAAAGCGCATTCTCTTCTTCATCGGGTACAAGTGTTGATTATTCATTGGTAGGGAAGTGGCTGGGCGTCTCCCCGCCTTCGCGCCAAAGTTCAGCTCTGACGCGCCTGCCTTCCTAGACTCTTACACTTCACACACTTACAGCGATCGGTTACATGCATTGATGGTTGACCCTATACCATGGCTGAGGTCATTGGCACAGTTACGTCTGTCGCTCAGCTTGTGCAACTGAGTGGTGCCCTGCTCGCCGGCGGCTACAACTTCCTATCCAAAGTCGCACGAGCGCCCAGCGAGATCCGGAGTCTCCTGACGGAAACAGCGGCCATCAACAGCCTTCTGGCGCAGCTTCAGCAAATCGCAGATACGTCACCTCAAGCCGCTTCAGATGATGCGCTGCAGGCGCTTGAAAGGGTAGGTGTCTTTCAAGAATGTCAGTCAACGCTCAAGTCGATTGAGCGGGCGCTGGCAAAATGCGAGCAGGTCAATGGTCAAGATGCGAAGAACTTCGGGAGGAAATTGATGTGGCCGTTCAAAGAGAAAGAGACCAAAGATGCCTTACAGAGACTTCATCACATGCGCGGATTGCTCGCAAATGCTATCGAGGCCAACTCTGCGTGAGTATACACACTCGTTGACGATTATCTGGCCTAAACGGTCCATAGATCCGCAATACGGCGCATCGAAATAGGTCAAGGCCTAATATCAGACGAGATGGAGAATATTTCTGAGCAGCTCAGTGCGCAGATGAGTCGTGAGGAAGCACAGAGGGTGGTAACATGGGTCTGTCCCGCGCCAGCTAATGGTGCGCATGTCAGTCTTGCAAGTGCATTGAGTCGTCATATTCCCGGAACCGGAGAATGGCTCTTACACTCCAAACAGTTTCAGGATTGGGAAGACTCAAATGCTGGTACCATGTGGATAACTGGTCTTCCTGGAGCAGGTAAAACGCTTCTCTGCGCTTCTATCATTCGACATGTTCAACAGCTCTGCACGGATACCACCGCAATTGTATACTTCTTCTGCGATCATCGCGATCGCGCGAAAATGGCACACGAAAATTTCGCTGCAAGCGTCGTGAGGCAGGTGATGGAAGCTTCACCACTGTCTCTCGAGCGAGGGAGAGTATTGTACAATGAGAAGTCTAAGAAAGGCAGCCGTCCTTGTCATAAAGAGGAGTATATACCACTGATCCGCTCGTCGATCGCATGCCTCAAAGAAGTATTCGTCATCGTAGACGCGCTCGATGAGTCCACTGAAGGTGACGCCATAGCTCAAAGCCTCACAACGATACACAACTCCGGAAAGAGCGCAGGCTGCCGCATCAGAACCCTTCTGACGAGCCGGTTCGATGCTCGCACGCAAGGGCGATATCCAAACCTCGCCATGACACACATAATTCTTGCAGAGAATATGCGTCCCGACACTCAGCACTACATCAAGGAAGAACTTCAATTGCGCCTAGCTAAAGGTGTGTTGAAAGTGAGAAACACCAGCATTATGCCTGTCATACAGCGGCATATTTCCCTCTGCGCGGGCACGTAAGTTACTTTTTCCCTTCAACCACGTGTGCTGGGCGCAAGTTTCCAGAGGCATAGTTTATGTCAGAGATAGAAAGCTAACGGATTCCAGAATACTACAGGCACGGTTGCAGATCGACTACATTTGTGCAGCGAAGTCGGATAGGGAAATCAAGCACATGGTACAAAGATTACCAAATGGGCTTGGATACACGTATCAAATACTTCTACACAACATCGCAACGCGATACCCAACGAAGATTCAAGAGGTACAGAAACTGTTCCGGTGTCTTATTGCTGCTGCCTCGCCCATGACTGCTCGCCAGTTAGCAGAGGTCTTGGCTATGCAACCCGAGGAATGCGATCTAGACCATGACGCCGTAGCTACGGATCCATACGATGTCCTGGAACCTGTATCTGCTCTTGTACGCATCGAAGACTTGGGAGGACTAACCAGTGTAGTGAAGCTCTGTCATTACTCATTTCAAGAGTATTTGAGCTCTAGTGAGATTCGACAAAGCCCAGCCAGTGCATTCCACGTCGACAGAAGCGAGGCGCATGCTTGGGTGGCTGGTTTGTGTCTACGATACCTCACTTTCGACGCGTTCAGTAAGCCACTTGACGAGAGTCTGGATCTGGATGTTGACGAGAGATACGCGTTTCGTCGATATGCCGCAGTCAACTGGTACAGGCATGTGACGCTCGCAGGAGACTACTGGTCAGCGAGAAACATCCCCATCCCTTTCTTGTACCTATTCTTCGATTCTGGAGAGGGCCCACCTTGCTACACAAGATGGCAGGATCTGCTTTCCACTATCTATTGCGACACCGACTTCTTCGATTATTCCCCCATCTGCTTATGCATTTGGCTTGGTTTGAACGCTACTGCAACCAATCTGATCCGACAGTTACCCAGCCTGGACTATAGCTTCGAAAACGGTCTAACATGCCTGAATGCTGCAGCCAAGGAGAACAATCTTTACATAGCGAAATATCTGTTACAACATGGTGCAAACGCTGATCAGCCAACTTCCGAACCAGAATTCCCAAGAGCTTTGACTCCGATACATTTTGCGGCCGAGTTTTGTGCTTCGCAGGTATTCGAAATGCTCCTGGAGCATGGAGCCAATCCGTATCTACCTTCGACATCCAGAGCTACTCCATTCTACCGAGCCTGTCGTGGTGGAGATCTGGATATGGTGCGAAAACTCAAGGAGCACGGTTGCGATATCAACGTACAAACTTGGGACAACTGGACACCAATCATCGAGGCAATTGTGAACAATCATGAAGACGTACTGGATCTTCTGATCGAGTGGGGCGCTGATCTAATTACTGTCACAGACGATGACATGACGCCGCTGTCGTGTGCCGAACTCTTCTCACAAACATCAATGGCAGAAAAGATCGAGCGTGCGGTCGCTGAATTGAAGCAGACTCTTCCTGTCGAGTAATTTGCAATCTAGAGAAAGACCTGGACGAAGTCAATCATACATCTACAACGGAAAGTGTCGTTCAACGCTCTATCATCGCAATCTCGACTAGCGAGGTGGATCCTTCGCATGGCCGGCTTGGCCCGGGCTGAAAGAGCATAACAGAACTGACTGTCGCGAATTGACAGGAAAGGTCAATACCATCAAGGTACGAGAAGAGAGACGGGACTGATGAGGACCGGATGTGCAGTGGGTAAACAAGATGGACGCTTTGGTCAAGATGATGAGGCTAGTGGGCGCAAGAGTGAACGTAAACGCTCGACCTGTTCGAAGAGCAGAATGAGCAGAATGAGCAGAATGAGCAGAATGAGCAGAATGAGCAGAATGAGCATATGAGCGGAAGATTATATCGGTGAATGTAATGATCGTCTGGGTTCAGCAAGAGCCTTCGCTGGTGCCACGTACGCTGGTGATCAACGCGTCCGTTCGGAACCGGAATTGCACGATCGCACAAACAGATGGCAGCAAACCGTATCATGCAAACGCTGTCGCGGAGAACCGGCCTACTGTAAGGTATCTCTGCAGCAGAGACATTGACCGGCTCTTGGTAAGACCATGGCTAGAAACGTGGCTGAGGTGGCTGAGGTGGCTGTGCTCTGTAGGTCCAGTTCGCGATCCATGTCGCTTGCGTGCTCGATGTCCCACCCTTCGGTCATCCCGTGTCCGATCGCACATGCTCTATTCGCCGACTTGACAGCTACCCCTCCAACACTCCAAATGTGTCCGGACAAGAGATCCATGATCGGCCACCACATTAATCCCGCAAGTCCAGCTTCGGAGTGTTCACGGTATTACTAGGCTAGTTGATGAGGTCATTTCATACTGTAAAAGGCCACATCAAAACTCCTCATCCCTTGCTGGACCATATGTTTGCGGTAGCTTCGCGGTGCCACGATGGAGACTCCGTTACTCGCCATGAGAGTTTTGGTGATGGGCTGCCTTTGATTCAGGGCACATTCGGACTTTGCCGAGATCTAGAGCGGTCCGAATGTACGGCTCAGCTTCACAGGGGTCAAGCGATAGTAATACAGCGCAGGCGGGATGAACAACACCAAACCTGCTTTCGGCGTTGCGGGGTGATGGAGGGGTAGATTGCCCTTCAGAGAATGCATATAAAGAGGAAGAGGTCTGCCTCCATAGTCAGTCTTAAACAAACAGCAAGTACCCTCTGCACCACACATTCCAAACCTTCCGAGTCTTTCACTCAAACACATCTTCATCAATATGTCTTACAACGACAACGACCGTGAGGACCGTACCTCAGGCTATGGTAGCAGCAACCGTGAGGACAACGAGTACGGCACCAAGTCTTCCGGATATGGAAATGACCAGGACTCGTCCTACGACAACAAGAAGTCCAGTTACGGGTCGAATGACAACGATAGCACTTCTTACGGATCCTCTAACCGCAAGAATGACGATGAGGACACCTACGGGTCTGAGAAGAAGTCATCGGGCTATGGCTCCTCGGACCGTAATGACGACTCTTATGGGTCTGGCAACAAGTCATCCGGATTCGGCTCCTCGAACCGCAACGACAATGACGAAGACTCTTATGGTAGCAACAAGCAATCCAGCTATGGATCCTCGGACCGCAAGGACAGTGACGATACTTACGGTTCTGAGAACAAGTCCTCGAGCTATGGTTCATCTGACCGTAACGATAACGACGAAGACTCGTACGGCAGCAACAAGAAGTCCAGCTACGGCTCTTCGAACGACAACGACAACAAAGATTCCTCATACGGTAGCAACAAACAGTCCAGCTATGGTTCTTCGGACCGTAACGATGACGACTCGTATGGCAGCAAGAACCAGTCGAGCTATGGCTCATCGAACCCCAAAGACGATGATGACTCGTACGGCTCGTCCAACCGCAAGACCGACAACGACAGCTACGGCTCCAGTAACAAGTCCTCCGGTGGCTTTGGTGCTTCTGAAGAATCTTCTTACGGCTCCGGCAACACCTCTTCTGGGTATGGAGGCTCTTCGGGCCGTGACGACAATGACTCGTACGGAAGCTCTGGACGCAAGAATGAAGATAGCTATGGTTCCAACGACCGCGAGAGCTCGGGATATGGTAGCTCAAACAAGAGAAGCGATGACTACTAAAGGTCGGTGTGATAGCATGAGGGTCGGTAGAGTGTATATGGCCGCTCATAGCTGCAAATCGTCGCTTGGCTCCCATAGTGCAGCTTTTGCGCCGAGGCTACTATAGTATGTTTGTAGAAATACAAACCAATTGTACCCTTACCACTCTGACCGCCAATCGATTAATCGCGTGACGTGACATGACATGCGTGCCCAGACAGTGCAGATGTCGCTGTAACACTAGTGCGAATCACGACAGGGAAGTTTGCCGCGTGGTGGGTAGGTATACGTCACTAATGAGGGGCAAACTCATGCTTGGAGGGGCATGTAACTTCCAAGACTGGCCAGAGCTATAGGTGTCGGTTCTGCCACTTAGGTGCGTGGCATCCTCTTAACACACATCTACGCATTCACACTTTGTCAACGCTCAATCGATCCACTCTTCAACTCACCACACACTGTAAGTTTGCAATCTTCTCGTAGGCATTAGTCAGTTGCGAGCTTCTTGGATATTCGCCCAGGTCTAATGAAGCTTGGCTGCTCCCAAGCTTCGGGGCAAGCTTCTGGTGAAGCATCCTGGACGTTCATCCAACTGGCAAGCCTCGATGCTACGCTTCATAGTCACATCGGCACTCCGAGAGTAGTGCAGCTTGGCGCATCGATTGCTAACACATATATAGACCCTCGACTCTACACAATGTCCTACAACGACGACCGCCGCGAGTACGGCCAGGAGTCTGGCTACGGTGGCCGCGGAGATGACCGCCGCGAACACGGACAGAGCGGATATGGCGGTGGCGGTGATCGTCGCGAAGAATACGGCCGTCCCCAGGAGGGAGGCTTCGGAGGACCTGCTCTCGGCGACGAAGAGAGGAGGGGTGGAGGTGGAGGTGGAGGTGACTATGGCTCCTCAGGTGGCTACGGTGGGGGTGGTGAGCGCAGAGAAGAATATGGAAGACCACAGGAAGGCGGTTACGGTGGCCCTGCACTAGGTGATGACAGACGCGAAGACCATGGTGGACGACGACAAGAGGGTGGAGGTTATGACAACGATCGTCCCAGTGGAGGCTACTCGGGAGGCGGAGGGTATGGAGATGACAGGCGCCAGGAGTCTCGTCCAAGCGGTGGGTACTCGGGCGGCGGTGACAACTACAACGACCGCCCATCAGGTGGCAGCTATGGAGGAGGCAACTCGGGAGGCTACGGCGGATCAGGTCACCATGAAGGCCAACACTCTTCTGGCACATCCTACGGTGGGGGTGGTGGCTACGGCGGTGGCTCGGACGATTTCTCTGGCGCAGCCCAGCACGCATCCAGCGAGTCTGGAAACAGCGGCGACAACGACCTCTTCAGCAATGTCCTCGGCATGCTGTCCGGCAAGAAGGACAAGCTCAAGGACGAGGATGTTGACGAAGACGACGCTGTCAAACAGCACGAGAAGTTCTACGGTAGCGGTGGCCATGGCGGCAACGAGCAAGCCAGCTCAAACAACGTCGGAGCTGCTGCTGCTATGCAAGCCATGAAGATGTTCAACAACAGCAGCAACGAGGATGCCAAGGGCGGACAGAACAAGTTCATCGGTATGGCCATGGGACAGGCAGCCCAGCTTTTTGACAAGCAACAGAGCGAGGGAAAGACCGTAAGTCAGAAGCTCAACACAGCTTGTATGGGTACTGACACGCGTAGGACCCGAGCGCCACTAAGCAAGATGCCATTGCGCAGGCTGCACAGATGGCTCTCAAGTTCTACTTGAAGTCGCAGATGGGTGGAGGCAGTGGTGGTAGCGGCGGTTCTGGAGGCGGTTCTGGAGGCGGCCTCGGCAGTGTTCTTAACATGGCGAGCAAGTTCATGAGCAAGTAGAGTCGGTCTGCACAACAGCCCAAGAGGTCAAGACGGTAACATAAGCCGACGAATTCATCCTGACTTGGCATCATGATGCATCCATCCACCGATCCACCAAGAACCTGCTTCATGTAAGTGGAGATGGGATGCCGCGCTAACCAACAACAATTTTCCGTCAAACCTGACAAGCGATAAGCGAGAGTGAAAGACTGTGGCGGTGGTGCACGAATCATCTCCCAGCCCCGCTCGACGCGGCAACCGCCATTCATTTTGTGGCGCACGGCACAGTCGTCCGTATCAACGCGTGTCGTTAGCACGCCTAACTTCAGCCTGCTGTTTACTTTGCGTCACAACAAAGCTCTTGTCAGCCTACGAACAAAATCTGCAGGGACCCAGGCGTAGAGCCAAAACCGGTGAATGGGCGGCAGCATCATCGTATGTGTAATAGAGGGTTTGTAGGATGCAATACTCTGGGCCCTTAGTATGCCGCGGCCCCACACCCGACTGCAGCTGTCCAGCTAAAAGCTACAAGCTGCATCGAAGAGGATCACGCACCCCCATGACCTGGCCCCAAGAGAGACGTGTTAGGCCTAATGCGCGTGGCTTGCTCTGCTTATCCGGGCCAAGTGTAAGCAATCGACAGACCGGATTGAGGAGATGAGCTGGGAATCCAACAGCCGCACCCTGGCCGGGGTCCATTACGGCTTGCCGCGTTTTTGTGCATGCGCTTTATATTTTGTTCTCAGCCTGTTTGCCCTTTCTTTATGCTCCAAATTCTTCATTGCTAGGTCTTGCTGCTGCCTGCTGTCGCTATCATCCCGTTCTGCTCCAGTCAGTCGTTAAGTGTGTGCCGTCACGATGCGCGGAGCTCATTCAGTCATTACTCAGGCTAGCCTTGCGCTGTTACAGCTCTCGTCTCTACTACTGCCTCTCGTTACCGCGCAAGACTCTGTCAGTTACGATTTCGATAGCTATGGAGCTGAAGATCCAAGTGGCACGCCGTACCAAACTTATAGGTCCAATGTGGACGTGAAGCCACCACAGATGCAAATCAATCGCAACGGCACTGCATTGATGAGTGGGCATGTGTTTCTGGGGATCAACGGTCTACCTACGAGTGGGCAGAATTGGCCAGCGATATATGGTACGTCTTTTTCTTTCCCAGAAAGCTGGTTGACGGTGTCACATGAACCTTGCATATGGGTCAGCCCTATCGTATCACGCTGCATCCATGTACTGATTTGTGTAACCAGAGTTCTCGGAAGACCGCATGGGCTCGCTTGTGTGGACAGGAAATTACAGCGAACCCTTCGATTTCAAGACGCAAACGTACAAGGGCGAGCCTGTACTCACACTCTGGTCTGGAGAGCTACTGAACGGCTACGGGCGCGGCTCTTACCATATCCTCAACCAGAGCTATGACGAGATAGCGCACTTCCAAGTTAGCAAGTTCGGAGACGAAATGGGCGATATCCACGAGTTCCTCATCACCGCTGACGATACTGCGATCGTCTTGATCTATCATGGTATTCCATGGGATCTGACAGCGTCTGGGGGTGTTGAGAGCGGTTGGCTATTCGAGAACACATTCCAGGAAATCAACATCGAGACTGGAGAGCTTGTCTTCGAGTGGAACGCCAGTACGCATGTTGGAATCAACGAGTCGTACAACTCTCTACCATCTGACGTTGGCCAGTCCGAAGAAGCGCCGTGGGATTACTTCCACATCAACTCGGTTGAAAAGGACAAGAACGGCGACTACCTGGTTTCAGCGCGTGTCATGGACTGCATCTACAAGATTTCTGGACAAGATGGAAGCATTATCTGGCGCCTTCAAGGCCGTCAATCGGACTTTGATGTTGACCCAGCGGTCACTTTCGCGTTCCAGCACGATGCTCGCTGGGTGGACGAAGATCAAACGCGCATGACGCTCTTCGACAACGGACCCACCGAAAACATTGGATACTCGCGAGGCCTTTTGCTCGACGTAAACCAGGATGAGAAGACCGTCAAACTTATCACCGAGTTCACCAATCTAGGGAAAACCTTTGGTACTTTCGAAGGCAGCCTACAAGCCATTGATCCTTCCAACGAAACCACAAACTTCATGCTTGGATTTGGTAGCCAGCCCTACTTCGCCGAGCTAGATCACGATGGTAATGTCCTGCTCGATGTACAATTCGGCAAGAGCAACGTCGTAAACGCATACCGAGCGTACCGCCAGCAATGGGAGGGTAAGCCATCAACCAAGCCGGACATGCACTGGGACCAAGACGGCAACACGGCGTTCTTTTCTTGGAACGGTGCTACCGAGGTTGAGAGCTGGGTCGTGTGCACAGCCAATGCTAGCGATTCACGTACCTGGACCAATGTCACTGTTGCTAGGAGGACGGGATTCGAGACGACGGTTAATCTGAAGGATGCGCAGCTGGAGAGTTTTGTACGTGGTAAGGCTGTTAGCGGTGATGGTACCGCGTTGGGTTGGACGATGGCGAGTGATGGAAACGAGCTCTACGATGCACCGGATGATGTTGAGGAGACTGGGTCTGCGAGTACTCCTTCGCCTACTGCTACTCCTACGAGTTCAACACCATCGGCCACGGAAGCTGCTCCTTCAAGCTCTTCGAGCGGTGCTGCGGCAAGAGCGACACATGGAGTGATGGAGCAGGTGTACGTTGCTGCCGTCGTGGTCGTCGGTGGCTTGGCGCTTGCATGAGGAAGCTGTTGATAGGAAGTGAGGTAGTCACGACGAATTACTGGAACGTAAACTAATATATCATGTCATTGAATGTTCGAGTTGCTGTTGTGTCTAATAGGCGGTTTTGCATGTGCTTCCAAGGTGTGCAAAGGTTATGATGCCCGACCACCCGAGCGACGTGCCGTCGATCCCCACAACCTGCTTGTTGCACGTACGCAGCAATCACACCACGCTCGGACACTGTCGCATACCTATTGCGCGACTGTTATCATGTTTGAATACATCCATGGATGCTCCTACTCTTGCTACTCTGTCACACCTGTAGGCCCCACAGATGAGCGACCCGACATCATCTCGCGCGCTACCACCACTTGACCTACCTTCAGCTGCTCTTCACTATCACGCACATGCTGAGCCACACCCCGATTCCGAGGATGCAGTGCGATACGAGCGCCAACGCTTCTCGAAGGAATTAGTTCCTGTGCATCACGAAAGGATTGCTGGAGCAGATGAAGCGCATGCGACGCCCAGTTTCGCCAGTCTTCGATCACGCGACACGTCACTGCGCAGCTCCATGCATGGATCTAGAGACGACCTGAGACGCCGTACTTCTGCTGTAGACAGTGCGAGTACACAGGTCGATGGGTATGAGGATCGAGACGACAGAGAGGAAGTGGACAGGACAGAGCGGTGGTATAACCCACTCGTCAGGTTCTGGACTACACATATTAGTCTTAGCATCGACGAAGGAGCGCATCGAGATCATCTAGGTACGTCTCCTTTTCTTTGCTTCCTCACACAATCCAACCGCTGACTATGCCTCAGCACTCGAACGCACTTTCCTGGGCTACCTTCGCACCTCCCTCATCCTTGTTGTGACGGGCATCGTGACTGCCCAGCTGTTCCACTTGCAACACTCGTCTACGCCCAACTCGCGCTTTGGTTACTACAAGATTGGGAAACCACTTGCAGCAACCTTCATCTGCATGGCTATTGTAGTGGTTATGATTGGAGCAATCAGGTTTTGGAGGCTACAGCGAGCGCTGGTGAGAGGGAAGGCGATGGCGGGAGGGTGGGAAGTAGGACTCGTTATGGCGTTGATGGGATTGTTGCTGTTGGGGACATTTGCAGTGCTCGTTGGAGTCGATATAGAGAAGTCGTATGTTAGAGGATGAGTAGTGTCTGCCGTAGTTCACATGCTACAGCATGCGCAGATGTGGTTAGTCAGCGCACCAGCCACGAGCACAAGTCCAGAACTAGTCATGGAGGAGTTTGACGCTTCAAACATGTCTCGGATAGTCATCGTTTGCTGTGGGTCCATGTTAGACCCTTCAAACTAGTTATGCTCACTGTTCAAGCTGTGGCACGGAACTCGGCGGAAGGCATAGCGGCAGCAAACCGTAGTAACTATGCGGGGCAAAGCGTTGGAAAGGTCTGCCGTGTTTGTGGGTATATGGGCTATCGAAATGGATGAATTGGCCCTAGGCCTCGGTGTATGTTCAAGCTGTTGAGGGCAGTCAGCGAGCAGCGAACATGCCCCGCGCCAAATGTCCCGAAAGTTTGGAAAGACTATAATATTCGAGGCGATTAAAGTTACGTTGGGCAGATAGGGCCGTTAACGCCTCACAGAGCCATGTTTGGCGGAATGCTTGGGGCACATCCTTGACGCAATATCTAGCGCCACTTTGTTTCTTAATCCTACGCGCAACATTGCGAACCGTGAGTCCTCCCTTTCTCGCGTCCTTGCCAACACAACAACGCTGCCCTCGCCACCTCTGCGGTTGTATAATAGGCGTCGAAGCCCCGATCGCACCCTTTGCGCCGTCATCACTCCAGCCCGATACAGCGTCCACGGCGCTCCGATACCGCCAACATGGGGCTCTCCAAATCGACGCGCATCATGATCCTGCTGGCTATCGACACGGCATTCTTCTTCGTCGAGCTCATTGCGGGTTATACGGTGCACTCTTTGGCGCTGGTCGCCGACTCGTTCCACATGGTGCGTATATCTGGCCTCGCGGCAAGTGCTGATGCTGACACCACCCACAGTTGAACGATGTCATATCGCTCCTCGTTGGATTATGGGCCGTCAAGGTCGCTAGCCAAAAGACCAACTCGAAGACATACACATACGGAGTAAGAAGCCTCACGTCTGGCATGCGACGACTATACTAACTTGGAGTAGTGGCAACGCGCGGAAACCCTGGGTGCCCTCATCAACGGCGTCTTCCTTGTCGCGCTGTGTCTCTCCATCTTCCTCGAGGCTATCCAGCGCTTCGTCGAGCCTCAGGACGTTTCCCACCCCGTCATTATCCTCATCGTCGGTTCCTGCGGTCTCCTGTCCAACATCATCGGTCTCTTCCTCTTCCACGACCACGGTCACGGCGGCCATTCTCACGGTCATTCCCACGGAAACGACGCACACTCTCACGCCGAGGAGGGACACTCTCACAGCATCGATGCGCATGACCATGCTGTTGCGGACGAGCGCGGTAATGTAGCCGATGTGCTGCCCCAGAACCGCGTCGGCTTCCCATCAAACCTCACCCAAACCCCCTCCAAAGCCACGGCAAAGAAGAACAAGCGCCACAGCCGGTCGCACTCGCGCAACTATGCGACCATTGACGAGATCTACGTACACCCCTCTTCCTTCAGGAACAGCATCATCGAGTCTTCCCGCGCGCACGACGATGAAGCAGATGACGAGGATAACGATGTCGTCGAGGATGAGGAGCCTACTGAGCAGACTTCGCTTCTATCTAAACCCAAGAGCCACGGCTCGCACGACCACTCGCACACTCACGCTCACGGAAATGGCAAGACTAGCCAGAAGGACAACCACAAGGGCCACAAGCACAATCAGCCCAAGAAGGAGGCGTCTGGAGGTGGACATGGTCACTCTCACGCTGATCTGAACATGCGAGGTGTCTTCCTACACGTCTTGGGAGATGCCCTGGGCAACATTGGTGTCATTGCCACTGCTCTGTTCATCTGGCTTACGGACTACTCCTGGAGGATGTATGCCGATCCCGCGGTATCTCTGCTCATCACCGTCATCATTCTCCTGTCTGCTCTACCCCTGTGCAAGGCTGCATCTCGTATCCTTCTCCAAGCCGTCCCGGAGCACTTGTCCATCGACGACATCACCGACGACATCACCGACCTCACAGGCATCGTCTCCTGCCATCACCTCCACGTTTGGCAACTATCAGACACCAAGCTCATCGCGTCGCTCCACGTCCAGGTCGACTTTGACTTCAAGGGTCAGGGCTCAGCACGCTACATGGATCTTGCACGCCAAATCCGCGAATGCCTCCACCAGTACGGTATTCACTCTTCGACCATCCAGCCCGAATTCTGCCTCGATGCTAGCCATGACCACTCGGCACATGGCTCAGACGAAAGCGGCGCGGAAGATGGCGGTCGCAAGAGCAAGAACCCCAGCGTCAAGGGCGGCCCTGACGCCTGTCTTCTAGAGTGCCCCGACAGCTGCGGTGGAGGAAAGCAATGTTGTGACCCCAACACTACCGGTCCCAACGGGCCGTCATCATAAGCATTGCTTGTTTCCTTCTGTTGTTCGCAGTACCCGACGCATTATGTGTCAACTTTCTTTATCGTTTGTGAGGATATTTGTACCAAAAGCTAAGGCGATGGGTTTTCGTCGATCGCGGGTTGCGTGTAGAGAGTCCGATGAAGCTTGATTGCATCGTTGTGCGTTCGACGAGTAGATGAGAGGTGAACCTAATTAAGAAAATATTACGAAACGCGCCTCGTATGCCCGTATCCTTATCTCACCGTTTACACCCACCCCTCCACCAAATCACTAGCTGACAGGTCAGGTCGCGTGTCTCACTTGCACCGTGCTGATGCTGTGGATAATATACCCAAGTGGGCAACATCTCCACCCGCGCCCTGTGACACGAAGCACTCCAAGCATATACCAAGCTAATACTATGGAGCTTATGTGGGCACAAGGATAAGCAGCTTCCAGATCTGTGGGTTGAGCCGTGGGTACCGCCATGCTTGCTGCAGGTGTGACCTTCTGGAAGCCTCAACGACAGGCACGCGGAAAGCGAGCAAGAATCGCATAGGCAAGGGAAAGCCCGGGATTAACGCGGGGATTGTGCGCTTACCCAAGGGATCATGTAGGCGTCCCGAGGTTCAGGCGCGCCACTGCGCCGCTGACAGATTGATGTGTGTCGGTAACAAAGCTTGACCGCGCCTTCCGTGTCTGGGCGCTGCAGCTTAGCCGTGCTTGTAACGGAAATTGCGTGCCATGACGAGGTGTGAATGACGAAGGTGATTGAAACTCGAGAGAGTTCGTCGAAAGCAATACCGTCGCGTTCGCCATGACAATTCTACAACAACGAGATACAGGAACATCGACTGCCCAGGTGCCACACTCCCAGATCAGCATCGTCTTACGCCTGTTGCTCGCCTGATCCTCGGTCACCGCTATCAAACAATGACCATGCACCAACATCGAAGACCCAACCACCGCTTAAATTCCCCACTAAGCACATTCTAAGCGCGCGATGCGGAGATCCTCCCAGACCCATTGGCCATGTCGTGGCAGGAATCCCCAATCGAGCGTGTCTAGGCGAGATGACCATGCACGAGTGAACAGCTCCACAGCGGGTCAGAAGCTTATCTCTCTCGGCGTTGCCCGAGCTAGTCTGTTCGGGCCCGTTTGTAGAAGAAACCGAGGTCGTTAGATTCGGAGGACCTGGTCCCTGAAACCGGAGAGAATGGCAGAACCATTACTACTTTCCGCAAATCGGAGTGGGTCGGCCAGGCAAATTTTCTGCAAACAGATGAGTGTCTGGAAGGCTGGAGATTGGAAAGATTATGGGTCGGCCAGTGCTGTGTAATGGAAGGTATTGGGCCTCTTGGTTGCAGGATTGCCGATGCCTTCCTATCTCTGTGGCGGCACAGTGGTTAGCATGACTGCAGCTAGACTTGCGTTTGCGGTTTTTTTCAATACGAATATTGATCCTGCCGGGGTTGCCTTATATCGAAGCGAACTGGCGGACTGGCGAACCATGAGGAGTGTATTACCAGGCGAGGGCCCGGCAGCCCGGCACGACATTGAGGTGTGGTAACCAACTACTCTGTTACAAACACCAACGTAAGATCACCGCGTGTAATCGCCCCGTTTGGCAGGTGCTTGCAGGTGTTCCGCGTTGGGGGGCGAATCGGTTGCCTGCACGCCGAGCGGGCAGTGGCGCGACTAAGCTGCCAAGGGAAGGCTTCGACAGGCTTTGTGCCGGACGACTATGCTTATCTGGTTAGAACCAGGGCTATCAAGACGTTACATCGGGCCTGGCGAGAGTGCTTGTGCGTGCTTGGTCCCACTGCCCTTGAGCGACAGAGGCAAACGTCGGAGCCATTGGGTAGGTGAATGCCATGTGGGTACCGCGTGTGCTCAACGAGGGGGTGGGTTAAATATGGAGGTGTCGTCGTTCTTCTGGTATGACTCCAGGTGTTACCGGATTCCCTTCTCATCTTCTGGTCACACTCGCTCTGGGCTGCCTTTCCATTGACCGAGTCTTTGGTCGCGATTGAGCTTTGAAACCATGGCTTCCGCCCACGAGACTACTGCGTATGTTCCCTTGCTCTTCGGCCCTTTGGTACTCGGGTCTACTGGGATTGATACGGTTTGCTGACATGTTTGACAGCGCTGAGGCACTACAGCACGGCCAAGAGGTCGCTGACCAGCACCCTCATCTCTACGGTGCCACCATCAACGACTCCAACGTTGCCGGCGCGCATGTTTCCGTCGAGAAGCCCGGTGCGCTCACTGCTGGCTCCAACTCCGATGCTGCTTCCTATGTTCAAGAGGAGGATGGCATCGGTGGCATCAGGCCCACCGCGGAGGAGTTGAAGACACTCCGCAAGGTTGGAGAGCCCCTCCCCAAGAGCGCTTTCTTGGTCGCCATCGTCGAGCTCTGCGAACGCTTCACCTACTATGGTGCTTCCGGCATCTTCCAAAACTACATCTCGCGTCCTCGCAGCGGTGAGGAAGGTCGCGGTGCGCTCGGTATGGGTCACCAAGGAGCCACTGGCCTCACCACCTTCTTCCAGTTCTGGTGCTACGTTACTCCCATTCTCGGTGCCATCATTGCCGATCAGTACCTTGGAAAGTACAACACCATCGTCATCTTCTGCTGCGTCTACATCCTCGGTCTTATCGTCCTCACCTGCACATCCATTCCTTCCGCTCTGGATCACGGCGCTGGTCTCGCTGGTTACATTGTTGCTATTATCATCATCGGTCTCGGAACTGGAGGCATCAAGTCCAACGTTGCGCCCTTGATTGCCGATCAATACAAGAGGAGACAAATGGTCATTGGTACCGATGACAAGACTGGCGAGAAGGTCATCATTGACCCTGCCATTACCATCCAGAGGATTTACATGATCTTCTACTGGTGCATCAACGCCGGATCTCTATCTCTGCTCGCTACTCCATACTTGGAACGCGATCGCGACTTCTGGAGTGCCTACCTGCTCTGCCTCTGCGTCTTCTTCGTCGGACTGCTCGTCCTCGTCCTCGGTCGCAAGGTCTACGTTGTCCGACCTCCTCAGGGATCCATCATTACCGACGCCTTCCGTATTATCTGGATGATGATCAAGAACCGCAACATGGATGCTGCTAAGCCATCTTACCAGGCCGGCCTCGGCAAGACCAAGGTCCTCAACTGGGACGACCACTTTGTCGATGAAGTCAAGCGTGCTCTTATTGCTTGCCAGGTCTTCTGCTTCTACCCCATCTACTGGGTTGTCTACGGTAACTTCTCCAACAACTTCGTCACCCAGGCCGGTCAGATGCGTCTTCACGGCATTCCCAACGATCTGATGCAGAACTTCGATCCCATCGCTATTATCGTTTTCTTGCCCATTGTCGACCAGTGGCTCATGCCCACACTCCGCAAGCACAAGATCGCCTTCCCTCCTATCAACCGTATCGTTGCCGGATTCTGGATCGCATCCATGGCCATGGTTTACGCCTGCGTCATCCAATACTACATTTACCACTCGGGTCCTTGCTACATGACCCCTCTAGGCTGCGACGCTGATCTTGTCGACGGCGTTCACCAGGGTAACAACATTCACGTTGCCGCCCAAACCGGTGCCTACATTCTCATTGGTCTCTCTGAGATCTTCGCCTCCGTTACTGGACTCGAGTACGCGTACACCAAGGCCCCGCCCAGCATGAAGTCGTTCGTCCAGTCCATGTACCTCCTCACCAACGCTTTCGGATCTGCCATCTCCGAGGCTCTTAACCCGCTTGTCGTTGACCCCAAGATTCAGTGGATGTTTGCTGGTCTTGCCGTTGCATCGTTCATCGCTGGTTGCCTCATCTGGATTCTGTTCCACCACCTCAACGAGACTGAGGACGAGATGAACCAGCTTGACCAGGACTACGACAAGGATGAGACCCTGAGGAGAAGCAGTGTGCACGGAGACCGCACTGTCGGTGTTCACCATTCTATTGATGAGAAGGCATAGATGAGTTTGGGGAGATTTCGAAAGGGATGCTAGTATGAAGTTAATGTGCCATATTGCATGGCAGCTATGATACCAAGATGAGAATTCAACTGTTCAAAACAAATCGTTTATTCTTTGATGATGTGACATGCAAATGAATGGCTTTCCTTCCTGTCCTCTAAAAAGCAGTAATGTCGATCCAGTCCTGGACTTCGACCTAACCTGAGAACGCGTTCCTATGTTCCACAGTCCACTATTGTTCGGCAGGGTGCCAGATTGCCTGGTATTTTGGGCAACCACAAGGCTTGATAAGTTGGAAGAGCGCTCGAGACCTAACCACCGCCAATGGAGTTAGCGGAAGGCTGGCGTCGCCGCGCTAAGCCAAGCAGCCCCGCACTCACCGTGAAGCGTACTGGCGAAGATACTTTACCCCCATGCACTTTCATTCACTCCAGTTGATTGTTTGCTGTGCAGCGAACGCTATAAGATAGATGCCCATATTCGTTTTCTACGTCTCGGCTTCCAAAACGACTCTTCTCTGCAAAGTGTTGACGATCTCGCTTACTATTTTGAGAAACTAAGAAAAGCAGCCTATGCTCACCTTCTAGATTTGGCCTGTCCTAAGCTCGTATGCTCCGTCACACCTCGTATCCTTCGTCGCCTACGTTCGAGACACCGCTTCTTTTCACCTGTGATACGGTATAGCTCTCTTGCTCAGACGCGTCAGCTCGTGCGTCGTTTTCTAGCTGAAGTTTATCTTGTTTGCTTTTGTGGTAGTGCTCAACCTCCTTCAGCCTCTCTTTCCAGCTAGGTAGCTACTCGTCCCTTACTACCTGCCTACCAACATTCCACTCGCATCACGCTATATGCAGCAACAACTGTTTAAGATGACGTCTACAATCACCACGACACCGACGACGACCTACAACTACGTCTACACAACCTACACAAATGCGTCGCCGAGTCCTTTCACCAAACCCACAGAGTTCCCGTCCATCTTCAGCTATGGCGCTGCAGTAGGATGCGCCTCGAATTCCGTCATCCCCGATACACCCGCGCAGCCCTCCAACTACCCTCTCGGTCGGCCATCTGGCCGCGATGGCGGCTGTGTTATCAGTAACGATGCGGACTTCAACGACCATGCTTTCTGGGACATGTACGCTTGCTGTTCGAACAAGGAGAGCACTGCAATGGGTAGTCCGTTCCCTTGCACGGTAATGTGCTCGGCTAGCGATGAACAGAGCTTCTTGGAGCTGGGAGAGTGTCTGAGCAAGAGGGTCGACGTTGTCATCTGCACTCCACCGTTCGATGAGATTAGCAAGAATTCGACGGACCCGGATACAGCTAGTAGCAGTGGTTCTATGGCGCAATCCTCATCGGTGGGGACGATGAGCGAGAGTGGGAGCGCGACTGCGAGCTCAAGTGGCGATGCGAGCGCGAGTGGTAGTCCTTCGAATGCGGACTCGACGGGCGGCGCCAGTGCGGTGCGCGTTACACATGGTGCGTTTTCGAAGGCTGGGCTGGCGGTATTTGGCATCATGGCGCTCGGCTCCGCTGCAGGCATGTTCTTGTAGGAAAACATGGGAAAGGATAATGAATATTACAACTGAGCTGGTCTTACCGTCATGTCGTCTTTCAGCACCTTGGTGTAAGTTTTATCTAGTCGGAACATGGTTCACAAATTGCTGTCATCGGTAACAGCAGTATCGTAGCCTCATTGCATAGCTGGTGCTTTTCTGGAACGGTCCTATTGCCATCAACAGTTCATTTACTAACATGCACTGTGGTGGTAACTGTATAATCAGTATAGTCGCCGATAATTGTTCATAGCTTACTGCAAACCTGCATCGTGGACCATTTCACAGCAACGACATGCTCACGGCCATGCCATGCTGTGAGACCTTCATGTTGTGATAGAATGGCAAAGAGAAAGACTTGAATAACCAAAGAACGCAACATTCTGCTCACCACTCCATGATGCGCTCACTAAAAGGGACGGTTCGAACATGCAAATATCAATCGACTCTCGAGAAAAGCATAGGTACAGTATTTACAACCAGTCACTCAATCCGCTGCTGCCACTTCTGATCCACCACACCGAAGACCAAATCGTCTTAATGATTGATCTCGTCAACCATACGCGTGTCACCCACTGGCCCTATATCCTTGATGGAACGCGACAAGAAAACCATGCTGTGCAAATCGAAGCAAAATGCAGCCACCTTTCTATTTCTTTCTTCTACTTCTTATCTGTCGACCTCGCCGAACACAAGGTCCATGGTTCCGATGATGGCCACAGCATCGGCGAGCAAATGACCTCTTGAAATCTGGTCCATGCAGGCCAAGTGTGCAAATCCAGGTGCCCTAATCTTACACCTATACGGCCTCTCGCTACCATCTGAAACCAAGAAGACACCCATCTCTCCCTTGGGCGCCTCAATAGCGCTGTATGTCTCGCCAGGTGGGACAGTGTAACCCTTGCTGAAGAGCAAGAAGTGGTGGATGAGGGCCTCCATGTTCTCCTTCATGGCAGCACGTGGTGGGGGCGCGATCTTGTAGTCCTCAACCTTGACGGGGCCAGCTGGCATGTCGTTCAAGCATTGGTGAATAATGCGGAGAGACTGGCGGAACTCCTCCATACGGCAGAGGTAACGGTCGTAGCAGTCACCGTTGACACCGACTGGGACATCGAAGTCAACCCTGTCGTAGGCGTCATATGGCTGCGACTTGCGGACATCCCAGGGAACACCGGATCCTCGAAGCATAACACCAGAGAAGGAGTAGTTGATGGCGTCGGCAGCTGAGACAACACCAACGCCCTTTGTGCGGCCAATCCAGATGCGGTTGTCTGTCAACATCTCCTCAGTCTCGTCGATGCGGTCACCGAACTGGGTAGCCCATTGGTAGATGTCGTCGAGAAGACCGAGAGGAAGATCCTGCGACACACCACCGGGGCGGACGTAGGCTGCGTGAAGACGGGCACCGGAAACACGTTCGTAGAATTCCTAGACGTAATCAGCATGTGGAATCTATACTTTTGCCACGCACAACTCACCATGAGCTTCTCACGCTCCTCGAAACCCCACAAGAAGGGCGTCAGAGCACCGACATCCATAGCGTGGGACAAGACCGACATGAGATGGTTCAAAATGCGGGTGATTTCACCGAACAAAGTACGAATGTACTTGGCGCGGATTGGGATATCGATGTTCAGCAGCTTCTCGACAGCCAGCGAGAAGCATTGCTCGTTGGTCATCATAGAAACATAGTCGAGTCGGTCAAAGTATGGCAGGGCCTGGAGGTATGTCCGGTACTCGATGAGCTTCTCTGTGCCTCTGTGCAGCAGGCCAACGTGCGGGTCGGCGCGCACGATCTCCTCTCCGTTCAGCTCCAGAATCAAGCGCAACACACCGTGGGCAGCGGGATGCTGGGGCCCGAAGTTGACAGTGTAATGCCGGATCTTCCTGGTGTCTACATGTTCATCCTCCTCCGCTCTGGTTTCCTGGGCCGTCTCGGCTGGTGCAACGCCACCGAAGTTGGAATCGGTCGCGACCAATCGTGTCCGCTGGCTCTCCTCGACTTCAGCATATCGGCGGGGGAATGTAGTCGACAGGCAGCGTGCAATGGGTCGTGAAGGGATTGCCGATCGGAGCTGGGGTCGGGAGGCGTTGAGGCACGCTCGCTTCGCCGCGGGGCCGGCCAGACGCGCAAAGGAGACAGGCATGGTGGTGGTATCTCTCCCTACGTCGAGTATAGGGCCTCAATGGGCGTGTAGAGTGGAGAGTGAGGTCGTGGCGTTGGAGGGGAGCTTTCCTCATATCGATGATGCTACCAGATTGAGTCTACCGCCATTGGCTGCGTGGGTCTTGGCGCGCCGGCGCCTTCCTCGAACTTTTTGTGAACATGGAAAGTGCTCCCCACCGAAAACACCAAACTTGACCCCAACACCGCAAACATGTCGACACCGAGTGCACAGGAGCAGATGAAGCGCAAGGTACTTACGCGACTTGGAATATGTGGCTGATACTCCGCTAATGCCACGATTAGACGCTTGGAGTTGGTCCAGAGACAGTCACCAACCAGCAGTCTACCGACTTTCCAGGACACTGGCCGGGCGAGAACCACGAATGGGACTTGGAATACTTCAAGGAGGTATGCGCGACCAGAGTCACATAAAAAATACATGACTACGTACTAACCAAAGGTTCAGAACTTCAACGTCACCTTCCACAAATTTGTCCCCAACAACGCCGAGTTCTCTCTGACTGGTATCGACACCTCGGTCGCAAACGCCTTCCGCCGCATTCTCCTCTCCGAAATCCCTACGCTCGCAATAGAAGATGTCTTCATCTACCAAAACACATCCATCATCCAAGACGAAGTGCTCGCCCACCGCCTCGGCCTAATCCCCCTCTGCGGCGACCGCGAGGGTCTCCGCTGGCTGAAATGGTACAAGAAGCCCACAGACGACAACGAGGGCTCCGGAACACCCTCAGACTACAACACCATCGCGCTACGATTAGACGTGGAATGCACATGGCAAGATGGCGGTTTGCAACGAGCAGTAGCTGGAGAGACCGATCCCGATAGACTCTACGTCGGCCACAACGTCTACGCTAAAGATATCGTCTTCCACCCCCACGGCCGTCAAGAGGAGAAGTTTGCGCATAGCGAAGGGAAAGAGATTCGGTCTACAAACCCGGATATACTGATCGCAAAGATGAGGCCAGGGCAGAGCATTTCTCTCAGTATGCACGCTATCAAGGGTATCGGACAAGACCATGCCAAGTTTTCGCCCGTCGCGACGGCTTCGTACCGCCTCATGCCCACCATTGACATCACGAAACCCATCATCGGCGCCGACGCAAAGAAATTCGCGCGCTGCTTCCCTCGTGGCGTCATCAAGCTCGACAAGGTCACTTCCGAGGACGCCCAGAAACACGCTGAGTTGGAAGGCAAGGAAGGCGAGCCCAAGGCTGTAGTCGAGAACGCTATGAACGATACTGTTAGCAGAGAATGCTTAAGACATCCCGAATTCAAAGATAAAGTAAAGTTAGGTCGGATACGAGACCACTTTATCTTCAAAGTGGAAAGCACAGGACAGTGGGAGAGCGATGAACTATTTTTGGAGAGTGTTAAGCTACTCAAGATCAAATGCCAGAGGATTAAGAGGGGATTGGATGAGATGCAAAAGTAGGGAGGTTTTTGGAATGAGAGAATGGAGGAGTTTGCATTGCAATGGCGTTCTAGGGCATTACGGTGGCGGGTTTCGAAAAGTCTGCGATATCACGGAGCGACTTCTTTTGCATGGGTTCGTTCATTTGGCATTTAGCCTTGGAGCGATTGTCCAGAGGCATAACAAATGATTATACCATACGTTCAATTCGCATGCCGCATTGAAGAGAGCAAGTTTCGTATGCATGCCTTGGTACCTTGAACCGGAAGCAAGTGCACTGAGTTGGAGAAACATCATGCTAGTCAAAGGCGTTTGCGTCGGCATTGATGAGGTATATTTGAAAGCAAAGAACAAGCTTGCTTCTATAGATACAACTAGACATTCTTGACTGACGCGTATTTGTACAAAAATCATAGCTGTACAAAGAGCCAACTGACAAGCACCGAACCGGGGTATATGAGAGTTTGTCCACCTGGGACACCTTGCTAGATAAACATCAAAGAAATTCGTACAGAAGTTGTGATAGTACATGAGTGTAGTCGTGGTTCAATCGCGTAGAATCGTTGCATGAGAGCTAGGGAGGTTTCCACGAAAGGACATGCTGACAGCTATGAGAGCTCTGCCAGCGCATCGCTACACAGTTTCTGCACGCTTTCAGGATTGAAGCGTGGGCGCCATGTCATATTCTTCCTCTTCTGTTGCAGCTTTTCCCTCTCCTCGTCTGTCAGCATCCAGCTGCTCCTTGGATCTTTGAACTGCGTTTTGGTGGGAGATGGCGAAGGAGTTGGGAATGCGAACCGCACACCACGTACACCAGTGGTCTCCTTTAGGGTACGCACACTAGTAAGATGGCCCTCTACCATACAGACAAAGGCGGGGGTGCCATTCGGCAGCTGGACCCCCGGTTTTGACCGCACATGCTCTGTTGACAGAGGTGACAGGATACTGTCATTCTTCATGTGCCGGGACAGAGGTCTAGAGTCGGCACACGAGTCCCATTCTACATTCTTTCCGGGTGGCGATGGAAAGCGAAAGTTCCTCAGCGCAAGGTCTGGGTCTACCTCAAGGTCGAAGGCGTAGGAATCCGTGCTTGAGGTTGAGCTGCGATAGCTGCTTGTTGAGTCGAAGGACCTGACTCTGGATGATCGCCGGAACCAAGTCTGTTCGTCTGGAATGGTCGCAGAGTCTGGTGTTAGAGGCTGGTCGTCGTCTACAGTTGGCGCAGTGGAGGATGGTGACGGTGGTGTCAGAGCGACGATGGTCTCGTTGTAGTACTTCTCGGCCGCGTTCAGTTCTTTGTAGCGGTTTTTGAGTGTCGCCTCTCTTGCCAGTGTGTCGTGAGAGAGTGCGATGTAGAAGTTCAGATATGCGGAGTGGATGGGATGGATCTGTTATTCGTCAGCACTTGCATCTCATATGTTGCGCTTGCCTTGGCGACCTTCATACATGGAAGGTACGCAGCGCAGTGCTGCTTTTACACACCTTATCATTGATATCGCCCAACAAACGCTCCCCATAACTTGCGCACTGTGTGTAGTGTCGACTAGCATACAGATCCTTGAGAGCCTGCATCTTCGCCTTCAACATGTAGGTTCCAGCTTGCGCCAACATATTGCTTAAGCGTGAAGTCGATGATCGTTGACTGTAGGACGAAAACGATTGGAGAACGAGCAGTAAAAGGATTGTGGTTGCGAATATAAGCTTGGGCGTGACGAGCAGACCGGAGAGAGGCGGAACGAAAAGTGAGAAGCGCAGCCTCAAGGAATGAAAAAAGTGAAGCCGGCTTCAGGGTTGAGGTCGTCGATATTTGTTGAGTTGGTAGCGACGTAAGCAGGCTAAGTGAAGGCAATAATGCAGGTGCGCTTTCCTCTTGTCGATGCTCTTGAGACCTCGGGATATTTCAGGGTAGATGCCAGCTCCTCGGAAAACGGTTGAAAGCAATGCAGCTACCGGAGCGCTCGGTGGGGAATCAATGCGAACGGGATTAAAAGCAATGCGAACGCCCATAACAGGCCATATTATATGATGCCTGAGGGCCTGACCAGGCCTGACGTACTATTTCTGCATTTGTTTCACCACGCACGTTACGTTTCATGGACAAGCTATCCCTACCCTTAGCCAGGGCTAAACTCGCCTAAGATGGTCAGGTACCGCGTCGCTTGTTACTACTTGGGTTAAAGCACGCAGAAGGTTTGAAGCACCCTCGTGCGTACTGCAGTGTCATGACTGTTGGTGTGCATTGTTGCTGCCTTATTGAGGAGTGGTGTAGTCAGGTGCCGGCGAGTTTTTGTCTACCGCTATCTGCGACTCATGGCATACAGCGGAGAGACAGGCCGGCATTGTAAGCCGGACGTTAGCTTTGCGAATACTCGATTGCCGACCTGGTGAAATATATCATGAGTACTTGCAGGTGGTTTATAAAGATCTAGATCGATCGCGCTGCACTGCACTGCACTGCACTGTAGCACGCATGCGCGCAGAACGCAAGCGAAGATTTGCGGTTGGGCGTGTAGATAGTAGCGAGAGCAGAGGAGGCCGATGCGCTCTTTGAGGTGGCTGGCGATCTTATTTAGCCTGCATTTCTGCGACAACAATTGGCAGCAGGAGAGCTGACACATGTGGTTAATATGAGTAGATCTGCACGGTGCTGCCCAGATGTGACGCAGACCCCCAGCGTAGATGCGGTCGAGAAGCAGACATGACACAAAGGCACGGGATTCAATCACGAATGCTTTCCACGAACTGGTTGGTACAAAAGAGCTATGAACAGATGGTTATTCTACACAGCCCATGAGGGAGATGGAACCAGATCATTGGGATATCAAGTCTAAAGCTCCTGAACTGCTTAACCCTCGGAAGCAGCCGCACCGGTAATAATCTCGACAAGTTCGCCAGTAATGACGGCTTGACGCGTTCGGTTGTAGAGAATCTGGAACTTGTTGATCATGTCTCCAGCGTTCTTGGAAGCGTTGTCCATGGCGTTTTGACGCGCAGACTGCTCACAAGCGTGACCCTCAGCCAAAGCCCAGAAGAGCGAGTTGGCGAGAGCGTACTCGCGGAGGTTGGGAAGAACCTCGTCCTCAATCTCGAAAGCAGAGAAGTTGGCTAGATAGATCATTAGACATGAATTTTCCCACTTGGAGGTGTAACGTACCAGACTGGGCAATAGCCTCCTCAGAGTAGGCCTCCTGGATGGTGGCCTCGTAACTCGAAGCGTTGATGAACTTGTTGTAGACGATCTTGACGGAAGCGTATTCGGTGGGCAGCAAGGAGATCTGGTCGGCAATGTGCAGAGAGTCGGCAAAGGTAGGAACGTCCTTTCCAGCACCGGCGAAGGACAGGACCATGTTCTTTCCGTTGGAACGACCGAGTTGCGCCTTGCACTTCTCGCCAATGACAGCCAACTCAGTCTCGGGAGCCTGTTGGAGCATAGCCCTGACCTTCCTCGACATTCCCGAGTGGATACCACCGCAGAGACCCTTGTCGGAGCTGCAGACGATGACCAAGTTCTTCTTGCCCTCACTCTCGATGGGCTTGGTCTCGGCGCTCTCGAAAACGGTGTTGGACGTCTGGCCGTACTTGCGGGACTCGGTCATGGCCTTCTGGGCACGGGTGAGCTTGGTCGAGGCGACGACCTTCATGGTCTTGGTGATCTTCTCGATGTTGCGAATCGACTTGAGACGGCCCTCGATTTCACGGAGGGTGGCATAGCCGGCAGCATTGGAGACGGTAAGGGTGGCAGGCCTATATACACATGTTCCAGTCAGCGATTGATGCAGTGGGCGATGCAATGGCTCCGGCAATGGGGGGTCGCAGAGCGCGAGAAAAGCTGCGGGCTGAGGTGGGAGCGTACCGGGCGGCGGCGGCGGCCATGCCCGCCTTGAAGGCCGGGCGCGCAGCTCGTGACAGCATCATGGCTACGAATTGAGATGAGTGGAGATGGCGACAGCCGTGTGGTGGTGCTTCACTGCTGTCTTTGCTGAGCGGAAGCTCTCATCGGGCAGTCGGGACACTGAATTGCTTTCCGCGCTAACATGCCAAGTGTCACGTGAGCTCCTCCAGCAGAGTACTCCGGATGCGGTGCCTCTCACCAGCGCCGCCACGCTGGCGGTAGTCCGAGTGTATTGTGAAGAGTGTCCTTGGCCTATTCAGATGCCGATGATGGCTAAAAATGGCCCCAAAGACGACATCGTCGTGACAACATTAGGAGGACATAGGCATGAGAAAGGAAGGGACAGGTGGCAAGCACCACCCACCAAAGCCTTGACGCAGCGTTCTGCATGTTGCGCATCTAAGGAAAAGCAAGCAGCTTCCACCAGGACTGTGTTCACTGGTAGCCGATTTGCAGCATGTTAGTGCATCGATCGATGGTGAGGTTACGCATCTGCTGCAAAGGCCGAACGCCCGTGCGCTGGTGGACTTAGTGAAGCACAGCTGGGCAATGGCTCCCTGGCTGCGCTTCACTTAACTCAGCATCCTCTGTCCGCCCTCGTCTATTCCCTTCGTCCCTTCTCCCTCAGACGCCGACATCGCCTCAATCGTACGACGAGTTTGCCCTCGCCCGGCACGCGTCTCTCCACAACTCTCACCCTTCCACAGGCTCCGCTCTTTCGTTCCCACTAGGTTTACTCGATCTGCACCACATCGCGCTGAGCACGCCCATTCCGTTTTTTATTATCCGCAATCCCGGCGCGCGCCTGTCTCTCTTATCATGTCCTCTTCAGACGACGACACTCCTCTTGTGAGAGGAAAAGACCAAGGTGAGTGCGCCCAGCAACCTGCGCCATCTCCACGCGCCACGGCTATCTCCCTCACGCGTGCCGATCGCCCTTGTCAAATTCCACACTCTCACCTCACAACCTCCACCAACCTCCCCCATCCTATCCTCGCTGAACTTTGCGCGACCTGTCTATCTTCACCGAAGACGCAAAATGGCTAACGACTCTTCTTCAATAGTAAAGTCCAACGAACAGATCACCAAGGAGGAAGACAGAAAAATGGACGCCCAAGTCCCTTCCAATGGTCACATCGAGCCCGGTATCTCAATTCGCATGGGTCCAGTCGCCGACGACGACAAGATGGATGTCGATGCGCCTGAGACCAACGGAAAGCGCAAGTCGCGCAGCAGCGTCACAAACAGTAAATCGTACAAGGACGCCAGTAGCTCCGAGGACGACGACAAACCTCTGGTATGTCGCCCTACACACTTTCACGCGCATTAAGCTGAGCTAACTTTTCAGCAGAGTAAGCGACGGCGGACATCACAGCAAGCAAAACTCACCAAGGACGACTCCGATTCAGAACTCAGCGACGTGCCTCTCAAGGCCAGAGTGCTCCCCAAAGCAAGCGCCGAGCAAATCGGGGAGTCTGCCGACTCCGACGTGCCTCTCGCCACGAAGCTCATCAAGAAGAAGGAGTCTATTGAGAAGGCCGCCGCAAAGGAGGCCAAGGCTATGCGCAACAAGGAGAAGGCTGCCCCGAAGCGCAAGCAGAAGGTAGAAAGCGACAGCGACGACGACATCCCTCTTGCGAAGAAGAAGGCTCCGGCCAAGAAGGCGAATGGAGTGAAGAAGGAAGAGTCCGACTCTGACGCACCGCTCGCCAAAAAGGCCGCTCCGAAGAAAGCCACCAAGGCGAAGCCTGTCGCTGCTGCCGCGCCTGCTAAGAAGGGCAAGGGCAAAGTCAAGAAAGAGGAGACTGAACAAGACGAGGAGGCTGAGGACGAAGAGGAAGAGTACCGCTGGTGGGAGGACCCAGGCAAGAGTGATGGCACCAAGAAGTGGGATACGCTGGAACACGCCGGTGTTGTCTTTCCTCCCGAGTACGAGCCCCTTCCCAAACACGTCAAGTTGGTGTACGATGGCGTACCTGTCACCCTACACAAGGATGCCGAGGAGGTGGCTACTTTCTACGGAAGCATGCTGAACTCTACCCACAACATCGAGAACCCTACCTTTAACAAAAACTTCTTCGAAGACTTCACTAAGGTTCTGGACAAGACTGGACACGGCAAGGACAAAGATGGAAATACAGTCAAGATCAAGAAGTTTGAGAAGTGCGACTTCAAGCCCATCTTCGAATGGTTCGACGCGGAGCGCGCTAAGAAGAAGGCTCTCTCGCAAGCCGAGAAGAAAGCGCTCAAGGCTGAGAAGGAGGCTGCTGAGGCTCAGTACATGTACTGCCTGTGGGACGGTCGCAAGCAAAAGGTTGGCAACTTCCGCGTTGAACCCCCCGGTCTCTTCCGTGGTCGTGGTGAGCATCCCAAGACCGGTCGTGTGAAGGAGCGCGTTATGCCCGAGCAGATCACTATCAACATTGGCGAGAATGCCAAAGTCCCTGAGCCACCCGCGGGTCACAAATGGAAGGCGGTCAAGCACGATCACGAAGGCACATGGCTGGCTATGTGGCAAGAAAACATCAACAGTGCTTACAAGTACGTCATGCTTGCTGCCAACTCCGACATCAAGGGCCAGAGCGACTTCAAGAAGTTCGAGAAGGCGCGAGAACTCAAGAAGCACATCGACCGCATCCGCAAAGATTACCGTAAAGATCTCAATTCTAAGATGATGGCTGATCGTCAACGTGCTACCGCCATCTACCTCATCGATCAATTCGCCCTCCGTGCTGGTAACGAGAAGGGAGAGGATGAGGCTGACACCGTCGGTTGCTGCTCGCTCAAGTTTCAACACATCACTCTGAAGCCGCCGGAGACTGTCATCTTCGACTTCTTGGGTAAGGACAGTATTCGGTTCTACGACGAAGTCAAGGTCGACCCGCAAGTCTTCAAGAACCTGAAGCTCTTCAAGAAGGAGCCCAAGACCACAGGCGATGACATTTTCGATCGACTGACTACATCGGGTCTCAACAAGCATCTGACAAGCTACATGCCTGGTCTCACCGCAAAGGTCTTCCGTACCTACAATGCCTCGTACACAATGGCTCGGCTGCTTAAGGAGATGAAGGCCACTGGTACAATCCAGGAGAAGGTGAAGGCTTACAACGATGCCAATCGTGAAGTTGCTATCCTCTGTAACCACAAGCGTACTGTTGCTGCGAGTCACGCAACCTCCATCGAGAAGATGAATGAGAGGGTATGTTGTCGTCGCAAATTCTGCTGTTTTACTGTGCTAACTTCCGTCAGATTAATGGTCTTCGTTATCAGGTTTGGAGGACCAAGATGATGATTGACGTGGACCCGAAGATCAAGAAGAAGAAGGGTGCTGAGTTTTTCGAGCGACCCGAAGACCTCGACATGGAGTGGGTCAAACAGCACCAGGAGGCAGAAATCGAAGAGATGCGACAGAAAATCACCAAGAAGTTTGAGAAGGAGAACGAGAAGCTCAAGGCTGACGGCGAGAAGGAGATGAAGCCTAAGGAACTCGAGGAGCGTATGGACAAGGTGAATGAGCTGGCCGCCAAGTACAAGAAGGAGAACAAGACTGGCAAAGTCGAAGCTGAGGGCAAGGGACCAACAGTCGAGAAGCTTGAAGCCAACATCGACAAGCTCAACCAGCGCATTGAGAATATGAAGATCCAGATGGAGGACAAGGAGGGCAACAAGGAGGTTGCCCTGGGCACATCTAAGATCGTAAGTCACTTCACATGCATCTTACATGACCTCTGACTAACCGCAACTAGAACTACATCGACCCTCGCCTCACTGTGGTCTTTTCCAAGAAGTTCGATGTACCCATCGAGAAGTTCTTCTCCAAGACACTTCGCGAGAAATTCGACTGGGCTATCAAGTCAGTCGACGAGACTTGGGAGTTCTAGAGCATAGCATGCATGTAGGGCGGCTTTTTCTTGTCTTCGGACATTTTCTTAGATTTGCATTGGGTGCACGCAGCATCATAGGGTGAGAGTGACTGGGCGATATGCGACGAAGAAAAGTACGGTGGCATTTAGTACGACTTCTGTGTCCAAGGCAATGGGCGGTGCGGTTCGGCGAGCATGCGACATGACTTTGCGATCTCATTATACATTAACGAGTCACTGCATAGCGTCAAGATATTCATAGTAGCTCTGCGATCTAGCCACTCATCTTCAACAATATATCAAATAGAGACTCGACTGAAATTGATTACTGATGCATATGCAAGTGCGGGACGATCGCCATTCTTAGTCCGTTCTATGCATGAACTGCTGTTCGACTCCAAGGTTGTGCATGCATGCCTGTCTTGGAATGCAATCATACAGCCTGCTCTGGGTGCAAATTGCATGTCGGCCAGGTCGCACAATCACGACGGGTGGCATAGAGCGGTGAAAGAGGGTGCATCGCAGCCAATAGTACGGCTTGGGTACCTGCATTACATTTATTGATAGGAGGTACAGATCGAAGAGATCTCTATATTTCCACGCCGTGTGCTACGGTACCCGGCGCCAACAGGCCTCGGAGCCCGGAGCTGTATGACATAACGCTGGTACGAACTGTGCAGGTTCGAGTCGCCGTGCTTTTGATTGGCAAGTGATTGTAAGTCGCCGATGAGGGCGTTGAGCTGATGGATAGTCACCGTGGCGCGCAATCACAGCAACATCTGACAGCATTCGTGCTGTCTAACTCGGCCGGCTGCGAGGTCTTACTTGACCCAATGACCATGGTATTAAATCCATGTCGGCAATGCTACGAACCGAATTTCCTGTCACGTTGCCTAGCCTGGTAGAACATATGAACTCGTCACGAAGCGAGAGTTTTATGCAGGCTAGACGTTAAGCTAGGAAGGCAACCCCAGCATCGTGTCTGCAAAGGGGAAGGCGAAGAGGCACCAGATTTCGCGGCTCCGCACTTGATTGCTTTTTATTCGGTAATCGCTCGTTGAAGGATTGCGAATGTGGCTTACACATTATACACAACGTCGGAGGAGGCCCAAGGATGGATGGCTACGTCAGCCAGGGATTACCTGATAGCTCTGTTGGTTCGAACGACGGATTGCACTTGCCCCTGAGTTAACCCCCACCTTGGGCTGTCATGCGACCCAAGTTTTGAAGCTCGAGACCAGGTCCAGCACTGCGGGAGGAGCGCGCCGTCGTTCACCGCCCGCTTCTTGTACATCTCCCGCGACAACCGCTGTGTCCAGGAGGCAGGAACAGCAAACGTCATGGTGTGAATCTGACGGGATGAGGTGGAGCAAATTGCAATGGTTGCCCATGCCCAAGTGCTGTCTGCATAACATGGCGGGTGGTGGCGGGCGCCTTCAATACAATTGTCGCGGGCTACATACGAAGCCCACAATAATCTCGGTCGACTTGCTTGCGGAGCGGACCACTATGGTGTGCATTGGATCAGCCACAAGTGCCCGACCATGGCTGCTACGGGCGGCCATGGTTGTTTTCTGCCAATGCCACCAGCCTCAGTGATGGGGGTGGCACTCTTGCGAAGAGAATTATCGCCGGGCTTGGGTGTGCACATTTAAATATCGGCCTGACTGACCCCCCTCCTGCAGGTCAATGAGTCGTACATATTGGGCCTGAGTTATATGACATAGGTGTGGTGCCGCGGTATCCTACTTGGAGGATCCCTCTTCGTGGTTAGTCCCTCTTGTTCCAGCTCGACGCCCGCGATCGCGAAAGCTGCGTGTTATCTTCTTTCCAACGTGAGCAAGACAGACGATCGCAGCAAGACAATTCGCCTATAGCAGCCTTGATATCGTCCCTCGCCAGTTGGTCTCTTGCAACGAGGGTCTGAGCGCGATCCGCACCGCTCAAATCTCCACCCCCGACTTTGGCTTTACACGACACCATCCGCCCACTGCGCCCTTCAGAATCCCCTAGCGATCTCTTCTTGCGCGCACAGGAGACGTAGATCACGACCGTCCGCGACGCCAGACATGGCTTCAGAAAAACCTTCGGTGCTGATAATAGGAGGGTTGGGTAAGGCTCGCGCTGGGCACAACCCAAGTATGCCACGGGGGCTGACCATGTGGACTAGGCTACACCGGACGACACCTCACCAAGTACATCCACGACAACAACCTCGCCTCGCAGATACGCATCGTCGACAAACACCTCCCGGAACTGGCATGGCTGGCACCTGAATTCAAGGAGGCGTGCTCAAGAGAGCGCTTCATACAGGCGGATGCGGCGCAGGAAAGTGCGTACCCCTAACCATGTCTCTGGGTGCAAGGGATGTCTACAACAAGACGTCCGACGCTAACTCGAACCCTACAGAATCCCTCCCCCGAATATTCGATCGTGAAGGCGGCGCCGAATTTGACTATGTCTTCAACTGCGGCGGCGAGACCCGCTTCGCCCAAGATGAGAAGGTCTACGAACTCCGCTCCTACGGCCTGTCCATGGCCATCGGCCGCGAGGCCGCGAAACGCAAGGTCAAATGCTTCCTCGAAGTCAGCACCGGCATGGTCTACAAGCCCGACAGCGCACCCAGCAAAGAGTCAGACAAGCCGAAACCGTGGTCGAATCTCGCAAAGTGGAAACTCAAGGCTGAAGAGGATTTGGCCAAGATTGACGGACTTAACCTGATGGTGATGAGGATGGCACATGTCTATGGGCCGTATACGAGCAAATACCTAAGCACGGCGCTTTGCATGGCGAGGGTATACCAGAGCAAAGGAAAGGAGATGCGCTTCCTGTGGAAAGAAGACCTGAAGACGAACCTGGTGCACATTGAGGACTCTACTAGGGCGCTGTGGCATGGTGTCGAGTGGTACACGAAGGGGCCCCCAGGACGCAGGCCGGCGCCTACGTTCAACATTGTGGATCATGCGAATCACTGTACGCCTCTCCACACTACTTCATTTAGTTTACTTTAGTACTGACATGACATCTAGCACAAAAAGACACTGCCCAGCTCATGGGTAAGATCTTCAACATCGAAACCGGCTTCCACGGCACACTCATCTCGGCCTTTGCACGATTGAACCTTGACCACGTCGTCGACGAAGTCAACGACGAGACGCTAGACCCCTGGGCAGAACTGCAAACAAAGGCTGGCATCAGCCAATCGACACCGCTGACTCCGTACATGGAGAAGGAGCTGCTGAAAGATGCTGATCTGAGTATGGATGGCAGCCTATTCGAGAAGGAGACGGGATTCAAGTAAGTCACATCACGATGCACATAGCATATTGAGGCGGCGATATACTAACATACCACCAGATACAACGTAGAGAAGATCACCAAAGAAAAGGTCGAAGAGGTCATTGAGAGCTACAAGAGGATGAACTGGTGGCCATAGCCGTTGCCGCTCGATTCGCCTACTTCTTTTCCATCGATACCCTCCTTCTTGTCACGACCTTCCTCACGACGAACCCATTTCCTGTATACCCAACTATCAAAACCACCACCTTTACATTTTCGGAAACGACGATTGATTGTTCAGTTCAGCATAGCATAGCAGCGAAGGCATGCATTACCTGGAGCTCTGGGCTCCCTTCAACCCGAGTCAACAATTCCACCCCGTATGGTCTTCTAATGTCTTGCGGGCATTTGTATCCGGCGGGCGCTATTCCCTTGTGTGTGTCAACCTTCTTCTTGTATGTTTGGGGCATGTATCTGGTATGCGCACGTTACTGTATGGTGTTGATATTTGCTGCTGCTGTCGGAGCATGCGAGTCTTGGTGTTACATACCCCTCAATCTAGCATTTGTTCTTAAACACCGCGACTTTTCGTAACACGGTTCATTGTGCTCGTTTACTACGGGTGTATGCTAAGACTTGTGTGAGATATGTGGTATATCAAGAGCGTGTGTGTCGCTTGGGCTGCCTCAAGGGATGTAGAACACAACCGGAACCGTATCTGGTGTCTACACAGACGTGCGGGCTTCGCTATCTGTTTCGGTATGGAGCCTTGCGCCGGGTTGGTTCTATCTACAGATGACACCATGGTGGCACGCGCGCGGTTGACTTTAACCTCTCTCATGATCGTTCTTGGGCGCGGTATGTTTAGGCCGTGCTGGACCGTTTTCGTCTTAGATGCGGAGGCTGATTGATAATGCAATGATACGGCAAGGTGTGAGAGCATGTTAGAGCCGTTATTCTAGTTGACTCGATGACAGTATATATCCTACAGTGATGTGTAACATCACTAGCAGATAGCATACCAAGCAACACTCCATACACATAGAGGCCGTGGGGGATTAGAACATTAACACTCTAAACACATAGAGGCTTTGAGAATTGTAAGCTTTACACTTTAAGATATAGAGCTTCGAGAATTGTAAGCTTCATGCTCTAAACATATAGAGGCCCAAGAGATTAAAAAAAAAGTGTACAACTAGACTTCTATTAGCTTATTATATCATTTGTTGTTAACCCCTCTACTTCCATGTATGTCTTGGAATATGGACATCTCGTGAGACTTACATACTTCAAAGCAGGCAAAAAGGCTATAGTTGCAGAGCGACAGTAAAATTGCCCAACTTATGCAGTGATCCGGAGCAAGGCGCAAGCCATAGTAAAGCACCTCGTGCGAACACATTGCGTTTCCACTGACAGCCCACTAAATCAGGTGACCTCGTCCCCTTCGCAGTGCATTCAACGACGTACTATCGACACATTCAGCTCCAAGTTGCCATCCTCCACTCTCAGACACTATTCTGGGAGACATATTTGGTCTTTTGAATACAGATCGATGACCCGACGGATCTTGTTCAACCAATGTCCAGCGCCGACAAGAGGTTAAAACTTCATCAAGAGCTCGGCCGCCCGGCTGATTCATTCGCCAGCTATTCGGACCATGCAGGGTCTTGGATGATGATATCCATATCATTGATCTTCTGCCTATCGATATACTCCGCCCATGTAGCGCTCCCCTCCCCGCTACAGCATCTTGCTTCAATGTCCGCTTCAAAGCAACCCCCCACAACACAGCCCTCCTCAAGTTCGAGAATGTTCTTATATACGACATCCAGGGGATAGTCCACTAGTTTCCAACCCAGTGGTAGAGCCGACCCTGGTCGGGAATAACGCTCTGAACACTTTCCAACTGTTCGCGTGACAGCATGCAATCGCCGCCCAAGTTACAGCGGTAGAAGTGCTAGTGCGCAAAGTTAAAGTTGTTTCCGGAGTAGAATATGAGGCAAAATTCAATGTAGATTTGTCTACAGGTCTTCGGTAGAGCAAGGACATGTCGCGTTTGTGCGCTTCCGAAGTTGTTAGACTTCTCGTAAACGGCGACTTGGTCGCTATTGAGGACGAAGTTATAGATTTTTTTCGCGAATCTCTGCAGGCAGGGCGAGAAGACGTGTACACGCGTTGGACTGGGTGCTTTGTTTGGTCAGTTAAATCTGGCTACATTGATTGCTCTGCTACCTACTGAGAGCGTAGATATTCGGGTGTATTCCCTGGATTTGGTAAGGCATCATCGGGACGGGCGCTTGAAATCGGAGTCATGATCGCGGTGGTTAGAAGTCAGATAAGGTCGGAAGGGTTTGCTGCGATAAACACACGACTTTGAAGCTACTGAATGATAGAATTAAGTGATATCAAGTCACAGCTAGCGCATAAAGTCAGAGCCATACCCATTTGGGAACGGGAAGTATCGTTCACTCTATTGTTAACTCACGTAAAGAGTAGGAAGACCTCGTAGCGTTTTCGTCTTCGTGCACTCTCTACATCGGTAAGAGACAATGTCGGTGAATGTATCGTTTTATTTGACAGACTACACGAGCTTCATGACCTTCGTCATGTGGCACTTTGAATGAATAGCTTGATTATACATAGGCACCAGATACTCTGTCAAAATGAGATCAATAACATCTTTGAATCTAGTGCGAGCTTTCCCGTCACAAGAAAGCCTCCTGGATTCGAACGCTTTTGCAAACCTCCAACCGATGTTGACAAGTCTGACCTCAGGCTCGTACGGTCATTTATGGTTAGTAGCATCTTGCTAGACGCGTTCCGCCGAACCTGACTCAGGAGCTATTGGTCATTGATCTCGATAGGCTCGACAAACTCGACGATCTTGACGACCTCAAGGACATCACACTCCCGCATCGTTAAAGCCGGCATATTGCGCCAATTTATTGAAAAAGTCCACGTCAGAACCAGCTTTAGTGACTTCACCTTCAATGCAAATTCGTCGCAAGTTCGGGAATAGGAGAGTGAACGGCATGGCTAAAGGTGATGGGGTATGAGAACTGTGGAACATCTTGCCGACCGAGCAGCTACATCCTCGTTGGTACCGTGAACAGCCTCCAAATTCCGTTCCGTTGACCGAATCAAGAAGGAAGGGGTTATCAACTTGGATAGTTTGTATGGCTTCTAGCTAGGCTTGGTTGCGATTCCTTGCAAAGGCATCACGGCTGACACGGCAACTCACGACGAACATGTTGAGTGAGTAGGGTAAAACAGCGGTTTCTGTGTAGATCTGGCGGCATACGTATGGCAGCACGAACGCGAGCTTGCGGAGCTTATAAGGCTTGTGATCGTCCCGACCATTTTGCCAAACATTGAGTCCGGAAACGCTCAATAATATCTGGAAGCCGCCCAGAACTTCCGTAAAGATCATAATACGAAGCTCCGTAGGCAACAAGAGGAGATTCGTCGACGCGTTGTGTTGGGTTATAATACATTAGCGTCAGACTTGATTTCGGAGGTAGTACTTACTTGGAGAGCAAGTGCTTCGGAGTGGGGTCCCATCTGCACGAGTCCATTCTTCTGGTAACTAACTGCTGGCGAAGGGCCTCTATGATAAGGGGCAGAGTGTCGAGGATTCGCCATGATTTAAACCATCTTGCTCTGATGGACAGTCGTCGGCCAGACGCAGATACGCCTTGCCATGGCTACTGGATTTGACGGGTGGATCTATGACGAGAAGAACAGCGATCGATTTGTCAGGTCGTAAAGAGCCGAAGGTCAGGAGTGGGCAACGACTGCAGTGGCAGTATATAACTCCGGTACTTTAACTGGGAAGACTGACAGAGTAGACAACCATTTCTCGAACGGCCAGTCACCTAGAGTACTTACAGAGGAATTGCTCTATATCTGGCTGCCTGGAGACAGACTCCTTTGGTCACTCACGCCACCTTCGTTGTCGCAAACACACTACTTCTGTCACATAAATCAATGCCGTATATTGAAGCAGTGAGAGCAACGCAGCCGAATATAGAGACTGGGCGTCGATGTGATTGCTTATTGGAAGGGCAGGAGAGCCTTGGATCCGTGAAGCGACTGAGTGCTGCTGGGGCGTCATTGGGCGAATGATCATCAATGACTAGCGCATAGGGGATTCAGAAATCAGTCCAAGCCGAAAACACTGACCATGTTTGATGAGTGGCAGTGATGAAAAAGGGTTGATGTTGCAGGAAGCGCAGCTGGATGACCAGTCGGCTGGGGTGTTAGTGGCCGCCCAATCATCATTCGCATGATATTCGAAGCGGGCCTGCGCCCGAACCTTCCCGCCCTGCGACATCACTACAACAACATTGAAGCAAGGAGGTTGTCTATAATTTTAGGAGGGAACAAGCAAGACCTGCTGTATTTCTATCAGATATACGACTCGTATTTCTCTGCAGGTCGAGAACGCAAGCACATACAGATGAGCTGCGGGCGGAAGGTAAACGCGGCATGTAGCTCGCTCAGCCTCGCAAGATGCAGCCTGACCTTTACGTGCTCAGAAAGGATCATTACTGCCTAATCTGAGTATAGGGACGGATGAATACGCTGCTGCGCCCTGTTGGTTTAACAGCTTCATATATCCATGACCAGCATGGGGAAAATCCAGGCGGCAGTCTGTCTTTCCTCCTTGCTCTCTCTCCACCAAAATGTCCCCTCTTCGCCGCACGAAGCGGCCACCAGGCAAGATGGCTACAAAGCCCATCTGTCACCTACTCCGCATGCCGTTGGCGATACTTCTCATCGTTCTAGAAGACGTGCGTACCTGAACAGTAGCTTCACGACAGTTCTCTCTTCTAATCACATCTGTCAGGTTCACGAAACTGATCGGGAAGCCTTCTTCAACTTTCGCCTTGCCTCGAAAGCATGCCGCAATGAGTCTCAATACTTGTTCTTCCGTAGCTTTACAATCCATGATCGCACCCTCCTCGGGCCGAGTCTATCGTCGCCGATGCTAGAGAGACTCAGGGATAGAAACGAAAGAACCGGAGAGTATGTCAGGCATCTGAAAATAGGTCCCTTCAAGGATGAAGACAAGTTCAAGCTCGAGATTTTGCCCGTGCTGGAGACTGTCCTAAGGAGCGTCAGTAACTTACAAGACCTTACCTGGCGTGTGAACTGTGAGCTCCCACTAGCCATGCTCAACTTATTCTACGAACTGCACCCTTCGGCACGTCTACATTGGATCATTCGAAACCGAAGATTCCAACCTCTCAACCATAGTCTGCTTTCTTCTCCTCGACTTCACACTCTCGACGCGGAAATTTATGCGACCATACCCGAGCAAACCGGACATTCGCTGAGTGAACTATCTTACATCAAGAATACTATGCCAGCTAGTCTCCAAGTTCTGCGTCTCTCTACTCTTGACGTTGACGAACCCAGCCAGCGTGCGCAGTTCGAAAAATGGGAATACGTCAAATACGGCATGTTCCACTTTGACTTTCAGCCTGGCGATCAGTTTCCTGCACTCTTGGAGTTGGCCTTGAGGCAGAACGAGTTTGCTTTGACAGAGCAAAACTGCAATTTATGGGCACACGCAACGTCCTGGGAACGCCTGCAACGCCTAGATCTCCCCAAGGGCACGTCACCTCATTTCATCGCCTCCCTCACCAACCGCGCCACCAACCTCAAATACCTGAAATTTCACATCAGTACGCCGGGCTTCAGGGGAGTGTATCGTCCATACGGCGATGGAAATTGGCTTAACGCCAGAGTTGACACTTTTTCTATCATGGCAAGATTTCTGGCTTCGATCAAATCTCTCCACACCCTTGATTTCGCGTACAAAGACAACGAGATCCTAATACGATATTTACGCGTCATGTTGCAAAGCCTTCATGGAAGTTTGAGGAGCTTGACCATATCTGATATGGGTGGTTACGATTACTTTCCCATGGACCCCTTACCATCCGGAAAGCCGTATTGGGATCCGGAGCAATACCAAGAGGTGCTTGAGCTAGCACCCGGCTTGGAGCATCTAAATGCGCGGATTGGTACGAGAGACAGTGTTGTGGGAGACTGGGAATGCCAGGATCGCTATGCAGATGTTAAGAAGAAGTGGAGGACTGCCAAGAAGAATGTCACCGCTACGGCAAGGGCGAGGACACAGCGGGGCCAGAGAGCGCAGAAGTTGATTTGGTAGACGGCGACGTCAACGCTTCCACGCGTCTATACGCGGATGCGAATGTGCGCTCCACGCAGGACTTGGTGTATTATTACTGGGCGGATGATGGTGCCGAGCTCTTTGCCAACATCGAGGCGCCTGCCATCTTCTCGGATCCGCATTGGAAGCATTGTCCGCTCTAGTCCAAGTCATACGTTATCATTGACAACTCATGCAGTGATGGCAGTACTGATGGAAGACACGGAGGGATGTTGTTGGACTGGGTGTCGTTACGAAATGGGAAGGTGGTGGGTTCGTGAACCTGGCGGGGTAACAGGTCTGTTTCCTGTGTCAATTCTTCTTGTCTAGTGCCCAATGAAGCCCGTACAGCGTCCCTCGCTTCTGACTGCTTGGTGCTTATTGAGTTCTTCGGCACTATGGCGACGCCAGACGTGAGCGGGGAGTTTCCAGATGATCAATGCCCCCGCCTTGTCTGAGACCGAACAGAAAGATGCGGCAGAAACGACACTTGTATTCAGGAGACATAACGAAATATTTCGGCTTTCTCCCAAGCCTGAGGTACTCTATATTGAACGAGCCTGACTATTGCACACATTTATATAACATTGGATGACTTGACTGGTGGATGCTATAGGACGCTTATGCCTTCTGGGAAACGATCCCTGTTGCTTGTTAGCTCATGCCGCACGTTCGAGATGGAGCGCAACATACTCTCAATGTCAGTAACGCTCTGGTCAAGGATCTGCTTGAGGGTCTTGGGGTTCTCGAGCTCCTTCTCAATCTTGGCGATGATGGACTCAGCGAGCTCCTTCTGCTGCCTCTGCTTGACTTGACCCTCGTAGCGGACCCACGAGTCGAGGACGGTCTTGGCCTCGGCGGCGATGGCGGTCTTCTGCTCGAGCTCGAAAGCCTGAGCCTCGAGCTGGGCGGTCTCCTGTGGGGTTGTCAGTGTTCGGTCCTCGCATGGCCTCCACCGTCGTGTCGCACCTTGGAAACCTCGAAGAGGGTCTTGGTGATGTCAATGACACCGCCGAGGTCCTGGACGCTCTCGATGCGCTGCTTGACAGCGGTGGTGTGGTCCTGGCGGGCCGCGTTCAAGATGCCGGAGATCTTGTCCGCCTGCTGTTGCGCATACTCTCCCCAGGCAGGTCCCGCATACTTGGCAACGGCCCAGAAGATGGTGAGGAGCGAAAGGGCGACAATGGACTCCTCGTTGACGACGTAAAGCTCGTTGCTAATAGCGGCGACACTGAGACCAGCGCCGGCGGAGAGGACGGCAGCCTTGGTGAGGGGGCTGTTGCCGGGGACGGGTATCGAGTCGAGGACGGTCTGGGCCTTCTTCTTGGGGTCCTCCTGGGGCAGGTTGGAGTTGTAGCGGGCCTGGACGGCGATGGAGGGCAGAGCGCGGAGAGGGAGCGATGGGCGGAGACGGGCGGCGCCTATTGGAGTGAGCACGGGGTCAATGGCATCGCAGATTCATCGGGCAGGTGCTACTCACCGACCGCGCTCCTTGCAAGACGTGAGGCCATGGCTGTGTGATGGGCGTGGGGAGTTGGGGGTGCTGGTCGTCGTCGAGAGCTAGCTTTTCGTGATGCTGCGTGAACTCTGAGCCAAGCGCCGATGCCCTTGCGCTAGCCGAACTTCGCCCGGCCCGCCCTCGCTTTTCGACATCGCCAACTTTTTTGCGCCCGCGAGCAATTCAACTCCACGCCAAGAGATCAGTCGCAGGAAAACATGCCCGGCGCAAAGTCTGCCAGCATGTCTGGTGTCAAGAGGAAGAGGGACCCAAGCAAGCCAGAGCGCGGCGAATCCAAATCAAAGAGCCGGCGAAAATCCCCCAGCGACGACGGCGAGGACATCCAGTCGGAAATTGTACAGCTCGAAGCACAAATCCTCGAATCGCGAAAACACTACAACAACATTGCAACTCTTTTGCAGCGAGCGAGACAACCAGACGCCGAGAATGAGGGTCCAATCCTCGCCGCCGTGGCCCTCTGCCGCGTCTTTTCACGACTACTCGTGACCGGCGACATGGTGAAGAGCAAGGGCATGAGCGAGGCAGAAGGTGTCATTGTATCGTGGCTGAAAGAGCGCTACCGAGAACTCTCCGACGTTCTGATCGACGACTTCCTCGGCAGCGAGCACCCCCCGAAGCAGTCTGTCGCCCTGACACTGGTCCTGCGATTAGTCAAGGAGGAGGCAAAGTCACAGAAGGACTACAAGATCAAGAACGGGCCGCTGCCGAGACTGATCCGGGTCCTGCTATGTCTCCCGCTTGACGATCTGAACCGCGAGGAGTTTGCAGAGAAGTACCTGAAGCAGTTCGACGATATCCGATACCAGACGTTCCAGACCATCAAGTAAGTGTATACACATACCAGACCTCGCGGCTCCCACTAACACTACCAGGGATGTACTTGACAGCGATCTCGACATCACGACGCGCCAACTCGTAGCTGCGAACAGCCTAGCCCTCCTATTCACACTCACCGAAGTCCCCAAATCAAAGACCGATATTCAGAACTTCTACGTACAAGTACAAGGGAAGAGCCCGATACCGTCCCTCCAAGCATACAAGGAAAAGGCACAGGCAGCATGGTTAGCGACCATGCGCACAGGTCTCTCCAAAGAGCAGCGCAAATCTATCTTGCACAACTTCTCTCACCAGATTGCGCCGTGGTTCCAGCAGCCTGAAATCTTATCAGATTTCTTGACAGATTCCTACAACGTGGGCGGTGCAACCTCATTGTTGGCACTGTCCGGAATCTACTACCTAATTTCAGAGAAGAACCTCGACTACCCGTCATTCTACCTCAAGCTGTACTCCCTCCTCGACGAAGGTCTCCTCCACTCCAAGCACCGATCGCGTTTCTTCCGCCTATTAGACACCTTCATGTCTTCGTCCCATTTGCCCGCCAATCTCGTCGCCAGCTTCATCAAGCGTCTCTCGCGCCTAGCTCTTCACGGGCCGCCTGCCGGTGTCGTCGTCGTAATACCCTGGGTCTACAACATGTTCAAGAGACACCCAGCGTGCACTTTCATGATGCACCGCGAGATCCGAGACCCCGCTCTGCAGGAGCAATTGGAAGAGGAGGGCATGGACGACCCGTTCGACATGGAGGAGCTAGACCCTCTCCTCACAAACGCCATTGACAGCAGTGTCTGGGAGCTAGAGGCGCTACAATCGCATTACCACCCTAACGTTGCGACGCTGGCAAAGATCATCTCGGAGCAATTCACGAAGCGAGCGTACAATTTGGAAGACTTTTTGGATCACTCCTACACGGCGCTGCTCGATGTCGAACTCGATCGCGACCTGAAGAAGGAGCCAGAAGTCGAGTTTGAGATACCCAAGCGCATCTTCACTGCGGACGAAGGACTCAATGTGTTTGGACAGTTGTTGACGCAGGTTGTGGAGGCAAGGTAGTCGATACTTGTATAGCTAGAATGATACCCGAAATATTCGCATCGCTAAATCAGCTTCCTGACCAACTTTTACGCATTCATCCTGATAGCATACAAGCTTCATTGGTCGGAGCAAGGTCCCGTAGACCTCTCACAGCCGTCATTCAGGCATGAACATGTGGGGACATATCTAGCCCCCCTTATCATTCTAGTCAAACCACACATCTAGACAGGGCCCAAAATACATACGCCAACACTACTACACACGATTCCAAACTCCGCTCCCTAGCTATGCTCAAGGAGGACAAAATTGGTTGAGACGCACATTGCACTCTGCCAGTCTAGCTCAACAACCTGCCAAGTGCCAAAGCCATTGTTTTCTAGCTGCAAAGCTTGCCCAGGTAGCGTTTCTGCTAGCGTGGGCGGCGCTAATGCGGTGTTGGCAGCTCGTTGGCTTCGGGGTTGCCCGCGCGCCCCGCTGTCTTTCTCGTATTTGTGCAGAGGGGAGACGCGCGATAAGAGACGTATGTACGTCGCTGTCGGAGGCCAGCAGGAGGACGAGGAAGTGTGTGGTGGTGTGGGCGCACAAAGAGCAGAAGATTTGTGCCGTGCGGGTTGACCGAGGCAAGGGGCAGCTGGAAGGTCGGCGATTATCTTGCATGCGTTGGCGCGGTCGGTTCCAGGTACCACTTTCCTCTGCGTGGAGCTGCATATGTCGAGCCTTTCACATGTGTCAAACGAGGTAACTAGGAAAACTCTTCTGAATTACACGCCATAAGATAGAGAATTGTTCAAGGGCATTCACAGGTGCAGGGAGTAGAGTTTGGTTCAGGCCGCCTCTCGGCGACTGATATCTCAGTTGAATTAACTATCTATACATGTCAAGCCATGTGTATGCATCCCCGTCGGAACATTGTCGCATTAGTAGGATACATGAGAAGAAGAATCATTCGTAACCCCTGACCCCGACGTGAATGTTCCCCGAATTAAAGAATCCCCGCCATTAATGCTTGGAAAATGTTGTTACTCCGTGTTGCTTTTAAACAAACATGCAACCCAATCGTGACTGAGTTGTTGGTATATCGTGAAGAAGGGGAAAGAATGGGTAGTGGTGAGGCGCTTATGCGACGATGGCGGCACCGATGGCGAGGACAAGGCCACCGAAGGAGACCATGTTGCCAGCGGCAGCACCGGTGGACTCGGGGATGTCGCCGCTCTCGGTAGCGCTACCAGCGACGCCGGAAGAGGTCTCCTCAGAGGCGGGGGTGGAGGCAGTCATGGAGCCGGTACCGGTGGCCATGGTGGTGTTGGAGCCCATGGGGACGGACATGGAGGCACCAGGAACAACGGGAGTGGCAGTGGGGACAACAACGACCGAGGTGACGGAAGCAGTCTCAGTGACGGCGACTGCGACGTAGTTAGTATTGTGATAGGTTGAGTGAAGTAGCAAAGAAACTTACCAGTGGAGGTCATGTCGCCAGAGACCATGGAGCCGGAAGGCATGGGGACAGCGGGGATCTCAGAGACCATGGAGGCAGAGGGCATGGGGACGGCGGGGATCATGCTGGTGGCAGGAGGAGCCTGGATCTGACCATCGGAGATCTGGGAGATGGGCTGGACGCTGTACTGAGGAACAGCGGCGACGGCACCAGCCATGACGGCAACGGAGGCGATGGAGAAACGCATGTTGATGATGTGGGTTGGTAGTAGTTACTTGAAGATAGCGACTGTGTAGTGATCGACTCGTAGATTGGAGAGTTGAAGCGGGTGGAATCTGTTTGTGCGTTGGAGTGAGTGGATGAAGAAGAGAAAGGCAGAGAGCAAACGGGCTATCTATTTATTCGCCTGGAACCGCAGGGCAACACACACGCAAGACTTGCGGCTGTTGTGTCGCAATGGGGTCGGGCAGACCCACAGTACCAAAAGGTGCCCTGTGCACGGTCGACGTGGTAGGGAGAGTAATTGGAGAGGCTTTGCGCCCGTGTGTTTCGACAAGAGTAGAACAACCCAGCCCCGGCGCACAGACACGGGGCCAATCCGCGATTGGCAGATGGACAAGCATCGTTCCAAGAATTTTATCCAAGTTGGCCCACTCGAACCGTTGGGCGAGGCTAGTCCCCTGCGACAGAGCTTGTCATGCTGGTGAAAGCGGCCGAATTGCTTCGTTTTGATTGCGTGGGTGCTTCCATGTCGTTGACTACGGCCAACTTGGACGTGTAACCAACTTTTTCCCCTCTCCCAGACAACCAGCCACACCAGCCATCGACAACGCGCAAGCAGCAGAGCAGAGATTGACTGCAGAGGAGGGCCGTTTCGCAGTGCCACGCAACATCTCTCCACTGCAACTCGCTTGTGCGCACCTTATCGCGACGCCAGCAAACGCCTCCCGCCAGCGGCCGTGCAACTAGCAACCATAGTGCCAGGGGCAGGTCCGTCACCATTCGATCGCCCCAAGCCTGTCCATAACGAATGCAGATCGCTGCCCGGTACAGCTGGCGGCCCTGTGCATTCCTCACGGTTATTGTTGGCAGCAGTTTGCCTGCGCATCGCTGTCTGATCGTGTTTCGTCGGCTGGCCTCTGATTCTGCTTCGTTTTTACTATCCTTAGCAACAGGTGCCTGGGATTGCACATAGCCATCCTCGGCACCTGCATCGGTTTTGTTGAATCCCGTGATCGTGGGTGCGGTGACGCGTGTCCCTTGGCCCTTGTTTGCGCTCTGGTCGCTAACGCGCAATCAATCAATCGATCAATGCTGCCAGCACTTCGGTCCTCTCCTTCCCTCTCCTGATGATCCATCCCCGTCCCTTGCAGCTTGCTTCTAAGTAAGGAACGTCGCCACTAACACTAAACCACGTCGTCCATGGCCCGACGAAAACCCAAGAATCTCGAATGAAACCCCATGCAAACACAATATATTGAAACAAACAGCGTGCAATCTGTACCAACATGTCTACGCACACACCGGCAAATGCGAGCAAAAGGTTAAAGTGAAGCGCACGGCCAGAAACACCCCAGTCACCCCATCTCCGGATTCTTCACCAGCGTGCAAGGACCATGCTCGTAATTTCGTTTCGCAACGATGATTGCTTGCCGCTGCCGTGATAAGGATTCAAGGGGAAGGAGATCATGACGTCGTCATATGCTCTCCTTCTCATCTCGTGTTTGACATGTTCTCGGTCCCGTCGCAACAAAATGGTGTGGATGGGTGCGCCGGCGCAACTACGGGAAGACCGCGATGGAAGCACACTGAAGAGACTGCCTGCAAATCTTGCAGCTGCAAGTTGTTCGGCGAAAAAGCCGCGAAAGCTTCGGGAAGATTCCTGTCACCCTGTCCACATGTCTTGTCCGACGCTACGACATGCATTTGACATGCTGCACTTGCGCAGGTCCCAATGGTCGTAGACATCTGCACACAAGGCACGACTGACATCAGACTCCCAGCCTTGTTGCTGCGGTTCCCAAGCTGCCAAATCTACACCGGTGTAGCGCCGGCAACCCGAAGTTCAGGCAGCTGTCACCGCCAAACCGCCGCGCGCATCGTGGAGAAAAAGCGGGTGGGTGATAGTTGCCCCGGGCTACCACCCAGCCTGCCCATTTCCATTTATCCTCCCACCTGCCACCATGGCTGACCGCTGAAACGAAGCGTGTACCGAAACCTGTGAAGGTTTGTGGCAAGGTTTCTTGATGTGCGCCGCCAGCTGCAGGTGTCCGTCCGCCTATCTGTTGTGTCATCCCAAGGTGTCGCTCGTGAAACCTGAGGCTGTTGTTTGGGTTGCGCCCGGGGCTAGGCGCCGGTGGCTGTCCTGTTGGCTGGGTCAAGCAGCCGAACAGAGGTTTTCTGTCCAAGCGACTGCTGTGCGTGCACAAATCCATGTATGCATGCTCAACATTGGTCACGACTGCACGTCGTGTATCAGAGAAGCTTAGCCGGGCGCGTTTATATTACTTCTGATCGAGTTCAACAATGCACCGAGATTCTGTCAATGATTGCTTTTGCCGCGCCGCTCTCCTCATCAAACTCAACAACTCAGGCCGGGAACGGAAGCGGTCTGGATGAGTCCAAGTACATACTTGTCATAACGATCTTCATTATATGTATCATGGTACAACCTCTGCGTCGAGCGCAAGACGATAGAAACGCCCTTGTAATGCTCTAAAAAAAAAAAAAAAGAACGATAACGCTAATAATCAACATTTTATCCATCGAATCTACAACGAAACTTCAAATCTGTGGTTCCACTAGAGCTGCTTCTCCCGCGTAATCTCATCCGCCGAGTCACTTTCCGACACCGTCTTGGGTGCCATCATGGGCTCAGGGCCGTGGGATGAGCCAGGCGTCGTGCGCTTGAAGTAGTTGTGCACGTCGGCGTGGTCGTCCTCGTCCGCCTCAACACCTTCCCAGCCGTTCTTCTCAGAGAACTTGTGCTGCTGGCGTTCGAGCCACTCTGTGCGCATCTCAGCGATCTTCTGCTCGTAGTCGAGCTTGGCATCGTAGTCCTTGTGCTGACCGCGGAAACGCTCCCACCAGGACATATGCTTCCAGTGGACGGCAATACCGTGGTAGTCGTGCTCCTTGCCGGCGCGAATGTAAGCCCAGCGGCGCTCCTGCTCCTTGAGATCCAGACCAGTGGTGTCTGGGAGGAAGAGTAGAGTAAGGAGAGCACCGACGAGACCGAACCAGGGGACAAAGTAGAACTTGGTCTGGGTGTCGATGTAGTTGTACAGGACGGCAGCAAGTAGGGCACCCGCCTTACCACAAGCAGCACTGAATCCGTGGGCGGTGGCGCGGACGGGTGTGGGGAAAACCTCGGCAGCGACGAGGAACGTAACACTGTTGGGGCCGAACTGGTTGAAGAAGGAGGACAGGAAGTACATGGCCTGGAAACCGTGAATGTTCTCAGGGGTGGTGAAGTAGTCAAAGGCGAAACCGGGGATCATGAAGAGGACGAAGTCAGCCAGGAAACCAACGATCATCATCCATTTACGGCCGTACAACTTGTTGTCAATGAGTAGGGAAGCGAGGTAGTAGCCACATAGCGATACGCCGACGTTGATCAAGTTGTACAGCCAGCCGGTCATGACAGACTTGTTGCCAGGCGTGATGATGTCGATGAACTGGTTCTGGAAGAGCTTGTTGCCGTAGAAGAAGACATCGTTGGCGAACCAAGCACCCGCAGTCGCTAGGACACGGGGCCCGAAGTAAGTGAAGGTGAGCTTCAGAGACTGTACGTCGTAGCCGGTGACGTTGGACTTCTTCTTGGATAGCGCGAGCTGCTTTGAAGCAGACTTCATCTTGTAGTAACGGAAGTAGACGAGCCAGAGTGTGCCGACAGCGGGGATTGCGAAGGATACGCGGTAGGTCCACTGAGCCAAGGTTTTGGAGTACGGGGGCGATGATCCACCGTGGAAGATAAGGAGCAAGATGATCAAAATGACCTGGTTGAAGAACTGTCCCCAACCCTGCATCAGGAAAGCACTGGTGACTTTCCTGCCACGGTGAAGACGGTCGTCCTTGGTGGACACCTTGCCAGAGCCAACGGCGTTCTCCATACCGGCAGTTGCGGTCATGGGGTATTCGCCTCCGACACCGATACCGTAGAAGAAGAGAGCCCAGACATAGCAGATGACCCATCCGTTCTGGGTAACACCCCAGGCGGCGGTGAGCATGAGAAGACCGACAAACATGATGACGGCGTCCTGGATGAGACCAAAGCGACGACCGAGCCAGTCACCAATAATGCCAACGAGGATCTGACCGACAATGATACCACAAATCTCTAGGTAGTCGACAGCCTGGAGCCAGGTCTTGTCGCAGATTTCGTGATCATTCCAGCATTCCGGGAAAGCAGCCTGGAAGAGAGGCCTGACGTTACCAATAGAGAAGAGCACGTATCTAGATTATTGTTAGTAAGGATCTAAGCTACAGTATCGTAAAACTCACCCCTCGAGACCAAGACCAGCACCGGGGATTACACATGTTCGGAAGTAGTGGCCCATAGGCGCAAGCGGGTCCTTCTTGAACATATCCCAGAAGTAGCTCACTTCGGCTTTCGCTTCAGCTTTGTCGACTTGGCCGATGAACTTGACGCGTTGACCCAAGGGCAGATCTGCCCAGTAGGTACCGTTGGCATTGTAAAGGTCGTCCGGGTGCAGCAGGGCGTGGAATACGCTGGACTCATTTTCACTCATATCATTCCGGATGTCAATGTCTTGAGTTGCTTGGTGCTCGCCAGTCATGTTGGGTCCATGGGGTGCAGCGATACCATAATCCCGGAGGGAAGGTGGCGTAGTATCGCGAAGGTCCGGCATTGCAGCAAGTTCACGAGAATCGAGGCGATCTCGTTGTTCTATGCTGATGGTGGGGATGACTGGTGGAAGCGTTGCCCAGAAGCGCGAGTCCTAGTCGAAGCTTATATGCGCTTTGGTTGCAATGCAAGACTTCTGATCGACCCACAGGGATACCGATTATCCGGTGCCGTCTGTTGCGCGAGTAGTCCCACGAACAATGCAGAGCAGAACCACGTTCGATGGGGTGGCCTCTGAGTGGTGGATGGGATCTGCGATTTAACACAACGCCAGATCCTAGTACTAGCCGGACGGTCCGATGACGAAACCGACTCCGAGTGTGTATGCGCTGATTGATGAGGAATGCACGCCTCCAACTGGTTGTGGAGCGCTTTTTAGT